ATAGACTCCTGCTGAGCTCTGTAACAAAAGGCCGATCTTTCAGATCACAGGCTATCGAAGTACGGAGTACAGACGTATTCCGTAGTATCAACTTGTCAATAGAACTATTATCGGGCCATTCCCCACTTCGAATGAGTTACATGGGTCACGACTAGCCACTATGGCACGTATTGAATTTACACTTCGGACACTAACTCGTACAAGTATGCAAACTATTAACTCTTAGCCTTCCTACCAATTTAGCGAGAGCGCTCCCGCTGGTCGTTTATCACGTACATAACGCCTTCATCCGTGTGAGCCAATTAGTGGCCAGTGATCATCGCCACTTTTCTTTTTCTGTGCATAGTCGCCAATTATAAGTACGTCTTTCTCGTTACATCGGCATCTGTGTGTATCGCGAGACTGACTCGTACGGAGCGGGTAGGGTCTGTTGAACCAATACGACTTTTTGAATTGGACCAGAGAAAACCCACCGAAAGATTCGAGAATGATTTAAGAGTAACTTTGCTACGTTGGTTAATCTATTTGACTTCATTGGTATCTGATTGCGTTGACATGTAGTTCCTGCTGTGTGGTTACGAGGATAGCAGGAGCAACTCGTCTCATGATTGAGGCGAGCTACCTCAAGCGTAATCGATGGCAAATAAGATGACCGATACTTGAACCATGTAATCAGCATCGAATAGATAGACCTGTTAAACCAGTGTTACCTAGGTATGCAATTGGCTCTCTAACTAATCAATCATGATCTTCAATAGCTATCAGGAACTTGAGATAGAATATTGCAAGAAAGGCTTGAGATCCCAACTTTCGTAGCCGACATTCATTCAATGTTTCAACGTGTAATTTTATACTCCCGTATAACAGCATGCATGCAAGCCGGCTCTCAATCCACGAAGTTGAACCGCACGTGGTTACTGATTTTCATACTAAAACCCAGGGATTACGGTCAATCTCTTCTACAATTGTCCTGATGACGCGCAGATCTCTTTATTCTATATCCGTACGTTGGTTGCTGACTTTGTCGATCCTACATTATCCTGTAAACTAAGTCCTTAGACCCTTAATTGTCCGGACTCTTCTAGAAAGAAAAAGAACGCCTATCTTTGGAGTGATCTTCGTTTGAGAATGATTGGCGTGGAATCTGACATATCATATTCTGCGTATGTAGTCCACACATACCTAGGTATATGATTGTGATGATCAACGGAGCTAAAGGCAGAGTCTGGTCATCAATCTGGTCGATCTTTCTTTTCTAGAAAGGAAAAGAATATCATTTTTGGCCTTGTTCGGACCTCTGAAGTGTGCAGGGAGTGACTTTAATCTACGAATACAATATCTGATGCGTATTCTAGAGGTACGAAAAATATATATTCACATGTGATACATCCTTGGCGTTGACGAACTGTATTACGAGATCGAATCTTTGTCGGAGAAACTATTTAGAAGTGAGCATCATTCATGATCATCATCTACCTGAGAGCTTCAATGCTTGAAGGAGGTACCCCAATGAAGCCTTGGAACATACGTACTGATCGGTATAGCAAGTGGCTGTGGGGAAATAGTTTGAAGAAGTTCAAGGTTGGCATGCCCATGAACTGAGTGGCTTTTATTCTACTTATCTCAAACCGTATGGAAGCTATGATAAGATCGTGTAATCTAACATAGATTTTCATGATTTTATCACACGTTTCACAATTTGAGACTGAACACTGTATGAAAGCTTCGAGATGGCAATCTTCTTAGCCGACGTCTCTTGTATGAAGTAATATTACCTAAATTTGAACATCCTACCCTATCTCATAGCATACATTATGATCATCCTCGCTAGCAATATCTCCTATACTAGATAACCTAGCATGCGCGCCTTTTTTTGACCTGCCATTTATCCTATCCTCATGATGCCCCCCTTACGATCGTTATTAGCGTTTGTCTTCAACATATCAGCATGAGCTCAAGCCATTTCCACTACATTGTGTCAATCAAAACCCGCTCAAGGAGCTCAAGTTATCAGCAAGCTTTGTCAGAAGTATGACAGATCACAAGAGAAGTGTATCGGTCGTGTCATGTCAACTTTATCGCAGTAGATGGCATTACATAGTTGATCGGTGCCATGCGTAAAGCCGATATCGTTTTCGACTGGGATCAAAAATTGTTTGTCGAAGAAACTTTCTGAACGCAAGTCTTAAATCCTCCATTCATCGAAAAACTCTTACGCCATGGCCTGAATAGATGGCCCGGAAACTTGGCTGGCTCTCTTTGATTTTAGAGAATTTTACTGAAACATTGCCTATTTTCAGGTCCAGCAACATGAAGAGATATTTTGGGCCAGCAGGAGCTGTGCGAAGCGAAGTCTCTGGGGTGGGTTTTGCAAATCGCTTGGGCATTTGCCCTCGACGTGCTTCTTCATACTCATTGATTGAAAAGAAAGGCTCTCCCATGATAGTATCGACACTTGATGGCCTCTTCCTATTCGTAACTTGAAAAACGAATGCACCAGTCTTGATAGGATTGAAAGGCTCCTCAGCCTTGCCCATATAGAGCGGAATGGTATTAGGGTCAGAAACATGGTAGGTGTGGAGGATAGATGAGGCCGTAACGTGGGATGATCACTTTTTCCCCAATGCTAGACAAATTTACTAGCAGGCAATATTACTTTGTTCTTGAGTGAAGAGTGGAAGTGAGACCTTCATTTTATCTTGGACTGTCCCAACTAGACGCTTACTAGATGATCTAGTAGGGTATGATATAGCTAGCGAAAATGATCATGATGGATGCTGTGAGATTGATAGGGTGCTCCGACATGTCATGAACCAGGTGGAATTTCAGGAAGCTTTTCCATCATATGATAAAGCGAGCCAGGTCTTCATTGCAAAGTAACTAGTTGTTGGATCGTATAGTGCTAAGCGAGCGACCTTGTTGATGGTTGGTCACTTCAGTTGTCTTGCAGAGTCGGTAGTAGATCACTCCTTTATCGCCAGTGCTGCGATAAGTTCTTGAGTATGATCAATCATCGACTGCATCGCTGCGGAGTACAGCTCAAGTAAGTCTCGCGTATCCATGTCACATAAGCCACGAGTTGGCCAATCGATAGGCGCACTGTATCCTCCTCACAGGCATCCATCAGCTACGAATATATTCCGTCTCAGCTCAGTATCAGAGCTGCACCAAGAGTCTGGGAAAATGCCAAAGCTTTTGATAGAATCTTATCCACATCAGGTTCCACATTGGGCTAGCTCCATGCATCCATATGCGTGGAATACACGGAGGTATTTGAACTCGACGTTAATACTGCCTCTGATCATCCCTTCACGACTTATATTTAACCATTCCGCGGTGACAACAGTAGCGAGCTGGTGCCACGTCTGCTTGATTTTGTGGGAAATATTTGATGCGTATTCGATTGTAAAATCACCGTCCGTGGACAGAAACAGCTGAAGGAGTGATTTCAATTCTAACTTCGCTTTATCGTTCTTCCCAATGAGCTCTTTAACGGTATCCAAGGATCCATCTAGGTCGTCGCTGTCAACGCTGTACGACTTAAGTACCCTTCTTTCCATCAGATCCGTCTCCTTTTGTCCTCGCAGAACTTTCTTCCATCTCTTGAGGCCTTCCTTCTCAGTATAGACGATTGTCGTTCCGCGGAGGAATGATGCAATCGCGTAAAACGTTTGGCATTGGAGGCTTTCTCTAATCACAGCCCATCGAGATCCGCCATGTTGCCTGCTTTAGTGTGTCAGCAAGAAATGCGTATCAGATGAGATATAAAATGAAGCGAATGGTAAACTGAATGACAGTATATACTCACAAAGTGGTCGAGTAGAGACAAGCGTGAAGTGCTGTGTCTATGGTGAAGGAACCACCACAAATTCGAGCAAAACTTGACACGAAGTCAATGACTGAAAATGGAGGGATACGAGTGTGATAGAAGAAAACAAAATTCTTGAGCCCGACGAGAAGCCGATGACTAGAAATAGCGGGATATAAGTAGGACGAAAATCGGCCTTTGTTGACAACGTGACAATGAACTAAAAGGACTAGTGGAGCTCTCGTGATCGCAGGCATTATCGCTCAATCGTTTGTTCCCCTTTGTACTCGATTAGCTTCTCTATTGGTCTTCAAGCCCCTCTACTCGCCCTGCTCACACGCCCCGAAATTACCATCTTCTTCTTCGGGCTTCGAGTCGAAGGGCAAATGGGACTATCATATGCTCTAGTTACATAAGGAGTCTGCTTAAGGATCACGCCGTCAAACGACATTCGTTTGGCAAGTCATCGTGTCGTTCGACATCTTGTATGATGATACAAGGTGGAGACAGAAATGATTGTTGTCAAGACGCCCAATGTTGTACAAATCATACTCTGCTGGCTTTCTCCGTTGCAATAATTAACAAGGACAAGACAAAGGTTGGTCGAGAATCAAGGTAGGTCACGTGAGTTTGCAAGCCCTACGACCCTTTGCATCCAGGCACTATACATAGATGACTCTGGGCAAAGGTATCATTTAGAATACTGAGGCGCTCTATATCTACCTACGAAATTGCAGCGCGACTTGAGTCGCTGATCACGAGAAATTATCAGATCCGGATTTGACTACCAAATACACCTATGTAGGCAAGCCGTGACATTGTCATTCACCACTGCTACGAACAAAAAGGACACAAGAGCATCAATATTCAAGTCCCTTGAAACTATTCGCTCATTGTCATATCTTTCGATTATCGTGAATTACATGAACGTTGCCACCGATTGTTTGCATGTAGAAATCTTGCAGACAAACGATAAGAAATCTCAAAATTCTAGGCAGATAGGTATCAGTTATGAAAAACAGTCGCTCAACCGCCCTTGACCATCTAGGTCATAGTAATTAGTCATTAAGTACAAATATCGTTGTCTATGTGACATCGGGTATTCCCTCATGTATATAAATATCGCACTGAGCGCCCGGGCAATGATCGCTCATTGCAAATGGATTGATCGCATCTTGGACTGAGTATCAAATTAGTCAGAGTGAGGGCCTTCCTTGATACCAGCTCCAGCAGCAGCAGCAGCGTTGGCCTCGATGTCGGAGTTGACGTTCTGTCGTCGGCCTTTGATAGTCTGCAACGCGAGAGAGAAGTCGTCCTCGAGGGCATACATGTACCAGTAGTACATACCTGTTCTCTGATCAGTAAAAGAAAATTTGATAAGGTCTTCAGAGAAAAATGCGTACCGCAGAATAATCCTCCACCAAGGACGTTACCAATAAAAGCAGGGATGATACCCTTCCAAATGTACAGACCAACCGAGATTCCAGGTGCATCCAACCAGATAGCCATAGGAATGAAAGTCATATTGGCGACAACGTGATCGAAGCCCAAGGACACGAAGGCAAAGACGGGCCACCAGATTCCGATAACCTTACTGGCGAGATCGCGACCCTGCATGCCGAAGAAGCAGGCAAGACAGACGAGCCAATTACAGCCGATACCGCGCAAGAACACGGTTTGCCATTCCGGTGTGACTTGTTTCTTGGTCGCGAAAGTGATTACTTCGCTCTTGTAGGGGTCGGCGCTGAAGACTTCGCCATATCCGAGGATGATGGCGACCATGAATAGGGAGCCGCACAAGTTGCCGAAGAAGGTGACGAACCAGTGAATCAGCATTTTGTACCAGGGGAGACGACGCTGAAGGGCTGCCATGGTGGTAAACTATTCCAATCAGTAAGTATATTATTGTCCAAGGCAAATGGGGACGCGTACCATGAAAGATCCAGTACAGAGATCAGCACCAGTCAAGATAATCATGCACAACCCGTAAGGAAAGACCAAGGCAGAAATGGTGCGAATCAGACCAGGCGCATTCTCCTGCCACCAGGGGGCAGTGTTGGTGCTGAGCGCAGTAGCACAAGCAAATGCAAGCAAGCATCCAGCAGAGACACCACTGAAGAAGACCTTGTCTAGGCGCATGTTGCCCTTGATTGCACCTGCGACAGTGACAGTCTCAACCACCTCGGCGGGTGTAAGACAGTTCACGGTGAAGCTTGAAGCCATTTTGACCGCTTAGAGTTCGACTTGTACGATAGAAATTGTGCCGAGAGACTCTTTTCTGAACACAAGGACGAAGCTTGAGTGTGATCGTGTCGGAAAAACAAAAAGAAAGAAACCAACTGGAATGCACGGGGGTCTTGGCTCTCTTTTATCTACAGATCCTACACGACCAGAAAAACAATCAAGCTTTTATGTTGGAGGCGCTCGTCCCACCACACCAATGCTCAACGTGCGAAAGGTGTTGTCTATCACGATGGATCTACCAATTGTCTCGTCGTCAGGGACTGATCATCGCCGTACATGGCCGGAGTATAAACCGTCGAACTTTGAAGATGATACTAAAGAAGCTATTGATTACCAAATAAACTAAGCAAATTTTTTTCCGGCGCGGGAAATGGACTGGCTCGATCTACGTCCCAATTATTGGAAATCATACAAGCATTAGTTCGACATAGTGATATCCTGGTCCGTGAAGGCCGTATGACGATGCATAGTTATATCCGTGCATTAGCTTGACCTTCGGGATGAGTAAGGACGATCGGGTAGTTCGCGCTACGGCAACCCTAACTCCCAAAAGGAGCGACGCCATACAACATCAACCAATAACAACAAAAAAGGCTCTTATCAGTGCCGAGCGCCAAGATGCTTGAATCAGCCTCTGTGGATCTTTGATCTGTGCTTTTCAGTGAAGCCTTTCCCTTATCAATGCCATGCCAAGATCTTCACGCATCTCCGCGCAATGAACAAGAGCTCCTCGTCTGAGCCAATGGGGAGAGCAGAGGAAAGACTTTCCTTCTCGTAAGCTGAACTGCTGCTTTTGTTTGTCGTTATCTTTCTTGGCTCTGTCTAGCAGTTAGAGCATTCCAGTTGGAGTTGTTGATAGTACGTAGATAAGGTGTGTCGATCGTGGAGGTGTGTGCAATAATGGGGAGAGAAGTTCAGGGTCTGACTATTGATGGCGTTGCTGTCCCGGGCTTTAATAAAGACGCTCTATAGTGATGTGTTTAATATCGAATAGACTCAGTGATACGTGATAGATTTAGGGTTATGGGGAGTATGGAGTACATGGATTAGTAAAGTATAAACGCATAGACCGGTGCTCATCTCGTGCAAACACTAAACAGCCATTGACGCATGTAAACCTTTAATCCGCATTCAGTGTTTGTTTTTATCAATGAAAACGATGATCGAAAGTGCAAACCTAGCTAGGCCAATAGAGTAGTCCTGATAAGAATGCTGAGTCTGGAGTGTCTAGGCCTTCAAGCCTCAGGCAGAAATATGGCCTTGGTCTCCAGGCATCTTTGGCCAATCCCTGTCGCATCTGACTAACCCCACCCCATCTGGAGAACAATCGTGCAAGTACGTATCATTTGGCACTGATGGGATTCTTATACATTGACCAATTGGATTTCCAACATCCGATGGTCAGAACGAAATCGCGAAAGGATCTCGGACAATCACAGCTTCTGTCTTCCATACGGACTAGTCACCGGCCATAGATCTTTCTGAATCCTGACTGGATGGGCGAAGCATCCATGCTGCAGGATAAACTCAAAACTGGCTTGTAGTGTCCCAGCTTGGTGTAAAGCACGACTCGACTGGCTCGGTCCATGGGCCGACTGCCTCCAACAAATATACGAGAAATCCACAGTCTGGAAATCATTGTTTCCTCGTGGCTTTCCTCCTGGCGTTCAGGGCCAAGAGAGATTGAAACCCAAAGAAGGATCCGCAGAAACTGCAGCAGGAAAGTCAAATCGAACTCGAGACGAATAAGCACGTGGTGAACTTGGCTAGTCTGGAGTAAGCAGATACTGATTGATAATGAGGGTGATAGCGACTTGATTAATTCATGTCATGAATTTACATAATCTTCATGCAATGACATAGACATGCATAGGAATTGTTGACCCTCACTTCCGAGGTTGAGATGTCTTTGATTTTATCGAAATCTGTAGCATGGTGATGTTGTTGCGAAAGTATGGATACACCTAGATCGGCACAACCCCCTGCTCCCAGTCCTTACGGCCGGGTATGACTCTCCAGCACCACCCACACCAACTCCTTTCCAATCCGTCCGCCTCTCTCTGGAGATATTTTCCAGTCTCGCGCTCATCGTCGTACTCCTCCACGCAAGCCCCCACGATCACCCTCTTCTTGACCTTTCGCTTGACAACTCCGCCGATACCGACGATCTCTTGTCGCAAGTAGCCAGGTTCATCATCGTGCTGATGGCCATCAGGTCGTTCGTTTAGAGAAAGCCCTTCTATCTTAGGAGGTGACGCGGCATACCCACTTAAGTGGCCATCCTGATAATTGTGATGGTGTTGAATGGTAATAGCTGAGTCGTCCGCCTCGCAATCTACTTCCAGTTCAATTGCTGAAGCAGCGAGACACTCCTCTCCTTTGCCGCACTTTACACCTTGACAACCTTCTCCAATACCCGTTCCCAGACCAGTACCAAGATACGCACCATAACGGGTACGCCAGGTCCATACTCGCCGATACGTCGAGTCATTCTTGTTCAAAGCGAGGCCGCAAATTTCGCATAACCACAATGTATCCCCGCATCGACACGGTGTGCGCGCAAAAGCTGAAAAAGTGAATGCATGCTTTTTTTGCTGCGATGTGGGCAGTTGCATGGTCGGCAACTTGCCAGCTGGAAAGAGGTGATAGGCTATGGGAGCTGCACAGCAAGTCTTGCAAAGCCGACGTAGACGATTCTTAGCCATGGAAGCTCTCGGAGGTTTGACCGTGCAGTTCTGCATCCAGGGTTTAGCACAGAAAGTTGATATCTCATTCCCAAGACTATACTAACCCGACATACTATCTTGGAGCACCGTTGGCACTCTCCAACCATATCTCGAGCACACAACCCAGATATTCCCCATCGAAGTCTGCCATTCTTGGGAGCTCCTTCATTGATCAATCGATTGGCAATTCGTGTGCCTTCCGATAACGAGGCCCCTTCTCTCATAATCTCATTTAGTATAACGTTATATTGCGTGTCACAGCGAAGAGTCCGTTTGACGAGTTGACGACTATATGGTATTAGATTGGCTCTGATTTGTCGACAAGTCCTGGAAAGAGCGTCGAGGGTGTTTAGATCTAGATATCGTGCTAGCTCCCTGACTACGCTAGTAGAAATTAGTGATGTACAACCAAAACAACCAAGGCGTGGGAGTTCATACGGATAACACGCTAAACAGCGGCTGAAGGCATCCAAATTCAGACCCTCTCGAGTTTCCAGAGACTCCTCGTCTCTGTCGATGCCGTTGAGTAGTTCATGATAGTTATTCAAGGACTGCTCGGTGTGTGTCTTCACGACCGACAGGCTTCCCTTGTTGGGGTAAGGATGTAGGATGCTTCCTGGGTGACGGTGCTGTACGTCATCGTACGAATCGCGTTCATAGTCGACAAAAACCACCATACTGTCCCGGGCAAGTTGTAAAGAGTATATATAGACAAATCATCTGAGCCGAATGGCTTATAAAAATTGTTTTCGGCTATCTCAGCGGTTCCATCGCGCCAAGTTCTAAGCTTGAGTTTTATGAAGATGGAAGGACGTTCTCAAGCCAGCTGAGACACGTCAAGGTGGGGCATGCGCCGGATAAGCAGCTTACCCTAATCCTATGATTAGAACTTGGATATAATCAGTCGCAAGAGGTTGATAATGTCATGAATTATTGTCTAATATCTATGGCTAAGCTATGGTCAAAGAGAGTTATGATCATTAGAGCTCAAGGCGCTCTATCAAACAGGATCTACCTACGCACAGGACTTGTTCGGTCTGCATTACTTACTGTTATGTCCAAGTCAGACATTCCAAATCGTGGATATCATGTCGATTTATTTGAATTTCGCTCGTGGAATGGCGAGAATACTCATCTCAAACGTGTAAATGAACAGTGAGGCCACTGCTAGAAGCCCGGCCAGTTGGCCCTCCCACCGAACGCAGTCCAATCCAGTTGGCTCATGTCAGGAAAAAAAGGCGCTTGACCTGTTATATCATGATATAATTCTGGTCGCATCGCTGTAAAGTCATTTGACAATCCAGTACTGAACGGCAGACTCTGGTTGTCATAGCCTACTGGCATCGTCGTCGAGATTGCAAGACTATCAATGGCCGTTGTCACGTTAGTATTAGCATATTCAACGGTGCCCTTCTGCGCCCGTCGTGACATCTCTGCCTGGATGTGTCGTATGGATAGAACAATTTTCGGTGTCGCCATGATCCTGCCTGATTGTATGAAATTTGCTTCACAAGCTTCCCATGCTTGAAGCACCACTTTAGCAAAAACCTGGTAAACTGGATTAACTTCTTCTGGCTGATTCTCAAACCAAGCCTCGTGATTATCGCTCAAATATTTCCATGCCTGTGGGGTCTGCTTGTTGCCAGGCCGTAGTTTTATGTCTTGGGAAATTTGAAGATATGCTGGGAAAGGAAAGTAAAATCGGTTAAACCAACGAAACCGCTTGGTCAGAGGCGAGGTCATGATCTTCGTATCACACTCTATCAAAATCAGAGCATGGAAGGTAGCAGTGTCATGTTGTAAATCTGTCTGAGTCGAGTTAGAATGCGATGAAAGATGTTCCAAGAGGCGACATTTAGCCATTTGCCCTAGTAAGCTCCACAATGTCATAAAGTGGAGAGGATTCTCTGGGTCACAGAACTTGAGATACCGACAATCTATGATTTTCTCTATCTGGGCGATTTCGCCATCCTCCGACGAGCTTTCATGCCTTTTCGCTAGCGGTTTCAGGGCAGGATTGGTGAACTCGAGGTGGAATATAGTATGACGCAAAAGATCCCAGAACCCACTTCGTGCAACGGCAAAAACTGCCTCGGTAGATGTTGCTTGCATCACCGGAGGTTCTTTCATCTCTGGCCGAAGATCGGAATCGTTCACATTGAGGGGAACTTTACAGTCCCAAGTTGGATCAAGGGCCGAGCTTCGGGAGCTAGAGACTTCATTTATGCGATGATCAAAAGTTATGATCGACCACCACAGTCTTCGACGCATCTCAGCCTCAAGGATAGAGCATTCCGCCAAGTTGGTTTCACTGTGTAAACCCATCCGTCGCGCGATGCGGATCGCAATGCCGAGCATTGATGCTAGAGACTGGGGAACTGTGCTGAAGCTGACAGAGACCTGCAACCATTAACATAAGAATCCCCGCATGACTGATAGCCAATCTCACCAGATAAAGATACAGCGCTGTCAAACAGTCACGATCGCTGGTCCGTAAGAATCCACACCCCAACAGCGCTTGCTGGCAGCCGAAATGAAACCTTAACAAGAGACCTTCCCTCGAAGAATGGAACATGGTTTGGCATTCGTCTCCAGTGAGACTTGTCACTGCGGTAGAGTAGATGCCGAACATGAGGGCCTCCAAATTTGGATGTACATTTTTGAGATTGCTTGCAGCTTCAATAATGCGCGCTTGTAGAGTTGGGGTGTGCGTAACCTTGAGCAGTGGGTTCACGTTGTCCAGATAAMCCTGCCATAATCTGAAGATCTGAATTGCATCGGGATGAATAACAGACAGGTCGACAGTGGGATCGCGTGATCCAAACAACAGGTTATCATCTTTTTGAGTGGTTTCCTCCCATGCCCGTTTGACCTCTGTTTCCCGCACATAGTCGTGTGAAGACTCACTGTCATTTTCGGGATCTCGAAACTGTCGCCCTTATCAGTACAATATAGCACCGGTTGAAATGGCAATCGTACTCCTCGGCTCATCGCATGCCAAATATTCCTGCACAAACGTCAGTCAATGCGGAACATCGATAACTGACGGTACATACTTGGCTCCATAGCTTTTCTCAGAGCCCAACGGTGTCGATGGTACCGAATCTGCTCTGCCAGTTTCTGGTACTAGTCTCTCCATTTCATGGTCACTTTCCACGTCAAGCCTTGCCTTCCCCACAATCGCATCACTGTGGATTGGATCGAAGGATATTTTGTTTTGGCGCAACAACTCCTCGTAGTTGTGGAGACGGTCGAGAAGCTCGCGTTCAGGGAATCTGCGTCTTTTCCGGCGTCGAGCAAGTGTGGCTGGCACACACTGTGCCTGTGAACGAACACAATTTGCACATGGAAATTTTCGGTCACACTTCACTTTTCTCTGTTGACAGAGAACGCATGCGAGCACTCGTTGTGGCTTCAGTGGGAGGGAGGGCTGCGGCGGCGCATCGGACGACATATCGGCGGATTACCTGCGCATGGATTTCACTCTGATTTGGTCGTGTACTAGCCATGTAATTCCACGCGCGGCCCAGGCTGGATGAAATCAAGATGAGGATGCCATATTGGTCTCGGAGTCGAGGACAATCGCAATTGTGAGCTTAAGGTTTCCAGCAGATCTCGCTAACGTCATCCGGAAGGTGGGAATTCCTGCCTGAGGCATCAAACTACAACCATGGAGAAGCGGCGGTTCCTGATAGATTGATTGTTGGAGAGATTTGAGATTTGAAAGCCTACCTAGGTAGAGTTAGCAGTCAAGATGATTTGCTTACGCCTCTCAAATCCATGGGGAGGAACCCACTATGACCCACGAGATAACAAATACGGCAGGKGGTTAACCCGCAAAACCCCTAAGTTTGTGATATATCGGGAGGGGTTCCGTGAGCACGTCACATGTGTACAACCGATGATAAAGAAGACAACTCCTTCCTCACACAACTCAACTGAAGAAGCCACCTGGACTAGTCGCAGCCAGATATATCCACTACACTAAAGTATCGTTTCGTCAATCGTTCACGGACATCAAACACTATGCTTAGTGCCAAGGCTGTATACCCGGCGTCAACGCCGAGATATGCCGACTTCGCGAGTCGGAGAAGCACTGTTCACAGCACGAATGGTATCGTAGCTTGTACCCAGCCCCTGGCGGCGGCGGCTGGCCAGAAGATTCTGAGTCAAGGGGGCAATGCAGCGGTATGTTACGACTTTACACTAGAAATGGGATCGAGAACTAATTGATAATGCTTAGGATGCTGCTGTGGCAGTTGGTAATACCCCATACTGCTCTTAACGAGAAGATACGATGCTAACATGAATCTAAAGCCGCGGCTCTCAATGTCACTGAACCAACCTCAACAGGCATCGGAGGCGACATGTTCTGTCTTTACTACAATGCCTCAACCAAGAAGATTCATTCTTTGAACGGCTCAGGTCGGTATGCAGCCAATGCCTCACTAGAGAAAATTCGCGAGGATCTCGGGTTGTCAGCGAACGATCCAGGTGCTATTCCATTAAACAGCGCGCTCGCAGCTACAGTCCCTGGTGCTGCCGCAGGCTGGATCGATACAATTGAAAAATTCGGCAGTGGAAGATTGTCAGTACAACAGATTTTGACACCAGCGATTGAGCTTGCAGAGAAAGGTTTTCCTGTGTCTGAGTTTGCTTCAAATTTTGTAAGCCAGTCGAAATTGAGACTCGATATATGCATCAACTAATTAGCGGTTTAGTGGCACAACGGTGAGAAGCTGCTTCGTGATGCATCTCCAAACTTCAAGGAAATGCTCAAGCATGATCCCTCTGCACCAGACGGTGTCAGGGCACCCAACCCTGGAGAAATACTTAAAAACCCCTCGTTGGGCCGAACGTTCAGAACCTTGGCTGCTGAAGGAAAGAAAGGCTTCTATGAGGGGCGCATTGCTGAGGAGGTTGTGAAAGTGCTGAAAGATCTTGGAGGATATCTTGCCCTAGATGATTTGAAGAATCATGCAGACAGAGGAAGCCAAGAGACAGACGCGATTTCACTCATATTTAGAGGACAAGGCGTAGGGAAGCAAGGTGTCGCTAGCGACGGCAGTGAAGGTGGTGTTGAAGTATGGGAACATCCTCCAAATGGCCAGGGAATTGTAGCCTTGATGGCTCTTGGTATCCTCGAGGAACTAGAGCGCACGGGAAAAATCCCACACTTCTCTCTGGAACAGCATAATTCAGCCGAATACCTTCATGCTGTGATCGAAAGTCTACGAATTGCCTTTGCCGATGCCAGTTGGTGGGTAGCTGATCCAGATGTCGAGAAAGTGCCTACAGAGGAGCTGATCTCTCGTCCATATTTGACTGAACGAGCAAAGCTTTTCGATCCCAGCAAAGCATCCGATATCTTGGACCACGGTAGCCCCGCTCACAATCACTGTGACACGGTCTATTTTGCCGTCACTGATAAGGATGGAAATGGCATTTCCTTCATAAATAGCAATTACGCCGGATTCGGTACTGGTATAATCCCAGCTGGGTGCGGTTTCACCATGCAGAACCGAGGTTCAAACTTCTCGCTACAGGCGGGACACCCAAATGTCCTGGCTCCGAATAAGCGCCCTTATCACACCATCATCCCCGCTATGATCACCAATTTGGATGGATCACTTCATTCCGTCTACGGAGTCATGGGTGGCTTCATGCAACCCCAAGGTCATGTACAGGTTCTACTGAATATGTTGGCATTTGGCTATAGCCCCCAAGCGGCACTAGATTCCCCACGCATTTGCATAGGTGCGGGGATGCCTGAGGAAGGCAAAGTGTTGGACCGCACGGTTTATGTTGAGGAGGGCATCAGCGATGAAACCGTCAACGGCCTTCGAAAGCTTGGACACCAGGTTGAAGTATTGACTGGACATCGGCGGGGKATGTTTGGGCGCGGCCAATTGATAAGGGTCCATTACGATGATGGCCAATTGGTCTATAGTGCCGGAAGCGATCCAAGGGGTGACGGCCTGGCTATTCCGTTGTAGCCGGGAGAGAAAAGAAATCATATGTCGTTGACGCGTTTGTAGGCGAGAATTTGTCGGGATCTCATCATTGGCTGCATCATGCATAAACATTGAACTAAGCAGATGATCGTGGGATGTATCTATCTTCTCTGTCTCGGTCCAGTCTGGAAAACAATGACTCCATGCGCCTTTATCACCACTTTGACGGACACCAGTAGGAGTGTAGTAGATTCCAGCCTGTAGTAATCAACGGGCATGCATGCTGTGTTGCACTTGACGCGGGTGTCTGAAATGTGATCTCATGACCGAAGCAAGGGTCATTGCTTCGAGACAAGATGTCTAAGCAGCATGGCATGTATGCTCCGGTTGTGTCCTGAGCAGTAGATGTTTTTAATTTTGTAGACATTCCAGAAACGACCATGCACTACAAAGGGGTAAGTATCATCGTAGCACAATCACATTGAGACCTTGACAAGTTGACGATGCATTTCCCAGTTTCCAAGGGGTGAAAAGGCAGAAGGCGAACGAGCCAATCAGAGCCTGCCAGAACATGCATGGTGCGGGCCGTTGCGGCGCCTAATGCGCCTTTCCGCTTTGGGAGCGCTATATCGTTCTTTATTGGCTTAACTCATCAAGCTAGTACGTACTAATACTAGCGGATCCATGCCAACTCAGAGTCCCCATGAGCTTCCTTCCTTCCCTCCTTCTGGTCGTTCTTTCCATCGGGCAACAGTCAACATCGCTACTGCCACTCGATGAATACTTCTGATAGATATTCTTGCCATTGACTCTGGAGACTTTGCAATTGTCTGAAACAAGTATCTATATCTGCCATGACTCGTCTCCTGCGACAATCGCTGGGCAGCTGTCAGATCTCAATTGCAATGTGGAGACCAAGCGGAGCCCTGAACTGGGCATCAGTCAACTCGGCGGGGTGTCTTGCATGAAGTGTCGCTTCACTTTGAACGACCGCTTGATTGGCATGACTTGCTGCAGGTTCATTATCTGACCAGCGTGCCGGTTTTGGGTGGTAATCATCCTGCATGATGAACAGTTTCTCTAATTGGCCCAATCGAATTGAAAAAAAAAAAAACAGGCGTCGGGCAGGAACCTTGGAAGACGCGAGAACATCAACAGTACTCCGTATGATGGAGATACTACGGTACCAACATTGAGTCAAACTGAATTACACGTACAATCGACACCTGGCGGTAATTAATAATACGCTGCACAGGTTCCACCATTGGCACTGATCGAATGATCAGGAGAGGCCAGATGGCGTGCCTTACACCGGGTCCAGAAGCACTTTGTTGTCAAACGACGGAGCACCAGTATGTCATCGACTTCGGAACAGACAGACATCAAATTAGGGTACTGCTGTGGATCTATGCCAGTCTCAAACAGGCAGCATAGCACTATTCCTAATGCGATGCCACGATGCATCCCACCCTCATCCAGCTTGGGTGACAACCCGCTGTTGCCGGGGAGGAAAATCGCTACCCAGTTTCTGCCGGATGAGTGTTTTGTGATTATGTGTACATTCTTTCAGTCTTTTTATAACAGACAAATCAATTCAAGACGTGGCCCCAGTGGCGTTATCAATTGAAAAAGCGCCCTTTTATCCGTTTGACTCACATCTATTGGGGGTTTCGAAGATTTATTCTCTGGTTCGTCGCATTACAATTTTTAACCATTATCACTCGATATTCCATTTCGTGATTTTTTGACAAGGGTCTTCTCAGGAACAGCCATTCCGAATCCGTCTAGGAGCCTTCGACAAGACAAGACTTTCGCTTTGTGTGATACATCGACCTGAATTTTAGTTTGTCATTTGCATTTGCTACCACAAGCTATTGATTCGGGTGATTATCCTGCAGTTGCCGTCATACTCTGTCCACGCCTAATCGCCAACTTTCTACCCCTTTATTTGTGGCCTGTCTACGAGCATGGGCAAGAAAAAAAATAAGAAGAAGACTGCCTTCACACCATTTCCTGTTGACCCCCAAGCCTTTGTAGATGGCAACAATGAAGTACGCACAAGTTCCCATATTTTCATATCAAAAGTTTGATAGTAATCACCACTATCAAACATTTGATCGTCAAACCCTCAGCTTCACGTATCATCCCATTGTCCCCAAACCCTCGGTGTCGCTGCCGTTGGAAGACGAGAAGAAAGAGGAGAAAGAGATAGCTGCTGACACTGAACCGGAAAAGGGGGGCGTTGAACAGACTACCGAGGAGAATTCTCCCAAGCCTCCAGAAGAATCACCTTCGCCCGATGACGATAGTAAGTTTATATCAAAGTCATACATTCCTCACATGCTTATGTTATATACAGCCCCGACTCCAAACCCACCGGCGGAAACCAAAGATGAAGAACCGGCCCCTCAGAATGAGGAGAAGACCGAAGATCAAGAGAGTGGAGGAGACGCCATTGCTAATGGCGATTCGACTGAAGCCACCGATGCACCAGCAGAACCTGTAGAGAAAGAAGGAAGCGAGAATGATACACCACCGGAGGCGCCAGCAGACGAGGATGCTCCAAAAGAAGACACCCCACCAGCTGAAGATGCTCCGCCCAAAGAGGATCCACCAGCAGAGGATGCTCCCTCAACAGAAGATGCCCCACCAACGGAAGACTCTCTATCAGCAGAGGATGTTCCAGCGACAGAGAACGCCTCGCCGGTAGAAGATGCTGCGCCCACGGAAGCGGAACCTGCAGAGTCCGCTTCAGAAGAAACACCCACTCCAGAACAAACTTCCGAAGAGACGCAGAAAGAAGCGGCTGTCCCGGTAGAAGAGCAACCTGCAGAAGGAAATCCGCCGGAGGACGCAAAAAGGGAGGAGCCAGCACCTACTGATGACGCAGCAGAGAATCCATCAGCAGAAGAAGCATCGACGGAAACCCCTCCAGCGGCCTCTCCAGTGGAGGAGGCAGGCCCAGAAGCGGAGGCTACAAAGGCCGAAGAAGATCAACCCGCCGAGCCTGTCAAGCCTGAAGAGACTCCAGCAGCAGAGCCGACAACGGAGGCGCCGAAGGATGGAACTACAACCGATGAGCCACCTGCTGAAGAAGAGACACCTAAGGCAGAGGAACGGGCGGAGACTGAACAGCCAGTTGAAGCAACAGAACCCGAACCTGTTAATGAGGAATCAGAAACTGCGGAGCCAGCCAAAAGCGAGCCGACTGGTGACAACTCCAAGAAGAACAAACGGAAAGAGAAGAAGGACAAGAAGAACAAAAAGAAAAACGGTGGTTCCTCTCCTCCAGTCGAGTCTCAGCCAGAGCCAGAACCAGCACCAGAAGCTGCTGTAACACCTAAAGAACCGCCCGTCGAAGAAGCTCCTGCAGTTGATCTTCTGGTAGAAGAAACGGCCGTCGAAGAGCCACCAAAATCAGCAGAGGAGTGGGAGAGCTTTGGTGGTTCGAAAAAATCGAAAAGAAAAAACGCTAAAAAAGGCAAGAGAAAGGATCAGGTTCAGGCCACCCCAGTCGAGGAGCCGCCTGAAGAAGCGCCGCCAGAACCAGCACCCGCACAAGAACCTGCTGCAGAGTCGCCCGCGGTAGAAGATACAGGACAAACAGTACCGGAAGATCCACCGGTCTCGGAGGAACCAGATACTGAGGAAAAGCCCTCCACGGAAGAGAAGGTCGAATCATCTGAACAGGAAGCATCCTCACCTAATGAGGTGCCCAAAGACGTTCCTTCAGAAGACCCGGTAGAAGCTGCTCCGACTTCTGAGGCGGTAGTCGAAACCGCGGTTGAAGAAGCCGCTCCTAGCCAGGAAGAAGCTGCAGACAGTCCTACACCTGAAGCTCCTGCCGAGACATCCGAAGAGACTCCGGCTGAAGAGGCGACCGAGGAAGTCAAAGAAGAAATTGCAAACTCTACACCGGAAAATCTCGCAGAGGCACCTACAGAGGAGACTGTCGAGGAAGCCAAGGACGATGTATTTTCAGATGCTTCTGCAGATGCCCCTCTAGATGATACTCCAGCTACTCCAGCCAAGGAGGACTTAGAGGAAAGAGATCCTGTCGACGACATACTCGACGACTGGGAACTGGACGACGAATACGACGAAGATTCTTCCCCAACTCATGACGAAAAAGCAAATGACAATGGTAAGGAAAACCCCGATTCATGAAACCCTGATTTGGAATCTTACGCGTTGTGTTAGATGATGACAAGTTCTCTGAAATTGACTTTTCTGCAGAACAAGATAGTATTGAAGCAGAGAAAGAAGCCGAAGCAAGGCAAGCCGAGGAAGACGCCGAAGTAGATGCGTTTGAGCCGGCCTTACATGAGGAGGATCATATAGATGTGCATGACGACGGCCCGACAGTTGCTGAAGTGGAAGAGTCTGCTGCCGCGGAACCCGAGGCGCCAGAAGCCGCGGCGGAGGTTGAGGAGGTAGTCGAAGCTGAAGAGTCGGTTCCCGCAACGGAAGAGGCTGAACCAGAGGTAGCAGTAGAGCCCGCTGCCGATGCTCTAGATCCTGAAGGGGAATCTACACCCGCTGAAGAAATCGCGGTTGCTGAAGAAACTGTGACAGACAACCAATCCGCCGATGATTCACTCGCCGAAGAAAACCCAGCGGAAGCAGAAGCTGTATCTGAAGAACCTGTTGAAGCTCCTACCGAAGCAGAAGCTGCAGAAGAGCCGGCTATAGAAGATCCTGTTCCTGAGGAAGCACCAGCCCAAGAGGCATCAAAGGAAGAGGTCGTCGAGGAACCCACACCAGAGCCTGCTGCAGAAGAGGCCATTGTTGTGGATGAACCTAAAGAAGAGCCTGTCGAGGAACCAGCTCCCGCAGAAGAAGCTGTGGACGCTTTGGCAGAGGAGCCAGCTGAAGAGCCAGCCACAGATTCTGCACCTGAGGAACCAGCAGCGGAAGAGCCTGCTCTCGAGGAAACACCAGCTTCCGAACCAGTGGCCGAAGAACCGGCTGCTGAAGAGTCTCCGGCCGCTGAGCCAGTAAAAGAAAATCCTACTGCTCCGGATGCGCCAAAGGAAGAGCCTGCGGTAGAAGTAGTTACAGAAGAACCGCAGGCTGCTGAACCACAACCGGAGCAGGCCCCAGCCGAAGAAGCTCCTGCTGAAGAACAAGCACCAGCATCAGAGGAAGTGGCTGAGCAATCTGCCGAAGCCGAAGCTGCTGAAGCTCCACCTGTCAAAGATGTTCCTGCAGAAAGTCCCCTCGAACCTGCTAGCGATGAGCCGGTAGCAAGGGAAATCCCTGTGGAAGAGCCTACAGAGCCTGCAGAGCCCACACCTGAAGCAGAGATTATTGACCGGGTACCTCAAGAGGTTGAAACTGTTGAGCGAGTGCCTCAAGAAGTTGTCGAAGCAAGTCCTGGTGAATCAGCTGTTGTTGATGATGACCAACCCGTCGTTGAACGTGGACCTTCTTCTCGCAGAAGACGACGTCACACTTCTGGCTGGAGTCGCGACAGACCTTCAAGAACCTCCATGGAAGCGAGCAGAGGCCAATCGGACCGCCCCAGGGAAGCCAACAAACTTCAACTGGAACGTCCGAAGGGCGACAGTGGTTTACTGAAGAATCGATGGGCAATGGCCCTCGAGGAAGCCCGGCGACAACAAGAAGTTAAGCAACGCAAGGAGGCAAAACTCAAGCTTGAACGAGCACAGGAGAAGCAAAGACAAGAAGAAGTAGCTCGACGCGCCAAACTAGAAGCCGAGAAGGAAAACCTGCGGGAAGCCGAACGCCGCAAGAGCAAGGATATTAGCAGAAGCAGTGGTCGAACAAGACGGCAGTCATCCGACCACTCTTCCAGAGACAGCCGACACAAGAGGCGAGAAGCTTCACCGAAGCCGGAGTCCGAACCTATTGCGCGCAAGGTGATTGAATCCTTGACTACGGGTGAATCAGACACTAATGGTCCGCTACTCAAGATCAATGCCACCAAGGCTGTTGCCGCTGTGCCCCCACTTGAGCCAAAGCAGATGCGTAGATCATCCACGCATCATTCGGGCCATAGTCGTCGCTCTCAAGAGGAGAAGAGATCTAGCGGTTCCAGAGAGGAGGCGAGACGAGACCGACCGCATCGCTCTGAACGTCGAAAGGAGGAGCCTGCAGAAGAAAGACGACGACATCACGACGAGCGTCGAAGAGATGACCGTGCTACTGAACATGAGCGCAGTACTCGTCGACCGAAGCCAGAACAGAACTCAAAGTCAGGATCCGGTTCTGGGTCGGGATCTCGACTAAGTGGTTTGTTCAAATCGATTAGGGTATTTTAGACTGGATTTCTTTCTCATTTTTTTTTTTTTKTTAACGTTGTTTTCTCGGACCGAGACTGTATATTTCTGGTTGCTTGCTTTGTGTTTTGAAGTTTGACAAACGTGCATTGTGTTGCGGAATTCGGGAGCGTTTACTCTTCTACTGTGTACTTATTTATAAATATTGCTCCGATGAGCATTGGCTTTGGTTGACTGTAACGGCTGGGACTTGACGAATTCATGATGATTACGATATATGTATAGGCCATCTACAAAGAGCTCGAATGATCTCTATGAAGTAAATAACAACTTGTCACAATATTTTTGGGGGAAGGTAGTTCCATTCTTCGGCCCACTTTCATGTTTGAATTTTGAGGGATGCCAATCCAGCTCTTCGGCCAAGAGAAGACTGTGTCTAATTGGTAATATGTGAAGGAAATTCCTTTCGGATTACCGAGAGCTGCAAAGGGGCGTATGGGCTTTTTGCCCAAGAAAATGACTATGGTGCGTCTGGTAGAAATATTTATGTATTCGGATGATGCATACCTAGGTATTGACGGTTTTGTATTCCATGGCTCGATTGCTGTAGTTTCAATGTTTAATATGCTGAAAAGCTATGCTTTTATCTACAATTTATCCATAATGGTAAGCAGAGTCCTCCTCCGTACAAAACCGTGGGCTTAATGATCAATACCCCTCTCCCTCCATCTTGGCCCATACTTCTTCATAAGCAGCAAAACAGTCACACCAGAGATGAAGCTGACGAGAGCTAAGATTGTGAACAACCACCCGTTCCCAATACCAGAGATGATCGGAGACGTAACTACCGTTCCAACGCAGGAGAAGATGTTCCGAACGAAGTTGTTGAGAGCCACGCCAGCAGATGATTTGCGGGACAAGATCTCGGTGAGCATTGTGGTCACAAGACCGAAGATTAGCATGCAACCTATTCCGAAGCCGAAGTTCGCAATCATCTATCGAGATAGTTAGTTTCTCATAGTACAATAAAGCGTTTCCAGAGCAGGGGTGGAGGTTCATACCGGCACGATCCAATGCACATGGTATTCCACGGTCCATCCATACATAAGCAGCGCAGCAGGGTAGATGCAAGCACCCAACCAAGCATTCTCCTTCATACGGTCTTCGGGAATATAAATCGGGCGTCCCTTTTCGTCGAATCGACCTGCTTTGACAGCCTCGCGATGCATGATTTTATCCATCCATCTGCCGCCAAAGAGACTTGCAAGGAGGTATCCGAGCGAGTTGGGAAGGTAAAGTAAACCCAGTATCACTGTTGAAAAGTTGTACGGCGCAGCTCCGAATGTCTCCTGAATGCTAATGTTGAGCACATACAAAGAACCAAAAGTGATGGCCGCGTAGTAGATAGTCAAGGCGATTGGGATGAATCTCAGATACAAAATAATCGACAGTGGGTCAACGAGTGTCATTTTCAAAGTTTTGAGGAGCTTGGCGCTGTTTTGAGCAACTTTTGAGGATACGCGGCTGGTACTTCTCTCTAGGGTTTCTTCCGTTGCTGGGTCCGATTGTAAGATAGGACTCTTCCGTACGGCCAGTGTTTCCGGTAGGCCAAACAGAATCAGGACCCAAACGACACCGCCAAATATCACCATGAACCACATGGTGCTCCGCCAACCCCATTTCTCAGCTAATGCACCGCCGATAATAGGCGCGAATAGAGGACCGCAAAGGGGTCCAATGTAGAAATAGCCCATTGCCTGGCCTCGCTCTCTGATTTCCCAGATATCTGCTATAGTGCCAGCGCCAACGGCTTGAACGGATGCCTAGAAATGGTCAATAATCAATGTTTCAAAAGTTTCCAATGAGAAGACTCACCGATGCTCCGCCTGCCAACATGCGCATTACAATTAGCACACTAATGCTATGAGAGATAGCGCTAAGCACATTAAACAGCACAAAAAGCGCAAAGGAGACAATATAAATTGACCGTCGTCCAAAGGCTTCACTGAACGACGACCACCACAGCGGGAAAATCGACATGGCCAGCATGTACAAGGCAATGGACAAATTAACAATGGTTGACGTCGAATTGAGATCAGCCGCAACTTGATGTAGCGAAGGCAGGAAAATGGCTGATCCCAGCGGCGCAGCGACACCACCCACGGCAGCGATGGCAGTGATGTACCATTTCGTTCGGCGCGGGTATGTCTTTCCATTCTCTATCTCGGGGATGAGTGCCAACTGAGCAAAAAGTCCTCGACGTTTGAGTCGGGGGACTGTTACGGGAGGGCCGATTTCTGTTGTGATGCGTCGAACAACTTCTGAAGTCCCTTCTAGTTCTTTGTTGTCTTTGTTATCGTTGCTGTTGTTGGCGGCTTCAGATATCGTTGATGCATCGGAATGTTCGTCTTCCTCGACAATAGCCTCATGTTCGGTTTCAGGATGTTGATCCTCTTCATGCACTTCTTTTTCACTCGAATTTCGTCCATTATCGGTAATTTCACTCGGCTCTATGTTTTTACCCCCCGGTTCTTGGTCTTTGCTGGGCGGATGCATGCTTGCTAGACTCGGCTATAGATCTGTATAGCAGGCGGATAAGTATCCGTCGGACGTTGTCATCCCACCAATTCCCTGTCTCGAGACCAATTCACCTCTTGTGTCGTTGCTGAAATTTCTGAGTCACTGAAAGACTTCAATTACAAATGATTTCATACACTTGACTTTGATCTCTGAAGTGTTTGTAAGTGTAGAGTAGAAACGGTTGGCAGTGATGAATGACCAAATTAGGGCTTGCGTCCCACGTCGCAAATCTTCCTTGACCGTCCAAAGGTTGTCTTCGTTAAAGCAACCGAAACGAAGAAAATAAAGAGATGAAGGAACAAGAGCAAATGAAAGAAAGAAAATGAAATGTCAGACTATCTCCATCTAGAGTATACTAGCTCCAACCCCAATTAGGCATGTAGTTTTGTAGCAGTCATATCGTAGCGATCCACTTTTGACTTTTCACGAGCCATTCCTGATCAAGTGGTCTTTAGGCGGAGATTGTACTCCGCGCCGGCCATACATAGGGCACAGAGGACCCTCAGAGACAGAAGATGGATCTTGTCTCTCCATCGTATTAATCGGGACTTTTTTGAATGATGGAGGCGAGGTGTGCCGAGATCCCGAGCGGCCGCTTGGTGCCTTGGTGCCTTATTTTTATACCACGTAGTATATCAGTCCATCCATAAAATGTCGGTGTAGTTCTATATACAGATTACTGATATGTTATAGTGACTTTTTCAATATTGCAAAAAATGCGAGTGAATACTATATCAACTCATCATGGCTTAAACATAGAAATTGTGGCTATCGTCGTCTTCATGTGGGACTGTGCAAATGCCGATGATTGGCGGCATATCAATCCCAGCCTGTTCATATAACTACATCTCATCAACGACCTCTCACCACTCGGGAGCGAAGGACAATCCAATTCGGAGAACTGACAAACCAAATCATTATGCCTGAACAATCCCTACCACCAAGCTCTCTGCGCGACCACATGGACAAATACGCCGGCGAAACATACGTCGAAGGCTGGGCCGAGCTATGGAACAATAAGCAAGAGAAGGAGCCACTACCATGGGACCGGGGCTGTCACAGTACCGCTCTAGAGGATCTTCTGATGAAATGGAAGCAATCTGGGGAAGGTGTCTTTGCTCAAAAGCCTCAAGGAGGACGACGTAGACGAGCGCTTGTTCCAGGATGTGGCACGGGGTATGACGTGCTGCTTCTGGCTAGTTTTGGCTTTGATGTATATGGACTTGATTATAGTCGTACTGCTGTTGAGTATGCAAAGGCATATGCGGCCGAGAATGCTGAAAAGTATCCCGTCAAAGATGCTGAGCTTGGGAGGGGAAACTATGTCTATGTGGAGGGGGACTATTTTAAGGATGACTGGCTGGAGGGCCTCGGGCTTCCGAATAACTCTTTCGATTTGATATACGACTATACCGTACGTTTCTTATCTTTGATATGACCGAACATCTTAAAGTTAGATTGACTGACTATCTATGCTAGTTTTTCTGTGCCCTGCAACCATGGCTACGACCGCGATGGGCAATGAGACATCGTCAATTACTTGCGCCGGCACCAACTGGGACTTTGATCTGTCTTGAATGGCCTCGTCTCAAGGATCCGAAATTGCTAGGCCCGCCCTTTGCGTCACCGTCATCCGCATATTTTGAGCATTTGACTCATCCGGGTGAAGAAATTGCTTACGACTCGGATGGCAATGTAATAGTTGACCCTGCCCGAAAGCCATGTCCTATAGGACTTGTGCGAGCGGAACACTTCCAGCCCGAGCGAACATATACCACTGGCAAAGACGAGAAAACGGGCGAAGTTCATGATCGCATCGCGGTATGGCGTCGACAGGACTTCTCTGATGACTGAAGTGATGGTAGCTGTAAATTGATGAAAACGAAGGCAATATATGATCAAGCCGCCACAGTCTTCTGTGCTAATGCGTTGTAATGTTCACCCAAACCGTATGTATGTCTATAATAAGCCAACCAGATTCGCTTAACTTGATCATCGTCAGTTTCTGACCCAGACTCAATCTTCTCAACTCGTCCGTCGCCTTGCAAAACATTTATCTCAACATTATAAGCGCGAGCAATCGCTTGTAGCTCCAGCTGCCCGCCCCATTCAGCAGTTAACCGTATCTTTTTGACGTATTCGTCTAGCGGATCCTCCATAAACGGGACAAAGTCGTCCTTGTGTTCCGTTATATAGTCTGCCGTAACCGCTCGCACCGCGCGATAACCATCATGCTTTGGTGAGCTCACTGTGTCGACGCGTGAAAGTGTAGAGGGCTGTAAAACGATTCGCGCAGGATCTGGTTTCAGTCCCAGTCCTAGATTGTCCAGTTGATGTGCAATGGCGGAGTAGAGGCAATGCCCATCCGGGTTTATTTCCACTTCCTGCAGACCTAATCGTTTGAAAGCCGCCTCCATCACCTCTTTTTCGTTCCCGCGATGATCGGTTTGTTTTGCAGCTTCTTCGGCAGCGATTTCTGCCTGGGCGACCCTTTCTGCCTCTCGACGAGCTAGTCGTGCTTTTTGCCGATTCGGCTTCTTTGATCGCGTGGTTTCGTTATCTCCTTGTGGTGGAGCGGGGGTAGGCGTGGGTAGTTCGTTTACATCGCTAGCCTCCGTGGTGGTATTGGCAGGCGTCGGCTCCTGATCATCGTCCAGAGTAAGATTATCTAAGTTTTGGGTCGTAGGAGCAACTGCGTCTCCGTTTAGTTGTGCGATTTCAAGTTCTTGTTGTGCCTTCAACTCTTGTTGCAGCCGATCACATTCATCGTTGACGCCCTTGCGTGTTTTTTTCGTTGCACTCTTTTTCTTCTGAGTTATTCGAGCCTGGAGATCGCGTTGCTCTTTGCGATGTTTTGCTTGTAGATCCTCCATGCTAATCTATTAGCCACAACGACTCGGAGTTGGTTTGTTTGAATGACTCTTTGAACTTAAAAGGGTAAACAGCTTGGAAAAGTCTGGCTGATGGAGCGGCGGGGRTGTCCCCACCAAGCCCTATAATTTGAGCCCTAAGTGTACACCAAAACAGGACTAGCGTTCTCATGCCTTTAGCCTCGGCGCTTTGCCGGCCTACGGTTATTCTGATAGTAAACTAGCTCATCGATTGTGAAGCTGCTGAAGCTGCCCCGGCTGCTACGATGGGACCTATCTCCTCTAGTCGCGAAATGACCTGAAAATATACCATTGTTCTGTCTAGTATACCATTATATAATCAGCCATGGACATCCAAAACCTCTTCAATGTCAAGGTGAGCAAGGTCTGGCCCCTGCATGGTGCCAACAATCTAATCGTCCCGTTGTAGGACAAAGTCGTCCTGGTGACAGGCGGCGCCAAAGGCATCGGTCGAATGATCTCAGAAGGATACGTGACGAACGGTGCTACGGTCTACATTTCCTCGCGCGACGCCAAGGCATGCGAACAAGCAGTCGGCGAGCTCAATGCCCTGGGAAAAGGCAAAGCTCATGCCATCCCCGCCGACTTCTACAAGGAGGAGGACATCAAGAAATTGGTCGAAGAGTTCGGAAAACGTGAAAATAGTAAACTTTCCTTTTTTGGTCAAGATACGGAGTATGGATTACGGAGACAACTAACATATACTTGCTTTTCCCAACAGAACTCCATGTCTTGGTCAACAATTCGGGGTCCACGTGGGGAGCGCCGTACGATGAGTATCCTTCAGCGGCCTGGACTCGCGTCTTGACTCTCAATCTTCACCGGGTTTTCGATCTGACCAAGCTCCTTACACCGTTCCTCGAAAAGGGCGCCAGCGAAGGCGATCCGTCACGAATAATTAATATCGGCTCGGTCGACGGACTTCGGGTACCCCCAATGGAAACATTTGCATACTCCGCGTCGAAGGCTGGCTTGCACCATTTGAGCCGTGCGCTAGCCAATAATTTGGGGAAAAGGAACATCACGTGAGTGGAACTGGTCATGTGCCCATCGCCTCAAATCACCCCCGTCAGACTCTGACTAAACCCTTGCTTTGTTTCTTCCAGGTCCAATACACTGGCATGTGGCCCCTTTCGCAGCAAGATGATGGCTGCCACCCTGCGTGAGAGGGAAGCCGCTCTGGTCAGGGACATTCCCTTGAGTCGAATTGGCAAATCGGAGGATATAGCAGGCGCATGTCTTTTCTTGAGTAGCCAGGCGGGCTCATATGTGAGCGGTGCTACAATTACGCTGGACGGTGGGATGGTGGTCAGCCCAAAATTGTAATGTGCCTACAGAGTACTCCCTAGAGCTTTACTATATTATACACCGTTATTGACCGCAGTGAGCTAGCAGCGGCTGCAGCGCCAAGTGCCGAGTGTATGCCTGGGGCGAAGATATAATACACCAGAAGAAACTAATTATGCCTCTGATATGGTACAATTTAGTAAAAGAATACGTAGATAGTAGATACGTACTAGTAATAGTCAACTACATAGCAGTAGTACGTGCTAGATAAAGGGTCCGCAAGTGGGTCTGTGTCATCATCCCAATCCCGCAGTGACGAAACCGCCGAAAATTCGTCCCTTTGGAGAATTTGGGAAACTTGGGACATTGTATCGCGTGGGGGGCATCAGTCTTTTTCTTTCTTCCTCCTTGTCCTTTGATCTTAATAACAATCTGCTCTTACTTTTCACAAATAAACTTCATCCTCCATCATCCAAAAGCTTTATCAGACAATCCTCGGTCATCGATATAACCCCTGTCTTACCGCCATTTCCGCTGATAACCTTCCGCCCTCAATCTATCACGATCTACACAGCACACTTTGAATTGACTCGCAACACAGCTCTATCATGACCTCGCAAGAACGCTTGCAACGCGCCATATCCATAGCGTCTGACCCTTTCTCCGAGCCTGAAGTCTACTACGGTGAGCCAAGCACTCTAGACGGCCCCGACGGACACCACCATCGGCGCACGTTCTCGGCGGTAAGTACTAATTTCTGATAAGAGTGGCTTTGTCTGATGAGAACTGGGAAGCAGGATTTGAGGTCGGTCAATCGGGATGACATCAAGGAGTTTCTCGGAAAGTTGCCGGCGCGTCGAGGGAGTCACGGTACGTACAGTTCTGAGTGATGTCCGGGAACAATATACTCATATGTAGTTTTATCCAGATGAATCGACTTTGACGTCTCGCAAATTCCTAATCGACGTCGACAAGACGATCGCTTCCCTGCTCGAACGGGAGGACACTGATCAGAACATGGAAATCACAATCGAGGATGTCGGCCCTAAGGTCAGTACATCCCAGGCCCTTGGATGATTGGTTATTGACTTGAGCAGGTCCTACCCGTCGGAACAGCTGCTTCTCACGGATACAACAAATTCGACGTCCGAGGTACTTACATGTTGTCCAATCTCCTCCAAGAGCTCACAATAGCAAGAGAATACGGTCGCAAGAGAATTGTGCTCGATGAACAACGACTGAGTGAGAACCCGGTCAGCCGTTTGTCTCGCTTTATCAAGAAGACATTCTGGAATGCTTTGACTCGAAGAATTGACGGGTCAAACATCGCCGTTGCCGGGTTGGACCCCAAAGACTGGACTGGCGACCCGCGGCCTCGTATTTATGTACCACCAGGCGCTCCTGAACAGTTGGAGTACTATACAAGAATCGCCGAGGAGAATCCAGAGATGGGGTTGGATGTTCAGAAATTGGAAGGTCCCATAACCCCGGAATACGTAAAGAGCTTGAATGCCAAGCCAGGTCTTTTAGCTCTAGAGATGGAAAAATTCATCGATCCCAAGACAGGCAAGGAGGATCTACGTGGTGTTCCTTTCGTTGTCCCAGGTGGTCGTTTCAACGAGCTGTACGGCTGGGACAGCTACATGGAGTCGCTGGGTCTGCTGGTCAGCGATCGAGTAGACCTGGCCAAGGGTATGGTGATCAATTTCTGTTTTTCTATCAAACACTACGGCAAGATTCTCAACGCCAATCGCTCATACTACCTCACACGATCTCAGCCGCCTTTCCTCACCGACATGGCATTGAGAGTGTACGACAAAATCAAACAAGAACCTGATGCGCTGGAGTTTCTTCGAATGGCGACACTCGCGGCCATCAAGGAATACTACAGCGTTTGGACTGCGGAGCCACGATACGATCCTGCCACAGGTCTTTCACGATACCGCCCCGAAGGTCTCGGGGTTCCTCCAGAAACCGAAGCTAGCCACTTCCTTCACCTTCTGACACCATATGCTGAAAAGCATGGTATGTCGTTTACAGACTTTGTCGCGGCTTACAATGACGGTGTCATTACCGAACCTGAACTTGACGAATATTTCTTACACGATCGCGCCGTTCGTGAATCTGGCCATGACACATCGTACCGCCTGGAAAGAATCTGCGCCAATCTAGCCACCGTTGACCTCAACTCGCTCTTGTACAAATACGAAGTAGACATTTCACGAATCGTTCGTACCTACTTCAAAGACAAGTTGGCGATACCTTCAGAGTTTCGCACGCCGCAAACCGCGAATGTCGAGTTTGAAACGTCGTCTGTGTGGGATCGTCGGGCCAGGAAGAGAAAATTGACCATGGACAAGTTGATGTGGAATGAGGAGAAGGGAATGTTCTTTGACTACGATACAGTCAAGAAGCATTGCATACAGTATGAAAGTGCTACGACATTCTGGACCATGTGGGCTGGCTTGGCAACACCAGAACAAGCCTCCAAACTCGTCCGGCAAGCTCTTCCTCGTCTAGAGGAAGCTGGAGGACTGGCTTCTGGAACCGAGGAGTCGCGTGGAGAGATCAGTCTCACTCGACCTAACCGTCAATGGGACTACCCCTTTGGATGGGCTCCGCAGCAAATGCTGGCATGGACTGGTCTTTTGCGATATGGATATCAAGACGATGCAGAGCGCTTGGCTTATAAGTGGTTGTATATGATTACGAAGGCGTTTGTTGACTTTAACGGTATCGTTGTGGAAAAGTACGATGTCACGCGTCCGATTGACCCCCACCGAGTTGAAGCTGAATACGGCAACCAAGGGTCAAGTAAGACTGGGTAAGTCTCTCTCTCTCTCTCTCTTCATTCTTTGTATTTCCTATCCTGACCTGTGTTTAGATTCGGTTGGGTCAATGCCAGCTATGTATACGGCCTGGATATTTTGAATGCGCATCAGAGACGAGCGTTGGGAGCAGTGACCCCATATGAGACTTTCAGCAAGGCTGTTGATCAGCAATTTCCTTACTAATGTCGCACTTGACGCATTGCGCCGAAAAGAAAATGAATTATAGAGATGAGACATGAGATTCAGAGGTGCATGGTGTTGTTAGATTCGATTCTGCATGTATATTTGGTGATACGATGGAGAGGATGGTTTTACTTCTCGTTGTCTATTTATCGACGCCGGCAGCAAAAGCGTGATTCCCAGATAATATTAATCAAAATACATTCATTGGTTGTATGTTCGGCGCTCGAGTCTAGATTCTGTATGACCTCGGATGATGCACCAGCCTCCGAGCGGATTGATTCCGGTATCATCTATCTAATCGGCTCCGATTGATCAACATTGAACAGTCCGGCACATACCACCAACCAACATGAGTAGCTGCTAGTCACTTGCCATCAATTTCTGGAGTCAAACTCTCAAATGACTCATTCCGACATTTATTCGTTATTCAGCGCAGTGCAGCATATGTTTGTGAGTCGATTCTGAGTGCCGAGGTCTAAGGGATAATTCACTCGTACGGTATTGCGACGGACATTACGTGTATTGTAAAGCGGGTTACTAGGGCGGAAATGCGAAAACCGGGGTTGACTCAGTGTACGCGCTTTCAATGCGATGGACGGCGCAGCATTTATAGGAACTGCTAGGAGGCCTTGAGTAGCCAGTCCAATGATAGGTATAAGTAGTAGAAGTTCTAGATACTTAGTAAGATATATAATAGCACTGTGTAAGAGTAAAGAAAAGCGATCTTCTACTACATAGTATTCACATGCAAATGGGACCGGTATTGTACGGTAGAACGTTACAATACCCAATTATGATGCAATGACATGGACATGGAATTGGAAATTGATCTTGCGATCTTCTTCTATCTTTGATCAAGGTTCACAATCCAATTGTCGCTGATGAGATTTGAATGTCCGATTGAATCGACAATTTGAGATCTGTCTCCTTCTTTCCGAATATACATGTCCATTTGTAGAAGTGCAGACAACATCCTCACGCAAAGGACGAATGGAAGTAAGAACGAACCAGATTTTACGATACCAAGAAACTCGGGCTATGATTGGCCAAAAGCGACCGGGAATCTAGAGCTTCATAGTCGCCTCCTCCGAATTGCGGAGGATGGAGGCAGTTTCAAGCTTGTGATCAGAACTATTTCTGGTATAGACCAATCACACCATGTACTTTGAACAAAATAGACACAATGAAGAATATATCTAGTGGTAATAGGTAATAGGCTTATGTATGTATCGTTGATCTGCTAATACTTGTTCCGAGCCTTACCGACAGAGCCCGGTAACCCTATCAAAGCTCGGGTATGTGACGGCGTCATGAATACACTCAGTAAAATGTTTGGTTGAACGTGCCTTGGCTCGTGATTTCGGCTTGATGGAGACTTTTCGTCGGTTATGCCTTGAATCTGATTCTTTACTTTAATAGCTTCAGATCCGCTTTTTGTTTTTGGTTTGGTGCTTTTGTAAATATACATACTTTACCTAAGTTCATACAACCTGACGGGTGAAGCGTTAGGGCTGGATACCATTTAACCTATAATACTATTGTCGCTTATACATCTTGCGTACAAATTCACAATGGCCACAAACTTCGAGCTCGAAGACCAGAAATATCTGGAAGACGTCAACGCCGTCAAGCAATGGTGGACTGACTCACGATGGCGATACACCAAACGCCCCTTCACAGCTGAGCAGATTGTCGCGAAGCGCGGCACACTCAAGATCGAGTATCCGTCCAATACACAGGCTAAGAAGCTCTGGGGTCTTCTTGAGGAGAGATTCAAAGTTAGTAGCTCATGCACAGCTTCATGTTGAATATTTGGTTGACATGTCATAGGCCAAAACTGTTAGCTACACATACGGTTGCTTGGAACCGACTATGCTTACGCAGATGATCAAATACCTCGATACCATCTATGTCTCTGGATGGCAAAGCTCTTCAACCGCCTCATCGACAGATGAGCCTTCTCCTGATCTCGCAGATTACCCCATGGTATGCTCCTTGCCACTTCTATTGTCTAATTTCTCGCTGATGTTCACGAATTAGAACACCGTCCCCAACAAAGTCAACCAGTTATTCATGGCCCAACTCTTCCACGACCGAAAACAGCGCGAAGAGCGCATCACCACCCCCCGCGAAAAGCGCGGCTCCGTCCAAGACTACGATTACCTCCGACCCATCATCGCCGATGCTGATACGGGACATGGTGGTCTCACTGCTGTCATGAAGCTTACCAAACTCTTTGTGGAGCGTGGAGCGGCTGGKATTCATATTGAGGATCAGGCGCCGGGTACGAAGAAGTGCGGTCACATGGCTGGAAAGGTCTTGGTGCCGATTAGTGAACATATCAACCGTCTGGTTGCTATTCGTGCCCAGGCTGATATCATGGGTATTTCCTACCGTCCAGTCTGTCGTCAGCTTGGGTAATTGAATCTAATTCTGGATTGTTTAGGAACCGACCTCCTTGCCATTGCACGAACAGACTCTGAAGCCGCCACCCTCATTACTTCGACCATTGACTACCGCGACCATGACTACTTGCTCGGATCCACCAACCCCAGCCTCCAACCTCTCAACGACCTGATGGTCGCCGCCGAGCAATCCGGCAAATCAGGCGATCAGCTTCAGGCCATCGAAGATTCCTGGATCGCGCAAGCCGGCCTCAAGAAATTCGAAGACGCCGTTATCGAGACCATCAACAAAGGCACCTCTGCCAATAAGAAAGAACTCGTCGCCAAATACCTGAGCTCTGCCAAGGGCAAGAGCAACACCGAAGCCCGCGCGATTGCCAAGGGAATCACCGGAGTTGACATCTACTGGAATTGGGATGCGCCTCGAACCCGAGAGGGATACTACAGGTACCAAGGCGGTACTCAATGTGCGGTCAACCGTGCCGTCGCTTATGCGCCGTTTGCCGATTTGATTTGGATGGAGAGTAAGCTTCCTGACTATAAGCAAGCCAAGGAGTTTGCCGATGGTGTGCATGCCGTCTGGCCCGAGCAAAAGTAATCATCCCTTCCCCTCCACAATTTCAAATTCGTGAAGTTAACTTGATCACAATAGATTGGCATACAACCTCTCACCATCCTTCAACTGGAAAGCAGCCATGTCCCAAGACGAACAACTTACCTATATTGAGCGCCTCGGCAAGCTCGGCTACTGCTGGCAATTCATCACCCTTGCCGGTCTGCACAGTACAGCCCTTATCACTGATCAATTCGCTTCCGCATACGCCAAACAAGGTATGCGCGCATACGGCGAGCTTGTCCAGGAGCCCGAGATGGACCGCAAAGTCGATATTGTCACGCATCAGAAATGGAGTGGTGCGAATCTGATTGATCATAGTCTTGCGATGGTTACGGGTGGTATTAGCAGTACAGCAGCTATGGGTAAGGGTGTCACTGAGGATCAGTTCAAGTCGTAAATAGTTTTTCTCTCTTCCTTTTCTGCTTGAGATGCCGTCTTTTCATGTATGTTAGGGTTGACGTTCATCACGTGCTGTCAGGACTTTTTCGACTTATGGCTGCAAATAAGTCTCATTGCATAGGTCTAGAATGTATAATGATATCAGCTGGATTTAATTGCTTCTCATCTGGCTTGACTGCTCTAGAACAACGTTATATACCTATAAAAAAGTCTCGAAAAGCTGTGACAACTCCTCTCGATCCTGCAACAAGTCTAACCCTGCACCAACTAAACCAGAAGAGTCCATGTGCCCGGCTCCTTGGTCATCCGTAGCTAGCTGTTGATTCTGTGAGAAGAAAGCCTCGAAAAATGCAGTCAAATCATTGCCCATCTCGTACACATCTGATACTGTGGAAAGTGACATAGGATCTTCAAGCGTTGAAGCAGTTTCCGTGGTTGTCGAATTTGTTATTGGCAAGTATTGTGTGGAGGTCGTTTGTGGAAATTCTCCAGAGATTGACTGAGGTGTGAGAACTGGACGGCTGATCCCTGTTATTGGGCCTGGAGCATCCGCAATGTGTTGTACATTAGAAATATACGATGGAATGGTCGCTCGCCGCTGTCGGTATGGAGGAAACGATGGTGATGATGTCCGCGCAACCTGATGGATAGTGTCGTAGATTGAATTGTCGAGCGCTGAAGGAAGAGCTCCATCTTCCGGTGATTTCGTAGGAGATAGACCCAAACGCGGTGCAATATGCCGTAACCCCTTGATACCCTTCCAGAGTCGGCGCGTTATAGAAGATCGGGCAGACAAAGTATACAAAAGTTCCAACGCACTGTAGAATTCTGTGCGGCATGTATGGCTAAATCTCTCCGGCGCATGGCACACTCCCAGAAAGATTGCAGAAAATGCAGATACCAGAAAGTAGTTAAAGGGAACTTGCTGGGTGTCGTATACCGTAGATGTCTCACGTAAATGCACAAGAACATGAATGGTATCCTTGGCGATATCAATCACTAAGCACGCAGCGCTTGGGTTCTGCGCAATACCGCTGGGAGATAAGATATTGTGACGATGAACGTATATACGCATGTGGTTTGCGCGGATATAAAGGAAGGTACGAAGCATCTGCAGAACTTTGGGCTGGTTTTGTGCGGCATCACCTAGTCGTGGATGGATAAGGTGTAGTGATGACGGGATCGTCTCAAGCCATTGCTGTATTTGAAAGTCGAGATAGTTCACAGTGTCTTTGTTGGTTGCGTTGATATCAGTGAAGCCGGCAACGGCTTTCCAGACTTTGGAGCAAATTTGCCCGTAGGATATCATACATCGTAGATATGGTTCGCAATGACGCTATTCACTCTTGGGTTAGTGAAGATATATCCAAGCGGAAAAGCAACCAACCGTGGGTAATGCAGGATCAATATCCTCGTCGTGTAATACAAACGGCATCCCAATACCAAAGCTCCACCGGCGATCCAAGACATAGATGCACCAAAAGATTTTTAGAGCCTGAGCTTGCATGTTGACGTCGAGGAAATTCTTTTCCAGGGTCTCTCGACGATGTAAACCCATTTCAATCGCCGCCCTGGCTGCGTTGCCGATTCTTCTCCAAGCAAGGACGGGCTCGTCGCAATGGAAGTAGTATATGCTCTTTAGCTTTTGTTAGAAACTGTTTTCGAATGACGATCTTTGTAGATGGATACTGACAGTCAAAGTGAGGATTTCCAAATCTGGCAACGATACCTCAGATTGCCTGAGGATAGTGCCGATCTCATCTTCCACAGTATCAACCAAACGCTGCGCAAAAGCTGTCTTGCCTCGCGCTTCAAGAACTGACACGCTTGCTAGAATCATTCTTAGAATACTAAGAGTTTTCTTGTATTGATCGGATATCTCGTCGAGATCCTTCTCGGGTCTACCAAAAAGACTCGCCATCTGTTTTCGTATCTCATCGAGATCTAGAAATGGATATACTGGGTGCAATTCCTCCCTATAAACCTCGAATGCATGTTGGATATCTTGTCTATTCATTGATAAGCTGCATTGTATGCGGGCAGGCTCTGGGCTTTGTACACGGCTTGGGAAAGGACTTGTCAAAGTCATGGCCTGATTATTCAAATCTTCTGATTGTATTCCCATCTGTCGCAGGGTATTTTTGGCCATGCTGAAGTTGTAATCAGAACTTGTCGGGCCTATGAACTGCGGCTCTGTCGGTCTGTCTCTTCGATGAGTGTTTCCCACTACAGATGGTAGAGAATAATGTGCCGTGTTGCCCTCATGACCTTGTGTCGTCTGGGTGTCGCGGATATCTTGAACGTTATTTGCAAGTTGTTTCATGTGTTCCATTAGGGTCGTTAATTGCTCTTCAACCGCGGCCATTCTTTCTTTACTATAGATTACACACACATGTCAGATCAGATATGTTTGTTGGGGCTGTTCAACTCACGTATTCGTTTTTGGAAGTTGACTGCTGTCGCAGTTCTCGGGGTATGTACAGTCCACCGCAGACGATTTGCAATGGTGACAGGGCTTACTGCCGCTACATTTGATCTTTCGCTTCCTGCATTGATTGCTATTTGGCATACATTAGATTGAAAAAACAGTATCACGGTGGTAGAAGCACCTATTGAACATACCAAGCAATTGCAGTATACTTTTCCCGCTTCTGGACCGATGATCCATGTCTGATTTCTTCATCGCGATGTCGTTTGTGACCGGATGGCGGCATATTGTGAAATTGAACTCGCAAGACTGTTCCCGTGCTGCTACAAGCATTTGAAAGTCTCTGGAAGATACGAAATGGGATTAAAGATGATTACTCGGAGATCGTTGGATATTCTTGTCTGTTCCCCGCAGACGGAAAATCTCCGTTGTGCCCCATGGGGCATGCGCCCCCGGTTTCCTTTTTTGGAAGCGTATGTAATTACTAGTTACTTCATAACCATTGGCCTAATCGTAGAAACGAGGCGTAATAATAAGTTATAGCTTAGCAGACCACATAAAAACGTCCGTATGAACTGAAAGACAGCCCATCGCTAAAACTAAGAATGGCCAAGATCATCACCATGGTCTAAATATGATTCTGTTTACCAGTGCTTTCCTGTATTTTTATAGATCCATGATTGGTTTACCGAACTTGTTAAAAGGATTATTGTTATCAAATGCAACACTACCAAGGATGTTCGTTCGTCGCCGTTTCTTGACGAGAGATGATGTTAAGACAATGGCCTACATTATACATACACAGCAAAGTGATGTCAGTACGAGCAAGAAAAATGCGAACATGAGTCTGATGTTTCATGTGTGCATGTTCGTATGTGTAGATATAAGGATGTAGTTCCATGCTTCGTGCCAGCTGGAGTACATGTTGGGTCATTCCGAGAACCGTTCCGATTCCGAGAATCAATGCACGGAAAGCATCCGTGATCTTTATATACATACATGTATGTCATCCTTGACGTGGACACGTAGCTAGGCAGACAAAACCTATTGTGCTACAAGTGCATCCACCGAATGTTCGATTCCTTCTCGCAAAACAGCTATACGCGATTATAATCAAGCCAAGTATGGCTTCTGTCAACCCCATCACCCGCGTTACCCTTTTCAAAATCCCTGATCAGGCAGATCAAGAGAAACTTGTTAATATCTACAAAGAGATGCCAAACAAAGCCAAAAAGGTATGCTCAATGAACGACCGACTTTCCGAAACAAGGCAATCAACTCATCACTAATTGTGTTTCAATCTAAGAACGGGGAACCCTATATACTCTCCGTCACCGCTGGACCAGCATTTGAAGACCAGCGAAATCAAGGGTTTACAGTGGCAGCAATTTCCGTCTTTGAATCGACGGATGACATGGCATATTATGATAATGAGTGTGAGGCACATCAGAGCCTCAAAGCTGTGGCCAAGACCTTACATAAAGGAGTAATGATGATTTACTTCAGGAGTGTCGTTGGTTGAAAGTTTCACGACGTTTATGTAAATCGTCTTAGATAGATCAGAAATCCTTTTCGCACCTAGCTCTTACATGAAGGTCGTAGATCAAGCTGATGTTCCCTAAGCTTGATGCTGGAAGCAATGGTTGTTTTCTGATATAGGTCTTTTTATATGTTTCTGCGATTCTTAAGCTATTTGCACTAGAAAGATAGTTTAAACTCGTTCTACAGCTGGCAATATCACGCCAACGGCGTCACCAAACCCAACAAGACCACCCTCTTCGCCACTCCACCCACGAATAGTGATTGTATCACCATCCTGCAAGAATTTCCGTTCCTCGCCGCCATTGAGCTTGATAGCCACCTTCCCACCCTGAATTTGTTCCAAGAGACTGCCCTGTGTGCCGGGCTCTTCGCCACTGATAGTGCCTGATCCGAAGAGATCGCCGGGACGAAGATTACATCCTGATACACTGTGATGGGCAATCATTTGGGGCCATGACCACAAGAGTTTTCGAGAATTGGTTCGAGATATTGTTGTTGTGTTTCCGGAGGATGCTAGATGGAAGTGAGTCAGCCTGGTTGTCCTGTGAGAATAGTGTTCAAGAATAGATACGTACTTGTAAGATCAATTTCTAGATTGATGTCGAGAGCATTGTTCTGTTCATCCTCCTGTAAATAGCTTTGCAGTGGTGTTTCATTCTTCAAACCTGTAGTCTTGAACGGTGCAAGGGCGTCCGCAAGAACCACCCACGGGCTGATAGTAGTTCCAAAGTTCTTTGCATTGAACGGGCCCAAAGGCACGTATTCCCAAGTCTGAACGTCACGAGCGGACCAATCGTTCATGAGCACGTATCCGAAGATATGCTCCTCGGCTTTGTTGATGTCGATTTGTTCTCCGAGTTCATTTCCAATACCGACGAACATGCCAAGCTCTAATTCAATATCGAGGCGACGGGCCGGTGTGAATGTAGGAATTTTAGGCTCAGCTGTGGAATCTAGCAAGATTTGGCCCCAGGGTCTTCTTAGAGGAGTCCCAGAAACCACAACAGAAGAGGCGCGACCATGATAAGCAACGGGTAGGTGAGTATAATTGGGCTGTAATGCGTTTTGTGGTCCGCGGAAAAGTGTGCCCACGTTGAATGCATGGTTCTTGCCGGCGAAAAAGTCGGTATAATCTCCTATTGCCAATGGCAGGTGATTTTTAATATCTTCCAGAGGAATTAGAGCCTTTGCTTGTAGTTCCTTGTTTGCCTCTAGAAGGTTTGAATAAGGCGAGCCTTCGGTGAAGACATTTTGAAGATAGGTCCTCACTTCACGATGGAATGGCCTTCCTGATGCAGCAAATGCATTGAGCGTTGATTGCAAAAAGACAGCTGTCTTGCTTTGTATCGTAGGTGAGGCACAAAAGCCTTCGTTTTGAGAGAAAATCGAGAGATCAAGTGCATATTCGCCAATTGCGACCGCAGGACGAGGATCTTGGTTTGAAGTGGTCGAGATAATCCCGAACGGAATGTTTGCCAATGAAAACGGTGAATTGGCCGCAATTGGCAGCCAGGACTTGGGTGTAGACATCCTTGGTATTCTGTATATGATTGAACCGGATCTCATTCAAGTAGAATCAATTGATATCAACGAGCTTAAAGGTAATCCGAAAGAAATATGAGCAGGTAAACTCGGGTCACACAGAACACAAACGGATCTGACGCCCGATTCAAGTGCCTTAACAATCAATTATATCGCGCACTGTTTGAGGACATTGTCTATGAAATATACCACGGCTTGATGGGAGGGGTGTGACAACAGAGAAACTTAGGGCTTGTGGCTCSGAAACGGAACTGGTGTTCCGTAATGATGCAAGCCCTAATAATTTCGAACATTGACTGATACGGAAAGCCGATATGATAGATCATGTGAATGATTGTTTTAAGTATATATGTCACTGGCGTTTTATGTCTACATAGTAGGCGACTCGAAAGAAGCATTCGTTGAAGATTCCTGGTGGAGAGTCAAAATTTTTATACAAAATGCCCGTCACAACTTTTGCATCACCTGACAGGTACATTTACCAGAATGGCTTCCAATCCTATCACGAGTATGTGCGAATCCGGAAATAGCTACCATTTATCTGTTAAATTAACAATATTGTAGAACCGAGGCCATCAAGGGCGCTCTTCCCATAGGCGCAAATTCGCCGCAAAAGCCCCCATATGGATTATATACCGAGAAATTATCCGGAACTGCATTTACAGCTCCAAGATGCGAGAACTTGCAGACTTGGCTTTATCGAATCATTCCAGCAGCAGCTCATTCAAACTTTGTTCCACGTCAATTGGACTCCGCTGAGGAGGGCCCCGTCAAGTTTCACCAGATCCCCAATCAGCTGCGATGGGATCCCTTTGATATCGATGAGTCGGTTGATTGGCCGAGCTCGCTGAGACTCGTAGCAGGCGCAGGCTCTCCAGAACTTAAACATGGACTTGGTATATACATATTCTCTGCCGGTAAAGACATGGGCAAGAATGATGCATTCTACTCGTCGGATGGCGACTTTCTGATTGTCCCTCAACATGGCGAGCTGGATATACAGACTGAATTGGGTTATATACATGCTAGACCCAACGAGATTGTGGTTATTCCCCGTGGCATTCGTTATCGCGTCACTTTAATGGCTGGKCCAGTTCGCGGATACATTCTTGAACTCTACAAGGGACACTTTCAGTTACCTGAATTGGGACCAATTGGCTCCAATGGCCTTGCAAATGCGCGTGACTTTCAGGCACCAGTTGCTGCGTACGACAATGATACGACCAGCGAGTGGACTATTGTGACAAAGTTTGGAGGCCAACTGTTTGAAGCCAAACAAAAGCACACACCTTTCGACGTTGTTGCATGGCATGGACTCTACTACCCTTACAAGTACGACCTAGGCCGTTTCAACGTGATTGGAAGTACTTCATACGATCACCCGGATCCTTCAATTTATACAGTTCTTACGGGCCCCTCGGACCATGTTGGAACCGCTGTTGCTGACTTTGTCATCTTCGCACCCCGTTGGCTTGTCCAGGAGGACACTTTCCGCCCTCCGTGGTATCACCGCAATAACATGTCTGAATTCATGGGCTTGATTCAAGGTGAATACGACGCTAAAACCGGTGGTGGGTTTAAGCCAGCGGGTGCTTCACTTCATAATATCATGAGTGCTCATGGACCAGATGCGGAAACTCACGAAAGAGCCAGCAACGCGGATCTCAAGTCTCAGAAAGTGGGCACTGGTAGCATTGCATTTATGTTTGAGAGCTGCTATATGCTTGGTGTCACGGACTGGGGGCTTGAGACATGCCAGAAAGTGCAGAAAGAGTACAACAAGCACAGTTGGGAGACTCTCAAGTCAAATTTTGCTCCCCCTACAGAAGTCTAGATAGGAAAGGTTCTCAGTCCTGTTAATATTATTATTAGCTGTAGCAGTTAATCGAAGATATGAATGATAATGTTTTACAAGTCTAAGAGTGAGGTAGTCAAATTAATTGATCATTGTTCTGCACGCTACGTAATTCTCATCACTAGCTACTTTACCATGCTGGACTATCTAGTATGTGCACTACTTCTTGTCCAAAAATGACAATCTAACTCGATATCATGTTGATTTCCGTTATATGATTCCTGGCTGAAAAGCTTCCGCGGAGATCTAGAATGCCGAATAGTATAGGATCATGACAGCATCATACAGTCCATGTACCTACATTCCAGGTAGGCTACTTTCTATTTTTGAAAGCCATTTCTGAGGCCAAGTCTTGCAAATTTGACCCTATGGTGGTCTCAGGAACAACGGAACTGTCCCATTCCGCATTCCGCCTTACCCAATACTAAACGCTCGAAGTAAAGGCGCAATATCAAGCAGGGATATTGATCATGTGCTACAGATGATAGACTAATAAGAGCAAGGTTCTTCGTCCAATTCTAGTTGTTGTCGATGGTTAATTACTAACACCTATTCGTATTCTGTTTCTACTGATCGTCACTCAATTCAAGATGGCTATCCAGGAACTATTCGACACACTACAAGACCGTATTGCGCATCAGTCTGGTGACCACCGATTAATCATCGGAGTCCTCCTATTGCCTTTATTCTATGTGATTTTGAACGAGGTTGTCCGTAGCAAGGCACGGATTGGAAGGCTGAATGGACCGAAGGGTTTACCGCTAATTGGCAATCTCTACCAAATTCGAGTCAATGCAGCAGAGCAATATCGCCAATGGTCCAAACAGTACGGGGATGTCTATCAGATTCAGTTGGGAAACATTCCTGTTGTGGTTGTCAATACCGCTGCGGCAGCCAAGGTCATATTTGGGAACAATTCTCAGGCATTAGCTTCTCGTCCGGAGTTCTATACTTTTCACAAGGTGAGTTCTGTCCTTTGATCGACGTGGACAGAGGGTTGATGGCATATTTCAATGTAGGTTTTGTCCAATACAGCCGGTACGACTATCGGTACATCACCATATAGCGACTCGCTCAAGCGCCGTAGAAAGGGTGCTGCATCCGCACTCAACAGGCCATCGGTGCAGACCTATGTTTCCCACCTGGACATCGAGTCAAAAGACTTCATCAAAGAGTTATACGACTATGGAAAAGGTGGCAGTCTTGGGGTTGACCCCATGCCTATGATTCAACGGCTTTCTCTAAGTCTGTCTCTGACGCTGAACTGGGGAATTCGGATGGATAGCCAAAAGTCTGATCTATTCCATGAGATCACACACGTCGAGGAGGAGATTAGTCGCTTCCGTAGCACGACCGGTAATTTGCAAGATTATATACCCTTGCTACGACTGAACCCGTTCAACTTTGGATCAGCAAAGGCGCGCGAGATGCGTGATAGACGTGATGCATACCTGACCGCTCTTAATAAGGGGCTCGATGATCGTATCGCCAAGGGGACTCACAAACCATGTATTCAAGCAAATGTCATCTTGGACAAGGAAGCCAAGCTTGATAAAGATGAACTGATATCCATTAGCTTGACTATGTTGTCAGGTGGTTTGGACACAATCACGACGTTAGTGGCATGGAGCATTGGATTGCTTGCACAACGTCCAGACATCCAGGAGGAAGCGCGCAAGGCAATTGAAGAGTTCTATAGCACCAAACAGCCCTTGTGTGATGCTCTCGACGATCAGAAATGCAAGTATATCGTGGCTTTGGTGCGCGAGTGCTTGAGATACTATACCGTGCTTCGGTTAGCTCTTCCTCGTGCCTCGATCAAGGATATCGAGTACAACGGCGTTCGGATTCCAAAGGGTAGCATATTTTTTCTGAATGCATGGGCTTGCAATATGGGTATGTCTGCCGAATTCTGTTTTCGATTGTCTACTGACTGTGGCCTACGTAGATGACAACGTCTGGGACGATCCTGAAGTCTTCCGACCCGAACGTTGGCTTGAGCAGGATGATGCACCCATATTCACATACGGCATGGGATACCGCATGTGTGCTGGATCCCTACTGGCCAACCGAGAACTCTACTTGATCTTTATGCGTCTCATCAATTCGTTCAAGATCGAAAAGGAGACTGAGTTTGATGCTCATCCGGTCTCTGGTAACATGGACCCTACTAGTCTTGTTGCAATGCCGAAGAAGTACTATGCACGGTTCGTTCCGCGCGATGATGCGGCGTTGCGTCGAGCTTTACGAGAGTTTGTGGTTGTCGAAACTTAAGCCACCTGGGATATGCAGAAACATTTGACAAGTCTTATGTCACCTAGGCATGATGCTGGACTAGCGCAAGTCTCAATTTTGGAAAGTGTCTGGTTTTGTACGCATTCCGAGACTATGAACAGCATTGTTAAAGCCCGCACTTGCTGCTCATGGCCAACGGAACATTGAATGGCGTATAATTCTTTTCATCAAGTCTTTCATTTCCAAGAGTCATGTTCCAATGTTGCATTGACGATTCTCATCGACCAGTGATTTGGTGGATCGTTCTAGAGCTTCAGAGGATTAGAAAGCGGACCTCGGGAGTCGGAATTCGTAAACATGTCCATTTTGAGAACTTACAGTATATTTCATGGTCTTGGAAATCGAGTAATCTTGCAACATATTTCTTATGTCAAAGTACCTGTGCAAGTAACACTTGATGCTTTGTATTTATAGAAGTTTAGTGGTATGTAAATGTGTAGCACTAGGTGATGATAGGTAACGCTGGAGGAATAATGAGCAACGAAGTTTTGAGTTTAACATCTTTTTTTTTGTACACCAAAATTACATAACATGAAACGTAGTTTAACGTACTAGGCAAAGACTCCGCCGGACGACAGATAGGCCATGAAGATCATAAATGCGAACGGTAGCAAAGTCCAAGCGTACCGAGGCTTCTTGAATCGCCCCTAGCCTTGAAGAATGCCATTCTAGTGGTTGTCCGAAGAAGTTAATACAGGGAGCTACCTAGATAACCCCGCAAATGTTGCAGCTTAAAGCTCTTTCATTCTCCTTTCTCCACTCCTGCTTTCCCTGGCTTCACATGGTACGCGCTCGGTATATGTATCATCTTGGCCGTCATTTCTCATTTCGATTTCCTTAATCTTTATTTCTTCCATACTTTTTGGTCATTTTCTACCCATTTTGCTCTATCATCAGGCCGTCGTCCGATGTACCAGTGACCCCATACCGGCAATTCTTTTAGTGCTTACATTCCACTCCATACTGAATCAGCCAACATGGTTGTCAACGACGAATCCATCAAAATCCGTCCGCTGGAGTATACTCCAGTGGAAACCATCCAGAAGAAAGTCGCTGTAGCTAGAGACGCTTTCTATGACTCCAAAACCCGTTCGGTGGAGTTCCGCAAACTCCAGCTCCGAAAGCTATACTGGGCGTAAGCCACGAACCTAATCATACATTTATACATGCTGTGCGTACTTTCAAAAGACTGACATATTGACAGCATCCACGATAATCAAGATCGCATGTGTGAAGCGCTGGCGCGTGACATGGGGAGACCCTCGTACGAAACTCAACTAGCCGAGGTCGTCTGGCTACTAGGAGAAATTTTGTTCACTTTGAAGAATCTCGACAAATGGCTCAAAGATGAGTCCGCACCTGATGTTCCTTTGATCTGGAAGCCATTGGCACCCAAGATCCGTAAAGATCCCATGGGCACTGTGTTGGTTATCGGTGCATGCAATTACCCTTTTCAACTTACACTATCTCCAATGATCGGTGCTATCGCGGCCGGTAATACCGTAGTGATCAAACCCAGTGAGCAGCCCGTCCACGCGGCTCAGGTTACGCAGGAGATTGTCGAGTCTGCGTTGGATCCTTCCTGCTACACCGTGGTGCAGGGTGCAGTCACTGAAATGCAGGCCCTTTTGGCCGAGAAGTGGGACAAGATTTTCTTCACTGGTAGCCAGACTGTCGGTCGCATCGTTTCTAAGGCTGCTGCTCCGCATATGACTCCTGTGGTTTTGGAGCTGGGAGGATTGAACCCTGCTATTGTTACGCGTCATGCCGATCCTCGTATCGTGGCTCGTCGACTGCTGTGGGCCAAGACCATCAATGGTGGACAGACCTGCACAGCTCAGAACTACATTCTTGTCGAGAAATCATTGTTGCCTGCATTGGTCGACGAGCTGAAGAAGGCTTACAAGTCGTTCTATCCCAGCGGTAGCAGCAAGGGCCCTGATTTCACCCGTGTCGTCAATGAGAAGGCTTTCCAGCGCCTCAAAGCTATGATAGACAACAGCAAGGGCAAAATCATCATGGGTGGAGAGGTCGACGAAAAGGAACGATACATCGAGCAAACTTTCATTGAAGTCGACTCCATCGAAGACTCGATGGTCATCAACGAAGCTTTCGGTCCTATTTGTGCCGTCATGACCGTCAACAGTGTCGAGGAGGCTATTAGTCTTGCTCGCAAAGTCCAAGACACCACCCTCGGCGTCGCCGTCTTCGGCAACTCCTCAGACCACCAGAAAGTCATGGCCGGCCTTCGGTCAGGAAGTGTATCCCTGAACGATGCTCAACCACACGTCAATACCCTTGCCTTTGGTGGTGTCGGCGAAAGTGGTACTGGTGCCTATCGCGGCCGCTCCAGCATTGATGTCTGGACTCATAGCCGTCCGTACACCAACACCCCCAAGTGGATGGAATCTCTGCTCGATATTCGTTACCCGCCATACACATCTAGCAAGTTGCGTATGCTCCAATTGTCAATGGGCACCACGCCAGACTTTGATCGCGAAGGTCGTCAGAGTCGATTCACGTGGTTGAAATACATCATTGGAGGAACACCAACATCAGCTGCGACTCGTGTTGCTGCTTATGCCGTCAGTAAGTAATACTTTTTCCTCTTTTCCCTTTGAAATGCACATGCAATATCTTCGTACCCTTCCCTGTCAACTTGATTGAGATTCCTGTTTGAATGCTTGTCGTCATCTAAACATCAATGTCTATGGCCAGATGATCAATCCACCACTACCAATGGTACCAATGGCACTGTCAATGGCACTACCAATGGCACTATCAGTGGTGACACCAATGGCGATTCGCAAGCCAAATGAGCTTCTCAAAGACTTCATTCAAGGCTGTGAACTATCCATCCTATCCATGGATAATTCAAAATATTCCCAACAAAAAAATGAATGTTCTGATACCCCCTGTTTTGACAACACTAATATCTGATACCCTCTTTTGATCTCCTTTCTCATTTCTGTTATATATGGTCGTATGTTTTGATATTCACTCAGAATTCCACGCGAAAACACTGTCCTAACAAAGTCATCTTTTCCTTTACAGTCATCTACCTGGTCAGAGAATATCTGAAACGATCCAGCAAACTTTAAGATTACAATTCAACAATGTAAGGCTCTTGGAAAACCAGAAATGTTTTTGTCTAGTCTACGATTTTGGATGTCAAACTCTCGGTTTAGCAATTAGTGTATGATGTATGTATATTTTCAGGAATTTGATAGCTTTCGCACCATTTCGAAATGGATTCGTATGTGGAATTATAGCTATAAATTCTACTTCACGCGTGGCGCTGATGCACAAAATAAAATGTAGACCGTCCAAGTATGCCCCCAACCGATAGATAAACTTAGGGTTTGACAAAACTAGAACCGCCGCTCAATGCCCCTTCGACTAACACACAGATATTTCACACCTTTATAAGGTCGTACCCCTTCACCCAACCCCCGACTCTTGCGTGGGTCAATATTTATACTATCGACTCGGATGCCGGATGGCAGCCACCCTTTCACCGAGAAGGATACCGTCGCAGATTTTGGCATGAGAGCGGAATGGATTTGTTCTTTCCGTGACGCGCTTTCTTTGAATAGTGGATTGTTTGTCGGGTTAGGGGTGGTGGATGGAGGAGGTGTCGAGGTTTGCGATGAGCTTGTTGGCTTGTCGGGTATTAGAGTAGATTGTCCTTCAACAGCGGTATTGGCTTTGGACTCCTTTTTCGATTTCGATTTCTTCTTCTTCGTTTTTGTGGACTTTGGTTTTCGCGACTTTGATGATACGCCGGTTGGGTATGACTCAGATGTGTATGTTGTTGGGTCTTGCTGGTATGAATCGGCATCATAGTAGCCCTGTAATAATTCTTGACCGGCTGCAATTTCGGCCTCAGTTGCATCCAGATCATCTTGATAGCCGACAACTGTGCAACGTAATGTCGCTGTACCCGAAACGGATCCACTGTCTTTGGTGTATATTCGCCATTCCAGATGGTCGTCACCAGGCGAATAGTCTGCATCGCCTCGGCTCGGGCGCATATCTGTTATATTTCGGACAGCTTGGGGTATCGGTACGTGGACAATGATCTCGTCGAGGACAGGAAGTGATGGACTGCTACTATTACCCCCGCCTCCTAGGAAGGAAGGTGTTGAGCTCCCAGAACCAGTGCGTCCTGTATTCAATGGCCGGACGCCCGGGAAACTTGTATTCAATGTCAAGCGAACTTCAAAATCCTTTCCACTCGGTCCTAACGACTTTTCTATGGCAACAAATGCTGGCAAAAATAACTTTTCCATATGTCTTGGCGGTTCGTCGATGCTTGGGTCTATCGGGAGGAGATCGGCTTCATATCCAGCAAGTATAAATTTTCCGTCAGGAGGCACAAAACTAAGCTCCCCGGGTCGCTCTCTCCAGCGCGCAAGACGAACGCAGGGATGAAATACGGGGAGTTGCATTTTTTGATCGATCGCTCGTTGTCCGCCGGGGGTCGTCAGCGTCAGGAGAAGATCGGGAACGCCAGAGATTTTTGCCGTGCAGGCTATTGTGCCTGACGCTAATGCAGAGAGAAGTCGTCCAGAGGGGGCTATTGTTACCGAGAGGGTCTCGATGATATCAACGTATATTTCGTTCGAAGTATGCCGCACGCCTGGCCGCCGCCATGGTATAGCTGGCCCGAGAGCTGAGGTAGCCCTAGGATTGGATAATTGCGGTTTGAGTGGATTGAGTGACGCTGTACTCGGAGAGGCCGCGCTACGTAAAGAATCCTGTCAGAATGAAATAAATTCCAAGTGATACTGTTGCCAAACGTACCGCGGTAATCCAACACCGCCCAGAAACTTGTTCATCCAACCCGCAGTTTCAACATTCTCCTGAAGAGCATTGATTTCTGTGTTGCTCACCAGCCCTGCATCGCACATCTCCGTCAAAAGCTGTGCGACTACATCGTAATTTGATTGTAGTTTTGTCGACAACAGAGGAGCGCCCACAAAATCCTCTAGCACGTCGACGACTCTATGTAGGAACTCGAGAACAAGGAGGGGTTCCGTGTCAACATCGCTCGGAGAAAGAAAAAGTAGATTTGAATGTGATATCGAAAACACTGTCACGGCAGGAGAGGTCTCTGTGAGGTATAGCAGCGAGGGACGTGGTGCGGGGTGTGCTAGGAACAGCGATATGAGAGAGGATGCGGAAGGCGGCCGAGACCGATACACATGTTCTAGAATGGGTACACTGAACAGTAGTTAGCGGTGTTGATTTGAGAATCCCAGAGGAAATATATACTTGTACTCGTCGTAGATATACAGCGCTCTAATGGCGCCGTTCATGGTGGCAGCTTTTGAGGGTCGAAGTGACTACTCGCATGCCTATGACGCCGCCGTCTCGGCGATATTTAGGCGTGCCGCAACTAAACAAATTCTGCCATAAGATGCCGCCCATCCAGCATACAATAGCACAGCATCTTCTCAACTTCTTGAGAAATTTGTTTTCAGTTTTGAGAATTAGATTTTGGTATTATCGAAGGTGGTAAGTTGCTAATACTAGCGCTTGAATGCGTTTATCGAGTTGCTAATAGTATTTCGAACACAGGTGCCACCAACGGATCGAGCTGAATTACGAAGCAAGAAACACTCCAATTGAACAAAACAGCCATGGCATCGTCCAAGGCTCCCTGGGAGATGAAGCCCGAAGAGGTCGAAAAACAGATGGCAGGACAGAATGAATATGAGGATTGCTTAGCGTGTCGAATCACCGGTAGGAGGTCGCAGGCCATTACTGGCTAGAATTTCGTTGCTAATGGTCCATGCCGACAGGATCCGCTGCGTTCATGGGACTCGGAGTGTATAGCTATTACACAGGAATGCGAAATCTGAAACAACAAGAGAAAGCAATCATGAGAAGTGCAAGCAAATATAAGATGGGCTCAAGGCAGCTCGGCATCGCAACACTATCCGCTTCTCTCATAGGAGTAGGACTCTACAGGGCATTCAATTGATGCGTCGAACTGGCCATGATTTACGGATTGTATTATAAGAAAAGTCTCCTTCATCCAGATATTCATTGTATAGTATATAAGTCTAGAAATGGGGTTCTGATATAAGACCGCCAACTGCGAAACAGCCCATAATGCATAAAGACTCCTCATAAATGCTAAGAATATTTCTTCACTTCCGCTGGGTATCACAAATCCATCAAGGAAATAAATGCATGCCATCGTTCCGTCGTGTATGTGTGAGGTAATGCCTTCATGTAAATCGTCCTCGTTTGCCACCCCCAAAGAACTCACGGCCATTCAGACCTGATAAGTCGAAGAAGTCAGGGACTTGAAGCTTACGCTTCGTTCCTAGGCTAGTCGCATGTGTCGATGATCGTCGAGTGTTGTTGTTCAAACGGCCGGAAGCTCGTGTGTTTCGTGGGAACATGGATATCCCAGCCTCATCCTGTGAGGTTGAGGTCACGGACACGGTATCTGCTTGCATATCAACGTCTTGTGGTGCAAAGACTGGAAAGGTAGGCCCAGATGTAAACGTGAAGACGGGAGGTTTCGCAAACGTAGTATCGGCGGGGKCTGTTGATTGGGTCGTCTCGGTTTGTTGTCGTTGCTCATCGGTGGGCTGTGTGGGTTCTGGAATGTGTCGTGGCTGATCGATTTCATGATGCTCCTTTCGGTTAACTACTGGCGATGCACTCCTCGTTGGTTTATCCTCATCATCGCTATCACCGTTCGACGGCACTCCGTCGAGTCGTTCTGTGGCCCATTGGCGAACTTGCCAACCTTCGCCATCCCCCAACCCAAGATGTTTGCGGTCAAGGAAATGTAGAAGATCTTCGATAGCTTCCTGGTAACCTAGTTGTTTCGCCTGTGCCTGATCGGTGACAGCACTCTTGTAGAGGTTCGTGACCGAGAGGGCGGCAGCTTTGAAGGCCTGTAATAATTGTTCGGGCGGTTGGACGTGAGATGTGGAGCTGGGGAGTGAGGTGTTCAACGATCTCATTGAATCCATGATGGGCAGTGCTGATGAGATACCCTTGAGTATTATGATCGGGGGGCCTTCTTGGGGAGGCCCGAGCTTGAGGAAAAATCGAGACTCGTATATTCGAGAGGAAAAAATATCCACGGAAGGACTCTTCTCGCTCAGAAGATGACACTATCTAACATAAGCCAGATATAAAAGAGACAGAGTTGAAAGAGTCCAGTCAAGGAGGGCACAAGGACAGGTCGATATTCTCGGTGGAATGTCGATGGTACAGCAGTCAAAGAGGGACCAGATGACCTTGACTAGTCAACGATGGCAACGGATGAATCAGGATTAATTCCTTCCACTTTAGTTAGCCCGCCTGTTTAGTGTGTTTGCCACGTGATCTAGCTTGGAGCAGTCCCGCACTAGGCCCAATCAGGACTATTGCTATCAGATTGCTCGGCAAAACAATGTTCCTGAATGGCTACTGAGTCAGCAGCCGTCACCAATCACCGCGCGTCTTTTCCACGCGCCTGGACTGGGAATTTCCCATTTGCCTTCCCTGCGCGCGATCTTCAGCGACTTCAATTCTTTCATCAACTCCGCTGGCATTCACAAACTACCGTACAACCAGCCTTCGGCAGCACGCACGATCATCCGGATACGGCCTCTCAGTGTCAGATTACCGTGCGATTCATATCCCAGGAACCAGCAAGATCGCCGGAGCTATAGAGCTCGGTTTACAGTCGAGCAAACTTGGTGTTGATTCATTTTCATCGCTCTCAGGGCGCACCACCGCCGCCATGGCGCCCTCACGCAATCTGCCAGACTCGGATGCTTCATCTATGGTGGATACGCCAATGACCGATGGAAACGAATCGGTTGCACGTATTCCAGTCGACGAGCCAGACTATGCAATGGCCGTAAGTCCATCCTCCGAGAGCGTATCACTTTATGCCTAGAGCTTTTGCTAATACTATCTCTGCTTTAGGACTATCAAGACACTCCGGATTACACCGTATGACACAACAACCTACAAATTGAATGTATGAATGAAAAGAGAATTGACATGGGACTATAGGATTCGGACACCAACCCCAATACAACATCGAGCAGCATTGCCGGCGACGTTGCGCATACAGACGGAAGGAAGCGAAGGTCCGAAGCTATTCAGCTCAGAAAAAGTGTGCTTGGCAAGCAGCATGGACGATTGGACGAGTCAAAAGTTTGTTACAAGAATGTCAAAATTTGAAAATCCGGAAGTCTGACCATTTCCATTATATAGGAAGACGATTCTATCAGACGATTTCGATATCTGCTAGGCCTGACAGACTTATTCCGTCACTTTATCGAGACAAACCCCAATCCGCGCATCAAAGAGATCTTGGCAGAAATCGACCGACAAAATGCCGACGAACCCACCAAAGCTAAAGGTTCTTCTCGCAAAGGCGGCGCCAGTAACGAAAGGAGACGCCGCACGGAAAAGGAGGAGGATGCAGAGCTTTTGAAAGACGAAAAGAGCGGCGGAGAGGCAGCCACCATTTTCCGCGAGTCTCCGGCCTTCGTCAAAGGAGAGATGCGTGACTATCAGGTAGCCGGTTTGAACTGGTTGGTATCTCTTCACGAGAACGGAATTTCGGGAATCCTTGCAGATGAGATGGGTCTCGGAAAGACTTTGCAGACTATTTCTTTCCTCGGCTATCTTCGACACATCTGTGGCATCACTGGTCCCCATTTGGTCGCAGTACCAAAGTCTACTTTGCATAACTGGAAGATGGAATTTGCGAAATGGACGCCAGAAGTTAACGTTATGGTCTTGCAGGGAAGTAAGGAAGAGCGTCATGAGTTGATCACTGAGCGCCTTGAGAAGGAGGATTTTGATGTCTGCATCACCAGCTACGAAATGATTCTCAAAGAAAAATCTCATCTCAAAAAGTTCGCTTGGGAATACATCATCATTGACGAAGCGCATCGTATCAAAAATGAGGAGTCTTCACTTGCTCAGATTATCCGTGTCTTCCACTCCCGCAATCGATTGCTCATTACCGGAACGCCCTTACAAAATAACTTGCACGAACTCTGGGCTCTTCTTAACTTTTTGCTGCCGGATGTCTTTGGCGATTCGGAAGCATTTGACCAATGGTTCTCTAATCAGGAGTCTGACCAGGACACTGTTGTGCAGCAATTACACCGTGTTCTGCGACCATTTTTATTGCGCCGTGTTAAGAGTGATGTCGAGAAAAGCTTACTGCCCAAAAAGGAGATTAACTTGTTCGTCGGCATGTCGGATATGCAAGTCAAATGGTACCAGAAGATTCTCGAAAAGGATATTGATGCCGTGAACGGTGCAGCTGGCAAGCGAGAGTCAAAGACCCGATTGCTCAACATCGTCATGCAATTGCGCAAGTGCTGCAACCACCCTTACCTCTTTGAAGGCGCCGAGCCCGGTCCACCATATACAACAGACGAGCATCTTGTTGATAACTCGGGCAAAATGGTTGTTCTAGACAAAATCTTGAACCGTATGAAGAAGCAGGGAAGCCGTGTCCTTATCTTCTCCCAAATGAGTCGTGTCCTTGATATTCTTGAGGACTATTGCGTTTTCCGAGAGCACAAATATTGTCGAATTGACGGTTCAACGGCACATGAAGACCGTATTGCAGCGATTGACGAGTACAACAAAGAAGGCTCGGACAAATTCATCTTTTTGCTCACTACACGTGCCGGTGGTCTCGGTATCAATCTTACGACTGCTGACATCGTCGTGCTTTTTGATAGCGACTGGAACCCACAAGCCGATTTGCAAGCTATGGACCGCGCTCATCGTATCGGCCAGAAGAAACAAGTGGTTGTTTTTAGGTTTGTCACGGAGCATGCCATTGAAGAGAAGGTTCTGGAGCGCGCCGCGCAAAAGTTGCGTCTAGATCAGCTCGTCATTCAGCAAGGTCGTGCTCAGCAACAGACGAAGAATGCCGCATCCAAAGATGATCTACTAGGAATGATACAATTTGGAGCTGCCGACGTTTTCAAGAACAAAAGTGGCACGCTTACTGGTGGAGCTGAAATGACTGACGATGACATTGACGCAATTCTGCGCAAAGGCGAAGAGCGTACGGCAGAGCTCAACAAGAAATACGAAAAGCTTGGAATTGATGATCTTCAGAAATTCACTTCGGACAATGCCTATGAATGGAACGGTGAAGATTTCACAAATCGCAAGAAGGATATCGGTATCAGCTGGATTAATCCAGCCAAGCGAGAGCGCAAGGAGCAATTTTACTCTATCGACAAATACTATCGCCAAGCTTTGGCTACTGGTGGACGCACTGCTGATCCCAAACCCAAGGTGCCGCGTGCTCCTAAGCAGGTGTCTATTCATGACTGGCAGTTCTTCCCACCGCGGCTACATGAGCTGCAAGAAAAAGAGACCGCTTATTTCCATAAAGAGATCGGCTACAAAGCTGTGCTTGCTGAAGGAACGGATGAGGACCTCAGCGAACGCGAAGCTAACCGTGACCTCGAGCAGCAAGAAATCGACAATGCAGTACCTTTAACCGAAGATGAACAGGCTGAGAAGGCCCGACTTTCTGAAATGGGCTTCTCCCACTGGAATCGACGAGACTTCCAACAATTTGTCAATGGATCAGCCAAGTTCGGTCGAACGGACTACGAAGGTATAGCGACTGAAGTTGACAGCAAGACCCCCCAAGAAGTGAAAGAATACGCCAAAGTCTTCTGGGACCGCTACGACGAGATCAACGACTACCCCAAATACATTCGTGTCATCGACCAAGGTGAAGAAAAGCTTCGAAAGAGCACACACCAGCGGAAGATGCTTCGAAAGAAGTTGGATATGTACCGCGTTCCATTACAGCAACTCAAGATCAACTACACAGTATCTACCACGAATAAGAAGGTTTACTCTGAAGAGGAAGACCGATTCCTCCTTGTCATGCTTGACAAACTAGGCAAAGAAGAGGACACCGAAGGTATTCAGCTCTTCGAGAGAATGCGCGAGGAGATCCGCGAAAGCCCTCTATTCCGGTTTGATTGGTTCTTCCTCAGCCGAACGCCAGTTGAACTTAGTCGTCGGTGTACCACGTTGCTCAACACGATAGCCCGAGAATTCGAACCCGAGTCAAAAGCCAACGGAGAGAGCAAAGGCCGCGTCCGTGACCGCGCAGATGAGGATGCCGATGAGGAGGAAGATGAGGCGCCCGCCAAGAAGAAATCCAAGAATGGAGCAGTGGTGGTAAGTTTGTCTTATAATTTTCTCGCCGTTCTCTGTTACTAACATGCTATTAACAGAATAAGAAGCTCAAAGGTGTCAAAGCTAGCAGCAAGGGTTCGTCGGCGAACACATCTCGGGCTGCCAGCGTGTCATCCAACGTTCAGACCAGTAAATCAAAGAGCAAGAAGAAATGATAGATTAGAACTGAGGTGTGTATCGATACTACAAGTCTGATGTTTCCGGGGCTTGTCTGGCTTGTCGTTGAGTTCGCTGTTTGTTATGTTGAGAATTCTCTTCTGGTTGGTCTACATTGGCGTTTGAGTATGTCAAAGGGGATCCTGTTTTTTAGAGCTAAAATTTGCTTGCTGGCAAAGATTATGATGACAAAATATTAATTATTTACCAACTTAGGTAGAAATACATCTACCCGTTCTGAGCAGACTCAAAGAAGATGATATCAATGACTGACCAACCATTTTTCCTATCAAGGAATGATGTTTCAAGGCCAGAATAAGACTGGGATGACATTACAGCAAATATGTAGGGGATGATGAGCAGTCGTCAAGATTTGATTATGATTGGTCGTGTTCTGACGAGGCTTTCGCTCAGCCTCTTTGCGCTGGCAGCCTTGCGATAAAGTACCTATCCTCGCGCCTTCAATCAGCTTTCACATTAATGAAATATATCTTTATCCCCGTGGCCCTCCGACTCAATACATTTCGTGATAATACATTTCGTGATTCTCATTGCAACTAATATTATGACTTGCCAGGATTACTAGATTTGGTATGCGCGCTGCTTTAGTACAGCAGGTTCCAATTGGACCCTAACTCCCGTTCAATTTTGAAAAAAACCGGAGCAAGAGACTCCATTACCGATCTCATAAAGCAATATGAGTTTTGGATACAGTATCGGGGACTTTGTGTCTCTTCTTGAATTGACGAATCGTATCCGTAAACGATTTGTCCGGGCTCCGGCTGAGTTCAAGGAGATTTCTGAGGAGTAAGTAGGTGCGTTTTTATTATTCATGGCTGAAATTCGTCTGGAACATGAAACATTCATATGGATTACTGATAATACTTAATTGGCGCAACCAGCATCAAGAAGTTGGGTGCCCTTCTCCAAGATATCGACGATTTCGAGTCTGAACAAGGCTTGGATACACGGCAAAAAGCTTCCATAAATCAAATGAGTAAATCATGTCGGGAGGTCCTCACGGAGCTAGAAAGCGTGCTTGATAAGTACCAGGAGTTGGATCACGACGAGAAGAATCTTGGTAAAAAGACCCGACGTGTTTGGAAAAGGCTACAATGGGATCAATCAAAGATTATGGATCTTCGAAAACGGACCGATTCACATGTGAACTGGTTTAGTAACGTGATTGCGAGGTTAAATGGGTACCATAACTGCCCCCTTCACACGTTTGATTTTCAACGCAGGCATTCACTGATATTAAATAGCTCTGTTATACTTGCGGTAAAAGACGGTGTGGACCGACTGTGCCAGTACCAAGGAGACGAAGAGAAACAAAAGATTCTCGATTGGCTGACTCCAACTGACTATACAGCACAGCAAAATGACATCTTGAGACTACGAGAGGAAGGCACCGGCAAATGGCTCTTGGAAAAAGCCGAGTTTAAATCATGGTCGAGCACAAAGCAACAGACCCTGTTCTGTCTGGGCATTCCCGGAGCTGGCAAAACGACACTTGTATCTATTATAATCGACCATCTGGAGCAGAAGTTTCGCGCCGAGCCTGATGTCGGGATTGCGTACATATACTGCAATTTTCAGTCTAGTTCCGAATCGAATATTCAAGCCTTCCTTGCGATTTTGATAAAGCAACTTGTTCAGAGGCAATCAGAACTACCCGTTGCAGTGGTCGATATGTATAAAAACCACGAAAAGAAGAACACACGGCCTAGGACTGATGAGCTATCCTCGTGCCTACGATCTGTGACCGCTGGACTCTCGACGGCTTTCATTATAGCAGACGCTTTGGATGAATGCAGAACAGCTAATGGGTTACGCGGTAATTTCCTACGTCAAATTTTTGCTCTTCAAGCAGATTGTAATATAAACTTCTTGGCCACCTCGAGACATATTCCGGAGATCATGGCAGAATTTAACCGGAAAACATGGTAGAAATTCGCGCTGATCCAAGAGACGTGGAAGCATACCTAAGGAGTCATTTATCAACATTCCCATCGTTTTTCTTGCGAAATCAGGACCTCATGAACGAGATAGTCATTAAGATCACGAAATCAGTTGATGGAATGTGAGTTTATGCTTCAAGACTTGCCCCATCCTCTTTGACTAGAAATTGATTTATATTCAGGTTCCTCCTCGCAAAACTGTACCTCAATTCTTTGAGAGGAAAGAGTTCACCAAAGGCCGTACGGACTGCGCTGAGCAGACTGAATACTGGATCAAACGCATATGGCCACGCGTACAAAGACGCAATGGAGCGGATTGAGCATCAGGGGACTGAGGAGAGAGACCTTGCCAAGAATATCTTGTCATGGATCACCTGTGCGAAAAGACGTTTGACGGTAAACGAACTTCTTCACGCTTTTGCCGTTGAGATTGGTCTATCTTACCTTGACGAAGACAATCTCTCCGACATGCAATATATGATCTCTGTTTGCGCTGGCCTGGTAGCTGTTGACGAGGAAAGTGGCATTATCAGATTGGTTCACTACACCACGCAGGAATACTTTGAACGGACATGGCAAATTTGGTTTCCCGGGGCGCATCGAAACATAGCCATAGCCTCTCTCACATATCTCCTCTTTGATCAATTCGCTACTGGGCCCTGTGGAAATTGGGAGGAGTATAGAGACCGGTTACAAGAAAATCCAATTTACGAATATGCTGCGCGATATTGGGGTTATCATGCAAAGGAAGCTTACTCTGAGGTGAAGGATTTGGTAGATAAGTTCTTTCAACGCAAATCGACACTCGCCAGCGTAGCACAGGTCTTGTCCCTTGAACGAAAGTTTCGAAGCTGCATACCACTAGCCCACAAAGGAATATCCGGCCTACATATTGCTGCATGGTTTGGACTAAACGATAAAGTCAAAGAAATTTTGAAGGGGTCTCAGAGTCATAATGCCGCCGATAAAAAAGGTCGGACGGCACTGCATTGGGCCACCCGGAACGCGCAGGCTCAGACCGTTGACTTGCTGATACAAGAAGGGGCAAGTGCCAATGCAACGGATAAAAGAGGCATGACAGCCTTACACTATGCTGCACTTCAAGGAGACAATCATCTGATACAGCTTCTAGTAAAGAATGGCGCGCATTTAGAGGTCGTGGATGAAAGCGGACAGACCCCCTTTTTGACAGCAGCAGGTTATGTGAAGATCGCATCAGTTCAAGAGCTTCTATCTTACGATACTGCAATCAATGCTGTCAATCCGGAGCATAAAAATGCGTTGCATCTCGCCATACTTGCCGCAAAAGATGAAACACCTCAATTGGTAGAAATGCTTCTGTCACATGGGGTTTGCCCTACTTTGTGCGATGTCAAAAATATGACTCCGGTGCACTATGCAGTTGCAATTAGAAATCTGGAAATCATGCAATTGTTTATTGAGGCGGGKGTCGATATCAATTTTGGCATTGAAAGGCGGCGCTGGAGAGAAACCACTAAGGCAGGACGATCCTTCTACGTGTTAGACCAGCCTCCTGAGAGGGCGAACGCCAATTCGCGAGATGCAGTGGGCCTGACTCCATTGCATTTTGCTGCATATACCGGCTATCGTATCATGATAGAGTATCTCCTGAGCAAGGGTGCGGATCCGAACGCATGCTGTTGTAGCGATGGCGACACGCCTCTCCATATTGCAATCCGTAGAGGTCTATTGACCATGGAATATGAAGGAGACCCTTGGACAGACATTACATGGACGGTTGAAACGGACTTTACTACTACTGATGAAACAGAGACCGATGGAGAATATTCACAGTGGCATATGGCTAATGAACGTTGGGGAGTTATTGATATGCTTCTTGCAACCACGAACATTGATGTGAATATCCAGAATGCTCACCTAGAATCCTCTCTACATTGTGTTCATTATGGAGGGTCGCATTCGGACACCATTGTTGCCAAACTGCTTCAGAAAGGAGCCGATCCCCTCAAAATTAACAAGAAAGGTCAAACAGTATTTCACCTCGCCTGTGAAGCAACTGATTTGGAGGCCATTGATCACATTCTTGATGCTGGTGGTTCCACTACCATTGAAGATGCAAAGGGACTGACCGCGCTTCATTATGCGGTGCGTGCCAATGGATATGAAACGGCAAAGTTGATACTGGATCGCAACGGAGACACCGCGACGAGCCTATGTCTTGCTGCAGACAAGAAAGGCAGGACACCGTTGCAACATCATCTACAGTTCGACCCACACCCTCAGGTAGAAATGATCACCCTCTTACTGGATCACGGTGCAAATGTGAACCACACCGATTTGGACGGAAACTCTCCCTTAAGTATCTATTTACAAGCTCCAACGTATGGAGACCGAACGGCAATTACTCGCTTTCTATTAGAACAAGGCGCCAATCCGCTCTGGAAGGACGGTGGTGGCCAGACCTTAGCTCACGTTACAATGAACAATCACAAAGCTGAGGTAGGAGTTCTAGAGCTCCTGTATTCGCATGGTGTAGATCTTAGCATGAAGGACAAGCAAGCCCGGAGTTTCCTACATTACGGAGCAATATATGGTTCACTGCACGATGAAGTGATTCCCTTTTTGCTAAGGAATAAGTTCGACGGGATATATGAAAGAGACCTTGAAGATAAATCACCTCTCATGCATGCAGAAGCAGCTGAAGCGGCTAAAGAAGAGCGACGTCGGACTGGCAAATATCATGGTCCGAGATGGAGAAGGTCGTTGAAAATTTTGAAGCAGATGGAGAATAACAAGCTGATACAATGTGACATTCAAGATGAACATGCCATATCTGTGGATTTAGAGGAGTTAAATTGATGAACGGGAGTGCGACACGTAATGGTATTGTAGTGACTCGAGACATATCAGGATATTATTAATCATCAGTGTTGTGAAAGGCTTGTGATGGCTCGGCACAGTCGATCACAAAGCTGCCCCTAAAAAGTAAGAGAAAAAAAAGTATGCTCTTTGATGACTCCCTTGTACTTCGACACTTCAATGTTGAAATTCTACAATCGAAGAGAACAAGAATACGATCCATCGATACTTAAACACACCATCACATAGGTCATCTGATAGATGTTGGCGTGACACGATAGGTTTCACGACCATAGTTAGACAAGCTTGAATGATAGTAGGACAAGATCAGGAGAATTCGATGCTTCATGAAAGATGATACCATGATACCCATGCTCCCGAGGACCCATATGTCTGACAAGTAGCACGCGGAGTACACTGCCACAGGAAGATCAGTTTGAAGGCGGCAATAGTGAAGTCTTTCATTTGCCGCCGTTCTAATTTTAGATGAATATCTGGCTTACTGCCGAAAGCCCTGATTAATTGCCTAGGTAACTACGATTCAGGTATGGGCTTAGCGGGTGATCAACTTAGTACCTGGAGACACATCTAAATGCTGTTTCACTTTCCTATTGATGTTTGCCTCAGATAGTACCATCGATTACATCAGTGTTTTAGATGAAGATATTTTCGACACATACTCGGACCAAATAAACTTGATTCCTATCCATGCGAATCATATCGAGTTACATAGCCGAAACACACAATCTTGGTCGATTTCAACAAGGCGGTCTTATCATCAAGGTCAATAATAAGCTGCCTACTGTGGCGTTGCTGAGTTTGAAAATTGCTGTGATGTACGTATTGAAATAACCGTATTTTATCATGCACTGATAAGGTTGGTAGGTTACCCCGCAGCGGGCCGCTCATCCACAGGTGGCACAAATAGAAGCTTGTTTCGAGTGCGTATTGTCCCTGTATTGAGCGATACCCCATGCTGGCATGCAGGTGCATCATAGTGGACTTTCCAATCTTGTGCTCAGAAATAGAAACACCCATGTTCAATATTGATTGGGTTCCAAGGTATATCGTGGCCTGCTGAATCCCTGCACATCATGGATGTAAATGCCGTGAATACAGAATGCTACATCATGATACAGTAGTCCGTACCGCTACGACTGATCAGGTGTAGCGTGACCTCCAATTCCGTCATTTTCCTGCAGCCAAATGACTCTCAAGCCACAACAATATCTCAACATCTCCATTGTCCGGTCGATGCTTGGTGATCACTGGTCAGTGATCACTAGTAGTCATCTACCACTAGCTTAGACATGGTCTCATCAAGGCCTGGACAACTAATAAGCTGTTTCGGTTGACAATGGATCTGCACCCCCGTGCCACGAATCTTGCGACTAAAATTTGAGATCAACAAACACTGGCGTATAGTTGAGCTCTGGACACTGAAACTGCAGCCATCGAGCACGACACTCCACCCCGGCCATTGGCTGATGCTGACGTCGTCAACTGATAAGGTTGCTGCTAGTGGCGTTTGAGATGTTGTAGATAGCGCAAGCGATGACGACAAGCTGCAACATATGCTTGTAGCACATAAGCATCGTGAAGGGTTGTCATACGCCTCGATGGGTGGATATCTCTGTGGACGGCTAGCTGGTCAACAGGCAGCCACACTCAGGTCCAGCCCACCTTCTTTCCGCGCGTCAACTTGAGTGAGTCGAGTCAAGTGCTTACTCTTTGCTCATATAAACCTCATCCTCCACCCGATGCTTCCACATCCTCTTCTGATTTCTCTTTCATACTCCTCAATCTGACTATCTTGCTTACGACATCTCTCATTCAATCTCGATTAACCGGGAATCAGTTCTTAACCTACGGTTACAATTCAAATACATCAAATAACACAAGCATCAATTACCAACCATGGCTAGCAAAGTCAGAGTTCTTTTGAATCCCAAGTACAAGCGCAATGGTACCAAGTCATACGTCCACCTTCTGCGCAAGTATGGATTTGATACCACCCTCGATGGCCCTTACTTTCACGCGTCCCACGTTCACCAGCAAGGCAAGTTCACCGCCGCTGGCCAGAAGCCTGTTGGTGGCCGTGCCCACGTCCACCGTACCTTGCAGAAGAAAGTAGACGGTCAGTCAGGCGACGTTCCAGCAGACGATGTTCAGAATGATACCATGTATCTTGCTCAAGTCGGCATTGGTACTCCAGCTCAGACTTTGAAGCTGGACTTTGACACTGGCTCCGCAGATCTATGGGTATGTATAAGTCACCTTTCATTGAGAAATGGGATGTTAGGAATGTGTTAGATGACTGACAGACACTAGGTTTGGTCCACCGAGCTACCATCCAGCACCCAATCCTCTGGATCGAGCCACACAATCTTCGACCCGTCCAAGTCTAGCTCTTGGAACTCTTCATCCGGACAGACATGGCAGATTTCCTATGGAGATGGCTCTTCAGCTTCCGGTGATGTAGGCACTGATACTCTCGATCTTGGCGGAATCCAGATCAAGAACCAGGCTATTGAGCTGGCCAAGGACTTGTCTGCTCAATTCCAGCAGTCAGAGGGAGATGGTCTGCTCGGCTTGGCTTGGGGCAGCATCAACACCGTCCAGCCCCAAGCTGTTCAGACACCAGTGCAAAACTTGATCTCCCAGAACTTGATCCCATCTGACGCACAACTCTTCACTGCTCATCTCGGTGAGGCCGCTGTCAAGAGCGACAACTCCTTCTACACATTCGGCTACATTGACCAGGATATAGTCAGTGCCACTGGTAACCAGATTGTTTACGCCGATGTCGACAACAGCCAGGGCTTCTGGACCTTCCAATCGACTTCTGCCTCCGTTAATGGCAAGACTATCAATCGCTCTGGCAACACCGCTATTGCTGACACTGGTACCACTTTGGCCCTTGTTGACGATGCTACGGTCAAGGCAATCTACGACGCTATCCCAGGCTCCAAGTACGATAGCTCTCAGCAAGGTTATACCTTCCCCAGCAACACCTCTGCCGACAAGCTTCCTACTGTTACCTTTGCTGTCGGTAACGCCCAGATTGCTGTTCACAAGTCTGCGCTCGCTTTCGCCGACGCCGGCAATGGATACGTCTATGGTGGTATCCAGTCCCGTGGTTCCAACCCATTTGATATTTTAGGTGACACTTGGTTGAAGGGTCTCTATGCGGTATGTTCTCTCTATCAAGCTAATAGCACCATAGGAACAAAGACTAACGTACACTAGGTCTTCGATGCCGGCAACACTCGTTTCGGTGCTGTTGCAAAGCCCGACCCTGATGCTTCTTCTTCATGACTGAAACATAGCAAAGACAAGCCCGCGACAAGGTCACGATTATGAAATTTGAAGCATGCCCGCTGAAGGTTTCTAGAATGTGTTTTACTGGCAGTTTTTCCAAGAATGTGTGTACTCTAGTGCTTTTTGAGCAATAAATAATGAGGTTATTAATGATGATATTATGATATTCCTAAGATATGCCGCGGCCCATATGCAATGTAAGATCCCGTAATGTACATGTTATGCAGTCATATGATACAATTTTTGTGAAATATAATACAAAGACCTTCGACAATCTAGTTGAAATCGAAAGATCTTGGAGTTGTCTCTTTTGTAGTCTTCGTCGAACCAGCCGACGCAACCGGCACAGCACTCGCAACCCGAAGAGGAACCCGCATCAGCATCTCCATCAACAAAGCCGCTGCAACACTAACATTCAAACTATCGACACGAGCAGCATCATTGATTCCCAGGTTGGGCCTGATACGTGCTCCGGGGATAGAGACAAAGCCATCCGCTTGGGCTTTGATGCGAGGCAATAGACCCGTTCCCTCGTTGCCGAGCATGAGGACAGTGGGTGCAGTTGCTAAAAGACTTGCGCCGTGATTTATCTCGTTGGCGGCAATAGAAGCCGTGTCATCGGCTAATGTACCGTGCGTCGCAGCCAAATCAGCGACGTTTTGAGGGGAATCAGCAGCATAGAAGCGCCAGCCGTTTTCGCGGGATCGGCGGATGAAGTCGATCTCATTGTTGGCTTTTAGGATCGTCATGTTTTCGGCGGCGCCTGCACTAGCTTTTATTGTGACCGGTGTCAGGGGCGCGGAGTTGCGGCCTGTCAGGACGAGTGCGTCGACACCAAGGTAGTATGCAGACCGAATAACTGCTCCGATATTTCCAGGGTCGAGGATACCATCTAGAAGGATGACCAAGGGGTAACGGGACTTGGCGACTTCTTCGAATCGCTCAACCCGTGCAATGCGGTTGCTCGAGCCATTAACCTCAGCTTCTTCCACCGACTGCTTATCCAGGCCTACTTCGAAATACTCATCCGTAGGCAAAGAAACAGGCTGTAGACTACTAACTGGGATCTGCGGCATAGGCGACGCTTCGAGAATAAGACCATTGTGAGGACGACCAGTGCTCATTTTATCCAGAATCTTGTCCCAGCCAGCAAAAGCCATTTTGACCTGTATTCCGCGGGCGAGCGCTAGTTTACGCAGAGCAATCTTTTCGGAACTGAGTTCTTCTCCAGCCGCTTGGTATATGTATAGCATGTATAACTTGCGGCGCGTGCATCGCAACGCTGCTTCCACCGCGGATAATCCGTATATGAATTCGGATGCCGGTGTTGTATAGGGTATCGTCTCGGGCACGGTTACGTGAGGTTTGACTCGCTCTGGAACTGCGTCGGTGGGCTCGTGCTGCTTGCCTCGTCTTCGTTTGATGTTGTTTGCGCCTTTGCCGGATTTTTGGCTAGATGAATCACTGACATTGAAATTTTTCCCTCTGCCCATCCATCTGTGAGATTCGTCGTGCTTCACGGCGGCATCATTCCTTCGTGTGTAGTCTCTGTATCCTCCATCACGACCAGGCGGGCGGTGTCTATCTGACGAGGTCTTTTTTTCTCGAAAGGATAAAGAAGCAGATTGTCTATCATCCCGAACTTCTCGGAATGAGGAAGAAGCAGATCGTCTGTCGTCCCGAACTTCTCGAAATGAGGAAGAGGCTGATCGTCTATCGTCTCGGGCTTCTCGGAAATGTGGAGTACCTGAGCGTCTGTCATCCCTATCCCTTGAAGGACGGCTATATTTTTCTCTTGATGCATCGATAGCGGCGGACTTTCTTGCTGCGCGCGCAATGTTTGATGTCAGCGATGCATATCGGATTCCTGATAGATGATTTTTCCGTAATATGATTTCGCCAACAGGGTTGATCCTATGACACAAGTTCAATGATCTTTGGCTTAAAGTAGTAATCATCATACTGCTACCTCAGGAAGGTAGGGAAAAACAGACCGATAAAATTTCATCAGTATCTGATAAAGAAACCAATGTGTTCAAACACTAAAAAAAAAGCACCAAGACAGCATTTTGTCCAATAGGAACAATCAAAGCCGCGATATTACCGGATCAACAATCTTCCGAGGCGCGTTCGCGATCCCGCGTTAATTGGCATTAAATCCTTCCTAGATATACATGTCAATAAACGTTTTTGCTTCAAAGAAACCTCACCCCGAGTTGCTTCCATGGCGCGGCACTCACTAAAAATAAAGTAGACTTAACTGTCTACTTATATCACGTTCAACAGAACGTATTTTCCCTGTCTAAAATGTCTTCGTTAGAAAGGGACTTTTCATCCGGATCCGAAGATGCGGATGAGCTCGTCGCTGACTTGCTCCAACAATTCTCTTCAGTTGAAGATCCAGCTATTGGATCCGTCATCCGACATGCTAAATTACCGCCGAGGAAATCCGTAACACGAACCGTCACTTCGGCCTCATTTCCACCGTCAGTATCGCCAGGTTCTGAGATACCATACGTACGAGCATCCTCTACGTCCAAGAGGCCTCAGATCAGTGCCGTCGAAGTCCCTCCATTACCAGAAAACGCGGAGGATTACGAGTTCTTACCCGGTCATTCTACAGCTTGGCGGATTTGGAGACAAAAGCGCGTCCGTGGTAAGGTGCTTTACGAGGTGGAGCTTGCAACCACGGAGAAGGAATGGGTGAGTTTGAAGCGATCAATAGAACTTTTTGGAACTATCTAACTCGCCATGCCATTTCAGTTGAAAGAATCTTTCGTGAAGGCATTAGAGAACGGTTCTGAGGCTATCACGAATTTCAAACAGAACGGCCCACCGAAAGCGAAAAGAGTTAAGAGTGCTATTACAGGCGGCTATAGATCAGGAAGTTACACAGAATCTGGGACAGAAAAATCGCAGTTGTCTGAACATGAGGATGAGGAGGAAGAAGAAGAAGATGATGATGATGATGACGAAATCGTGGTAGTAAGCTCAACAAAGCGCCGTAGAGGCCGCCCGTCAGGTTCCCGACGTCGCAAAATTCGCGGCAGATATGATGATGAAACAGACAGTGAAGACTCGGACAGCCGGCCAGTACGGCGATCGCTTAGAGCTCCCAAACCTCGAGTATCTCGATCTGCACTCCACTTAAACGACGAAATTTCAAGCGATGATGTCCTCGGTACTTCGACGTCTACAGCGCTACTTAAAAGGCGACGATCAGGTAGACAAGCTGCACAGCGTACAACAAGACGCATACGGGAACATCAATACGAAGACAGCGATTCGCAATCACGCAGACGCGGGGTGCGATCATCGGCCAGGACCGCTCAATCTCACAGAAGAAACCTCCGAGAGAGACAAGAAGATGACATCTCTGAAGTGGAGGCTTCACAGTCAGAGAAGAGATTCGCAGGAGCCAAGGAGAAATTTCATCGGCTTTCTAGTGACGATCCCTTCAGAAAACGACATCGGCAAATATGTGATAGCTGCGATACCCAGGGCGATGATCGCGAAAAAGGCTCTCTTGTGTTTTGTCAGGGTTGCACAAGCGCCTATCATAAAGCTTGTTTAGGTCCTCGAAGTCAAAGAGAGCATTTGGTTACAAAAGTCGGCTGGGATCATTTTGTACTGCAGTGCCGTCGCTGTATAGGAACCTCTCAGAAGAAGGATGTAACCGCTCCACATCTAGGCCATTGCACGGCTTGCAATGAAGAAAACCCAGCGTGCCGACCGTTCCGACAGCGACTCAACCCAAAGCAAGAACAGCAACAACGTGAAAATAACGGTGGAGAAGACCCAATCACAACAGTGAACGATGATCTGATAAACAATGTTGATAACCTTTTGTTCCGGTGCGTCAACTGTCAGAGAGCATTCCATATCAAGGAACTACCTCCAAGAACCGACCCGAATCCGGACGAAACAGACACGGACAATCCAGACCCAGATGCCGACCTTGCAACTTTACGGCTCAAGGAATACTCCAGGAGGTGGCAGTGCCATACCTGCATTTCAGCTCCTGGAGAGATTGAAGGCCTTGTTGGCTGGCGACCGGTCGATGCCGAGGCATACATTCCTGGGTATACGGCCAACGACATGAAAGAAACCGAAAAAGAATATTTAGTCAAATGGAAGAAAAAGTCTTATTATCGCACTACATGGATGGAAGGTTCCTGGATTTGGGGAGTCGCTTCACACCTTATGCGAAAAGCGTTCCTTAAGTCGCCCAAATGTGTCAAACCTCAAATGACGACCGAGGATGCTATTCCAGAAGATTATTTGAGAGTTGATATAGTATTCGACGTCAAGTACACGAACATTGTTAGCGCACATTCAAAGGAAATCGACATGGCAAGAGTGAAGGATGTCAAGGAAGCATACGTCAAATACAAAGGTCTGCTTTACGAAGATGCCGTTTGGGAGACTGTGCCTTCTTCGACCGAAATGGAGCGTTGGAACGACTTCAAAGCTGCCTATGACGACTGGGTCTTGAAAGACTATGTCAGGGTGCCCAAGGCTTCTTCATTAAAACAACACCTCGAAACTGTTCGAAAACAGGATTTCCAGACGCTGGCGAAGAAAACTCAGCCTACTTGTTTGACTGGAGGCAAAATAATGGACTACCAATTGGATGGTCTCAACTGGCTATATTACAAATGGTACCAAGGACAAAATGCTATTCTTGCCGACGAAATGGGACTTGGCAAAACAATTCAAATTATTTCTTTTCTCTCCACACTGGTTGAAGATCATAAGTGCTGGCCTTTCTTGATTGTCGTGCCGAACTCGACTTGTCCTAATTGGCGTCGAGAGGTCAAGAAGTGGGCACCTTCGCTTCGCGTCGTCACATACTACGGCAGTGCTGTAGCGCGGAAGCTTGCACACGAATACGAAATGTTTCCCAAGAATGCTCGAGACCTCAGGGCTCACGTACTAGTGACATCTTATGAAACCATGATTGATGACAAAGCTCGGAGGGTTTTAGCAGGCATCCCCTGGGCTGGCTTGGTGGTGGACGAAGGTCAACGATTAAAGAATGACAGAAACCTTCTGTATTCGTCTCTGTCTAGTATCAACATCCCATTTAAGGTACTTCTCACTGGTACGCCGTTGCAGAACAACATCCGTGAACTGTTCAATCTCATTCAATTCTGCGATCCGACCCAGAATGCTCAAGATCTAGAGGCAGAATATGAAACCTTGACCAAAGAGAACGTGCCCGAATTGCATGCAATGATTCGACCCTTTTTCTTGCGACGTACAAAGGCACAGGTTCTTACATTCCTTCCGCCAATGGCACAAATCATCATCCCGATTACAATGTCTGTTGTACAGAAGAAGCTTTACAAATCTATCTTGGCAAAGAATAGCAAATTGATCAAGTCAATCTTCCAAAGCAACCAAGATGCACAGAACAAACAGAATGAACGTCACAGCTTGAGCAACATCTTGATGCAGCTACGCAAATGTCTGTGCCATCCGTTTGTATACAGCCGACAGATCGAAGAGCGTACCTCGAATGCCACCTTGTCGCATAGAAATCTTGTAGAAGCTTCAGGGAAACTTCAGTTACTTGAGCTGTTATTGCCAAGACTCAAAGAACGAGGACACCGAGTACTTCTCTTCAGTCAATTTTTAGACAACCTAGATATCATTGAAGATTTTCTTGACGGTCTTGGTCTGCTCTATTGCCGTCTCGATGGTTCCATGGGTGCTCACGAGAAACAGAAGAAGATTGATGCGTATAATGAATCTGATTCCAAGATTTTCGCTTTCCTTTTGTCGACGAGATCTGGTGGTGTGGGTATCAATCTTGCAACAGCAGATACTGTCATTATCATGGATCCTGATTTCAACCCGCATCAGGATATTCAAGCGTTATCCCGCGCTCACCGTATCGGCCAGAAAAAGAAAGTTCTCGTCTTTCAACTCATGACTCGCGAAAGTGCAGAAGAGAAGATCATGCAAATTGGAAAGAAGAAAATGGCTCTCGACCATGTTCTCATAGAAAAAATGGACGCAGACGAAGACGAAGGATTGGACTTGGAATCGATCTTGAAACATGGTGCAGAGGCGCTTTTTGAAGATGATACCACTAGGGACGTGCATTATGACGCGGAGTCCGTTGAGAAATTGCTTGACCGTAGTCAAGCTGAAAATACTCAAGCTGGCGATGATGCATCCGCCGAGTCTCAATTTAGCTTTGCCCGAGTGTGGGCCAATGATAATGCTGCACTCGAAGATCGACTAGGTGATTCCGAGGCAGCCACTCCAGTGAACACCACTTTGTGGGAGAAGATACTTGCCGAAAGGCAAAAGGCAGCAGACGAGGAAGCTTTGGCAAATGCACAAGCACTGGGAAGAGGGAAACGGAAGAGAGCCGTCGTGAACTACTCTGCCAAAGATAAGGAAGATGAGCAACTATCGCCTGGAGGTACCAAACGAACCAAATTGCAGGTTGAGAGCGACGGTGAGTTCCACGCTAGGGAAGCTTCTTCTGAGAGCGAAGACGAGGAGGCCTTGCTCGAACTCGAGCAAACCAGGAAGGTCAAAGGTAAGAGATTTGCAATAATGGTAACATTCGGCCTTGTGCTAATTTAAAATTTTCTTGTAGCTCGCCCATTTAGACGTGTCGATCCTAACAAGCTCACGCCGGACCCTTCAAATGGCAATACAGGTCTTCCTAAAAGACCTGTGGATCGGTTGCTTCCTTGCCTTGCCTGCAACCAGATGCATCCTGTCGGTTATTGTCCTCTAAAGCTTGCTGGTGTGGAACATTGCGGTCTGTGCGGTATAGCTCACCTTGGCTATTCGCGAGTCTGTCCTCATCTTAACATGGAAGAGCAGATTTTATCCATGCTACAGTCTCTAAGGCAGAGCACTGAGCCGAAATGGCTTGTAGATGCTGCTAGACACTATCTTTACACTGTCAAAGGAGATCTCGTCAAAAGAAAGAAAGCAAAGGCCGACCCAAATCGGCCGACCTCCGCCACGCGACCTATGCCTGTTCAGCCTAACACCAGCAATCCCATCTCCCAGAATGGAAGAGCATTTGGTGCTCCCGCTTCCAATATCGTGTATCCTGCACCTTCAGCCAGCAATTCTTATTCGAGTCCTTATCCCCCGACCTCCTCTACTCTCTAGTACAGTTCTAATATGCCTCCAGTTGCGCCTCATTCACTCGGGCCTTCATCGTACTCTGTGCCTTCCTCTAATGGCTTCAAGCAGCCCTCGCCTCTACCTCCACCGTGAGGCATTGTCACAAGAAACATGACTTATGGTCTATCACAAAGTACTTGCATCGATTTTTTTGATACGTTCTAAGCGAAATGTGTATTCGAGTTAACCATCATTGGGGCGGCTGCTTGGTTTCATTTGCGACTACAAGAGTTTTGTATAATATCAAGAAAATGAGGATTCTTGTAATAGTTGAAGAGGTCATCATCGACTTTTTTGATTCAGCATATTGGTTCAGCATAGTAATGCAATACAGCCATGCTACTGTGACATATATGGGCATTCATCTACGTATCTACGTACCCCGTACTTCTTCTACCTACCATACCTGATTGAAGCTATATTATCTACAGGGAGAGCCGCAAATGTAGAATGTTTGCTGGTCTTGATCTTTAATTCTTTGATTCGGATTGTAAGCAAGGTCGCGATGAAAGATCAGGACCATTCTATGTGCAACGCTATATACTATACATGAATCTGATGGATGAGCATAGACTAGTTAGTACGTACAATGAAACTAAAGTGATCTACCATTGTGGAGCTTCCCGCTGTGCATGCATGCTGCAGAACAATAACCATGGGAAACCTAGGGCTTGGCACACCTTATTTTAATCTCATTATATTGTCTTCTTCTAATGAATGGCTAGGCTTATCCATTTTTTGAGAATCATTAATAGAGAGATAGATCAGCTAGCCTTTGATAAGTGATGTGAGAAAGTATATTCTTTGATGTCTATGTGGTGGATAGACAGTGCAGCCTCCATTGCTGTTCACAAGGCAAAGATGCTTATTTCTGACTTTCAATGAAGACTAAGGCTACGTCTGTGATGGTGGTTTCTCAGTTTCTATTGATCCTTAGTATATCAAGGCAAAAGAGACTCTTCTTGCTTTGATCTTATTGCTTCTTGTCAAAGCTCACCTTCGTCTACCTTGAGCTTCATTCGCCAACAACCACGCCCGATTATGTCGTGGATCGCTGACATATCGAATCTCCTATCTTATTGTCATAGGCAGAATAAGATTGGCTCACGTGAGCTTTTGATGGCTAGTCAATCTGATTCTGAATATCAAGTCGGGTCTCGAACTCAAAAACCATGAACCGGGCGCAACTCAACCAAACGGCCATCTTTTTGAAACCCAGCCTCCCCCATCCCTCTGCCCAGTAAAATTGTCGTGCTTTACAGTCACGCGAGCGCTTATTCATGTATGAAACCGGCAAATCCCGGTCGAAAAGAGATATCGGTAATATGGCACGTGTCAGATGTCAACGAATGAGACAAAGAAAGTCAGTCAAGGAGAAGCTCTAATGCTAGAAAATGTCTCAGCAGCTATCAAATGGTTTAGTGACTTTGCTCAGATTTTAATGGTTGCTGGGAGTTATAAATTTGCTGGGTAGCATGAATTGAGGCTCTCGTAGCTCGATGTCAACGGTTACCTAAAGAGGAAATCAGTCTGATATTGACCCCTTTCTGGCTGTACCAATCAGATCTTGAAGAAATCGGGGGTTTCCCGCCATATTATCTGCTGTCTTTGTTGTCAAGTTTTTGGTAGCTATCAAATTGGTCAAACTGACCTCGTTTGCGCCCCGCTCCTGACCATATACTTCCTCTTCGGTCGCCGCCTTTCTGAGACAGCCTGTAGCTTTTATGACATCTTCGTCTTCTCTCCTCCCCCGCTCCAACCTCCTTGTCTTTTTTTTGTTTGTACAAACGACTCATTTTCCCCCAGACTGTGGATACTTCTGTATAGTCAAAACTATTTAAGCTTGCCTTCCACCCTTCCCTTTGATACTTCTTCATCTCTCCATCTCTTCTCACGATCGTCTAATTTTCTATTCACTGGACACTATACCTCACAGTCTTGCCCGTCAAATATTTCTTCATTCGTCACTTGGGATAGCCTCATTCACTCTTCTCTGTGCCAGATAGCTATACAAAGCTATAGGTGTCGAAAGCCAACTTACTCATCAAGACACCATATAGTCGACAAGACTCTGGTTTATTGCACATTTCAACTCTCAATCATCTATCTTTGTCAAGTCTTAATCTTGTCTCATCTTTTCCCTTCTTTTATCTCTTCAAACCCTCGTTTTCTCTCAATCTCAAATCAGTCGAGAGAAAGCAAAGTACCATCATGTCTGAAATTCGTCCTCAATTCTTCCTCGTTCGCGAGAATGACGCCATCGTCCCTCTCATCGCCCTTGATGAGCTCCCCGCTAACATCACCATCCCTGGCGTCTCTCGCAACTTGGGTATGGCCGACACTGGAGGCATGACCAGCGTTGGAAAGATCTCTAGTCGCGGTGCCGTCTACGTCGTCAACGGTGTCTCCGAGGGCAATGACGATCGCTTCCCACCTTCCAATGGCAAGGGCAAAGGCCGCTTCGGTGACAAGAAGGTCAGCAATTTTGTTGTCTCTAATTACACAAACTCAGCTAATTGACATGGTGTTATCAGCAAACTGGCGTTCCCGTCGATGGCAACGGTCGAAAAATTTACTGTTCCTTCTGGCTTCGTCACGGCGAGTGCATGTTCGAGCAGCAAGGTATGCTTCTTCTCTCATGATCAAAGTGTGATTACTTACAATTTTCCCTGTCTAGGATGTCAGTACAAGCACATTATGCCCCAGGACCTTGACACCATCCGTCGTTGTGGCTTKCATGACATTCCAGCTTGGTATCAGAAGGCGTATGGCGTGTCTGGTCTACTTCGTCCAACTGGAGTCAACCAGAACAACTGGCGTAAGCCTCGTGGTGCCTGGAAAGCCCCCGAGCACAATGACGAGACTATTAACGGCAATGGAAATGGCGCTCCTGCTCACCGAAAGGACAACCGCATCACGGCTACCCCTGAGAGTTCCAACAAAACTGATGGCCCTGTGTCTGGAGTACGCGATGATGCAGCAGAGGCATCTAATGGAGCTAACCTCGCTACCGACAAGGGAAAGCAGCCCGTCGTCGCTACTACCGCTACCACGAAGAAGGGCGGTGCGAACCCGGTTACCCCTACCCACGGTAACCGTATCGTTGATTTTGAACGCATTGGTTCTGCATCATTTGGATACAAGTATGATGCTCCCGCACCCCAAACTCCGACTGAGCGCCTCCCCATGCGTGCTCGCCGTCTGTTTGAAGCTAGAGGTCCTAACAATGACTATAGTACGTCTCCCGATTTCTCTACCCCCTCAATGACCCTTACAGGAAACTCATTTTCTTCCTTCAGCTCCTTGGGAGGAACCCCGCGGTCGACTTCAGAAGAAACAGTGAAGGTCGCTGCCCGGGTCAACAACAAGCCCATTGCTGTCATTGACGGGGATATCGAAGATGCCGACGACACTTTGGACAACTTGAACGACGAGCTTGCAAAGTTTACCGCCAACGAACCTCCTTACCGCAGCATCAGTGAATTGCTTCCTACTTCTCTTCCTGAGGATCGTTTCGGAAACTTGATCTTGATCTGATTGCGTGAAGTTCTTCGATGGCATACTGCTTGTACGAATGATAGGTAACATGATCGAGGCCTCCAATGAAGGTAGTGACGATTTCGAATTTTACTTTTCTTTTTCTTTCTTTCTTGATTATATTTCCCTTTGAAAAACTTTTCAAAATCCTCAAAAAAATATCTTCTATCATGTGTCGTGCAGTGTAATTTCACTTCAATTTCTTCACCTTTTTCGCCCTTTTGGATTGCCAAAGAAACCCACCAAAAGGATTTAACGAATATTCTTTATTAATTTTTCCTTTTCATTTTCTTATATTCAGGTCGAATCGTTTTCATTCTTTCTATATGTTATTCTTTATCGTCACGGGTGGAAGAGGTTATTGGATGGTGGTTGTGTCTGAAAGATGGGTATCATGGAGATCGTGGTGGGTAGTTAGAGAAATCGTCAAAAACATGAGCCTTATTTCCTTATAATTTCTCTCTTGCTGCGTAGCGCTTTGTGGGTATGGAAGTCATGCGGCATATTCACATTCTGACAGGGGGACCTTAGTGCGAGATCGTACCTGACTGATATACCTAGGTAAGCTTGAAACATCAGATGTACGTAGGTATAGAACTAAAAGCTTGAGCACGGGGACTAGTCGAAACGTTTTAAATTGTGGATTGGTATGGTACATGAATGAAATATACATAGGTCGCAGCAACGACAAGCACACTATCTTCGCGGCCGTGCGATGCCTCTTGCTCTTGCAGCAGTCTCCTTGACGGCACCCTTCTCCTGTGCAGCATGGAGATGAGGGTTTTGGCTCAGAGCGGGTAGAGTACGAATAGCATGGAGGATGGTTTCCTTGCCATCAACGATGGTGATGCGTTGCTGTTCCCCCTCGAGACGAAGTTGACGATCCGCAAGAAGCTGGCGCTTTCGGGTTTCGGTCATTTTCCATGAATCGGGGAATGTGTAGTGAACCTTTGGTTTGTGGTGTCGGAGGTCAAGGGGCACATCTGCAAAGGACTCGCCTTCTTTGGCCTCTTTGATTAAGTTTTTGATGGTGTCGCCGAGATAGCGTTTGTTTTGAGCTCGAGCTGAGAACTTTTCGCAAGACATGCGGATAATGTCGGTGTCGGGGTTGTAGCGTGGTCCGACAAGTTTAAGAAAAGTCAAACGCTGCTGCTCGGTCAAATGTTTCGGTACAAGATCCTTGGAACTAAGTTCCACAACCACCTTGTGCTCGGCCGGGTGTTGTTCACCCATGTAGGATGTGTATCGGAAGCGGAGAATTTGGTTTTCCTTTGGCAATTCAAAAGGCTTGGTAAGGTCTGGAGGAATGGCATTGTCAGTAACTGAAGATCATAATTGGGGCATCTCTAGATAGCATACTGCTCAACAATGGCATATCCCAGGCTGCAATACGAGCATACTCTCGCACCTCGCGGTGCAATTCCATCTCCGCGTGGGCCATGGAGGTGATTTCATCATCATTAAATGTATCATCTCCATCCTCCGCATTCGCGAATTCATCCTCTTCCTCCTCTGCCCAGAAACCACGATTCTTCTCCCTAACATCTTCAAATCGCATTTTTGATTCTTTTTCGACCTGGTCCGCTAGAATATCAATCGCTTCTTCTTCTTTCGCTCGTCTAACCGGGTCATTCCACATCTCGACGATGCGTTTATTTTCGGCATCAAAGACGGCTCGCTCCTCCGATGACATCAATTCGTACATGGATTTCTCGGCATCTGTAAAGTTTTCGACCGAGTATTCTGGAATGTCAGCAAGCCGAAAAGACTCGGTTTCTTGCGGTTCGTCGGCATCTTTGGGGAGATAGGTAAAGGGCGACGAGGAGAAACGTCGGGTGGTCTGTTGGAGACAAATTGGCGCGGTGCGCGTGCGAAAAGCTGATGAGACGCTGACGTGCGATCTCTGTGATAGCATAAAAGCCGCACGACTCAGCGCCTTCGCTGTACCGGCCATGATTGATGCGCAAAGCGTCGAGAATTTATGCAATTGACGGTGTTGCTTGATTGTTGCCGACAATTATTTCTGGCCCATCGGGGAAGATTATGCGCTACTCAATGCACTAACCGTTGTTGGTTAGCGTATAATTCGAACAGGAGCATAACGTAAGCGGTGCAGCCGACTTGGACCTGCCTTCATTTCCTATACACCACAACTCGTTAAATTGAGTGCATACTTATCTCAGTATTGCATGCAGCTATGATGAAGATGTCTTGAACGTTGTATTGGTTGATTCGCGAATATGACCACTCCACGCAAAGTGTGTTTCGTGACCATCGGAGCTACCGCTCCATTCGATGCTTTACTATCGAATGTCTTGGACCAACCCTTCCTTGAGGCGCTCAAAACACATGGATATACCGCGCTTTTGATTCAGTACGGAAAAGAGGGTCAGGCGATTTTTGATTCTTTTACCAAAATCAAACCCCCAGGAAGCCCTGGACGATGTGATTTGGATATCAAGGGATTTGGCTTCAAAAGTGAAGGACTCGTCCAGGAGATGCGCTCCACCAAGGCAAATCCGTCTCAAAATGTTGTTGAGGGGATGATTCTCAGTCATGCTGGTGAGCCTCCGGGAAAATCGCTACGGTCTTTAATCTCATGTTGACAACGGACCAGGATCCGGCTCTATCATGGAAGCTCTACGTATCGGTGTGCCTCTTGTAGTAGTGCCAAACCCTGCACTCCAAGACAACCACCAAGAAGAACTCGCTCGTCAGATTGCGAAGAATGGTTGGGCCATTGCCGGTAAATTAGAGTAAGTGGTCTTTAGAGCGATAGACGGCCGACACTAATAAATCCAGCCGACTCGCGGAATCTGTGCAGAGAGCAGAAACACTTCGCAGTGCTTTACGAAGCTGGCCGCCCAAGAATAGTGGCGCACTCAAGGACAGTAGAGGCCTGGCTGGTGTAGTGGAGGACGAGTTGGGTTTTCTCGATTGAACTGACGTGGACGTTGAATTGCTTCGACAGACTCGCTCTTTCAGAAATCATACATTCCACATCCATACGACACTTTATAGCAAGTAGAAGGTACTTTTATACATCGTGCCAAGCAGATAATATGAGCCAAAAGCTCCTTATATTTCGCCGGACGGGTAACAAAGGAGCTTACTTTACTTGGCAGCTATGGCATAGCTCAAGCATATGAGAGTATCGAGTAATTATTAGCACAAATAGAGCGTAATTTGATGGTTTTATCTATTAGCTACGTATAAGCAAACATTGGGGTCGAAAAAAGTAGGTTGGTGGTGCGTTCGGTGATGGTTCAGTGTGTTGGCCCAAGCTCCTTTTCGATGTTGAGGCGCGGACAGGGGAAGAAGAACCGCTCTTTCTCCGCAGGTAAACCACTTCCGCTTCTTAATTCTTCCTACGACTACAACGAAGTTGACACGTCCGTTTCATTTCTTCTTCCATTCTCTTGTTTGTATTTATTCAGTTTATAAAGTTTTCTGTGCGTCCTCTTGTGCTAATCGGCCATTGTTGCCTGACGACGGTTTCGCGATTTGACACGTCCCGCCTGCGCATCTTTGTTTTGAGAACAGTTCGMCCCCCAAACACAGCCAGCATGACCGACGCGAGCCTACACAACGTTCCTATCGTAATAGATAATGGTAGCGGTACGATACGAGCCGGATTCGCCGGCGAAGAAATCCCATCATGTTATTTCCCGTCGTTCGTCGGCCGACCGAAACACCCGCGAGTGATGGCCGGTGGGCTGGAAGGTGACGTTTTCATTGGGCAAAAGGCACAAGACTTGAGAGGACTATTGAAGATCAGATACCCATTGGAACACGGCATTGTCACGGATTGGGATGATATGGAGAAAATATGGCACCACGTGTATGAGAGCGAATTGAAGACACTGCCCGAAGAGCATCCGGTGCTGTTGACCGAGCCACCTTTGAATCCAAGGAAGAACCGAGATATTGCTGCCCAAATAATGTTCGAGACGTTTAATATTCCCGCTCTTTACACGTCGATTCAAGCCGTCCTTTCGCTGTATGCTTCGGGTCGAACGACGGGTGTGGTACTGGACTCGGGAGACGGCGTGTCACATGCGGTGCCTGTGTACGAGGGTTTTGCGGTGCCGAACAGTATTCGAAGAATTGATGTTGCTGGGCGAGATGTGACAGAACAAATGCAGCTGTTGTTGCGAAAGAATGGCTATGTCCTCCACACAAGTGCTGAAAAGGAGGTGGTACGCATGATCAAAGAAAAAGTCTGCTACGTTTCGCTGGATCCGAAGAAAGAAGAAAAGGAATGGATTAATAGCTATCACAAATCGGAGTCGAAAACTATCGAATACGTTCTTCCAGATGGACACAAAATGAAGGTAAGAATTGGACGTGCTCAAGGCATCACTGGCAGCTGCTTACATTTACTCTAGATTGGCCAAGAACGTTATCGTGCTCCTGAGATTTTGTTCGATCCCGAGATTATTGGTATGGAGTACCCTGGAGTTCACCAAATCGTGCAAGATGCAATTACACGTACCGATCTCGATCTCCGCAAAGCCCTCTACCTCAATATCGTTCTATCCGGAGGAACAACATTATGCAAGAACTTCCCCGACCGGTTGATGCGTGAAATCAAGAGGCTTGCCGTTGAAGATATGAAGATTCGAATTTCGGCGCCTGCTGAGCGTAAATACACCACATGGATTGGAGGAGGTATTTTGGCAGGTTTGAGCACGTTTAGAAAGGTAATTTCTTCTGTATTCGCTTTCTGTTCACGACTAACTAGTGGTCTCTAGATGTGGGTGAGCGCGGATGAATGGCACGAAGATCCGGAGATCATACATCGCAAGTTTGCCTAGTCAATAGGGCGGGTAAACTAGAAAGAGATTCTGGATTAGCAAATCCATCGCAATAGACGACGACCCTATGCGTGCTACTCATGTTGAACAGCATTTCGACACTCGGGCAGGTGGTAGAGTGATATATTCACAAATTTTGATTGAGGAGGGGCACTGCGAGGGCTCCTTTTGATACCCCATTGTTTTTTCTTGCATTTGGTGTGTGAGGTTGATATTCTACATGGGAAATACTATTTAGCTTCTTTTGATGTATAAACCATTATTTAAACAACCCATTTCCTCGACTATCAAAGCTATGTAGGGTAGAATTTATGTCTATTTGAAGCAGTTCGGGGTTACTTGAAGACATATTTCATTATGCGCTTGGGCGTACGAGGGATCAAAATTATTGCTGCTGGGGATGCTGGATAGCTCGTAAACGCCTTCCAGATGCGGTTTAGTCGCATCTATGTTTTAGCCAGCGGAACAGATGCAATTGATCAAAAGGCGTGTGATAACTAACCAACATATAGAGGGCTTGGATAGTGAATGATAGCTAGTCAAAAGGCGCGAGAATAAAAATGCCTCAGTCAGATGAGTTGCAATAGTCAGCTATAAATGTCCTGATCTCAGCTCTCGTCAATGTCTTATTCGACCTCAACATCACCACCCCACCGTTCAAACTATCAAGACATTCGCCTCGAAAAAAAAATTGTAAAATGACAGAAAATACCCTTCAATTTCGCATTGCGACTCCCGAAGATGCGCCTGCAATCCGGCAACTAGTCCAAGCCGCTTTTCAAGCCGCCGACACCCGTCAAGACTGGACTGCGGATATGGATCTCAACATCCGCTTCCGGTTGACAGTCGAGGAAGTCATGCCTCGGATCATCAGTCCCGATGGCGCAATTGTGATGGCCTTCGTCACTACCGACGACAATGGCGACGAGAGTCTTGTAGCTTCAGTCGAAGTTGCAAAACGCAGCAACGATCTCGCTCGTCTCTCCATGCTGGCGGTAGACCAGCAACATCAACGCGGCGGAATAGGGCGTGAGATTCTCGCCCACGCGGAAAGGTATTGTCAGCAGAGATGGGGAGTGACCAAGTTTGGGCTGGATGCGCTCTCGACGCGCCAGGCGCTGATTGCTTGGTACATGCGTCGCGGGTATCAGAAGACGGGCGAGACGGTGCCGTTCCCTGTGGAGAAGTTCAGTGATTTGGCGTTGCCGGAGGATTTGTGTTTTGTGCAGCTTGAGAAGGATTTGAGTCTGTCTGCTTGAGTCGGGGAGACATGGCAATGAAAGATATCGCATTTCCTATGCGCATACTTTAGGTCATTGTCATAGGGATGGAAGAAGGGTCCACGAGTGGGTCGATTTGATCCCCACTCTGGGGTATCAACTTCATTTCCAACATCCAATTTCGCTCTTTTGCTTTTAAATTACTGCCAAATAAACAATTTTTTATACATATTAAATAGACCACTCTATTGCAAGTGCTTGCCATGTCAGGATCATTTGACCTACGTATCGCTATCGTCGGGTCCGGGACAATCGGTCTTTCATTCGCAGCCCTGCATCTTTCGCACCCGAACAAAAGAATCCAGGTCATCATTCATGATCCAAGACCTGATATAGAAAACTACGTCAAGACAACGCTGCCAGGTGGGCTGTCTCTGAATACTTAATTTAATTTGTATAGTGTCAACCACTAATGCAGTTCAGAATATCTAAACTCCGACATTTCCCTTCCGCAACTACTAGAATCAAAACAACTCATTCTATCATCGGAGCTTTCAGCAGCATTAGAATCTGTTGACATTGTCCAAGAGCAAGGACCGGAAAATGTACCATTCAAACAGAGTCTATGGTCTAAGATCGAAGATGCAGCCCCGTCAACAGCGTTGTTCTGGTCAAGCACTTCTGGAATCCCATCATCTGTCCAAGGCATCAATATGCGAGAGCCTGCACGCCTACTAGTCGTCCATCCATTCAACCCACCACACATAATGCCGGTGTTGGAAATTGTTCCACCTCGCACTAGCACTACTACCTCATCTGATAGTCACCCTTCGAAAGAATATATAGATAGGACGATTGAATATTGGAAGACGCTCGACAGATCGCCGGTCGTTCTGCAAGAGGAAGTGACCGGCTTCGTAGCCAACCGTCTATCCTTTGCTTTGTTCCGAGAAGCAATTCATCTCGTAAATTCTGGAGTTGTCACCGCTGCAGAAGTGGATCGCATTGTCGAAGAGAGCATGGGTCCCCGTTGGGCTGTCAAGGGACCTTTTTGGAGTTATCATGCTGGTGGAGGTAAAGAGAAAGGACTCCAAGGATTCTTTGACAAGATAGGGGACACCATACAGGCTTGCTGGGATGACGCTGGGTCTCCGTCGCTTCGACGTGAGGCAGATGCTTCTGTGGCTTCTTGGGAGGGCTCGTTGTGCGAGCAGGTCGAGAAGGCTTATGGGATGTTGGAGGATAAGGATCTGAGGAATAGGGATGAAAAGACTAAGCAGGTTCTCAACATTACTAGACAGGGTTAATGTGGTTGCATCAATCGTTTCCCACCTGACTAGCTATCTAGAGTGTTTAAATGTATAGAGATGAGAAGGCCATACCAAAAAATCAATTCGTTTGTCTTTGTCACATGACAGTGTGTGCCTTCCTAATCTGGCCGTTTGCAAGCAAGCACCTGCCTCCTCCCTCCTGCTCATAAATTTCTTTGGCCCCTCCTTCCTTTCTCCCATTTCTTCACTCTCCCCATCCTAACCTTCCTCATTCTCATCTTCTCTCATTTCTCTTCGTCCCAGTCCCCCATCTGCTCTTCAGCAAATACAATAACTCTTGGATCCCAATCTTTGGCATCTGAGAAGCCAAATTGCAAGGTAAGTTGGGTCAATGCCTATCTTTCACTTGGATTTCTTTGTGGGCGTTTGTTTTCTCGCGACCAGTATCATGACAAACGGGTTTTTCCGGTCGACGAGCAAACAGTCGTTCCTTCCTTTGCTTTCCTTCCCGCTTTTCTTCCTTCTTTCTCCTCTTAATCCTTACCTCTTACACCTTCCTCAACCAACACACTTGTGTCATCTTCATCATCATCCTATCACTCAGCTCATCTGTTATCTTAGGCGTCACACATACTGATCTTGACTGTGATAGATGGCAGACTGGGAGAATGAAGGGGCCAACGACGGCCACAACTGGGGTGGACCTGGTCCTTCCACAGACTCTGCTACCTTGAAAGAACAGAACGACTTCGTTGGTGAAGACTCTGAGACTCCTCGTGACGACACCTGCCGCAAGTAAGTTTTCAGGATCGGTTTAAATACCCAGTCATTTGCTCACGCATCCCCCAGCTGCGGTCAATCTGGCCATTTTGCTCGCGAGTGCCCTGAGCCTCGTCAGGGCAGCAGTGGTGGCTGCTTCAACTGTGGTGAGGAAGGCCACAACAAGGCCGAGTGTCCTCATCCTCGTGTCTTCAAAGGCACTTGCCGCGTCTGCAACGAGGAGGGTCATCCTGCCGCCGAATGCCCTCAAAAGCCCGCTGATATCTGCAAGAACTGCCGTGGAGAAGGTAGGTCCTACTCGAGATCCTGAATGTATGTTTTCGACTGATGTCAAAAAGGGCACAAGACTTCTGAATGCAAGGAGAACCGCAAGTTCGACCTGAACGACGTCCGCGATGAGACCCCTGAGGATGCTTGGGCTCAACTCAAGAAAGCTGACAAGGAACGTGACCTCGAGGACTTTCGCGATGTAAGACATCCTACTGAGCATGATTATTGACGTTTATCTAACAATTCTCTAGGCTTTCAAGGTGTACACCAAAGCGGAGCCAAGCAAAACTTTCGTCGACATCGAGAAGCAATTGCGTGACGAGGGTGCCAATGTGTACTTGATTGCCCTTGTAAGTACGACAGATCTACATGCACTCCATACAGCCAGCTTATAGTTCACAGGAGAAGGAGAAGGAAGGGTTCGAGAATTACACATTCATCGACCTCCAGGGAAAGCTGGATCGCACCTATGTCGTGAAGTTCTTCTTCGGCCCTGAACCTCGCCGTAACCACTTGAAAGAGCGTTGGCCAGCCACGCCCGAAGAGAACATTGAACGCCTTGCAGATGCTGGTTTCGAGTATGATCGCATGATCCCTAAGTGTATCAACTGCGGAGGTGAGTACGATTTCTTCTCTCAAGCAAGCAATGGACTGACACGAGCGACAGAGATGGGCCACATCGCCAAGAGCTGCAAGCAGGAGCGCGTCGTGATCGAACGTGTCGAGATCAAGTGCGTCAATTGCTCAGAGGTCGGTCATCGTGCTCGTGACTGCACCAAGCAGCGCGAACAACGCGGCAAGTTTGCCTGTCGCAATTGCGGATCTCCGGACCACAAAGCTGTCGACTGCACCGAGCCACCTAACTTGGACCACATTGAATGTCGTCGCTGCAACCAGACCGGCCATTTCGCGAAGGACTGCCCCAATACCCCCAAGTTCGCAAAGGCATGCCGCAAGTGCGGTGCAGAAGATCATCTATCGCGCGACTGTGACCAGGAGCAGAACATGGACCTCATCACTTGCAACAACTGCGATCAGACCGGCCATTACGCTCGCGAATGCCCCAAGCCTAGGGACTGGTCTCGTGTCAAATGCAGCAACTGTGGCGAGATGGGACACACCGTCCGTCGTTGCTCTAAGCCTTCTGCAGAGGAGGAAATTGGCGTTAGCGATTTCGGAGGGCAAGCTGGAGGGGAAGCCGCCTGGGGTTCAGCGGGCCCTGCTCCTATTGATGAAGAAGTCGGTGGATGGAATGATGACGTCGACAAACCAGCTGAGCTAGCACCAGCTGAGCTTGCCTGGTAAGAACCATTCCGTACCGTACATACAGTCAGCGTGCCACGAACAGCACTGTATTTCAACAACGTGAATGGAGGAGCGTCTTATTTGTTTCTTGTTCCTATCATCTCTTTTCATGTCGATATTCTTCAAGACAAGGCCGGTTGATGTTGTAGAAATGGGAGTCGGGATGTATGTAACTTGAGAGGTGTGCGAGAAGACATGATTAGAACCGATCAATGGAAGCTATTAGCAATCGAAGTACATTATGGAAATGCGACCAACAATTTGGAACAAGACTACATGTGAACCAACCGTGTAATGCGGATATCACGAATGAAATGTAATACAAGGTATCTAATAGATATATCAACGCACGATTACCCAAGGAGGGTAAGTGTGTAAAATCTATGAGGGATTTTTCTCGAACGTTTTGAGAAGCAAGAAGATGTGCCCAAGTTGCTATTTCCGGACACGCGAGACGTGATACATGGTCGGTGATCTGTTCTGGCCTTTTATGTACGCATCTATGGAAAATGATCGTCTATGCATTGAGTACATAAGTACCCTGAGATGCGACACTTTAAAAGATATGAACGTGGTGCTTCTGTCTCCAAGTCGTTGCAGCTGTTTCTACCCAGTCACGACGCATCTACCTAGGTAATGACTCGATTCTACTCCCCTGGACGTATGTAAATATACGGGCCAGACAACTCAGAATAATCTTTTCATAGAACATATCGGACACTTTAGACTTTCTGGGCGTTTTCTGAACCCTGAAAATACTTTGGCTTTCCGTAAATGTAACCGTGGTTAGGTTTGGGGGTTGTATGACCTATCCAACCTCTTTCAAAAAAATTTTTGTAGCGTATAATTCCGGAGAGTAAGTTTAGAAGCTGTCTGTCCGGACGGCGCGAATGCGCCATTTAAAATGCCCGTGTCACGCCCAAAGGCGTCTGACATCGCCCACCGTACTGTAAATTTCTCCATAGAATTTCCCCATGGCACATGCTCCATCCAACATCCAGCGAGGAGTCTCTGTATGGAGTAACGTTAGTCATGAAAAAGATTCAGGCGATGAACTAGACGGAATTACCTCTTTCGGTCATCCCGTATTGTCGAACTTGCGCCCCCCGGGAATAAGTTCCTTTCCCCAGGCCTGAGCCAGCGAGGAAAAAGAAAATTCCTGGGAAAGCAAATGGGGATCTGCCGGGGGTGGCTGGGACTAGATCAAAGGTATCGTTAGTAATATGACGACTATTCTGCATTATTATTTGTTCGAAAGTTTGCGCCGTTGTTGGTATAGTCTACGTAGTAACTTGGTACAGCCTACGACGGAAAGCACTCCGTTCTTCGTTCTTCGTTGTGGTAGTATTGTGATCAGACCGTTTGTACTACAGTCAGTCTCTATTGCTACACACTCTCGAATGTCGCGAGTCAAGTCCGAGAACAATGCGATTCGAGCATCTTGGCGACCCACACCATTCTTCCGTGTTTGATCCTATTCGACTTCTTCTATCGGATAATGGTGTACCCGGGTCGTCGGTTATCGGCATATTGCAACGTAGTACGGGCACAGAAGTAAGGCCGTGGAAGATGACTGATACGTATGTAGCAGAGTAGTTTGTTACTCTGTTTGAGTTTGAGCTTTGTAGAACCCGGATAGGCAGCCAAGAGGTTAGTCTTAGAAGAATTGAAGAAGAGAAACGCCATCAGATCGGCTCCATGTGTCTGACTATCAACGACTGCACGGTCGAAACATGGAAACATGGAAAATTCAAAATTAAACCGAATGAGCTGACCCGTCCCTTGCGTCGACTATGAATTGAAACTTGAAGGTCATGTCTCGCGTGGTCGACGATCGACGCATGTCAAATCTCATGTCAACTAATCCAGTAACCAACCCGAGCATCACATATCACAAGCGGAATGAAGCGACACTCGATAGCAGTCCACTTTTCCTCGTACTCCAATTTCTCCAGATCTTGATTTCCGGCACAAAACAACGCAAGTGGCTTKCTGGCTCGTAAGTGGTCGTTGAAGTTGTTGGGTGTTGGAGATTTAGTTCGGGTTACCGAGCCAGTCAGGGCCGATACGGCGAGGGATCAGTCCCTTGGGTGGATCGCGCATTCCCGATTCTCTGCAAGCATCAATCATGCCGGTGTGAGTGTCCGGGTCTGCTCGTGCATGGATATATCGGTGTGTATGTCGGAGGATATACGAGGTGATGTGTCGAATTGGTCGGCACCACATGTGCTCGACGCTGTCGACGATTGATTTACTCGGTAGTTGGACTGTTGATGTGGCCTGAGGCAGCCACAACTAGCGCGGGCGATCAACGGAATGGCAGCCGCTGCACGTTATCATTGGCCGACTATGAGTATCTGGATCCACCATGCTGTGCTACTTTGAAGTCCCTAGTAGACTCCAGGGTATTACGGAAACATCACATGAGCGTTGCCATATGATAACTCAGCAGATAGTTGGACATACAAAGTAGTTACTATGTAAGCGTAAAGAGTCAGGACAGTGCCTGATCAAAAGAGAGAGCCGGCAAGGGCAAGAAAGGTACACAGCCGGCTTCTCCAACCCGGGACTAGCGCAGGCCAGCCCTGCAGCATGACGCCATGGCTGAGGGCGGTCGCTCCTTCCGTTTTCCCCCAGACTCCACCTTCCTGTAATCAGTGTGTATTGGTACATACTCATAATACTACAAAGTAGCAGTTCCAGCACGCGAGCTACTCCACATCCGGAGACGAATAACCTCAAAAAAGCATCCCCATTGGCAACAATGCATGCACAATGGGTACATCGCGGTTGGTTACTTCTTGGCCAAGAAGGTTGCCTTTACCGTATTGATACGCGATATGCGCATGTGCATGGTATGGCACAGCTTACATAGTATGCTACTATGTAGCTCTCCATGCCTCGCTCGTTTATAATCGCGTCCTCCCCTCTTCTGATCCTTGCGTTTTGTGTTTCTTGCTTCTCCCTGTCAAGCCCAAAAAAATAGGACGGACTGGTTTCGTCTCGGTATATATCTACATCTTCAAATGCGCATCATCATCAATTCGAATTGATCCGGATATCGTGTATGCGACAGTAGAAGCGCGAGTATACCAAAAATGGGTCACGGTGGACGCTCCTACCTGGGCCTTCGAGGCACCAGGCTCAACATTGCAATTGGTGTGATTGCCGGACTGGATTTCCTGTACGTATTTGATGGCGTCTAGTGCGATGCGCATGCTAACAATGCTTAGTCTCTTCGGTTATGACCAGTATGGACAATGTATTCCACGTTGAAGTATATGACTGACCTTCGCAGGGGTGTTATGGGTGGTCTTTTGACCTTGGACTCTTTCATCACACAATTCCCTGATCTCGATACCTCGTCAGCCTCGTTCAAAGCAATGAGCCCATCTGCACAAATGCATCGGTCCAACATTGAGGGTAGGCCTTCACAAGCCTCCTCAGAATTAAAGTTGATTTTAATTGAATATAGGAACCGCTATCTCTGCTTACAACGTCGGATGTTTCCTCGGCTCAATCATCTGCATCTTCATTGGCGACCGTCTCGGTCGTCGTAAGACCATCTTCTTGGGCTCTGCCATCATGGTTATCGGCGCCACTCTGCAATGCACCGCTTTCGCTCTGTCTCACTTCATTATCGGCCGTATCGTGACCGGCATTGGTAACGGATTGAACACCTCCACCGTGCCTACATGGCAATCTGAATGTTCCAAGGCCCATCGTCGTGGTCAGCTAGTCATGGTCGAAGGATCTCTGATTACCGGCGGTATCTGTCTCAGTTACTGGCTGGACTTTGGCTTTTCGTTCCTTGACCCCAGCTCGGTTTCGTGGCGATTCCCTATTGCATTCCAGATTTTCATTGCTTTGATCATTCTGGCGTTTGTCATGTTCTTGCCCGAGTCCCCACGATGGCTCATCTTCCAGGGCCGCGAGGACGAAGCTTCTGAGGTATTGAGTGCGTTGCTAGACACCAACCGTGAAGACACTGTTGTCGAGAACGAATTCACAGCTATCAAGGATACCGTCCTCGAAGCCCAAAATACCAGCTGGCGTGATCTATTTACCATGGACGAGAACCGCCACTTCCACCGTGTTGTTCTCGCTTATGTCAACCAGATGTTCCAGCAGATTTCCGGTATCAACTTGATCACATACTACGCTGCCACCATCTACCAGAAGAGCATTGGTCTTTCTGGATTTTTGTCTCGTATCCTGGCCGCCTGCAACGGTACCGAGTACTTCATCGCCTCTTGGCTGCCCATCTTCATCATCGAAAAGGCCGGCCGTCGTCCACTGATGTTGATCGGAGCGGCGGGCATGTCTCTATCCATGGTCGTCTTGGCTATTAGCACCAGCTTCGTGGGCCAGACCAAACCCGGTATTGTGGCTGCTGTTTTCCTCTTCGTCTTCAACACCTTCTTCGCCTGGGGCTGGTTGGGAATGACATGGTTGTATCCCGCTGAAATCGTGCCTCTGCGAATTCGTGCCCCTGCCAACGCGTTGTCCACTTCCGCCAACTGGGCTTTCAACTTTATGGTTGTCATGATCACCCCTGTGGCATTCCAGACGATTGGATATCAGACCTATATCATTTTTGCCGTCATGTAAGCTTATGTCTCCCTTCATCATTTCCACTCCTCTTGCAATACTAATGATTCACATAGTAACGCCTTCATCTTCCCCGTCGTCTACTTCTTCTACCCCGAAACCGCATACCGCTCCCTCGAAGAAATGGACACAATCTTCCACAAGACCAAATCCATCTGGTCTCTGGTCAGGATTGCGCGCGACGAGCCTCGCCGGTACGGCAAGAACGGAGAGCTTCTCATCGACTACACGCAGACAGACGAGCATTTCCATCATGTCGGTGGTGTGGCTGATGCCGAGAAGCGAGCTGTAAGTAACAAGGATCATGCGAACCCTCAGTATCATATTGAGAATGGTGATGCGGGGCATGTCTCTGAGTCAAGTTAATCGACTGTCGATTATATCTGTGTATGAGCAAGCTCATAGGATCTGAGATCTGCTTATGCGTACATGACCCATGATGAGTATGAAGTTGAAGTTCATGCTCACCACTTTTCTTTCGTTTCTGGATATACCCCATTCATCTTACTAGTTTTTTGATATTTGTACCGTGCCATCTCACGATGGCTGAATAAAGATAGATCATTTATGAGTTAATTATCTGTTGATAGAACAATGACATTTTGGTCTATATATATGTCTATACTTCAATGTTCACAAAAGACTGTAATACAACGAGGAGAAAGACGGTGGCATGCCCGGTTTACATGTGTTGTATTGTCGGGTCTCAGGAGAAAGTCCGAGAGACCAGACGTGACATCCTTTGAGGCAAATCATCAAGGTGACCAATTATGCATCTCTACGTTTGTTGAAAGATACAGTGACAAAGATGCAGATTACCAGACGCTGCCCAACTTATGGCTCGTTAGATCTCGTCCCAATCGATATCGTCATTATCAAAGTCATCACCGTCGGTACATACATGTAATGTTGCCTTCATAATGTTAGGACTATGAATCAAGCCCGACAATAACATATCTAGTCCTTCTACCAGTGACAATATCCCTATCGCATTCGCCTCTTCCACAAAAGGTCACTGCTCATGGAAAGCTTTTCTATCGTTATAGCTTGGTTTTACCCTTGGTAAAGTGAGAGATTATGACTTAAGACGTCACTTTTTATGAAGTGATATTTGGTGTCATTTCAACTATGTTCAAGCAATAGCAACAGGTACAGCCCGCAAAATGAGATGGACGAACCAAGAGGCCTAGTACTACTCCCTACTGTACCTACTCAGGTAGGTATACATTCTGTGACCCTTAGGGCTGCCGGTTGACAGAAACAAGTACTTCCTTCTTTCTACAGTCTACCAGTCACATAAGTCCTCTGATGTATAGATATAAGAACGAAAACAAACATAACATTTGATCCTTCCAAACAGTGCTATCTATGCTATGAAGGGACTAATTACATACGAACATGGAAAAAAAAAATCGCGCACAAAATACATAAGAAAATTCTCATTTCATTCAAATCGACGACGAACATATATCAAGTCATTAACACCCCCAAACCATCACACTCACTCCATGGGCTGATGAAGAGCCGAGAAAAGAAATACAGATCCCACAGGGACGATCAAGAATAGACAAGACACAGGAAAAAAAAGGCTCTTCGGGTTAGGCATGAAGTAGAATGTATGAATGAATTGTATGAATGGTATGGTATGTATGACTATTCTGTATGCTGGTCTTGATTGTCATCCTATTTCATCTCTACCTTGTCTAATTCATGAACATGGTCGAATAGTAAGAGACGAGCGACGTAACGGTAGGGTATCCATTGGTTTGATTGTGGTTGTTGGTTGGGTATTTCTCGGTTTTTATTTATTCATTTTTCTTTCGTAACATTATGGTCGAGATCGTTTAAACGCCACCGCAGAGCTGTAACACGTTAGCATGATTCTTGGCCACGAGTGAAGGGGAAGAACATACAGTCTCAACAATGATACCAGTAACCTGGTAGGGGTCGGCGTTGGAGGCAGGGCGGCGGTCCTCGAAGTAACCCTTGCCATCCTTGGCGCACTGGCGGGGAATACGGATAGAACCACCACGGTCAGCGACACCGTAGGAGAACTTGTCAATGGAACCAGTCTCGTGGCGACCAGTAAGACGAGCCTCGTTGCCCTCACCGTAGACGGCAATGTGCTCAACGTGACGGGCCTCGAGCTTCTTCATGGCAGCCTCAATGGCCTTCATACCACCCTCAGCACGGGTGTCGTCGGTGGAAACGTTGGTGTGAAGACCGGCACCGTTCCAGTCACCGGGGATGGGCTTGGGGTGGAAAGAGATCTGAGCACCGAATTCTTCGGCGACACGGTGGAGGAGGAAACGAGAGATCCAGAGGTGGTCACCCATCTGGATACCCTCGCAAGGGCCAACCTGGTACTCCCACTGAGCGGGCATGACCTCGGCGTTGATACCGGAGATGTTGATACCGGCGTACAAGCAGGCCTTGTAGTGAGCCTCGACGATGTCACGGCAGTAGACCTTGCCGGTTCCGACACCGCAGTAGTAAGGACCCTGAGGACCGGGGAAACCTCCCTTGGGCCAGCCATATGGCCATCCGTCGGGGCCAAGGAGGGTGTATTCTTGCTCAAGACCGAACCAGAAGTGCTGGCTGGCGTGTGTCTCCATCAACTTAGCGGCCTCGTGGCGGTGGTTGAATTTGTTGGGGGTGCCATCGGAGTCCCAGGTCTCACAGAGGACAAGGATGTTCTCTCCCTTGCGGAAGGGGTCAGGGAAGATAGCAACGGGGCGGATATAGACATCGGAGTTGTCACCGGGGGCCTGGCCGGTGGAGGAACCGTCAAAGTTCCACTCGGGGAGCTCGTCGACGGAGGTGACAGCCTTGGAGAGAGTCTGAACAATCATTAGTTGGTTTGGTCTTATCTAGTCGATTATCTCTCGCTTCGCATTGCTGTTGAGGGGAAGTGGGCTGTGGCTTATCGGGGGGAAACGCGGCTGCGTGAAATTGCGAGATAAGGACCACCGGCGATGATTGGTGTAACACGTACCTTGGTCTTGGAACGAACACCACCCTCAGCGTCAATCCAGATGTACTCGGCCAGAACCTTGCCCTTCTGATCGAGGGACAGGTACTTGAGAAGCTGTTTGCGCGTTAGAAGTTGAACGGCCGTAGTCTCGCGTGATCAACCCCAGTGGCGATCTTTGCGATCTTTGCGAGAGGAGGGGATACACACATTCTCAGTGTTGGAAACGATAGTTGACTCAGCCTGTTGCAAGTGAATTAGCGATTGCCTGACTCGAATTGCACGCGATTCGAATCAAAAAACGTACCATGATGACGATGTGTTGTGTAATGACTCAAAAATTGATCAGAGTAAAATTGAAGAAAGCAGGCAGTGTCACAGCAAAGCACAAGAGCAAAGCAAAGCAAACGAGAACACTGAATAAGGAGTATTTGGCAGGATAAAGATGGAGAAGAGTCGAGAGATGCGGAAGAGCGGCGACGGAGGCTTTTTATCTCGATTAGGGAAGGAATTGGCTGGGATGGAGGGGAAAGGGAAGGAGCAGCAGAATCTTTCGTAGTTCCAGTGGGGGGGCAAATGTTAATTACTCTGGGTCACTGTTCCGTGACGGTAAAGATACAGATAAAAATAAAAAAAGGCGCAGCATTCGGCTCTATGGGTCCGGCGTCGTCCCCGGCAGTGTGTATTGATACCTGGTAACGATACACTCGTACATAACGAGTATATCTACTTACTACATAATCTAACTAACTCCCTCTTCTAGCTCAGCTTACACACCCCTGGCATATCTGTCAAAGCGTGGAGGGACAACAATCGATTCATGTAATCGCGCATCTCAGAAAAAGAAAAGAGCAGAATCAGAGTCTGCAGACTGATGGTAAGTGAATTGATCCAAATGACTCTACACATAGTATGTCCTTACACAGCCGTTACGCGCCGTAATCTACCCACACAATCGCGGCCGATAACGCTATCAGCTTCATCAACGATCCGGGTTTATTTCGTATCGTCTTTCGGACGAGTCACTGTTCTCCCCGTCTATCAATAGCCGTTACATATAACGTTAATAAGTTACTATTAAACTCTCTACTTTGTACAAATACAGCCTGCACCAGTACATACATAATTCTACAAGTCTAATCTGAGCCATCACCGCAGGACAACAACAAGACATTAATCGTAAATAAAGTGTAACTGTTCATTGATGAAAGGTGTTGGGCGGTGGCGGTATGCGGTCCGACGTAAGATTAGGGTTTGAGCGCCCCTACCCACGCTTCCCCGAAACCGGCCAATCTTTCAGCGCGGATAATTAATACAAGCCCTCTTTTTCGAGCAGTCGACACATAAAACCAGCGGATGCCGCGCCTTGGGGGGTCATGTTGATCTTTTTGTCAGTCAGTCACGCGAGACGATGTAGGCGATTTATCGCGCAGTTCAGGATTCTCAGTCTCAAGATCTCCGGGGAAGTACGTATGCAACGAATACCAGAAAAAGAAAAATGCCTCGTCAACAGTCAATTAGCCATGTCAAGGATGGATACAGCAATACAACATCTGGCGCCCTGGCATGAAAACTGCATTTAGGCAGCACGTGATTGGCTGCCTTCTAGAACAGAATGCAGTCTAACCCGATGCGGTGATGTATATCGTAACGATGTCTCTCGGCTTAGACTGGGCGTGTTGTACAGAATCTCGAGTCAGCCATTCTGACATTGAAGAATCAAAAAGTCAGTGAGTAATGGACTCGAGGTTGCACCACAGCTCGCAGTCGTGTCAGCTCGGAAATGATCTGTAGACTAAGACATCGAATTGTTCCTACGCGCTGTAAGCGTGGTGTCGACTCACCGTGAACACAGAACTAGCTAGTTTTCTCTAGATTATCTTGATCAATGTAGTTCCAATTTGATATGTCCGTACGTACTACATACGGAACAAGGATATCAAAGGCGGGGAAACACTACGGAGTCCTCCGTAGTCCATCCATCCCATCCAGGAGCACCGTATCTCCTAGGAAACTCTGCATGACCGGAAAAATGGTGGCAAGCGGGCGTAATTCAGTTACAGTACGGACAAGTACAATACAACGATTACGTACCGATCGCCCGGCGCCGGCAATGCGGCCACTCCGCGGCTAAAGCTAAAGCAAGCCCTGCTTAGCGCTATGCATCTCTTATCAGAAACGCCTGATTGGCCGGGGTGACTTAATGACACATCGAGTTGACTGAGTCGGTCCGATGTGTTTCTTGGCTATTTCTGGGTCTGCTGTTTAGAGTTTGATGTATTTATTATGCGTGTGCGATGTTTAATCTTCATGTCTTGTTCTACTATGTAGTTCTGGATGATGATATGTCCATCGACTGTCGACGAATCGACTCGACATGGTAAATCACATTGACATGTCATGGTCAGTGACAGTGTGGCAGTGTGGCAGTAATTATGAAGACACCCCTTGCTTGATTCAAATAAAAACTGATAGAAACCGAGGAGATTTTCAATCTCAATCCATGGTGCAGTAGTATCATAGTATGCGCTTGGTAATGTTCCTGTAGACAGATACCAATACTGTAATACCCGGATACATACTGTCCCTGACGATCCGGCCATCACTTAATCCCTCGTAAGCATTACAGTGCATGCAGTGCTGCACGTCGACTATCTTTCAGGGACAGAATCTGTCTCCGTGGTGACCTGATAAGATACCGAGCTACCCCGGATCCTGATAAGCACACTCAATCACGTCACTCAGAGCTTCATCAACCGGCCTAGTCTGTACACTGTATAGTAATCGGCCAATGACAGGGGCATTCGTGAGAAGAAAGAATGCGGAACTCTCGGGGTCGCTTATAGTTTATCTGATATGCAGGCCTGGCAGGCTAGCCCATACGAGGTAACGTGGCCAATGCTGTCTTGCTTTCATAATGTATCGTGCAGATTATGACATCCCTCGTAATCGACCCACCACATATTCCACCAAAATACTTAAATCCTCGGATACCTCCAGGACACGATTCAGCCTCTTGTGGATCTTTGCCAGTGACTGGTCATTTTGGCTTTCTGATCCCGCCAGATCAGAGACTTGGATAACGTTCACGCGTCCGTTTAGTCTGATTTCGAAACTGACTGATGCTTTTTGTCTTGTTTCCGGTAGTGTGATCGACAATATGATCAACGGCGCCTGTCCGACCTGCGTTCTTAGCGTGATGTCTACTCGGATGTCACTATTGTCTCCAGTCTGAGGATCATTGTAAATAGATATCGTGCCGGTACTATCCGTACTTTCTCTCAAAAGGCTGTTCAAAAGATCTTCGTTCGTATCTCCGTTGCTAAGCATGCTGATTTGTTCAGTTGTTGCTGTCGAGTTGCCAGACATTGATAATGTATCCGACGCCTTTGACGATCCTTTCGACTGGGCAGATCGGCTAATGATCTCTTTACGCGGGAAGACTTTCTGCAAAAGTGTTGCCAACAAACTATATTGTCGGAGTATCTATGCACAGTTAGCGAAAAGAATATGACTTTATAGACGGCAAACTCACTGGGAAAATGTCGGCCAGTTGCCGCGGATGAGAGAATGGAAATTCACGGATAGTCATTCCTGGCGCAGCTTCAAAAGCCTGAAAAGAATAACTATGGTTCCTCTGCACAGGCTCATTCTTCTCATTAAACGATAAAACAGCTGTCCTTCGCCGTTTCTCCGGCATCTCCAATGACTCCGAAGCCATTGACTCGTTACTATCCATACTACCGCTTGTCCACCCAGAAACCAAGAGGTCGTCATACGTCGTCGTTCGGTATTCTTGAGGAATAGCCAAACCAAGATGTCGGTATATGTCGTTTGCTATCAAAAGCGGGACATGGATATGGGGTTCTAGCTTCGCCACAAAACGTCGATTGGCCGTCCCTGAGCCTACCATGCCTGTATCCAACCCGCTGACAGATGGCTGCAGGATAGGCGGTGGCTCGATCCAATTGACCACCGTTTCGGAGGAGTTTGCTGTATCATTGGTCTCGACTGTACTCAGCACTTCCGTCCCAACCCATTCTTTCGAAATTCGTAATGAGGGAAAGCCTTCTTCACATTCAATTGTGACGCTTCGTAGTTTGTCTTGTATATCTGCATCATTGTCGTCGGTATCAACCGCCATGCTGTCCTCTGATTTCTTGATATGGTTTGCATTCAGTATCTGGTGGCCGTCAACCCAGTATTCAAGTCCCATTCCAACACGACCTCTTTTGTGCAAGCTGGGTCTGCCGATAGACCCTGCACAGATGTGATCGAAGACACTGTAAAAATTCCCACGCCGATTCTCGGCGTCCCATACTTTCTGTAGACTATCAAATAAGCTCTCGACCGCCTCGAAGCAGTTAATCTCCTGACTCAAATGATCGAGCTTCGCGAGCCTTTCGAGATTATTCTGGAAGCCTTTGAGGGATTTCCAGGTTCTATTCTCACGTCCTTCCGGAGTCTGAATGAGGTCGCTTTTGAGAACACTTGTAGCTTCATCTCGTCTTTCGCTTTCGCTTTCTCCTTCGAGAGATGCGTAGCTCAAACTAACGTCCTTGACATTATCTTCCCCAGGATAGAACTCGATTTCGAGATCAACAGAGTTTCCAGCAATGCTCAGACTATCATCTTGCCATATAGATTCAAACCCTTCGAGCCTGCCCAGCCTCTCCACTGCTTCTCGGCTTACTCCTCGACCTGCGACCCGACCGCGTAGAATCTGGACAACTTCTTCGATGCGCTTTCGCCGTTCCTCCTCATGATTGCGTGAACCTCCCAGACCAAAAGCGAGAGCGCGGATATCGCTATCATTCATTCCGGAGCTGACTAAACCATCCTGCACATTCAACGCCGGAGTCATGCCTGTGAAGCCACCGAGAGCTAGCAGAGCGGACGGCGAGCTGAGCGAGACCGGGTCGTCCAATCCTGCTGTCGCGGTGAGAGGTGTAGCACCTTGATGCGAGGATGTGCTGAGATGATGGCCATGAACAGTGCCCGAAGCTGAAGGAGTTTTGATGTTAGAGGGAGATTTATGTGATAGGCCACGGCCCATGGGTACGGCCGAAGGGTGAGGAGAGGAGGTCAAATGAGTTGGCGTCGCGCCTGGGTTCGGCCTCGAAGGAGTGGCCATACTGAGTTTTGGGTCTGGGTGTTATTGCATGAATTCAAGGTCGTAGGAGTTATGGTTTGGAGGATTCGAATAGGCACTAGACGCTGCTGGCTCAAGAGGTGCTGTGAATGTCCCCCCTGTCGCTTAGAATGAAAGAAAGTAATCTGAAGAAATAATGAGCGTAGGTAGTTTGTATCTTCAAGAAAGATTCAAAGAAATCGTCTTGCCGATGCGGAGTAACTACCAGAACCTTGAGGCATACAGACACCTATGTTTGCACTGTTTGCATCTAGCTCCGACTCCACTTTCCGTCATATTTGATCAGGAGCTCCCGATCTTCTCACCTTTTCTTTCCATCTTTTTTCACACTTTGTTTAACAAAATGGCTACATTATTGACGCGGTCTTCGCGTCCAGTAATACACAATTTTCGTCAATTGACTCAATCTAGGTTGGTTTCTACACTAAAAGACCATCCCTATATATACACTTTCCCCGATGATGCTAGACCGGGGAATCATGTTCTCTCCCTGCTGTCCTCAGAACCACCAAACACCGATCTAGCCATTGGCACTACATCGAAACTTCCACCTACTCCAGACTCTTTCACGCAAAATTCCAAATTTTTGAAGATTCTTGATGAGGTTGTGGCTGAACATGCCGTCGAAGATCCCGAGGTTCAATCCCAAGCTCAAGTGATGGTGTCCACGGCGGGTGCCAACTTGGGTTCGGGTGGCTTCTTCTTCGCGCCTCAACACAACCAGAGGAAGAGGTCTGGATACGGACAGGGATTGAACACTGGTGGTGATTCTGCAGGTGGTGCGAGCGGACAAGGTGGTGCTGGCTCTGGCGGAAGGGGTGGCTGGATTCATGTATCTGATAACCGCCGGCCGCCAGAGTATGGTCGGATTGCGTGGTGAGTATCTAGAAGAGGATACGAAAAATACCGAGACTAACAACTTGACCACAGGCCTGAGGATATTTTCGGCAGTGTCGAAGTCGATGGCAATGGAAACTTTGTCGGAAACAACGGGAATTACCAATCTAGTGGTCAGTACCTGAACGAGCTAACGAGTGAGCCCTTAAGCTAACAGCACACAGGAACCTATCGAATCATTACCCGTGACGGGATGTGAGTAGTTGATTAAATTGTTGATGTACACAGACTAACGAGACTAGTCTCGGACTGAGCCCGTTCCTGCGAGAGAAGCTAGTTGAACGACTTCGAAAGGCCGGTTGAGAAGTACGCCAACCTTGAGAAACCACTTCATGCCGTTGCTGCAATCGATAGCAACCCCAAACGAATACTTCTAGTACAATGATCGTACCAAACCCCGCGAATTACATGTAGGTACTATCAGTCCTTACATTTCCCATGCAGATCTCTCGTCCTACATGATGACAGCACCGTTACCCAGCTCACTCAGACACACAAGTTGTGATTGATGTTAAACACGTATCTCAACGCAAAGCTGAACTAGGACTTGTTTCTTTCTATATCTCATAAGTTTGGATTGACATGAGCTAACAGTTCTGCTCGAAATAGGCGTCGATCGGCGATTGCCAAAAAGTCCGGGGCTTAAAGGTTGGCATAATGTCCCCTTGAGACTCCGGCCCTCTATATATGGAATATGGAGGTAGAACACACATACTCGTCTCGTAACGATGTCATGTAAATGTATAATCGCCATGCGCGATCTTGGCAATCAGGGTATCTTAGATGAATCTATATACATATATACTACTTTTTGATCCCAATAACAGCCAAATTCCTCGGACTCTCCGCATAATCAAACACCGGCTCGACCCAACAGTCCTTCACAACCCCCGAAGCCATATGCTCCCTAAGATACTGCCACCGATCAATCACAATCATAGCCTCCACCAACGAAGCACTAAACGACATCATAATCCAGACGATACTCAGATTCTTCTGCGCATGCTCGAATTCTGCGACATATCTCTCCAATTCTGCAACAGTGGCTTCTTCATTGTCTAATATAGGCGCTAGTTTCACGCGATGAGCGGGTTCTTTGGCGAGTTTGTTCATTGCTGTTTGCGCATATGTGATGAAAGTCTTGTACGCTGTTTTGCGTAATGTGCCGATTACAAGCGGCGGGTTGGTCTCCCAGCTATTGTCCTTTTCTACCGGGGGTTGATCACGAGTCAAGACATCGATTGTGGCGAGTTCAGGCTTGGGAGCAATGCCATGATCGACGAAGAACTTTTGTAGTAGAGCTCGATAGTAGTGTCGCGTAAAGAATGCCTTGGTTTCTTCCCGCGACCAGTTGTAGGGTGCCTGACAGGCCATCATGCGCGCGGTGATGTTGAATTTTATGCCCTCCCCGCCGCTGTAGGGGTAGTGCTCGAAGAGGTTGGACATGGGGAAGCCGTGGGGGTCTTTGGCTGTTGCGCCGATGCTAAGGCGTTGGTGCATGTGGCGCAAGACAGGAAGATTGTAGGTTGGTGGTCCGAGGCGTTCGGTGAGCAGGTTGTAGCAGCAGCCGATCATGGCGATTGCAACAACGGAGGGGTTCAGAATGAGAGAGCGAATCCCGTGGTGAAGCAGGTTGCCGCAGGAATGGAGTGAGACGACGAGGACGCGGGCGTTGTTCTGTTTCGTCGCGACCTGAGATGAATCTTCATCGGGATCGGGGTTGACGACGTGCCGGATGATGGGTTCGAGGTAGCCGTCTTTGATGTTGTGTTCGATATAATCCATTGTGCCGTGCGGTTCTAAGTCTTCTTCTTCGGCTTTGTGTGGAGCGTTGGATGTAGCAGTTGCTAAATCCTCCGCACTAATGTCGAGTTCCTTGAAAACACTGAAAACAGCCCCATCTTCTTCCTTTCTCTCCTTTTCTCCCTGCTGGACCTCCGGAGGACATGTTGGGCAAATATCCTCAGTCGCAGCACCATTCCTCAACTGCTCCTTCTTCTTATCATACATCCTAACCTCCTTCTTCTTCGCCATTTTCGCCGAAACATCAAACCCCTGCGCGCCTTTTATATACGCATGCTTGCGCTCAATTGCAATTATATGCCGATTATACGAATGCGCCAACGTCCTACCCAAATAATTCTGCCCCGACCCGAAATCTGCTATGTGCGTGATTGGTTCCTTCCGACTTTCGGAGACGGATGTGGTGAATGAATCGACGTATTTGGAGAAGTGTTCGACTTCGTGTAGCTTTTTGTCTTTCATGCCGATGGCGAGACGTTGTGGGATGGCGCTGGTGTTTTTGGGGATGGTGGAGGTAAAGTCGCGTCGGAGGCTGAGTCGGCGAATGTCGTGGATATAGTCTAGCAATGAAGGTGGTGGTGATGGGCCATTCTTCCATTCTTCTCTTTCTTCCAGTGTCTTCCAGCCTGCGCCGTTGGGCGATCGGAATGGGGATAGATCGTCTGTTAAAACCAGATCAAGAATGTCGTACAGGTCATGTTCGTGGAAGAAACTGCGCCAGTCCTCGGGGAACAAGGTCGAGTACATATCGGGTTCACTGGTCAAGAAGTCGAGGATATGGACGCCACCGCACAGATTGAGGAAGAGGGGAGTGGATGTCGCGAAGGAGAGAAGTGCTTCGATGTACGAGTCGACATCTTTCCACTCCTCGTGAAGGGGGAGGGGCAGGGAAGGGCCCATCGTGTGCGCTGAAGAATTGAATCGATACTTTGGTTACACATGTGCTGAATATCAAGTGTCAGTATTCCGGCATATCAATATATCCTGCCATCAGCCATGATATTGCATGCTGTGGTTACCTAAAGGCAGTGTTGTCCTGGCGGGACATTTTTTGAAGTTTAAATTTTATCGTTCTTATCATATCGCTTATCGTTATCGGGTACCTTTTCAGTCCCATACTTAGGACTGTACATATTTAAGGTGCAAGGTACCTCCACACAGAATCAGGTCATGTTTTTTGAATATCATATGTTTAAGATTAAAATCAAACCATGTCTCGTACAGAAGGCTTGATGGACGAATAAGTTGTCGTGTTATCATCAAAACGTGTGTACCTAATGGGATGATAGCGCAAGTTGTCAGTCATCACATGCTTCTAGGTACTACCAGTAACGCTGGTTCGGTCTCATTATTGAGTCTCGCTTCATGGTCAATATGCGTATCGGCATGAAAGTATCAATGCAGCTCAGTTTCAACAACGTGTAATCAGCAATCCTGCACTAATGGCTAGTCTGCTGACGGCGAAAGGAGACAATGAGCCCACTCCATCGGCATCGTAATAGATTAAATAATGTCCGCACTATATTGCGCTATTGCACTATTGCAACTGAATCACTAGCTAGGGCTCTCAGGAGCGCGTTGAGGTACAGATATCGGTATCGTACATCTGACTACTTTCGTAGTCGAGGGGCAACGAGTCAACGGCAGTAATATCGCCGTCATGATCGACACTCGCGACAAGGATTCAGAGACATGGGCGGCAAACATAGTCGTGCGGCGGAGGAGCGGACGTTGGCAGAGGATATAACGGTCAGTAATCAAATGCTCCATTGTGATAGATTATCGTAATAAATTCCCCCGATTCGGTCAGTATGTCGGGATATTGGGCTTCATTTCATTGCAGGCACGGTAGTAACCTAGCAGCATAGTCAGATTAGCCCACCGTAGCGAGCAGTGCAGTGAGCACTCATCACCTGGCCAGTGACCAGTCAGGCATCAGCGGTTGTCCTCCATAGGCGAAAATCAAGGTAGCGGCGATATTTGGCCCCCAAGTTCCAAGTCATCTCCACTCTTTCCGAGCTCCGTGAGCTTGTATTTGCGAGTTTGTACTCCGTTCTGTAAGTAACGTGGAACAGTGCCACGGTGAGTGCACACCCATCGATGCCTTACAGCCCTTGGAGAGACCCTGTTCGCTTGGCGAGTATTGGGCGTAGAGCGCTGATTTGGCGAGCTGGCTGATGGAACGTTAAAAAGGTGTGACGAGCGAGGGCTTGGCGGCATAAGTCGATGCTTATCCCTGGCAGGCTTCTGTCCAGTGTCGGGCTGTTTGAGTCGTTGACTGAGGCGTGGGCGTCGAGTGTTTCACCAGTTCGGCTGTTTTCCTGTGCAGAGAGAGATTAAATGAAAGAGAGAGAGAGAGAGAGAGAGTCTGTGTGTATGTGTGAACTACTGTGTAGACTGCTGTGTAGGGAGTTCAGAGAGGAAGAGTGTCCCACTTCCTCCTTCTAGAAGCCGCACGGCCCACTTGGGGGCTCCGTCCTTAAATCGCTTTGATTCAGCCTGTTTCTTTCGCTCCTCTTTATTTATTCTTTGCCTGTGCATCTCCTATCTCGAGTTCATTAATCATAATCCGAGTCCTTCATTGTCATGCTTCATTGAATACTGCTTTACTCGATGGCCCCAGGACTCCGAGGCTCCTAGCCAGCCACACGGACCCCACAAGATGTTGACCGCGCCGTCCGGCAAATCATCAGATGAATCTATTACCGCCAGTTCGAGAAGGAGGAGGAGGAGAGCGTCAATATAGTATCAACAGAAAACCCAAACCAAAAATAGAAAGAAATGAGCATCAGACAGATATGTACGGCGAGAGACCCGTGATCTTCGGCGGCGTGCCGGATGTGCTCTTCCTGATCCTGAGCATGGGCGATGCATCAACCATCCCCGTGCTGTGTCTCCTCAACAAGGCTACCTACGAAACCATCAAATCCCATGAGGCATTTCTATGCACATCGTACCTGCGACTCCACGATTTTAATCCGCCCTTGGACAAAATCCTCACCATGGACCCATACACCGGCCATAGAGCGCCGCTCAGTTTTGTCAATTTGCAGAAATTCGTGTTTCGAAGGCAGACGGMCCTGATGTTAGCTTCGCGGGTTGCTCGCTCGGGTTGGGGCGCTTGGTGGGCGATCAAAGGTGGTGCCGGGGAGATGGATGCAGAGGCAGAGATGTTTCGACAACGCGTGGAAAGGGGATTGTACGTCATGTTTCACATGTCGGATATCGCCCGAGACGTCGAGCGGATCAAGTTACGACCGCATAGAGTTGCGTGCAGCATTTATCGAGTCTTATTGTTGAACTGGCTGCCTTGCGTACGATTCGAGGCAACGGGAAACTCTCGCAATTGGTGGTTCCCTCGACACATGTCCCATATCTATGTGGTTTTATTACGAATGACGCAGCAGCGCGAAATTGGAAAGCAGAGATGGCGATTTCGCCAAATGCTTGATCTCGAAAGACGGGTCGATTTTCACATTGCGTTACAAATGTTGCGCCAGTTTTTGGAGACCATCATCTTCGCGCATTGTCCAGATGACGACGCGAGTATCAGCAGTTTAGGTAGCGAGGACGTCGACATCACGAACTGGTTTCTCCTTCGACAAGGCGCACATTCACTGGAAGAGATATTCCTTGAGCTCCCCGATCGAGACTGTTGCAGCATCGAAGATCGTGCCCGGAAACAGCAAGATGGCGTGCCGCCTGTATGCGACTACTCCGAAGCGTTGAAGGAATACTGGGATGCGCGCAATGGCGACGAAACTGTTGACTGCAAACAGTGCGAAGCGTGGCTGAGAAGTTCGAGTACGCAGAGCATCCTCAACGACTTTTTCGGGTTACATGCGCTCGATCTCGGCAAGGAGTGGGTTCGACAGATGCGCGGAGAAGGCGAGCTTTTTGAAGGATAATCCCCTGGTCCTTTCGGTTTCTTCATGAATTATTTAATGTTGCCTGCGGATGATACCACTTTCTGCGATGATTGATTGATTGCTATGAGGCATTGAACTGGCGTCTTATCTACATTATTATTATTGATTATTGATTGTTAGAATTTTTTTTAGCATTTATAGACAGGCTGGTAGTAATGACATTGACCGTATCACTCATTCAATGAATGTAGCTTGTACTATTGTAGGGTTGGCGGCTGGCTGTGGTTGGTTAGCGGTCCGTTCCGGGATAGGTAGACAGCTTCGGCGAGATAGTAACTGTCTACATCAACATCATCGCATCAGCCATACACCGAGTCAGTAACCGCACCGAACGAACATAAAAACAACATTGATACTCTCTGATTCTGATATAACATCACGATAGCCAACACAATGTCGGAAGATCCCTTCCTCCAAGTGCAGTCGTAAGCTTCAAGCTTCTACCCCAAAGACACACAACAACCAAACTAATAGCGGCCAACAGCGAAGTCCTCAACACCCTCCAAACAATCCGGCCCCTCTATTCATCCTTCCTCCGCATCCGCTCCCTAACAACCTCCCCCTCGAACCCAGAACTCCTCCAATCCCGGACAGAACTTGAATCAACCCTCGAAGACCTGCGGGCCGATCTAGCAGACCTAAGACAATCCGTGCGCGCTGTGGAACTCGATCCTTACCGCTATGGCCTTGAGCTCGATGAGGTAGAACGTAGGAGAGGCTTTGTGCAAGACCTGGGGCGGGAGGTTGATGATATGGCTGCTGAGATTGGGAAACAACCGACCACTACATCTACGACGACGACGAAAGGAAAAAATGCGCTACCGAATCCGTCAGAGTTTGATGCGCTGTCGCCGGATATGGATGATAAGTTTGGCGGGGAGGGAGATGATGATTACTATGCGAACTTTGAGCAGCAGCGGCAGGTCGAGATGATGGCTGCGCAGGACCAGCAGTTGGATGGCGTGTTTCGCACGGTGGGCAATCTGCGACTACAGGCAGATACTATGGGACGAGAGCTAGAGGATCAGGCTGTCTTGTTGGACGATGTGGAGGGTCTGGCGGATACGGTTGGGGGAAAGCTGGCCAGCGGGATGAAGAGGATCAGGACTATTGTGAGGAAGAATGAAGGTAAGGGACCTCTGCTGGAAGCTTCATGGGGAAGGTATAGAATTCATTCAAGTTGCAAAACTAATCATGTGGTATAATAGATACGTATTCGACTTGTTGTATCGGAATACTTCTTGTCGTCCTCGTCCTCCTGTTCATCCTATTGCTTGTGCTGTGATAATCTACAAATGAAATGGCCGAATAATAGCAAACAACTTTTTTGCGATCATTCGATTGTCCAGACGGCGATCAATCTAGGTCTTGACCTTCTTGGCTGGACGGTCTTCGTCATCCTCCTCATCTTCGTCGTCGTCAAGTTCTTCAATGTCCATCTCGTCGTCAAAGTCATCGGCAACCGAGTATGATTGGACTAGCGAAAACTCAGTTAGCAGGGCTGATGAAGTCGAGAAAGGAACATACCATAGTATTTGAGAGCATTGGGCCAGACTTCCTCGGCCAAAGTGTTGGCGATATCATCAGCGTCAGGGAAGATCTCGACAGTCGAAAGGCTCTCTTCGTCTTCATCAAAGTCATCATCCTCATCCTCGTCCTCCTCATCATCTTCATCATCGTCAACCTTTTCGCCGTTCTCAATCTTCTGCCAGCGCTCAGCCTCCTCCTTGTCGGCCTGGGCAGACTCCTCGGCAGTAACGGAGTTTCCGCGGTATCCAAACCAATTGAAGAAGCTTACGCCACTGGGAACGGTGTCGTCGTCGGCCTCCTCGTCATCGTCGCCGACAAGAGCGTCAGCCTCAGCCTCGACCTCCTCGAGCTTAGTGACGAGCTTTTCGTATTCAGGCAAAGAGGTACGGTCAACACCAGCACCATTCTTCTGCTCAGCCTCGTACAAGTCGCAGGCGGCATCCAACAAGCCCTTGGTCAAGTCTTGATCTTTCTTCCAGTTGATGCGCACGGGAGTGGAGACGTATCCCTCCCAGACGTGACGCTTGCCCTTGGGGGACTTGGTGATCTTGGTACGGTAGTGAAATTCCTTGACGAGCTGGGCATTGGTGAAGTAAGGGTTTTCCTCGCCCGTGGCAAAGTCAAAGGTGAAACGCACGCTACGAGGGTCACCGCCGTTGCCGTTCTCGTCGACGTCGCAGCGCTCGACGGTCAAGTTCTTGAGGCATTGGCCGATGACGGCGGCGTCAGAAGCGAGGATGTACTCGTCGATTTCCTGGGGCGCGTTGGAGAAGACGCGGGGCCAGAAATCGGCTTCCTGGAGATCTTTGGAGGCAACCAAGGCATTTCGTTTGGCGTAGAGAGGGCGCAGAACGGGGATTTGTTTACGCACTATTTGACAGCATTAGCTTTGTACCTAAATCTCGATGGTGAAAATGAAAGAAGGCAACGCACATTGCTCAATCTCAGCACGCACAAACTCCTGCTCGAGCTGGGAGATTTTGCGACCAACTTCCTTGGGGATGGAAGGGAGAGTGATGCGCTCAAAGAGCGAGGGGGCTTCGTCTCCGGACATTTTGTTCGTTCTATCGAAAATGCAGGAAATCTAATTTTAAGCGAGTGAGGATAAGCGAGATGAATAAGTGAGTGATAGATAGTAAGTGAGGGATGTCGGAGAGAAAAAGAAAAAATGGTGTCGGAGGTGGAAAGTAAAATAAAAAAAGCCCAAGCTAAGGAAGGTGCCGGCGCTGATTGAATGACGGCATGCCCCACTGGGCTGTCCGTCTACTTCTGTCTCCCACCTTCACTCTTTACTGTTCATACATTCTTTGCATTCATTGCTTAGGTCTGATGTCTGCCACGAGAATGATGAAGCCCTATCTGACAAGCCCTATCTGAGAAGATCTTAGTTGATGCTGTTCGAAGCTCAATCAATGACTGTCCATTGATCTTCATCAATGTCAACACACAGTCCCATTGGCCGCACCGGGTGCGCCAATCACATGCATCGATTGACTCCGCTGCTGAAATTATTATCCAAGAGAATCTCTTTTATACGACAGCGTGTTCCAAGTGATTGCTTCTTGAATTCTGGATTAAACAAACATCGTTTGACACTCTGTCAGAGTCATTGTAGGGCGAATGAGCAGACCTCGCTTAGACGATAATCAATTTCATACGACGTGCCTATAGTGCACGACATCATCTGTTCTCATATATACAAAAAAAAATGTCGTCAATCACCAGTCAAACTCAAGAAATGGACACTCATCAGATATCCAGTTCCATCCCAGAGTCTCAGGTCCTCATCATCATGACCGGTGGAACAATCTGTATGCAGCGCTCCCCCTCCGGCTTCGTCCCCGCGCGCGACTTTCAGCAAACCTGTCTCGCCAAGATGCCTATATTTAACGACGGCTCACGGCCATCTGTAAGTATGGACGTCGTTGTAAACTCTTCAGGCGAAAAAAAGAAATATGCGAGTCTGAGGACCCCGCCTAGTCTGTATGATCGTCAAGTGCGGTATACGGTTTTTGAGTTTGAGGAGTTACTTGATAGTAGTTCGATTGACTCCAAGGGTTGGGCGGAGATTGCACAGACTATTTATAACAACTACACCTTGTTTGATGCGTTCGTTGTTTTGGTACGTTTCCCTTGGGGTTTTACATCTAGAGATCATACTGATTTCGAATAGCATGGAACGGATAGCCTGGCTTATACATGCTCGGCACTAAGCTTCATGCTTCAAAATCTGGGAAAGCCAGTTATCCTCACAGGGTCTCAAGCCCCCATGCTTGAACTGCAAAACGACGCTTCGGACAATCTTCTCGGTAGTCTAGTTGTCGCAGGCCACTTCATGATCCCCGAAGTATGTCTATATTTCAACTACAAACTCTTCCGGGGTAATCGAACCACCAAAGTGGCAGCCAGTGATTTTGCAGCGTTTGATTCTCCCAATGCGCCGCCATTGGCTGTGACGACCTCGATGAGGACGCATGTCAATTGGGATCTGGTGCATCGGCCGACAAGCATTGAGAATTTCAGTATTCGGACAAATCTGGATACGAGTCATGTTGCATGTCTAAGGATATTCCCAGGTATCAAACCAGAAATGGTGGATGCGGTTTTGCAGTTGAAAGGGCTGCGTGGGCTTGTCTTGGAGACGTTCGGCGCGGGCAATGCGCCTGGTGGGCAGGATAACGCCATGACCAAAGTGTTGGCGAGTGCGATTCAACGAGGGATTGTCATTATCAACATTACTCAATGTACGTCACTTTCTTCCCGTTCTGTATAATATTAGGATGCTGACTTTGCAGGTCTCACTGGCCATGTGAGCCCCGTATATGCGCCCGGAATGACTCTATTTAGGGCTGGAGTTGTAGCAGGACAGGACATGACGACGGAGGCAGCATTGACGAAGCTTGCATACCTCTTGGCAATGCCAGACTCAACTCCTGAATCAATTGCAAAAGACATGGCCATCTCATTGCGCGGAGAACTCACCTCTCACTCTCAAACCGTCTTCCGACATCCTGAAGGAGGACTTTCTGAGCGAACCACAACCCTTACAGCACTGGGATATGCGATAGCACAGGGCGATCTTGACAAGGTCAAAGATTTGTTGAAAGGTGCGAATGACTGGGTGGTGAATGACAGTGATTATTCAGGGAATACTCCTGTGGTACGTCTACATCTCTCTTCCCTCGTTTGCTTTCTGACAGAGATCTAGCACATCGCCGCACATTCACCCTCCCTCGAAATCCTACGCTACTTTCTCCTTCAAGGTGCATCAGTCCATCTCCGTAATAGCGCAGGACGAACACCGTTGTTCCTGGCAGCTAGTGCCGGTCTGATGGACCACGTTGTGCTCCTCCGCAAATCCGGCGCCCATCTTCATGCAGATGAAAGAGCGGTAGCAGAGATGCAGGCGCGCCGACGACCGGGTATATGGGCATTGGCAGGAGTGGGTGCCAGAAGTATGAAAGAACGAGACGAGCTTGAAAATAGTAATCGTGACGATGGTATAGAGCACGCTAATAGTAACGCCGGGTGGACTGGTAATGTGCAGACTTTGGCGGGGTCGGCGCCAGCGTGATAAGATATGTATGAATCCTGGCAAAGCGTTTTTATAGATTACTCATGTATTCAACGGCAGCGGGAAGAAAACGTCTAGCAACTTTAACTATCTACAAGCTTAGCCACACTCTTTGACTCGGACATGGAACGTTCACGGTAGTAATTGACACGATATCACGGTTGTCAATTATCGTTCACACCCAATGGGAAACTTTTCCAATGTATCTCCACACCAGACAACCCAAGATTATTACTCTTGGGTTCCAACATCAAACTAATTTGGTCGAGGAATAATCGACTCACTTGGTTCCGAGTGAGGCTTGTAGTGAAGATCGAGAGTCACCAGGGAAATGGCGCCTAGAGCTTTATAAATAGACGATCCTCAGCATTTCCTTGGAGCGCTCAATCATCAGTCGAGGGTCGCGTATTCCAGGAGACTTCTTTGCAAAGTCCGATATATTGTACGAATATGCATGGCATCGACAATCACATGTAGCCGGTCAGGCCATATTTAGATACACTCTTGATTGGCGGCGGGTGGAAGAGTTCAATGAGCAGCGCTCATCATGAATAAACCTAGGTAGGGGATAAAAAGACAGACTTGCCATGAAAGCTACCAAGCCTTGAATGGCAATGAAGAGGCCAGCGAATATAGGATATCTTGACCAATATATTGTTCCCGGAGAGTAGACAACAGCACGCTGAAGCGCATGTGAAGCTAGGTAGGATATTTTTATACACCCCTTTTCTTTGTCGGGATCTATATTTCCGATTCCACGACTGTACCTAGCTTCAAAAATGTGTGTTTAGTACTTATATTACCGAATATGCCATTCTTGTCAACATTTCCCTCTCTGTGTACTGAAGAATCTAAGCTACTAAAGTTCATCCATTTCTCAAGGGAGAAAACGATGACGAGGTTCTGGAATCGTAACGCCGATACCCCTGTAAGTCACTTCAGTTGGTTTATTCTTGCACGGTATACTCACTCTTGATGTTCGAATACAGTGGGGATTCGCAATCTACCGCACCGTCTACACTGAACAGTCGTCACAAGTATGGAAGGACGTGGTCGAGAAACTCGAATCATACCTCTTTTACAGCGTCAAAAGGGATATTGAGGTAAAAGCTCGTGACATGTATGATGAACTGGAAGATACCTACGGCTCGGTGCTATTCAATGATGCGAGTCAATTCGACGGGATGAGCATTGATCGTGTGCGGAGGCATTGGCTTGCAATGCAGGGGAGGAAAGTAGATCCAGATCCAGATTCAGATGCCGACGACGATGACGATGACGATGATGACGATGACAAAGTAGAGAAGAGCAAAGATGATGAAAATGGCGAGGCCGAATTCGAAATCTCACAAGAAGAAATCGAAGATTTCCGCGCTGATCATACAAATCTTGAATTCTGCATCTTGATCGATGAAGAAGTCTTGCAATCCATCCTGAGTGCACCCGCCACCCCTAAAGAAGCTGCAAAGATATTTCCCAAGAAATGGTTTGAGAGTATCGGATATGTCAAGGTCGTTGACCAACAGTCTGGCCCCGGCAGCAGCCACGATTACCCCGGTTGGATGACGGTCGATTTGACATGTTTGTGGGAGATATACGGAATGGATGATCTAGAGTCTCAGTATCCGTACGAGGATCCGCGGACGGGGAAGAGGATTGTGTATACAGGAATTCCTCCGACAGATCCTACGAGAGAGTATCACTATGGTGGAGTTTCGCTTGGGCGTGCCATGTGATGTCCCCTTTGTGTCAATTTTTGTATCTGTATCCATCCGCCAGTCTGACCGGTCACGAGGCTGCCAGGCTAAGAATAGACTATTCATAGTACATAGTATATACTATAGTATATGCATGACACGATCCATCGTGCTGCAGATACTAATGATATGAAAATGAATTAATCATTGMCCGCGAGCCGATCACGAGTAAGAATCCTCCCTGCAGAGTTTGGTGTCGGTTTCAACCGCTCTTTTCGAGGCGGCTAATGCACTGATTCGCAGTCTGAAACAGTGTTTCCATCTTGGATATTGTCGCTTTAGACATACACCCAGGTAAAAGTACTATGTATATCATAGTTAGTATTTGGCTGATTTACATAGTACGTAGATTGATTACCCCTCAAAGTTAGGCCAGGTTAGCTAACCCTAAACCCTCTGCCACTTTCTGAGAGAGCGAGCATTTCCGCGGAGACCAGCCTCTCAGCCAATCAGAACGCTGAAACGGCCAAAATTACTCGGAGTGGAGCGCGGGAGTATATATTACGTACTACATTGTATTTGTTACGTATTGCATAGTACGGAATACGGCTAGCCCCTTTTTAGGTAATAGATTGTGGGTTTAACGTCATTTTTACTGATAAGCTGCAATGACCGCTGATAAGGCTGGATGCAGCGCCGGTGTCGGCTCTCTACTGGGCTTTTTGTATACAGAGATACCACGTAGTAAACATAAGAATTACTTGTTATGTGTGTGGGTGTGTGAGTGTGGGACAGTACTCCCAACCGTAGTATATCAAGAGATGTCTGGACTATTCAGAGATCGTACAGCTCCATGATTATCGTGATATGCTGCAGCAACATCACGTACCTGATGACGCCATATCTTCAAGATATGACCAGTCTCAGCCTAGATAAGTAGCACAAGACCACAGCCATATCACTCATCCTTGTCAATGAGTCAGTATTACTAGCCAGAAACTCTTTGACCTCCAGCTATGGTGCTTTCATACATACATACATACACCCAGCAATTTACCAGCAAGTTGTGTCTGTTATCCACGAGCGAACCTCCAAGGTTACCCCGCGATTTCGCGATCTTCGTATCTGCTATCGACACCGTCCTGCTACCAAGTCGAGTGGATCAAGAAAATTTTTTCTTTTTTGCTCCATCGGATTCTCGGCTGGTGGTGGGCCTGAAAAGTTAACGTGCTTGTTTGGGTGATTTTCATTAGCACGTCGGCCCATGGGGTACTTTCTACAGGTGGGTTCTGGCGTGTAGTATGTGTGCGCTGGAGGTATCAGGGTAGTGTAGTGTATACATAGTTGAGCAGCCGGATCATTTTCTTACCGTTTCATGGTTGACTACGTATATGATCGCTGTCGTTTTCTATATTGCTGTTATCTGATAGCGATTTAAATTCAATGGCAGCTTATCAGCGGTGAACTGATCTAGTACGACGTGAGGTACTTTATTAAATAGATATAGACTGCACTCCGTAGGCAGTACTTGGGACTTACTCAGTACGAACACCCTACCACTCTCGCCTTGACGGACTCACTGGAGTCTCGACTATAATCCTAATTACTATAGTGGAAGACTGAACCCACTCTGCTGTTCCTGGTTACGTAAAAGAAAGCGTTCAATGGACGCCAGCGTTGTTCTGTCTGTTGTGTCTGCTCCCAATTGACAACCATTCATTGGCACGGTCTATACTACGTGACTTGCACCTTGGTGGTGTTGGGCCGGATCGGGAAAGTCTTTCCTGTTTCTTGTCCGTCTGTCAGTCTGTCAGTCAGTCTGTCAGCGAGGATTACCAGGTTGCCAGATTGCCGCTGGTTAAGTATGTGTGCCTTAATGCGTCCAGGCTCAGAGCCTTCCAGTCCATTCGTCCTACTCGTGTTAACAAGTCATGCCATAGAATTACTCGCCCCTCGTCTCGTCGAGGTTGAGGTTCCCCGGACGTCGCAATGCTTAGCGCATCCCAGCCGGGCCCTCACATCCTTTTCACCACAGCAGATTTGACAGCTGCTCACTTCATTGGACGAAATTGATTCTCCAGCTGAATCAGAGAATACATTGACTACTACGCACTCTAAAATTCGGGAAATCTCCTGACTGCCTCTGTTGTCGTTTCTTTTTTTCGTTGCGATTCTGTTACTCATATCGAACTAAAACTAACCCTATTCTCTTCCGTTGGCGGAGGCGCTCCGCCGGTACCAGCGAAAATTTATCTCCACAGAATAAAATTATAAGAAATATTCCAAAAGGACGGAAAGTGCCAGAATATAGAAAGAGAAGGGACGAAGGAAAGAAGAAAACGACACCAAACGACAAAAACGAATCTCTGGCAGAGACTTGCGACATCAACCTGCAACCCATCCATTCTGACTACGGCCAGAACATCAAGCTCTGCCAGCGCAAACCCCTTCGATCAATATATTACTCAATCGCTACTTTTGCTCCACTTGGCTGGCACGGCAGCTGTCCGTATGATACCTACTTAAGCCATCGTCTTGCTGTGCGTCTATTTGGCTACGTATTTTGATCCTCGCTCGCCAAATTGCACCATCCGCTTTGTCTGTCGCGACGTCTTTGTCGTATATCATTTTGGTCTTGGCCCTCAGCCTTCTGGAAATCTCAATTCTTCTATTCTAACAAACTCATTTACAATTCCTCGATCTACCACCATCACTATACTACACCACATCACATTCTACCTCCAATTTCTAGAAGCTGATTGTGAACCGCGATTGTCTGGTACAGCTCCGTCATCCTGACTGGTGAACCTCCCAATTCTATTACATACAGCGTCACGTGCACCACCCCCAGCTTTTTCTCTCCTTCCTCTTTTTCCTCTTTTCTCCCCTCTTCTCTTTTCCTTCTTCCTACCATCATATACAACCCGAATGACCCAACAGTTGCACAAAACCATCGCGGTGGTGAACGCCACCGGGCGTCAAGCAGCTTCTCTCATCCGAGTCGCATCCGCCTTAGGGTATGGCGTCCGCGCCCACACCCATACCCTTAAAGGCGTGATTGCAGAGGAGCTCGCAAACCTGCCCAATGTCACCCTTCTCAGAGGCGATCTCATGAATAACCCGACCTTCATGGACGAGATCTTTAAGGGCACCCAGCTCGCATTCATCAACACAGTCTCCCAAGCCGGCGACGAAGTCGTAATAGGCCGCGCACTGGCCGACGCCGCCAAACGCGCCGGCACAATCCAGCATTTTGTCTACAGTAGCATGCCAGATCATTCCGTGCATGGGCCCTGGCCCAGTCCGCCGATGTGGGCGTGCAAATTTACCGTGGAGAATTACGTGCGACAGCTCGGCATTCCGGCGACGTTTGTCTATGCGGGCATCTACAATAATAATTTCACGAGTTTGCCTTATCCGCTTTTCCAGATGGAGTTGCAGCCAGACGGCAGTTTCGAGTGGGCAGCGCCTTTTAATCCTGACGTGCCATTGCCGTGGCTGGACGCCGAGCACGACGTTGGGCCAGCCTTGATTCAGATTTTCAAGGATGGCCCCAAAAAATGGAACGGTCATCGGTAGGCTCACCCAATCACAAAAAGTTATGCACTAGACTGACTCTATAGGATTGCCCTCACCTTCGAAACACTCTCACCGATTCAAGTTTGCGCCGCCTTTGCACGCGCCCTGGGCCGACGAGTCAAGTACCGACGCACCTCGAAAATCGAAGTCAAAGTTAGAATCCCCGACGGATATCGCGAACAACTGGAAGCACTGGAGGAACTATTTGGCCGACACGAAGCGCCATATTTCCCACAACCGGAATTCAACACCCCCGCCGCGGGGTCTCCCAAGGGCCTCGGACCAGCAGGCGGAAAAGGCGCTGGTGCCGGCATGATGCAAGGGCCGGGCGGAGTCGTTTCTCAGCGAGTAACGGACGAGGCGCGCAAGTTGTGGCAAGGTTGGCGCGACATGGAGGAATATGCGCGTGAGGTCTTTCCCGTCGAGGAAGAAGCGAATGGATTACAATGGATGCTGTAATCTTCACCTTCTTTTACTATTTTCGACTTCTTTCTACACATTGCGGGCGTCTTCTTCCTCCATGAATGCATATTGGCTGGGTGTCACCTACGGCTTGGRTGATTTTTCTTTTYTGCTTACTCTACGAATGACGGGTCGAGTATCAAAATTTACGGCGTTGGTTTCGTTGGAGCGAGACAAAAGTTCTTATACGATTGTGATTAATACTTTGAAAGGTGGCAGCATGATTATGAGAAATATCATTAATAATTTTACCTTTAATCAGGTAGTCATGACGTGGATGAGGTTATGTCTGTTTTCGGATTTTTGTAGATAGTGTCAAAGATAAGATACGAATTCTTGCCCTATCAGAAAACACTCGATAAGACGCCACATACAAAGAGAATTTCTCGTGTGATTCGTCGATTCGTCCTCGCTCACTAGATGGTCTTTCTGATCGAAGTACTGTATGTACGTATGTCTGTAGCGTGTACTGCTTGCTTAGCGACCCGCTTATTTGGGATGATGATGTATCTCCTATTTAGGCAGGCGGGTGTATCGCAGTAAACACATCAATCTGGCATTTGTACACACTCACACATTGGAAATGTTAGTGAAAGTAGAAAGTAGTAGAAACTAGTAGAAGGATATAACGATGTACAAGATCTCTGAATGTCATTGGCCCCTGCTTGGTGAGGATGATGGCATACATTCTTCATCCCTGAGATGCATTCTTGATAATTTGCCTTTTCCCCCCCTCCTTTTCTTCTTAAACCTCTGTTTCTACTTTTTCTTTCTCTGCTTGCAACGACAATACACGGTATATTCATTCACTATCAGCATCGTACCTACAGGGTTGATCCCATAAAACCACACTCGTTTGTTCTGCTGGTCAGCAGTGTCGCTCGCTCTTTCTTTCCATATTATACGCAGTGTCAATACGAAGTCTGTGACTTGTCTCGATTACTCGATTTAGTTCCGTATACACTGTTAGAGCAGGCATCTGGCAGTCGGTCTTTGACTTGACAGCAACAACAACAAAGACCACCACCACCATCACCATCAAAATGAAATCCTCCATCCTCATTTGCATGGCTAGCGCTGTCTCAGCATCCAACTTCTGGCGCCTACCATGCAGAAGCCGTACAGCTGCAGCTCGCATAGACCCCATCATGGCCCCCGGCGAGCCCAACAGCCATCTACACACCGTATTTGGCTCGGGAGGTAGTCACTCTTTCCTTTAGAACGTTTATATCAAGCGACTGACAACATCCCAAGGATTCTCCTCAAACGCCACGCCAGACGACCTCCTGCAATCAGACTGCACCTCCTGTGCCGTCACACAAGACCGCTCCGCCTACTGGACTCCACCGCTCATGTTCATGTTCCCCAACGGCTCCACGACAATGGTAAACCAAGACGGCGGCATGCTCGTCTACTACTTCGTCTACGGCTCTGATCCGCAACCGTTCCCGCAGGGGTTCCGAATGGTAGCTGGCGACCAATACCTGCGCAATTTCACAGGCCCCGTCCCCGATCCACCGACATCAGAATGGTCAGCAGACGACAAGACGCAGTTCTCGCTCTCTCAAAAAGCGTTGGGATTTAATTGTCTGCACTACGATACTGGCAGCGACGAGGATTCGTTGTACCGGCATACGTTACCAGATAAACAGTTCGTAGACGAGAATTGTTCCGATGGATTGAGGCTAGAGCTTATGTTCCCATCCTGCTGGAATGGGGTGGATGTCGATAGTCCCGACCATAAGTCGCACATGGCATATCCGGACCTTGTTAAGGACGGGCAATGCCCCGAAGGGTTTGGCACGAGACTTGTCACTCTCTTTTTCGAGACAAAATACGATACGCAGGATTTCAGAGGTGTGGATGGCCAGTTCGTGCTTGCCACTGGTGATCCGACGGGGTGCGGATATCATGGCGATTTTATACAGGGATGGCAACCCGATTTTTTAAGAAGGGCAATGAATGAATGCTCAAATCCTTCGGGAGAGGTAGCGGATTGTCCGCTGTTTACGCTGCAGAGTGATGAGGATGCCTCTGCGTGTCGGGCCCCGGTGCCGGAGGAGTTGTGGCATGAGGATCCCTTCTTCAATGGAGATGGGTTGTTGGGTGATGTGCCTATTCAGCAGGGTCCGGAACAGGCTGCGCCTTATGGAGTTGAGTTGGGTCTGATGGATCATTTACCTGTGCCGTTGCCATTGCCTAGTATTGGTGTCGTTGGCACGGTCGAAGATGGTGTTTCTCGTGTTGTTGATAGTCTCATACCAACAGCTACGCCGTCGCGAACTCGTTTTGAACCAGAGGCGAAAAGGTGCGATATGGACATGGGCACTGTATACGAAACAGTTACAGTCCAAGTCACGCATTCACCTGCCTCTTCTTCGGCCAGCGCATTGCGCAAGCGTGGCCACGGACATCGTGACCACCACGATCGGCGACAAGCCCGATAGCAGACAGAGAAAAAATATCCTGAACAGGAAAGTGGGATGTCCAAAGGTCCAGTCATATATTAACTTCTGACGCCATCCCTCATCCGTTCCCCGCTCGTTCAATCCGCGCTATACTATTAGCCTAATCGCTCTACCAAGCTACCCACGTATCAGCACTCGATTAGCTGGAGCTTAAGCCTCTTGGTTGTTAATCAATAATCAGGATTTAGGAATTAACACGTTTTAAATCCATTGAGCGATGTGGTTCATCGATTCCAGGACCTGTTACCGCACAATCTCTTAGTGCGGAGAAGGATTTGACCTTCCTATCAGAGAAGCATCCCGAGAGAGGATCGAGGTACGTAGTATTGACTATCGGGGTATATAAGCAGGAGGTCCCCTCAATGCAAGCCAATTTAACTCAATCAATTAATTCAATTACATTCCTAGGATAATTATCAGTAAGATCACAATGGCAGAAGTTCCCAAAGACCTCCCAAAAATGGAGTACCGCCATCTCGGTAACAGCGGTCTACTCGTCTCGGTTATTTCTCTGGGAGGATGGCTTACCTATGGCGGACACGTTGAAGATGGTATTTTTTCCACTGTCAATTGATTTGAAGACAAAAAATTGATGATGATTAGAAAAAACATTCTCGTGCATGAAAGCGGCCTACGACGCGGGAATCAACTTCTTCGATACCGCCGAGGGATATGCCGGTGGCCAGTCGGAGATCATCATGGGTAAAGCGATCAAGCACTTTGGCTGGAAGCAGAGAGATCTAGTCATTTCTACCAAGGTATTAAATACCACGGAAAAATCTTCATGACCAGTAAAGCGCTGACAAAAGAAGCTCTACTTCGGCCAAGACAACGCCAAAGACCCCGAAAACCCACTCAACAACCGCGGCCTCTCACGCAAACACATCACCGAAGGCCTGAATCAATCCCTCGCTCGCCTCGATCTGCCTTACGTCGATATCGTCTATGCTCATAGGCCCGACAGGACGACTCCCATGCACGAAATAGTGCGCGGATTCAACCATTTGATTGACCAGGGCAAGACGTTTTACTGGGGAACCTCCGAATGGAGCGCAAGTGAGATCAGCGAGGCGTGGCGCATAGCCGATAAGTTGGGGCTGGTGGGACCGGTTGTTGAGCAGCCGCAGTATAACCTCCTGACCCGCGACAGGGTTGAGAAGGAATATAGATGGTTGTATGCCGAGCATGGGCTTGGATTGACTGTGTTCTCGCCACTGAAGCAGGGCATTCTGTCTGGTAAATACAACGACGTCGAAGCACCACCCCCGGGATCGCGCGTCAAGGAAGGAGACGGCAAGTTGGCCTACGTAACCCAATTCGCAAAGACATGGGGCGACGAAACATGGCAAAAGAATCTGGCCGTCGTCGCAAAACTGAAACCCATTGCGGAAGAATTGGGTGTTACGCGGGCACAGTTGGCGCTTGCGTGGGCACTGAAGAACCCGAATGTGTCGTCGCTGATTACGGGGGCGTCGAAACCGGAGCAGGTCTTTGAGAATGTGCGCGCGGTTGAGGTGGCGCAAAGACTGACGCCAGAGATTTTGGAGAGGATTGAGAAGGCGGCTGAGACTGCGCCGGCTGCTGAGCCTTTGCGTTATTAGACAGAAAAAAAAAGAGTAGAATAGATATACATATATGAAAGTAGATCAATTAATTCGCTCTAATGAGGGGGTATTCTAATAATCACACAAAGAATATTAAGTTTCGGAATTTGGAAAATTAGCCAGCGATAAACTTCTTGCCAGACCCGGTAAAGTAGTCCTTGCCCTTGATAAATGACACCATGAACCCAGGCGGAGTGAAACTTCCTAATTGGCCTGTTCCAGTCGACTTGCCAATCGGCATAACAACTATAAGAGATGAATCATCCTTGTACGTACCCCGTTTCCCTTTTCCGGTGATGTCGGCTTTGAGGTTGGAGAGCAAGACGCTGACTTGTCCGGAGATGCGAGACACAAGTCGTGCAGAGTATTGCGTGATATCGCCCACGGCATAGACGGAAGGGTCTGCCTTGGAGACGAAGTGGCTGTCGACCTCGACCCAGCCGTCTTTGTTGAGTAGTGAGGCAGGGATGAATTCGTTGTTCGGAAGGACACCGGTGGTAGAGACGTAAATGTCGGCAGTCAATGTCTGGCCGTCCGCGGTGACCACGTTCCATTTTCCAGCTGCGTCCCTGGAGGCAGAGGTAACGGTCTTGTCAGTCAGGATCTTGACGCCCTTTTGCTTGAGAAGCTTGGCCGCCTTTTGGCGTGTAGGTTCGCGCAGGCCGGTCAGGACGTTGTCCGAATTTGTGAGCAGAGTCACTTGAGTACTGGGATAAGCCTCGGCGGCTTCACCGGCGAATTCGACGCCCACTGCACCAGCGCCACCAACGATGATACTCTTTGCGGATTTGATGGCTTCTTGTGCAGCTTTGAGTTCGGCCTCGAGTTTGGTGGTGCCGGACTCCTTGAAGGGGACTTGTAAGCTGTCGGTGCCTGTGGTGGCGTTGGATGTGCTTCCAGAGGCAATAACCACGTAGTCATATGCGAGGGTCTTGGTTGAGCCGCTGTTCACGTCTTGAACAATGACATTCTTGCTTTGAAGGTCAATGGAGGTAGCCTTTCCGAGGACAAATTCAAAGTTCTTCTTTGCATTGGCATGTTTGTCAAATAATGGGGCAATAGGGTAGATGTATTTCTCGCGGGGGATGTCGTTGGGTTTGGTGCTCAGGCGTGGCGATGCGATGTTGAAGTAGAAGTCCTCTGCTATTGTTAGTACCAATCGACAACACAAATACCCTTTGAAAGGTGAATATACGTACCAGAAGGATTCACCAACACAACCTTGGCGTTGGGAACATCCTTCAACAATCCATGCGCAACAGGAATACCTGCCCATGAAGCGCCAATAATGACCACAGTCTTGGTCGGTGTCTGGGCCATTTCTGCAGCTTCAATGTTCAGACGACGCTGTCTCCAGGACCAGAGCACGAAGAGCGGGATAGCGACGAGGGAAGCAGAGAGGTAGACGCGTTGGTTTGTAAGTTCTGTCATCTTGTCTTTTTGCTCCCAATTACCAGCTATTTATATTCTTTTTCTAAACAGTAATACCTAGGTAGATCCTTGTTTTCTGATCAATCCAAATGGCGAGTATCGAATTAGGGCAAAGTGTAAGTCTGGTCTGGTGGAGCTCAGAGCTTTGATTATGGAGCAATGCGAGGTCTGAACGAGGGCAAATCACGAAGAAAATTGTCAATGCCAGACAAAAACAGAAAAGACAAGCTCGAACTAGTAGCGCGCTGACCACAGAGCGACACCGACAGGATGATTTCTAAGAAACGAGCTTCGATTTCTAAGATTTCTAAGTTGATCGTCTGGCTTATTTGAGCTTCTTCGCCGTTAAGCACGGAGCAGATGGCTGAATTTATTAGCGCCACGTACTATTCTGATTGGGTGATACGATACAGTACGGTGAAATACGATAACGCCTTACAATATAGGTCTGTGCCTTAGTCTCAAAAAGGCAAAAGATCAGAGACAGACCAATGGCCGTCATGCTTCGGATTGAATTACCTGCAACCGGGACGGAAAGGCGGACTCCGGTCGGCAGAACATTGTATCCGGCCCGTATAGAGACTCATACACTAGCCCGCAATACAGATCTCTTACAAACGGTCCCTGGTTATTACGGCTTATGAATCGGACGAGCAAGCTGACCAATTCTCTTTTTGTCTGTATATCCTCGATTTATAATTATGACAATTCATTATTCTCTCATATGTCGGATGAGCTTATTTGGGTTCTCGCTCTGTGATTGGCCTTAGACCGTCCTACATCCACATCTTCATTTCAGAAAGACCTTCCATGACCCCTGATCAAACTGCATCGTGATGTATTGTCAAAAGTCATTGATATGATGACTGCTGGCACACATTGCTTGCCGGTAGCAATCGTCTTATATTGTGCTGGTCTATAATACTTTCTAATTAGACGAATTATAAGTGGATGAGCGGAAGCTCAATCCATTAAAAGGTATACTACCTACTGCGTAGGTTTTCATCCCGTCGTTGTCTTCTGTCGTACAATTTACTCCGTGATTTCGGTTGTAGTCTCTCTTGCTTCGCCCTTGCTCTCCACAAAACGCTGGATTCTCTTCTTGGGCAACCACGCATCTTCCGGAGTAAACCACCACGAGATGATAGCGAAGATGGTAACACCAGCCATGATAACGGGTGCATCTGTATTCATTAGCATTAACCCCTTATAGAAACCGAGGGAAAGGAAAAAGGCTTACAGTTCAACGTTTGACCCGTTACAGGAAACTGATACGGCGAATACAAAACCGCCACAACCCAGCCATTCCAAAAAATCGAAATGATTTGAAACGGCTTGCTCCACCGCCCAAGACTCCATTTCGGTTTCGGAAACGAGTTGGGAGTGAGAAACACTCGTCCAAGACAAATTAGTCCATAAGCAGCGGCAGACGGGACACCGGCGGCTGAAATGAGAGATGTGAACGCGACGGCAGACGGTAAAATGGTGCAAGACACCAATGCGGCGACACCCCAGACGACGATGACGGCGTTGCGGGGTTGTCCTTCAGCAGAAACTTGGGAGACCCAGCCGGAGAAGGGGAGCACGCCGTCACGCGCTACGGCGAAGACGAGACGGGAGGCGGCAACAATGGCGATTGCGGTGTTCTGAAATCATGAGCATATGAACCGATTTGAAGAAAGGAAAGGTGATACGTACAAACCACAAGGCGACGATGCAGACTATGTTCATAAAGATATGACCCCCTTGTCCGAGGACAACGGCGTAGAGGGAGACGAATGGTTGAGGCGCACCAAACGAGAAAAGGGTATCAGGATCGGGCTGAATATAATCAGTACTCAGTCTACCTGGAAGTGTCATGACGGAGAGCATACCGAGCAGAAAAGGAACAGGATAATAACAATCAATCCACCCAACCCACTAACAACGGTACTCCAAAAAATACCCCGAGCAGCAACCACAGAGGCATTCTTTGTTTCTTCAGCAACATGGCCTGAAGCATCAAAACCAATCAAGATACCAGCAGTGGCAAGATAGGACAAGCACCAGTTCCATCCTGCAGGGGCACCGGTGCCGTTGTACGTGGTCATAAAAGCATCGTGGGTGGTACGGAAGCCCCAAGTGTTGACCACGCCGATGGGAAGCCAGATCATGTTGAGTAGAAAGTCGAGAAGGACCATGGCGGAGGAGCAGTAAAAGACCCATCGGAAGTATTTTGCTATTACTCGTTAGTTTCAGGTCATTGCTTCATCATTTAGCAAGACATACGAGGCATAAAGTTGATGACTGCAGCTAATGCGAGTAAAACTTCAGTGCATGCCCATTGCACAGCACGGAATTTCACATCACTGGGATCGGTGGGAAAGTCCAAGTTGAATACAGTAATTTCCTGTCCTGTCAGCTTTTCCTAAAAGATCTCAGGTCTCGCTAAAGAGGCTTACCGAAAGCATATAGTTCGCCGCGGCCTGCGTGTTACTAGCACAAAACGTCGTCCAGGCAGTGGTACTCCACCACGCAACCACAAATCCCAGCAAACGGCCATACTTCGGGCCACCGGATTCGGCTGCCCAGAGATAGATGGAGCCTGCAGAAGGGGAAGCCGAGCATACTTCGGCAATAACGGCTGCTGTTATGAAGCTGAATACAAGGGTGACCAGATAACTCGTCCTGACGCACTGTTAAAAATGCACTGGAAAGGACATGGTATGAGCTTACCAGTAGGCAAGGTTACCGCCACTGGCGATTCCGGTGCTAAAGGTGACACGAACACCGCCAACAAAGTATAGAGCCGCTGTTGAGTGTTAGCTGTTGTGCTATGTCAGAATGCATGGCTTGATGCGACACATACCAAAAGTAGTTGAGAAGTTTTCTAGAAAAGTGTATGATCGATGCAAGACCTAGACCAAATTCATCAATATCCAATTCATCTATCATCCTTTCATTGCGTGGTGTCATACCTGTTTGTAACCCAGCGTTTCCTATACGAATCATGCCATCGGTTAGTCTCGGAAAGAAGACCGAGCTCATTTGAGCTTCATTTCGTGGATTCTCTTGGGGATTATGGTCTTACCAATAACGCGGCATCTTCATCAATTGTAGATGGATCTCTCGAGTTCTCCTCAACCGTAGCAGGGACAGGAACGTCGTCCTGCTGAATTAGTTGCGACATTGCTTCAATGTTGTAATTTTTTTTGCGGGGTGATGATCCCGAGTTCGGAAAATCAGAGCAGAACTGATTGAGCTCAACCAAGTAGAATAAATCAAGAGGAGGGAAAAAAAGAATAAATATATCACGCAGAAAAACTCTTCATCCTCACGAGTCAAGACAATTCTCTTCCTAAAGAGTCCGACCGTTGTTGCAAACTGTGTAGAGGTTGCCCGAGCACCTGAAAATTTTTGTTCTGGACGAGTTTAGCGTCGTTGGAAGGTTGGTTTAGTGGTTGGGAGCTACTCGTATGTTTGCTTTAATTTACTTGGAAATGGCCCCTCTCTAAAGACTAGAAAGATGCTTATTCTTGTTCCTGTTTTGCTTACGCACTTTTGTATGTCATAATTCTATGATTCTAGACTGTGGCTGCTGAGTGGATAGCCGGTGTCTGGTTTGGGAAAACGGTGCCTCTGTTTTCTCTCTAGCCCTCTTACATTTACTATCAACATTATTTATTATCTGGAATTCCGGATACCCGGTTAAAGTCATACCAGTTGATTCTGTACAAACCGAGCCCTAACCCATGAACCCTAAGTTACAACGACTATATACAGGAAATTTATGATGAATTCCAGTCAACCATCGCATCCTCACCAACAACATCCCGAATCAACTTCGCACTCAGTTTCCAGAGATTATCCCCCAACACCGGATCAGAAGCCTGCTTTGACCGCTGACCCAATTGACCCGGATCTGTGAAGTAACGCCCATTCCAACCCTTTTCTTCGACCTCGGGGCTGACAGCGGCATACAGTGCGCTGTAGGAGCCTTGTTCGGGATCTCGACTCATTGCGATCATGGTGGTTGTGAGGAGTTTTCCGAGGAGGCCAGGGTAGGCTTCTTTCCATTGCTGTTGCATTGCTGTGTTGACCTGCGCAATGTCAGTCAAAAAACAATAGATGGTTGCTACCTAGGTAGATAGGGAGACGGACTGCGCCAGGATGTACACTCAAAGCATATACGTTATCATGATTAGGCTTGATGACCCTCTGCACAAGTCCAAAATCTACACCCAGGATAATCGCCAACTTTGTACGGGCATATAACTCCGCACTTCCAATATTGGGGTTATTGATTTCCTCTTTCGATTCGAATTTGACGTCAGATGGAGACAGGCGATGTAGTTCTGAGGACTCCCACACGATCCTGGGCGCTGGGGTATCGGGCAATTTCGACGTCTTGCGTATGAGCGGATACAACTGATTGACAGCATAAAACTGACCGAGCCAGTTGATCTGGAAATGGGAGTCGATCTTATCGTCCGTTTCGCGGTATTGGTTCGCATTGATGCCGGCTGACAACACCAACTACCTCAAAAGCTCAGCACCGCTCCCTCGACATGATAGGTAGGTTGCATACCAAATCGAGCCTCTCCTCCCTCTCCCTCATCTTCGTAAATACTTCCTTGACCTGCTTCAAACTGCCCATGTCGCATCCAACCCACTCGATCTTTGCGTCGGATCCGCTCTCCTTTTTTGATTGCGTCGATTGCAGCGTCGCCTTGCTCTGATTTGCGGTTGACCATTATCACGCGTGCGCCGGCTAGGGCGAAGGCGCGGGCGACGAGTTTCGAACGATTAATGGTGTTGACCTTGGTAGTGACCGGGAACGGGGGAGTTTACCCTATACCCAATGCGCCGCCGAGGACGACCGCGACGCGACCATTAAGGTTGTCCGGTGTTACCTTTTTGGGACCGATGATTGAGTGTAAAGCTGACTGCATTTCTTGGAATTATGTCTACACAATTCGAATTCAGCTAAGAGCTACTGATCGTGCACTGAACGAGTTGTGGTGTATTCTTATATCATTCTAGGGTCACTCGGGTTACGTCAGGGCGGCTCATCATAAAGCCTATACAGACCATAGAATATTTTTGGGGGGATTATAACTTGTTTCTTTCCCTTGCATCAGCTACGATTGTCTTCAGGATATCTACGTCAAGGTCTCGATGTTCTTTTCGATCTTCGTAACTCGATCTCTGCAAGAGGATGGATTTAGGGCTAGAGATCTCGACCATAAACATTCCGTCATACATCGCTCCACTTGAGCCGGATCAGAAAGACTTCCAGGTATCCATGTTGCTTAATTGAAATGTATTGGACTCGTTAAATATCTTTAGAAGCAGATATACAGATAGTTAAATGGCCTACGTCTGACGTATAAGCCTACATCAGTGTACAATGGCCAGACCGCTGACTCTCCACGTCAATCTTTTTCAGGTTGACCACAGGAAACTCCGAAATGTGCAGCTTTGCGCTTGCGAATGGAACCAACTTCACAGTAAAAGGCTTACCGGTGGGTGATGGGTCAGCCGGTGGAAGTCCTGCGCAGTCGCCCTCTAGTTTCCAGTTCGAGATCTTCGTTCCGGCCACACTGATAGTGACTGGCGGTGCGCCAGATTCAAAAATAGGGTTAGGCAGATCGCCTTTCACTTCCGACCGGTGAAAGTGCGCTTGGGAGGGATCAATGGCTACTTGCCAGTCAGCTGCGGGTATGTATTCTACATCACGGAGCTTGGAAGAGTAATCGGCATCTGGCAAGGGTTTCCATTCGGCAAAATGCGTCGGCGGGCCGACCTTGGCCTTGTGTGGAATTTCCATGGCATATAGGAGTGCGCCTCGGTATATGGCAACGGCATTGTTCGCTCGCGGCACAACACGAATCTCAGCATTCAGTGTAATCCTAAACGCAGTCTTGCCCGGTGAGATAGCAATCTTATAAAGACTATTGGCATCCACTTCTACTGTTTCTTCTCTGACTTCATCAGTGTCAAGAGTTTTGTTCACTGTGGTACCTTTAGTGGCCCATTCTGGAACACGAATATAGAAGTTGAAAGGCCGACTAGTCTCAATCTTGTAGGTAATCCTCTCATCGAACGGATAGTGTGTCTCGCTGACGATGTGTATAGGCTTTTCTCCTTTGACAGGAACAGTGACTTCTGCTGGAACGAGGAACTGGTGCGATATAGACCTCAAATCTGCACTCGCAACAAAAGCGTTCATTGCAAATTTGGGCATAGCCTGGGAATGATTGACCAAGCAGCATGGCTATTGCTGTTAGTTATTGCCTTTATTCATCAGCAGGCGACTCACATAATTCACTTCTAGCCCATACACCAGGGCGCGTCCTCCACAGTTGTAGAATGGCCAGTTCTCAAGATTCCTCGCCCAGGTTTCATTACTTTGTGTTAGATAATTGTGAGCCCACCAGTCCGGTGTCATACCCGCTGGCAACCCATTGAATGTGGCAAGCTCGGCTCTGTCGGCATAGCTGTTGTCGCCAAACAGTCGATACATATATGAAAGCGAGAAAATCAATTCTGCCGTTCCACAGAGTTCCGCGCCCCGTTTGGGATGCACACCAGCCAAGAATTCATCACCTGCAAGTGCTCCAAATGTTGTGCCGTGATACTTGAAAGACATATCCACGGATTGACGGGTCTTTGCAATCAGCTCATGATCATGATTCATCCGGTAGAGCTGTGGCATATATCGTAGTGCTGTGGACAGTCAGTCACAGATCTATGCGAGCATGAACAAACACCCACCCTCTGATACGTTCACCACGTGTTTGATGAGAGTTGACCCTGGAGCAGCTGGCTTCTTTGGAAATTCCTCTTCGGTAAAGAACTTGGACCAGTCCCGGTCACCGACACGGGTAGCCTCCCAAGCAAGATCCATTGTTTCCCAAATCATTTCCTTGTCCCGCTTGTTTTTCACCTGCTCATACAACCACTGCAATGACGTAGATAGCTCATGCGCGCGCGTAATACAAAATTCATCAAACTCATCACCAGGATGAGGAATAAGACCTTGATAATTGTCCTTCAACATCGAATTAATAAGTCTTGTGAAACGGAGCAGTGAGTCCACAATGCGATCGTACTGGGACGGATCGGCAAGGGCATGATTAACCATGCCCATCATGACAAGACATCGCGCCCAAATTCCTCGGCCGTGCTTTGTATGTTCCGGTCCGATCCATCCATCTGCATGTTGGTTCTTGAGGGTGCGTTGGAGGAATTCGTTGGCTTGTTTCTTCAAGTCATCGTCGTCGAGGATATAGGCAAGTGGTACGATGTAATTGTACCAGTAGGGAGCGGACTCGCGCAAGGGACTGTATTCGACATCACCACCAAGCCAGCTGGTGTCTTTAACGTAACGGTGAAAATTGTACAGATTGCCGCCCAATCCAGCTGCGCAGAGTTTCAGTTGATCGCGGATCCACCCCCGGGGCTGTACGGAGCCGAGCGGGAGGAGCTCGAATGTGAAGGGAGCGAGGGCGTGGGACCTCATTCTAAGCTTGATCTGCTGTACGAAGGAATAGGAATGGAGTAATTTTCAGTATCAAGAACAGATCAGAGGCTGATGAAAGAGAAGTAGAATGGAGAGACGGCGAGAAGGCACGACCTGAAACTCGTGACCAAACATGAGAAGGCGCTCAGGCACCGATGAAGTCATGCCTGCTTGGCAACCCGGGGTAATCAAGCTAGCCCCATTTGTATAAGCGTGTATTCTATAAAAAAGCTTAGGGCTAATTAGGGCTACTTCTATCTTCTGCGCAATAAAGCCACGAACGGTATCAATTTAAATGTGTTTTATTTAGGTAAATGTTTGCATTTAACTCCAGCATAGTTTACAAAGTACTCAAGTTGAGAACGTGAGCAAAAGACTCGTCCAAAATCCTGAGACCCTCCTCAATCTCCTCAGCCGAGACAGTGACAGGAGGAGCCAGACGAAACACACCTCCCATGCCCGGAAGATTCACGACGTTGCAAGACAGACCACAGGCCATTGCTCGATCTGAAACAGCTTGGCCCAGATCAGGACCCGGTGCCTTTGTCGTTGCATCTGAAATTATCTCAATTCCCTGTAAGAGACCCCGTCCGCGGACATCGCCTATACACCAGTATTTCTGTTGTAGCTTCAAGAGGCCCTCGCGGAGTTGTGCGCCTCGCTCAGTTGCACGCTGGCAGATTCCGTCACGTTCAACAATTTCAAGCACTTTATTACCCACAGCAGCAGTCAATGGGTCGTTCAAATGCGTGGTCAACCATAAGAACCCAGCCTCCGTGCAACCGCGCTCGATTTCCGCAGTGGTACTAACGGAGGCAAGAGGGAGTCCACAGCCGAGCGTCTTGGACAATGCAAGAATATCAGGAACAACGCCATCTTTCTGAAATGCGAACATATCACCCGTTCGTCCCACTCCAGTTTGAGCCTCGTCCATGATTATGAGCATCCCCCGCTTTTTACATTCAACTTCCATGCGCTTAAGGTAACCTCGAGGAAGGTCGAGGATACCACCGGTGGATAGGATAGGCTCCATGATAAAGGCGGCAAGAGAACCGATACTTTGACGGTCAATCATTGACCAGGCAAAGTCCATTTCCGTTTCCCAGTCATAAGATCCATCAGCCTTGCGGAACGGAGAGCGGTAAGCGTATGGTGCAGGAAATGCAAGTTGTCCTGGCATAACAGGACCACCTTTTCTCCGACCGGCAGAGTAGGTTGCGGAGCCCGACCCTGATGTCAACCCATGATAACTTGCAGCGAACGCAACAATTTCGAACTTCCCGGTGTAGAGTTTTGCCATCTTAAGAGCCGCCTCGGTCGACTCTGAGCCGGTATTAAGGAAGAAGGATTTTTCCAATGGTGCGGGCAAAATGCGGGCTAACCTTTCGGCTAGGTCGACTACAGGCTGTGTAATCATGTTGCTCAAGAGGTGATCGAGCTCTGCGACATATCTTTGGACGACTTCGACAATCTCCGGATGAGAATGTCCCAGCAGCGAACTCATCTGGCCGGATGTGAAGTCCAGAATCTGTCTTCCGCTAGCATCGTATAGTCTGGTGCCCTTCGCTTTGGTGATGACTACTGGAGAAAATGGTACTCCAGTTTTCATGAGATATTTGTCCGCTCTCGAAAAGAAGACGGAGTTAGAGTCTGTAGAGGCCATGTTGGATTAGGCGAAATCAGGTAATCGATGGTGCAGTAAGAAAGGCATGAGCTTGATGTAGGAGAAAACATATATAAAGGTCCAATTGGGACTCCATCTCTGCTATTTTCAGAAGAATAAGTTGAGGGCAACCTGCCATATCACCCCTCTTTCCCTCCAACGTCCGCGGCGAACTTTTGATAATTATTGTCGAAGTGGTGAGTTGTTCCTGAAGAGGAAAGAGGAGATATCCCGCGGGCAATATTATCTTAATCCTTATCTCACCCCGATCTGTACCCACGTCTCACTATCTGGCTCTCATGATTGGCGGAATTGGCCGCGGGCGGCATTTGCCTTGGGCTTTTCCGGAGTAGGGAAATGAGGGAATGAGTATCGTCCAAGCAATTCCTTTCATCGTCTTTGTTCGACACACATCTCAGGCTCTACAATGCAGGCTGGTATTGACGCCGGAAGGCCCTATCGGTCTCATCTGTTTCCGGCCTGCTTACCCTGCAAGAAACGCAAATCACGATGCCGAACACGCGACTCGCCAGGGGCATGCATTATGTGCCAAGCACATGGTACTGACTGCATATATCCTCAAGCTGATTATCAGTCTTCGCAGCAGAGACCAATGACTTCGTCACCGCGGAGAATAGCGGCCAAAGCCAGACATATCAACACTACCAGTTCATCACCACGTGGGCAGATTCCATTGACCTCCACACCACAAGTTGAAACATCTCATTCTCACAACTTCCAAGGGGCGAATGGCGACTTCGATCCTCAGCATAGTCTGACCGCAAGAGCTCCAATTGGAAGCTACAATCTAGAACCATCATATACACAAATTCTAGGTTCGGAAGATACACCATCAAATTTGAGAGGCATTGTTGCTGAGACTGGCGAAAACAGCTCACATATTATCAGTCCCGCAGTAGCTGACGATAGCGAGTTTCTGGAGAGCTATCTCTCTACTATACCCGATGCTGGGCGAACGAGTTTAATTCGAACGAGTGTGACTGCAAGTCGACCCGTGAGGCCTGTCCTATTCAGTACGGTACCAAGACGACCACTAGGAGTTTCTTCAAACCAATCACTTCCGGCTACAAAGTGTGAGATTATTGAAAAATATCTCGAGCCTGCAGTAAAAGATGTCGTCAACCTGTGAGTGAACTTCAATGCTATATGACAATTTAATTGGTATCTAATGCGGCGCCAGATTCTTCGAATATGCCAACATATGCTTCCCTGTGTTCGACGAAGCTTCCTTCAAGGATGTCTATTTCACTCACAAAGACAAAATCTCTCCAGCATTGCTCAGCAATCTATATGCCAATGCCTTGATATACTGGGACAACTCACCAAAGCTCTCTTCCGTTCGATCGCCTGATATTCGTTATATTTGGAACCAGGCCAATGAAGCGCTTCATTCTGAGCTTTTCCTGTCTCCTGGAATATCGACTGTAATGGCCATTATTCTCAATGTTTGCGGCAGACCAAGCACTTCTATATTTGGGAATGGAGGAATGGTTGGGACGGCGGTTGCGTTGTCAAATGCATTAGGCTTGAATCGCGATCCATCGAACTGGAATATCTCGCCGCTAGAGAAAAGATTCAGGATTCGGATCTGGTGGCTAGTTGTTCTTCATGATCGTTGGTATGTTCCGACTTGAGAAAAGTCACTATATGCACCAACTAAGACTTATTTTGTAATTAATAGGTGCAGTCTGGCGTACGGCACACCTCTACAGATTCATCGCGCACAATATGACGTTGCCTTTCCGACAATAGATGACCTCTGTACCACAGATTCCACTCAAGTTGAAACGGCAGCCGCATCAGTGTTCATTGCACTTACAACCTTGACCGAAGTCCTCGCTCAATATCTCGAGCACGTCTATAATGTATCCAACATGGAAGAATTCTCATCATCAAAAATGTCCGCCATGGATCTCGAGCGGGCCTTGAATGAATGGGAGGAGTCTTTAAGCGACAACATACGCCGCATCGTGGTGCGAGGGACGAATCTCAACGCACCAGGGGCTGCAAATTTCCGACTTGCCTATCTTGCCGTCAAGCTCCTACTAAGGCGCCTCCAGCTTGACGCTGACAAACCTTCCTCAGAAACAGTTCATAATAGTGACGATGACTACGGCACATGCTCACCTTTCTACATACAAGCGCAAAGAGCTGCTGAAGAAATCGTCCATTTGATGCAGGAATTAGACGACTCACATTTCCGTGGGTTCTGGATACCTGTCAATGCGTTGTGTTTGACATCAGCTACTACTTTCTTACTTCGTAGTGCGCTTCGCAAAAGGGGTTCTGCGACAACGTTGAATGCTCCACTCAATATATCTAGAGATATGATTCAGACACTTCGGTCTCATCGTCAGAGGTTTTCCTGGGATCTGGCAGATGACTGTCTGGCTACTTGTGGCGACTTGGTGGATAAGATTACGTCTTATCCCAACATGAATAATGGGACTATGTGTGTGGACTTGACAATGCCATCTCTACAGGATTGTGGTGATATCAGCCAGTCGGTCTTGGATGAATTATTTGTGGAGTTTCCGGGACTTGTAGATAGTATCGGCATTTAGTATGTATATATAGCTTTCGAAAGTTTTGAATAGCTAGCATACCGACGACCGTGACCTGAATTACCAGCAAGAGCAATGACTTTATTGCCAGATTTTACCATGATCGAAGTCAAATCAGCGACATTCGGACACGTCAACACCTTGCTCCCGCTTTCTTCCATTCAAGCGGTTACCTCCATTTGCTCAGTCATGCCCCTCTTGTCTTCCAATCCCTCGTTCTTAATCCGTTCCGCTAAGATACTGGTCTCAGTGACCTGGTTTTTGCTTTTGGTGGAGTTGCCAATGAACCAGGGACTCTCGGTGAAAAGCTTCTTCATCTCCTCTAGGGGCAACTGTTTCGTCTCCGGGAGCATGGCCCAGAAGAAAATGGCATTAGCGAAATTGCAGACCTAAAAGGAGGATGTCAGCTACGGGCGAAAGATTTATCAGAGTTTCTTTTGATATGATTTCAGGCAAGGAGAGCAAGTCGCTGGTAGTAACTTACCACGAACAGGATATAGAACCTCCACCCGGAGTTTGCCATTCCTATGGGCGTCACTTGACCGATCATTGTGCTAGAGGACAGATTCGATGGTTATCTTTTTGTGATCTCTCCATGGGAGTGATGGAAGTTGGATCATAAGACTTACTTGAAGGCGAACGACACCATGCAGCCTATGGCGACACCTTTGGCTCGGGTTGCCGTATCAAAAATCTCAGCGGGAATCATCCAAGCTAAATGAGGCGTTAGTATCCATCTCAGAAGCAAGAGATGACTAGAATGAGAAGGGAGAGCCAGCCATACACAATGGTCCCATACTGCTGGAAAAGCAGAAATTATACATCCAAGTCATGATAATGAACCCCCAATGCGCGCCTGTGTTGTTTGTCTCGGGAGGGAACTGGGCGAGAAGTATTGTGCTGATCACGTATGTGAGACACATGGCAAGATTGCCGCCCACTACAATTTTTCGACGGCCTATTTTGTCCACGACCATCATTAGGACGAATTCACCAAGAAGTCCAATGATTGAGTTGATGGCTTGGTAGCGCAGGGTGTCAGTTCCATCGATACCAATTTGTTTCTGATAGTGAGTCACAGTTAGCGGCTTTGAAAGCCAGGAGATTGGTGAGAATGAAGCTCACAAAGATGGTAACTGAGTAATATTGGATAGCGGAAATCCCCGTCATTTGTGTCGCAGCTTGCATAGCAGAAGCCAGTAGGAGACGACGGAAGTTTGATTTATTGGTGATCCACTCATAGATCTTGACCTGACTATGCTCCTTCTCTGCTGCAACCTGCGCTTTAATCTGTTCATATTCGGCGAGGATCCACGGGTCAGATGTGTCCCCGTTGGCATGGAGTCGGGCTAGGGTTTTTAGACCTTTCTCCAACTGTCCTTGGCTAATAAGCCAACGAGGCGATTCTGGGAAAAGGAAGATCAAACCGGACAAAAGAGCAGCTGGTATGATCTGAATGCCCAGAGGGATACGCCATTGGCGATTGTCCGCAAAACTGACATAGGTGCCATAGCTAATCCAGCTTCCACAGACACCACCGATGCCTAGCATGAATTGTTGCAGTCCAGTCACCAAGCCTCGAATATTGGGGTGAACCAATTCTGCCTGGTAAATTGGAACGATCATGGTGAGGACACCGATCCTATGCGTCGTTAGTTACTAGGCAGGAAGGACTCAGGCCAAGGGGGCTCACGAGACACCCGCGATAAAACGACCTCCTAAGATGTAGCCATAGTTACGCGCACCTGCCTGCAAACTACCACCTAGGCAGAAAATTAACCCACCAGCTAAGATGGTCGCTCGGCGGCCAAAGTAATCCGAGCATGGGTATGCTAATCCAGCGCCGACAAAAGCGCCGGCTGTGAGCAGTGAAGCGACCAGACCTATCTCTGTGGTGGTTGGATTGAAGTAACTCAGGAACGAGCCACTGGATACCACTTTTCACGAGCAATCCAGAATTTTCAGTGCTTGTGAAAAGATGAGATGGTGCGTTGAGTGGCTTACCTTCGGCGACAATAGTAAGATCATATCCGTAGAGCAATGATCCAAGTGCAGCAAACGTGCCCACCAGAAATTGATATACCTTGGGAGGAAATCCCATTTCTTCTTTAAGCATAGTAGATTGATCGTAAGAAGAGATAAAAACTTGAGGACTGTTGTCTACCCACAATAATTATTCGAAGGGATATATCCCCAGCATTTTAAACGTTCCGGATCGATCTCTATGTGTGAAGCTCGGCTTTTTCTTTGCTGGAGCAACTGTGCAGCGTTAGTAGACAACTCCACATCAGGTTCATTGATCGGGAAAAAGTCCACCAGCACACGACGCGGGGATAAACTACGGTACTAGTGGTCAACTCTAATTTTACGACCCATTAGATTACCCGATTCGGAAATCATTGGGGGTCTCCAGAACGCCTGCGGAAAATGCGCCAATCAAATTCGAAAGATTCCGCAGGTCATTTGATGCCGGTCTCCCTGAAGTACAGAATGACAGAAATATAACCGGTTATACGAGTAAACACGATCAAATTCTCGGGATAATACCAAGCGAGATGATATGGTATGATTATGAGACGAGATAGAATGGTCGCGAAGATGATCTCTCAATCCCCCAAGGTTGGTGTCTCCCTCGAACTCTAACCCCCTGTTTTTTTAACTCTCCTCAGAGAGAAAGCACTATTCCACTGAGACATACCAGTGTCAATGGCCGAATTAACTGCATTGCGCTTTGAGCAACACCATTCGGGACTGGGCGTACAATGCTCTTCGCCTCGAATTTCATGGACCTTCTCTGCCGTCGACGAGTCGATTTCTGACTGGCAGCAACTGCAGTATGAAATTTGCGTGCGTCGTGAAACTGGGACACCGTTATACTTTGTTATCCAAAGTCCCGATTCGTCTCTAGTTCCATGGCCGAGCACGCCCTTGCAATCTCGAGAACAAGCTCAAGTGCGAGTACGAGTGTGCGGCAGCTGGATGGACAGGAACACTAGGCGGGCACACTCAGGTTGGTCTGCCTGGTCATCATGGGCCACGGTTGAATGCAGCCTTCTTAGTGCCCAAGACTGGATTGCAGTGCCTATCTCCAGCCCAATTGTGCCATTGAGTCACGAAGATGAGTCATTAAGGCCTTTGCTCTTCCGAAAAACATTTGAACTGCCGGCCACATTTGACTCCGTTCAGCGAGCACGGCTGTACATCACGGCATTTGGTGTCTATCGGGCATACCTCAATGGTTGCAGGATTGGGGATCATGAAATGTCGCCCGGGTGGACAAGCTATCGCTATCGGATTGCATACCAAGTTTTTGATGTGACTTCTTTGATCACTACCAAAGGCAGTAATGTGCTGAGTATCGAGGTCGCCGAGGGCTGGTATGCAGGCCGGCTGGGATTTGATGGTGGCAAACGGCATATCTACGGAGACCGAATCGCTGTCATGGCCCAGTTGGAGATCGATGGACTAGCAGGTGGACGCTTTAAAGTTGCATCGGACATCAGTTGGAAGTTCCACCCAAGTCCCATTGTGAACAGTGAAATTTACAACGGGGAAACATACGATGCTCGAGTCGAAGGCGAAAACTGGAACCAACAGTGCCCTAGCAATGTTGACACCGACTGGGAGACAGTCTCAGTTTTGGACTTTCCTCGTGCACGATTATACGCCCCAAACGCTCCTCCAGTACGAATCACGGAGATTTTGGCACCCCAGAAGATATCCACCACACCTTCAGGCCGAATTATTCTCGATTTCGGTCAGAATTTAGTTGGAAAACTTCTCGTACGGTCAATGACGCTCCCAGTGGACGGGACTGTGAACTTCATCCACGCCGAAGTCATCGAAGACGACGGGGAATTGGGAACGCGACCGCTTCGTGGCGCAAAATGCGTTGATAAAGTCATCTCATCCGGCCAGCCGTTGATCGATTGGTCGCCGAAATTCACCTTCCACGGTTTTCGATTCGTAGGAATCGATGGATGGGACCCTCGATCAGAGAAAAAGTCTTGGAAGAGCAACATTCAAGCACTAGTGATTCACACTGATTTCAAGCAAACTGGGCAATTCGAATGCTCAAACATAGCCATCAATCAGTTGCACCAGAACGCTTGCTGGAGTATGCGTGGGAATTTTTTGTCCATCCCCACAGATTGCCCCCAACGGGATGAACGTTTAGGCTGGACGGGAGACATCCAGATTTTTGGTCCATCTGCAACGTTTCTGTATGACGTGGTTGGCATGCTTTCCGAATGGATGGAAGATGTCGCCTGCGAACAATCAGATCACAATGGCGTTCCGCCACTTGTAATCCCCAATATCCTGGACCACGTGTGGCCATCCATTCCCCAGGCTCTCTGGGGTGATGTGGTGATCATCCTTCCGTGGGTATTATATCTATCATCAGGTGATCGTGACATCCTACATCGTCAGTACTCAAGTATGACCTCGTGGCTGGATCAGGGAGTTCGTAGAGGCAGAGATGGACTCTGGGATCCGGAGATATGGCAACTGGGCGACTGGCTCGATCCCCAGGCACCACCCGACGAGCCTGGCGATTGCCGAACAAATGGCACACTAGTAGCAGACGCATATCTCGTATATGTCACATCTCTCATGGCTAAAATTGCCTTTGTTCTCAAGAGAGAGGGGGAGGGTACACATTACAGCTACAAAGCTCAATGTCTCCGTGCGCTTTTCCAAGAGAAGTACATAACTTCATCTGGCCTCATAGTTGGGGATTCCCAGACCGCTTATTCATTGGCCATCGTCTTTGGTCTTTTGTCCACCCAGCTCCAGCTAGACACGGCTAGATGTCAGCTTTCAGCGCGTGTACGCATGGCCAAATTCCGCGTATCAACCGGGTTCGCTGGTACTCCTGTGATTTTGAAGGCTCTCACAGAAACAGATAATCTCTCGCTAGCCTACCGAATGCTCCTCGAAGACCGCTGCCCGTCGTGGTTATACCCTATCACCATGGGCGCCACCACCATTTGGGAGCGGTGGGACAGCATGCTACCAAACGGGTCTATCAACCCCGGCCAAATGACTTCTTTCAACCACTATGCCTTGGGTTCTGTGGTCAACTGGCTCCACGAGACTGTGGGTGGTTTGCGGGCACTGGAAGCTGGTTGGAAGACTGCATTGGTGTCTCCACAACCGGGAGGTTCTTTAACCTACGCATCGGTGTCATACGAGAGTGTCTACGGCCACTGGAGCTGTCGTTGGAAACTGCAATTTGACGGGGATCGGAATGAAGCAATGACTCTCTGCTTGGATCTGATTGTCCCACCAAACTGCCGAGCAGTAGTTAGGATCCAGGCTGACGAGGATGGATTCAGTAAATTGGATGAGAGTGTGGGATCTGGAAAGCATCACTGGGAGATTCCCTTCTTTCCTTGGTCATGGCCACCACAAGCAACAGCCCCATTCATAACAAACCCGGGCAAGCATATCGATTAGATTAGTGCATATGATATAGATATATTGAGATCCTTTTCTTCATCTAGAATTTGAAAAAATCAATTTTCGACAAAGTTGGACTTTCATAACCTCGAAGTCATCAGCTAGCCAGTCTTATTGAGTATTCTACCGAGAAGAAATGACTGTTAGGTGTTACAGCAGCGAGAAAGGCCCAAACCCCTTCTCGGTGATTTACAGCTCTGGGGTCAACGTCGCTGGACTTCGGTTAAATTGACGATTCTCTCGGGCATAACAACTGGTAAATATCCCAGGAACTAGGCCCATTGATTGCGGAGTAGTGGGCGCAATGCCTGCCTCCTCGGTCCAGCTCCTACCGAATATTCCACAATTACGGGACAAAATGGAGTACTGCCTCAAATTCAGGAATCTTCAGGGCCCTTGACGGCATTTGAGATGCGGGGAAAGCACCTGGTGTAGTACGTATAAAGGGTCATCCGTAGAATCCGTGTCTTGAGTTCTTTGAAACACGCCAAAAGCGATTATATTGACTAGAAAAGAGCTGCCCTAAAATCTTGAAATCATGATTCTCGCTTCTATTTTCTGGTTTGCTGCCAGCGTAGCGGCATTAACGCTTGACGTTGCCTCATCTGGTGGCAATCGGTCTAGTTCCCTCTTGTATGGGTTGTTGTATGAGGTAAGCTAAGGATTCCAGATCTCTATGGACAAAGGTGGAGTGTAGACTGATGTATAACAGGACATCTACCACTCTGGTGACGGCGGTCTGTATGGGGAGATGCTCCGGAACCGAGCCTTTCAAGGATCCTCGTCCAATGGAGCTGCCAGCCTGGCGCGAAACACGGATTATTGGTATCCTGTTGGGAACGTCTCACTAACCATCGACACATCCTCCCCCAGTCTTTCCTCTAGCTTGCCATACCAAATGCGTATGGACGTAGCTGTTGGAACCACTGGAACCGTGGGGTTTTACAACGAAGGCTTCTGGGGCTTCAATGTGGATGCCGCAAAGCGATACATTGCTAGTTTCTACATGAGAGGCAATTACAATGGAACCGTCGACTGCTATTTCCATAGCAATACCACAGACCAAGTCCTCGGGTCATCGAGCATGAGTATTGATCAGACTTCATCTGAGGGATGGGTGCAGACCTTCTCCACGACATTCCAGCCGAGCACGACTGGCTCGGATGCTAACAACACGTTTTACTTCACGTTTGATGGGTCAAAGCTCGCTGGTCAGAGTGTTTATTTCAACATTCTGAGCTTATTTAAGCAGACATTTGATGACCGTTACAATGGTGTCCGGGAAGACCTGGCCGAGGCGGTAGAAAACATGAACGCCAAATATATCCGACTACCTGGCGGAAACAACATGGAGGGCAACGGTTCCCCTTTTGAATGGAAATGGAACGAAACCATTGGCTCCCTCGTGGATCGTCCGGGTCGACCAGGTACCTGGGGTGATATCAAAACCGACGGATTTGGTCTCCTAGAAATGATGAAGATGTCGCAAGATCTAGGGCTTGAGGTCATTCTAGGCATCTGGACTGGACTGTATCTGAACGGTGAGATCATTTCTGAGGCCAACTTGCAGCCATATGTGGATTCTGTCATGAATGAGTTGGAATTTCTTCTAGTAAGTTGGCCTATCCAATACCTAGGGATTCTCTAGATGCATTTGCCAATGAATGCACAAATCTCGATATGCGAAGCACTTGCTGATAAGACTAGGGAGATAAATCGACTACCTACGGTGCCCAAAGAGCTGCTTTGGGTTTTCCATCACCATTCAGAATCAATTGGATTGAAATCGGCAATGAAGACTACCTCAACGGAGGAACGAGCTCATACTATTCCTATCGATTCATGGCCTTCTATAACGCCATCCACGCTGTTTATCCGTCCATCAATCTCATGTCAACAATCAATCCTAACCCGGTCAAGTCCGACGGCAGTTCGCTGGACCTCCACGTCTACGGCAATGAAGACTATTTTGTCTCTCTTTTCAACACGTTTGACCAAGCGAGCCGCAAATACCCTGTCTTTGTTAACGAGTACGCAGCAACCAACACTGGCTCTAACAATGTAGGTCAAGTCGGGGCCCAGACTCTGGGCATGTCCTGTGCGGAGGCTGTCTTTCTCCTCGGCTGCGAAAGAAACTCAGATGTCATCGTCGGTTCTGCCTATGGTGCCTTGATCAAGAGCTATAATGAAGCGCCCGACACAGTGGCTGTGATAAAGCACACTGCGAATGAGATCCTCTACAGCATTAGCTACTATGTTCAAAAGCTTTTCGCGGAAAATATGGCTACAGAAACTCTACCGGTTACCGCCACGAATGGAAGCTTCGGCCCTGTATACTGGTCTGCAACGGCCAACAGTTCTTCCACGATCCTCAAGCTCGTCAATTATGATGGAATGACCGGTTCGTCCAACGCTGTGCAGGTCAATATCGAGGGATCGTCCAAGACGACTGCCACTCTGATCATTTTGACAGCCCCAAATTCCACGAGTGTCAACAATTTGCCGTCTTTGGGAGGCGAAAGCAGTACCATTACTACCACTACCTTGTCCGGATCTTCTGGTAGCTTCTTCGTGAGCTTCAGTAAACCTTACGAAATTGTGATTTTGGTCGTCTAAACAGGCCAAAATACATGTTGATACGCGAATGAATTTTTCCGCAAGTGGAACGAGCAAGCTCCCATTTAGATATGTTGTATACAAACGTAAGGAGAGCTTAATTTGTTGATAAAGCATCACAAACCGAAATAACCCGTAGATTCCAATCTTACCCATGATTCAGCTTGGACTCGGTCTCCTTCGAGAAGAATAGAGACTTCTCATATAGTTTTTAATCTCTTAGTATCTAGTTGAACTATTCTGACGGATCAAGGGAAACTGCAAAATTGGTATCAAATGCGCCCATTTCTGGATATAGCATCGTTTGAGTGCGTAGAACACCCTAGCTAGCTCCAAATGCGGGTAGTCGACCTTTTTGAGAGAAAATATTCGCCTGCGTAGAGATAATTTCCATTTCCAAATCCGTGTGTGGACCAATAGCCTTGTCCTTAAGTGGTAGAGCATACTCAAAGAGAAATCGTAACATCCAACGATCGAGACGATGGGTCTGTTGGTGATGTGAGAGAAGCAGACAATTGTTCTGGAATTCCATCAATCGATTAATCTTGGAAGATTATCAGTCAAAGAAAGAAACAAGGAAGAGCAGTAAGAAAGGATTATGAGGAAGGAAGCTTCACCATGGTTTTGACAATAGGCCAGTACTCTTCTAACTCAAGCAGTGCCCGAAAATTGGCTTCGAGGCACTGTCGTGACTGCGGAAGTTCATTCTCTTCTCCAAATAGGAGGGTATGTAGTAGAACGGAAGAGGAGACGATCGCCATGTGGGCGATGGTTGGATACACTGCCTCGCATCCGGATTGTCGCCTCCCACGGGCGAGCCAGGTGCTGTAACTGAGAGCATGATGTTTACATCGAGTTGAAAATTCCTTGGCACGCAACGTCATTATTGATCGTTTATCGAGATACTGGTAAAAGAGTAAGGTGGCGTAGTGGTGAAAACCAAGATGAAGGCCCATAAAGATGCCCCCGGTACCCTGCTTACTATGCTCGACGAGGTTCGACTCCGTCAATTGGACATCATGTGGTAGGCTCGTCTCCCAGTTATCCAGAAGCTGGGCAAGTCTGTGCGTGTCCTCCTCGATGTGATTCGGATGCAACCCATCCCTGTTAGCAGCGCGCCAGTTGAGTTCTTGAATTGGACTAAACACTTCAATGAGCGTAGCCATATGCGCCCACAAACCAGGGTTCCTGCATTGTTCATTCGGCCCTGTCGATGGCGCGTCTGGGCCCATGGCGGCAAAGAGGCACTCCTCCATCGGCAACCGAGCCGGTCGAGGCCAGTCCTTCATCTGACGAGGAAATCCGAGGCTCGAAGAGCACCAGTTGTCCGCTGCAAAAAGCGCCCACCAAATTCTGATTCTGAGCTCATGGAAGACTTCATTGTCTTCCTCTTGCCCCGTACGTGGTTCTAACAATTGCATCATCGCAATTGCCGTTCCTATTGTCTCGTGCAATATAAGCATCTGTACGCCCGGACTTTATGGCACTCACAGCCCCATCCAAGCATGAATTGAAGAGGAAAGCTTACGGAAGAAGAGGAACTCTGACGAGGGGTTTTCGTGAGCCACACATAGATTTGCCACGAGAATGCAAGTTTGAATATTCTCCAGGCACACGCGCTCGAGATCAATCTGAAGTAGCCGTTTAGACTCTGCGGTGAGCAGAGGCTCGAGTGAGCGTAAATTTGGTTGCGCTGCAACGTGAGCGCCCATTGCACAGATAGCTAAGATTAGAGCCTTGCTGACTCGCCGCTCACGAATATCCTTCCATAAAGTAGCTGCATGGAAGATGCTATGCGGCCGACCGTGGATTTTGGCCAGATACTCGTGAACTAGCAGTTGAACGGATGCATCGTCGGCGAGAAAATCATCTATTGTCTTGGTTTGGTGGTCTGATTCTTTTGAGGGCTGGCGGGCCTCAAGCCGCGTCCGAAGTAGTTGCTGTATCTGGGAGTGTGAACAAGCAAGATGATGGCGAAGACAGCGACTACAGCATGGCACAGAATCACTGTCCTTGTCAGGAATGCACTTCCGCTTAGCATCTCGACATTGCTGACAAGATTTCATGGTCAATCCGAGTGGTTCGCAAATTGTGTTGTATTCTGTGTGTCTAATAGAGATGAACCTTGGTGTCTGCCGTACCAACATGATATTGGCACTTGGATCCACCTGAGTTACCGTACAACCGCGGTAGGTCGACATGTCTAGATAGGGTTGATATCCTATAGATTCCATAATAACATCAATAGGATAGTCATAATAAATCAACTAATAGTAATCAATGAATACTTCAATAATCTTCGATATGACTAAGGTAGAAAGAATCCTTTATATGGCTTGACACCTATCAATGTGAATTGATTTATCTTCTACTATTGTATTCAAGTACCTAACTTAAATCAAAAGGCTATAAGTAATCAAATTCATAGTAGGAAATCCTCATAATGAGAACATTCAATTTGAGTTGCTGTTGATTATAGTCTTGGAGTCGGTAGTAAAATGATAGGATAACAATTTGAGTTAATACGATATTGAGGCGCGCCGACTTGCAGTATTCACGCGAATACCAAAGTCCTAGTAGACATACTATGCACTGTTAGTCATAGCACGAGAACACATACATATCTTATTTAGACTTACCTTGAAATATTTATTCTGCAAATCAGTCTCATCCATCAACCCCCTCTCATACGCCATGGTATGAAACTCTGTGGTCTGCTCATCAGCATGCAGGCACTTGCGCGAACGGTTCCTCATCCAAAGTAGCACCCAAATACCCACAAGACACAGAACCTGAACGCCAATGCAGAAGAACATCATCGCCACGCCAAGCGGGTATTCGGGAGCCTGGTACGTCTTGAAGAAGAACGGGCCTACAAAATTACCGAGGCAGTATCCAATAAGCAGCAAAGCGTTAGTCGTTATTTTCTTGGTGTGTCCAGCCGTGTTGGCTGTCGCGATGGACATGGATAGCGTCCATGTTGCGGTGTAGCTGAAGGATATCCAGAGACAGACTAGACGTCCGTAGGGTTTGGATTTATCGATTAGCCAAAGACCGATTATGCCGACCAAGAACGGGATGAGGCAGAGGAGCATGATGGCTAATCGGGCGTTTCTGTATCGAGAGGCGAAGTAGCTGTTTGTGTTGTTAGCATAGTTGTAGATCCGGATGAATTGTTGCTTACCATGCCAGAGGACATATCACCAGCTGAACAGCCCCAGAAGGCATCTGAATGAGAGTAGTTTTGAGTGTAGAGAAGCCCATTCCCTTGATAATCAGACTTTGGAACTAAAGTGGAGAAATCAGCATTGAACGGAATCTGGGCTTGAAATGAACTGAGCATACCGAAGTCAATCCTCCATTAGGCGAGTTGCTAGTCACAGCAAACAAAAAGAGTAGCCACGTCTTCAGATCCAAGACTGCTTCCTTAAACTGGATCCACTTAAAAGCTTTGTTTTCAATACCAGTACCATTATCTTTGACCCTATTAATCACCAAAGTCCGTTCATGCTCATTCAAAAATTTAGTCGTGAGCGGAGATCCCGGCAAAAGGACCAGCAGCACCACGCCCCAAGCAGTCGTGATCGCGCCCCAGATAATGAACAGCAACTTCCAACTCGCAATTGAAGATTGGATATGCCCAATGCCAAAACTGGCGATACCAGCAATCACATATCCCAGACCGGCGGAACCAATCCAGATTCCCATACGGAGAGGCTGCTCATGTCTTTCGTAGTACATAGAGAATAGGAGCATGGTGCCTGGGTTAATGGATGCTTCGAAGACGCCTAGAAAAAACCGCGCAACAGCCTCGCCGGCGAAGTTGAATGCTGCTCCATGGCACATGAGCACGATGCCCCAGATAATTACCTTATCATCTCCGATTAGTAGACGTAATTTATGTTGATAATTTCTAGGAGGGTGTTCCTACAGTCCCCGACATGAACCGATTAATAGGCAACTTCTGCAACAGGACATTGGTCGGAAACTCCCAAACCAAATATCCAAGGTAAAATACAGCTCCTAGCCATGAATACTGTGTCCCGGCCAGATGCAGATCAGTCTGCAGTCCAAAGACAGCTGCATAACCCAGGGTTGTCTTATCGATAGATTGAAGTGCATAGGTCAGACATAGCAAGGGTAGTAAAGTCAAATCGAGCTTCCAGCGGAGTTTGGTGAATGCTTCTTTCGAGTTGACATTTTCGACTATCTCGCCTTCGCGGAGGAGTTCTAGGGCTTTGGCAGGCTCTGTGTCGATGAGGGCTTCCTTGCCTGGTTTTTGGGATCTTTCTAGATTTCCGGACATGTTGACTAAGATCCAAAAATGGTGAAGTATGCAAGTGACCTCGATCCACACAACCTACATTGTAAGTCGGCCACGTGTTGATGCCCATGTCTTATGTCTTTCTGAGACCTAACATCCGTAAGAATCTCCTGATACTTCTTTATCTTCGGCCGGTAGACCTATGTTCCCAGTCGACGCAAAAGTGGATAATGATTTATGGGTCTTATCATCATTAAAGTTCTCCGCGGCCATCTCCTTATCTCGGCCATAAGTTAGGACTAAAGAAGGGTGGGGATAGAGCTAAACGTGCCCGCGGTAAAAGCCGACAATCGCGAAGGACTCGAAATATCTTGCTTCTTGGAGCTCTGCTCGAGAATAACTCCGTACTCTACAAGATTTGGGGTAGTAATTCATGATGGCATCACAACATCCTTACCAAAAGCTAGACATTGACGAACGAGTCAAGAGGGTGCTTCTACGAACGCCACTTATCGATGGTCACAATGATTTACCACAGCAACCAAGAGCCATCTTTCATGGCAAGATTCACAACAACCCCAAATTCGACTTGGAGAAGGGATTTCAGAGGGGTATGACTGATATCCCTCGTTTACGTGAGGGTAAGCCATCCACTTTCAATGCCTATATATCGTAGCATAGCATTTAATTCGCGGACTAGGTGCTGTTGGTGGACAATTCTGGTCAGTCTGTGTGCCATGTCTGAGATCTGCAGAGAATTTCTCAACGCCTGAATACTCGGATATGGCGAGGGATGCTATTGAGCAAATTGACTTGACGCTGAGATTGATCGAGTCATATCCAGATGTATTTCAGTTAGTGAATGGCCCTGGGGATGTCAAGAGTATATATGAATCTGGAAAGATTGCTTGTTCGATTGGCATTGAAGGGTTGGTACTCATTGCTTGCACGTTTTATGACAAGATGACTGACACAAATAACAGATTGCACATGGCTGGAAATAGTATTGGGATCATTCGCGCGTTTTACCGATTAGGTGTGCGATACGTGGGTCCTCCCCCTCATACACATAGTACTTTGGGGTGTCTATAGAGGGTCTAATTTGCGCATAGTGCACTCTTACCCATGTGTGTAACAATGCGTTCGCGGACAGTTCCACGTCCAAAATCGGTCCCGTCCATGGAGGATTATCAACCCTCGGAAAGTCGGCAATTGTTGAGATGAATCGACTAGGTGAGTTTCAGTTTCGCCAGAAAGTACTATCACAATCATACTTAACGCCCGTCAGGCATGATAGTAGACTGTTCACACGTCTCAGAAAATTGCGCCAAACAAGTTCTACAATTGTCCCGCGCACCTGTAATGTTCTCCCACTCCAATGTGAAATCGGTATTCGACTGTCCCCGAAACGTACCGGACGATATACTAGACATGGTCCCAATCAACGGCGGCATCGTGATGGTGACATTCGTCCCAGAGCACGTAGCCACAAGACGTAAAGATGCGACAATGGACATGGTGCTTGATCATCTATTCTATGTCGCCCACCGTATCGGCTGGGACCATGTCGGGCTCGGATCAGATTTTGATGGTATTGCATCTGTCATTCCTGGTCTTGAGGATGTTAAATGCTACCCACACCTCTTAAAAGCAATTCTTGATCGCGGTGCGACAGAAGAGCAATTAGCGAAAGTTGTGGGTGAGAATATATTGCGTGTTTGGAGAGGTGTGGAGGATGTACGAGACCAGATGAAGGTAGAGGGTGTCCTGCCCGTTGAGGATGTGTGGGAAGATAGAACGTGGTGGAGGTATGATGGGTACTATCAGATGCCGGATCCTGATCCCGAGGATAAGTTGGGGTTGGACTGGTACGGGGTACCACCGCCAGAAGAGGGACTGTATCTTGATCCTTAGATCTTAATATTTCCTTTAATGCTATTGACGTGTAAGTCAGCTGTTACACGAGAACGACATCACAAGCGCATAAAAGATTCTCCCGGAGTTAGGGCTAGGGCTATTGCTGCCTGAGGTTGCATGCGAGTTTGCCCAGCTTGCTCTACGTCCAAACGAGTTTGTACATTAGGTACGATATCCTAGACCGTTCTGTTTGATCTCACTCGGTTTCTTAAGCATATACAGCTATCTACCTCCAGGTGTCATGTTCGCGTCTTCCTCGGCGATTGATATCCAGGTGAACACATCTTATGAGACCGGAATATAGAAGTCGCACTCCATAAAAAACCACGGGGATGGGGTAGTTATTAATAGGTCTATCCCCGAACTCGTAGATCCGCCAGAATGGCACCGTCTTCCTAAACGTCTGCGGCGACTTCTGCAATCTCTGTGGAAGATAGCAGATTCTGAAATCGAGAATTGGATGGCACATTGGTCAAGTTTCCCGCTGGATGATGTCTAAAGTCAGCAAGAGATATGAATGCAGACCCAGTGGGCAAGTGATGGCAATTGCGTTGTTTGTGTAAATTATCAGATTTATGGTTTGAAGCTTCCTCGGTAGCTTTTTATACGATTATTAGGCGAGCTTCGGTAGAACAGCACTCAAACAACTCTATTCAATCTCATTTTGTCTCCTTACACGTACATCTACGCCTCGGCGATCGATGCCAAGTGAACATCTGCATGAGAATTGAACGCTAGGAAGTTACACTGCATGACAACCTTCTATAACAGAGTAGGCATTAAGGTAGCACCAACAGTAAAGGCTATCGATTGCATCGGAGAGAATTAGCATGTGAAAAGAAACCGTCAAGACTGTAATATGAGTAACATCTCACACCACACGCAATTGAAATATACAAGAGGCAGAGGCAGAGTAGATGATTTAGTTCTCAAGAGTTCATTGTCTTCCATTGACTCCATAATTATACAACCAATCGTTAGCATGGAATCCTTTGTCTAGTGACTCTAGCAGCGCTTGATAAATGATTGTCCTCAGCCTCAGTGGGGGCCGGAGGCGATGCAGGGCAATGATAGCGCCGATCTGCCCTAAAGAATGGGGCTATACGAGCAGCGCCTATCCCCAGACGTCATCGCGCTTAGGATGTTGCGAGGATAAATACTCACTGAACCCATTTTAAATTATTTCATACCACCTATATTCGCTATCCTTTGGAACATTGAAGTATTGAACATCATGGACGAGAAAAACCAAGTTCGTCAATTTATCTATTCCAACTCAAGCATCAGCACGGAGAATGGACAGCATCTATATTACATCAAAACGTCTAAATGGCCATCAAGCAGACCCGATGTAGCTCTTCACTTTGGCTCTAATAAGAATAGCCCGACAGTCGCGGTGTGCGACTTTGGCAAATGGTCGGGAGACAAAATCGCTCTGGGCGACCCCGGCAAAACAGGCCTCAAATGGGCGCCATTCGAGCGGCATTCCACGTTCAGTCCCGAGTATCAATGGTCATTCAACGTGCCGGGTGTCGGTCAACAGACATTTTCATGGAAACGCACTCATTCCGAGGGCATTGACGGGCACAAACCGAGCGGGTTTTCATCGGGGAATTACAAGATGGTGGAGACTCGCACAAAGAGGGTGATTGCGGTTTATAACAACGGAGGAGGGGTCTTCTCTGGGAGAAGCAAGAAATTCCAAATCAACGTGAACTATGGCAGAGATTTCGATTCTTTGGTCTTACTGACGGGTTGTGCTATGCTCGAAAAGGCACGCCGAAACGCTTCACGGGGCGCAGCGGCTGGGGCAGCAGGTGGTGGTGCCGCTGGCGGAGCCGCTGGCGGAGGGGGATGTTAAGCACCTTATGAGTTTATTTTGCTTCGTGTATTATTTGACTATACCCAGACGAAATGATGTATTATGTTTTTCCTGCAGTTCTGTCGAACGTTTTTCAGGATAGATACCCTAAGGGTTATCGCTGCATGAGACGTGACTCGTCGTGACAGTACAATACCATAGTATGCCATGGCGGAGTCTTCCCCGCATCACCCCAGCTTTTGTACCGCCAGCCATGGAGATGTACCAGACCTTTAGTAGTAGTACTACTACCCATACGGCCTAGAATAACCGACTCTCCCCAGTGCTATGATATCAGAATATTTCTTTAACCGGTTTATGCGCCAATGAAACGCGTCAGCTCGTAGACAACCTCATCCGAGGGCCCGAACGTCCGATGACCATGAGATTCGCCATCGTGGTACCAGTGGTGCTCCCCATGTAACCACGAACTAACAGCCAGGCGGCGAATCAGAATGATTGTTTGAGCACTTAGCACCAGACATGATTCATGGGAAATGAAAATAAGGCTGTCTCCTCGCTAGGTTCTTGCTAGGAAAGGGACATGCTCTCGGATCGGCCAGAGGTACCCAGGGCCGTTGCTACCTTCTCCGCTTTGTCTGCCCCTTGCTACCTTCATTTTCTCCATCTCTCCGAATTTGTCTTGACAACCCCGCTCGTACACATCCTGCCTCGTCTTGAGCTATTTTTTTTTTGTGTCGATGACTTCAGTCGCCTTGTTCGGTTGAGCATTTCCTCTATGTTGAAACCGCAATTCTTCTGAAATATTTATGGGTTCGGTCACGATGAGCTGGCTTAGGAAGGCGTCAGTTTCGGCGCCTTCCTCTCTGCTGCTTCCTACGACTTCTTTACGCGTTTTGGGATGCTCAGGTATGAAACAGTCATTCTGATTTCCTTCCAGACGAAAGTATTAACACAATTCAACCTTCACTACACAGCATGGCGACACACACACGGCCTCCAAACGACTTCGCGTCCATGGAAGTATGAACAAGATCGCAGGCGCCTTCTCGTAGCAAGTTGCGCGCCCCATAAACACAACTTCGCGACAGCATCTACCTCCTCTGTAGTCGTGCCTTACCAGTCGCTCACGGTTGGCATTCCGCGCGAGACGTTTCCCAATGAGCGTCGTGTGGCTATCACGCCGCAAAACGTAGCGCTTCTCTTGAAAAAGGGCTTTTCGAGGGTTCTGATAGAAAGCGGCGCTGGCGCTGAAGCTCAGTTCACCGACGAAGCTTACAGAAAGGCTGGCGCAATTATCGTGGAGAGGGATGTAGTCTGGTCTCAGAGCGACATTCTTCTCAAGGTCCGCGCGCCCAGTATAGAGGATGGTACTAAGAATGAAGTTAATTTAATGCGCAACGGTGCGACCATCATCTCGTTCCTTTATCCTGCGCAGAACAAACCGGTCGTCGAAGCCCTCGCGGGACGCGGAATTACTTCTTTTGCCATGGACAAGATTCCTCGAATTTCACGCGCTCAAGTATTTGACGCACTAAGGTCAGTCGGATTTCAAATTTTTCTTGCATGCGCATGCGCTGACGTTTAGGATCGTCGACGATCAGTTCAATGGCCAATATTGCTGGGTATAAAGCTGTTTTGGAAGCTTCAAACGAATTCGGACGCTTTCTTGCTGGTCAAGTGACAGCGGCTGGGTAATTAACCCGAACCTCGCCCAAAGATCAAATGCTGACAGATTACAGAAAGGTGATCAAACATGCACAAATCCTGATGGAAGATACTGATCCAGAAATTAGATACCGCCTAGCAAAGTCCTTGTGATCGGAGCCGGAGTTGCTGGTCTGAGCGCAATCGGAGCTGTATGTTTAACATCATCAAAGACATGGAATAAAAGCGTTGTTGACAAACTTCCTACAGGCACGTCGTAATGGCGCAATTGTTCGTGCATTCGATACGCGTCCCGCCGCTCGTGAGCAGGTACAATCCTTGGGAGCAGAGTTCATCGAAGTCGATTTGGAAGAGGACGGCTCTGGCCAGGGCGGATATGCCAAAGAGATGTCAAAGGAGTTTATTGAGGCTGAGATGAAGCTTTTTATGGAGCAGTGTCGAGAAGTTGATATAGTCATTACAACTGCCCTCATTCCTGGCAGACCGGCACCAAAACTCATTACTAAAGAGGTATATCGCCTTTGTACGCTCTGATAATCTTCTTACTGACTGGTATAGATGGTGCATGCAATGAAACCTGGATCGGTCATTGTCGATCTGGCTGCTGAGGCTGGAGGCAACTGTGAAGCTACGGTACCTGGAGAGTTAGCTATCTATGACGGAGTGAAGGTAATTGGTACGTATATCGACGATACTATGAGACAATTGCGCATTGGGCTAATTGCCGACAATTAGGATACACCGATTTGCCTTCGCGGCTACCGACTCAATCGTCTACACTGTACTCAAACAATATCACAAAATTTCTACTCTCTCTTGCAGACAAAGACAAAGGCTTTAACGTTGATCTAAACGACGAAGTGACTCGTGGCGCAATAGTGAGCTTCAACGGCGAGATACTACCACCGCCTCCGCCCCCTACACCTCCTCCCACGCCTACTGCTGGCACAGTTCAGGCCCAAGCAAAAGAGGTAAAGGCAGTTGAAGTGACTCCATGGCAAAAGGCAACACGTCAAGTGGCTACGGTGACGGCGGGKATGGGTTCAGCTCTTGCTCTAGGGAAACTGACCGGTCCTGCTTTCATGGGTAACATGTTCACGTTTGGACTGGCTGGACTTGTGGGCTATCGCGCAGTATGGGGCGTTGTACCTGCTTTGCACTCTCCCCTGATGAGTGTGACTAACGCCATTTCAGGTCCGTACAGACTTAAATGTCTGACAGTTGAATATCGGCCGGCTGACTTCTTATAGGAATGGTTGGCATCGGTGGTCTCTTCGTCATGGGTGGAGGTTATCTTCCGACCACCATCCCTGAAGCTCTGGGAGCACTGTCTGTGTTACTCGCCTTTGTCAATGTGTCTGGAGGTTTCGTGATTACCAAGCGCATGCTGGACATGTTTAAGCGTGAGTAATTCCTGCACTAGGTTGTATTGGTTTCTTACCGCTACAGGTCCTACTGATCCTCCGGAATACCCCTGGCTATATGCGATACCGGGTGTGATCTTCGGCGGCGGATACATTGCTGCTGCTTCCACTGGTATGGCAGGACTTGTACAGGCAGGGKATCTCGTAAGCAGCGTACTTTGCATCAGTAAGATGATCATGCTGTTTCTCGAAAAACTTTCCAAATGCTAAACATGATGCTACAGGCTCTATATCCGGTCTTGCTTCTCAATTAACTGCGCGTCGAGGAAACATACTTGGAATCCTAGGTGTCAGCTCAGGTTTTCTAGCCTCTTTACTAGCAGTCGGATTTTCTCCAGCAACATTGGTACAATTCGGCGCTGTCGCTGGTCTTGGTGGTTTGCTAGGTATACTCTACGCATCACTTTTGCTAGATGCAACATTGACTGACTTGGAATAGGTGCTGTAATTGGACGTCGCATCACTCCAACTGGTTTACCCCAGACAGTCGCGGCTCTGCACTCAGTGGTCGGTCTAGCAGCAGTTCTTACAAGTATCGGAAGTGTCATGGCAGAAATCGCTCATGTTTCGACGCTACACATGGTGACGGCCTACTTGGGAGTCCTCATTGGTGGTGTCACATTTACAGGGTCAATCGTGGCTTTCTTGAAACTGGCTGGTCGCATGAAGTCTACCCCGACTATTCTACCAGGTAGACACGTCATTAACTCGTCGCTCCTTGGGGCAAATATTGCAACAATGAGCGCGTTTGTTACCATGGCTCCCGGGGCCCCTGTTATTGCTGCAACTTGTCTAGGAGCAAACACGGTGCTTAGTTTCCTGAAGGGATACACAACAACGGCTGCTATCGGAGGTGCTGATATGCGTGAGTTTCGTTTTCAAGAACTTGTGAGGTATTTCTAACCAACGTGTTAGCCGTCGTTATTACTGTGCTGAACGCCTATTCTGGCTTCGCACTGGTCGCCGAGGGATTTATGCTCGATAACCCTCTGCTGACCACGGTTGGCTCGCTCATTGGAGTCAGCGGTTCCATTCTATCATATATTATGGCATGTCCAAATCTTTCCTCCACTTTATCATGTCTAACCGTGTGTAGTGTGTTGCAATGAATCGGTCTCTGACAAACGTACTCTTCGGCGGGATCGCGCCCATACAAGCGAGTAAGAAGATCGAGGGCGAAGTGGTGACGACATCTGTCGATGAAACGGTGGATGCTTTGGCTAGTGCAGAGAATGTTATTATTGTAAGACCAGACCCTCTCAGCATTTCTTTTGCTTCGACTCAAATCGCGTGATAGGTCGTCGGCTACGGTATGGCAGTCGCCAAAGCACAATATGCCATATCCGAAATTACAAAGATGCTGCGATCCAAAGGAGTCAATGTGCGTTTTGCAATCCATCCAGTCGCAGGGCGAATGCCTGGCCAATGCAATGTGCTCCTTGCGGAGGCCTCTGTTCCTTATGACAGTGAGTTCATCTCCATTTAGACCTACAAATTTCTTGCACATTCTGACTTTCATGGTAAGTCGTGCTTGAAATGGACGAAATCAACGACGACTTCAACGACACCGACGTAACCCTCGTCATCGGGGCAAACGACACAGTGAACCCGATCGCCCTCGAGCCAGACTCGCCCATCTCGGGAATGCCGGTATTGCAGGCATGGAAGAGCAAAGAGGTCATTGTCATGAAACGCGGAATGTCGAGTGGATATGCCGATGTGCCGAATCCGATGTTCTATATGGACAATACGAAGATGTTGTTTGGGGATGCGAAGAGTTCGTGTGATGGTAAGTTTGACTAACACTTTTCTTGTGTTGCATTCACTGACTATCTGAGCAGCTATCAAGAGTGCATTGGAGAGTCGGAAGTGATTATATCTCTACAATGGTTTCATATAGATACTGCACATAATGTTTCGATTGATGCTTTGATCCAGCCTAGCGTGTCTATAAGACCTTAGTCATATATGTCTCCCTTAACCATAAGAAATGCAGCATGCAACATTCATATGGACGCATATAGCCATAGCTTTGACGATTATAGACTACCTCGGACCTCAGATTTGACTCGACACAATCATTATCACTAACTAATCATACGTAAGCCTTTAGACTCAAGCCCTCATCTCGGCAGGCACCTCTAACATAACACACATCAATCAAATACATCCGTTACCCTTACCAAAGAGTCTTCTCACACCATTCTTGTAACGTACATGTATCCCAAAACCATGGAAAAATCAAGCAAAACCGAAAAAGCAATATTAACCTATTTCTCTGAATCGTATGTAAGACCGTACACATTGACATTGACCTTCCGATGTTACCCACCATTAAACCTTGTAAACGCCTTCACAGTACGTAATATCACAAAGCAAAAAAACAAGAGGAGAAAAATAGGGTATAAGATCAGCATCCCATGGATCTGAAGATCATGTTGTGCTGCCCCGTCGTTGGGGTCCGAATATCATCGAAACGTGGGGGCAGAACAAGCACCACATCACCGAATCACACCGAATCAGGGAAACACGCTAAGAAACAATGATGTTTCCTTGTGTATTACCCCCACAAAATTCGAGAACAAAAATAGTAAAATGATCGACGGTTGATCATCGTGAATTTCCTGGGGCTTTTATCAAGGGCTGGGGCCCAGGGGTCTATCTATGACAGCCGATTCGTGCGCTGCTTTCCTAGCCCCCTGAACCCGCCCATCAGCATCTTCATGGTACTCGTTGAATGGCCCGATGATTTGCTAGAGCCCACTGCAGCTGACATGACAGCCGATATCGATGACTTTCTCGTCCTTGTCGTCGTTGTAGATGTGGTGGCGACTGAGCCCCTTCGGCTTCGCGGCGATGATGCGTATTCAGTCAGATTTTCACTCGAGGCGGTGGCGAGAGCTGATGTCAATGAGAGAGAAGGGTTGCGGGGGCGGGAGTAGGGGAATGTCTTTTGGTAAGGAGTTGTAGATGATCGTCGGTATTCGACGGGGGACCAGTCGATGTCGCTGCTGTGAGAGGTTATTGCTGACTGCGGCTGTTGTTGCTGCTGAGGTGTGAAGCGTGATTGTTGGAAATCTGGAGAGGCGGTTGTGGGGGATGTTGGTGTTGTGATGATTGATAGTGGGTGAGGGGTTTGTTTCGATTCGTTTTCGCCTGCTGATTGCGGTGGTGACGACGACGACGATGATGATAAGGATGGTTGGTCGGCGATGGAGGAGGATGAACTCGGGTATTGGAGGGAACTGTTTGACCAGTTGTGTGCGTGGATTCGTTTCCATGATGCTGAGCTTGCGGATGTCATGTCACTGGCAACGCTTGAGCTGCGTATGGAGCGTGGTCGTGAGTAGTTCCGTGGTGATTCGTAGTCCGGGGCGTAGCGACTACCTCTGGAGGAGGAGCGTTGGGATGGGATTCGTCGTGGTCGTGATTGTCGTGTTTCGGAAGAGTCTGTTGCGTTGCTGATGAGGCTGTCCTTTCGTGGACCTACCCTTGGACGTGATGAGTTGCGTGCGGGACTGTGGGAGGACTGGGCTCGTGTATGACTCCGGGCATCAGAGTATGTCACTTCGCCGTTCTGGGTAAAATCTCGGTAGAACATGGCCGAGTAGCGCTTGGAGCGGTCCATTGGTGTAGTCATTCCTGACGCACTTGAAGATCTCTTGGTAGACGATCTTTTGCGAAGATTAAATGGAGACCCTTCTTGTTTATCCTGGTCGGTAGATTGCTGCGACTGAACCGGATTGCCCATTCGAGCAGTTAAAATAGCTTCAGTAGTAGGACTCTGGATCATGACGATGCTCGGTTTAGAAGCTGGTGATGTAAAAAACACCTGCTTAGCTTCGGAGACTTCGTGCACTTCATCTTCGTCGTTATCTTCGGCGTCTGCAGATGATTCGTCTCGGGACGAGCTTTCAGATCCATCTGGTACATAGCATACAGCTGATAAGTAGATTGGTGAAACAGGCGGTGTCATGTATTCAGTTAAAGGAGACACATCTTCACTGTCGTCGGTAGATGTATCTTGTCCATGCTGCGTGGGAACGCAGGTTGCCGCACTGCTACGCTTTGCCGTTATGATTGACAGACGATGTGAATATAGACTGGATGAATCGTCCGAGGTGAGTTTCTGGTAGACTGCTGGAGCCAGCATTTCAGCGTCGACATACTCTGCCTCGTTGACAGAGTCTGCGTCAGACTCGTGGGTTAAATCACCCTCGGTGGGCGAGAAGACGCTCTGTGAACCTGTCTCGGATACGTCCTCTTCTTCGGACTCATAGCGCTTCCAAGGTGGCATGGAGTGCATTTGTAGCAGCTCATTCTGGTCTGGTTTGACGACCAATTCTGAAGCCATTGAAGGTTCCATGTTGCCGTTGCACAAGCTTTGTGCAGTGTATAGTTACTTCCTCTTCTGCGTTGTTGATCTGTAAGTTATAAAGTGTGAGATATAATCTCGAGGACGTTAGACGTTATCAAGTCATCTGCTAAGTGGAGGCTGGTAGAGGACAAAGAGCAGGCTAGACAAGAATAAAAAACACAAAATTGTAGTAAGACTGTGAGACAACGACTATTTTTGAAGTATGTAGGAGAATAATAAAGAAGGTCAAAGCACTCCGAAGTAGATATGACCAGAGAAGAAGAAGAAAAAAAGAAAAGTGCAGGACACGATGACACAGTTCGTTATGGTCGAATATAGTAACAGACAGGGGCGCCTCGGTACAGATCTTCCGTGACAATGACCATGACAGGGTTGTCAATGATAGGGGGAAGAATTCCAGGAATGCCTATCCCCCGGAGTACGTGTACGAGTAAAATATTTACGTCGAGCCCTGACATGGCATGGTGTGATGCCACTCGGCCTAGATAAACCATAAAGTATGTACTATGGAGACGTTGCACTCTAACTGGGGGTGTTAGTCTCTATACTAGGTATAGTAGAGAATTACAGGTTGATGGATTGGCGTGTCCTTAGCGGCGGGAGKTGGTCCCYGGCCCCTACGTTTGGCCTCAGCAGCGTCGCGTCGCCCAGTGCGGACTTCTCCGTGCATTGCTTCTCTGACAGACACAGACTCATGAATGGTGTGTGTACTACTTCAGAATGTACAATACATTCAATGCGAGATGAAAAAGGGAGCTATGCAGGAGTCGAGATATCCTACATTATCACCCTTATCCAGGACCGGGTCCATACCCTATCGTCCTGTTTTCGTCTTCTCTCGCTCCGACCGGATTGACTCGCGAGGACACGTGGATGCCATACGCCCTTGATAGTTGATTGTCAATTGTTTCGGGCCTTTTTGGCGGTTCGCTAACCCTATCCTTGTCCTCGCGATGTCCATGCCACCCACTGGCCAGGCACTGACCACATTGCCACCCCGTTCAGGGTTCAATTATTGACATGCTTACTTATCACGCACCTTGTAGTTAACTAGTTAATTAATTAATTTCATGACATTACATAACTAATATTGTCACTCAGTACGTTCCTGTCAAGGGCGATGATCTCATCTGACAGACCAAGAAGTCAGCAATCGCCTCCATTCTTACGCAGTTTATTGATTCCACGGGCGAAATACAAAAATAGCTGACAGATCAGATGCTACTAACAACGATGAACATGGCGCGCTTCTGAATTCGGCAGTCAGCCAAAAGAGGTCAAAGTCATGATGGATGACAGGTACAATGCATCGAACTAGTCCGAAGTTGGATTCGATTGTATGAACTTGAAAGTGTACTACTACACTGGGGAGCGCTTTGTAATAAATTGACCATCTGGTGGGAACGCATGCAGTATTCAATAGATTAATGTCATACCGACTTTGACAGACGCGGTCAGTGATAGATTGAATGTATCCCTCTAATCCACAAACTAGTGAAGCCATCTGCAGCAAGTTTCTTGATTCACAATCAACATTGAACATACAACGCGGGTTTGTGACACGCCATTTTCTTGAAATTTCTTCTGCTTCGGCCAAGAGCAGCCAAAAGAGGGGCGCCGGGGCTCCTTGAAGGGATAGCGAATGAAGCGATAGTATATGTATCATTCTGAGAAGCAGGCTAATGCACAATGAAAGTATCTGGTCGAAGGAGTTCATGTGTTTCAGTGTGAGACAGGCGGGTGATTGGCTGATGGTGAAACGGCCGTGGTAGTTAGGGTTTGCATATGATTATTTCGCGTAGGCAGTAATGTATTAATAGTGCAACGTCTTATAGTCGGGCTCATATTTTAATATTTAGATACTCAGTCTAAAAGTCAGTAATAAATACTGCATATAAATTTGTATATTAAGTCAGGAACCCGAGTACTCCCATAATTTTTAATCTATTGCACAACGTTTTATTATCGACATGCAGTTAGAGGTCAGTCCATGCATCCACCATTGGCCCAGGGATTTGTCCCTGCGTCAAAAGTGTATCATCGAGAATGCATCCTTTCTGTTAAGTGGGAATACACAGTGCAGACTAAAAATCAATCGGAGAATTTCTTCAGTCTATCGATGTGGCCCTTGCAGCAAAGGATGTATCCCATTGCAGATCTCAACGTCTGTATCTATGTACGGGGTATGGCAGTATGCACTCCGTGCTCCGTGCTCAAACTTTTCTATCAGATCTGTGATACTGCTAGTGTTTCGGCGAGTTATGCTTTGAGTTATAGACACTGTTCCAGAAAATTTTCGTTGTCTTGGCTTGGTATGTGTGTGGGCCATTGGTAACATAACATAGCTATGGAGTTTCAAGTTGGTGTTGTACATGAGCGGAAGCCCTAACTGTTGGTTAACTGGAGTACTATTTGAAATCGAGTGAGTCTTGCACTCCACTTGGATCCAAAATACAATTCCATCGAATAGAGTTTGTCAGACTTGATTTTGACTTCAAGCATGAAGGTCGCTTGACTATTTGGCCGTACAAGAGCGAAAAGTAGACGAAATTTAGGGTTTGGCTGGGTTCAATCTCCGATACTTCACTCGGACTTCGCTATAGCACGCCGAATGCCAACGACGGAATAATGAATTAATTCATGGAAAGCAACTATGCAGACCGGAATTATAGAACGAATCATTATCCGATTCGCTTTGGACTTAAGCATTACCGGGGCACTGTGGTTATCACCTAGACAGCGATATGACATGTCAAAGCAAACATGCCTAAATAACCTTGGAACATCAAGTCATTCAAAACCTTGGAATCGTTCTTTGAATAAGTCTCATTCAGTATCATAAGCAACCGACAAAATCGCATTCTTCAACACACGTTGAGGAAAACAGGTAAGTACCTCCAGAGCTCTGACCCCGACTTCAAATCTTGCTAGATAAGGAAATTATGCAAGGGATCCAGACACCAGTCGACCATTGCAAAGACAGTGACAGGTGACTGCTCAGAAATTTTTCCTTGGAAAAACCCTTTGCTCGGTCTTTGTGATTATATCTACGGAAATATCTAGCCGAATATCTAGCTCTTGTGGTGCCTTGGTAACGACTGTCAATCGCTGGTGATACCTGTCAGTTCAGTCACTACGGTGATGACTTGTTCCCTGACTGGCTACCTGGGTAACGTATAGAGAGGTCTGTTCGGATTGATGCTACCTGTAGTATCGCTACTTAGATGAGCTAGATACTACCGTCTTGGGATGATTGAGTATGGTTCATTATTCCATGCCCCAGGCCCATTTACGAGCCAGGCTCAAAGAGCATGACCCAGATGTGACCATACCAGCCCCCATATCCTCAGAGTCATCTCTGGTCATCTAGGAACCATGACCAAGAATACTTTCGCCCTGACGCTCGAACGCCATGCATGATCATCAATGGTCAAGATGTTAATTGATGGTCCAGGGGGACGTCCGGATCTTATTTGTGGCGGTGATTGATGACCGTGCAGCCTCAATGAAGAGGTAGCTTCAGCTGTTCGGCCACTACAATTATTGGACATATGTTCGTAGTTGTTTCTATATGTAGATCAATGCATGGCTCTGCTTTCAGCTCGGTGTACATGTCTGTAGCTTCCGATGACAGAACGAGGCTTATAGACATCGCATTGGGGAGCCTTGCAATGATAACGGTCTCAAACTGAGTAGATTGAGACTCAGTGAAAGAGCTCTAAGCATGACTCGGTCCCATGCTAGCCATCAGTTTTTGATCCATGGGCTTCAATCCAAACGAACCTAAGTACCATGGTGGAATTCTCTGTAGCGAGTTGGGTCAATGTTGCTATGTAGTAGTTACAGTGTCGACCTCGAGAGACTGATACTGCTACATAATCTGGCAGGAGGTTGTGCGAACCGTTGAGTTCTTCAAATATCTGATACAAAGCCATTCCCGAAATCACTTCTGTTCAACGTCTTCATTCAAATGCGTACAGTACATATTATCTAACTATTGACACAGTCTTAGCTGAAACATGAGCATCCGAGCATAACATAACATCCTTCACGAGACAGCCAACAATCAGCAGTCAACGTGGTTCCGAAGGTTTAAAAAATTGCCGAAAAATGATATACAATAATACAAAAGCGATAAATTTGGCGAATAGAAAAACAAAAGATCTAGAATATAGACCACCGAGTTTCGCCGGATTTCGTTCCATTTTGATATGCCTTCTCCCTGTCATATAATCGAGTGAACGACTTTCTTCCTTTCCCATATTAATATTTTTTTGTTGATTCAACCGAGAAATCGMCCCAGCCGTAACCGTCGCTCATTAAACGTGTAATATCTGTAACAATAGAATACAGTCGAAGAGTAAGAGATTGTCCCGTGAAGGACTTCATAGTCAGGAGCACGCATGCGTGGACGATCAAGTCTGCTGCTTTCAAGTCCTTTCAATGAGACTCTATGATTCAGTAAGTGACTTTCAGTCAATTCGACATCATATAGAGTCTAAAATGGCCCCACATTTATGCCTTGCGAGAGCGGGTGACAGGTCCCTGGCGTCCAGTTGTTGTGGCTCCGTTAGCAGCCTTGCGACCGTTGGCGATAGGACTGGGGACTTCGGCGTCCTTCATGTCGATAAGAGCCTGGCGACCAGTGTTGCTGCGAGGGCGTCCAGTCTTGGCAGCCTTCTTGTAGGTAACCAGGTAGAATGAGATGAAGAGTACGAGGTAGGAGGAGATGATACCCATGCCAGCGAATGCGGCGAATTCCTCACCAGCGCAGGTACCCATATTAGGAGCAGAGGGGAAGTAGGTGCTGGAGAAATAGGTGTAGGAAGCGAAGTAGATGAAGCCTGTTTTCGATTAGCACTTGTACTGCAATTTTGTGCTGTAATGCCATTCTGGGTAAGATTTAACATACCAAGGTCGATAACGAATTGGATGATCTGGAGAATGGTAATGTACTTCTTCCACCAGATGCGGATACCACGGGCACTCTGGAAGTAGTACCAGTACATGACAACATGGACGAGCAAGTTGAGGGTGATAGGAACCCATGAAACCGAGGTCAATCCAATCAACTGAGTCCAGCATAAGAGAGCGGTAGCGCCGTGGTGGTAAGTGTGGAGGAAAGTCAAGGGCTTCTTTTTCAAGACAAGGAAGACGGTGTCAAGAAATTCGAGGTACTTGTTAAGGTAGTTGAGCTGGCACAATCGTCAGTTTTGCCAATTACCGTTATACCCCACGGGATCACTTACGTAGTACAAAACAACCAATGGCTGAGTCCAGCCACCATTGTGGTCACAGATAGCATAAAAGACACCATGGTGATAGAGGGTGGGAATAAGCTGTTCAAGGAAGAGAACAAGCAAAATTCCACTCACAGCTGTGAGTATGAAATTGTGGATCATGAAAAGAGCGTTGAGTTTGAAAGCCGGGAGCTTCTTCATGACCTCCCGACCACCAAAGATGATAGTGTAGTATGTGACCATGGCAATGGCGGTTTCTTTAAATGTGGACATGGGCGTCTCTCCGTTGACGAAGCGGAAGTCGTCTGCAGGATATCCGACGACGGCGTCGAAGGCCTTGTTGAAGAATGGCCATAATTCGATCCCGAAGGGGCGATCGATGGTGGGAAGAGGGATCTGTTTCAGGTCGAACGACATGATTGCGGACGTGATCGCTATTAAAGATCGAATTCAATTATCAATCGCAAGATCGGGCGAGAATGTCACTGCGGCGTTGTCCGGATGGTTTGCGGCTGACGGGATGAGGTCGCAACCAGAAAAAGGAGAAGAACTGAGCTGATTAAATATACTAATGGCGTATAACTGAGATCATTCAAAGAAATGAAGTGAAGCCGGAATGGAAGAAAGGAAAGAATCGAGGCAAATGCCAGAGAAGAGCAACCTGATTGATGAAGGGAAACAGGAGAAGAGAAAGAGAAGGCCAGCGAGGCACGCGAGGCCAGAATTATTAAACAAAAAGATGCTTGGCCTAATTGGGGCTAGCGTGTTAGTGTAAAAGGGGGAACTGAGTGGAACGCCGCAAAAGTTCTGTTTTGCAGCATTTCTTCGCAACTCGCTCGCAAGCTAGGCGGAGTGATCAGCTGCACTTCAGACTAGTCAATTGGATCTGTTGTTCCGGGCGCTCCGCTTATACACAATCGCTGAATCGCATCTAAGATGTGACATCGCCGAGGCTGCTTACTTGGTACGTACGTAGTCAACAACCACATGTCATTGCTCCCCATTCCAGTTACTAGTACTTCAATGTGGATTCGTTTGATGATGTCAGATCATGCTCCTCCTTTATTACTAAAACCTCAAGGACGTCTGGTAGACAAGTGATTACGAACATAAATTGTGCAGAGCGCGATTGGCTATTTGACCAGGGAGCACAAGGATTCGGACAAAGACCTGTGTACGAGTGTTGTTCCAGAACAAGACTCGAGATCTGAGGCATTTTAAGCTCGTAGATCATGGAGGATATCGATAGCTTATACGGAGTAGATAAGATCAATTGATATAAAAGTGTCTATATCAGGTACACGAAAGTTTAGCCGTGATTGGGCGGATTTTGCACATGCAATACCAGCTTGCTCTTAAATTGATAACTTCTTTGCTTTAAAACCCTGACATATAATATTACCATAGAGAGATCTAATTCTTGAAGTCTACGATCATAGAAAACAACCTTAATGTATTCCCCTACGCAATGCATCAATTGCTTGAGTCCGCTGATATAATGATTTAGGACTACCGGATTGGGAGTTGCGGCCTTGCAGCCTCAGGCACCAAAACCACAGCATCACACCACCCGCAAAACTCCGTGGAAACCTCCAACCGCACCTCCCAATCAACCTCTTTCTCACCCACGACCTTGATACCTCCCATTGGGGACGAGCAACATCACAACAACCACATCAATTGAAATCCTCTTTTTCGAACACTCCGCTCCAATGGCCTCCACCACTCTCTTCCGCCTCGCGACGCGATCCGTCCGCCCGGCAAGAAGCTTCGTCAGAGCTTCGTCGTACGCTCCTCGCTCAATCCGCGTTACGCCTTCCTCGTTTGCCATTGCCAATAACTTCAGCACCTCTACCAAGCTTCGCAGCGGTCATGAGGAGGAGACTTACGAGGAGTTTTCTGCCAGGTACGCATTCCCATTGGAGTCGTGACGGGCGTCAGGTGCGAAAGGAAAATTGGTATTGTATGTTCGGATGTTGAATTCGAGATCATGCCATACCCTTGGACGCTGGTCGCTGCCAATAAACCCATCATCCGATTCTACATCAATTGCATTGATTGTTTTAGGTTCTAACCAATCAACAGATATGAAAAGGAATTCGACGCCGTCCAAGATGTTTTCGAGCTCCAGGTACGTTAGCGAAAACACAAGCGCTCAGCCGGCGCCGAAGCTGGACTATCAGAACCAAGTGACTAATTTCATGTTCGCAGCGCAACTTGAACAACGCTTTCGCCTACGATCTGGTGCCCTCCGTTGAGGTTCTCTCTGCTGCTCTCCGCGCAGCTCGCCGCGTCAACGACTTCCCCACTGCCGTCCGAGTCTTCGAGGGTTCGTCAATGACAATACCGTCTCTGTCCAACTCAACTAACTTTCATAGGTATCCGCGCCAAGGTCGAGAACGAAGGTCAATATAAGCAATATCTCGAGGCTCTTGAGGGTCTCCGAACCGAGCTCGGCGTCCCTCTCCAGGAGGAACTCTACCCCAAGAACGAGTAAAGAAATAGCGTTAGCACCGATAGCGTTATTTCTTGTATTTTGTTTTTGCACCTTCTTTCTGTGTGTCCCCTCTGTGTGATCATGTGTCATAGTCTGAAATCTTTCGCCTTCTCGAAATTCTGGAGAGAAATCTGTATAGATAAATAGAAAGCTTTGTGGATGAAGTAAAGTCTTGTTCCAGTAAGCTGCTGATCGTATCTCGAACACCAATATATGTACCTCTCCATGTCTAACGAGGACTCTACCTACCCCATGAATCAATCTCGCGATTGTTCAGCTGACTGGGTATAAGTTCTATATCCCTGTGTATTAAAAGAGCCTTCTTACACAAACCTGCCTATGATATATAATAAGAAATGCATTTTAAATCTGGTATATCTAAATAAAATTTCCAAACACAGCATACAATCAAAACATATCGTAAGACAATTGAAGAAACAAAAATAAAAACGCCGTTCTCCGCTATTTTATTTCCAATATGTAACGAGCAACACAATTGTCCTCAAACAATCTGTCCGCGTAGAATTACAGGAGAAGAGTGCAATTCGAGAGCGAATAAATATTAAAAAATAGGGATAATGTCATGACACATCATGTACCGCTTGATCATATACAGAGATGATCAATGAGTTCCAACGTATTTGAAATAGTTGGGGCGGCAATCTTCCTTGGCCAGGAAAGAGGCTCCCTCGTAGAATTTGCCGGGTGTGCAGCCTGAGCACTTGGGTGAGTTAGGGCAGTTGAAGTAGGGAATATGGCGGTAGCCAATGTCGCGGAACCTGTGATAATATCTTTAGTACATACTTCATGGTGATGGTAGTGGGGAAGAGGAAGTTGACTTACCAATGAATCTTGCTTGCATCCTCAAAAAGACCCAAAGCAACTGAGTGAACAGGTGCATCACCCCATCGCTCATAAAAGAATCCACCAGCACGATCAAGATAGTTGAAATAAGCCTCGTAGGCCTCGCTGCGGAAAAAGTTCATATCACCAATCTCAAAATTCGACCAGAAATGACAGGTAGAGTAGCCATTGGCTTTCTTGTTATGCTCTGGTCGCAACTTGTCGTCCACAAGCCATTCCATCATATTGTTATCAGCGATGTACTCGGGGTGTTCGGCAAGGAAGCGTTCGGTCTCGGGCCAGAGTGAAGGCAAACTTTCAGGTGCATCGAAGAGGTTGATTGTAAATCCATACGTCTTGTTGTGGTCTTGCATGTAGTGGAAGACGTCGTAGTCGACGTCGCAGTAGAATTCAACCTTGGGTTCGACTCGCCAGTAGTATCGCGTGTTGGCTAGAGCTGGATGCTTGTAAAACATGCCGCTGTTCCATCGGCACATTTTGTGGTAGGAGGCTTTGCCGGCGTATTGAAGGCCTTGTTCTTCGAGGAGTTTGTTCGATTCTTTAACTAGATCGTCATCGATCCATTCGGGAGCTTCCCAGTGATCGGCGGGGATTTGTTCTGACAATACGTAAGCAATAATTATCTCACGAGCTATTCGAGGTTGGTCATACCATAATAACACTTTGCCTTTGTTACTTCCTGGGTCTTGCGCTTAAATTCCTCCGTAAAGGGCTTATCGTTCAGAAAGGTCCAAGGATAGTTGAACTTATGGTTCCATGTGCGCTCCAGCTGCTTCATTGTCGTAACGAGCTCGCTGAGCTCTTCATTGCGTACCAATGAAAGAAGCGTCGCATTGATACGTGCAGAGTTTTCACTATCGGGGGCGTAATCGTGGTCTTCGGCTCGCCATAATATGCCTTCAGGTTCTCCGGTTGCTGTTCGCATGAGTTAGTATCGTACCTCTGATCGGCGGTTATTTTTGATTGATAAGAACTCACGATCTAGTAAAGGATCTCTTTTCATGCCATCTGTTATTTTGTCTGTATCCACCGTACCTGTCGTACCCGTAATCGATRGTATTTGCGATGTTTGCGATAATCTGTACAGGACGAGCAAGACTCCCAGAATTCCGACTGCTCCAAGGAGCCGAATTGGCCTTGCGATGGCCATGATGGCGACAGGTCCGCAAGTTCAATCAATAAGTATTCAACTGTATATGACACAAAGTCTGATGGGAAACGGTATGCGAACTCGAGAGGTTTCTCAGATCTGTCCTGAGTAACCGTATTCCCGAGCTAGACAGGGTTTGTGCAACTTGTCTGCTCAGATGGCGAGAATAAGAGGCAGCTTTTCTCCCCTTAAGCAGTTTGGCCTGAGGATCTCCAATATCCGGCGCCTTCCCATATTGGGCCTAGCACGCGCGGCCATCCACGCGTCCCGGACAAAGTTCAACAACTCTATACAACAAAACACTGACTAACAATAATCGCAGTCTCATAATCGTCACATCAGAGAGAAGGACTAACTTGGCGGTTTAGAAATACCTGGCCACCTGCCCGATGCAATCTGCCGTGCGCTATCATAATGGCCCGCTCGGCGGCCATTGGGACTCTGATCGATGAACTGATCGTCGCACTAAGACAATCAGATAAGGTACGTATGTATTGTATCAGCTTTATTTCACACCCTAACTTGACCTAGACTGTTCCCACGTTTTCAGCGACCAAAAAGCGCTGCGAGGCCATCTTAAAGGATAGCAGCACTTGGAACCGCACCGATCCATTTGCAGTCGAAAAGCAATTGGACGGCCTGCAGGAAAAATTCCGCGTCCTCAACAAAGATGACCTGGCGGACGCGTTAGGTAGTCGTCTCTCAGAGCTAGAAGTACAACGCTCGTCATGGACGCCAGAATACCTGTCTCTGCTGTTGCAACTTTCTGACCGCCCTGCCGATGTGTCAAGTGTGCCTAAATTTGAAACATCCAGCTACGACAACGCGTCAGTTCAACTCAAATGGTCAGAGATAGATGCGATTGGAGCCGAGTTTGCCGATGAAGATATCTGGGGCGACGTTGACTACGGTGCAGCTTCTTCCGATTCGGAGACTTCGATTGCTTCTAGTGATATCTCGATCCCGAGAATACTACCTCAAGGAGCACAGCCATTGCGGGACGAGTTCGTAATACCTAATGAACTTCTCACGTCTGGCGAGGATGCCGACTTGGTAAAGACTATAAAAAGCGGCCATTTCTGGGAGTACGACTCCGCTGGTATTCGCGAATTCGCGCAGAGTCATACTCGTTTCATCACGGAGCTGCAGGCGGCTCGTGAGATATTGTTCATGCTCCAGGGACTGCCTACATCATTATTTTGGCAGATCGATAACAGTATCGCTGTGGATAGAAGATACGCTCTTAACCACGCCTCCATTGCGGCATTTCTACATATGCTCCGTTCTTATGCCGATATTGGCGTAGAAATTGGGAAGTTGAGGACATTTGTCAAGATTCCGCAGTGTGTGGTATTCTTACAAACATTCACCAGGGGTGTTGAGAAGGAGTTGACGGATTTTGATGCGTTCTTATCAAGAATGCAACTGAGCTATCTTTCGCCAGGCAAGACCGTCACGGTCAGTATGTTACAACTGACAGAAGAGGTCCAGAAAGAAGTACGAGTACTTTTGCTGCTCGCTGATCTCGTGGTCAAACTGGGATCTGCGCCACCGGAGCAGTCATTTCTTTGTCTGGATCTGTTATACAACCTAGTTTGCGTCAACCAAGCCTCTGGAAACAAACACGAACACAAGTCCCTCGCAAAGCTATTTTTCTCCTGTTTTGAGGCTTATGCACGACCATTGCGCTTGTGGTTGAGGAGCGGAGACCTTGAGGCTTCCCAGGATCATTTCTTTATCACCGACTGTCGACACGATCATGACATGCAAACTCTGTGGCATGACTGGTACCTTTTAAGAGAAACTTCTGGTCATCTTCATGCGCCTACATTCATCAAGCCGAGCGCCCGTAGGATTCTCACCACAGGCAAGAGCATGGTTTTCCTACGACATCTGAACGTCGCAATTGACGAGCTGGAGTCATCACATTGGCAGCCGCTGGACTTCGATGCTGTCTGTCCAGATGATTCGACTTGGCAACTCTTACCCTTTTCCAGTCTCTTAGACCAGGCTATCGGGAATTTGATTTCGACGAACCACATCCTCGCTTCTAGTATGCTGCGCGAACAACTTAACGGGCAATGCGGATTGTGGACATCACTTTCTGCACTACAGTATATTTATTTATGCAAAGACGCTTCTGTGTCCACCACAATCGACAGCAAGATCTTTGCATCGCTCGACAAACGCGGCGGTGTCTGGAATGATCGCTTTCTTCTTACCGAGTTGGTACAAAGCGCATTTGGCGAGACTGACTATGTGGATACATCTCGACTCATAGTGCGTTCGGCTCGCAAGACGTTCCACGACTTTGAAAGTCAGAGCCGGAAAGTCAAGATACTGAAGTCGATTTCGATAGAATATGTACTTCCATGGCCTGTGGCTAACATTATCACCAAACCTGCTATGAGCATGTACCAACGCATTTCTACATTTCTAATGCAAATACGACGCGCGAAGTACATTCTTGAACGACAACGACTACTGAAAAGGAATGACGCTGACGACAATGATGAAGATGAAGATGACGGCATGGGCTACATCATTCGACACAATCTGCTTTGGTTCACCAACATCCTCTACGGTCACATCACCGATATGGTCATAGCCACAAATACGGAAACCATGGAAAAGACGCTCGCAGAATCGCCAGATATAGATAGCATGATTTCCGTGCACGAAGCGTACATGTCTGCGTTGGAGGAGCAGTGCCTTTTGTCGCACAATTTAGCGCCTATATATCAGGCAGTCATCGCCCTGCTCGATTTGTGTATTCACTTCGCAGATATCCAAGCTGCGCGTCATGGAGAGACGAATCGATACGATACTTCGCACCGGTCTTCAACGGTTCTCAAAGGTCAGCACTCCAAACGACGACGTCGCCGCAAACGAACGGAAGATAGCTCTGACTCCGAGGATGATGACGATGACGATAATGATGAACATGAACAAGACGGTGAAGATAATGAGTACTACGACGAAGGCATGACTAGTATATCTTTCATCGAATCGTCGTATTCCCACAGACTGGGACACGTCATGAGACAGTTCCATCGATCACTGGCCTTTGTGATTGCGGGATTGAGGGGCGTGGGGAGGGTGGATGGACAGCAGAGTTGGGATATACTCGCTGATCGGTTGTCGTGGAATGCGCAATCGAAGAAGTGATGTACCCATACAGAAACAAAAGATAGATACCCAAGTTATAATACGAATGAATAAAAAGCATTACGAATTTCATATACCGAAAAATGATTATTGGATTCCCTAAAATATATCCGTAGACACAAATTATGTATGTTTTTTTATAAAGCTTTCCAACGCAGCATTTAACCAACCCATCGGCGAGCACTATAAAAGATGCGTCCCCAAGGACCAACATCACCCCATTTATCCGCATCAGCCGGCAGCCAACTAGCAACACCACCCAAAACAGTACGTTCAGGATGAGGCATGATAGCCAGTACACGACCATCAGGCGATCTGACACCGGCGATACCCTCGGGACTTCCGTTGGGGTTGTAAGGGTATGTCATTGTGGGTTTAAGGGTGGCATTGTCGACATATCGGACGGGCGCGAGGTTATGTCTGACAAAGTCCTGTGCGGTGACGTTCTTGGTCATTGCGAAGGATGCGCGGCCTTCGCCGTGAGCCACGGCGATGGGGAGTGATGAGCCGTGCATGCCGTGCAAGAAGACAGACGGCGCGGAAGGATCAGGGTCGGAGATGTGCACCATCGCGACACGGCCTTCGTACTGTTCGCTGGCGTTTCGCTCAAAGCTTGGCCAGGATTGGGCGCCGGGGATGAGCTCTTTGAGACGCGAAAGGAATTGGCATCCGTTGCAGACACCGAGGGCGAATGTGTCGGGCCGTTCGAAGAAGTTTTTGAATTCCTTGCGGGTTTCTTCATGGAGTAAGACGGACTTGGCCCAGCCTTGGCCTGCGCCGAGGACGTCGCCGTACGAAAACCCACCGCAGGCAGCTAGACCGGCGAAGGCGGCCAGTGAGACGCGGCCGGAGATGATGTCGGTCATGTGGACGTCGACAGCGGTAAAGCCGGCGAGGTTGAATGCGAAGGCCATTTCAGCCTGGCTGTTGACACCCTGTTCACGTAGGATGGCCACACGAGGCTTGTTGTTGAATGGGGACATCAAGCTGGTGAGGATGGGTAGGCATTTGTCTTTGGGATCAAATTTGATGTTCCATGAAATACCTGGGTTGGTATCTTCGAGGATGTTAGCAAACTCTTGGTCAGCGCAGGCTGCGTTGTCTCGGAGTTTCTGCATGTGGTAAGATGTATGCGACCAGATCTGTTGAATTTTTCCTCGGGGTTGGCGGTAGATCAATTTATGCTTGTGGTAGATGGTGAGATTCTGCTTGGGCTTCTCAGAGATACGACCAATGCGCTTGATTAGGCCAGGTGGTGGTCCACATGTAGCGAAGCAAGAACGGAATTGCATCTCGTCGGCCTTTCGGACCTGGAAGACGGCACCGAGTTCTTCGTTGAAGAGAGTCTCCACAGTGCTTTGGATATCGCCTGTCTTTTGTAAATCATCAAGCATGATTTCAACACCACAGCGTCCAGCGAACATCATTTCAGCTAGTGTTGTAAAGAGACCACCATCGGAACGGTCGTGGTATGCTAGTACAATGCCTTGCTCGTGGAGTTGTTGCGTGGCATCGAAAAAGTCTTTGAATAGTTCCACGTCACGAATGTCGGGGCTCTCGTGACCAACCTGCTTGAAGACCTGCGCGACAGCTGAACCACCAAGCGCTTTGTAACCAGATGCAAGATCAACGAACATGAGAACGGTTTCACCAACATCCTCGACACTGCGCAATGCTGGGGTCCATGTCTTTTTGAAATCTTCGACGGGGGCAAAGGATGAAATAACCACAGACAATGGTGCAGTAACTTCCTTGGCCTCCTTGGACTTCTCATCGTTCCATTTCATCTTCATCGACATCGAGTCCTTGCCAACGGGGATGCTGATTCCGAGTTGAGGGCACAAGCTGAGACCGATGGCCTCGACTGCTTCGTAGATTGCGGCACCTTCTCCTGGATGACTGCTGGCTGACATCCAATTAGCTGAAAGCTTAACTCTGCTAAGACGATCAAACAAATCGGCAGCAGTAATGTTCATCAATGACTCTGCAACAGCCATACGGGCGGAAGCAGCTGGCGAAATGAGGGCAAGAGTAGGCTTTTCGCCCATCGCCATGGCCTCACCGGTTCTGATGCCTTGGGTAAGAGAGGTGGCTGTGACGGAGACATCTGCAACTGGGGTCTGCCAGGGTCCTACCATTTGGTCCCGAGCAGTGAGACCACCAACAGTTCGGTCACCAATGGTGATCAAGAAAGATTTGGAACCAACTGCAGGAAGAGAGAGCACTCTGCTGGCGGCTTCTTCAAGCAGGTGTTGCTCTGACGGTGCAGCTGGGAGATATGTCGACAAACTAGCATCAAAGGCAGGCAACTTCAACTTTCGCGAATCAACCTGTCTGGTCATCTTGGGCGGCTTTCCAAAAAGGACTGAGAGTGGAAGGTCGATAGGCTTGGGGTACTCCTTTGAGTCTCTGTCCAAAAGAACAAGCCGTTTCTCTTCATATTGTTGAGATTGCTCTGCCCTTCCGACAACTGAGAAGCCACAACGCTCACGCTTGCAGATGGCAGTGAACTTGTTCATACCTTCCTCTCCGACGGCCATAACATATCGTTCCTGAGCTTCACAACACCAGATTTGCATAGGACTCATACCACGGTCTGCACAATCGACTTCTCTGAGCTCAAATGTGGCGCCCAGTCCAGCGTCATGGACCAATTCCGGGAGAGCATTAGACAAACCACCAGCTCCGACATCGTGAATGAATTTGATGGGGCTGTCTTCTCCCATTGCGACACAAGCGTTGATGACTTCTTGAGCTCTACGCTGGACCTCTGCGTTGCCACGTTGCACGCTAGCAAAGTCCAAATCTGCAGAACCTTCTCCAGAGGCAAGACTAGATGCAGCACCTCCACCAAGTCCAATAAGCATGGCAGGACCACCTAGAACCACAAGGAAAGATCCGGGCTTGACCAATTTCGGATCCTTGAGTGCATGTTGAGGTCTGACGGTACCTACACCACCAGCAATCATGATAGGCTTGTGGTAACCTCGGATTTCTTTCTGACCATCTCCGATATCAAGCTCGGTGAGCAAGGTTCGGAAGTATCCAGCTGTGCATGGACGTCCAAACTCGTTATTGAAAGCTGCACTTCCAATAGGAGCTTCGAGCATGATATCCAAGCTGCTTGCGATGTGATGAGGCTTTCCAACATCAAGTTCCCAAGGCTGTCGGAGGTCTGGAATTAGAAGGTCCGACACACAATATCCTGCCAATCCAGCTTTTGGCCTTGAACCTCGACCGACGGCTCCCTCATCTCGAATTTCACCACCTGAGCCAGTGGCAGCACCAGGGTATGGTGAAACAGCAGTAGGATGGTTGTGCGTTTCCACCTTGGCCAGTATATGTACCTGCTCCTTGGTCTGCGTCCACTCACGGGTTGCGGGGTCTGGAGCCCAGAATCCGGCATTTTCGCCCTGCAATACGGCTGCGTTGTCACTGTACGCACTGACTGTGTACTCTGGGTTCTTCTTGTGTGTGTTTCTAATCATCGAGAAGAGGCTGTTGGGCATCTGCTTGCCATCGATGACCCAGGATGCGTTGAACTGCTTATGACGGCAATGCTCAGAGTTGACCTGAGCAAACATGAAAAGTTCGACGTCGGTAGGATTGCGAGGTACGGGGCCGTTCGAAGCGTATGCTGCAACAAGATAGTCAATTTCAGATTGATCTAATGCCAAACCCAGTCGTTTGTTGGCCTCCTGGAGGATCTCTGTGGGTGATTTATCGCCGGCATCGAGAGGGACAGTCTCCAAGGGAAGTGGGGGGTGGTCGGAAAACATTTTGGCGAGATCGGGCTCTTCTTGGCTAATAATCTGTGTCATCCGGTCGTGAAGATGATCCAAGTATCCTTCTTCTGGTGTTGAGCCTTTGGAGAAAAGAGCCGAGATCTTGATCCCTCGTTCGATGCGCTTGACGAACGTTGCAAGACCGCAGACGTGCGAGATTCCGGTTGCCTGCGAGCTCCATGGCGAGATTGTTCCAACTCGAGGATAAACATGAAAGTTCTGTACGTCGCCATCAGTTGGTTCGAACGTGGGGGATATATCGAGAATGTCGCCGTATCGAAGAAGTTGCTCAAGAATTGCTTCTTGAGCAGCCTGCAGAGGCTGAGAAGTGTGAACGTAGTGAACCCATTGGGCTCGAACATCAATTGCTCCAATTTCTAGCGCAATTGCACGACCCCGAGACTTGGAAAATGCCACAGGTCCCGGGATGGCCAGGTACGTCTGCTCATTGGAGGCCACCATCCTGAGATCGGTAGATCAAAGGGTAAGTGGAGGGTGATATAATTGAAGAAAGCAGCTATGAATCAGCTCATATCACATTGATTGATTTTGTAATCAATCAACAAGGCACATTGGCTGTGCTAGGTTGAACAAGCTAACCAGTATGACTCTTGTCGTCGGACAAAAAAATTATCTGTGACGCTCCATCCTCGTTGATAGTCGCCCCGCACTAGTCCATATTTGGCCTATCGACCCTGAATTTGCTTATCAGTCACGTGCGACAGTCACTATACTTATATAGGTAAAACGCTGTGCACAACGCAAGACCCTCATTCCTCGATGGAGGGTTTGCAAGCTCTAAATATGACAGAGTTCAATCACTGGCCCGTGTATATATCAGAGGCAAGAAAGCCACGCCATCGAAAAAGCATCTTATCAAGATCCAGCAAGTTCGAATGGCAGCGGAAGTTATGCCGGCCGTTGAATTTCGATTCCCAAATAGGATTAGCTCAATGAGCTATTCTATAGAGGAAATATGCTGCGTCGGAGAAAATGCTATATATTGGGTTTAGCGGCAAATGGTGGTTCATCTTCCTCTTTTTCGCCCCAAAAAAAGCAGTGATACTTCTCCAATTCTCTGCCCTACTAGTTAACTGCTCCACGGAACGCTTTCCGGCCCGCTTCTTTCGGCATTGCTCAAGATGCGAGTCTGTCACTTCTCGAAGTCCCGACCTTAGATTAAGGACGGACCGATCCAGTCTAATCTCCATTCTAATGCTCGATTCATGTTTATTGACAGGCAGACAGTTGTTATCACAGAGCGGGTTGGGCGCCGCGGGCTTACTGTAAGCCGCCCCAGCCGTCATGTCGTTCTCGCTCTCAGCGAGATGGTCACTTTAACATTCCATGTCTGGTGGTGTTGTCATCATTGTTCGCGATATTACAGATGATTTGCACTTATTGGCTGACTTCATCCCAGATACGTTATTTCTCAAGTAGCAATGATGTATTGTTGACGAGCGATTCGCCTGACCTTTGTGTAGGTTTTACGTAGGTAATTTCGATTAGGCTATCTTTTAATTTACTCGTGATTTAAAACTTCATAATCAAGAACCCAAATCTTAATACACACATCGAATTGAACCGGGCTCACAGTCATCCATCAATATTGGTTGGTCTTCGGTCCGTCTCGCTCATTAAGCCTACGAGGCATGTTACCGCTTTAGGAAACCATCTCAGAATTCCCGATTAGGAAATTTTGGACTCTTTCGTGCAGGCGAAGTCTAGGTCTGTTCCACCTTAGAAAACTTATCACGGAGACTGTGGAAAGGACTCTGTTATAAATACAAGTCAAATCCCTTTTAATTATGGATTCTGAATAACAACAAATACCGCCATCTTCAAAACACTGCACAACACTGGTGAATCATCAGCATACACAACAATAACACACAACACACTAATTAGTATCAACTCAACACTACTTTCGGATACGAGACAATACTATCGAATATCAAGCATCGCCTTCGGTTATACATCATGTCTACACTAGGAGGCGAAGCTCCACCTCAACAAGCGCGCATGCGATCGAGAACCCTCTCACTGGGCTACGACGACGGCGATGTCGACCCCACGGGGCTACCTTTTGGACACCTCAACGAAGGCGCCGATCTAGAAGAATATGTCACAGAAACACGAACTGGAAACATTGTTCGACACACTCGATCAAATGTGACTGGTGAAGTCGCCGATTGGAAACTAGTCACTTTCACCATCGATGATGTGGAAAACCCTAAAAACTGGTCCAAGGCTTATAAGTGGTATATCACCGCAGTCATTGCATTCACATGTTTTGTCGTGGCGTTCGCGAGTGCTGTCATTACTGCCGGTCTCGATGGACCTGCCAAAGAGTTTCATGTTTCAATGGAAGTCTCTCTTCTTACTATCACTGTGTTCGTTGTTGGCTTTGGTGTTGGTAAGTTTTTAGATCCCTCAAGTTCGCTTGCTTAGATACAGATACTAACGCTCGGTTCCCTAGGTCCTATGGTATTCGCGCCGTTATCTGAAGTCGTTGGACGAAAACCCGTCTACGTGGTCACACTATTCATTGCCCTCATTTTTGAGATTCCTTGTGCCGTCGCGCCCAACATTGGAACACTTATCGTCTGTCGAGCCATCGATGGTATCGCCTTCAGTGCACCTATGACCTTGGTCGGAGGTAGTCTTTCGGATCTCTGGAAAAATGAAGAACGTGGTGTGCCAATGGCCGCTTTCAGTGCCGCTCCCTTCGTTGGACCTGCCATTGGTCCGCTGGCAGGTGGTTTCCTCTACGATGCTGCCGGTTGGCGATGGCTCTATTGGATTCAATTGATTCTTGCTGGTGTTACCTGGGTCTTGATCACTTTCACCGTCCCGGAGACGTACGCTCCGGCCTTGTTGAAAGCCCGTGCAAAGAAATTGCGCAAGGCTGAGAATGATCCAAAATTCGTGACTGAGCAAGAAATCGACTCTCGTCCTCTGGGTCAAAAGATTCGTATCTTCATGCTACGGCCATTCCAATTGTTGTTCCTCGAGCCCATTGTCCTCTTCATTTCGCTCTACATGTCCGTTTTGTACGGTTTGCTGTACATGTTCTTCGTTGCGTATGTCAATCCAGCACTCCCATTCCTCGTTAGAAGTAAACCTCGCTAACAATATTTTCAGCTTCCCCATCGTCTATCAGGAAGGAAAAGGCTACAGTCCCGGTATTACCGGTCTTATGTTCATTCCATTGGCCATTGGAGTCGTCCTTAGTGCAACGTGCGCCCCATTCGTCAACAAACACTATCTGAAGATGCATGCCAAATACAACGGCAAGCCTCCAGCGGAAATTCGACTCATTCCCATGATGTTCTCCTGCTGGCTGATTCCCATCGGTCTCTTTATCTTCGCCTGGACATCATATCCTCGCTTGCACTGGATTGGACCTACCCTCGGAGGTTTTCCAGTCGGCTTCGGCTTCATCTTCTTGTACAATTCTGCAAACAACTATCTCGGTAAGTACACCAAACTTTGAACTCACCATACAACGTTGGGGAATAACTGCTAACAATACTCTCAGTGGACACCTACCAACATCAAGCAGCATCCGCCCTCGCAGCCAAGACCTTCTTGCGATCAATGTGGGGAGCTGGATGTGTCCTTTTTACCGAGCAGATGTATCATAGACTCGGCTACCAGTGGGCTAGCAGTCTTCTCGCCTTCTTGGGACTCGCGTGTTGTGCAATTCCCTACGTTTTTTGGTTCTACGGTGAGAGGATCAGGTCATTCTCCCGCTTTGCCTATGTCGAAGACGAGGAAACCAAAGCAGTGCCTTACGACTCGGAACACTAAGGATGAGACATCAGGCCTATGAGGCAGAATAGAGTTACTCTGTAGAGTATGGGAAGATTTACAGGATAGTATATTGTTTTCAACATTGAACAGAGGGGGCTTCTCTAAAACAAGCATCACAAGCATACTGGCAGCGTTCTTTTTTTGACTTCCATCTGGTTGGATTTGTTTTCTTTGGGGCATGATATCATATGGGATAGATTAAATATTTGTTAATAGGTCATAATAATATGCTCATTAAATGAGCTTCTCCGGATCATCAGGACGTCAGTTGACGAGGATAGAACCAATAAATATAAATATTGGAAGAAGTTGAAGATAAAAATGGCCGGATTAGGCAAACAACGGCCTCTGGGCGGAGTGCGACCAATCACGTCATCTGGGCCCGCTGATTCAAGGTTGGATTCACGTGACTTTCGGTCTAGAAGGAAAGATCGTCGATTGCCGGAAACAAACATCGCAGCCAATTAATCCCGAAACGTCAACTCTCACTCCGCTGTTGTTGCATCTCGATACCCATTTTTTGCACGTTTATTTGAAAAGTATCAATGGGAATATGGAATTGCTTGTATATCCCGTCAATTCATGACTCAACCGCACCAATAACTGTTCAATTCCATAGCCCGCGCATCGACAACGTCAGCATCAACGATTCGATCCACAGTCTCCAGCCCCTCACCATTCATTCATGGCTTCATATTATTCGCGACCCGATTCATTCTCCCCTGGTGTGGGCAGAGGATTGAATACCGCCCAGAATCCTTCAATTTCTGATTTACCTCAGGCACAAATAGACGCAATCATCAGGACGAAACGCAAAGCGCGAGAACCCAAAGCTTGCTATCCATGCCATACCAGAAAAGTCAAATGCGATCGTAATCTTCCCTGCGATGGCTGCGTCAAACGAGATCATGCAGACCTTTGTTCTTACGAGCGACCGTCGAAAAAGCGACAAGCGAACACGGCATACCTGCCCACAGTGATCAACGATGATTTGCCGGAATCGGGTATCCCGAGTGTAGAAAGCTCCGGCGTTCAGGTCAAATCAGAGACTGTAGATGCAGAATTCGACTCGGGTGGGCGAATTTCCGTGCCTCGTGAACATTGGAATAATGTGTGCAACAAATTGAAGGAAATGGAACAAGCGATATCAACTCTGAGAAATGGTCTTGAGCAAATCGACGGTGGCCGTGCCTCGGTCGCCATGGCCCCGGGCAGCGTTCAAAGCGTTGATGCAAATAACTCATCGGCTCSAACATCCCCGGAGCGTGAGGGTATACACACTACACATACCTATGGCGAAGGCACAGTCCATCTCGGATCGCGATCAGTGTTGGCTTACATCTTGAACAAGTCTGGTTCTCTCCAGGCCCAAGCGCTTCTTGAAGGTGGCATCCTACCCAAACTCGGTCTTGACAATGAGACTGCTACATATCCCTTCGTTGATCTATGGTCTTCCGATACCTCTGCGTTCGATGTAAACGCAGTTTGTGGTGCTCTGCCCGACGATCAACAAATATTAGAGTCAGTACTAAAAGTCATCAGTGTGACTGGATTTCATTAACAACTCGTTTAGGTTCTTCCATTACTATAGAGACATTGCCGGCACCCTTTATCCCGTATTGGTGGATGTCCCTGGGTTTGAAAAGAATCTGCACACCTTCCTACAGAATAGGAATGCAGCCGGAGGCATTTTGAAACAAGGCGAGGATCGAGGGCTTTCACAACGCCCCTTTGGCATGAACCTGGCCTTTATTGGTCTGCTGTTTGCTGTCCTGGCATCTGGGTGTCAATCGTCAGACCTTCCTAGCCGAGAACGAGAACTTACATCCCAGGTTTATGGTGAGTTATTCGCATTAGTCTTCGTTGGTCCGACTTACTGAGTGTATCCAGTCTGCTGTGCATACCAATGCCTTCGCATGTGCAACTTCGTCTCTCAACCAACTCTCGAGGCAATGAAAACGCTGCTAATTATTGGTAACGTTCTTTCGTATAATATGAATCCTGGTGTTTCTTATGTTCTACTAGGTATGTGTTCGGTCTTTCTATGCTTGCTCACTACTTACACTTTAAATAGGAATGACGATGCGCATGGGCCTTGCTTTGGGACTTCACGTCGAGTCGAATCGATTTGACCCTGTCGAGCGGTACACTCGACAGCACATATGGTAAGACGATTGGACCTTTAAGCAAGACAATAATGTTGACGCGTGTTCGGTTTAGGTGGTCCATGGCTTGGCAGGACAGCCATTTCTCCCTCTCTTATGATCGGCCATCAACGGTAGCAGTCAGCCAGCCTGACATTTCCGACAGACCTGAATCCAAACCGGGGAATCGCGACTATTTTGAGACCATGTGTAGGATCATATCATTAACACTCGAAGTCGTTCGCGGTCGAATGGTTCACCCTCATTCCCACATGAGTCTCAAAAGCATGCAAACATACAAAAATCGAATACAGGAATTCCTTGCAGATGCGTCTCCGCATTTGCGGGAACGCCGCTACTGTCAAACACCTATGGATCATCTTCAAAGACTTGCGCTGAGAGTGCACTCATCATACATAACTTCAGAACTTTGCAGACCAGCGTTGAAGGCCGAAGCTGACAAAGACGATCCACTACAACCTGTGGTCCGTCGTTACTGTATTGAGCATCTCATCAGCACAGTCGAATCTTATATCGAACTGCACTCATTCAGTACCCATGGCTCGCGCGCTTGGATTACCTTGCAACGTGCGATCAGCTGCGCGTTTCTTCTAGCCGTCATTGAGGAAGGAAAGACCGAACCAAAGGTTAGAGAGCTTCTACACGAACTCGAAGTCATAATTTCTGAACGAGCCACTGCCGAGGGCGGATATGACTCTGGCACGGCCATCGTTCCTCCTGGGGTTGAAAGTATGAAGTCCCCTGGAAATGTGGCACATAATGGAATGGCCACAGGCTACCCACATTTTGACACTATTCAAGGGGTGACCAAAGCTCACTTATCCGTTTCAGATTCATATCAAGGCGCGCAACCTGCATCGATCCCGGCAAACATCACAATGGACACCCAAACGCAATGGGCAAAGCCTCTTGTACGGACTCTACGCGCATTGCAGAAACTCAACATTGCTTTCGATTCGTACAACGGTCAGCCTGGCAGTAGTCATACGACTTCGCTCGGCTCCGCAGAAACCCTATCAGCGCCGCACACCCTGGGATACAGACGCACCTCATCTGCGAACTCCCAGCCCCAAGCCGGATATACGCCGAACGTGGGATCGCTACCTCCCCCGACCCCCGAGAGCTCCAGTAGCGGTGACTGGACGTACCCGAATCTCCTAGATAGGGCTGCAGAGTACATTCATCCTCCTCTTTGGGGATGATCCATTATTTATTACCATCGATTGATGACTAGCATCACTTTTTTTTTTGGTTGTGGCGTTCAAATGATTGATTGATATCAAGGATATAATGGGTCCGAATTGTGCATGAACTCATGGAGTCGTTGGGTGTTTGTCTTAAATATTTCATTATTTTGGAGTTTTGTGTGTCTCTTTCGAGCCGGATACTTCGTACCTTTCATAGGCGTACTTAGACACACCCTCAACTGTACAGAACTTTTTCGCAATCTGATTCTGACCTTGACGGCCATAAGCCTGCTTCGGACATTCTATTCACTCAACTATTCTTGGAAATTTTACCAGTTGATAATTTCATTACTTCTTATTCAACGATTCAACGCCTACACTTGTACTCCAAGTCCATCCATCAACAGTAAACCTGAATAAACGTGAGTTTTTCATCCCCAACCCAATACGCCCATCCGCTTCTCGCTCCCAATGCAATCAATAATAAACGGGAACCCCCCAAACCACTACGAAAATGAACATGCAGATAGGGACATCAATCAAGAACCATCAGGACGCCTAGATTGTACTCGTCTCGTCGGACTGCGTCGACTAGGAAGTTGCGCTTCATTTCCCCTGCTACTTCGTCGAATCGGTCCCTCGACTTCCATCTCTTCTGGTGAGTCAACCGAGGCCGAAGCCGTACCTGATCTCTGAGGTTTTTTACCTGCGCGTCGCGGGCGGACTTTATTCAGGGCTGTGCCCAGGAGGCCCTCTGCATGTGCGTCCAGTTCCGTTTCGACATCGTCTTCGGCATGGATGATTTCTTCGGTCAAGTTTGATCCATATGCGTCGTCGCGTGAGCGAGATGCCGCGTCCCGTCTTTGGCGTCCACTGTTGGCTGTTTTGATGGCTTTTATGCGGTTTTCCATAGACCATAGCTCCAATGCCCGGGCGAGAATGGTACCTGCAGTGCCGGCGCCGCCTGCTGCGTCGCCTCCGCTTACTCCGAGAACTCTTACAGCCTCGTGCAGGACAGTTACAGCATCCAGCGTCCGACCAAGTTGTAGGTAAACAAGACCGCGGGATGTATGAAGAGACCCAATCAACCCACGATCTTCGTACCCGGCCACTCCTGCCGATGTGGCCGAGGTACCTCCTATTGCGGCACTGTATCCGGTCGCACCGCCGCCTGCACCAACTCTTATACACTCATCGAACTGAGCTAGTGCGTCATTCAGTTCCCCCATACGTCTATAGGCATGTCCTAGATTCGCCCGAGTAGCCACCCATGCTCCGGGGTCGCATTGCAATGAGTTTGCTAATGCGAGCGCCTGATGGAATAGTTCCGCTGCAGGCTTGAAGTTGCCTTGATGGTATAGTACAACACCTAATTCATTTAGCACGAGGGGATCGCCACCGAGTGCCGGCAGTCCGCTAGATGGTCCTTTGGGGATGGTGGTCAAGGAGCCCGATGGCGATCCGGAAGACATAGAGTATGCTGCGCATAGATATTCATGCGCAAGAGACATATTGTTTAGGGCTAAATGCTGCATTCCCAGGAACAATTGTGGCAGATGACTACCCTGAAACAATCGCGCTGCAGTGCTGTACGCTGCAATCGCCTGGTCATGCTCTCCCTCAGCGGCGAAGGTATGTGCAAACCCAATCCAAGCTGGTGCTGAATGAGGATCTAGAAGTGAGGCTTTGGAGAAGAAACGTCGTGCTTCGGCAATTTTAGCCACGGAGAGATAATATACACCGATAGCCAAGTATGTGTATGGCTCCTCTGGAGCGTTGTCAGCCAAGGTATGCGATAATAAAAATAACGCATTGACGGCTCCAGTCTCATAAAGACAAGCCAGGTGCAACGGGTACACGGCGGGCGAATGTCCCAGGTTCTGACCTGGAATCACCGATGACTCGGTCATTGCTCCTGCCGTTTCAGGGGATGTGAGGATTGAAGAGGTGAGCTCCAAAGCTTCCAGAAATCGACATTGCGTATATAGTGCTTCAGCACGGGAAAGGAGAATATCGGGGTTGGTGGCGAGGTTGTAATGTGTCGACAGGGTCTCGGTGGCATCAGAAAGCGTAGCAGGAGAAGTATACTTGGATAGTCTCGTCGTATAAAGCATCTTCACGAAATGCGCGGCTTCTTGTGACTTTGATGGTTCCGAAGGTACAGTCACAGAATCAAAATCCAGTGATTCCAAAAATTCAAGCTCTTCGGCGGGAGACATGAGTGAGTTTTTCATGAGCTGATCAAAGGCTTCAAAACATTGAATGTCTATTCGAACAGCGTCTTTATAACAGTCCCGTGCACGGTCAAATGCATTTTGTTTCGCATAACAGAGCCCACGTAGATAGCACATTGCTGCCTCGAAACGTATATTATTAGCATCTTCTCGATCCCGTTCTTCACTTCTGTCCGCGCGGTCCGATCTTGACGCAGCCGTTTTCCCATTCCTAAGCGTTACATGGCTATGACCGTTCAAATGTTGTATTTTTCGCCGACTATGACCTGCCGTTGTGATAAGGTGGGTTGGATTCTGGTCTCCGAGGATGTTGAGAGCAGCTTCGAACTTGTTTTGTTTGATGTAACAATGGGCGGCGAGATATTTACATGATGTGCTTCGAGATACCAGGTCTTTCCGGGAGAGTAGAGCTAGGGCTCGAGTGAAGTTGTTATTGTTGAAATGAACCTGCGCAAGCCAAAAGGCGTCGGCATCGCTGTCTGCAGTGTTGACCGGTCAGTGCGGGTCTAAAATGACTTTCACAACGAACACAGACTTGTCAACGCTAGGACCTTGTCCCCGATATAGATGGCAGAGTCGTTCTGACCTCTGTTCAGAGCATCCTGTCGCCAACCGCGGAGGAACTTCTCCATGTCTTATTGATGTGCTGGAAGGCGAGAGCACGCGGGCAGTGAAAGTATCATATGGAGGAGGCGTTTTAAACAGTCGGTAAATTCTCAGTTCGTAAGCTATGGGTAGTGTGTTATCTTTGAGACAGCCATTAAGCAGCTGTGTAGTCATAGAATCATAACAATGTGGTCAATAATTGAAGTTATTATATTGAATATTTATCGCAGGCGCGACGCGGGATGGAGAAAGCAGATCAACAATTGGCCCAAGCGTCAGCCTCCGCGGAAACTATGGTTTGATGCCTCAGGCAGCAGTCTTGGCCTGCTTATCGCTATCTCTTACTTGACCTTCAAGATATTCATCTCCGCCACTTCACCCTCATCGCTCACGACGCAATTTACACAGCTCATCTTGTGAGACTAACACATTAATTCTCTCTATTCTTCCTGCTCAGTTATAAAACGCTCAATAAAAAGCCACTATGTCCGAGCGTAAAGTGTATGCAAACCCAATTATTCGCATCCAACTTCTCAAAGGAATTTAGCTAACAGGTCACAGCTTGACCAAGTACTACCCCCCGGACTTCGATCCGTCGGCGATTACACGAACCAAGAAGGTGCCCGGTGCGAAACAGAAACTCCTGACTGTCCGTTTGATGGCACCTTTCTCAATGCGCTGCACGAGTTGTGGTAAGCTTTAGCATATCGGCTGTCGCAATAAGTCTGCTAATCGAGTGTTAGGTGAATATATCTACAAAGGTCGAAAGTTCAACGCTCGAAAAGAAACTACAGAAGAGAAATATCTTTCTATCACTATATACCGATTTTATATACGTTGCACGGTACGGACACTTGCCTTGTACATATGCTTCATTGTGTCACGCGATTTCTAACTTGTTATACCACAGAGATGTTCCGGCGAAATCACATTCAAAACCGACCCCAAAAACATGGACTACGTCTGCGAGCGTGGCGCAAAACGCAACTTTGAGCCCTGGCGCAATGCCCAAGCCGACAACTTGAACGAAACCGAGGAAGAAACACTAGACCGCTTAGAGCGCGAAGAAAACGAAGAACTCGAACAACTCGAGCGCGATAAGATGGCCGAACTCGAAGAGAAAATGCTCGACTCCAAGCGCGAAATGGCCGTTGCCGACGCGCTTGATGAGATTCGTACAAGGAATGCGCGTATCCAGAGAGGAGAAGCGCTTGGGGAAGATGTTGCTTTGTCGTACGTCAAGGATGATGCTGAGGAGGCGAGATTGCAGGCTGAGAAGGAGGATGCGGAGGTTGCGCGGAGGGCTTTTATGACTTCGACGGGGGAGAAGGTTAAACGGATCGTGGAGGATGAGGAGGAGACGACGGCGGCAAGGAAGACAGAAGAGGCTCCGGCTCCGGCTGTAACGTTTACGAAAGCGAGGAAGCCGAAGAAGCCGTTCAATGCAGGCTTAGGTATTAAGAAGAAGCCGGCATTAGTTTAGTTTAGTTTGTATAGTATTATCTTTTCTAAGGTGTAGGCGCTTCATATATGCCATCATTTAGCGTTGAAAGGTAGCTAAAGACAACAGTCGATTATTTCAAACGACCTAACTGATTGTACTACTTTGGCTTACTCATAGGAAAATTGGTAGTGGGCTAAACTGTAGATTGACTGGGTTCACCTACACATACATGAAAAGAAAAAAATACAAACAAGAAGGAATCATCAACCTGATTCATCAGGAATACCCGGCTCCGTTCCCATAATCCCAAACGCCATTGCTGAGATGATCGATAGTGGTAGTATAAAAAGAAACATGAAGTAGCAAAATACAAAAACATATCATCAACCACTGGAAAAAGCCCAGTGAAGACCCTTTAACTATTCAACTCCCGCATTTCTTTAGAAATCATGGAAATGGATTACAAATATGGCATCCAGAGAGCATCGGCAGCAGCCAGAGATTGAGGATTGACGGCCTTCGAGATGAGATCGATGGTGGTCTGGTTGGCAGGCAAGTTGCCCTCTGGGGGACTAGCGAGGCTGATAGCACGATTGACGATGATGGCACTGTTGCTCTGGACCAGCTCGCGTAGCTGATTTTCCGAGACGTTTCCACGATGATGAGCCGTAGCCCAAAAAATCATCTCTTCGCGTACAAAGAGACTGAGCTGTTGCTCCAATTCATGACGTGGCTCTGTAAGACAGCGAGCAATGGCCATAAGAGCACAGGCAAAGACACCTTCGGTAGCAATAGGTCCCATCAAGGTCTGAATATTAGGAGTAAGACGGAAAGGAACTTGTTCTGGGTTGAAGAAGAAGGCCTTCGTTGGGTTGATGCTTGGGATCAACTCAGAGCCCCAAATGTCACCCGTGGCACGAGAAATAGAAATCTTGTTAGGGTACCGGTTGCCAATATGCATGACATAGGTCATGAAACAAATGGTAGCGTACTGGTATGAGAATTGGCGACGGAACAACCAGAAGTCCGCGTAGTTCGGGTAAGTCTTTTGGAAGTAATCCAACATGACCGTATTTGGTACCCATTTCTCCTGGATTGCAGTGAGGATTTCCGTTCTAAGTACATGCTGTTGTTCCATAGAACGCTTTGAAATGTCAGAATTAAGATTTTTGTAAAGTTCAGATTTGAAACTCACGCTCTGTTTCATCTCAGCAAGCCCGCGCATCTTTTCCATTGTGAAAAGCACAGGCTCATCTTTGTTAATGCCTTCTCGCCTACAGTAGTCTTCGTATATGCCTTGCATGGAAATGTATGATGGATCATCGCGTACTAAGCGAATATGAGGAGCAACGGGAACCATCAGCGGCAGATGGAAGTAAAGATTGCGACGTCTGCTTTCTTTACGCTTGGCCAAAACACCGTTGAAGATGCGGAAGAGTTGTAGAATGCGCTCTTCACGGCGGCAATGGCGGGCTGCAGGGTGTTGAACAGCAAAAGGATGAATGCTTCCATCAAGACCGCGAATCTTGAGACGGCGATGACAAACACCAATGCCCCGAACCAAGTCCACATCTGGCAAGAAGCGGTCGATGCGAACAAAGTCTTGGTTCTTATCCTTATGCAAGAGATACTGTCCAGGAACCTCGACTTCCTCAAACTTCAAGAATCTAAATTCGCTGAGATGAGGAGAGTACACTTCGAGAGACTGCGACTGTGGACGGCGATCAAGCTTTTCTTCGAATTTGTCGCGCCAACGTCGCAGTTTCTGCACATACTCGAACATTGTGATCTTCTTAACCACAAAATCGGCTTCGAAAGATTTGCGAATATGCGCAGGAAGAATAGTCTCGGCGAATCKGGTGATATTGGCTTCCGTGGCAGGCGGTAGCTTGAAATCTTGAGCGTAAGCTACAGGTGTGCGGCCGACATATGCAAGGCCATCGTTCAATAATGCCACGATCAAGCGATGAGCATCTTCATCAGGGGGACATTTGAAGTTCTTTTGGATTTGATCAACCATGGTCTCCATCGAAAGTGCCAACAGCGGGAAAGCTGTCTTCAAGCCTGCCATAATCTCCTCCGAGTACTCCCATGGTTTCTTGAGAGGCTCCTTCTCCGCTTCTCCAGGATTTGCGGGCTGTGCGGAATTCTGAGCTGGAGCCTGTCCTTGAGCCTGGTTCTGTTGCTGGGGTTGAGTTTGAACTTGTCCTTGTGCTGGTGTCTGTTGCTGTGCTGGACTCTGGGTTGGTGCTGAAGCCTGTGCGTGAGGCTGGCCATTAGGCTGAGCAGCAGCATTCTGAGGGGTAGCAGTATTGGCAACAGCAGGAGAAGACTGTGGATTCTCTTCACCGGCCGCAGTTCCAGGTCGTGCGGCTTCCACCTTCGTATTGGGCGATGCCTGTTGCTTAGCCCTGTTGAGCTTCTCTTGCTTCGCCTCTTGTGTCTTCTTGATACTGATCATATCTTCCCTATTCGTGCGAAGCAAAAAGAACAAGGCTTGTGGATAAAGTTTGGCAATCTTGACCAACACCGCCTTGCACAGACGGGCCTCACGACGACTAAGGCTTGTGAGAAGCTGTGGGATGAATGTGATCCAATACCACACTGGAGTATCGCCCTTGAAATTTTCAAACGCACTTGAGACACGGCCTTCTTCGTTATCAAGGCTGAGCAACCAAAGGATACGACTGAGCAATTTCCTAGATTTGGCGTTCTTGTAGAGTCCAGCAGCTTCGAGATAGCAGCTGACTGCGTTGCCTGCGAGCTCATAGTCTGTTGGGTCCATCTTGAAACGTTGATCATTGAACTGTCCCCATTCTGCCCATGCTTTCGCAAGCTTGAGATCGTAATAGAGTGCAACACCAAACGAGTCATTAGCTTCTTCAACATTGTTCAATTTTGCCAGAAACATTCCCTTGAGAGTGTAGAACTCGGCTTTCTGCTGTGCACCAAAGTAATTGAGGTTGGTGTTGTTGATAACATCGAGGCCACTGGAAAGCTCTTTGGGGTTTTGATAGTGGCACTTCGCTTGTTCCCTCAATTTCAAGAAAGCTTCTTGAATCTCAATGTTGGGCAAAGTATAAATCCGGCTCAATTGATTGATGCAAACGTCTGGCATTTGATGTTTACGAGCAACATGAGCAAATCGATTGATGATCCACGCCGTCTCGTGATAACCGCGATAGGCGTATGAGTTGCTTGCGACATTGTTTGTCTGGGGTGGCAGCAAGCCGAGATAGGTAGCGTTGATCAGTTGGAAAATGTGTTGACGCCATGTAACCAGATCCTGCCAGGCATTGATATCGTCCCAGACATTGGGTAATCGGTCTCGCCAGGTACCCAAAAGCAACTTCAGTTCGGCTGATTTGGTGTCCAAGTTCCGTTCATTTGTCTGAGACAGGCTGTTGCAAATCACACTAGCGTCATGCAGCTCGACTAGTTGTTGGAAGTGCTGCAAAATCGGAATGTGGGCGTTGGTGATCCTCTTCGGAAGTTGGTGCCACTTGCGAATGGACAGTTGGATTGACTCGTCGCAGATATTGTTGAACTCCTGAATACCGTCCTTCTTAAGGTGGAAGTTGAGTAGCGACATGAAGGCTTGGAAGAATGTGCGACGTGGAGTGGGAGCATCAGAGACCGATTTGATAAGGGAATCCAACTGTTCGCGGTTGTTGTCACTCTGCCAGTTCTCAATGTTTCTCCAGGCTGCTTCGAGAAGAAGATCGTTGAGATTCTCGTGTTTGGCAAAGTCACTCAAGATTTCCCACTGCTGGAGCTTCTGAGCACAGATGAGCCAGTGATCTTCCCAGAGGTAATATTCTCCCTGTGAGAATGGCATGGCGCCGGAGCGAGCCTTGATTTGAGCGTTCTCGTACAATTGCTGGGCCTTGTCCCACATGCCATGTTGTTCGTAGGACAAGGCTGCGTTTGTCTCCACAAATTTGCATCGTCTTCGCCAGGTACCATAGAAGAAATCGTCCTCCTGAAGACCAGCGAATATCTCAACAAGTGCATCAAGGGTGCTTTCTCGCACTACAGGAGTGTCGATGGTGGGTTTATTTGCAGATTCTTCTAAGTACACTGCGGATGTATACCAGGCGTCATATGTCCTACTCAAGAACTTCATGACATGTGGTGGAACTTTGAACCGAGGCGTGGACCGCACAGCTCCCTCAAGAAGTGCCTGCACAACGTTGGGTCTCTTATCAATCTGCCTCTGATGGTACTCTCGAGTAAGAAGAGTGACCATGCCTTTCTCTAGATCAATGCGTTCATCTTTTGACAAGGTTGACCATATCGTGGGAAACAAGGTAGTCCACAGCTTGTATGATGTCTTGGGATCGGTATGCTGGAGCTGGCACAGAGGCTCAAGGAGATCCCGTGTTCTCACGTCTCCAATGTCAGCAGCAAAACGTTTGCACTCAGCGACAAGGCTCTCTAGTTGATTGTCGACTATCACATCTGCTTTTCTAGGATCTTGTTCGGCGGCACTGAACAGGAATGATATCGGATACACGGTCATATCATCGGGTAATAACCGAGCAGGCGTGTTCATGTCCACAGAACCCATGAGAAGATGCCCAGCTTGTGCCAGCCAGAACGAATCGGCAAGTGTATCCCAATTCTGCGAAGTCATGACGTAGCTTAGTCGAGAGCTGGCTGTGCGAGTCAAGCTCTTATCGAAGATTGTGATGAATCGATTTCGCATTTCCACATCTTGGGCACGCGTACCGATCAGGAAAGCATGCTCCAGTCTGACTGTTAGTTCAGTTCGTGTGATTTTGTTATCCTCATAGATGCGAATGACCAAATTGAGGAACTTCTTGAGCATTGTTTGATCGGGACGAGTTTCGAAGAGCAACATCTTATGGAGAACAGCGGTCTTTTCTTTAAGCGTTGGCCATGACTCTGTGGAGTGGAAAATCCAAGATTCAACCATTCCAAGCACCTTGCTGCAGAGTTTGATGTTTTGTGACCGCTCAACAAGTTGGGCAAGAACACTAAGGAACGGCCGGCGTTGGTCACCAAGATTGGACATGCGAATGGAGATCACATCAATAGTTTTCAAAATGAGGTCAACCCCAATTTCAAACTCCTGTTGATCCGAAGTACCATTTTCTCCCTGCTTGATTCCAGGAAGCTGACCAGAAGGTATGTTGGTAGCATAAGCAGCAACGTGTTCCTTTGCTAATTTCTGGGAGAAGGCTTTCATCACTTGAGGAATATGTGCATCGATTTCTGCGGGTCTGCTTGAGGATAGAGTCCATAACACGTTGAGACTGGAGACGTAGTTGTTGTTAGAGAGTCCCTCGGTGGCGATCGCAGACAAGAAAGTCACGAATTCTGACGGAGAACTATCCATGTCCATACCATCTTCCTCCTCTGGCTGATCTTCAGGAAGAGCGTCTAACACTCGCTTGATGGGAGGTGAAATTTTGGGAGACAAGTTCGCATCTTCGTCTGTGCCATGCAAGCAGTCCTGAATCTCCGGATTATCCGAGCGTAATGGCTTCTCAAAGAGCTTTTGAATCAATGGCAACCTGTTGATAATCCATTCATCCGGCTTAGACGCAATGAGTACACGGAGGATTTGCAAAGTATTAATCATGCTAGTCGTTTGCTTCTCATCAGGTTTCTCGGCTTTCTCGCCCGTGAGGATCGGCTCGGTGACTTTTGGATACAAATCGATATCCAGATCGCCCCAATATTCCGGTTGAAGTAGATTTGTCAATAGCTGCATCGCTTTCTTGACCATGTCTCCTGTGACAACTGGAGGTTGAGGCTTCACTGTAGTAAGATCGCGAAGCTTGAATGCTGGGACAGGATACCGCTCGGGAAGTGTGGTTATGAAGGTAATCAGATACTTGATGAGCGCCGCTCGCATTTCTGGCGGGACGCTGTACTCAGTCTTTGATGGCAAGGAAAGGGACTCGGGTTGGGAAGTTTCATCGAGTTTGCGCTTTCTCGAGTTTGGGGATTCCGATGCGGTACCCCCAGGGTTACTTGCACGGACTCTCTTCTCTTCCCAGTGCCAGATGAGTCCAATGAGATTGAGAGCCAATTTTTTGCTTTCGCTCGAAGGATTTGGTGGAGCAGCAATTTTACTCAACGATGGCACGATAAGAGGAATGAAGTGTTCTCGAGAATCATAGAAGAGTTCTGGTTGTCGGACGAGGAACTGGAAGATACTCATGACTTGCTGCAAGTTCGCCGTCTCTTCTGCGAGAATGCGACGCGGCCACTTAGCCCAGATTGGGTATCGGAGATCGGGCGCCTGTTGCGAAGTTGGATTGGGCGCTGCAATCCTTGTGGGCATGATAGGAGCAAGAACGTCAAGAGCCTGGGTCACTAGAGCTTTGCCTTCGTTTTGATGCGCTCTTAATAGAGCCACATAAACTTGGATCACGATCTTGAAGGGAGTTTCATAATAAGCAATAAAGTAGCTGATAAGCACGTACGCGCCGTACTTGTTGATGATATCTTCTAGACGGATATAATTCCACGCGAATTTGATGATATCCTTGCGCGACTCCTGGACAGTTTGAGAGTGATATTTGATCAAAAGGGCAGACAGCTGTAGGAGCTCCATGCGCGAATGATCCACACCGGGCTGATTTGATTCCTCTGTGATATCGCCAACCTGTGGTCGCCATAAACGATTCTGGATCGATTCCGTCATACTCTTGTCCATCAGTTTGGGAATGTTTGGTGGACTGTTCCAGTTCGCTTGTACATCCATGGCAAAGATGGGATTCACGAGGTTATGGAAGGCGTATGTTTTCATCCTCTGAGATGACGTACGTTGCCCATATAAGTCAAGACATCTCATAATGACAGACCTCCTATAATCAATGGACTCATTTGTTATGATGTGCTTGTAAATGAATTTCGGGAAAGCAAGAGTCCTCTTCAACTCGTCAGCGGACAACCCGCCAATAACCTCAAATAGGAAGTCGAGATCTTGAAGTGAATCGGCTAGATAGATCGTGAAAACGTCCATCAACTGATCCTCGGCCTGCTCAACTCTCAACCGCTCGCTAGCGGGAAGCTTGTCGTTTCGCAATTTGATCTCAAGATCTCGGCCAACACTAAGTAGCTTCGGTCGAAGACTAGGCTGGTTCAAGAGCCATTTCTTCATCGGTTCGTGCGTACAAACAGAATGAACGACGTATATCGCATTGATTGCTGCTGTGTTCTTTTCATCGCTTGGCTCTGTACCGAAAGCTGCATTCATGAAGCCTTCGGTGTCTGCAATGACGGCAGATCGAAGCACTGCGCTGTCCGAATCAGCTAGCACCTGGCCAAAAAAGCGACCATAACGCTCGTCATTGAAGCGCTGTTGGAAAAAAGCCCAGCTCTCCTTGGGATAACGGTTCAGGTACTTCACGAGAGGTTTGCGGAATGGGCTGTTCGAAGTACGACGTAGCTTCTCTTCCAAATCAATAACCTTGTTGACTAAGCTCTCCATGAAAGTCGTGGCTGCAGGCGGAAGAAGGTGGAAAATGTTAAAGATTGAAGCGACGATTTTCATCACCGGATTCTGCTCGACAAGGTTGAACGAAACTTTTTGTAGCGTGGCGTCGTCTGCAATGACTTTCATGTGCTCCAGAAGACGCTGTCCGATTTCAACCTTGAAGTAATTGGTCAGCAGGGTCAGAAGTCTAGCCAAGCCATCGAGACCAGCAACAGTCAACCGCTTGGGATCCTGTAGATTCATGAGGATAGGGCGAAGACCATTCTGAAGCAGGTCTTTCGGCAACTTGTTTGTCTGTGTGAGTACATCGCGCAGGCCAGCATTTGCAGCTTCAATGATCTCCGGAGATTTTGAATACAAAGATTTGAAGAAGACAGAAATGACCCTGCTTCGGCTACTAGCGTTAGGACCAGCACCAAATTCGGGGAAACTCATGGCCATCGAAAGTAGGCGAAGACACGCTACTCGAAGATTGACAATCATATCCGCATTTTTGAACTCATTTGGCTTGGAGGCTAGAGATTCGTCCTCTGCATCAGCTAAAGCCAGGGACTCCAACATCAAGCGGTTCAGGGCCTCGTTGAAGACAACAATGTTCTTGTGGAGACTAAGGCAGAACGTAATGGCGTCAATGAATCCAATTTGCACAGGGAAAGGAAGAGCTCGGAGAGGTTTATTGAAGATCGATTGTAGCAGACGGTCCTTGACCGGTAGCATGAGCTCATGCGCCTCACAGCCAATTACTTCGGCAAGTGTGGAAAATGATTTCTGTGACGTCTCTCGAACGTGCTTATTCATGTGTGACAACTCATAGATGAAAAAGCCACAGAGCATATAGAGACGACTCTTTTCGTTCTTCAAGTCATCCTTTGAGATGCCCTTGTTGCACCGTCTAAGAATAAGCTCCAAGGTTGCCTGTGCTCTGATACGAGTACTTGCAGGAAGATCAGCAGGCGTGTCTTTGATGACATACATCAAGGCGCGGACAAAGTCGGATTGTCGCTCAAATAGCCAGCTATCACCCAAGTCTAGCTCGGTAGCCAGAAGATGGATACCTAGGCTACCTCCAGCTTTAGTGAACCATTCTTCGCTGTGACAGCTATGGCAGAACACACGACCCAGGTGTTGCCAGAATGGTAACTTGGCAGCTTTGTCGGCACCGCCGAAGATGACACCAGCAGCCGCCTTGATGTCTTCCATAGCCCGTTTGGCGGAGTCTCGCATTTTGGCATCGTCAGATGACAAACAGTCCACGATGACATTCGCAAGCAAACGAGAATCCAAGTAGACAGGACCTTCGCCACTGTTCACATCAAACGGTCGTCGAGTATGTCTAGCCTGTGCCAATGCTCGACCCACTTCAACAACGACTACATGACGGCAGACATCTGCAACAAAGCTGGTCGCAGTTTGCTCAAGATCGAGAATGGAAGTCGCAAAGAAACATGCCTTGAGCAGCTTTTTCAAGCTTTCCTCTTGGATGAGCTTCTTCGGGATCGAGCTGGATCTCTCGGATTTATCAAATATGTCAGCAGGCCCCTGGATTTTGCTCTCCAAAAGATCATCGGCTTGAAGGCGAATAAGGGATGCAAGGTCCTCGGGCAGGTTGTCATAGCCAATATAAAGCTTCAGCTGAGAGCTGAGCATACGGAAAGCCTGCTGCTTGTAATATGCGTCTGAAGCTTTTGCTGCGGGTGTCTTTGGGATTTCCATCAGCTTTGCGTAGGCTACATCGACGCCAATCTCGACTGGGAACGGTCGCTTCTCGTTTGGTCCGATCAACCTGACATCAAAACTAGGAACTTCGTCGGCGAACTGCTGGAAAGACAGTTCTGGTGGGTGATTCAAGAATTTGCGGTTGCGACCACCCAATTTACCCAGGATCCGCATCGTCGTGTGGGAGTGAAAATGGCTGTAAGGGTGTGGTCGTAAGTGATCCCAGAGTGCGGTCATCAATTCATCCATGATAGGCGCCATGATGGGGTCCAAGTAATCGGCTGTTAAATTGTCCACGCACAATTCAAGAGTACGCAATCCTTGCCCAACTAAATCCGAGTCTGCTCTCAAAGCAACCACGATTGGGCGCATTAAATGACTAAGGTGAGGAAGGAGATGACTTAGACGTGCCGGCACAGTCAAAGTTAGCTCGACGTAGAGATCGCGTTCTTGAGGCTTGCGAGCGCCCAATAAAAGATTGTTAAAAGTCTCCAAAAGCATCTCCAATAGTGGAAGCAATTCCTTGTATAGCAATTCGAACCTCCCACCACCGATGCTGCGGAAGAGTGAACGTAGCAGAAGGAAGTAATTCATTGGCTCTTCGGCGGTCACAGATAACTCGATGCATTTCGTGACAATTTTGGTGACGTGGGGATAGAGAACCTGCTCGTTTTGGTTTGAGAAAAGAGTGACGGCCATGAAAGACAATTTGAACATCCTCAGGAGAATCTTGGCCTTTGCCATGTCTGACGTTCCGACTTCTTGTATACGATCCATCAGGTATTGGAGGACCATACCAGAGAAGGCAGGAGAGGTTGCTTCACTTGCAAGGAAAAATTGTGGCAAGTGAATGAGAGCAGGGTGCTCGAACATTAATTCGTGAAGATAAGGAATCTCACTGTGAAAGACTTCATGGAAGGTCGCCGTGTCAATGCAATGGAATACTGTTCCAAAGCTCTCAAGAAGTTCCTTCTCTTGAGGGCCCATAGGAGCAGTATACTGGCTGGCAAGGTACTCAAATGAAGAAGAGTAGTTGATGTCAGGTGCAGGTTGATCGACGCCGTAGTAACGGAAGACACGGGCACCTTCATGGAAGAGCTTCTTGATGACTTTGACCTCTTCGGCATTGTAACCATACGACACCTCTGGCCAGTTAATCGGTGTGTTACTGGGATCGATTTGTATGTGTGTCGGATTGCAATTCTTCAATTGGTGGAAGATGTTTTTCAAGCCATTGATCAGGTTCTTGAACAGGAACAAATTGTCCGAAACTGGATCACCACCTCGATCGCGAGGATTAGAAGTCTTGATGGGAACAGCTGTGAAAATGTCGATTTCGTCCCAGTCTGGAGGCGAGTCGCGATCGGAAAGATAGTTCTCAGGAGTTGAGTCTGTACGCTCTTTGTTTGCGCGGGAAACTTTGACGGCATTATCAAATTGGTAATTCATAGCGGCAAATTTGTCTCCAATGGCATCTAGAATCATGATAAGGTAGTACCGGGCATCTTGCTTGTCTTCCAGCTTCGAGATTTTCTCAGCCATGTTCAACAACAACTTTGCACTCATTGTCTGGAAACTGGTTCCTGGGAACTCGTCATGAAGATTCTTGGTGTATACTTCCACAGTCTTGCGAATCTGGTTTCTCGTAAGATGGTCTCGCACATGGTGAATCAAGTCGGCAAGCATGCTATATGCAAGAGGTCGCATAGTCTCGTAAACCGTCAAACCATCTCCGATAAGTGTCCGCTCATCCAAGAGCTGGTCGATTGTAACAAGAAATATCCGTCGATAGTTAAAGTTGATGATGTGACGGATGGCGACCAGCAGCTCCTTCCTCGCGCTGGACTTCTCACGTGGACAATCTTGCAACAGCCGAACAACAACTCCAGGAAGCGTTGGCAAGAAATCCTGCAAATGATTTGCATACATACGGAGAAGATAGGCAAGGAAACTCATTGTTTTGACTTGAGCGGTGATAAATTCGCCAAAAGCAGCTCGATTTTTGATCTCCTTGCACACCCCAGTGAACAGTTTTCCCTGAGCATGGGCTTCCGCATGTGCTCTCTCCTGTGGTTTAGCTTGTAGGAGCAAGATGCTCTTGATCAGCGGGACGAATAGCTTTACATTGGCATTTACCGTGGTACGATGCGCCTGGAAGATAGAAACGACAATGATGGGGCATTCGGCTAACACCTTGAACGACTGCATTCCCTTTTGAAGATGATGATTCGCCTGTTGATCGGAACCCAGCTCTGAGACTGAGGTACTGGGAGAAGATGGTCGCGGAGATTGAAAGGTTTGAGAAACGGCACCCGGTGTCGAAGGCATACCAGGTGTTGTGCCTTGTGCTGGTGTATCGAACGTGTCCCGCACCACTTCCTCCATACCCTGAAACATCTCCTGGATGAGTTCGAGGAAAGGCTGGACTCGCGACGCTGTTGCCTTGACCTGGTTGCGCACCAGATCCATGATGGTCTTCATACACAGGACGGCATTTTCTTCATTCTCAACTCTGACGAGCTGCATCAAGGTATCCACCATGTCAACTGCGAAGGGCTCGACATCGGGCGAAGCTGTGGGCAGACGATGCAACGTTTCGAGAAGGCAGTTTCGTAATTTCTAGTCGCGAGGCATGGTCTTAGTATCAACTGCTCTCCCTTCAACCGACAGACTGGAACCTTCGAGGACTTACATGATCGAATGAGGAAGTTGTGAATACCGGGTCCCCCTTCAAAAGATTCTTGAAAACAGGCCATAGCTTCGTCAGAAATATAGAATAGCTAGGACCAGAGCAAAAGGTTTCCATAGTATCTCGCAGCTCGACGGCGACATTTGCTCTCTTCGCAACTTCTAAAAGCACAACGTCAATATCAATATTGCAATTAATATTTCTGGCACGCTAGGAAGTCCATCTTACCCCATTTCTCATTAGTGAGATTCCTCACAAAGGTATCAATCTTTGCCTCCGTCATGATTACGATGACGAGTGATCAGAGATCACTGTGTGCTATTGACTCGAAATGTGTGACAGCAAGCAAGCTTCTTTCTCCATTCAGATGCCAGGCCAACGGGCCGGCATGTCCTTCGAAAGGAATCGCAATTCGATGACTCTAATCCGAGAAGCTGCAATACATATGGCGCGAGTACGATTCGTGGAAAAAAGCGATTTGCGCACGAGGCTGTAAGTAGAAGGTTTGGGAAAAAGGCAGCTCGGAGCTCTGAAAACGATCGACTCGAACGGACTTTTTCAGGAATGCAAAAGGGTTTCTGTCGCGGTTAATTAATGAAGGAATAATAGGCGAATAAATTAAGGACAGAAGGGCATTAAAATAAATTAAGAAAGAGTCCTGCCTGGAAAGGTAATGGGGAGGTGGGACGGTGTAGTAGATAGCTGATAGACAGACAGATACTCTTTCTGCGCGACTTGACTAGACTGATCACGCTTCCTGCCATCAAAAGCGCGGGCATCCTCCAGACCCTATAGAGAGCCACTAAGCCTGTTCCGGTAATTTCGCGGATTAATTGTTGTTCCACCTCGCGTGCCTGAGGCTAGGCTGTGCCTTTTTACGGGGAAATCAGCCACTGTCCAATCACAACGAGCTTAATCAATTTTGAAGGTATGCCTGGTTTATCTTCAATTATTCTAAAGAGAGTCCAGATCATGCTAGAGTTTACATTGGGAATATTTAACAAGGCTGCCAATCGTGTGATCTCCAAGAAGGAAGGTATGTACACTGACTCACTACTATCACGAAAAGGCAGGCCCTCTATCCTGATCTATCAACCGATTAATCACATTCACAAACCGGCCTGCTTTGTCAATATCCTGTTTGGCTGTCTCAATGCCCAGGAGGATCTTCTTGATACCCACGCCAATCTTCTTGTCATCGTCGATGCTGTAAATACCTCCAAGAATGCCCTCAATCTCTTGCGGTGTGAAGGTCTCCGATCCTTCGAGAATGTGTCGCAGTTCATCGTAGGTATTCACTGTGGGAACTTCAATATCGGCATTGAATGAACTGTACATGTCTAGATCTTTGAGGAGGCGACGCTCCGTCGTAGTTGCGAGAATCAAGAGACGGCGTCCATGAGCAGGGGTCTTTCTCATGTGCACCATCAGGGTCTGGAGGACGGCGTTGCTGAACCGAGCGCCGATCGGTACCCATTCGATGAGTCGCTCAATGTTATCCACAACCACGATACTGGTACGACTCTTATAAGCGTCTGAGAAGATCTTGGTTATGTGCGAAACCTTTGCCGACTCGGTCATACCAACCATATCTTCTGGGCTGATCAGCCGAACGAAAGGATAGCCGGAGTCCATGGCTATGCGTGCCGCGAGTGCAGTTTTGCCACTAGCTGGAGGCCCATGGAACAAGACCGAAAATAGAGGAGTGCCACCGTCTGCACCAACCTGTTTCACGAACAAATTGCCCTCATTGAGGATATCCTTAATCCTCTCAGAAAAGTGGGTGATGCCCTGCTGAATACAGTCTTCAAGCTGTTCTTCTGCAACACCAAATGCCGGTTTGACTTCGTCGAGGGCATTAATAAAGTCATCTCGCCTGACTTTCAGATTGGCAACATCATCCTTGATACCAGCCATAGTGTCGGGTTTGACGTGTCTGTTAAATGCAAATGATGTCGCAGCCTTGACCAAACCTGAGATCTCGGCACCAGAGTAGTTCTTTGTCAACTGGGCGAGTTCCAGCAAGTTCACATCAGGCTCCATGACATTGTTCTCCTTCATTTTCTGAGTATGAATCTTCAGAATCTGAGCGCGACCCTTCTCATCCGGCAGGCTGATCTCCATGTGTACTTCCAAACGACCGGGACGGAGCAATGCGTCATCGATCATGTCCTTTCTGTTCGTCATACCAATCAAGAGGATATTATTGAGTTGTTCCACGCCATCAAGCTTGGATAGCAGTTGGTTGACAACACTATCACCGACTCCGGTACCACCAGCAGCACCGCTGCCGCGCTGTTTGCATACGGCATCGAGTTCGTCAAAGATGATGATGTGTAGCGCACTCTCCTCTCCTTTCTCCTTGTATTCCTTCTCTGCATCGGCAAACATCTTACGAATATTCTCCTCAGATTGACCGACGTATTTATTAAGCACTTCGGGACCGTTGATGATCTTTGGTTCTCTAGCGTTCAGCATTTTACCGATTTGTCGCGCAATCAACGTCTTTCCTGTTCCTGGCGGTCCATATAAAAGGATACCCTTGACGTGCTGAATACCCAACTTGTCAATCAATCCGGGAGGAAAAATCCGCGACGCAAAGGCACGACGAAAGATAGTACTGAACTCCGAATCCAAACCACCAATACCCATATTCTCGAACTTGAAATCAGGTCGGATGATAGAGTTGGCGGCAGGTCTACGATCAGACGCTTTCAAGTTGAGCCCACTCTTTGCATCTTTGTAGAAGTTGAAAATTGTATGAGGAGTGAGGATGCCTCGAGCGGTAGGATCAGTCGCGACGCCCTCAGTGGATGGTTGAGGTTGCTTTTCAGACATCAAATCTACCAGCTCAACGGTCTTAATGGTTAGCGAAAGGGGTATTCCGCGGTGATCCATCAACACTTTCTGGCCTGGCGCCAGAATCTGGTTTTTGAATTTCTATTCAAATATTAGAGACTTGTACCTTCGTATGAAGCTTATAACCCACCTCAATAACAGCATTTGCCAGCTCATTCTGATCGTATGGCTCCTCTGTCCTAGTCTTTCCAGCAAAACCCACTTCAACATCGGCGGAGCCAAGATATGCCTTCCGCTCTTGTCGGAAGGGATCATAAATCTGTACCTTCACAGAATCCGTGACCGCAATCCTAGCCCACATTCGTTGCCTCTCCGCAAAACCAATGTATCCGGCTTGGTAGCCATCAAGTGGGCGTGCAGATAAAACATAGTGGTCGTTAATGAGGACATAAAACTCTTGTCCAAAAGCTGACGGGGGGAAATCGGCAGTCGAAACAGCGACTCTAAAAGACGAACAGTGTGTCAGTTTACAACCATTCCATACAACTTGCTCTCAGGAAAAATATCTTACATATTTCCATATGTGTACTGCGTGTTCGGACTCTTGTCCGAACGTAATGTCCAGGTTGCGCCATCATTGACTGGTCTTCTACCACTTGGTGGTGGTGGACCTCTCTGCTGTGGCGGGGGAGCTCCGTAGCCTCCTCTGCTGGGGGGGATACCACCATCTTGCATGGGGGTATCGTAGCCTCCCCGGCGCGGATCTGGTGGAGGATTGGACCTCGATGCAAAAGGAATATTATTTCGATTAAACATGGTGGTGGTCTCGACTTTGTGAGAATGAGAGACGAAGCTCCGACAAGGTGTAGCTCAGCTTTATTTACTAGCTAGGCGGGTACTTGTCTCAAGAGTCTAAGGTAGTCTTTGCTCAAACGTGGTTTGCGACACTGATCGTCTCGACAGTAATTCTCATAAATTGAGTAGAGGCAACTGGAAAAGGGAGATGTGGCATGAAGAATGAATTTCTAAATTGTTGATGCTCCTAAGCAAGTGAATGCGGTGGCCTACGTTATTATGTCACTGTCTAGCTGTGACACATCGGAGGGAGGATCATTATTTCACCGATCCGCCCATCCATTTGCCTCTAACCCTAACCCGTAATTTACTTGAAAGTGGCCTTCTTCAAAACAAGACACAGTATAAAGATTCTCCATGAGCCAAAGATTGTATCTTCAATTATAGTGGACATACAGAAATTTTTATGTCATACGACACAAAGGAGCTCACTCATGCGTTCTAAACGATTATGAATGAGGCACTCAGAAAAGGAATCAGACAATAGGCCACAGAAAAAGGAATAGCATCTGTCAAGAAGACCTTGCTGGCAGAGAAAAAAAAAGAAACGCCATTGCACCCATTTTCCTACCCGAAAACAGCACTGTCTAGAAAAGAGATTCGATCCATACCTGGAGAGGCCTATGCGTGCTCATGTATGCTCCAGTGATCCGAGCTTGATCTTGTCTTGAAAAATCTCCTGTTGAGTCGGACATAAGGAATAGACGCAAAAGAATAGGTTAAACCATATACATGAAAAAGGTTGTGAAGGGAAGAAAATGTAAGCCGAAGGTGTAGGAACAATCAAAGGGTGCCAACGTTATCGTAAAAAGGAGAAAGGATCCAAGAACAAATGAAAACATGCGGAAATCGTATCGGCACCACAAATATACGCAGCCGCTATGTATTTGCAACGCGAAGGGGTCGGGCACATGCTTATAGCACAAAATAGAAGGAAAAGGGTCAATGCATAGACACATTATTGTCGATTCGAGTTGCTGCGAGATAGTATAACCGTTGCCGGAGAGCCAGAGGCACTCCCAAGAGAACTTCGTCGCATCCTTACACTACTGCCACTTCCACTGCGTCGTCTGCGAACATGTCTCTGGAACACAACGTCGTTCACAGTTAGAATCAGGATGGCTACAAAAACACAAAAGGTAAAATCTTAGCACGAGAAAGAGACGCAAAATCAAGGGTGAGAGGCTGGTGTAAGACAGTGGAATAGATGTCTCTTTTCCATGCAACAGCAAAGGGTTGGAGATTAACTAACCGAAGTTGTGGCCCTCTCTTTAATTGTGGTGGTCTCATCAAGTTTGAGGGCGTTTAGCCGCTTTTGGCTGTCTTGGGTAACTGGATCAAGATCATCGGCTTTGGATGCAGAAATCGAGTTTGTCGATGAAACGGGATCTGTGATGAGGCCTTGTTTCCGCTTTTCGGCTTGTTCAGCGAGTACCTCCCATCTTCGGCGACGAGCCTGTTCTCGCTCATCGGCTCCATTCTGGTGTTCATTATATTCCTGAGAACACTCATCAAAGAGCTGAGGGTTGATCTCCATGAAGAGCTTCATGGCATTGTACACCATGCTATGGATTGTTCTGGACAAGATAGGTTAAATAAGAGACACTCGGGCTGAGATACATCAACGCATACCTATTCCAATGACCCTTGGAGTTTTCATACAACGGCGCAAACATGATGGGCAAGATAGTCTCGACATTGTCGCTAACCAAGTTGCAGAAATATTCATTATTCCAAAAGTATAAGGCTCGCTCAGCAACCTAGGATAAAGTTAGTATGAAAGCACATAAAGAGGCATAATCGAGCGCACCTGGAAGTGAGGGCTGGCAACCGACTTGGCCAACTGAGTGAAAAGTGGCCCTTGGACCTTGGCAAATTCCGTCGGATCCATGACTTCAAATATATCTTCGACCTCATTCAGGAACATCACTTCTTTGGTGCTGTTCACCTTGGGCCAGTAGCGAAGTAGACCCATAACAACATCTTCTGTGAGTACCGAGTCCTTTTCGAGGAACTGAACAATGCAATATGCGAGTTGTGGGTGATACATGCTGAGACCCTTTGGTTTATGCATTGGGATCAACACTCGTGTCAAGAATAGCTTGTGTTCTTCCTTCAACGGCAAGGCGAAACCGTTGATGATAGATCCTAGAATTTCTAACAGTTCCGCAATACCATTGAAGCGCTCAGTCTCATATGTGAACTGGAAGAAGACGTTGTTTATTGATCGTCGGATATATGAGCGCAAATTGAGAAACTTTCCGTAGATACGGTGCAATGTCGTTTTGAGAAAATCGCGTTCGCGGGGGTCTTCAGAATCAAATAATTCGAGCAACTATATTATCATATGTCAGCCTATATCTTAACGTCGCAAGATGCGTGTTTCTAACCTGGAGAACAAATTGGTGATCAATATATTGCTTCGCAATGTTCGTGTTGAAATCTTGGCTTTCGATGAAACGCAAGAAGAACTCGTAAACGACTTGAATGTGAGGCCAAGCCACCTCCAAAACAGGCTCGTCTTCTTCCGGGTCATATGCCTCTCCCTGCGGAGTCACTGGTGGTGGAATGGGTCGGAATAGATTCTTGGCGAACATATCAACCACGCGAGGGTACATTGGTTCTGTGATAACCGAACGGTTGTTTGCAACATAATCGAGCAACTCGTGTAGTGCCAGTCTCTTGATCTCCTTGGATTTCATATCGGCAGTGGGATCATTGAAGTCGAATATGATGTTACACTGGTCAATCTTCTGCATGAAGAGATCCTGGCGACGGTTTGGTGGGACCTCATGGAAGCCAGGCAGCTTTTCCAGTTCTCGCTGGCGTTGATCCGAGATATCAAATCGAGATGAATGCTGGCGCTTAGGTGTCCTGATACCCTCGGAAATATCTTTCGGCGTCGAATGCAGTCTATCAAAGACGTGTGATTTCTTCGGGGGCGCGAGGTCGCCGGGCATGGTTTCGGCTGCTCCAGGAGGAGGGACATGCTGTATACATCTCACTTAGATTCATTGATTCATACCAAAGGTGGTGATGGGGTCACTCGGGGCAAATATGAGACTCACCGGAGCGCTAGGACTAATCACAACACTGGGTGTAATGGGTTGTTGTCCCTGTCTTGTGGGCGTTCCAGGAACGTTCCCTGGCTGACCGCCGAGATTGCCGCCTATTGCCTGCGCATTAGGCACAAAATGTTGTCCTGCACCAGCTGGAGCCGCGGCACCTTGGTTATTCTGGCCTGCTGGAGAACCGGCAGCGGCGGGGGACACATTTTCCGATTTTGTATTCCTCGTTTCGTTCAGTGAGGTTGTAGAAGAAGTAGGGGTTACGTGGTTGGGACTGGTCGATTGGGCATTGTGGTTAGCGCTCAGTCCAGCATTCGAAGTATTGTTCGAATCTCGCTTCTTTGACGACTTGTTGGAGTCTTTTGCTCGTGACAGCTGTTCGTGCTACAACTGTTAGTGGTTTCTCAAGTTCGTTGATCGATCACTCTGCCGAAGCAGACAGGACACTCAAAAAGGTTGGTTGGATTGTACTCACCACTCTCTGCCTGAAGCCTTTCATATTGCTAAATTTATCCTGGCCGCCTTTCTATCACTGGCGTATGTGATGTGTATATTTCCACAACGGCTCTCCGATATGCAAATCAGAGGCACGAGGGAGGGGGACCGGCAACGGGAGAGCGACAATAAACACGGACGATTGACGATGGCGACTCTGGTTCTGGCTTGTCAACAATAACAATTACGATAGACTACTCGTCGAGACGAGACGCGTGATCAGGACGACAAGCCCATGCGGAGATTCGAGCAGGAGGTGGTGGATGGCAGTGAAAGAGGACGGACGGGGAATAATTGATTGTTGCACGTAGTTGGGGTGTTAGGTAGTCGACGTTGCGACACGCTAAACAATCGCCTCACTTGGCCCAGAGCCGGTAAACAGGGGTGGTTCTCGATGGATGGGGGGTTTGCCTGGAAAGTACAACGTACCTGGGACTGGAAATGTATTCAGGAGAAGAAACAATGGGGGACCATTTGGATAAGCTTGCGCAATGTTGATGTGGATGTTGAATGTTCGTTCATGTCAGTCAGGGCGGTGGAGGCTGGTTGACTGACGGCTGTCCCAGTGTCGCTTAGCCGGCTTTCTTAATGAGTGAGCGGGGGGACCGCTGGGCTTTTCTACGGCACTTGCTGTAAATTCAAAACTCGGGCTACAGTCAAATGGTGATTATCATTACTCCTCACCAGTAATTAAGGTACAGATTACAAGCTGTTGTTTGTGCTGTTTATTCTTCGATCTGTGACAAAAAGATGAATGATCCAACCCGACAAAATAACAACATGAACAGATGTATAGAGAACACGTCCAGAATTTTGCAATCAAAATCATGTTTTACTATGTATACATATACTACTATGCTTCAGATGAGGGGAGTAAGCGCCAATAAGAACTATCGCTCGATGTTTTCTCTGGTCACAAAAAGGGGTCCCAGCCAGTGMCCCCGTCGCTATATCAMCCCGCCACTGACATCTTTAGCAGGCTGTAGACATCAATCGGGCAGAATATGTAGTGTTCGATATAGTATAAAAAATTCTTCCCATGTTATCGATTGAACGTATCACGATTAACAACGTAGCTAAGGGTGATGATTGGGATATGGAGGCTTTCCAGAGCCGAATGCGAGAACCGGCTGGAATAACTATTCCCCGTACATCTATCAAAAGAGTGCACACAAAAGAGATGATTAATCTTACCGTGATCAATAATACTGGAGTGTTTTTCTGATTTATTTCTTTTGTTACTCTGGCTATATGGGGACTTGGGGTGTTCAGGCGTTACGGGACAGAAACACTGAAGCGTATCCGATCGTGGAACTGTGAAGGCGGGAAAATATATTCAGGCTGCGACTTCCATATCAACCACCTGTACAAAAATCACCAGTTGACATGCCATTCTCTTTTTTTCTCCCGAATAACACACTCCCACTATCAGTAATTGAAGATTCACCCCATCAGCATGACCGAGAATCAAAACGAGCCTCAATATGCACCTTGGTATCGATTACCGACGCGTCACATCGTAGCCGTCGAACATCCCGGCATTGTCAAAAATGTCGATCGAGCAATCAAGACGCTACAGGGGGATGTCGGTATCTCCAAGGCAAGTTACCGTCTGCCGTTCAAGAGAATAGTCACTTACACCTGATGTAGATACTGGACTCATCCAAACCAAGCACCAAAGCTCAACTATGCCTGCGTCCAGAAGATCCCATGGCAAATACTATAGACTCATTTAACCGACAGACAAATAATATACTCCTCAAAGTCACCGTACCTAAGTGGACAGGGAGGAAGCGAAAGCGAGGCAGTGATGTGTCATTCACGGACAGTCATTCCACCACGCCGGAAGAGATTGAAAAGGAGCGACAGAGCGCTGCGTTTCGACAGCGGAGTTTGATGGACAATGCCCACAAGTACTCCGTTGAAGCTGTAGGCACAGTTACGAGAACGCACAATTTCCGGAAAATACCTGATTATGTGTATTCTACGTCGGCCAGTCCGTTTGTACAGAGATTCCGAGAGACGATTCTTTCTTCTGATTGTACGTTTTCCTTACTTGCAATATGGGTAATCATTCTCGCGAATTAACATACGGCAACAGACGAAAAGATGAGGCAATTTGACATTTCCATGAGCAGAGGAGAAACAAAAAATGTCGACCTAGTCCCTCCTCCCGCCTTGACCAAAACATTCATCCCTTTTCAATACACGTACCGTCAAAACCCAACCGTGAGACTGTCCCAAGACACATCCGGCAACGTGACAGCGATCAACACTCAGAAGCCAAACAAAGTCTTCACACATCTTGTGACATGCGATATTCCCGAAGTACCATCCGAACCACGTGCGGGAATTCCGCCTATATCGAGCCTCGACTCTGAGCTGCAACAAGTCATTGCGACTGTCCAGGAACTATTCAAAGAACGTTTAGCCTGGACTCGCCGCGCCTTGCTTAATGCAATAGCAGGCAAAGACCAGCGGTACGTACTGAAATATGCCATCAGTTATGTGGCATACATATTTCGTTCAGGGCCATGGCGTGACGCAATTGTGAAACTGGGCCATGATCCACGCAAGGACATCGAATCTCGCAAATATCAAACCTTTGTCTTTCGCGTACTGCCGCGCGAAGCAGAAGTAGGCCGTGATGGTGGTGGAAGCGCCAGACAATCATCAACAAACGCCACGCGTAACTTCAGCGGTCTGGACATCAGTTCAATCCCAACGGTAACACGCAATGAGAACCCAACTAGTCACCTCTGGACTGGTAAAGCGCCCTTGGCCCTCGACGGAAAAATATGGATGGTCTGCGACATCGTCGACCCAATCCTAAAACAGATCCTGTACCCATCTAACGCAAACAACAAGACCTTTCTACGTAGCGAATGCGAAATCTTCAGCGACGGCTGGTACGGTAGCGGTACCATCGCAAAGGCGAAAGTGATTATGCGACAAAAGATTCACGCCTTGACGCATGAACATCGCGAACCTAGTGATGCGGAATTCAAGTGCTTGCTAGGCTTCCCAGATCACGTTATCGAAGCAGATGGAATGAAATTGGAGAGATTCCATCTGGATACGGAGAGGGCGACACCCAGAGAAACGATGCTTGCGACGGAGGTGAGGGCGACGATTAAGGGTGCTATTAGTTGGAGGATGTTCGGGAAGGGATCGGCGAGGACCACTGCTACCAATACTGCGAGTACGCTTGCGCCGGCGGAGGCGGAGGATGAGGAGGAGAGGGAGGCGACGAGGAGGGTCATTGAGGAGGAAGAAGAGGTTAATGAAGAGATGGACGTTGAGCAGAATGAGTGATCAGGTCAGTTGCAAATTCTTTATCTTGGTGAACCAGAATAAATTTATCATGGCCTCTATTGTAAATCACCACCTTTACTAGCATTAGATACATGACAAGCAAGCAGCAGAGAAATCGATGTCGTACGTAACATATCATATCCATATCAAACTTTCGTACCCTCGTTTCCCGTAAAGATTTCCATATTCAAAACAGTCATCGCAGTAGCGCACGAAGCAAAACACCTATTAAGAATAGTAGCAAACCCAGAACTCGAAGAATAGTGCATGATGACGCCCACAGTAAAACAAAATCAAACTCCCGTCGTCCAGACAAACTGCCGTAGAAAATGGGAGCAAGAAAATCAAAGAAATATTCGCGCAGGGTATTCAAACATGACAATCATCCTCCCAACCGTAGCGCCGTTGCTAAAAACAAAACCCAAGACATGAAACACCGTAGAAAGGCCCAATATAAACAGAGTTGAAGATGGTGAAGGAGGCGAGGAAGCTAAGACTTCACTGATTGGACCCGCTCACTTATCGACACAAATTTTCGTGGCCCTTTTAGCCATGGAGTCGGCATCAGACGGCAATGAGATGATACGGTAACCGAGATGTGCGGAGGACATCTTGATATACTCCTCCTCCTGGACGATTTCATAAGAGAGATCACTTAGGCCTGGGCCATAGTAATCTGAAGCCACCAACTCACCAAGAGGGCTGCGCGACTCCGCCATCATATTCTTACGAGAGGCCATGGCAACTGGCTGAGCGGGGGTTGGTAGGGTGATTCCAAGCTCGCTTGGAGGGATATTCTCTTTATCACATTCGTCAAAACGAGATTTTCCTTCGTCGTCGCTGATGTCAAGGCGACCAGCAGAGTGTTGCATCAGGTTGGTTGCTTCTTCCACTTCAGTATCGACGTGGATATTGAAAAGCCAGCTGTTTGGGTGAGTCTTCTTCCGAGGCTCTTTGCTCTTGTTGAGACCTTTCTGGACGATCTCTTTTATGAAGGGGGGAATGCGTGAAGAGCGACGGCCAAATGCTTTACTTGGCTTGGATTTGACCTGGGAGTCTCGACCAATTGGTCTGCCCAAGGCCTGGCTTACTGCAGTGGATGTAAACGCCTTGTCGCTCTTGTCGTCGGTCTTGATGACAAACGACGTGCGGCTGGCCTTCAAACTCTTGGGAGACTCGCATAGCTGGTCGTCATCTCCCACAGAGCGCTTGCGTTTGTAGGGCTCAGACTTGGTATACGGACTGGCATTCTCTCCATCCGAGTCGCAAAAGATTGTGTGTTTGAGTGGGGTAGATGGAACACGTCCTGCGTAAGATATTAGACTCTGCGTCACTTATTTCACGAGAGTTATAGGTATCTCAACACTTACCATTCGCTAGATTTTGCACATTTCGCTTGGCCTCTTGGAGTACACGAAGGCGACTACGTGCCATGGGAACCAACTTCTGGCGGTGCACTGCCGGAGCAACAGACACGGCAATTGCAGACATCTTGTCTAGAGGAGCAAGAGATATTGAGACGGTTGGAGTTGATGTGAGTGGAAGAGGGAGAAGTGTAACGATTGAGTCCTGTATAGTGGGTGGAAATCTGAGATATCGAGTGTCGCAAAGAGAGATGAAAAATAGCGATCAATGAATCTAGGTGGTCTATATAGTCGAGTCCTAAGCTATCTGGTAAGAGATAGACGGAGATTGCCAGATACACTAGGCGTTTCCAAAACAGATTCCGAGTAATATGAGTATGGCGCGGACCAGCCAATAAAATCCAACTAAATTCTTTGCTGTCCTTTGTATGTGTATTGGACGGCGGCGATATCGAGGATTGCGGTGTTGCCTGATGTCAACAAATGATGTCAAAAGAGTGTGGAGGAAACAATCCTTTGTTTCGTACGGATATTCTCGATCGGTGAGGAGATAACTGTCTCTTGTAGGAGGCAGTACGGAGACAAGCAAAGAGTAGGAGGCGAAAAAGGAAGAGAGAATGAAGTGAGCCGAAGGAAGAAGCCTGGTATATGAAGCCTGGAGGCGCCTGCCTTGGTGCGAATTCACCGCGCACTGGAATTTGGTATTGCTGTGAAATATTCAGTAAGAATACGCGAGAATGACCGCGACCTGAGCCAATCTCCGTACAAAGCAGCCAATGCCAAGCCTGTGTTCGGTATGGGATTGTATGGTATGGTATGGGATTAAGGTGTGGTATCTGCATACATAGCACGGGGTGGTGGTTGTAACTTGTAACAACTATGCACTACCAGACAAGAGATCAATTCCTCGCGGTCTGCTTCTGTCGTGACTGCCAATGGTAAAGACGAGCGATGAAAAGGCGCGTCGTGTATGGCTGAGGGCAGTCCGGCCATGCAGCACAAGCTGTAAGACTAAGACCAGCTAAAGCGTCCCTCACGCAAGGCGCGCCGCTGCCTACGACGCCTACGATTGGACCTCGTTCATTGCGCCCCTCGCAGCTATCTGCTCGATGGTTCCTTTGGATGGAAGCAATCACAATTCTCAATGCTTCCAGTACTGTTACATGGCGCGACGATGGTATATTGATTAGCTCGGTGACTGACTTGCTCTTAAATCTGGGGATTATCGAACAATTGCATTTATTCATACATACCCTCAAACACTACCTACATAACGAACAAAAACGTACAAAGGCATACGTCACGAACAATGGCTCAGTGTCAAACCTATCGATACACCTTGCGAGGGGCATCGCTGCCACAGTGGAGAAAGTTTCTTTCATGCTTGTCAAGGATGATCCTGCTGATCGATCAAGTCACATAATTTGGCGAAGTCTAAATACTCCATGATAGGTAAGTGAGACTACTCGGACTAGCGCGAATGCTTCAACGCGCGCCTGACGCGTAAGGCATACTTCCGTGTCTTCGTTTACCTGGGAAAGTACCTATTCTACCGTCAACACTGGGAAAGATACATCTGCACCTCGACACGCTAACCCTTTTTTCAACGCGTTGAAACAACCTGTATTAAATACAATATGTCCTAATTAGGTTTCTTCCCACAGCAAAATGTCTTACTGGCTGACCGGCAGACTGTCCTTGGTTCCTTGCTCTGCTGGCAAGGTCTACCCCTAATGCCGTGCATCCCAGTTGGCAGATACGAGTCAGATTCGTGAATTGACCATTGAGAGTAACGTGCTATCGAGTAGCGTCTCGGATTTTGTAAACCATTATGGCCATGTCCGTGTGAACCATACTATGTACGAATCAATATGTCCAACGTGCATACTGCACCTCAGCTTGCGCCCACAGACTGTAAATCGTTCTTCTACACCAACGGTTCTGTCCACGGATGTGTACTTGAGAATTGAATACAGGGACTACCTTCCCATCACACTTTCATCATAGACCATGCTCAACAGCCGCCTACGTCTGGTTGAGCTGCTTACGGAATGCTAGATTCATGGCCTACCAACCGACCAACATATCTCTCTTACACTACAGCAGCATACCTCACCCGCAGGTGGCAAGCTACGTCTGACTCGATAAGCACAGGATATGACGCTTGCGTGGTTGTACAACTGTAAATTGCTGTCTAATGTCTATTCATAATCAATACTTTTTTGAAGGCTAGATCTCATCCTCCCAAGGAATGCTGTCCATTGCACCCTGCCTCTCCACACAACGTGCAGATGCCCGTCCTGCGCGTTTCATAGCCTCATCCATCACTACTTGATACCGCTCTTTCTTCTCGTGCTGCTCAAGCTCATTGATCGACTTTCCCTGTGCACGGCGCTGTTCTCGCCACCGAGCTACATGTGTTGCGTAGCCACCAATAAACGTATCGCCTGCTGCCGTGGTATCTAGAACAAGGGACACTTTTGCGGCTGGAATCTCATTTGTGAATCGTGTTGTCTCGTCAGCAGCGATCGCTATCCCGGCGTCGCATGCACTGTACCAGACACCCTTCGCTCCAAGTGTGATGATCACGTATGTCACTCCCAATTTATGGAAATACTGGGCTACCTGTTCTCGGAGGCTTGCGCCCTTGGCGCCGGGAACAACATGTAGTAGTTTCTCGGTTTTGGGTGCCATTAATTCGGCCTCTGTCTCGTTCATGATCAAATGATCAATGGCTGAATAGACATCCTCAGGCAAGCCACCTGGCGGTGCCGGTGCCGGGTTGAACATGACTTCTGGTCCCGCATCAATCCCCTTTAGTCCATTTTCCCTTTGAGTCTTCTTGTATTTCGCAATCTCTCGTAAGATACCAATGGTGGTTTCAGTCGGTATCTCTCCCTGCATTACAATGACATCAGGGACCGGAGATGCCAGACCCATGCCTAGGACTTCTGGAATTGCCTGCATGCCTGTATAGTTGGCTCCAGGCGAGAACAATATACGATTCTCACCACCAGCCGATGAATCCACCACAATCACCGCTACACCAGTGTAATCATCCACCGTCCTGATCCTCGATGTATCCAAACCAGACTTTTCGAGCGTTGGTCCCAGCAGAGATTGGAAATGTGCATCGCGACCACCGACTGCGCCGACCATCTCAACATTGACTGGATTGTTCGACTTCGACGAATGCGTCTCGGTAGGTTTCGAGCGGGAAAGTCGGCCACAGGCCACGGCTTGATTGGCGCCTTTGCCGCCTGCGCTTGTCGTAAATGAAGTTGCTGTGATTGTCTCGCCTGCTTCTGGGAAGCGGGGAGTTACTGAGACCATGTCCGCGTTGAGCGAACCGATCACTCGAATAAGAGGTGCCATTTTGACTCAAAGGGCGGTGCTATGTTGTAGGTACGGTGGCGTAAGCAAGGAGTTGGCATCAGTAGGTAGTCGGCAAGTTCATATATTTTTTTTGATCTCCTTTCAGATAAAAAATAACGGTCATTCCTTGACCATATTCGGTGGAAACCCCGAGGAACAAACACCCCGCCGACATCATACAGCGGAAAGCTCCACCTGATACAAGGCGCTTAGATTTGCTCTCTACAAAGCCAAGAATATACCTTACCGTGCTCATGATTCTGAAATAAGATTACACTTTCCACTATCCCCATCTCAATGCAGGTTTATAGTGTATTGAGAATCATAGCAATAGTAACCACCAGAAGAGAGGATAGACTCGACGTAGAAATCAGATCGCAACGACTGATTAGGAAATTAGCCGACTAGTAGATTAGGGTTGGTTGCTCTGATTAGGGTTGCGCCGGGATAAATTTGAACTAGAACCACGTGATCGAAAAACCACTTAACGCGTAAAAACACGCGACGCGTTTCGCGTCCTCCCGCTCAAGTCTCTCCAGGGATGATGATAATTATTGACCTGCCACAGTTTAGATTCAATTTTGTCTTGATCCCCGCACAATACCGTTGATTCAAATACCCTCCCCTCTGTCTACTATCTGTGTTTCTCTTTTCTTTGAATATATAATAGACATGGATAGACGCAACCCCTACACTTTGAGCGTGCTCCCTCCCAGTCATCCAGAAAACGAAGATGAATCGAGAGTTGTGATTCAAGGTCGTCTACGAGAATTTATTCTCGCCTTTCAGATCGACAATTCATTCATCTACAGGTCAGGACAGAATTCTTGCATGAAGATCTATTGGTGCAATCGCTGATGATAGTCTAGAGATCAACTGCGACAGAACGTCCTGATCAAGCGGTATCTCTGCGATGTCGATATTGCACACTTGATTTCATACAATGGAGAGCTTGCCCATAAGCTCACAACAGAGCCTGCAGACATAATCCCTTTGGTGAGTCCTGCGACGTTTCTGAGCTTGCTGAAACGGTTATTAACAAATAATGCGTACAGTTCGAGAACGCACTTAAACAATGCACACAGCATATCGTCTACCCATCACAAAGGGACATCGAGCTCCCCCCTCACCAGCTACTCCTTCATTCAAGCGCATCACACACATCAATCCGTGACTTGAGCGCTACGAATCTTTCCCGTCTTGTACGAATCCCTGGTATTGTGATCAGCGCCTCTACAATATCTTCCAAAGCCACCGTCGTGAACATCCAGTGCAGAAACTGCGAACATCAGGACAATATCAGCGTCGACGGTGGCTTTGCTGGCTTGACACTACCTAGACGATGTGGCCGCAAAACTCAGCCAGGGGAACAGCAAAGCGAGCCTTGCCCGCTAGACCCATATGTGATTGTGCATGAAAAATGCCGCTTCGTTGACCAGCAACTCATTAAGCTGCAAGAAGCTCCGGACCAGGTGCCTGTAGGCGAGCTGCCTCGTCACGTACAAATATCCGCAGATCGATATCTTGCAAACCGAGTTGTGCCAGGGTCACGTTGCACGGTCATGGGTATCTTTTCGGTCTATCAATCCAAGGGTGGCGCAAAAGCTGCAGCAGTAGCCCTCCGTAACCCGTACGTGCGTGCTGTGGGAATCACGAGTGACATCGATCATACCTCCAAGGGAGCAGCTACCTTTACTGAAGAAGAAGAGCAAGAGTTTTTGGAGATGAGCCGCCGTCCTGACTTGTATGAAGCATTCGCTCGAAGCATTGCACCTTCGATTTATGGTAACTTAGACATCAAGAAAGCTATTGCCTGTCTACTTATGGGCGGTTCCAAGAAAATTTTGCCTGACGGAATCAAACTTCGTGGAGATATTAATGTGCTCATGCTTGGTGACCCCGGTACTGCAAAGTCGCAGCTGCTAAAATTTGTCGAAAAAGCGTCTCCTATCGCCATTTACACTTCAGGAAAGGGTTCATCAGCTGCCGGTCTTACGGCATCGGTCCAACGCGATGCTACTACCCGCGAGTTCTACTTGGAAGGAGGTGCAATGGTCTTAGCGGACGGTGGTGTCGTTTGTATTGATGAGTTCGATAAGATGAGAGACGAGGATCGTGTCGCTATTCACGAAGCCATGGAGCAGCAAACGATTTCGATTGCGAAAGCCGGTATCACCACTATCCTCAACTCGAGAACATCTGTCCTTGCAGCTGCCAATCCGATCTTTGGTCGCTACGATGATTTGAAGACTCCCGGAGAGAACATTGATTTCCAAACGACTATCCTGTCACGTTTTGACATGATCTTCATTGTCCGTGATGACCATGACCGCGCCCGAGACGAGCGAATCGCTCGCCACGTGATGGGAATTCACATGGGAGGAAAGGGCGTAGACGAACACACCGAAGCAGAGATTCCTTTGGAGAAGATGAAGAGATACATTAGCTATTGCAAAACGTGAGTGAGCTATATTTTGAATATTTTAGATGATGCTAACAAGCGAAACAGACGATGCGCTCCTCAACTGTCTGAAGAAGCAGCCGACAAGCTTTCTTCCCACTTTGTCTCAATCCGCAAGCAAGTACACCGTGCCGAGCTTGACGCAAACGCCCGCTCATCTATTCCAATCACCGTCCGTCAATTAGAAGCTATTATCCGTATTACAGAGTCCCTTGCCAAACTCACTTTATCGCCTGTTGCAACGACAGCTCATGTTGACGAGGCAATTCGTTTGTTCCTTGCCTCCACCATGGATGCTGTCACTCAAGGTGAAAATCAGGGCAGCAAAGAGCTCATGGAAGAAGTCTCCAAAGTTGAAGATGAAATCAAACGTCGTCTGCCTATCGGTTCGACTACAAGCTTGGCTACTTTGCGCCGTGAGTTTGTTGACGGACGCGGTTATAGCGAACAAGCTCTCAACCGAGCATTACTTGTCATGCAGCGAAGGGATACAATACAGATTCGCTTCGGTGGTTCGCAGGTTCACAGAAATGGTGTCTAGATGTCATGTAAAATCTATTGTTGATGTCTTTCGCGTTGTTTTAAAGGGTCGGCTTGCATGGTATATAGGTGATGAAGGTGTTTGGGTTTGTGGTTCTGTTTCTTTGCTGGCGGATTTATAGTAATACCCGTTATGAAACTATGAATATAACTGCTTCTATATATTCTGATTGAAGTTGTTCAATAATTGAGGCACCAGGAAATATGATCTCGGAAGCGTCGTCAACCCGTACGCTCAGCCCGCAGCGAACGCCTTCCCTAATCAGGAATAATGTAATTCTACATCGGCCTACGTCGCTGAGAGCTTGGCTTCCAGCACGTAGGAGTACTTTACACCCATTCATTCCACAACAAAGCAACTAATCATTGACTCTGTGGATTTGAAGTGTTTTATTCTTTATCAATGCATCCTGTGTGAAAGACTCGGAAAGTGACACACCAATCCATGACCTACGATTAGGCTTCGGCCGCCTTCCCTCGAACGACATGGCCTCGAGCCCGCGGAAGTCGATTGACAGTCTGGCTTCTGTGGCATCGACGCCTTCGCTGCAGCAACTCGCTCAGAATACGTATGACTCTCCTCGAATAGCACCCTCGCAGCGAATACCGCAGCGAAGATCGTCTACAGCTAGCTCTCTGGTGAGCATTGGCGGGATTCTGGATTCATCGACTCATCGTTCTTCTATCGCAGAGCTAGGTCAAAATGGTGCGCTGGTTCTTTTCTTCGGGCGAGGATTTGAAGCTAATTTCTTTGTCTTGGATAGCCATCTCGACGCTTTTACAACCTCCCATCGTCCGTACCGGACTCGTCGCTCATACGTCCATACCGGCGACAGGCTACAAACCTCCCACGGCACGGGACATACCTCCGGTGACGCTGACGAACGTACCGAATGTCGACTCAAAAGCGTTTCAGCCTTACCTTGAACAGGTCGGTTCTCTGTACGATGCTTTCCAACGTGCGAAAGAAGAAAGCGGAAACGATGGAAACGCCTCGAATCTGGTTAGAAATAATGTGACACTGTCTCCATCATCTGCACTTTCGCCTAGACCGGATGAATTTGACGGTCGAAGGACACCCGTGCTTGAACGGCGTCTGTCGGGTGTATCGACGAGCTCCCGAGCTATCTCTCCGTTTGACATGAGAGGCAGGAGGCGCACATCGTATGGTAAAGGTCCGCAGGCAGTGACACCGTTGTCGACAATACCAATTGTCTACTTCGAGGAGGACTTCCATCTCGAGAACCCGCGCACATTTGACGTTGTGTCTGAAAAGTCCGAAATCGTGCGGCAGCCCCCCAAACCCACGGCAAGCAATGGAGCAGCCATCGAACCCGCCACCATTGGAAGGAAAGCGCTTGCGACGAATGCCATTCTACAGGAAAAACTCTCTTGGTATATGGATACGGTGGAAATACATCTGATATCTTCAATCTCTACGGCTTCAAAATCGTTCTTTACCGCTTTAGGTTCATTGCGTGAACTGCACGCGGAGGCTGCGGATTCTGTGAGGAGAATACAAATCTTGCGAAAAGACTTGAACAAGATTGACAAAGACATGGCAATGGGAGGACTGAAGGTTGTTAAATTGCGCCAGCGGCGCCAGAACATCCGAAAACTAGCCGACGCCATGAGTCAGCTTCACGAAGTAGTCGAGGCGGTGACTGAGTGCGAAAACATAATCGAACAAGGAGACATCGAGGATGCCATTGATGGACTGGATGAGGTGAATTTACTGTTATCCGGCGAACAGGCAACTAGGCGTCGCATACAGGGTGTTGCTGAGCAAAGGCCACCGGTCGATCTCAGAGGACTACATGCCTTGCAGGGCGTTGATGAAGAACTCGGACGACTGAGACAACGTATAGGTGTACGGTACGAAAACAGGTTTCTGGACGATCTACTCACAGACTTGAGGCGGCATATCAGTAGTGTTCCTCAAGATGCTACGCTACAACGCTGGGGAGCGTCTTTTCAGAGGAACCGGGGTGGGCATAGAGCAGCACCCTCTATCTCACCCGCATATATGTCCTTTGATGCGGAGTTTAGGTCGAAATTACATGCCGAGCTGGTAGGCTTAGGCCGGTCACACTATACGATGCCCGCAGCTACATCTTTCAAGACGGCCGTTTTACGGGAGATGAAAGCGCTTATACGGAAACACCTTCCCAGCTCTTCTGATGACGACAATGAATCGGTGATGTCTGCATCCACGCACGGTGGGCGACAGCTGAGTTCGCAAGAAAAGTCTTCGATTCTAGCTCGAAATCTGCGAGCATTAGATGCCGATTCCGCGTATGACATGTTGAAGCAGATTTACACTGGTGTTAGTGAATCACTGAGAAGGCTGGGCGTTCAGGTCAAAGTGCTTCTGGACATTACTAGTGGGCTAGGAGCACAGCCCAGTCCATCTGTTGGTCGATCATCGCCACGTAGCCCTGATCCGCAAAACGCCAGGGGTCCACGTTCGCAAGGAAGTGCAGCCGAAGTGGCCGCTGTTCAAGAGGAGATTCTCCAGGTCCTCGACATGTCGAGTCTACTAGGTCAGGCAGTGGATATCGTGCAGTCCCAAGTTGTCAAGGTTCTCAAAGTACGGTCTGAGCAGACATCGCACCTACCCATCGAAGACTTTTTGAGGTACTTCAGCCTCAATCGACTCTTTGCCGATGAATGTGAGGCAATATCTGGACGCAGTGGGACATCATTGAAGACGGTAGTCGACAACCAAATTCGTGATTTCATTGTTAGATTTAGCGACAACCAGCGGCATCAGATCGTGGAGGTCATGGATGCGGATAAATGGGACGCCAGAGATTTCGGTGACGCGGAGAATGCCGTACTTGATCGAATTCTCCGTGCTAGTACAGCCGACGTGAATCTGTGGTTGCAAGTTTCGAAGATTTGGCAGCCTGCAGAAGAGTCACCTGCGCCAACCTCCAAGACTGAGAACGGGGCTGCAGTGAACGGTGAGGCGAAAGAGAAAGAAAAAGTACGACACGCTACCTTTGACGAGCAGCGATACGTACTGCCTGAATCTGCAGTCACAATCATGAAAAGTATTGAGGAGTTTGAATATCTCATGGCAAACCTACCCAGTATGACTCAGGACATCGGATCGAATCTAGTGGAATGCCTGAAATTGTTTAACTCGCGCTCTTCGCAGTTGATTCTCGGTGCGGGCGCTACCAGAAGCGCCGGCCTCAAGAATATCAACACCAAACACCTAGCCCTCTCGTCGCAAGCGTTGAGCTTCATCATTGCACTTATTCCATATGTTCGGGAATTCGCTCGCAGACAGTCACCCTCTAGTCAGCTAATGGGCGAATTTGACAAAGTGAAACGACTGTGCCAGGAGCATCAAAACGGCATCCACGAGAAACTGGTGGATATCATGGGTGGCCGTTCAGCTAGCCATGTCAATTCCATGAAGAAGATAGACTGGGATGCCGAAAGGGAGCCCAAGGCAGTTAGTACATATATGGAGACATTGACGAAGGAGACGGCGACGTTGCATCGTGTTCTTGTCCGGCATTTCCCTGAAATGACTGTAATTATGATTATGGAGCCGGTCTTTAAGAGTTATAGGGATCAGTGGACGAAGGCTTTTCAGGAGGTTAACGTCAAGACAGAGTCTGGACGACAGAGGTATTTCTCAATCGGCCGGGCATACGAATAACAAGCTAACTGATGATATAGGATGCTCTCAGACGTCGAATTCTTCAAATCGAAAATGGGCAAGATTGAGGGATCCGGCGATCTGGGCGATACTCTGATCCAAGTCGTGAATGCGAAGACCATTCTACCTGAGAAGACGAGTGCTGCCGAACCGGCGCAGACAGAAGCAGAGAATGAAGCGCCGTCCCCACCTGTGCCGGAGAAGGATGACAATAATCAGCAGAGCAAGGATGAGAAGAACTAAATTCTGATTGACTTGCTGACATATATACTACATATCTTCCTGTCTCCGCTGTGATGATACTATACCGCGATATTATATATACTTTTTTGTTTCTTGCTACGTTTCGGTTAGCATTGTACAGGCGTACATTTTTCAATCTATGAGCAGCGAGATTTGTTTCCTTCTTTTCATTTCTAGTACTTTTATATTGACTCTAGAGCTGCACATATACTAATTCTGTGAAGATAGATGAATAGAGTGTATTATTGGATTTATAGAGACTGGTCATTTCGACCGATGTCTCTTTCTGGTATGATATGGTCGTATATAGTCATCCATCGACTGTTGTAATTTTATGCCAATAATTATTTATCCAGGCTCTCCACCAGGAATAACACCGTCCCATCCTCCATATCATAGCCTCATGATCATCTCATCAAAAATTCATCGCTAATTCCCATCTTCTTTTGTTTCGGCTTAAACACCCTAAGCCCTAAGACCCTTTTTCTCACCCAAAGTCTTGGGCTCATGACCACCTTTCCCCGAGCTGTGACCGGCGCTACCACCTCCACTGGCAACTTTGTTCTCGCCCATGGTCTCGGGGAGAGCGGCTGCTTTGTCGGAGCGGTCGACGTCCGAGCCCTGCACATACCAGCGTTAGTGTCTACCTAAGTTGATAGAGAGAGAAAGAGGGGTTTTAGGGGAGGGACGAACGGGGTTTGTGCCGTGCACTTTGTCGGGGCCTGCCTCTATGGCGTTGTCGGACTGGGGGATTCCGTTATCGTAGTCGGCTCCGCGAGGCATGGTGTTTTGTATGTTGTTGTATGTTGTTGTTGTATGGAGGTAAGAGATATGTAGAGGTGTCAATTGACTGTGAGATGGTCTTTTCAGTAGGTAGATGTGGTCTGATTGAATGATTGATGAAATACAAAGGTAGAGGGAGAAATGAGGTTATATAGGTATATAGGGCAGATCCACCGTCGATGACGTCGAATGTACGTAGTCTACGTTAGGGACCTGGAGTGCTCCACCAGCAACCCTGGCCAAACTCTTCAGTAGGTGGAGTATTCTGAGACCTTCTAGCTTGATCCTAATCAGATTTAGAGCTGATTCCCTGATGCGGAAGGGCGTCACGTTACTCTCGTCTAGCCCTATTTCTGACTCTTACCCGGAGGAGCCAATTCTACAAGGAGGGAGTATTTCTCATCGAAGAAATGACATTGATGAATCGCTCAGACTAACTATGTTGACAATAGATGCATCTTAATCTCGAAATTATACACATATAACACACAAAAACAAATCACTGATAGCTGTACACGGAGCAACACTCGAAGTAGAATGCAATGATGAACTGAGAGACCCTAAAGGAGAAATACGGTCGAAGAATGGAACCAAAGAAATGGAAATCCCACTTCTCGTGTACGGTGGGATAGTCGAGATGGGAAATTTATTTCCCGTTCAATGAGATGGAGTCAAGTGGTGACTGGGGACGATCGCCGGGCTTCTTGGTCCTGAGAGTCAACGGGTATGGGAACTCGTCGGGCTCCTCTTCTTCACTGCAAGACTGTCAGAATATGTACAAGATGGTAGTGGGAAAAAAACTTACGGCAGTTTCCATGCAATGTAGTCCTCCGTGCTGAGGCCCTCTCGTCCTTCTTGCAACGATGCAAAATCTCCTGGAGTCATCATGCCAGTACGGTCACGAGGTGACCCTGGCACCGAGAGTGGTCGAGAGATCTTCTGGGCTGTGCTTCCAATGTAGTCGCTGAAATCTTCCTCGGTATCGAACGATGTCGGGTAAGCTGTGTATATTAGTACTATACCTCTGAAACCGAAAGAAAATAGCATACCTCGTCGCAAAGCTAGCTGTCGAGCCTTGACATATTCAAGTCCCATACGCTTCCAGTCAAGCAAATCACTCAATCGTTCCGTTCGGTTACGCTGGTTGATACGTTGTCGTCGGCTCTTGGATGCAAATTCGAACATGAAATCGCAGAGCTGGTTGACAGACTCATCAACACCCTTGGCACGTCGGTCCACAATATGAATACCATAGTCCGATGAGTTCTCGATGAGTTCCTCCATGTAGCAGCCGAAACCAGACAGGTTCGTGGTAATGCTGGGAACACCCATGACCGTGCATTCGGCTGGGGTGTATCCCCACGGCTCGTAGTATGAAGGGAAAATACCCATGTGAGTGCCTCGTACGAAGTCGTCGTAGTCCAATGGTAGCACCGGGTTGGCAGAGTTGAGGAACTCTGGGTGGAAAACAACCTTAACTCGGTCCGAAGGATGGTTGAAGAGCTGCACGCGACGCAATTGGTTCAACACCGGGTCTTCGGAGTCGTTGACCATATTGTGCGTGACAATGGGGGGAAGAGTGTGACGTTTCAAGGCGAAGAGACGGCGGCGCAAGAGAACTCGATCTTGACTGGTAATCAAGTCCTTCTCATCAGGCAAACTATCTCCTTCCTTCCACGAGAGACAGCGTTCAAAGAGTCGGCGACCGATACCTTTCTCCACCATTTCCAGAGTATCCCTCAGTGATTTGACGACAGCTTGGCCCTTCAATGCCTCGACTGTCAGCGATGAAGTCTGGGCAGGCATGATGATAAAGGCAACCACAGTGGTCTTCGAGCCGCTTGTCTTTAAACGATGATTGAGCCGCGCCAGGGACTCGACGAACATGTCCACACCCTTGTTGCGATACTCGTAACGACCGGCGGTGAAGATATAGAGCGTGTTTTCCAGATCAAAGTCCATGTGACCGTAAAAGTGCCCTCGAACAAAATCGTGGATTTTCTCTTTGGCTTGGGAGTGTAGGTTCTGGAACTCGTGCATAGCAGAAAATTTCTTGACGTTCAATCCGTTAGGCAGCACGCCATCCGGCTTCCTCTTGAGCAAATGCTCGCTCTCAAAGGCAGTAATGTGCGAGACGGTTGTGAAGACGTCGGCGGAATGGGCGGCCGCTCTCTCGATGCAGTAACGGTGGTAGATACCGCGTTTCCCGGCTTCGGCGTCAACGTCGAAGTACTGGAGGTTGTTGTAGAAATCGACGGATCCAGCACACAGGTAGCGGCCCAATAAAGTGGCATGGGTAGTGAAAATGGTGGTCAGATCCATATGGCGCTTCTTCGTAAGAGGTAGAGCAACTCCCGCCAGCCATTCATGGAAATGAGCTATCACAGCTCGTTTCGATTCATGCGCAATGTACTCTCCAAGAAACCATGCTACCAAATATCCAAAGACAATCGCTTCGTTTGTTTCATGATCGCCTTCAGGCGAGGGAATACCCGAGGTGTTCCAGAGGTCTCCTTTCCACTCGTTCAGATAGCCATAGCCAGTGCCAGTGTCAATGAGGAGCACTCGAGGAGCACCCTCAATAAGCCAACGTCCGTAGATCATTTCAATGCCCCGTTCCTTCATCGAGGCCATTGTATCGATCATGGCCTGGTTTGTCGGTTCCATAGCTTCGACTTCGACAGCAGCCTGTATTAAACAGCATTAGCTCATGCTTCAATTCCTTTTTGGAATTGAGGTAGCTCACCGAAGCTCGGTTCCAAGGACCAATAAGTGTGTAACGCTCGCCATATTCTGCGGTCGTGACCGGAGCCTTGGATTTCAACACGGAATAAATACCTCCCACTGGACGATGAAAATAGTTGTTAGCTAGCAGAAAGTGAAAAATTTGCAAGCGGGATAGTCAAACCTCGATTGGCAACCTCAGTTGCAATCTCGAAGAGAAAGTGATTCCTTGTGTCCCGCCGAGGCGTCCCAGAGCCATTGGTCGAAGCCATTGCGATGAGATTGCTCTAAATGCCAATCAGGAGGATGAGTGGTCAAAAGAAAGTGAGACGAGACAAGGTTGCATGCACTGTCAGGACAGTTGCGATGCTCGTCCTAAGTTGGCAGACACTGCGAGAGGAGAAAGGAGGGGAAGCGAGTGGCCGAATGCACTGGAAAATTTCGTGAGGTATGATTGACGAAGAGGTCAGCTCGCGGGAAGAACAAAACAGGACGAGCGAGACGAATCAACGAGCTGGCGGGTAATAGTTAGTGGTAATGGTATCCCCGGGGACGGTGGCCTGTCTTGCGGGGGAAGCAAGCTTCCAAGTTCAGTTGCTTCTGGGGCGGCTCATACATACTGCATACGGAGGAATTACACGGTCGTATTGTACTTACCGTACTAGCCTGTCATATAAAAGTGGGCCGTGGGAGTCCAGCCATGCAGAGAAGATCTTTGTCCTCTCCGTCCAAACTCTGCCCAAATGTGTTTTACTTCCGTCTAACGATATGAATAGCTTCAATTCTTTTCTTGCCCCCCTCACTGGTATCTGCCGAGAAAGCCAACCAATAACGTAATGCTGAGCGCAACCGCACGTCTGCTAGGTACTCGCTCGATGACGATATACGACAGATATCGCTAATCCCAATCTGTGCAAGAGGATGCGCCAAGTCCCGTTTTTTGCTGTGTGACTAACTTGACTGCTTGTCTCTCCAGCCACTGAACTCATTTGACGTTATGATACTTTTTAGTATCTATCAACCATGTATGGAGCAGAATCGGTATCAATAGTTCCCCCCATCTTCACAGACCTCGTGACACGCTTTGATAGAGGAAATACGTTACGGTTCTCAGTACTCCGCGGTGAACAGAAAATGCAACCCGAGCCGTCAATGTACACTGTACTCTAAATACCGTGTCCAGCACGGGATGCTTTGTCTAGCGCTGCCCTTTCCACTGCAACGTCGGTAAGGTTTTGATATTTGTTAGCGAACCCCGAGACTCTACTTGTTCTTACCTGTAATTGATATCCGGTGAGTTCGTTGCAGCTTCTTCAGCAGCTTGAGATTGCGCACGGTGATGGATAGATACAGAATACAAAATCCAGATACAGAATGAAGTGTAATGTTACGGTCACGGTGCCACGATGCACGGACTTGATGTCAATGACGTCATATCACGTGGACTGCCTGCATCCAGCCAATCATGCGCGTTTTTTCTACCGGCGTGTTCAACGTCGAGCATACTATATACACCCAGCCTGACAACGTAGGAACAGCATCATACTGCCAACAGGGACAGCAGATGCCGGTAATTTTACCCGCTGTGTAGCTGTCACGACGCCCTGCCGACTACCACCCGGCTCTTCCTCGACTAAGTAGTCGAATAACCCTGTCGCAGAGCCAGACTGTTCATGTATGCATGCGTTCGAGACAGGCGATAGTGGACTGATGTCGCCCTGAGAAATGCGGAAAGAGATATGCACGTAGCGTCGGATCGGTTAAACTCCGCTCCGCGCTTACTATCCGGCTGTATCTGTGATTGTGTGCAATGAACCTGACTACCTAAGTGTTGTCCCGCTGGGTTGATCTCATGAGATGCTCCATGCTTCTTCACGACCATCATCAGCCTTGATACAAAGCCGACAGGGATGGCTACGTCGAGGTGATCAATGCAAACAACGTAAACACCGAATCAAACACTGTAAACACTGCAAAACTCCGCATCAGGCCTAGCGCGTGGATATATGCCTAAACCCGAGCCTGTCATCGTGCAAGGCAAACACACCGCGGATATACCTGTAGTTCGGATCTAGAGCTGATGCATGCTCTTGCTGGTTTGCATCCATGAGCTGATATTCTGCTGTATTCGGTGTATATGGCAGTACTTAAGAAGCTGTCCCCCCCGGGGATGCAAGATGGAGAAGCTCATCATCTATCACTCGAAACAAGAAAATGCCATTGGGTCTGATCACTCCAACAAATCCAAGGCTCATACTACACAGGAACACATTCCGATCAATATTTTGGTGCGGTCTTATCGTTGCAACCACTTTCCAAGCCAACAAATCATATCAAGCCCATTTTCATTCATCCAACAAATCAGCAATAATGGCCTCAAGCAACAACACAATGAAAGCAGTCGTGATCCACACCCAAGGCGGCCCTGAAGTCCTCAAAGTCGAGACCCGGCCCATCCCCACCGCCAGCCCAGGCCAAGTCCTCATCCGCGTCAAAGCATTCGGACTCAATCGCTCGGAAATGTTTACGCGACAGGGCCATTCACCGGGCGTCGAGTTCCCGCGTGTACTTGGTATTGAGGCTACCGGGATCGTGGAACATGCTCCCGGCGGGGAATTTGAGAAAGGTCAGATCGTAATGACGGCCATGGGTGGTATGGGTCGTCAGTTCGATGGTGGATATGCTCAGTATACCGTCGTACCTACAAATCAAGTCCAGGCCATCACAGTACCGACGAAGCTCGGCTGGGACGTGTTGGGCGCTATGCCTGAGATGCTAAATACAGCCTATGGCGCAATCATAAAATCTTTAGAAGTGAAGAAAGGTGATCGCTTGCTCATCAGAGGTGGAACGACTTCTGTAGGTCTCGCCGCGTTGGCGATTGCCAAGGGACTCGGTGCGCATGTCGCATCTACCAGTCGACGACCGGAACGAGAGCAGATGCTTCGCGACTACGGCGCGGATGAATTCTTCGTCGACGACGGCGCTATAGCAGCGCAAATCAAAGACGATAGCCAAAAATTCAACAAAGTGTTGGAATTAGTCGGCGTTGTGACTCTAAAGGACTCCTTTCAGTGTACATCCAAAGGAGGCATAGTGAGCATGACCGGGATCGTGGGGAATAAGTGGTCTATTGAGAATTTCCAGGCGATGGAATATATCCCCAAGTATCGTTATCTGACTACCTTTGGCGGCTGGATTGAGGAGTTCATGTCCACGCCGCTCAATGATATTGTGCAACAGGTGGAGGCTGGGACGTTTAAGATCAAAGTGGGCAGGGTGTTTCATATTGATCAGATTGCGGAGGCACATCGGTGCATGGATGATAATGCCGCGGAGGGAAAAATAGTCGTTCTTACTGATTGATGTTATGCTCTTATGATGATACCAAATTGATGAACTTTTCTGCTACCGACAGCGCTATTTTGTATCAATGAATGCATTTTATTTATGCTCTATCGAAAGGCAGTGTATCTTTTATTAAATGCGGCGCAACACAGCAGATATGTAGATAGCTGGGGATGAGGAGGAAATGGAATATGTGATGGGGAATAGAAAGAAAATAGGGATAGAAGAAATCCTCAGAGACAACGCGTCAAACCCCAGCAATCCACAGTCGCATATTTAACAGACATAATTATTTGCTGCGCTTGTAGATCTTGTCCAGAAAGGCGGAGAAAATCTCCTTCTTGAGACCCTCGGACTCATCGACAGAGTCAATCTGCTGGCGCAAATGCCCAACACGCTCTTCCTCGAATTTCAAATAGTGTTGTTCGAGTTTGAGATCGTTGTAAAGAGCCTTAACCTTGGCTTCGAGAGCACTGTCCTTGCGACCATAGGCCTCGTCGAGAAGCTTGCGCTGTTCAGGGGTGACCATGGTCAAGGCCTGATTGACCAACCACGAGCACTTGTTGTCCTGGATATCGGTACCGATCTTGCCAATAGTCTCTGGCGATCCAAAAGCGTCGAGGTAGTCGTCCTGAATCTGGAAGTATTCACCCAATGGGATGAGAATGTCCTCGCATTGTTTCAAATTCTTGGGCGAGGCGACCTGTATGTAGTATAGCGCAAGGGCGACAGGAAGATAAAAGCTGTAGTATGCGGTCTTGTACTTGACGATGAATGTGTATTTCTCCATGGAGAAGTTGTTCAAATCGACGTTGTCTTCGGGAGCGGTAATCAAATCGCACAGCTGGCCAAGCTCGGTCTGCCAGGTGGTCTCGTGGAAAATGTCGAGGAAATCAGCGTAGGCGGGGTGTGAACGAAAGTGCTTCTTGAGAATGACATAGATGGCGCTTTCGAGCATGAATGCGTCGTTGATTGCAATCATGCCAACTCCCTCTTGTCGGTACCAGCACGGTTGTCCGCGACGGGTGATGGAGCCGTCCATGATATCGTCGCTGACCAGGAAAAATGCTTGGAGGAGCTCTGTGAGCCAGCCGAGTATAGACAAATGTTCCAATTCTTTTTCGGTGAGAGGTCGGCCGAGAAGGATGCTGCCAGTGTCTGGCACTGACATGCCGCGATTCATTTTACCGCCGACGACATTGGCGTTGAGTGACTATGCATGATTCCTTGGTAAGCAATTGATTATAAATGAGCGATCTCTATATATCTGTCGCTTACATCGGAGAACCATTTCTTCGCATTCTCTGGCAAGTTGTACTTCTCGGTGGCCGCGAGGATATCCTGGATAAGGGGGTGGATGAACGCCTCGAACTCGGGTCGTGTGATACGCGTAGCCATGTCGAAATGAGCAATTGAAAAGGACTGGAGGCGGTATTTAGAAGTCGAGGCAATGAAAGAACCGGTATGTACGTGTTGTATTGTTCAATTGTGTCCAAGTGAATGTCTGTATGCTTATTGAGGGGTAAGTTAAAATAAATGTTGTGCCCCATTCTCACCCGTACTGCGTTTGGCCCAGAACGGGCTAGCGGAGACCCACGCACTCAAGCTCCCCCGGTTTCCTATTTGGGAAGCTCTAATGCAATTTATTAATAGTCGAATTTATCGTGCGGCCTGACAGTAGTTAAGAGGACGATCATTGTAAATGAAGTCTTTCTGTCGTGGCTGTTGATTGCCGTGGTGTTGAGCCAGTATGGCAAATGTCCGCACAAGCTGAATTAAACCTATGTATAAGACCTATATCAGGCCTTCTAACCCCTGCTTATGTATGCCTATTCGTAAAGAAGTGCCTTGATCTGGACCCCTCTCTATTGAACCCGCTTATCGGCCGTTAATCAATGTATTTGTAAGGGAATCTCGGGAGTATAAACTGCTTGGAGTCTGAACATTGAACATAACTAGGTAGTGTAATTAAGACTGTCCAGGCATACAGATCACTATAGATTACCTAGGTAGCTCAGGTAAATCACCGCCATAGACTAGCTCTGCATTGCATAAATATCCAAATATCAGTTGAAGGAGTGACGAGGGCCTTAAAAATCATGAAACCGAAATTGATACCATTCCGTCTGACACGATACCTTCTCCTTCCTACTTCAAATTTAGAGTAGATTGTACAACCTACTTCTCCGAGCGGCATGGCACTTCTTGCCAATAAAAGTTCTGACAGCTATTCGGGTTGGCAGCAATACCCAAATGAGACTGACCCGGCGAGAGGGGGCAAGGGGCATGAGCACCACCCGGTGGGAAAGAAATGCAAATAGCACAACTACCGCCAAAGAAAGTAGGCGATCCGCCCATTATGAGCGCTAGATCCGTAGAATTCACAATTGACAGATCTCCAGAGCCTCCAAGCCAGGCGAATCCACTACCGTTGGGGTCCCCGAACTGGTCTTGCATCCACCATGTGCCGTTGATACCGACGTATTGATCAGCGGAGGTCGTACAGGTGGTAGTATCGCCGCACACGCGGAAGACGACACCGGGGTTTTCGCCCATCACGACGTATTTTTCGGCTGAGTCGTGGCCGAGGTAGTTGTTGTTCAGGCTGAGGAGGACGTAGCAGTGACCATACTGAATACCAATGTCGGTGCCGGTTTTATTGGCGCAGACGGGTTTGCCAGTGAACGTTGGGGCGACGCAGTTGAAGCCGTCGAGGACTTGGCCGACGGGGCAGCATACACCAATACCGAGGAGGATGTCTACCCAGAAGAGTTCGGCGCTGACGGTGTCACAGCAACCGCTGACACTGGTAAGAGGGTTTTTGAAAGGGATGCACGCCTTCTTGTCTAGCTCGACAGCGGCGAGATCACTGGGGATTGCAGTGACTAGAGTGGGAAGGAAGATGAGAGGAAAGGAGTAAAAGGCCTTCATTGTTATGCTTAGTTTCCTGTTGATACTGTTAACATTGATGGAATAAGATGGTGTCAATTCAGGTTTCGATGAGGGCATCATCAGCCTTTTTATAGACAGCTTCGAGACTTATTGTCCTGACATCGTTTACGCTGTTGTCTTGAGCATGTTGGGACTTCGAAACATCAAACCAAACTTCATTTGTCAGTTCTTAGACGGTGTATAGCTCGTGTTGATCCCTGTCAAGTGGCTATCCATTTGCAGTTCTCTGCATGAACCACACTAGAAACGAGGCATCCATGATGATATCAATTCGGCAATCATGATTTGTTGTTACACTCTCATGCTCATTTCATGAACTCCAGTTCGTTATTATAACATCCCAACTTTTGCCACAAAAATGAGTCCAGGTAATTCCTACCACCCAAACCACTTGATGAAGAAACCACTTTTCAAGCAGGCCCCCCGCATCATGATTTAGATATTTCGATCTTGAACCGGCTAACAAGCTGTCCTCATGATCCTCATGGTTTTCTGAATAGAAGCAGGGATTCTCAAAATGGAATGTGATCTACTAGCCAGCCACATTGGTATCGAGGGATTAGGGTGGTAGGTGGTTCCTCTTTGCGGTACTCACCTAGGAACACCTTCAGCCAGCCTCATGCAAAGCATAATGGTTACCGCTGCGGCGCTATTCAAAAATCTCGGAACTCTTCGAAGGTGCCGACTCGTATTCAATGGAAAAATCATTAGAGAATCACAGTTTTAACCATCCCTAGCCTAGAGTCAGATGATAGGTTCGTACATACATGTAATTTATGGAGATGATCCATGTCATTGCAGCCTCAATGCATGTGAAGAGAACATTAAGAGAAATGTGAAAGTGATATGCATGGCCAAAGGGTTGATATTTCCGAGACGGTGTTAGGTTAATCAGACTGTGATCCTTCCACACTAGATCCATCTGAGCAGAGACATTGTTCTAGACCAAAGTTGCCTGGAATATGAAGGATCAGATCACCTCGGGCTGGTATTGATAGGAGGCCGACATTGGGGAGACACCTGGGAGACTGGATGTTCCCCGCCAAACACTCAGATGGAATGCAGAGATTAAGTCAGAGGTAAATCTTAATTCAAACAGCATTACTCATTACAAGCTAGCACACCGATCTGCATTGTGCCTAGATGCAATGTATAAGCTTATATTGTATTGACGTATAGAGGGTCTAGTATCGATAGGTAGATTACATGTAAATGGATTTCAACAGCCAAAGCCTTGGCCGACGCCGAACTAGTGTTCCTCTAGTTTCCGAGCCAAATGTAGGATCTCTCGCACTTTTCCTTTTATGGTCCCTGTCAGACGGACTGGCATCCGCTATCGACATTGAGGATAGATAACCGACATGTGCATATACCATAACCCCATGACAGGCACGGGAAGATTTCAAACGAGACTGGCTATATCTATCCCTCTCATTTCTGCACAACGAGCCATAGCGAACGAGGGCTAAATTAAGGAGTATTCCGTAGAGCCTTGCTGGAAGTGTATACTGCAGCTGTCAAAAGCGGGGTGGAATAGAGGGCACATGGACTCTTTGGTACGTCGTACTGGATTGGGGTTTCAGCCAGCCAAACCGCCGCCGTCACGTACTGGTGCAGACATATCAATCATGGGCCTGCGTTCTACATTGACGAGTACATACTGGCTAAGCTTATTATTGGAGAGCTGCAAAGTAAATCACAGCCTTACCCAAGTGGGAAGTACGTGTCGTTGTCTTGATGAACGATAGTTCGTTCTAGCATTCCGCTCGTGCATCTTTTCCGAGGGGTTATACATCAGTTGGCGCGGGGAATGTGACAGATCTATCCGTTCGATGCATATTTTCAGGTTACACGTTGCTTTGCCACACACCCACACACACACACACACACACACACTTGTGTTCCATTTGAATGTCTCCAAAGCCTTTCTAATGTATTACGAGGGATAGTAGTTGGTTCACCTGATGCTGTAGTCGCAACGAAAATAGCAAAAATAGACGGTGTAAAACAATGGAATAAGCACTGTGATTGGTCGAAGTATATCTGCAGAATCCCGGGAGCTTAACTTTTTGTGGCTAGTGTACAAAGATTGGTGAAAGTGATTAGCCAATAGCCTTGATTTGTTGCTGATTGAGTGTGGGGTATAGACCCACTATGTATGGTTTCCTAATTCGGTCCTCTGATAGAGTAGTCGTAGGTCCGACTCAAAAGCTCAATACCCCATGACATATCTGGTAGGTAGAAATCAAGACATCCAGTTTGAGTTTCGTGACAAATCGCAAATTCTGGTAACACAACAATTTTACCCTTCACACATAATACAGTAATAAAAATCCTATCCGTACTAGCCCTGGAATGGTAGTATATCGCCATCAATTAATTAATGGGGTTGCGAAAGCTGGGTAGATTGAATCTTCTCACTGCCTCCTTGGATAGATCTCGCGGAGATTGACTGCGAAACGATAGGGTGTGAGGGAGATGAAACAGATATTGTTGTGTTATATCCTGGGGATGCATGGGTGTCGTCAAATTCTTAATCCAAATCACAAATCTTACTTTCGCTTTGGTAGGTCTGTTTCTTCACATGATAGCGAGTCTCACGAGACTACTATTCCCGTTCAAGGTAATGAGAAGGAAAAGCGAGAATTTCAAGTTGGCAGTGATGAAATAGGTAAATGAGCTGACCGCTTCCTTTTCAACGTCGGCCTGGATAGTAAATAGTAGGGCAAGCTTTTCGACGGAGCAGGCCGCCAAAGCAATAAAAGGCTCAAAACAATACAATGCAACGGAACAATAGACAAAGTAGAACTTGAAGCTGTTGCTTGAATCATAATTGACTCAGTGACTATGTAGTATCAAACTTCTTTGTGTGTCTAACTTAGATCTTCTCATTGTCGTCTACCAACATGATAATCATACCATCACCAAGAAGTATTATGAATTACCTACTGAGAGTCCGTAGAGCCAGGAGCATGAGCAGCCCGTCGTCGTAGCTTGCCCTCGGCGTCGTGTTCCTCATCCCAGCGAGCTACATCAGCTTTGGGAACCTTGACCAAGTGATGGACGATTGATTTGTTCTCATACTCAATCACTGTCTGTCGAAGCTCATAACCCTTGACTCTTGGCAGAACCTTGATCCATACGTAATAATACACACCGCATAGAAGGAGACTGTTGAAATGTATCAGCAAAAAATCCAAAGAAGCAAAAGCTCGATGAGTACGTACAGCCCAATGCCGACCACCAGGTACGTTCCATACCAAAAGCTGACATCACCACCAGTTGCGCCCTTGAGAGGTGGATACCATGGAGCTATGAGCATATATGTATTCGTCAGAGTTGCAAAGGCAATAGCGATGTCCCATGCACGATACTGAGGGCGCGGAAGGCCGGCATGTCTACGGCGCCGTCTAATAAAGAGTACGCCAACGACGAGAAGCAGATTGAAGATATTGCTGGGATATACAGAAAGATCCACCACTATGTTGTGTTAGCTGTGTGTCAATTAAACTTAGGCATGAACATACCAAAGTTGAAGGCATCACCGGCGGGCGGTGCAAGGATCATGATCATAGTGGTTCCCCAAACAAAGACATAAGGTCCTAAAGGCGTTCCGAATGGTTTTGTATAGGTCCAGAACTTTGGATAAGGAAGGACACCTTGTCTATAGCATTGACAAATTAGATGGGAAAGTAGTACAGGGGAGAAGAGAAGACTCTAGTTGAAGAGACTAACCTTCCAGTCTCACGAAGCAATCTTGACGAATTGATCAGGACAGCGACCAGGTTGCCAAATGCACTCATGCAAATAAGCACATTCAGAGCTCGTGCAGCACCGCCGGTGCCAAACACATTTTGAAAAAACACTGCAGCAGCAATCTGCTTGGACGACAGTATAGCCTCTCGCGAAGCGACGGAAAAGTAAGCAACATTGACCAAAATGTAGAGAATCGTGACGACAAGCAAAGACGATGGTGCGCTCCATCGGAGGGTTTTGGTTGGGTTCTGGTCAAGGTTAGGGGTAATCTAAAAATTCGATGTCACCACAAGACAAAAGGTCGCTTACCTTCATCTCATTTACGAGACCGAAAGCATTGGTATAGCCTGCATAAGAGAAGATGATCTTGACCATGGCATTGGTGGCACCGTATGCCGTGGCACTCGATGTTCCTCTCCACGCATCTCGCCAGTTGATGTTGGGGTCTGCCACGCGGGTATGCCCTCCGAGGACTACTAAGCCCGCAATCGATATTCTGCAATCGTCAGCAATAGTCTATAACCAGAGACCTTGGAAGGCAACCAACAGTAACAGAGTTGCAAGCTTAATGAACCCAAATCCGAGAACGACTCGTAGAGACCATCTGGTGCTTGATATGACGACTTTGAGTCTAAGGTTAGTCGTGCTGAGAAGACGCGGAGTTCCAAGCTATGAACGAACCTAACGTTGCCAAAGTATATGCACCCACAGCCACTGCTTTTAATTCCCACGCTGTATATGTATACCCAGCAAGCTTAAACATATACTGGGCGAAAACGATTGCGTTGCTGCTTGAAAACGAGAAGATAACATGCTTTATGGCAAATACCGTAGGGAAGAAGTACAGCGGTTTTGGATATGCTTGTTCCAGGTATACGACGTCGGATCCAGAACGACTGGGAAAGTACGACGAAAGCTCCAGGTAACAAGAAAGAGTACTTTGGGATAGTAGGAAACCTATGAGCCAGTATATCATTGTTAAGCCTACCGATCCGACGCCGTTCAATATCGTGGCCGCTTTGGGAAGAGTGTCAGCAATGTATATCACAATTGGTCTACATAGAGGAGTCAGGATCAAAGTCTTACGTGTTGAAAAAATACCGGTGCCAATCATCTGGTTGACGTTCAAGCACAAGCTCACCCATGAATTGACTGAATATCCCAATGGAGATTGCTTTTCAACAGGGGCACCCCTTGCATCTTGGTAAGTTGCGATTGAAGTGTTGGCACCTTCTGCTACCTTGTAAGCAATATCGCCATCCTTGACAAACTCTTCATCGGAGGAATCTCTATCGCTAGTATTGACGCCCACGTCCTGGCCCTTTTCTTGATCCGGGAAGAGTGAAGCCATTGTTGATAAAGAAGGGTTTGCTTATATTTATCGGCTTCGTCTCAGATACACCAGTAACAAGTAAAAGGGTATCATCTTGTCCCTTCTTATAGACTGCCGTTAACAAAAATACGAGTACAATGTTTTATTAACTGAAGCCGCTAAGGGGGTGCTCATCGGTGTCTCCAATGGCGCCATGCTAGTGGCACGAGGAGACGGCGACGATCATTCGACCACAACAACGTTATCTGCACCCTGACAGGGATTCTTGCATGGATTGTGTGCGAAGATGAAAAAATTGTGTCACAGCTAATTCTTGGCCCGGAAATGTTTTTCGAGAGAGACGAGCTAATCAGAAGACAAAATGACGTTCCTCCGCACGACAGTTTAGCTATGAGCTAAACATATCCACCAGATGTCAGGGTCCAATTTAGGGCGACCATGTGGAAATGGAATAGTCCTGGTCTATCAGAATTGATCGTTACCGAGATACCCTGGCTAAATATTCGTCGGGGTATGCCGACATATGTTCCATGAAGCCTAGACAGTTTGGAAAGCTAGGATTCGTTGATGGGGCGTGTGCACAGTTCCATATACCCATATTATAACCTAACATCTGCTTTGCAGACGCCTAGCTTATTCCAGTAATGGGACCACACTTGACGGGATTTGATATTTTCGCGTCAGGACATTCGGCACTGAATGGCGACATCGCCGACGATGGTCAAACAAAGGGGCGGAACTGCTCTGTGGCGTTGCAAGTCGAGTCCGAGAAGAAATTTTCAACCCTCACAATTTACTACCGTGGTTTGTCGATGAAAGCTGACCGAAAAACTAGTGCTATTGTTGTGAGTCGTTCGTTTATTTAGTATGTGGGAACCGATAAAAGTCAAAGATGTTGGTTGGCATGAGGTTAAAGCTAAGATGCGGAGCAGGCCAACACTGGGGCGCATTTATTTTTGCGCTGCTTCTTGATGAGGCAAAAATGTTGGGCTCAATCGACCGTGGGTGGTGAAGAGTTGAATAGAAGACATCAATCTAACATGTCTTGGCTAACATTTCTTGGTCATGAAAATGTCCACCGACTTTAGTAGTATTGCATTTCCAATCTCATGTGCACCGGATGTCCCCTGCAGAAGCCGCATTGTTGCTGTATGCGGTGCAAATCGACTTCGAACATGCGGATTCTTCGGCGAAGGATGGCTGGCTCTTTTCCGACTTCTACCTATTTGATAGACCACTTTCCGTCGTGGGATCTTCCCACCAAGTCCGATTAACTTCAGAAGATCCCGCTGTTCTCGTGGCTAAGTACACAGAATTTGCTCATGAGAACCTCAAGCAAGATAGGCGGATGGTACTCAACGAAGGTCGGTCAATAGAAATTCAGCAGGCTGTGAATGTCAGAGTGGTAGAAAGACTTGCGCTTTTGAAGCACTTCAATAGCACAATCACTGAACGAGCTTCAGTTGCAGCAATTTCTGGGGAGCAATTGATAATCCTCCTGATGGGATATGGCGAGATGAATTTCCTTCGGAGTAGCACTTAGTGGCGACTGCATACAAGAGAACGCGCCGAAGCTTACTATAGGGCACATAAATCCTGTTTTTCAGGACCATATCCCTGTAGCTTGTTCATGACATCGTGTTACTCAAGCGGCTGGCTGATGCAGACAACTGCCGAGGGCAAGTTGCCTTTAAATCCAAGTGTCGGGCATGCGAATCGTGGATGTGCTATACTGGAATCGATCATGACTTTTGGAAATTCAGAGATATGGAGCGACTTCAGTTGGGAGTCACCTTATACCTCTCTAGCATTTTCTATATCGTATGCCCATGCGAGACGCAATCTGACATTTGATGAGCATCAAGTCTAGTTCCTGACTTAGAATGACCGGTGGGCCAATTACTGTCAATCACGCACCGGGATTACTCTAGAAAGATTCAAAGAGGTCTAGAAATGTCTTCTGTCAAGTACAAGAAATAAGGATGTCGTTGGACCTTCAGCAGGTGCTCGAAAACGAAGGCACGTGCGTTATCACTGGGGGTACATGTTATGGCATCCTGAAGCGCACAATACCTCCAAAAAAATTTCATTTTACGGTCAGCTTATGCGTCTGCTGAGCAAGTAAAGTCAGAGTTTAGTGATATATAAATTGACTGCCTTTACAAAACGTTGCAATATCGTCTGGCTATCCTGGAGTATGTCGATGAATTTGTCAAGGCTATAGATTTATTATTGGATATCATTGCTCAATTTGAAACCGAGCGTTGGAAAGGATCAAAGTAAGAAAAGGAGCTCTACTCAAAAGCTTGGGTTTTGGTGATTCACGGGCATTTGCTTCATAGGCCCGTAGAGGCAGGTCATTCTTACCATAATGCTTACTTATATATGAGTATCGTCTTGGCGATCTCAGGATTAACACTGGAAGAGATCACAGGAAGAGTGGAAATGGCTAAAAGACATGTGCTTCAAAGTTCTGATCAAATCTATCTTTCATATGAAGGTAATATTATTATTAATGATGCGGGGGTTGTCCGGCATTTAGACGCCTTTTCCCCTCTATGTGTGAGCTGGGATATCAGGTTGAGCGTCATGTGCCAATCCAGTCTTAAAATAACTATACACTAAGACGTACGCAATCAAATGCCGTAATAAGAAAGGGATTTTGCTGTACAGGGATAGAGATCATCTCCCTTCTCGATACGATATAAGAATAAAGTCATATATTGCTAGTACACTTGTACACAACTTCAAGCTGCCACAACGCCCATGTGTATCAAAAGACTAAGCAACTCCGAAACATGCGACTCGAAGTCAGACAGAGCTTGGTTTCACTGCTGCAAGATACAGTCCCATGAGATTTACCTCGGGGATTGGGCTATCCATTGACAGTGGGAACAGTACTTTCGCAGGTCGTCAACACCGCACGGTCAGGGCCTGTAGTAATAGTCTGGCATCCTGGCAGGGCCGAAAGAACTCCACCATAAGTCAAAACACCCCCAACCGGATTATCCAAATCGGGATATGTCCAACCGCTATCCTCACCTGTAGTGGGTTGCATCATACAGGCAGCCATCTGCTCATCTGTGAATATACCTCCTCGATTACCGAAACATGTTGGGTCAGATAAGGGTGGAACACCAGTATTTCCTGGCGTACAGGTCGGCATAGTCGCATTCAACACACCGGGTTCCCATCCGTTTATGAAATCCACGTGGAATCCGAATCCTGTCTTATCTCCCATGGCGAGCATAAATGGACTATCCTCAGCTGTGTAAAGTCCATCAAATGAATTGATATTGAGCCAGTATTCGACAAAGATCTGGGGGAAGCGGGCTACTCGATGGGTTTCCGGGCATCCATCAATATAATCTGCGACAGGATATGCCATATGGGCGCTGGGATTGGAAACGTTGAATGGTTGCCCATTCCAGCATGAGGGCATAGTAATTGCGGCTGCCAGGCCATTTGGGCAGCCGATGAAGCCAGTCGGGAAACCCACCGTGCTTATATCGGGATATTCTGAGGTCCCGTTTCCGTGACAAAACCATCCTAGTTCACTGCCGTATGGTCCCATGGACGTTGCGTTTTCAGCACGAAGTGTTGCGTCACCGGCTATCATTCGAAACTCTTCAGGGAACTCTTGGATATCGGTGTCGTACGTGTTAGCACCCGTGCCATATTTGTCTGGTTTTCTTTATGAGCAACCGTTCCGTAAGTCAAATGCATGTCAAGGTGGGATGGCACTGACAATATATTTTATGATAGGGCTGTTCAGGCACGCGGATGAACGACCCATTACTAGGATCTTGGAAATAAAGGTTCGGCATCCACTTGAGTCACGAAAGTCAACTTCCGATCGGGCCATCTATGCCATAAAAAAACCACTCACATAATTTGACTTGTCTGCAATTGGCTGGACTGTGGAGCAGGTGGACGTCTGGGTCTGCGCAAAGTCCATAGTTGAGGCAAAACCATTGCCTCCAACGACACTATGGACATGCTGTGATAATGCCTTGCCTGGGCTGAGAAGAGGATCAAGTCTCTCAATGGTTAGAGGCATGCCACTTCCAAGAACAAAGTAATAGCCCTGCTGTGCTGCCGTGGGCACGGCTAGGACAGCTACAGTCTTGAGGATCTGGGAGAACATCTTGCTGTAGCAGTCACTTTTGGGGGTTTCACAAATTGATCTTAGGTGACATTTACTGGAGGATAATGGACCTAAAAGGCAAAGGGAGCATGTTTTTATATCTTTAGGCGATGCTACGTAGACGATGATGTATGCATGCTAGAAATAAGAAGATTTGGTTTCACGAAACTTGCGGGATTTCGCTCCCAAACCATTTGTTTCCGGATGGAAGTACGCTATGCAAAGAGAATCGGGAGTAAAACATCTCGTGATGGCAGTCATGTTTCATCATTGTAAGAGTGGCTGAATCTCAGCCTCGACTGATATATTCCTCCTCAATAGGGTTACATACATATCTTTAGCGTCCGACTATAGCCCGTAGCTAAAACAGTTGCAACCCGGATGAACCGGGCCATGAAGAATCCCCAGATTCTTTAATTTGATGACTGCCCAGGCGCGTCCAATTGATATCAGCCGCAAATAAGAACAGGCACTAGGGTAACATAGAATAGTCGGCACTTAGACCCCATATTCCAAAAGGGGTAAAAGGGTAACAATGGATGTATTCCCCATGCTGACCAGAAAATACATCAACTTCTTCCCCATCTTCGTATAGACTTAAAGTCATCAATACCTGTTGGATGTGGATTCTTAAGATCTTTATCGGACACCATATAGACTCTGCACGGTATCCTTCCTGATTGGGTATGTAGTTAGTCTCTATGCATTTTGGATATGGTGTTATTTTCACAAGCTAGTATCGTTCGTATGATCAGCAATGTAACGCCGCGGGATAGAATGCTCTTATGCTACCGAATACTTTGGTGGGCGGCTCTTGATTGAATATGATCTAAAACAATGTATCTGCGGACAGCCATAATATCGTGTACAGCTATATCTTCTCTTCTAAGGCGATAAGTATACACCCCAAGTACCTAATTAGAAAATTTGTAGAATAAAAAAAAGATCATGCAGATATCAACGAACATGATGAACGTGCTGAGTAGCTACCTAATACGAGCCCAGTCTTTCACATAGGCTGCAGTAACCATCATACAGAGCTAGCTTGCAATACTGAAAATTACAGAATAGAATGTAAATGAATGTTACTGTTCGAACAGAGTGAATCCGACTCGATTGAAGATTGTACTGCAATCGGAACCCGGTCCCGATATCATGATAGGTACTCTAACTGGCACTTGGGCCAACTTGATATAGTTTACATTGCCATTGGATAGGTCTAATTCCAACTAGATATCAATCAGTGTATGTTTCCGTCTTGAACATAAAAACAATGCGGTATTCTCGTACAGCTTCGATTATCATTGGTACTAATATGTTTATATTAGCGCTAAATCTTTTCATCAGTCGGATTGGTTCCTGTGATACGGAGAACCGTATATTTGCTTCACATGTTTGCCCGCAAATGCTACATCAGGCTCTGATCGACTGCATGATATCTTTCGCGCGGTTCAGATTCAAGTTATCGCTTTTTATTCTGAATACTTTTATTGGCCTTTGTCCCCGAAAGTCCGCGGACAAGTTCCTAGCCTGAAGGAAACCCCGCTCTTGTAATCCTGTTCGACGTGAGAGAATACAATTGGTTGATATTGAATGTTTCTTCCTGGGGTACGGAGAAAAGTCTGCGGTATATGCCCGTTGATATTCAGATACTCTCTGAATAGAGAGTACATAAATAGAGGTAAATCATCGAGTTCTGCTAGGATGAAAAGACAATCTGAGAATCAGTCTTTCAGCGTTTCCGTCTCTTATTTCTTGGAAGAATTCCCGACATCATTTCCACCGAAATTGCAATTCCTCTGGATCGAAAATGACGTTAAGCAAAACATATGCAATCCTGGCATCCGTGTCACTATGGCTTGGAGTAAACGCCCAAGGCAAAAGAGGATTGTGCTACGGAAACGTCACATGGGCGAATTATTTTGCTGGAAACTCTAAGGTAACTTGGGGTTACAATTGGGGCGTACAATCTGGTGGTCTTGATTCATCACTGGAGTACGTGCCAATGTTATGGTCGGTTCCAAGCGGCGCCGACCCGGACTTTGAGAATGCAGCAGCAGCGGCAAAGAACGTTCTAGGGTATAATGAGCCCGACTTGGGGTCTCAAGCCAACACCATTCCCTCTGTTGCTGCAGCCGGTTACCAGACCTATATGCAGCCTTTGGCTGGGAAAACTCGAATTGGTGCTCCAGCAGTGACCAATGCAGGCAATGGGGTGCTTGCTTACATGGGTCTTGGATGGTTGGAGTATTTTTTCGACGATTGTCAAGGTTGTCACGTCGACTTTATTCCTCTGCATTGGTATGCAAATGACACAGCTGCCAATTTCGAGGCCTATTTAACTCAGGCTTATGATCGTTTCCAAAAAGTAAGTTTATCTAAACCTGATGTGGACGATTCAAAGCTGATAGTGTTTATAGCCTATTTGGGTCACCGAATTCCAGCTCCAGGACAGCGATGCCAACCAAGTCGCGTTCCTTCAAGAGGTGTTGCCATGGATGGATCAGCAATCCTGGATTGAGAGATATGCATACTTTGGGCCGTTTGAGACTTTCCTGATCAACGGTGCTGGGAACGGTCTCTCGGATGTTGGAAAGGCGTATGTCAGTATCTAAGCAGTGTACATCGAAATGGAGGTGTTTCTAGCAATCGATCAACAATATAGTGGGGGGGATGCTGTACTGTATTATTCACAGCAGATATGAGAATGAATGAACAGCATTTACTATGTCCTTTCTAATTCTTCTTAATTCTTCTTAAAGTAGCCAGCGATAGAGTTAGGGCTTGGTTCCATAAAAGGTTAGCGTGTCCATGACTCGCGGTGAGGCAGGCAGCTAACCATTTTCGGACTAGTCGCGCCAACGAACTTATGTTTTGTTTGATTGTGTAATGACCTCCAATCAGAAACAAACTCATCCATCAATATGAAACCACCGACACTCAAAACCTGGAGAATGCGTGTAACTGACTACAATGATAGCACAATAGCGCATAGTAGTGCTATCTCCCCGTTCATCTCGATACTGCCCAGCTGGGGCTGAATTCGAGCTGAAGTTCCGACTTTTGACCTGTGTGACGCATCTTTCTTCTCGGCTTTTACTGGATGGCCAGCCACGATTTGTCCGTTAGGATCGATCCTGCGACCTCGACATGATATGACTCTCGCTTTGTCTACTATTACCCTCTCCTCACACCGAACCGCTCTTCTGGATACCATCGACTCATCGTCGTAGCAGCAATGCGCCTGTTTAAGAAGTATTGCCTGCCGTCGCATACTGAAAAGAGTGCGGGGAAGAAGAACAAGGAAAAGCCTCCATTCCGCGCGTCGAGCTCGTTCAGCAGCAACAGCAGCAAATCGACTAGCAGGAACTCGCCTCTATCTCCTTCGCATTCTGCCTCGAGCTACGATCCTACCAAACGACTGCCCCCGCAAGTTCTCAACAGAATATTCTCCTATGTCTGCCCTCATGCGCTCGATGAATCATATAACTCGTCTGAAGAGTCAATAACTGAAGATGGCTGCATGCTATGTGATATGCGCGACTTGGCGTGCTGCGCTTTGGTAAGCAAAAAGTGGTCCACGCCAGCGCAAAAGTTACTGTCCGTTCTCCCCCTGTCGCTTGGCTAGCCTCTTATTGATTCATTCTTGACTTCAGCTACCGAAATGTCCGCATCGACGCCGTTCACTACTGTGAACTTGAGATCGAGCTATCCGCAAAACGCAAACGTCGCCGCTCTTTTGTCGACCAGAATGGAAAAAGGTTGGATGTCCCACAGTCGCGGTTACATTTATTCATGAGAACAGTCAGGGATTCTCGACAGCTTGCCGAGACCGTTTTATCTTTGAGATTGCCATACATGACCCGAGAGGCTAGCAAGTCGGATCTAGCTCGGACTATTTCCGTGTTACACAGTTTGCGATATGTCGACCTACCAGTAGGATTCTTCACCGATGATCCCTCGTCGTACGCCTTGAAGCAGGAGTTGATAGCTAATTGTCCTGATGTTCGACGTATGACATATGCCCATGGCTCAGAGATGAGTTTTTCCCAGATAGTCGGCTCGTCGTTGTGGAAGAATTTGGAGAGTCTAGAGTTATCCAACCTGCAGGTTGAGGAGAGTACTCTGCGGCAGGTTCTCTCTTCGTTTCCCGCATTGCGAAATCTGAAGATGGAAAACATGCCATCAATAGGAGATTCTCTCTTTACTCCTAACCAATACCTCCCGACGTTTCCACCTATCGCCAAGTTGACGGTTCGGAACATATCAACCATCACCGCTGGCGGGCTGGCTGATCATCTCTCCGCTCCACAGACTCAACATGCTCTTAAAGAATTGGTTCTGGTGCAATGCGGAGTCCGTCCAGAATCATTACATACAGTCTTTTCCAGAGCCCCTCGACTCGCAAACCTCACGCTAGAGTTGGAGGTAGACAAATCTTTTCTTGCACAAGAGACCCCGCTTCTAGCGTCCAGAAGTCTGAAAACCATACACTACGAAATTACCTGTTCAGGAAGCCCAACCGGACCACAGCCTGTGACAAAATCCTATTATGACTATCTGATGTCTTCTCTCAAGGCAAATAGTCTGCCATCCCTGCGGAATATATATGTCCTGGATTCCTCATTCGCCGATCTTCTTCTTCTGGTTCCGCCGCCCCGTCTATTCGGCGGAGGCGAGAACGGACTGCAGTCAGTAGGGCCAGGATTGCAACAACCATTGACACTCTACACCAAAGGCATGGACGAATTCGAGTGGAATGTGACCGAATTCGAGCCGGTATCATCTGGCAGACGATCAAGTACGACCAGACCAGTCAGTTTCCATTCGGCACAACTGAGTCCACGATGGGGTGGGGACGCGCGTGAGAGTGTCCTTGTAGGCAACGGATTTGGAGGATATCTTGCGGTTCCTGTGGACGAAGGACGACCGATGAGCAGTAGTGGGGTTCGGGGTAATGACAAAAGGGATAGCAAGTATGATCTGTGGAGGTGATTGAACTTTTATTACTCTCTGCCCTGGTGCTTCAATCTTTGTACAAAATTTGATCCATTTGCAAAGCTGCTGGTCGTATCTAGTCACGGCATTTAATAAGTCTGATACAGGGTAGTATTGATATTCTATTTAACAAAGAGGTTTTAAAATCAATACACAGCGAAATCTTCAAAGATCACGTCCCGAAACTTTCTATCAAGAACATCATCATCGCCCTCTGGGTCTTGAATATTTGTCGATGCAAAAATGCCAAAAGAAGGACCGGTGAAGTCTAAAGCTGTCATGTGCAAAGAGTCAACAGATCCAGCGCAAACCCACTCGGTCGTTGACCCAGGGAGGTTCTTGTTGCCTGCTGTGACCCCGCGGAAGAGGAAAGTGTAATCATTCGGAGTAGCACGAATCTCGAAGATGATTTGATCGGCATCTTTCGATACTGGGTGCTGACTGACGACGACTGGGTTGCACGTAGTATGCCTGATTTTGTCGTGATGAGTCAACTCGACAATGCCCTTAGCAAAGTCGTAGTATATATCAACATGCTGGACGTCATCTTTGAAAAGCGAGAAACCAGCCTTTAGCAAAGTTTGCACAGAATCTTGCCGGTCTCTCTGGAGATGCAATGTTGCAGTTGGGTTGCAGGTGAGATTCCGTTGGCGCTGAGCGAGAAAACTGGCTGTTCCTTTTCTTGTAGAAAGGTCATTGCCTCGGGCCACGATTGAGATCTTGCTTCCACCGGCAAGGAATGTATAGTCAGAGAGACGCGGACTGCGAAGGTGGAGGTATTCGACTGGTGTTCCCGATTTAGATATATCCGGGCCAGTGCAGCCTTGACTACTGCCAACTTCAACCGACTCAAAGGATGTAGAAGTCTGCTGGATTTCAGGCCACCCTCCCTTTGGCCAGTTCACTGGAGTGAGAAAAGTCTCGCGGCCCAAAGGAGCTCTCCCACCTTCTCCATTGCGAATTCCCAAATGAACTGCCCACCAGTTACCATGTGTATCCTGAAAAAGATCACCGTGTCCAGTGTGCTGGATATATTCATCTTTCCCATCGGMAGTCAAGATTGGGTTTGCCGCATAACTCTCGTAAGGGCCCCAAATGTTCGTTGACCGCGCAATTGTGATGCAGTGATGTTGCCATGTTCCGCCTTCTGCTACAAAAAGGTAGTAATACCCATCCTTCTTATAGATGTGTGGACCCTCGACATCACCCTGACTGAGATGGCCAGTCCAAATCGTCTTGATTTCGGAAAGAGGCCTGCCCGTGGAGATTTCCACTTCAAACTGGCGGATTGAGCACATGGGGTTGCCCAGCGGGCCTGCATGCCACGATCCTTGGATATAGACGTGATCATCCTCGTCGAAATATAGGCTTGGGTCTATTCCCTCAAAGTCAAAGTAGACCGGATCGCTCCACTGGTCCGACCAGATGTCGAGCGTGGTGATGTAGAAGTTGGACGTGTTTAGTCGATCGCCTTGCTTGTAGACATTCGTGCAGATGATATAGAATATCTCCTTGTGATGTCTTATCGTGGCTGCAAAGAGCCCTGTTGCAGCCACGATTCTCCGTCCTCCTCCGATGGGGAATCCGTCTACGCCTGCCCTCGTCAATGAGAGTTGGTCGACTCTGTTGATCGCATTCCCTAAGATTGTACAAATCGCTCAATTATGCTATACATCTTATAAAGAGACTACTCCTGAACATACCAATATGCACCCAGTCTTTCAGATTCCGAGATGCGTATACCGGCAGCCCTGGGAAGAGATGAAACGACGAGTTCACGAGGTAGAAAGTGCCATCCACGAGCACTACCGATGGGTCGGGTGCGAAACCCGGCACGATTGGATTATGGTATATCATATCTCTGATACGGTGCCTCACATCGTGCCAGAAATAAATTCAAAAAGGGACAAAAGATGCATCGATCGAGAAGCAATTTTGTTTTAGTGTCCCATTGCTATATGTCGGGTTTTCCGAGCTTGAGCAGGATCGTGACTGTTCTGTCATTCGATATTCATCAATTCTTTGGAATCTCTCTCGGTATATCTCGCCCCGAGCCTCTTAGAGCATTTTAGGCTGAATACATGAGCCAGTTCAAGACTCTGAGCAGGATGTGGATGAATTGACCTCGAAAAAGGCCATCGTCATGCCTTCTATTTCGGGACTAGGGCGGATCTGCCCGCGGATGTTTCCCCCACATCTTCTGTTGACGTTTGTCTTGTTTGTTTGGTAAATCATTAATGACATTGATCGTGAACTTCACACAAGCTCACTCATTTGGCTCCGATATTCGATCTCGCCTCTAAAGGATCAATTTCTCTGTAAATCTTACAGACCGGGTGTTTGCCACCAGTTTTCAACGTGCCGGCGCTCTGTTTACCCTACATCAACGCGTCAAGAAACCCGAATACGAATGCCTTAAAGCTTACACAACTGTGATATACACCCCTGCCCAATCGTAATTTGGGCCAAAAGGCCCAGGTGTCTGCAGGATGGCGATGACATTCACAGAAGATAGCATCAAGGAACTTCGATTGCGGCTGGAGGATGCGGTGGTAAAATGTTCGGAGCGCTGTCTTTATCAGTCTGCAAAATGGTAATGGATGCGCACACCGACATGAATCGAGATCTTGGAAGCTGAACTACAGGTTATATAGGGCCGCAGAAATGCTCAATTCTCTCGTATCCACCGACGGCAACGATACAGACGCTGAATCGCCCATGGAAACCGATCCGCAACCGAACGTGAATCCATTCAGCCCTCAATCAGATCCCACTGAAGCTACTCTAGAATTACAAGAAGCGCACAAATACCTTCTAGCAAAATCCTACTTTGACACTCGAGAATATGATCGATGCGCTGCCGTCTTCCTTCCTCCTACAATACCACCCGTGCCTCTTTCAACCGTGTCTCCAAATGTTAAGAGCAGAACATCATTGACGCCACAGAAAGGGAAAAGAAAGTCCTTCGTACGACCAGGATCCAAAGCCGGTCAGGCGCTACCCCGAAATCCATATCCGATCCTCAGTCAGAAATCCTTGTTCTTAGCACTATATGCCAAATATTTAGCAGGAGAGAAGCGAAGGGATGAAGAAACCGAGATGGTTCTGGGGCCTGCAGATGGTGGTATGACCGTGAATCGAGAGCTACCGGATCTTGCGCGAGGGTTAGAAGGATGGTTTGCGGAGCGGCGAGATCGGGGATTGCAGGACCGTGGTCAGGGATGGCTAGAGTACTTGTACGCGGTCATTCTTATAAAGGGCAAGAATGAGGAGGAAGCGAAAAAATGGTTGGTGCGGAGTGTACATCTGTTTCCGTTTCATTGGGGCGCATGGCAAGAATTGAATGATTTGCTACCAAGCGTTGACGATGTAAGCATTCTACTCAAGTGTGCTCAGTGTTGTCAATACTAACGAAGACTAGTTGAAACAAGTCGCGGAGACGCTTCCACAGAACATCATGTCCTTTATTTTCCAGGTCCATTGCAGCCAGGAACTGTATCAAGCCACTGATGAAACCCACCAGACACTTAATGGTCTCGAGTCTATTTTCCCGACCAGCGCATTCTTGAAGACCGAAAGAGCTCTTCTTTACTATCACTCAAGAGGTGAGTGACTTTACGCGTAGTGGAAAGCTTGGACAATATATACTGACCAAATATAGACTTCGAAGATGCATCGGCCATATTTGCGGATATCCTTATTGATTCCCCCCATCGCTTAGACAGTCTTGACCATTACTCCAACATTCTCTACGTCATGGGAGCTCGACCCCAGCTCGCATTCGTCGCTCAACTAGCCACAGCGACAGACAAATTCCGACCAGAGACCTGCTGCGTGGTTGGGAACTACTACTCGCTAAAATCCGAACACGAAAAAGCAGTTATGTATTTCCGACGAGCTCTCACTCTCGACCGCAACTTCCTATCAGCCTGGACACTCATGGGCCACGAATACATCGAAATGAAAAACACCCACGCCGCAATCGAGTCCTACCGCCGCGCCGTCGACGTAAACCGCAAGGATTACCGCGCCTGGTACGGTCTGGGCCAAGCATATGAAGTCCTCGACATGTGCTTTTATGCCCTGTACTACTATCAACGCACTGCTGCATTGAAGCCCTACGACCCCAAGATGTGGCAAGCTGTGGGCACATGTTATGCGAAAATGAACAAGATACCGCAGAGCATCAAAGCAATGAAACGTGCTCTGGTCGCCGGTGCATACTACGAGCAAAGCGCCGATGCTGCATCTGCCGACCACCCTACAGCAGGACGGAAGATTCTTGATCCGGATCTACTTCACCAGATTGCCTTACTCCATGAGCGATCGGACAATGAGGATGAAGCCGCGGCGTATATGGAATTAACTTTGCAACAAGAGAGCGGCGAAATCGAGCGCACCGAGACAGACTCTGAAGACGATGATGGTGATGAAAACTCAGACGATGATACGACCACTCAACCTCGTTCTCGACGACGACGACGTCAGAAGAGCAGCAGAGATGACGATAACGAGGTTGAAGCCGTCGGTGGTACGGGCGTTACGGCGACAACATCCAAGGCACGACTGTGGCTTGCTCGCTGGGCACTTAAACATGGAGATCTGAATAGAGCGGATCAGTTGGCTGGTGAGCTGTGTCAGGACGGGATTGAAGTTGAAGAAGCCAAGGCTTTGATGAGAGATGTCCGCGCGAGGAGGGAAGGTGGAGGAGGAGGATGATGATGATGATGGCAGACTATCTAGATAGAAATGTATGTCTTATGGATCTATAAATTATGATTTCTGATGTGCATGTTACGGTTTGAGAGGATATTAAACTGCAGTATTGATACCTTGGGATATTAACTCATACATCATTAAGCCCTGATCCTAGCAACGTGGGAAGATAAATAAACGTAGAAATGGACACAAAACATCACTACTGAGTCATAGAAAGCATTAAGAAAATAATCGAGTATGACATGACATCTTCTCCCAGAGAGTGACACAGACCAAGCACCTTTCCTCTGATTGTCATGTCCTTAGAGTCGAAAAGAAATCAAAACATCAAGAAACTCATAAATCCCAAGGCATCTCTCAAGTGATTTCAAGAAATGAAGTAGTGAAGTGGCCAATATCAATGACAACACAACCAAGAATGATTACATGCTGGGAAGAAGGAGGCGATCAGATAAAGGCCGAAGATGGGTCCATCTGATCATCATGAGTTGTGCAGCGAGGCTTCTCAGGACGGACCAGGCCGAGATCAAAATCAAAAGTAACAGTACCGGATGGAGCATAGTAACGGTCACCATAGAGATGGACGGTAGGATCGACGGAGACCCACTCGCCGACCAGTTCGACCTCGCTGGGTTCGTAGATATTGACGATGTTTGCAGCTACACGACTACTAGATGAACTAGCTCTAGTGTCGTGTTCATTGATCTGATCAATCACGCGTCGAGGGCCAGAAAGAACGGGGATTGGGGTTGCTTCGGTACCGGGGCGCCAGGAGATAGTAGCGTAGAAGTAGTGTGTGCCGAACTCGGACCACCAGTCGCTCAGAAGGAACATCTTGCTTTCGATTCCTGCTTCTCCTCCAGCCTTGAGAATGCGACTGTCAAGGAAGAAAATCTTACCCTGAGGCTGAAGATCGGGCTTTGGCTGACAGAGTTCGGTGGCCAGCAGATTACCCATGTCGTATAGCTGCATAGCGAGCACTGTGGAGGGTTTTGTGATATCAACCAGGACAATGCCCAAAGCCATGTCGTTCTTAACAGCAGCTGGGTTGGACAAACGAACAGCTCTGCGAGTGTATTGGAACCCCAATGACTTCACAAAATGCTTAGCAGAGAATGTGAATTCACGTGGAGCCTGGCGAAGAGTATCCTCCTGAAAACCAGACTCACCACAGTACATTGGAATAGTGGAAAGTGGAGAAACTGGGTGGGTTTGCAAAGGGTCTGTGAGTGCACGTATCTCGGTGTCGTACTCCTTCTCATGAAGTAGTCCAACGCATTTGGCGGTGTTTTTTGTGCCATCTGGTAACCGAAAGCGGGAGGATTCTAGCTTTGCTTCTGCTTCTTCAATGAACTTCAATGCCTCATCCAGAGTAGCTGCTGCTCGAGTTGAAACTTGATGTGATGGGACAGTTAGTTTCTCTCTCAAGGGGGTTGTCCAGCCACTACCGAGCCCACTAGGATTCTGTTCACAGCCAGAAGATTCCGTACTAGGACTGTCAGTGCTGGCAGGGCCGCCGACGTTGCTAGTCCAAGCTCCTGGGAATGGGCTTCCTGGAGCTCGAAGAAATTGCTGGGGAGCTTGATCCAAGTCCATGGTTGCAGAATTTTCCATGATTGTAGATGAAGTTGGTGCAGATATCTTGAGATGGTACAAGCACGACGAAGAGGCCAAATTCGATGATATGGTGTTAAAAATTGGTGATGTGAAATTCAAGTTTGACGATGTGAGGTCCAACTTTGCTGCAAAGTCCAAGTTTGAAGTAGGGTAGACAGAAGATATTGTGCGTTTGCGTACGTTAAACGAGTTAGTGGTTGGTGACTGACTGAAAGGTCTCACGTCTCTAATCAGCGAGGCTGGTGCCTGTTTGACAGAAGGCGGTGTCAATCGTGGTGAAACAAGACTGGCTGATCTGGACAAAGGAGAATTGCCTGTGAGCGATGACGTTGGAGTGCTTTGAGATTTGTCTACGATATACTCATGATATCTACTGGTGCCAGCCACCTTCTCAACCCAGACGGCATTTTCCTCCTCCAACTCGTGTGTTGGAACAGCACGTGCCTTCTGTGCTAGTTCTTGCAATTCAATGAATGAGATGGCATCCTCAAACGATCGATCCCAGTGGATCTTCAAGACACGAGGGAATCTCAGCGTATAGTATTGGGCATTACTTGGCTTATCAAAGCCGCTGCCCAGCAACTCTACGACAAACGGAGTCTTGAATGCAATATCCATATTGGGCAGAGAGTTGTGAATGCTATAACACTCAAACGCAGTGTTTGAGTCAACGTCACAGGCAACAAATTTGCCCCACTGATTGAGCACATGCAAGTCATTCACACTCAGACTGTGTGTGCCTATCATATCAATAATGCGAAATCGAGGTAAAGCACCTAGTCGAACAACATCTTCCTTATTGTCAAGACAGCCTATGAAGAAGTGTGTCCAAGAGTGTTGATGCATTGATGATAGAGAAGAGGCATCTTTCGCATCATATCGTGCACCTATCAGCGCAAAATCAGCAGTATCACCAAGTCCAGGTATGTAATCCTTCTTGAGTTTGATCCATCGACTGAAGCCGTCACTCCTTTGTGAAGATAAGACTGAGAAGTAAGGCTCGTCACATGCTTTAATCACATAGCCCTCCCACCGTTCAGCAATACTTCGCGATAGTGCCAGCTGAAGACGTCGTACAGCATCAGCGCGGGAGAAATCAATGATCTCCTGCTCAGCGATTTCAGCGCGCCCTGGACTGATTTTGATTGTTTCTTTGAGCAGTAATCGTCGTAATCTATGAGGCTTACTTAGGCAGATGTGATCGTCCAATAACAGTATATCAAAGAAAACAATCATTAGGTGCTCATATGGTTTGGGCCTAGAACAACTACCATCAGTCTGTACTTTAAAGTAAGAAAGCAGACGAAGACTAACTGTGAATCAAGATCTGCGCCAATGAACATGCCTGAACGACTCAGGAACTTCCTCAGTTTGTGAAACTCCAAAATCTTGCCGTCTCTATCATCCCAAACAAGTAGCTCACCTTCCAGAATACATTGCCGGGAAACTCTGCAATGAGGTTCGCCAATTGCAAGGCTTCGCTTGATGACATCGTGAATACCAACCCTATCAAGGGTCGAGTCCCTACCACTCTTGGAGAATATCTGGACGCAGTCTTGTCTCTTTGTGAGATCGATATGTATCTGGCAGTATTCTCCGTCATATTTTCTCTCAAGACTCATTCTGCGTTGGCGAATCATGTTGCTGCAGTGCTTGATACTTCGGGCCTTGTAGTACTCCGGACGACCTATTTTGATTCCAATTCGAGGTACAAAATGCTCAAGGGCCTTGTCGCTCAACAAATTGGCGAAGTGTGATTGTGGTTGAGGAGGAAAGAGCTTGAGTGGAGGGGACCTTAACAACTCGACTGCAGCTTCTAGTGAGTTCTGAAACAGTAGCAAGTGCGGCAAAAGGAAATGCACTTTCGTAAGCAAGTAGTCCGCAGGAAGCTGTACGGGATGATATGACTTTAAAATCATTCGTGTCAACCATTTCGCATCCCGACTGCTTAGTCTGCGATACAGCGATCCCAGTACCTCTTCCACGTCGACAGCAGCGTATTTTCTGCGCACAGCCGGGCCGGAAAACTGGCAACGTGATGCAACTTCTTGAAGGACATTGTCAATTTCCTCAACGGTGACTTCCTGTCCGGGTAGGATTTGGTTCTCAGCCTGGCTCATTACATTTTCGACGCATTCACCAAGATCCCCATTTCCGCTGACCTGCCACTGGCTGAGGTCTTTCAACCTCGAGGCTCCAAGGTACAGGCATCTACCGATGATGCGAGCCAGCGAAGCATGCTGTAACCAGTACACCCTATCCGGCCGCTTCTCGGGAAACAGACATGATAGCACGGCAAGTAGGTCTGTATCTTTGTCGTGTAGCCGTTTCGAATAGTTCAAGCACCAGCTTGAGATGGTACGGTAATCCGGGTTCTGTGCTTTCGCTGCACTGGTGGCTTTGACATAGCGATTACGCTCTAAACCGGAAAGTAGATCACACACGTAGGAGAACTTGAAGCCCATTCTCTTTCCGACGATGTCCCGAGTCGAATCGCGTGCGCTGGGCACAAGACGGCATTTTTGGATGATTTACGGTGGCAATGGCTGGCCGGAAGAGTCTTTGTGCCGGAGACAAAGGAGAAATTTGGCAAGATGTTCTGTTCAGAAGGGTGGACAGAAAACGCGACCTCCGTATTAGGGCTAAGACCCAGCGCGCGTCCATGGTACGCGAAGTCACGTGATGCAACATCCTTTATTAGTCAGGTAATTTACGAGAATGACTGATTATATGACACATTCATGATATAAAACCTACGGATACAGATTGACCTATGACCGAGACCCATTCCTTTTGAAGTATGTTGCATGGATGCCAAAACTCCATATACGCCTCCTATTGCTTCCGTCACACCGTTGCAGATTTCCAATAAAGCGAAACAAGAAGCTATATTACAAGATACCCTGCTTTTGAAGACTGTACACATGTTAGCGTTGACCATATGGAGCATGTTGATTGGGGGACGTACTCATAGTAGATCCGTTCGGGCATGACGTTTCCTTCGGCATCCTCCATTTGAACCACATTATCCTTGCTCTCTTTTTCTTTCTTTCTTTCCTGCTCGAGTTTCTCCCAGAGTCGCATTGCATCTTCAATCCGGACGATCTCGCGAAACAAGTTGGTTTGTTGAGTTATGCCCAGGCATTTCAATCCGTATATATGTCGCGCTTCTGAAAAGTGCTTATCGAATGCGCGTCGGCCCATGTAAACAAAGTTACCACAAATCTCACATGGATATTCCACGCCAAGACCATGGAGCTTGTACAGCCAGTACGGGATAGGTTTGCCATCCCAGGCAAGTGGCAGCTTGAGCGGGTTGTATATCCTGTCCTCTCCTTCTTCGTCGGATTCTTCCTCGCGGCCAAAGGCACCGGATGACAACTCCGTATCCGCCATAAGAGCTTCAATTTCCATCTGTCTCTCACGCTCCGTCATACCTTGCTTTCGCTCCACATTCACCCTGGTTGCTTCCCGTTCGGATTGTAGTGTTTTTGTCAAGCATCGAACGCGGTGTTCGCGCTCTGCAACTGCTCGTTCTTTGAGTGATTTCAAGGAAGAATCCTTGATGGCGCCTGCTAAGCTAGCACCATTTGGCGTGGCATTTCCATTGGCCTTTTTTGCTTCAGCAGCTTTGATATGTTTCTTGCCGGTCAAGTGGTTCTTGTACACATTCTCATTCTTGAATTCCTTCTCACAGTCAGCGCACCATATTCCTTCTCCTGTTCCCTCTGTTTTAGGTCCGACAGATTCAGTCATGGCTGCTTCGGCACCCCAGCCTGGTACTTCCTGGGCGGCCCATAGTTTATCAAACTCCTGATCGTAGGATGCAAACAACTTAGGAAGGTTTTCCAAGGGACGCACACGCTTGAGGAAGCCTTCAAGATAGCTCGACAGATCGCCCACGTACTTGAAGTATCTGTCGGAGACCTTTGCTGTCCGCTTGATAGGCAGTTGGGGCGGGGTAAACGCATCGAACTGATCGATATATTGAATATATGTAAGTCGCTTGACGCCAGGAATATTGAGATAGTCCTCGTGGAGCTGAATCAAATCCAGAAATTGTCCATACGCCTCTTCTCCGGTAAACATAGAATCTATTTCGGGGGCAAAGCTTTCGCCCTCTCCCGGATGTCGTCGTTTATATGCACGTTCTAAATTCTCCACGGGCTCGTTGGGGTAGCGTTTGTGAAAATCTTTGATCTCGTCTAAACGCTTGTAGAATTCTTCGAACGCATCGCCCGTAGAGATGGACTGAATTTCCTGAGCACGCAGACCTTCGGCATCTTTGTAAATATCTTGCAATCTTTTTGACTGTTCCTCAATGCGATCTAAGAATCCAGCAATCTGATGGTCTCGGGCGAGTCTTTCACGTATCTAAATAAAAGAAGTCAGCACGTTTTTAAGGATTCTCCAGCAGTCTGGGGAGATAGCCTACGTTTCGAGGTTCTTCAGCCACCCGGTCAGCAATTCCTTGCTCTAAACGTTCGAGATCCTCATGGATAAAACGCTGGTCTTCGAGAACCATTTCGAGTCAAGTAAAATGAATAACCGTGACTTTATTCACAAAGCAGCTGACTAAAGACGGTGTTGTAACTGTGAGAAATTGTTAGGATAGCTCAGAGCTTTTTGCGGCTGCTTAAGGTCACGTGGTTTTTATCGGTGCACGGGCCAACAGCATAAAATATCGGCATGCGCCACCGTAACTTGCTCCAGACCTCAGTGAATCTGCGACAACCTGTTGTTGTACCGTTTCTTCTCAAACACTTCATTCTTCAAATTACATAGCATTCAAAATGGCGGAAGGGATTGATCGTCGCGCAGATGGTGAGCAAAATCAGATTTCCAGTTGATCCTGCTAAACTAACATTGCTTAGAGCGCATGGAGTTCACAACCTCGAAAGAGGTCACGGTGGCCCCAACTTTCGAGGATATGCACTTGAAGGAGAATCTTCTACGTGGAATCTACGCTTATGGATACGAATCACCCTCGGCCGTTCAGTCCCGTGCCATTGTCCAGATTTGCAAGGGTCGCGACACAATCGCCCAGGCGCAATCTGGTACCGGTAAAACTGCAACCTTTTCTATCAGTATCCTTCAGGTTATCGACACAGTTGTTCGCGAAACACAAGGTATATCTCTTGAGTCTGCTGTATATCAATGCTAACGAAATTTAGCTTTGGTTTTATCTCCTACCCGCGAACTTGCAACCCAGATTCAGTCCGTCGTTATGGCTCTTGGCGATTATATGAACGTTCAATGCCACGCATGCATTGGTGGTACAAATGTTGGCGAAGACATCCGAAAACTCGAGTACGGTCAACACGTAGTCTCCGGTACCCCAGGACGTGTCGCAGATATGATTCGACGACGCCATCTCCGAACCCGTAATATCAAAATGCTGGTTCTCGACGAAGCAGACGAGCTGTTAAACCGAGGTTTCCGTGAACAAATCTACGACGTTTACAGATACCTACCTCCCGCTACCCAGGTTGTTGTTGTTTCCGCCACTCTCCCATATGATGTGCTTGATATGACCACCAAGTTCATGACCGATCCCGTGCGTATTCTTGTCAAGCGTGATGAGTTGACTCTCGAGGGTTTGAAGCAGTACTTTATTGCTGTTGAGAAAGAGGAATGGAAATTCGATACACTCTGCGATCTTTACGACACGTTAACCATCACCCAAGCCGTCATTTTCTGCAACACGCGACGCAAGGTCGACTGGCTCACCGACAAGATGCGCGAAGCCAACTTCACAGTGTCGAGCATGCATGGAGAAATGCCACAGAAGGAAAGAGACAGTATTATGCAAGATTTCCGACAGGGAAATTCTCGTGTTCTCATTTCCACCGATGTCTGGGCTCGTGGTATTGATGTCCAGCAGGTCTCCTTGGTTATCAACTATGACCTCCCCAGTAACCGTGAAAATTACATCCACAGAATTGGTCGAAGTGGCCGTTTCGGTAGGAAGGGTGTTGCTATCAATTTTGTCACTAGTGACGACGTTCGTATTCTCCGCGATATTGAACTTTATTACTCCACCCAGATTGATGAGATGCCCATGAATGGTAAGCTTTCCTTTCTATCTTGGATTCTATGGAAGTCTGACTTGATCGCAAAGTTGCCGATCTATTGTCGTAAATCATTTGAGATGCGTTCTTGATTCGCAAATAAAAAATCTCACTTATGAAAACTTGAAAACCCCATCGCCGCACGAGGTTTCTCGCGACCAACCTCGCTCGGATGGGCCCTCGAGGTACCGAGTATTGGTTAATGAATTATGTGTGGAGGAAATGGGAAAAGTCCTAATAGTGAGTTACCACAAATTGCGCAGATATAACGCTCAGTAAGCTAACAAGCACTCGTCTTTCTCGAGAGCAGTGTACTACCAGATTGCTAAATCTAATATGCCCAACAAATTTTAGATTATACCCCTGGAAAATGAATGATTGTGTTATACCTTCTAAATTGCCAATTTTCAATGGACTAGGCGACACACATGCAAAGGATACGCGAGGAACATGGGTTTTGTCTTTTAGTATCGAAATCCGGCTCTTCGGACCTAATACATCATCCTAATAACAACCTCTCATATCCCAACGTTGCCATAGCTGACGACCTAACAAGTACCAGTCACTTTAAGCACTGCAACGTCATGCGCCTCCAACTGCACAGTATACTCCTTATGCACACATCCCAAATCTTTTCCAGTCCAAACGTCCTCAACCCTATACCGATTGGCGTGCTTACCCAGTTGCGGAATCTCGCTCCAGACGGCAGTCCTACTAGCTGCGACGTCCTCGGAATTGAAAAGTAGTACCAAGTTCCAGCCATGGGAGGTTGCGCCGGACCAATATTCGGGCGGATAGTGCGGGTTGTATGTGCCGTTGTTGTAGCCTTGTTTGTAGGGAAGAGCTGGTTTGCCGATTACGGGGTCTTGGTTGAAGGCGATGAGGTCGGCGTTTTTGAGAATGGAGAGGTGTGTCTCTGGAAGGGTTGACAACTATGGACGGTATTGATGTTAGACAAATTGAAAGAAGATGAGGCCAGCAGAGAAATAGAAGGAGGACATACGTCAGTTCCGATGATCAGAGGTGACTTCATGATTGCCCATAGAGCGAAATGGGCACGGTTCTCCTCGATTGTCAAGTTCCCATTGCCGACTTCTAGCATATCTGGGTCATTGTGGCCCCAGAAGTCGACACTTGACAGCTCATGGGCATTCATGTTGGCTATAGCAGTGATTCTATCCCATGTTGCTATTTCAGATATCATATCAGATTAGTTGTTCATCTTGCGGACTTTAGGGAATTCAGGACATACCGTTGATATCACCAGTTACTCTCCACGAATTACCAGTGCCATTACCCCAAGATGGAACATCGGCAGATCCCCATTCACACAACGAATACAAAATAACGCGTTGATCTTGTACAGAGACCAGAGCGTCTCTCATGATATTGAACCGCTTCGTGGTATTGGAAGTACTCCAGTCGTAGCCTGCAGGAGCTGGGTCTGCAAGGCCTGGACAAGTGCCGTTAGGGTTCACGCCGGGGTAATCACTGTCGGGGATACAAGCGTTGTACTCGTCATCCCATTGGGAGGGGTAGTTACAGTTGTCGTATTTGAGATCTACACCAGACAAGTCAGTCAGATCAGATCGTCTAATTTCTGATTTAGGAGCAGACATACAGTCAATACCCCATTCAGCAAAGGTCTGGGAATCGGTCGTCTCGTACCCGAGACTTGCTGGATAACCAGCACATGTCTCATAGCCAGCGCCTAGACAAAATGAGATCAGCATGGCATCTTTAAGCGGTGTATGGATTGTAAACATACTACTGTAGATACCAATCTTCAAACCAAGATCATGAACCTGCTGAGCGGTACCATTGATACCATTCGGGAAAGTGTCAGGATTCGGGATAATGCGGTTTGTAACATTATCACGGCCGGATTTGACAGACCAGCAATCGTCAACTAGTGTTCAGTCAGTGTCAATTGGTTTTCCAATTCAAGTTTGTGTTCAATTGATCACTCACTGTTAACGTATTTGTAGCCCAAGGCTTGTAGACCGCTTGTGTTGAGTTGCGTGGCAGCTGTCACGATCTTGGTCTCATTGACATCGCAACCGTAGGCGTTCCATGAGTTCCAACCCAGAGCTGGTAATCTTCCCTATTTTCAGAAATCATTGGTATCAAATAACTTTCGTAGACACCAGATAGGAAGGTTGGGCGTGTCACCCGTGAGGAATGTAAACCTACCACATTGTCTGGGAGTACCAATGCATTTGCACTCCTTAGAGCTAGCAGCAAAGCCGCTGCAGTTACACTACTTGACATTGTCTGTTCCAGTTCCAAGGCTTGACATGAAAGAGTCACGAATTCTCTTTGAGTAAGTATATACCCCCTACCAACCGTTGGTATTAACAGCCTCTCCAGGTGGGAAATTTTCACGCTTATATACACCCAGTCAGCACTGCTCAGCCCGGAAACAAATTGTCCGTGTCTCAATTGATCGCCATCATCAGTATGTGCTAGCACTTCTTCGTACGACATAGGCCAAGCCACCCTATCTAATTCGTGGGGTTAGCTGCAGATCCCTTGCTTATATTTGGCTAGGCTTTGAATGGAATTATCCGAGATCCTAGAAAATCAGGATACAAGCTGCGCGACCTCCGCACGTTGCGGAGATCGTTCCCATTTCGCGGTGATCGATTGGATCGTTGGCAATTATTGACTTGGGGTAATGTAACTCTGTAACGGTAGTATACGTGGATTATGAATCTGAACGAATCATATGAGCGAAATAGCATGGATTTTCATGAAGAATACATAGTAGACTAAAACCACATGTGTCCAATTATTCCTGACCTTGCCAGTTGGGCCACGGACAAAACGGCCATTGTGAGGCCTAAAAAGGTAACTAGCCTAGAGAATGTACCTAAATCCCCGAACAGTGACGCCATTTCGCTCCTCTTGTTCATCCAGTTTCTTATTCTCCATCTTGAGGACAAAGCGAATGATGATTGCCATAACGGCACATCCACAGCAAGTACAAGCCAACACAACACCGGCCACGACATACTTCGGAGCCTGCGAGTCTGGATACAGGTAACTTCCATAGATACTAGATGCATTTCCGAACATACCACAAATGGCCACGACAACAGATCGTTTAGCCAATGGACGAGCAAAAGTAGATGTGATCCAGGCGAGGATGAGTTGGAATGGCGGCAAGACGCCGATAGGCAAGAGGTACATGGCGAACATGCGTGCGCCCAGGTTGTTGGTTGTGATCATGATGATGTTTCCGATGGCGCCGACGAGCATGCAGCATGCGATGTGTATGCTACGTTCTTTGGTGCGAGAGGAGTGGTAGGATACAAGGAGGACGACGATGAAGGTGGCGAACCAGACGGGAACGGTGAGAAGAAGGGTGGTGGTGTTGTTGTAGCCGAGGGATTTGACAATTGATGGGAAGAAGTATCTGTTGAAAGAATGTCAGCAAATTGTGCGCGTGCGCGTCGACAGGGGATTTGAAAGAGAGACACACGTGAAAGACTGCGACAACAAGTTCAGATGATGCATTATCATGAACAAGTATAGCTTCCAATCCTTGAATGCCATTCGTACAGCTTGCATAGGAGTAATAGCATATCGATCATCAATCTCACCGGCGGCGTCTTGCGCGAGACGCCACTCAGCATAGTGCTTTTCTTCGATGTTGAGCCAACGGGTTGTGCTTGGGTAATTAGGCATGATCCACCTATTTTCGTTAGTAGAGTGTCATATGGTCAGTTTTCAGCGTGAAATAATACATAGCAATCAAGGCAATACCAACTGTTGCACTGCCTTCGATGATGAACAACCACCTCCAACCGGCAAGACCATGTGCACCGTTGAGATCTGCAAGGACACCAGCTGCGATGAGTCCGCCGAACCTACAAACGGTTAGTCTAATGACCTCCAGATTTCGTCTATGTGTTGTGAAGAACATACATATTGGCAAGCGCAACACCAGCATACAGAATACCGATACGATGCGCAAGCTCGTCAGCTCGGTACCATGAAGACATCAAGAAGATGCATCCCCTAATGAGGTTAGCAATGACATACATCTAGATGTACAAATAAAATCATACGAGAAGAAAGGTGCTTCGGCAGCACCCAAGAACAAACGACACAAGAGCTCGCCGACATAGCTCTTGGTTGTTGACTGCAGGGCCGAAATTGTACCCCTATCATGTTTAGTAGAGTTTCGTCCTATTTGAACCTAGTATTTTGATCGACGTACCATAGAGCCATCATACCGCAAAGATATAGCGCTGGTCGGACGCGGGTGAGGAGAAGGTTGGACGGAAGTTGGAACAGAATGTAGCCCTATATCCATCGATTAAGAGGAATTCCATACGAGACAGATCGAACCTATACATACAATGAACAAAATAGATGTAATGGTGTTATACTCGGTGCCTTTCAGGCCCAAATCTTTTGTAAGCGTTCCTAGTTTTGCCTGCGCCAACGCACTATATCACGAGAGTCGTTAGCAAGCGTCTTCAAAGTCACAAAATTTGACAAAAGTGAATTAGTGGTTTTAAATACTTCCGATCCAAGAAATTCGTCAAATACATCAACACAACCCATGGCAACAAATGCAGGTCAATCTTCATAAGTAGCTTCCTGGTTGCTCTCTTGTGCCATTCAGTATCCCGCGACGCGAACTCGATAGACATTGCCTGTCTCTCTGCATCAACGCCCTCGAGACCTGCCGTCGAGAGCTCGACATGGCACGTTGGCTCAACTTTCTCGCTGGCTTCCATCTCAGTCGTCGTTATTGTAGTCGAGAGTAAGAGTGTGGGTGAAAATGTGCCGTAGATACTTATTTGCCACACCTACGTTCGCAAAATCGTCGACGAAAAACCTTGAAAACTGAAGAGTCGTCTCGTCTCTATTTCAAGGATTTGCCATTTCATAATATCTCTCCCCACGGGGCTCTCTCCGCATACCGTCCCAGGCCTGTAATTGTCCAAGTATTTCACACGCTAATGCTTAGGCATGTTTTCTTAAAAGAATTGTGACCCGTTACTATGGGGGATATTCGCCGTCGGATAGCTTCCCGATCCCCGCCCCCCATAGGGCTTCTCTCCGATGAACCTTAAGCAGGACTGGATAAGGACGAAAGCGTCCAAATTAGACGACAAAGTTCGTTTAAAAGAGGAGAAAATAGCCCAGAACATCGAAAAAAAGTGGTAGAGGAACGCGGGGTCGGCTGTTGAGACGAAAGAAGACCGGGGTAAGTCGCTGTTGGAAGGGATAGAATGCTAAGTGCCTAGCAATTCAGTGTCATTGACAAAATCATCCTCTCCTCTTGCTCTTTCCATTTTCACCAGTCTGATAGCGTGTCGAAAAATGAAAGGAAGATATGTTAAGTGTCTTGAAAACCTGACAAGCAGGTGACTGTGATGGCTGGAAGGCGAGCGATTAGGGTTAACTGTGGGTGCCTGAGGCAATGGCACAAAACATTTCGCACGCCCTAGTCGAGGAACCATGGGGATATTGCAGACATGCTCATATATATTGAATCTCTTCGTTATAGAATACTTGGTTGAGTCTCTCTTACTACTTCTAGGAAGCTCATAGCCCATTAAAAATTAGGTGAATAGAACAAATCGTCAATTAGGGCAAAATACCATTGTCTTCCTGGATTGCAATTTGTAGGTTTCGTAGTTCCATAAACATTCTCAATAGATAGGCTGTTCTCATAAAAGTTTACTAGAAACTACCAAATGTAATGGAGAAGACTCTTGTAAAACTAAAAAGTTTCATACGGTCCCATATGAGGGTACATATTTACTTACGCATGTTGGTGGATAAGTCATGTCTGTGTAGCGATAGATATGTATATCATTCATTCAATCTATTGATCCTACTTCATTTCCCTCACAGATATACCTGCCAGCAACGGTATTGAACAAAATTTATTTTATTGTTTAGATATACTGTATTACAATTGAATCTAAATTTAGTTCATTTCAATCAACCTTACAACCGTCTCGTATTATCATCACTGCATGAATGTATGACTGAAGGCTACAAACAACAACCTCGAAAAACCGGCCGACTATCACGACGCCATTAGCAGAGGACTTTGCCTATGCACACTTTACTTAGATGGACAATTGGCCAGCTCGATACCGAGCAAGTAAGTCGCCAGAGTTTTCTATCTCGTTATGCGCAAAGCACATGCGCAAGAACTGAACCATATCGGCAGCTGGTCATCGTCAGCAACTTTCTAAGCATCATTCGTGCGAAGACAAATCAGGAACATTACTACGGTACTTACGTGACATTCTTGGCCCGGTCAAATCGTTTTCATCTCGTCCATTCATGCGCGTATACTCAAGAACTTTCTCAACTCTAGACCTCCGAGCTAATTCATACAGTCGTAGACGCGCTGGAATATCATCGATCGTAGTGTCTCGCGGGAGTAGAATGGCTATACTTACTGCATCTTCAATAGCCATTGCACCTCCCTGACCCATGTCTAAAGTTTTCAGTTCTGGTTTGACGACAATATAAGTAGTGCAACTCACATGGTTGAAATGGGTGTGCTGCATCCCCGATCAGAGCTGCCCGACCTTTGACCCAGGTCGTGAGTGACCCCATATCGTATAATTGCCACACCTTGAGGTTGTCTTCGGCAAGATTGATCAATTCACGAACCCTTGGCGAGAATTGGGCGAAGCTTTGCGCCAATGCGTCTTTGCTTCCGGTTATTTGCCATCCTTTTTCTTCTGAACAGTTATAAATTTAGTCAAAGTCGGCTTGAAACCCGATGCCTATGTTTTATATTGTATTCCGGGGTTGGAGATGATTTGACTCACCAGACATATCTTGTACGCCCGCTTCAGCTGTTGGTACAAATCCGGCGAGATTAAAGACTGTATTGTCAGAACAGGGATAGGCAACCAATCTCCGGTCATCAGCAGCCCATTCAATAAATACTCCGGGCTTCTGAACAAATTCCCGGGTGTATTCTGATTGCGCCAATGACTGGACTGGGATTAGCCATCGGAAGCAGGCTTTTCCCGTGGGATAAGGGTTAGCGGAGCCCGGAGCGATATGAGATCGAAACGTGGACTAGATAAAACTTGCAGATTAGTAATTGATTTCATAATGCATTCTGGGGGATAAAATGCTGGCGTACATGAGCTCCATCAGCGCCGAGGAGAAGGTCAGCCGTAAACTCTCTGCCATCGTCAAGAATGACACGACGGTCTTCCGTATTCACGTCGACAATCTTGCAGCCGGTGTGAATGACAGTCGTCTCTAATGCAACCCCTTTTAAGTGGTTGTGCAAATCGACTCGATGAACTAAGTACCATTCCTGTATCGATAGATAATGTCAGCGTATGTTGCTACAGCCATGAAGGAAATGCTAGATCGTACACTTTGCCATGCTTTCCTCATTTCTGCAAAATCCTTAATGTATTTGAGGTCACCCTCATGACGGTATCTATGCATCTGTTGCTATGAGTGAGCATCTTAATCACAACAATGGGAATTTTCAAGATACCTCTCGAAGCAAGGTACCCCCGAAATCCTCAGGGTTAATATCCATCCATGTCAACAATGCTGTACAATTAGGTGGCAGATGTATAGCAGCACCAGTCTCTTTTGCAAAACGAGACTTTTCAAGGATCTTAAATTTTACGTGGCATTAGAGTCGAGCTTATCGGGAATTGCGAGCAGGTTGCACTGACCACAACATCATGACCCTGTTTTCCCAATGCAATGGCTGCAGAGAGGCCGGCAATACCAGCGCCTATAATGATCACTTTCAACGGTGGTGATATACTCTTAGAATTCATTGTTCTGTAGTGCTTGTTTTCTTGTTTTGCTCGCTTTCTTGCGATTTTTGCCTTTGTGGGTAAGATCCCATTGTGAACATATTGGTATCCGTGACATTTGCTTTTTAAAAGAGAAATGTTTTATTCCGTACCGGTACATCCGATTGCATTAATCTATAAATAGACTTTATTCACGTAGTATGGATATTGAGAATCTATTACAGGGTATACTAGCCACTGGGAGGGCTAGAATTGACAGGCTTGGTACGGGAGGCTGGGTCGCTGAATGTGCATCAAATGTGGCCAATGGATATGGAAGCTTATTAGATGAACGCCATCTTGGAGATCATTCCTCAATTGACTCTTATTCGCATGATTAGACATATTTTGAAGTCACCCCCACGTATCTGCAAAAACACCCGATGTAGCTCGCCTTTCAGGGCTGCGGCTTTCGGTATCGGTATCCAAATCGAGGAGTATCTGAGATCCAGCTATAGCCAAAGTCCAAGCTGATACTTGTATGAAATATCTTACTTGTTGGATAAGACCGAGTGGTTGGACTTGAAATAGAATGTACTAGCCTAAGATGGAAGGTAGTACACGGGGTTGAGGTCGCTTGTTTCCCTCTTGGGTTGGCCTTACTTTAATTGTGGTATCATGCTGATTGGGCCTGATAGCTTGCATCATAACTTCTAGGAAGATTGTAAGACCAGTTTAAGATGGACCCCTCGTGGAAGAAGACTTAATCGAGTAGTAACATGTCACACATTTAGTACCAAATTGCAAGAATGTAGCCGTGACAATTTGTCGAGAGGTATTTAGGTCTGAGATTCATCTGAATTATCCTACATTCAAAATTCTTCCTCAAGCTTATGTACACCAGAATTCCTTGTCAAGCGTCTCAACTTCTGTCCCCATAACCAAAGAGGCAGAGCAAGTAATAGAGGACCAGCTGTTAGTGCCAATTGAATCATTGTAGGAACAATTATACCCTGAGATGTAGTGAGCTGGGGAACCCAGTAGCTCATACCAAATCCGCATGTGTTTTTGATCACCGTCGCGACAACCATAATCTCTCCAGCAATGGGCTTGTAGCAATCGACAGCGTAGGCTACGGCAATTGCTGGTGTAGCAGTGATACACATGCCGCTTATACCGTAGCCAACAACGACAAGGACAGGCCAAGACCATGAATTCTTCTCTGCAAGTCCACCTATTGTGACGGCAATTATTGTTAGGAAAAAATAAGGGATGAGAGCAGGCAAACGCATCTCAGCTTCGCGTACACCGTTGTTGCGAATGGTAGCTCTCTGAGCAATCCAGTCGGAGACAGTGCCCCCTGTAGCAAGGCCTACGAGACCGCCAACCATGAAGGCGAAGTTGGAGTATCCGACGGCCGATACACTGAAGTTGAACGGTGGCGCGCCGAGAATTGATGATTCTGTGATATTCCAATACAGAAGTAGATTGGCGTAACCGCCCACAGTTATGCCCGCCCAGATGATAATTGGGAAGAAGAAAGCCTTTCCAGAGAAAATTATGTCCTTGAATATCAGCGACTTCCACCGCGCATCAGGTCGAGCAATCAATTGGAATTGACTTTTAGTAGGCCGCCCGGTTCCGATGACGTTCGACGAAGCGCTGTATTCGATCTCATGCGGCGAGGGTGGTTTGTCCAGTCCTTCCTCTGGTGAAACGGTAGGCGTTGCCACTACGGTGGGCAACTGGTTGGTACGGTGATATCTTGTCTCCGGGAAGAAAATAATCAGTGTTATGATATTAAGCAGAGATAGCGCCATAGAGAGCCAGAAGAAGCTGCGCCATCCATGTCTGGGAACGATAAGTTAGTGTCTAAATAAATATTACGTTAATAAGCATTGACTTACTTGGAAGCAATCGCTCCAGAGATAATGGGACCGACAAATAAACCAAGAAAATACGTGCAGCTAGTGATAGCAAAACTATCAGCAAGAGGTAATCCGTGATAATAGTGTACTCACAAGTAGACGCCCATCCAAACACCTCGCTCGTGGAGAAAGAACACATCACAAATAACTTGCACCATAAGTGTTTCACTCGTAGCCGTCGCAATGCCGTTGACAATTCGTGCCCCAATAAGTATAGAGTACGATCCAGCTCGAGCCTCCCAGATACAACTGCCAGCGCCGAGCATGGCCATGATAATGCAGGTAAAGCGACGACCAAAGATGTTCGAGATGGGGACGATGATAAAATTGGCATATCCCAAGGCAAGAACACATGATCCAGTGATCAGATTGAGCTGGGTCTGTGATAGGTTCCATTCCTCTTGAAGCAGCGGGAACATTGGTGCCATGGAAAGAGCCGAGGCGACTGTAACCCAAGTGTATATGATTTGGACGCCAATAGTAATGTCTGGATAGATTACAAGTCAGAATGTACCTGACTATAGGTCAATAGTCTCGAGGAGCAATGCTCACATTTCCAGGTCAGCGTCCAGTTGAGAGGATCGTCGGCATTTTCGGATGGATAGGGGATAAGGCTATGACGAACGATGGATTGTCAGTATGCTGCCGTACAATCGCAAAGAAAAGCTCGTAATCATCGTTTGTCTTGGTCATTATATGGTACAGAGGAGGGACAGACATACACTTGGTGACTCTTGGGGCCATGGACAAAGTGAATCTTGCCAACATCTCTCATGATCTCTGTGCCAGGGATGTGCTCCATGAGGATCGTGTCAGGAAGCGCTTCTTCCATTATGAGAACTGCCTTTCAAACCGTTCGGGTATGATAATAAAGTTATAGAGAAAAGAGCTTGCGAACAGGATGTATATTGAGAAGCAATAAATTCTTCTCGAAACCAGGGTTTTCTGGACCATAGATGTGTGCCTAAGGGCGCGTGTAGCTAATTATATAATGTCAATACCTAAAGAGCCCAGACCACGTCTTCCAGATGTCCCCAGTGTAGGATTCCCCCGGATTCCCCAGGTAATGGCGGGCCATATTCCGTACTTCGTACTTCCCGACCTTTCCCCGACCACTCATTTCGAAGTGCTTCCCCAGATTTCCTATCGGTCCAGTTCCCGGCTGCGGGACAACATGCAAGATACTTAAACCAATGACTTCTTCATATGTAAAATCTCTCAAAGGCGATAGTTTTATAAACCGGGCATTCATCATTGGCACACTCCTTTTATCGTCTTTGCGGGACAAAACTTTCTCTACGCGGGACAGAAGCACTTTGCGGGACAGAAATGGCCAATGGTTTGTCTATCCCAAACCACCAGACGGCTCTCTGGGTGAACAACCCCGGCCCTCAGGCAAAACTTGAGCTTCGCAAAGACGTGCCCGTGCCGACATTAAAATCAAATGAAGTACTTGTCAAGATAGAATATAGTGGCTTATGGTACGGTACACTCAATCGATCCCACCGTACCAGACTTGAATAAGATCGTATACTCACCTCTGGTGGGACTATGCAGCCACTCCGATGTTTACAATATATCTGGCGCCCATCCCATGGATGTCCATATTCCTGGTCATGAAGGGATTGGTACCATAGTGAAACTCGGAAGCGACGTGGGCAATGAGCGTGCACTCGGCCAGCGGGTCGGGATCAAATGGATTCACGAGACATGTGGTGATTGCGAAATCTGTGAACGTGACTCGACTGCATGCCCTAATCAGCACAACTCTGGCCGCGATAGGCCTGGCACGCTGCAAGAGTATGTCACAGTTCCGGCAAAGCACGCTTCACCTATTCCAGATGGAATCAGCGGTCATATAGCGGCGCCCCTGCTCTGTGGTAAGACGATATCTTCCTGCCCTTTCGATTGTCACAGATGCTCATGTCGAACGCGTAGCTGGCTTGACAATTTTCTCTGCTGTAAATAAGACAAATATACGGGAGGGTGACTTTTTGATCATTACTGGCGCTGGTGGAGGTTTAGGTCATATGTGAGTTCGATTCATACTGTTTTTGGTATATGACTTGAAACCTGACTGTTGTCCTCAGCGGAGTCCAAATCGCCAATCGACGAGGTTTCAAAGTCATTGCGATTGATGCGTTCGTGATCCCCGGAACTTGATACATTCGTCTCTGAATCTTGTGCTGACTCTGGTCACTGTTTGTAGTGAAAGTAAACGACAATTTTGCATCGACAACGGTGCGCAGCATTTTATACCATTTACGCATCCGAGAATCGAAGACGAAATGCAAAAAATAACTGGCTGCGGCGGCGCGCACGCTATCATATGCTGTGCGGGTGCAGAGACGGGCTATAATCAAGCTCCTCGTCTACTCCGTCGAGGAGGCACAATGGTTTGCGTCGGCCTGCCCGCCAACACAGCTTATAAGATTCCAATTGGACCCTTTGATATGGTCGTGCAGGGCCTTAGAATCGTTGGAACGTCAGTGGGGACGGAAGCAGAGCTACAAGAGCTACTGGCTCTAGCTGAGAAGTGCGATATCCTTCCAGTCACACATGTCTTACCTTTAGAGAAGTTTGAAGAGGCGATAGAGGCTGTGAAGACATCTGCCATTTCTGGGAAAATGGTTCTGAGAATGGCCTCCTAGTTGTTGTCGGTCCAAATTTGATTTAGTATCGGTAGGTATTTTTACCTTACGATAGATAGCCATGTAAACCGGGTAGCCATCGGATTGATGGATACCTACCCGGTAACCTTGGTAAATGATCCGAGACTTCCCCGCAAGGATCGCTTTCAATAGGATCGGCGTATTGGAGTACTCCAGTGGTGCGAATAACATAAGTCTATAGCCCCTTTCATGCATAAATTGGCATTCTATTCGAACGTAGTGATAATGAAGAACCCGTATTGGGAGCAAGAGGTAGGGCATGGATGCTGTAACCCTAATTCGCAACGCGTAGTAGTGATTAATCTACACTACGCTACCATGAAAACGTCGAATGGAATAGGAGTCGACTTCATAATCTACTTCACTATTGAGCTACGGAGCGAGACTGTAGAAAAGCATCTAAATCCCCCAGCATATTTTCCGAATACCAATGCGCAAGTTGCTCGTACTCCTTCCAGCAAACATCGACACCCAAATCCTTCAAACAACTTGCCGCCTTTCGCCCCAGCCAAACGTCTACTCCATCATCCTCAACGCCATGTCCAAGGAAAACAGGAGTTCTTTTGAGCATGTCCGACTTTGAGCGAGCAGGAATGTCGAGTTCCTCTCTGAGCCACTCAACCGCAGTGTTAAAGGCATCCTGAGCCTTGTCTTCTGCATTATCATCTCGTTCGAATAAATCATCCTCGTCAGTTGAAGCTACATCCTGCATCCTCCCCGCAAAAGGAAGCCAGCCACACATGCCAACCACGGCACCTAGATCATCACCTTCCCATAACAAAGCAGCAACGAGCGCGGCCGCACAGCCTTGACTCAACCCGCCAAGAATCACACTGCCGGCACCCCCGGGAACCATTTCGATTTCCCTTGCTATCAACGTGTGTAGGTATTTTGTGGTTTCCTGAAGCCCCGGGACCTGAAGATGCTCACGCTCTTGTGCCGGTGGGTCGAGTTTCCAATTGTTGAACCATTGGTGCGTCAGTGACCGGTTGTAGACGTGTGCACGGCTTAGCGGTGCGCTGGGAAACACGAAGTGGGCATGCGGAAACCTGGTGACCAGGGTATCACTGCCATTGGGGTTTATTGCATGCGTGAGGAGATCTGGGCCAAATTCGGGACCACTGCTTCCTCTGCCGTGCAGCCAAATTAACGTTTGTTTCAACGGTTGTTTCAGAGGGCCAACCACAAGTGGTTTTGGAAAACGCTGTTTGGCAGACATTGATTGCTACAAGAGGTGATCCACTATTACATCTATACAAAAAAGCGTCTGACCTAGTCGTATATTTGACTAACTAGGTGGCACTCCGAGGGACACGACTTATGCGTGGGGTATCGAAGCTGCGGGAAAAATACCACTAGAATCGAAGATATCTCCTAGTGTGTACAGCTGGTCGATACCGAGATTATTATTTCTTTTTGGCAAATGGACGGCTTTCTGTAATTGGCGCCTCATAATGTTGTACAACCCGTACTATCTTTTAAATAATCCGTACTCCGTAAAGATTAGAACCATACTACATAGCGAGTGGACGGACTGAGAGTTCCGCAAATCATGTTCGTCCAAGTAAATTGATGTATGTGTTTCTGTCACTTTTCTGAGGTTTCACGTCTAGCAAGCCAGTAAGGGTGGCAGCTGGATTTTGTCGTGTTTTTGACGCATCAATGAAGTTCGCCACTAATAGGCGCCCATAATGCCGATGAACAACCGGCAGGGATTCTGACTGACCTATCCCTCTATTTGCTAATTATCAATCTGTTATTCCAAGTCCAGTTCCAGACAGAAACTCCACGGACTATAGATAGCGCAGGATATCTCTCATCGTCGCTAATTAGCTCGACAAGAACAGATCCACCTCACAAGCAGCCTCATCCTGTTGATAATAGAGCCATCAGACCTAAGAACACTCCAAAAGAGCGGACTTCGTTCAGTAATTTAGAAAGATTCCAAACATCCCCAGCTATGGCTTCTGATTCTTCTTCTTCTTCCCGTCTTGCGTGACAAGCTCCATGGCGATGGAGAGTACTGATTCAAGGGACTCGCCGTCTTGGATAGCCTGAACGATTGAATGACTGGCGCTGCTATTACCGTCAATGCGTAGGCCTTCCAGCAAAAGCTCGATTTGAGAATGAATTCGATGGATATCAGCGTCGAGGCTACTGTCGCCTTGGCTCTCCGTACCTCCAGATTTGTTCTTCTGTTCGAAATTACCCAATTAGTTCGCACATCCTTTACTCGGGTTTGAAATGGGCATAATACCTCGGGTTCTGATGCCATTGTGTTATAATCTCTGCCAGGTCGCTCTCCGTAAGCGTGCGAGATAGTAAGTAGTTTCCATTGCGAAGGATAAAAACTAACATCAGCACGCCGGTGTTCAACCAATTTAGGCAAATAGGTGTATGTGGTTGTGTCCAATGGATTCTAGTAGTTGTTGTCTGCGTTGCAACCTGAGTGGCAAAATATACAATTACAGCGAGACTCGGTCCTGCACATGGATTAAGCCATTGAACCAGTAAGCAAAAAATCTGCAGCAATTTGCATGGTGGTTTCAAGTCAGTGCTCGGATGCACGTATGCAAGCCAGCCGTGAAGGCTAGAAAAGACCCTGCAAATAGACCTCTGCAAGTCCCATGGGAGTTCTATGGACTCCCATAAATTATTCTCACTTTTATTTTCATATTAAATTTTATACTATCAGTATATATTGAAATCTTATTATTTATGTTATTTTAACTAAAACCAAAAATACCTGATATTTTTCTAGTATTACGAAGTGAGTACACACCGTATTGTAGGGTTAGGGTTGCTAATGGGCGTGGTCCCATGGGACTTGCAGAGGTCTATCTGCAAATGACGTCGCATGCTACCTCCGTAAACATGACCATTTTAACAAAACGACATCTGGATCAGAAGTGCTTTTGATCAGAATGAATTATCAACAGATTCAGGAAAAAGTTGACGAGAACCCCTTGATCGATGCCATGACATCATCACGACGAGATGTCTTCTACGACGTCAAGTCTGAACATCCCCTATATAAACCTCACCTTCCTTGTTGCCTCTATGATCGAATGTAAAGAATGCAATCTTCCGTCGAGCTGTCTCTATTCCTCGCCAGTTGCCATAGCACAGACCCACCATACGATCATCCGTATCTGCCATTACACAATATTCAAGTCGCCAATTCCACGCGACACATCAATTACGAACCAGCAAATCTCCAGGAGAACAAACCACCAGAATGCGCGACGACGCCAAAGACAACCCAGTGTCCAGCTCGAACTCGCACCTGGACACCTCATTCGGCGACGACCCATCCAGCCGGCACATGCACGGAGACGACTCCTGGAAGTTCCGAGCACCATACCAAATCCAGAAAGACGACGAATTCGGGCCCGTGAAGTGGGAGGCGATGTGTCACTGCGGGAATGTGCAATACCAGATCAAGCAGGAGCGTCCGTTGGCGGCAAAGTATTGCCATTGTCGAGCTTGTCAGGTTCTCCACGGTACGTCCCAAGACTCAAAAGGCTCAACGAGCCGAATGCTAATAATATCCTGCCAGCTGCACCGTTCCAATGGTGCGCCATCTTCCGCAAAACCGACATTCGATTCAAAAAAGGCACTGACTCACTCATGTTCTACTCCTCGCACGAAAAGAGTAAGGAATATCAAGTACCCACAAAAGTGTACTGCTCAAACTGTAACTCGCCCATCATGGATGAGGGACGGAATATGTGTTTGATTTTTCCCGAATTGATTGATTTGGGGCAGACGGAGGAGGAACATTTGGTTCGGAGGAAGGTTTTTGAGATTGAGTGCGTCCTTTCCTTCCCCCTTTACCTTCTGTCAGTTTGGACATTAATACTGACAGGTCAACTTGAAGTTGCCATATATTTTATAGCAGGCGACTCGTGGAAGTACACGATGGAAAGCCGAAGTGGTCTGAGTTGGATGAAAAGAGTGATCGGCTGAATGATGATGGGCATAAGCTGTAATTCACGTACATATGGACGCCGTTAGCAGAGTCGTGCATGAACTCTGCTACATATATTTGTATCCATGTGGATAAACGAAGCATGATACCATTGTTGCAAATTTTGCTTGCTAAGTATTTCTATCATACACTTTGCGATTTGGTCAAATATCAGACATTGTTCACACTAATACGTGGATGGATGCTGATCGCGTCCTGTACCTTCAACGGCTCGTTGACATGGATTGTGTACCTAGGTGTGCCTCACATGTCACGTCGAGATGTAACTTATCCCCGCCACGTCTTTATTAAGTAAATTTCTACTGCACTTACACAGCAATGCGAATCAAATCCATCTTTTTTCATACTCGAAATCTAAAAATGGCACCGGGATACATGTACATGTATAGATCAGCGAATTCTACTAGGGATAATAACAGTACTCTGTAAGGCGTAGGTCAAAATCCAAGTACGAACGTACAACTCCTCTTTTGATCTTTTCTTCAGAATTTAGAAGATGCAGATCATCTGCAGCCTAACCATGAGAACGTAACCTGGGAGCATGGCCTGGTCGCCTGACCCCATTACTCAGAATAGACTCAAGGCATTTTCACATGATTTTCTTCAATCATAATACTTGTATATCGACGAAGAAGTAACTACTTAGTCGCACGCATCGTCAGCAATAGCCATCTTGATCTACAATCAATCATCAAGAACCCTATGAAGGCATTCCCTGTATCTGCAGTATCATTGGCGGCCCTTCGATGGTGGAGGGGATGTCGCAAAAGCCCTAACCACCATCGCATGTAACATCACTAAAGACCCGAACAGCTAGCATTTTCTACATTGGTACTTGCCAAGACAGACCTACAAACTGAAGAATCTATCAGATTGAGCCTTGGGATCCAATCACTCGGTTTGGCGATACACATGTGCCCCTCTTTATTTTGAAGAAATACCTAAATTTCATCATTACGGTGGTACCTGTCGTTCCATGGAGACACCGATAGCCTCCCGGTGGCTCGTTAGTGCACACGGCACAAATAGCTGACGTGCAAGTTGACTGGGTCATTTCGATAGGCCATCCTGCTGGTTCGCCTGATGCCGTACATCTGCTACGTGCTACAGGGTAAGATTGGCCCGGCGCCGAACTACAAAATGGACTGATTTTCTTCCTCTTTGGCCTTTCCCGGCAATTCGCGAATCTGTAATCAGTCATACTGTTCAATCGTCAGTTAAATCAACTTGAATAGTTCACGATGGTTCTTCGGTCTACTGTGATAGCCGCCTTGGCTTCGACTGCCTTGGCCGTCACCTCCATCAGCGATGATGAGATGACCACCTATCTAAACGACGGCGCTGTCGACCTCGCCTACAACTATGCGCCCATGTGGTTTTTTGGGCAGGCAATGGATGAGGCCCCTTGTTATCCTGTCTGGGCGTTCGGTGGCAATGTCTCGACGCCGGATATTTATGATCCCGCAGATCATACTCCCCTGGCACCTCAATGCGAATACCCAGATGTTGGATGTGGTTGCCGCCAGCCTGATGTACCTATTAACAATCCTGGGCCTGCGTTCCCGATTTATTACACTTTCGAACAGTGCAATGCCACCGAAGTTCGTGTCGTCTATAACCTATTTTATCAGAAGGATGGCGCCGAGGTGGCTGATGTCATTGACACAGGCCATGACTAGTGAGAATAATCCCCATTTCAGTCTGTGCAGGCTTTGAGGTTCAAAAATGAGCTGACACGTTCTTGTAGCGACTGGGAACGAGTAATCATCATCCATTCCAAGGATACAGCCAGCAACACTTGGGCTCCAAGTCGAGCATTGCTTTCAGCTCACAGTGGATATCATGACCTGGCATGGGGCGACATACAAAACACCCTAACCACAGATCAAGTCAACGCCGGCGATGCAATCAACCCTAACGGTGTCCAGAACAACGATCACCCAAAAGTGTACGTGTCGTGGTCCAAGCACGCCAATTTTGACACCCGAAATACTGGGTGGAATGACCCAATCAGCCAGTCAACAGATAATGCTTTCCGAAGCGAGGACTGGTGGCACTTTGTCGATGCACAATATTATGTATGGCCAATCCTTATGTCTCCCTGCCTGAAAAGCCACTCTGTTAATGTTCGAACTCGAATAGATCCGCTCAGATAACTCGMCCGCCGCAGGCCAAGCCTTGGGGTCAGTGGATTGGGGCAGTGCCAGTAGCAACCCCCCATCGGTTCAAGCAACTCTTTGTACGCAACAAGCCTTGATAGCTCAAGCTGTGAAGAACAGCTAAGTATTGTGAACGGTTTGACTCAGTTGGCGAACGCTCTTTGATCGAGATGCCTTGTATATAGAAGATTGTCGAACATGCCTCAAATTTTAACTTTCGACTTAATGTAGTTTAAATGACTTAAGAATTGATGGCATATGACGAGTAGTCAGATCTGAGCACCAAGCACCTGCAGATTCATGGCACGCATTGGCCATCTGTATCGAGGTGCAGATTCCAAGTGTATATTCGTATGACGCATTGATCACGGGGATTGTCATCGTTCCAGACGAGTACGCAAGCGTACTTGGTAAACTGAATCTGGAATGATGGCAGCGAATCGATACAGTGGGTCATTGTTATCCACGCCTCAGATTTGTAGTCTGCTAGCGATATTAAAGATCGCATATCTTCCACGCCTAGAGTCAGCCACACTTTCTATCTTCGGGCGGTCGCGACGGTGCAATAGTGGCAGAGCCGAGTGTTGAAACATCGATTATAGTATGAGTTGTTCCACTGTTTCAAGATTGTGGAGATCTTGGCCACGAGCTTGACGTGGCTGTGCATTGCATACGACATATGTAGGATTCGAGGAAATTGTACGTGCCGAGAGTGCTTTGACCGACGCGGTAGGGTCTAAGATAACGAGCAGTGATCGGCGTCCGTGGAGCGTGCGACCGGTATGTAGTTCGATGGCGTAATCTTAAACAGTGAGCACTAGTCATAGCGATAGAAGAGCCGTAATCAGGGTGATGTTCGTGACGGATATCACTACAGAGGACTTTGTTGATTTGAGGAAGCCAAAGGATGAAACGGTGATAAATGACGGAAGCTGCGTGGCTGGGCTAGACTGCCTGACTAAGACTCTTCGGGCAGAGTGGCCCGCCGCACGTGCCACTCCACGCCATCGACTCACTCTTGCTTTTTTTGATCTTCGTCATTCAATCTCCTCCTTTCTCTTTACATTTTCTTCTTCGACGTCTCTACGACTTCTTCTCGACGATTATTCCATGATCCCTCTCTCACTGTCAATCGACTTGCCGACTGCTTCCTTGGCGACCTCAGACCTGCCTATGTCGCCGTTCGTACTCGCATATTCCATCTCCGAGGCCCTTCAACAATCAACATGAGATCTTTTTCGATCCAATTGAAATCGAAGCACGGAATAGCTGCTTTGAAGGAATAACATAAACTACTGAAACTCTTGACTTTAGCGCCAGAGTTGAGATCTTTTGAAAATTGATTTCTGGCTACCGATTCCAAGCAGAAAGCAATTCAACGTCACCGAAACGCTAACACATCTGACCAAAATGGAGATCCCCCGCGTCAAAAGCACTACTCGTTTCGGTGCTTCGGTGCTCAAACATCTCCAGACATTTTTTGGAATCGTCCTTGCAAACGTCGCCTTCATGCACGCAAAGATACCGTATCTTCGGGAAATCAAATACAACTTCATCACTTTCCATTATGTTTATCTTATAACATGGACTTTTATTGGATCCATTGTACTGTCTGCTAGCGGTAGTATACCGTACATTGATGCCTTGTTTTTCTCTTCCGGTGCTGCAACACAGAGTGGGCTCAACACCATCGACGTGAATTTATTACCGACCTATGTCCAGGTTTTCCTGTACATCATAACCATGTGGTGCAACCCGATCGTCATTCATACGTTTGTTGTCTTCGTTCGTCTTTACTGGTTTGAAAAGCGGTTTCAGCATATCGTTAGAGACGCCCGTGCTCTGCGCCGCACAAGGACCAGGACTTTTACGACTGGAAGGGAGCAGCAGGATGCTAATCGGGAGGAACAGGGTATCCGGGGACAGTCAATTGTTGTCCTACGAAATGAGCAGGGCGAGGCTCGTGATGGGGTCGAGGATAGTCACAAAGCGGAAACAGATGCCAATTCCGAAACGGGATCGTCCAACTCAACCTCTAACGACCGTCGTGGACCAGAGGAATCTCCTCAAGTAGGCCCACCATCTCCCCTGACCGATACCGAGGGCATGCGTCTACCCACCCAGCGAAGTCCAGAACATCACATCGCTTTCCTAGAGCATCAGCGAACGGACAAAGGCACCCTGCGTATTCCCAGCCCTCGAGAGTTCGACCGTGGCGGTGTCCCTCAGGCTTTAGACGAAGCTATCGAGAATAATCCCACGAGTCCCAAGTCGCCACCGGTTGAAGATGAACAGCGTCAAGAAGGTGGAAATGAACTTGGCAACCATATTACCATCAACGAACCTGATATCGATCGCTTCCGAGCACGAACCGGTCCCACCGCCACTTTTCCTCGAATGGCTTCACAACGCACGACTTTCCGCGACGAAGGTGACAACGAGCCTACCAGAGTTCGCACTCGACGAGGTACTTTCAATGGTATATTCAGGTCAATGACCCAGGAGCAAGACAAGGACACCTTGCCATATTTGAGCTGGAATGCTACAGTTGGCAGAAACTCGGCTTTTGTTGCTCTTACTGAAGAGCAGCGCGAGGAACTCGGAGGCATTGAGTATCGGGCTCTAAAAACACTGGCTCTCGTGCTGGTGGGGTACTTTGTCGGCTTTCACGTTTTTGGCATTATTTCTCTTACTCCATGGATTCTTTTGAGTAAGACATACGGGCCTGTGGTGACCAGTATTGGTCAAGGACGTGCTTGGTGGGGTGTCTTCACGTCACAATCGGCCTTCAACGATCTTGGATTCACCTTGACCCCGGATTCCATGAACTCGTTCAATGAAGCGGTGTGGCCACTCCTTGTCATGAGTTTCCTTATTGTTATCGGTAACACGGGTTTCCCTTGTATGTTGCGTCTGGTCATTTGGATTATTTCCAAGTTCACCAGAAACGGAACCGCTCTATGGGAAGAACTTCGCTTTTTATTGGACCACCCTCGGCGATGTTTCACTTTGCTATTTCCTCGAAATGCTACATGGTGGCTTTTTGCCATTTTGGTGGTACTAAATGGTGTAGATTTGATTTTCTTTATTATACTTGATGTGAGTCGAAGATTGTTTCTCTACATCAATATCCTTTACTAATGCTGTACGCAGCTTAATGATTCAGTTATTACCGCTATCCCCGCTGGTTATCGTGTGTTAGACGGTCTCTTTCAAGCATTTTCGACGAGAACTGCTGGATTCGGTGTCGTCAATATCTCGGCTTTGCACCCAGCCATTCAAGTTTCTTACACGATCATGATGTACATCTCTGTCTTCCCCATCGCCATTTCCATGCGAAGAACCAATGTGTACGAAGAGAGAAGTCTTGGTATATACGGCTCGGCTGAAGAGGAAGAGGAGGATGTAAAAGAGCCTAGCTATATCGGTGCTCATTTACGCCGGCAACTGAGTTTTGATCTATGGTATATCTTTTTGGGACTATTCATCATTGCTATTGTCGAAGCCGATCGTTTAGAGAGCAGTGCCGATAGCTATGCATTTTCTCTATTCGCCGTTCTCTTTGAGATCGTCTCGGCTTACGGGACAGTCGGCTTGTCCCTGGGATACCCCAACACGAATGCATCCTTTTCTGCGCAATTTAGGGTGATTTCAAAGTTGGTCATCATTGCAATGCAGATTCGTGGTCGACACCGTGGATTACCGTATGCACTCGATCGAGCCATTCTTCTCCCTTCTGAGTCTCTGCAACAGAAGGAACAGGATGATGCAGAGCGACGTCTACGCCGGAGAGAATCCAATGTCAGCAATATGACAGGCGCCTTCGGGCAGTCTTCGGGCATATATCGCACTAGCACATACAATTCTATGGGAAGCAGGGCTAGATCTAGACCTAGACGGTCGGTGGATATGCGTGATTGACCTGCTTGTTGAATTTTTTTTTTTTTTTTTGATGCGATTTGAGCAAGCGGGCATACACTTTCGACTTTGGCTGCTATATCAATTATATACGTATAATAAATATTGCTTCACTTCTATTATCCAAGTCCACCGATCAAGCCCTTTGATATAGTGCATCGTTATTATGGTAACGCGCCATAGCTGGCGTAAGCCATTGCTCTGGGGGAATCCCATAAATGTGATGCGTCCGACTAACTCTGATATTAGTAAACATCTGGATTGAGAGATATATGGTAGGCGGCTCGTCGTGTACGTACCAAGTCTTCTCGTAGACAAGGCCGGGGAGAGTCTGGCGCACAGCATGCAACTAGGCCGAATTTGGTCCTCGATTACGACAAGTTAATTTATTCAATTAATCAACTAAACGGGACTAAATATGGGGTGTAGGCTCAGAGGAAAGTGGCCAACTCACTTGCCAATGACTAAGTATGTACTAGGAGTTGTGTCTTAATTATTGTCGATTTTGCTTGCAAGAATTCACAGATTCACATATTTGAATTTTCTCCCATCACTTTCCAGCTCCTTACCTACAGACGTTACCTAGTTACTATCTTTGAAGATGTCTCCGCTCCAGGCCGTGTTCACCACCAAGGCTCCGAAGCCTTTGCCGCAATTCTCTCAAGCAGTCAAATTCGGCGAGATAGTGTACTGCTCAGGCAACATTGGTCTCAACCCCGAAAGTTGGACCCTCGTGAAGGGAGGAGTTCGGGAGGAAACGGTAAATGCAACTCGCTATTACTTGGATATTTAAGCCAACCAATCTCTCACAGAAACAAGCCCTATTGAACCTATCGGCCATTCTCGAAGAGGCAGGGAGCAGCATCAACAACATCATCAAAATGAATATATTTCTGACCACGATGGACGATTTTGCACTGATGAACGAAGCTTTTGATGAAGTTGTCAAAAGCGAGACAAAACCCGTAAGTATCAAGATCTATAGCAAAACCATAGAATTGATTTTGACACACCGATCATCAGTGTCGCACATGTGTCGCAGTCTATCAACTGCCACTCAGTGCGGCAGTAGAAATCGAGTGTTCGGCCTTCCTGAATACATAAGACACAATATAATCATCGCCAGGGAAATTTCATGGTGTAGCCTAGCAAATATAAACAAAATAAAGTGCTTATTTAGACGTAGCTGTCATTGATTATCTTTGGTATTCATTATCAGAACTCGAAATGTGCTCTTATTATATTATTCATCCTTGGAAGTTCCCCCAGATCAAGCCCTTTGACATAGCGCAAGATTATTATCGTTACGCGATGCCGGCGAAGCATTCCAAAGCGCCACAGACGGCATAAGCCATTGCTCCGGTGGAACACCGTAGAACAGATCTTCTAACTCTGGGAATGAGCCCCAGACGGCGTCATCTCCCAGACTCTCATCTAGTTGTCCGATGTCATGATGAATTCTGCCTGCCTCTCTGTCTGTCATTGTAGGTTGCTGTATCGTCATGCTCATAATAGGCTCGAGGATGGCAGCTGCCTTGGAACAAACATCGCTACGAGATGCATTGCTGACGAAGAAATGTACACATCGGGGTATCATTTCGAGAGATGGACTGGTTCTACTACCTCCTCGGGGTCCTGTTGTACCACCACTATGAAGTACCAACAGAGTCGTAATAGCGAAAAAAGCATAGAATGACCCAAGGCCATCAACATACCAGCGATACCGGGTGAATTGAGTATCAGTGCTGCATAGCCTTTCAAAGCTAGAGATTATAGTTTCGGCTGCTATTTCGCATCGTTGAGCGCTACTGCTGATCTCCCCTGAACCTGTGTTTGTGGCATCATTGAGCCACGGACGATGAAGGAGGAGCGTAAGATGGCATGTGTAAATAGTAAGAATGTGGAAGTGGGCTTGATGATGAAGCTCCAAGGTATGAATCGGGCTAGACGCGAAACGCTCAATATGGCATTGACTTTCGTGGATGATTTTTTGGTCTAAGGTCTCCATTCGGTGTCGGTCATGCGCTTCCAGTGGATTTGACGAGAGCTGGCAAATATCAAAGGCGAGATCGTACAGGCGAAATTTGTACAAGAGATAAGTCATTTTTGTCGGAGGTTGATCGTATGGACGTTCCATTGCAGGTAATACCGCAGCGTGATCGCTAAAAAACACATGATCGTCTTCTACATCCAGAGGAAGAGCCACTTGCGCATCCATACGAAACGGCATGAGATTACCCAGACACGTATTTTGAATTGTATACAACATTCTCAATCCAGCCCAGCATCGTCGACGTTCCTCTGCTTCGACACGATCAACATCTAGACCCGCTGGATCGACCGCGCATCCAATTGAGATTGCGATATGCAGTGTTGTGCCGAGCAGAGACCACGCAGGGCCTTGAGCATGGTTCAAGGCGTAGATCAATAGTACTAGACATTGAACCGTGCGTAGGTTGTGACAGAACATGAAGTTGTCAGCGACTAGACATCGCATTGCTGCTAAGCGATACTTTTTGGATAGGTTGCGGACATTTGTGCCGGGATCAGCATCGTGCCCTAGATCTGATAGAAGAGGGTGGCCATCGTCTAGTGCAGTGACAGACAGACTCAACACAACGAACAGGAGAGCTAAGAATGACAGTGGAGTCGACTTTGGATTCGTTCTGAAGTTCTGGTATTGGAGATGAAACGTTGGGTCATGTAGAATATGAAACAATGGAGAAAAGACAACGAAGAATGCGGACTTTAGCTCCTCGAGATGCGGTAACGGAGGAAGCATATCGAGCAGCTCATCAATGACTGGAATCTGTTGTTCAGAGAAGAAGGGGAATCCGGGAGCTGGAGGTGAATTTGTCATCGCATTGAGGAGATCCGAGTCTCCACCCATATCGTGAAATGGGATGAAGCGTACGTGACCCGAGGAGGATGTCATCAATCGACCTGTCCGTACTCTTTGAGGGTGATAAGCTGATAACCTGTCTTCATGAAGTGAAGTTTGTGATACGGCCGGACTAGAGTCCGGTGACAGAACATTGGGTACTCCAGCAGCAGCAGATTTCTGATTCAACAATGCGGTTGTCAATTCAATGTTCTGCTTCAGTAAACTCTCCAAGGTAAATACGTTCCCCACGAGATTTCCAGGTTGATGCGAGTTGGGATTTTCCTGGACAGTTGGAGTTATTTGACGTGCAAAGCGACAAGTCGAGGCATAACCACGTTTTGAGCATGTATCGCATGGAGGGTGGTATCCAGTACCTGTACATCGAATCTTTCGTCGCCGACAGTTCTCACAGCTCAGAGGCAGCCTTTTCGTAGACATTGTAGCTCTTGAACTCTGGTAGGGTTGCACTTATACGATACGATCCTTTGACTATGGATGATCAGAGATTAGTGGTGGGAAGGAGTAAAGTCGGGGGACATGCGCTATTTGTACTTGTGGGGGCGCCAGGACCCCCGCAGACACCCCTACTTTAAGGTCCACGACAGGCCTGTCCGTGATAAGTGCTCTCCGTAGTGGCTACCATATTCCTGTTATGTCCTGAGCCAATTTGATATCAAAATGTGTTCAAAGAATTGTGTATTGTTCTAAGATATGCTATCAACCATCTACGTTTCGACTATTCTCCCAGTTTCACGTCATGAGTGAAATTAAGCCACGCCCAAAAAAGAATAGATGGCTTCAGAAACACCCTTGACGTCTTCAAACAAATGCCAGTGTGCAACATCGTCTAGAACATTGACCTTGGAGGACTTTATACTCTGCCCATAAGTAGAACATACCGTCGGCGGGCTAACAGCGTCTTCAGTACCAGTGATAATCAGAGTCTTGCATTCTGCAGGCAATTGGGCTACATCCAAAGTCTCCTCAGCAGATCTCGCCAATGCCATGCATGCCTTTGCATATCCCTCCGGATCTTGCCCGAGCAGAGACAGCCGAACCGCGGTAACTGCTAAGGAATTGCTTGCCTTGGTTTTGGAAGAAAGGCCAGCGTTGACTATGGCATCAACCACTGCAAACATACCTCTGCTGCGGACCGTTTCCGCCCGCGCAAAGCTTCCGGTACTGCCAGCCTGGGGCAATGGAGTTGGGGGAGGTCCCATAAGAACTAAAGAAGAGATCAAGCTTGTGTTCTTGAGGGCAAATTTTAGAGCTATCAAGCAACCCATTGAGTGGGCAATGACTGTGGCTGGCTTTGAATCCGGTCGAGCACGTTTGTACACTTCTCTAATGTCTGAAGCAAATGACTCTATGGTGAGATTACTTAATGCACTTGTTGGGGACATACCATGTCCTTCGAGGTCAATGAGATGGAGGCCATGCGTAGCCTGAAGCTTTTCGTAAAGAGGAGAAAAGTATGTCGATGATCCGCCCAGTCCATGTACAAAGATGATTTGAGGGCCATCTGTTTGACCCTTGAATTGATAAAAGAGCTCTTTATTACCAATTTTCACGAGACCGTTGTGGCTCCGAGCTCTCTGGTTGAACACCGGAATGGAGGACTGCATTTTGACGCGATCCACAGTAAAATTGGTTGCGTCCAAGGAAGCAATGCGATTTTTCAATGTACCCAGCCCAGTAACAGAAACTTTGACTTCATCTCCGGCTTTCAAAAACTTCATGGGTCGAAAGCCGAATCCCACACCGTAAGGTGTACCGGTGGCTATTGTGTCGCCCGGTTGAAGTGTTTGGGCCTGTGATAAACACGCAATGAGATGTGGAACACTGAATATGAGTTGGTCGATGGTTGCATCCTGTCGTTCTTCCCCATTGACAAAGGTCTGCACCCGAAGGTTGGCCGGAAGGTATTCCTTGGGCACCGCGACGGGGCCGATGGGGCAGTACGTGTCTGGCGACTTGCCGATGAAAAATTGCTTATGGTCTCGCTGTCGTTCACGAGCAGTGAAGTCGTTGATGATGGTATAACCCCAAACATACTCCATTGCATCTGCCTCCGAGATCTTGTGCCCTGCTTTTCCAATAATGACTCCAATTTCACCCTCATAGTCTGGGGTTTCTGTGAATCCCGGATGAAGAAGAACGGGTTCGCCATGTGCCACGATTGATGTTGCGCGTTTGGTGAATATCACTGGCAACGTAGGCTGATCGTTCTTGTCTGAAGCATCAAAGCCAGACGAGTTGAACTCTTTGGCATGCTCGACATAGTTCTTGCCAACTGCTAGAATGTCCCTTCCGGAGATAGGAGGGAGTAACTTGACATCTGATAGCGGAATGCTGTTTTCTTGAGATGCCGCAATGTTTTTTTCACCGGCTTCAATGACTTCGTATAAGTTCGAAAGGCGGGTGCCCGATACAAATGAGAGAGGTTGGATCTGTTCGGTATTGAGGTCGAGATGACCAATGCGATGTTCCCTGGAGGGGTCGATATAGGCACAGTAGTTGAAAGGCATCGTTGCTTGAACACGTTTGACGTACAGAATTGAAGGTGAGCTGTTCTATAAGCAGATCATGAAGTACAATATCTTATATGTACGTATTCATTTTTTTATCTTCAGCAGACCAAATTTCCTACGTTGACCGTTGTGATGATCCCCGGCGATTTTTCCGATGGATGACGGACGCCAGCGAAACCCCTCAGGCGGAGAAAGACGGAGAACAGCGGACATCCGCTCTTCGCCGCTGTGCCCTAACCCTACATGCTACAACATATGATGTACACTACCATATCCCGAAGACTTTTAGTCTACGGCCCTGGAACATGCCTAGATGATGAACGAATTTGCCCTTATGCGGGGAAAAGGGGTAGTTCAGCTAACGCAAATGCGGAGAACTGAGTAGACTTTAAGACAAGCTGGGAGTTGAGATGTGGTACAAGCAAGATCTGGTTGAGACCTATGTATTGATTATATTCTTATAATATAAAGAGAGGCGTACTGTCAGTCACTAGAGAAGTATAGTCAGCTAGTTTCTTGTAGCAAGCTAGTATTCATCTCGGCTTCTTCTCGCTTTATCAACACCGTCTTGAATCTCCATCAATCAGCAATCATGTCCTCGAAAGACTATGCCATTGACGCAGACATGCATCGGGACCCTGCACCAAGTACAAACCATCTGGAACGCCTAACCACAGCAGGAGGACATACCAACGACCGCTCACAGATCCCGCTTCCTGTAGTTCATCGCACCTTTGCCAATCCATCTCCATTGGGTCTCATCTCCTTTGCTGCTGGTAAGTGTCTTTTAAGCCAGACTGGTAGGTAATTCCACGCTTAACTCTCTATAGACATCTTTCTCATCTCTGTGTACGGTCTACATGCCAGGGGTATTCAGTCTCCCAATGCCATGATTGGTATGCTGGTCTTTTTCGGCGGTACTTGTCAGTTTATTGCTGGCATTATGGAATTTATCACGGGCAACACTGTATTGTCTTTCAGATTCTGGGTGGTATAGTCCATTACTAAGTTTTTACATTCCAGTTCGGTGCTACAGTCTTCTCTTCGTACGGTGCTTTCAACCTATCTTATGCCATGATCTACCTACCCGGCTCAGGAATTATGGCCGCATACGTCGACCCGACTACCAACGCTATTATGCCAGAATTCAACCAAGCAATTTCAATATTCCTTTGGGTGTGGTTCATAGTCACCGTCATCTATACAGTTGCAGCGATGAGGTCGACATGGGTACTGTTTTTGGACCTAGTCTTTCTTGACATATGTCTTTTACTGCTCGCTTGTGGGTTCATGGTTGGAATAAATGGATTGTTAACGGCAGGCTATGCTTTTGGGTTGATTGTCTGCTTCTTATCTTGTGAGTGTCTCCTTATAGGCCTTTGTCTATGGTATATATTGATTGAGTACTGGTATTCAGTTTGGGCCGCCTGTGCAGGTCTGTGGGCAGGTATTACTCCAATTAATCTCCCAGCATTCGAGATGCAGCCCAATGTCTAATTTTTCAGTGCCGAGGGAGAACATGAAGGAACCTCTGACTGCTGATTGTTGTTTTGGATATCAAACCCTGCCTATTCAATAAAATATTATTAGTACAAGACTGTTTTTATTGTATCATCTTACACCTAAAGTAGACCATTCGTTGTATAAGTTAGTACATGAAATCTTGATTCCATCGAATAGGTACAAGAAGTTTGTACATAGGCCTTAGCAAGACATATGAGGTTTCCTTGATAGATACATACGCGAATAAAGTATAGGCCAAATAAATACACAAATTACCAATCATCATCCAGACTACTTAATCCAACATACCGCGGGGGCTCTCGGAACCGATTCTCAACGCCACTTGTCCTTCCAACGCGCAACTTTTGCCCAAAATCTTCCATGTGCTTCATACTATGGAACCGCCCAAACTGCCAGGTACAATCCTGTCCAATGAAACTTTGAATGACATTTGCACCTCCGGGATGTTCATGTTGAAACTCGGTGCAATCAAAGACGATGTTATTGATCACAATCCAAGCCCGTGATCCGTTGGAAGGCTGCTCGAGTTGTGAGGGCCCTTGTTGGCTCATATGGCTGACAATTGACTTATCGATATGAGGCAAGTCCAAGTCCTGAACTGAAAGTGGCTGAAATGGATATTGGAGTCTCGGCAAATTTGTTCGTGCAGTGTCTATATCCTCGATATGGTCACTATGAGAAGAAACTTTTTCAGATGTCGTTGATAACTTTAGCAGCCTCTCTGTAGGAGATCGATTCAGAGTCGATTGTTTCCGCAATTTGATCCATCGCATTCTGGTATGGGCTGATAAGAATGGAATGTAAGAACTACAACTCAGTTTTAGTGATTTCTAATCGTCACTTGGAGCAAAAGGTATAATGACTCTAAAAAGGATACCCACTTACTCTATAGATTAATTTTAGACCAGTTTCAAAATGCAAGTATATGGTACACTGCTGGAGCTTATTCAGTATCGTTCATTGACATACTGATCACCCTAAGCCGTTTGGCGAACAGACCTATAGCCGAACCACAACGGAGAATAGCGGCGTTCCGCGGCATCCAGAACCACTCTCATGATCATTCGGTTTTATCCCATTGATCCGTGATTGGTGCCCACAAACTTTCCCCGCAAGCCCGGCTACTCTGAGGAGTCCGGGGAGCTGGGAATGTTTCTTTTTTGCGGCGTTCGCGTGTGACAACAGATAATGAAGCAGTGCTGTGGCACAGACTCATTATTGAACTTAGACTTGGATGCAGGAGCACTACATAACTGGAGGGAGGAGCATACCTTCGCTGCCCTCCAAATCTGCATGGATACTCTTCTTATTCGACATCAAATGTGGATTAACTGGGTCTAGCAAATTTATCTATTATATCCCTGATCAGGTCAGCTTTTTGAAGGAATTGGGAGAAAAGCAACATGTCTGCAGCGCACGTACCACTTACCTCGCCAGAGAATCTAGAAGGACTATATGACGGCCCTCCCAGGAATGTGGCATCTATAGATCACCTAAAATTCGATGACAAACTACAACCAAAAAACTACTCTATTTTCGGGACATCGCCGGAGTCAAAGATACTCATTACCGACGTCTGGATTATTGATGCTACTGGGAACGATCCTTATCATGGTGATGTATTGATCATTGGTAAGTTCAGGCGCCCTAAGCATCATTTCAGCTTACTGACTTAAATGCTGTAGGGGAAAGATTCGCCCACGTGGGTAAAGTACCCGAGAAAGATTCCTATTTGAGAGATCCCAAGGTCAGGGTGTTTCATGGAAACGGCCGGACATTGATACCAGGCCTGGGTGATGCTCATACGCACATGAGCTGGAATGGAGGGGATCTAGGCAGATTGGGAGAGCTAGGAGTCGAGGAACACACACTATTAACCGCCAGAAGTGCGCAGTGTTTTCTAGATTCTGGATATACTATGTTCGTAATGCTTTCCCTCCCATGACCTGCAAAACCATAGTATTGATTCGCTTTGTGGAATATATGTAGGTGCTTCGGAGCAGCATCAGCAAAGAAACGGCTGGACGTCGCGATTCGCGATGCTATCAACTCAGGCGATATTCCGGGTCCTCGGTGTCTTGCCAATGGTCAGGAGATGGCGAAGAGAGGTGGTGAGCTGGTGGGTGGAATAACCGCATTCGCCAATGGACCAGATGAGATGCGCGAAGTGTATGTACACCCTTTCTTATCAATCTTACCTTCTTTTACTAAGTGGACTTTATTGCAGGATCCGTGAACACGTTGCACTTGGAGTCGATCAGATAAAGCTATCCATGTCAGGAGAATCAGTAAGAACCGATCCCACAAGAACTTTCAGGCAACTCCGAGACTCACTGTTCAAAGATCACGGAGATTCGAGATGCCGAGGAATGCTATTTCACAAACGAGGAGACTCAAGCCTGTGTCGACGAGGCTCATAAGCATGGAATCAGACTTTGTGCTCATGCCAGGGCACGAGATTCTGTCCGACAATGCCTCGACCACGGTGTCGAAGTGATATATCACGCCAGTTATATTGATGGAGAATGTAGAGCCACCTCGGTCATTTTGTCTCCTGCATTTAGCTAACTCGCATCAATAGCAATGGATATTCTCGAAAAAAAGAAATCGCAGCATGTGGTCGTCCCTGCAATCAACTGGCTCGTTGCAACGTTGTATGAAGCTGGCGCATTTGGGTACGCTACCGAGGTAGCTGAGAAAGCAGGTTACAAGAAGGAACTTGATACCGCGATTATAGGTCTTCGAGAGATGCATCGACGGGGCATCGTAGTACTTCCTGGCGGGTAGGTATCATTTGTCTCACAACAGTACTTACACAACCCAACTAATAACGCGCAATGCAACAGAGACTACGGCTTCGCTTGGACGCCACATGGAACTTATGCCCGAGACCTCGAGCATTTCACAAAACTCCTCGGATTCACCGCTCACGAAGCCATTATAGCCGCCACATATGGAGTCGCGAAACTATTCATGCGATCCGACGAAATGGGGCAAATCAAGGCAGGAAACTTTGCTGATTGCGTAGTCGTAGATGGAGACCCCTTGAAAGATATTACTATCCTGCAGGATCATGCAAAACTTGATATTATCATGATTAATGGCCGCGTCCACAAAGCAAGTCGCAAGGAGGTCACGCTGCAGCCGGATCAACGGGTTTCAGACAAGATAGCCAAGCGCGAGGTTCTTGAGAAGGTCGGGGTGACTGTTCCGATGCAGGCAGCTCATTGAGGGAAGTTGTGCTGCTATTTTCAACCCCTAGATTATACATGCCTATCTTCCCGGTTAGGGTTTCAAGTTTCCCTTTTTTAGCTGCCGCCGGCGTTGTAAGGCGCTTACAATCCGGCTCAAAGATTACGCGGCAGATGTGATTGGTTTCTCATTAATTGTTTGAAGATTCGCCCTGAGTATGTTTTACCAATGCGGCATAGTTGCGCCAGAAGTATGGACTGGGATTACGTGGCCAAGCCCCTAATTATCTTGTCTACCACTTTATTTTTACTAGGGTTTGAGTTATATCATCAGATATAAATACTACGTATGTATAAAAGTCCAATCATTAGACAAATATCATAAATCAATAAAGCCATTACCAATCGTTTAAACCTATGTGTTTAACCTTAAACTGTACCTGTGTCATGTATATATTAGGTCCCTAAAATGCTTCATACTTCTCAGGCTTTGACAAAACATACGTAGGACGGAGTAAGATGGCTTGTTTGACGTTTCTGCACCTCTATATCTTCATGTTGACCAGATAACAAAATTGCTGAAGGTCGGATACAAGCCATCATATCGGTAATGTCGGCATGACTGACGCAAGTCAGATCAATTGGCAATGCAAGATGAGACAATAGTTTGAAAATGAACTAGGCTATCAGACATAAACGATGTGAATGCATGTGTATAGTCGACCACCTTCATCACGAATATAAAATACATCGACCTCATCTGTCCGAGATGTATCTTTTTTTTTCATCAGCACACAGCTTTCAAACATTCCACCTTCTACTTTCATTTATCAGACTCGCGGCTGGTTCGTGACATTTATCTTAACACTCTTTCACCAAAATCATCTTTAACGTTCCTAACGACTTCAAAAGACGATATATCAGTCAAAATGTTCAGCTCTATCATCATCTCAGCTCTCATCGCAGCTCCTCTCGTGGCCGGCCACGGAAAAGTGACAGTTCTCACTGGCGATCTCGGCGGTAACGGAACAGCCCTCGGAATCGAAGGTGGCTCCGTCGCCAACGCCGGTCAAAACTACCAGACCGAAGTCGACACCACCGTCTTCTGGTCTAAGGACATCAACACCGACGACGATTTCGGCTGGACCGAGTCGAGTCACGGCAACCTTGGCATGGATGACTTGGTCAAGGCCATGGCTTTGTCGGGAGATACCTTGCCTCAGGTTAGTCAGGGCGGTAGCATCAACGCTACTTTGCATATCGTGACCAGCGATGGCGCAGGTCCGTATAGCGCTATTATTGATCCTACGGCCTCGGGTAAATTCTCGAGCGCAGTCAATATGGAGGTGACCACGCAAGTTCCCGGTGAGGGTGGCTGGATCGATACTACGCCTAGCGCAGCTGCGCTTGCGGCTGGCAACGGCCACATTATTCAGAAGCGTGCAACACGTACACTCGAACGCAGAGCATCACGCACCAGGGGCAAGCGTGAAACTGCCACTTTGGTTGATAAGGATTATGTAAGTTCTCCTCATGGTTTGCTACTGCAACAGATACTAACACTATCATAGAGCCTCGAAATTGCCATTCCTTCCGGTGTTACTTGCAGCGGCACTGCCAACGGTCAATCAAATTTGTGCGCAGTGAAGGTCAGTAACAACAACGAGAATGGCCCCTTTGGTGCCGTTATGATCGTCCAGATGGCTTCCTAAACATCGTCATCACTGAATCTGACCGACGTGTGGTTGTTCGACTCGAACCACATTGATATACAACACAATCATGGAGTGATCCAACAGGCTGGTAGTGGTATTGAATTCCGATGTTATGACGGTTGGGTAAAGAAACTACTTGTAACTTGTATTCCTTTAAGTATATCCTGCTTGATATGTAGGCAAGCATCGCTCAATGGCAATTGAATAGATCTTGGTTGAATCTGTTACAAACCGTAAAATAGCATTTAAACTTTGATTTGTCAAAATATGAATCGATGAAAAAGAACAATTCTAGTATCGCGACGTACATACTGTAAGTAGCTACCCTTATCAAAAGACGAAAATTTCCTATTACGGCAGTTTGATCTCTTTTAGGCAATTTCTTGCAACGCTCTTTGGTAGCAACAATGCTTCAGTATATTCTCAATTAAGGCAAGTATAAAGGAACTAGTGAATTAAAACAAATCAATTTCGGTCTGATTGTCCATTTTCAAGAGTTATCAGACATATTTCTCCAAAAACGAGCGATGCATGTCTCCCACCATATTTACAAAAGCAGGCAGCAAGACATTATGCAAAATCCCTGAACTCTATGGTCTAATCCAGTGGATCAGTTGTAAATTGTAAATGCAGGACAAAAGAATGAATAGAAACACAAAAGCAAATGCATCATCATCTCATCAAGTTTCCTTCGCACAATTCGACATCATCCTCTCAAAAATCACTCCCATAGATAGAAGTCCACCTCAATAGGTCCCCTCAAACCCCAGCTTCATCAAATCAATCGTTCAAATCAGATTATTCCTATCATAGGCCGAGTCCCTGGTATAACTCGTGCCCGTATTAGGATTGGAGTACTCCTTGTGCACACGAGTGGTATTATCCAATCCGGACGTATCACGGTCCACGTCGCGGTGGTAGTATCGGCCGGAGTCATCCAACTGCTCACGATGATGGCGGCGGGTGCTGGCATCAGCGTCGTAGTCTATGTGCTGGTCGTAAGCGCCGGTGGTTGGGTCGTAAGTCGTGCGGTTTGCGCCGCCGAGGCTGGTATCGCCGTATGTGCTGGTGCCGTAGGGGTCGGTGGCGTAGCTGCTGCCGTAGGTGTTGCTAGTCATTTTGCTGGTTTTTTGGTCAAGTAGATCTAATGAGATCGTTTTCTTTTGATATGAAAGACTTTTTTTGTGATTTCGAAAAGTTTGAGTTTGGGCTGGATTCTGGCCTGTCTTTATAGACATTTTGTCGTCGTCTGGACTCGCCTTATGATAGAGTTTGACATCATCTTGCCTCTATTTCTACGGCTATCATGGTGACGCGAATTTTTAGTGGCTTCCAGTCATAGATATAAAGATAACGGCAAACAATTATAGCCATTACCTGAATAATTCTGGCTGCAGATACCGCATCCGCCACCACTCTGGAGAATTTCGTTAGGCAAAGTCAACGATATGAGATCAAATCAAGCGTCATCCCACAACAGTGGTGGCGCTTGGCAAAGAAAAATATCATAGCAAAACTTGTATCCGTCTATAGCTCGTGAATAGGTAATTGCCCTCGTAAAAATATCCCATACTCATTATCTAATTTATGTCGTTACTTCCAACTCTTTCACGTCGATGATAATAAATTAGACAAACAGAACGAACATGTAAGAATTACGAAGATTGATAAACCTTGAAACTCTTGAATTCCCAGTACGCTTCTGTGAACGCACTGGGATTCGCAGCCACGTACGCGGTGCAATTACTCGGACATTGCGCCTCATCAATGTAGTACTTGTCGGCAGCAGCCAATGATCCGCACAGATCAATGTTGGCAATAATACTTTGGTTTCGGAAATGTGATGAAATGCTACAGTCTGTAGATGGGAAGTCGGCTGTAGCTTCACCCCAGGTGGATGGGTCAGGGCTGCCGTTGGTGATGTCGGACGGAATCGAAGCGCGAGGCCACCACCAGATGCGAATTCCAGCATCGCGAAGTTCAGTTGCATATACCTTGATGAAATGTTAGCCTAAAATCTCCCAAATCATGCGAGGATACTCACTCCGCCGCCGTTACTGTTGAATTCAGGCCCATATGAAGCAACAGTACTCGAAACACCGCATCCTTCATTCGAGTTTGTTCCATTGTAGCAGTTCTTCGACGTGACCGTACCCGTCTCCTTGCGCTTCACGCCCATACTGCAACTGTCGGTTGTGTGCAACGTCATACTATTTCCCCAAGTACCGTTATTAGTAGCTTCGATAATATCAATCTCGCCATTGGTCGGCCAATTACTGGAATCCGAGAGCCACAAGGCGGGCCATGTGCCGCAGCCGTAGGGGGTGTGAAGGATGTCGAAAATGAATAAACCGTCGTTATAAGTGTTGTTGGACTGGATGCGAACGGAGTTGCGTCCGCCGGTAGTGTCGGAATAGGTTGTGTCGACTTTGATCACGGCGGATTCATTCGTCGCGTATGTGAGATTGGACCAGACTGCATTTGCTCGTTGCAGGTAACTGCATCCACGGATATATCAGCCAACAGATACAGATAGTGTCAGAAAGAGACCAAGTGCCTACACAACAAAGCCGCCCGTCGGATCCGCATCAGACCAATACCAAAAATTATCGAAAAAGTTCTCTCCCTCATACGTATCCTTTAACGAATAACTCAGCGCCGAATAGTTCGGGTACCGATTCGCTTTCACGCCCTCGTATGCGCCGACAATGATCGCAATTAGAATGACTACAACACCACCGGCCGCAATCAGTTGTGTGCGTGTTCTCCATCCTCGGGGATCGAATCGTGAGTATTGCGAGAATCGTGCAGGTGAATAATTGTTGATGCCAGAGCTGAGAGCGATGTTGTCGGCGTACGGCGGGGCGTCTGATTTTGGATATTGAGACTGCCCATGATATGCCATTGCGACTGTGCTCCGAGCCGATGGAATGTTCGGATGTATTCAATATCAATTAGTTATGACCCCAGTATATAATCAACGAGTGTGTACTGTTGTATAACTAGCGATGAGTCTGATGATTATATCAGCAGTAGTGTATGAGGGAGTGAATGTAGAGGAGAACAAGTCGATGATGCAAGGCAGCAAGGGCAGGAAAGAATGTCCAGTATTTACGTCTTTCCTGATTCTGACACTCGGAGCTGCTCCACTCGGACATCTGTCAATCAATCAGATCCATATACAGTATGCTTACATGATTTACAATCAAAATGGATCCATCTGATTCGTGACTGCCTACAGGCCTGGACTGCAGTTAATTAAATGTCCACTCAAGAAGCTTATCAACATGCAATCTGCCAGTAAAAATAGTTAGAAAATAGATGAACTTAGAGTCGAAAGATATTGCCCCACCATTGAGAACCCTAGATTCGGCACTAGACCAAGCCATCGCTGAAGCCCTAAGGGTCTCTCTCAGCCTAAATACAAGCACTAATGTGTGACTTGAGCTGCGAACTGCCACTAAACATGCGCTAAATAGACACAATCCGTGTTCTTTGTTGTGAAAGAGGGAAATTATCCGAGTTGGCTCAGTACTTGAAATCAATAAGACTTTTTTATGATAAGAATAAAAAAAATTCGAAACATTCGCATGAAAGTGCTGCGCCTCAGACTACGTATTGGCATACGTATCGGTCCACGTATCGCAGTACGTAATTTTGATACGGCCCGGTCAAGTCGGTTTGCTTAACGCACTGTAATCAAGGTATTGTACGGTAACGTAAAGACATGCAATGTCTCAGATCACCTGTCAGAGCATGCCTTGACCATCTTGGACTAAAGCCGAAGGATGAGACATGAACATACATCACCTGGTCGAGTCGCCTTGTCCACTCGTCGCCTGCCATCGGCTCTTACTCCATCCTACTACCAGGTTAAAAATCTCATCGCGCTCCGCCTGATTGACATCCACACTCTCAATTTTTGTCCGCTGCTTTGCTCCGGTTGTCGTGTTATATGAGGTCTCCATATCCCATACACTACCTTTAAACACTTCCTGGCTCGCGCTCATATCAGGATCAACCAAGAACTCAAAGTCTAATCTCTCGAGTTTGCGATCGAGACCGGTGAGTTTTGAGAGGCCGGGGCTGTGCTGTTTTGTCATTTGTAGCAATTGTCCATAAGTATAGGACCATCGCGGTTCTCGGTCGAGTAGCGGTTTTTGTTTGTGGCGTGTCGTCAAGAGGTGCGGTTTTTCAACGAACCGTATTCCTTCCGATGTCAATATTAGTTGCCCCTCATGACCGTTGTGAAAGGTGACAAAAAAGACCGACTGAACGTATGGTGAGGTGGTATCATCGTCGTGATATGCTGTTTGGATGTTTTTGGAAGCTGTAGAGTCCTTTGCAGTGTCTTGAGTCTCAGTCGCATCTTGGAAATCATCTCCCTCAATGGTCTCCCGACAGGTCTGACACTCTTCAGAGTAGCAACTCTCATTGTGTGCTAGCCCCCGTGTCTTTATCTCGTGTCGACGAAGAGCTTCGTTCTCTTGTAGAAATCGTATTGCCCATTCAGCTAGTACGATTAGTAACTTGACTTTCTTCCAACTCGAAGCTGAGACTCACGGTAAGAAGGTATGTCCCAGAACGCCCAGCGAAACGGACTAACCAGATATCGATACCGTGGGTATCGACTGGCTATCGGCCAACAGAGAAAAAAGACATTGATCACAATAAACGATACGATCTTCATGCAAAATTCCATGTCTGTGAGTAAAGTGATGAGTAGACAAGAAAAGAAAAAGAACAATGTCGCCGCAGTCTTTCGGGGATCGCGCCAATAGTAGAAACTAGTCTCACAATCAGTCCTGTCTTGAGTAAAGATATTCCTATGAGCCTACTTTCGTGTAATCTCCAAAAAAGCTACTAGATCGCCAAGTTGAAGCCGTATGAATGGAGCAATCTGGTCTAGTAACGGCTCAAGCCATTTCTCTCGTCCGTATCGATCAACCAATTCGCCGAATCGATAAGCTTGAGCTCCTCTGTCAAGTGCGCGGTCTAAAGATTCCCGCATGGACACGACATCCGATGGGTAGAATTTGTTCTTCAATGTGATGTATAAAATGTATGCATACTGCACGTGTTAGATTGGATATTGTGTCTGGATAGAGTCACTCACCAAAAAGCCAACAACATGCTGAGTATACCATAGAATTGAAAAAACGCCGTACCAAAATGCCGTACGCCGTGGTTTTTCCCACCGATATAGATCTCGTATACCCATCCACCACTCTTGCCACGGCTCGGTGGCCATTACTAAGCGCTCTGCCAGCGTAACAATATCCAAAGGTGACTTCCAATCATCAACGTCTACGTATCGTGCCATGAACGGTTGGGAATAGTACAGTAAGAGCTGTAAAGGTAAGAACCTGCACATGTTGATAATGGACAGTGATACTGACCTGGGCTAGATATCTGTCCCACCTGAAATTAACCTCACTGCCATCGCCATTCCTCTCAATGAATTTCTCGTCGTCCAAATTTGGAAAATCGGCAATATGTGACGGCGTCACTCGTACAGATTTCATATGTCGACTCGTTATCCACGCCACTAGGATACTTTGCCGGTGCGCTTCTAGCAACTCTACCTTTCTTCTTTGGACTTCTGTATCAGTCTCAGGGGATGTCCGTTCTTCCGAATCGGTAATTCTTCCTCTCTGGCCCGGCTCCTTCTCTGTCCCCCTCCTATCACGATTCCTACGTGACGGCTTTTCTTCATCTTTCTCTGCTTCAAAAAGAGCATCATGCGCAGCAAGAAACTCACGATCCGCTTGAGGCGTGATATATGGCCTGGTTGCTTTTGACAGACTTTTTGCGGTTTTGCTTTCGAAGTGCTGGATTATAGTCCGCCTGGGATGTATGATATGATTCGCCAATTCCTTTGACGCTATCTTAGCCACACGAGAACGGGGTAGACGTGGTTTTACATTTGCACTAGTGGATATTGCTGACGACTTCGGTCTTGCAACATGTGATGGGTTAAAGGCGGGATCGGTCTTGAGATACTCGTGCGAGAGGTTGCAACGCGCGTTAGGGTCGCCATTGATGTCGGTAAAGGGTGAATCGACCGATGCAGACCGTTTGCGGATAGCATTACCAGCTAGGCTGCTCATAGTTAATAGATGCCAGTCTTATAGCCACGATGGCCCTTGGGCAAGGTCTCCTAGGCTGAAAATCTTCATCTTAAGAATCTGGATCAGCGTTGACGGTCAGGGCTAGTATTTATCGGGCCATTCTTCCATGGCAAAAGTCAAAACACCACGCAATGGGGCCATGAATTACATCCACAGGTTCCACGCAATGAATCTCGTCGGAATGGAATGTCGAATGAGAATGAGAATGAGAAACAAGAGAGCAAGAATAGTCGTCACATGCCAGGGTGGGCCTTCTGTACGTAGTTTGCTGTATGACGTATGCCGCCGCCTCTTATCGATAAGCCCAGTCAGTCATCAAAACCCTCATAGCACTGTTAGAAACAGTGCTATGATCTTTGGATAATAAGAATAAGATAGTCAGGAAATACTCCAGAATCATTCATTGGTACGGCACTAGATGCGCCTAGACAGCAATTCGAGACAACCCTAGTCACCTTACAGTGGGTGTATGCTCCCCTCTACAGGAGACCAACATACAAACATGCCGACATCTGGACAATTTTTCTCACACAGAAGGAACAAGACTTTAACACAGCATTAATGAGTATACCCTGGGGCCATGGTTTTGGCTTGTAGCGATTGCTTATATGCAATTTCTTGCCCAAACGGGAAGTCAAGTGATAAGCGTCCAATGTTACATGGTCCATCTTATCAGAACGAAACTATTGGCCACGTTAGAAGTGGGCTGGTAGGAAGGACGCTTCAACATTCATCCTTCTCACCTACCTGGATATCTCAAGCTCATTGACAGTTTTAGATCTAGACACATTCAAGGACACAACCCAGCAGCTCAGTCTTTGATCATGGCGCCCGTGCACAGAGTAGCCGTTATACAGTGGCATATCAAAGTCAGCCTCCCCGTCTTCCCCGCACTGTCATAAAAGAAGCTGTCAACTGGCACCTCACGACAAGGATTGACAATGTACAGAACCTCGACCCAGAATACAACCACTCCCAAGCCATCAAGCACATCACCTCTGCCGCCGCCGATGGTGCCACACTTGCTGTTCTACCAGAGTATGCCTGCCCGCAAATGAGGCCGAGATCTTCACTGATTGATATAGATACCATCTCTGCGGATGGGCCCCGGAGTCACCAGAATTCTACACACAAGCCTTCCAAAACCAGCCCTACCTCGACGCTTACTGCCGCCTAGCAGAAAAACTACAGATCAACATCGTCCCGGGCACAATCATCGAAGCCGAACCGAAGAACCCCGCTGCCACAAACGAAACAGAAAAAGACCACGCCCTCTACAACACCGCCTACTTCATCTCCTCTTCCGGCACCATCCTCGGGAAATATCGCAAAAAGAATATATGGCACCCGGAACGCCCACACCTCACATCCAGCAGCACCGACCCGCACGAAGTCCTTGACACCCCAGTCGGCAAAATCGGCATGCTGATCTGCTGGGACCTCGCATTCCCCGAAGCATTTCGCGAATTGATTGCAAAGGGCGCAGAGATCATCATCATACCCACCTACTGGGGCAAACACGACGCAAACGAGGAGGCCTTACGACTCAACCCAAATACTGAGCAGCTCTTCATTGAGTCGACGCTTACGTCGCGCTGTTTTGAGAATACGTGCGCAATCGTGTTTGCGAATGCGGCGGGGCCGGCGGATTTCTTTCTGGGGATGTCGAGGGTTGTGGTGCCGTTTATTGGACCCGTGGGAGATAAGAAAAGTATGGAGGCTGAAGAGGAAGGGGCGATGGTAGTGGATTTGGATTTGTCGGTGCTCACGTTGGCGGAGGAGAATTACAAGGTTAGACAAGATATGGCGTCGGAGGGTTGGCATTATAGTTATCGACATGATGCGGTTGATAAGAGGCCTGCTGAGAAAGCCTGATAGATTACCTAGGTATAAGTACGTATAACCAAATTCAAATGTTGTGATTGGTGATATAGGACAACCTAAATAACGCAGTGCTAACGAGGGAATCCCTGAACATGAATAGCAACACTAACATCGGAAGTAAAACATGAAAGAGAGAAGAAATACACATCAAAAGTGTCATCATGTAACATTCATCAATCATAATATCAATTGATGATTAAACTCGTCATACACACTCAACCACTTCTCAAAATAGGCAAATGCAACCAACCCTTTTCCAACGTCGCCAAGATCAACATCAAACATAATGGACATGAGGAACAGGCGCGAGAACAAAAGCACAAAGGAAAAGGACAAAGGAAGCCGTCTAATTATCTACTACCAACTTGACACCAAAGAATCGACCGACTAGACTGGATTTACTGAACTTGACTGACGATTTCGCTGGCGCGGGAGAGACTCTCAACCATTTGCTGGCATTCCTTTCGGCGACGGATGGTGTAGTCGCTTTCCTTGAGGAGGTCGTCAAGTTCGTTGTTGCGGTACATCATTTCGAGCAGTTCGCGTTGCATCTCGTCTTTGGAGAATCTATCCCTGTATTAGTTGAATGACCAAGAATTTCATTCGGTGATAAACTTACTGCACAAGAGTGTACATAATCGCCTTAGGAACCATGTCAATCATCGTCCGCTTGACAATATTGAAGTAAGAGGTGATCAACAGTTCTAAATGGTCAGATAAGTCATGTTAATGTATTAGACGGATGGACGTACTGATAACTTCAACTTCAATATTCTCCCGCTCGTTCAAAGTGCCAGATGCCTTCAAGGTTGGTGGGGGAGGCTCCATGGCAGCCAGCTTCTTCTTGTTCTTTGATGCAAAGAAGCTACCGAAAAATCCGCCCTCTTTGTTGGCATCAGGAACAGTGTCCAATGAAGGGCTGGAGGAACGAGGTGGCAATGGCTTGCCGGTCTTAGGGTCAACCTGGGTTGGTTTGCTGCTCTGCGTCCGTTCGTTGACGATAGCCATAGCGCGGTGGCCATTCAGGAAATCTGGGTGACCGGTGTTGATGTAGCAAGCTTCCATATTGACCAAATCCTTGACAAGCTTGTTGCAAGGCTCCATTGACTTCTTAAAAAATTGAATCACCACGTTGTGGAACTTTTCTTTGAGCATAGGATAACGACGGAACAAGCTCTTGTTCAGCAATTGGCTCAAGATCCGGACAAGCTCATCGTACACAAGCGACACACACTTGAGCGAAGGATCCTCAAGTCGCTTAATCTGTTGTTTAACAATAAGTTCGAAAGCAGTTGTTCCGACGAAGAGCGCAGGGGAAGAGCCGGAGGAATTGTAGAGGATCGTTCGGATATCGAGGTCCTTGACATGGTCAAATGGATCAATAGCCTTGACACCATTGTTATAGATTTCGTGGAACACAAAGCTGATACGAGCACCACCAGATAACTCAATGTTGGAAAGCTCCTGGTTCTTACCGTCCAAAGCGGTACGGTATTCGTTGCTGAATTCTGTGATGATGTTCAAAACTATATTCGCACTGTTTCCAAGCATGGAATCGCCGAGTTGCGACAACTCCTGGGTATATTTCTGAAGCGACGACGAAATTCTGGCCTTGATATCTGGGAGTGTTTGTTTGATGTGCATCATAAGAATCTACAACAAGTCAGCCGATGCGATCAACCCTAATTCGGAAAACCTACCAAGTTGAGCTTCCGAGCCAAATAAGGAGTACCGCAGTAGCTAGCCTTATTCCTGTAGGCCTTGTGGCCCTCGAAGAAGTTCTTTTCATGCTCCAAAGCATACGAGATGGGACGCTTGTTCTCAATATCGCGCTGACCACGGTTCACAACCGGAACGTAGCCGAGTCTTAAAGGAATAATCCTGCCTGCAAGAATATCCACAACGTCGGTACCCTCGTCCATCAGATCAACCTTTGTCAAGACACCGATGGTGCGCTGACCTTCAGGGTCGACTTCACGAGCGAGCTTCAACCCATCGGAATTGGCCAAATCCTGGTTGGCAGCGGTGACAGCAAGAACAATGGCATTCGGTTTGCTAATGTACTTCAACACCATGTCCTTGATCTGTTTCTCAATATCCTTTGGTTGATCGCCAACGGGCACCTTGGTCAGACCGGGTAAATCGACCAAAGTCAAAGTAAGAACGTTGGGTGAGTAGATGCGCAGGTTGATCGGGACGGGCGAAATGCCAGCATTTTTACCAACTTTGGTCTCGGTTTCGCGAATGATTTCCTCTCGGATCTTGTTGAAGTCATAGAACTTTTGTCCGGGGATGTGCAAGAACTCGCCGTATTCGTCCACATTGGCCGCACTGTCGGAGGTTCCTTCTACCGCCTTATCTTCGTCCGTTCCATTTACTTGCTTGGTGGGTGGTCGGTTGATCAGTTGTAGAATCAGGGGACGGCGAGTGACGATTCCGGAACCTCGTGGCAAACTGCAAAGTAAGTCAGCCGTTCTCCTTTTAAGTACGCAAGCTCAATAAACTAACAAATCTCGTCCGACAATGTTTTCCAAAACGGAACTCTTTCCACTGGATTGCGAACCGACGACGGCGATCTGTGGCAAATCGATAGGGTTTTGTACCTGACCGAGGAAGCGAGTCAGTCTATATGATCTTAACTGAGGGGGCACAGAGAAGGACATACTCCTACTGTCGAAAAGACATCTTGAAGTTTGTTCACCAGGGAGATCAATCCAGGATCGTTGACGTTGATTCTACAGTCGGCGTATTTTGTCAGTACCTATTCGATCGTCACAAGACAGCTACTCGGGGATGCGCACGAGTAGCCAGAGGGGGCGGTGGCCATTCTGGCGGTATTTAGCTGCAATTATTCGAGTCGCACTGGTAGAGGCAGCTGTAGAACAAGCGTTAACAGCTATATAAGGTGGTTTAGAACGGATTGGAACAGAATTCTCGAGAGAGGATTGTGTTCGCACAGTTGTGGGAGGAGAGGTGGTGGGTGATGATATACGCAGGCCGCAACAATTCGGGCACGTTCAACCTGAGAAAGAACGAAGTACGTAGTGGTAAATACTAGCTATTCCTGTTTGGGACTAGCGCGGCCTGGTCATGGGTCTGGTCGCTTTTGCTGGTCTGAGCGTTCGATGCCTGGTTCCCGAGGCATCCAGGGTCTGGACGATAGGCTCACTTGATAGTCAGTCAACCAGGTGTATTTACCATTACTATTTGATGCATGGCTGCACTGCTAATATCTTTATACGGAAGTACATCTCTCGTGTGACAGAAATACGGTGACGCGGCACGGGTATTGAATTACCATTTTGCCTCCGACAATTGTGTTGCCTTGAGCAACTGAAATCGGTTATACCGTACTAAGGAAAAATAGAAGTGCAACTAGGTACAATGCGAAAAGGGAAATATTGGGTAGCAAAAAATCAGGCAGAACGATATACTACAGACGTTTGACATCCATATAAAAACTCAAATGTAAGTATCTATCCACCCCAGCCGTCTACTCATCGGACACCGTAGCAAATCGCTCAGACATGTCTGACAGCAATTTCTCGTACTGAGAGGAAAATTAGTTGATGACCTCTAGATGTAAAGGGAAAGGAAGACAAACCTTGGCTGAAACTGCCTTTTCATCATCCGGAACTTCAAACTTCATGTTTCGCAGACCAGTCTGGATATCTGCAGTAGCCTCACGGACCTTTGCCCAGCTTTGACCCTGAGCAACGGCCTTTTGTGCTTCGTCGTGGTAACCCATGAATGCCTTCATCATGTACTGGGTCTTCCACAGAGGACAGAACTGGTCGTACTCACTGTAGCCATTCTGCTGCAAAAAGTCATCCTTGAGAAGTGCAGCCACGTCTAGAGTGATTTTATCCGAATCACCCAATGCAGATTTTCCGACCAGCTGGACGACTTGGTCCAGATCTTCAGAGTTGGACAACAATTCTCGAATTTGGTCTCGGAGGCGGGGGAATTCGGGATGCTCTTTTTCGTAATATCTGTCTAGAATGGTGGTGTATTTGCTGTAAGACACTGTGGTGTTGATGGAAGGGAAATGTTTGCGCTGAGCCAACTTCTTATCCAAACCCCAGAAAACCTGCACAATACCCAGAGTACTGGTGGTAACGGGATCGGTGAAATCACCACCTGGGGGACTCACGGCACCGACAATGCTGACACTACCTTCACGCTCGGGACTACCGAGAGCAACACTCTTTCCTGCTCGCTCGTAGAAAGAAGCCAATTTGGCACCGAGGTAAGCAGGGAAACCTTGATCTGCGGGCATCTCACCCAGACGACCAGAAATTTCACGCAAAGCCTCAGCCCAGCGAGAACTAGAATCGGCCATCATGGCTACGTTCTTTCCTTGGTCACGGAAGTACTCAGCAACGGTAATGCCAGTGTAAATAGAGGCTTCACGAGCAGCGACGGGCATATTCGAAGTGTTGGCAATAAGACATGTGCGCTTCATGATGGGTTCTTTTCGGCCGTTGATATCAATAGAGAGCTACGCTAGTCAGTCTCAAGTAGGCAACAAATTGGAAGGCAAACCAACCTCTGGGAAGTCCATCAATACTTCAGCCATCTCATTACCACGTTCACCACATCCAACGTAAACGATAATGTCACTATTGGAGAACTTGGAGACGGACTGCGAAATGACCGTTTTACCGCAGCCGAAAGCTCCTGGAATACACACAGTACCACCTTGGACACTGGGAAACAAAGAGTCCAACACTCTCTGACCGACGATGAATGGCGAGTCGGAGGCAAGCCTCTCATTCACCGGTCGAGGAACACGAACGGGCCAAGTGTGCATCATACCGTGTTCGGATTTCTTGCCGTCAAACTCGATTTCCAAAATCTTCTCGTCGACGGTGTAACTTCCGGCGTCTGCTATTTTGGTGATTTTACCCCGAGCACGAGGCGGCAGGAGGATTTTGTGCTCATCCAACAAACTATTCTCGTAAACGATACCCCAGATATCACCCCCAGTAATCATGTCGCCCACTTTCTTGGTCGGCTTGAAATCCCACTTCTTCACGCGGTCGAGGGCTGGCACGGCGATACCGCGGGGGATATAGATACTCTCGGAGGAGTCTGAAATGGCCTTGAGCGGTCGCTGGATACCATCGTAGATGGTCTCCATAAGACCGGGACCCAGCTCGACGGACAGGGGTTTACCGGATCGGGTAACGGGGTCACCGACTTTGACACCGGCTGTCTCTTCGTAGACTTGGATTGTTGCTTTGTCGCCGTCGATACGGATGACTTCGCCGACGAGATGGTCGTAGCCGACGTGACACTGGCTCGTTTAGCTAGTATATCAATATATTCAGGAACTAGAATGCTTACCAACTCGTACATGGCACAGCCAATCATTTTCTCGGCCACCACGACGGGGCCGGAAATAGAAAAGACGGCGCCGAGCTGTTCGTCGTCATTCTGCTTTTTGTCAGAGGGCGCCATGACGGGAGGAGGTGCGGGAGACAGTGACGGCAGCGGGGAAGAAGGTTGTAGCTCGACAATAATCTCTGCAGGAAGGTTATCTGCAGTTAACCGCGAGATATGCGTTGGAGAGGATGGTGAGCCGTTGTCGTTGAGAAGGGTGGAGGAGGTGGAAGTTGAAGTTGGAGTTGGAGTTGCGGGCAGCGGTGGCAGGTGGTCCAAAGGTGGAGAAGCTGTCGTAGCTTCTTCTGCGGCAGAATCAGCCAGCTCTATGAACGTCCTGTTATGCGACAGCAAGTCCAGCAGAGACGGGCGGACCTTGAGTCGAGGTCTTAATCCTAGACCAAGCATACGCTTTGCTGATATTGCGCTTGTGTTGGTGCGAGTAAGTTGAACTAGTGATTGTTCAATGTTGTGGTTGTCTGTCTTAGCTGAGCTAATAGCGTCATCTTCATCGGGCCGATTGTTTGCTTCGTATTGTAGACGTATACCACGAAGGACCCCAGATCCTTTTCTTCAATACTTCTTAATTACGGGGAGAAACAGTTTCGATATCTGGCGATCTGGTCAGGTCATTTAAGAAAGTGCTTGCAACATGCACTTCGTACATCATTGTCCTCATTGCCCTGAAGTTAGGGTTACACGAGTCACTACCATCAACAACTACCATGATCCAACCCTATAAAAACATTGTTCATCTTCGAAAACAGGCCCTAAATTAATGTTTTAAATGGCAAATCAGAGCAGGCAGAGCGAGAAAGGCTATTTACAGCCAGTCACCATCATGACATCACCCATCCCCTTACCAGACTACCCACGTCGGACATAGCAAGAGCACCAATCTCTATTTATGATCTCTGTGGCTACATCTCCCATTTCAGCTTTCACTCAAAGTATACTAATGGCAGACCTTAGCAAAGGCCTCGTGCAGCCATTTCTCGGCGCCCTGCAAGCATGCATTTCCGTTTTACTCACCCTGCTCTACGGCGTCATAACTCGTCACGTCAGTCTCATCAACGATGAAACCATAGACCAAATGTCCGGTATATGCGTGAAGATATTCCTTCCGGCGCTGATATTAGTGAAGCTGGGTTCGGAGTTGAGTTTGGATATTGCTTTGCATTATGTTCCTGTTCTCGGTACGTTCCCTCTCCCTTTCCTTCGGTCATTCGTTGTGGAAGGTTAAAAAGGATGAAGATGCTAAGGTGGATAGTATGGTCAATCCTCTACACCCTTCTTTCAATCTGCATCGGCCATGTGTTGTCCCGCTGTTTGCGTCTCCCAACCTGGGTTACGCCCGCGATAGCATTCAATAATACATCCTCCCTCCCACTTTTGCTGCTGCAAACATTGCAGTCAACGGGGAGTCTTAAGTTGATTACCATGCCGGGACAGTCGGAGTCTGGTTGTATGAATCGCGCGCAGTCGTATTTCTTGGTTTGTGCCGTGGTATCGAAGTCGATTGCGTATGCTGTTGCGCCGAGGATGTTGAGCCATGCAGACTCTAACGGCAGAAAGGGGGATGATCGGGAGACTCGACATGATCGGGACGAGGGTTTGAATGTATCAGGTATATTTCCAGATATTTTGTCCGAGAGAGATCTTCCAGATGGTTGACACATGTACAGTACAACCCCAGAACCAATTCCGCCACGACATCACCAACACATCAGAAGATCAACAAGGAGAAGAAGAAGAAGAAGAAGAAGTAAACGAACAAACCTCCCTCCTCCCCAGACCCATCCGCACAGTACGCCACAACTTCTTCCTGAAAACGCACCATCTCTTCTCTTACCTCCCCCGGCCCGTCCGCCGACGTATCGACGCTTTGGATTCACCTTTCCTCGATACGGCAATCCTCTGCGCCGCGACTGGGGTGCTGTTGGGATTAGTCCCCAAACTGCATCGCGCATTTTTCTCACCGTACGAAGAAGGAGGAATATTCAATGCGTGGCTGATCTCGAGCATTAAGAATGTCGGAACGCTATTTACGTCTTTGCAGGTCTTTCTGTTGGGGTGTAAACTCGGTGCTAGTTTTGAGCGGATCAAGCGCTCCCCTTCTCATTCCCCTTCGGAGTCTTCTCTGGAGGAGAATGACGACGAAGAGGAAAGGTCGGGAAGAGTACCCATCAGAGCTATTGTGGTCGTCTATATAGTCCGACTCATTCTCTGGCCTATGTATACTCCCTTCCTATCCACCCTCAAGCCATCTTCGTCCTATTCGTTATTTCCAAACTAACAAAAACAGAATAAGCATCCTAACAACATACCTCATAATCAGCCACACAGCCATAATCCCTCACGACCCAGTGCTATGGTTCGCCCTCATGGTAATCCCAACTGGTCCACCGGCATTACTCAACTCTGGGCTTGCGGACATGAGTGCCGAGGTCACAAAGGGCGATAAAATGGCTATTGCGAAGATGTTGGCTGTACGTCCTTCCCATTTCCTCTCCTCCTGACAGACATGGGTAGTAGGGGATGGTGTTGACGGATGTTATTGGTGGTAGATTATGTATGCCCTCTCGCCCTCGATTTGTTTCACGGTTACGGGTGCTCTCAAGGCTACAGAGGCATTACGGTGATTATAGAGACACAAATTCGTTCATATAATCATCAGATATATAGATATATTCAACTCAACAAATGAATTAATCAATTCTAGCATGTGGGAATATCTGTGGCGCCATTCTACCTAGCCGATCCTGCAAAATGTTCAAAGAAGATAAAGCCAAGCAACTACCTAAGTATGAAATGCAGATTGCCATGGTTAATGCCGATTGAAAAGAATAGATAGCCAGATTAGTAACGGAAGAACAGGAGTAAAGCTAGGATGTCATATAGAATAAAAAAATCAATATGTTAGGAGATTGTCTCCATTGATGCTATCGGATAAATATAAAAATACCAACTCACGCCAAAACATGATGACCAAGCCGCCAGTTGTATACTCGGGACTGCCCTTCCAATACCATATCAAAGATCAAAGTTGGCTAGTCGTTGATCGAAGAGCACTAGTTCGTGTAAATTCCGAGGTCTTCGAAAACCTGCCTTTGCTTAAGCTGCTTTCGCTGGGATTATCTCGTGTCCATCTAATTTTGTCAGTGGTGAGTAATGTCAAATAGAGCAGTTCATACGTACATCCGCACAACGCAGTCGTCCCCGGCGGAGGCAAACATGCTAGGGTTCTTCGGATTCCAAGATATCGCATTGACACATCCTTTCGTGTGTCCCTCCAGTACCTCCACGAGGGCTCCATTCTCTCGGTGCCAGATGTAAATCTGAGAATCTACACATACTGTGCGTTAGTCACAATGATCACCACACCAGAGCAACTGACGTACCCTCGCTTCCGCTGACAACGAAATTCTCGCCAGCACCGCCAAACCGACTTCGAATCACCCACTCCCCTTGTTTCTGACCATCGAAGCGACGAATGATCTCGGTCGTCTCAATGTCCATGAGTTGTATCTGATTATTTCGGAGATTCAACAGTACAAATCGCGAATCATTGCTGACGCTGACTGATGTGATATGATTCTTCATGGAAAGGCAATATTCTTCTGCACGCGACGCAAGATCATACACATACAGCTTATCTTCGTTGTCCGATGCGATCAAACGGGTTCCGTCCGGTGTGATAGCACAGTCCTGTGCCCTGAATCCATCCCGCCACACGTGTATCGGATTTCGAGATCGTAGTCCCCAATAACAGAGCGGCGCTCTGATATCCATCGACGCTGTGACAAATGTTTCGCCATCAGGAGCCCACGCAGCAGCAGTCACTATATCGGAATGGTGCTCGATTGTCATATAACAGTGACCGGTCTAGACTGGTCAGTATTTACATATATCAAGACTGATCGATAAGTCATACCTGAACATCCCAAACCTTGGCCGTCTTGTCTTGAGAACAGGTAATAAGCTTGGTGTCGTCCGGACTCCAAGTCGCAAACACAACAGCATCATGATGTTCGTAAAATCTGTGAATCACCGAGAATCTGTCTGTTGCATCGTAGATAATAACGGACTTATCTTTGCTGGTTGTAACGAGTTTCGTCCCATCGTGCGAAAACTCTACATACCAGACTTCATTTGAGTGCCTCGTCAGTTGCATACTGCTATGTCGAGGGAAAGCGTTACGGTCGCACATGTGATCGGAATATAGTGATGGTGATTGCGCAGTGTTGTGAAATAGGCATTGGTTGACCCAGTTGCTTTTCACTTGATCCAAGAGAGAAGCAAGTCGATGGTCTGGAATCATCACTGCGGGAGATATAAAGGCTACATCATGTTAGATCAGCCTCGAGATGAACTAAAGAGGGGTTGTGTAACATACTCGACAAATCAGAAAGCAAAAGCTCGCGCGATAATGCAACCGATCCGCTCCAGCCTGATAATTCCCGGAGATGCTCGACCGGGCTCATCAATAAACTATACACATTAGCTTGTCTTTTACTTAGTTAAAAAGAGGGCGTAATACCTCGACAGAGCATGAAGCTGGGCAATATTATGATTTAACGGTGTCAACTCATGCCGCAGCACCATCAGCGCAGCCCCCAAATCTCGAGCCTCGAGTAGCTCCAAAAACTTCTGTTGTCGCAGCAGGAAAAGCATTTCATTTTTGTCTGCAGTCTCGGCAAGAGCCAGCTTGCCCCAGGTCGATGGAGATTCATACTCTCCATTGCTTGCGTCATGACCGTCCTCAAATGACTCCAGTAATAAACTCTCTGCTTCGGCCCATTGTCCATCGAGCACTGCACTCCTGAATGCCACAACCGAGGGGCTCTCCAGTTCATATCCGCTTTCCCTAGTTAAAGCACTCGCAGCCCCATTATAACCTAGATCGTATAACCCCTGTATCAAGATTCTGGTAACCTCCTCTCGATCATGCCCGAAATATGACGAGGATACTGCCGATGATCTCGCTGAGCCGTTCGTATTTGACTGTCCATTATGCAGATGATTCGAAGATTTGCCATTCACAGAGCTCTTCCCCCGCGACGACGTAGAGAAAATCCCATTCGAAGCATCCGACCGTCCATTCGCTGTCGTCACTGAATCTCCATTATTGGGCCGCATGTTTGCCAAACGCCTGCGCTTGGGGGACGGCGGGTGGCCTTCTGCACAGCCTGTTGTTGAACGTTGTGCTCCGCGGGTACCCGCAGAAGAAACGTTGGTGGCTAGCGGGGGTCGGGCAGAGGAGCTTCCCACGTCACGAAGACCGTCTATATCGGAAGTTTCAGATGCAGAAGATGACGAGGACGAGGACGAAATCTCGGAGCGACGGCGGCGGCGACGGAGCCGAGAGACGGTAGCTGAGGTGATATCTGACGACAGGTTCGTATCAACCCCGTTACCGTTCGATGCGGGATGGAGAGGAGGAGGAGGAGAGTATCCCGTATATTGCGAAAACGAGTCCCGTTGTTGTAGAATCACCGGTGGTGGTGAGGGGATCAGTACGTCGAGGTCGACAGAGGCGGACGTGGTGGTGCTAGGGGATTCGGGGTGGTCGGAGGCGATAGGGGAGGGAGAGTCTTGCGAGAAGTGGTCTGCCAGGTCGAAGATGAGCGAGTTGCCTTCGGCCTGGCTCCAGGAAAGAACCAGGTAGGCGTTGTCGGTGGTAGTTGGGAGGTTGTAGCCAGAGCTTCAGGACAGATGAACCGAGGCTTGAGGAGTGCGTATGACGATGTGGAAAAGTAGAGTGTTGGATGTAGAGCCCAGAACCACGTCGAGGTGGTCGTGGGAGCGAGAAGAGCGAGGTGTAAGGTGTAAGGATACAGACGTCGTCGATATGGCAGCAGCAGGTGCTGGGGGTGGTTCAAGTGGGAAGTCAGCAGCTTATCACTCTATCCGCGCGGAGTAGCTCCACTTACTTCTCCAACTGTTTCTTCAACAACCCAATCCTACAACGCTTGGCTTTCTCCACGGTATTTCGATAAAAACTCTTACAAATTTACCATAGCCAAGTCAAATTGTGCAAAACCAAACAAGTAATCGAGGTGCGTCGGTGGAAAGGGAGTATATGCCAGTATGGGTACGGAAACGCCCGCAGCGAAGCGGAACCCGTTGGCCGCTCAGTCCGCTCCGCCTGTGGCTTCATCCAATGTCTATCTATGTGGCTTTATTTATCTTATTATATGATCTCTAATACGGAGTACGTAGTCGGGTGGGATGTCTTATCAACGGGCTGTGTCAGTCTGTGGCACTCATCAGTCTGGGAGTCGGTATGTACAGGTCATCTGCCATGCGCTGTCCAAGACTCCCAACGATAGTGGCCAACACTTGGGTACGGTATTGCTCTTGGTATGTACATGTACAGAACAGTAATAATACATCAGGCAGCTATGAGACCATCAGGCCATAGTCAATCGTGCTTCAATCTCAATAAAGAGGTCATAGATTGGCAAGTCACGAGGGGATGCCGTCACCTGAGCCTCTATCACTAGCTCCGTAGATACCACTACCTACTCTATCTTTGCTCTAATCTACTCTACTCTGTATCAGCATAAAAGCAGCATCTCAATAGATCTCGTCTACTGAATTCAAACGAGTCGGAAATGCATTCCATAAACTCTCTCGGAAAAGGAACAATTGGACTGACATCGTCTCCTACATCATGACGCCAGCATGATTGGGCTTACTTGCCACCTTAGAGTCTAGGGCTATATAATCCGTCTTCATCCAGGCTGTTTTTTCCTTCTCAATCGTAATCGATTCAATCTCAATACAATATAATCAGTTCACTGTATTATTATACTATTCTCCCTATTCAATCAATCAATTAATCAATCATCATGGGTTGCAATTGCGGAGCCTCGTCCTGCCCCTGCTCGGGCGTCAACAGCTGCACCTGCGACAACAACTGTGCCTGCAAGGGCTGTGGAGTATGTATCTGCTTATCCCGCGCTATTTCTGCACTTGCATGAAACTGGTGCCCATTCATTTGTGGTTCTCTAGGCGGTGCTGATTGACAATCTGTTCCATAGAAGTAAATTTTCCAGCGTCATCGCTTCCGACGCCATGAAGCTTGTTACGCTTGTCCGGATGGTATGTATCCCTTCAGGAGGGCAGTTTCTATGGAACTGGTATCACGATTTGTGAATCATCAACAGGTGCTGATTGACACTTTGATTTATATAGAAGTAGACAATTCTTTTCCCGAGTCGATACGATTGTGAAGAGATATTCGATGACGTATGATTATTATGAGGAGTTTTGTTAGGGAATTGAGATAATTATTGAAACCCTTTTCGAACGTTTATAAGTTCAAATCCGAAGATCATTGATAGTTTGCAGTACCATTATTACTTAGTATTGACATGATATTTCGTACGCTCATCAGATCGTCATAACCAAAACCGCCTCCGTGTTCTCCAAACTACCTCCCGACTCATAGGATACAAACGCCGTATGCTATGCCATGGACATAATCTCATTATTCGAATTATCATATATTTACGTTTTTGACTTTGATGACCCGCCAGATGTAATCACTTTTCGAGCCTGCTCACGCTCCATACCAAAGACATTTACCAGATATTCAATACTATTATAGCTCGTTAGTTGCATCGCATCCCAAGAGTAGATGATGAAAACATMCCTAGATTCACAAGCCAGTCTCCTCTTCTCCTTTGCAAACTCTTTCTGGCACGCATCCCATACAACTGCCCGCTCCTGGGCTAGAATGCTTTTCACGCGCATCTTAAAAGATGCACTGACTGGTCGATGATCCGATGCTCGTACTTCGTGGCGTCGGTACTCAGTCTGCTTGACTTTACCCACTCCTCGATACAAGATTCGATCACACCATGCAGGAGACCGCTTCTTGTCACTCGTGTCATATTCATCCGAGTTGACATCGTACTTGTAGGTTGGTGCAAACGTAATCGGCGCTTCGGTAAATGTCCGCAGACGAAAGCTCGGGTTTTTTCGTTTGGATGCAAGCAGTTGGTCCCTTTCCAGGAGCTTGGATAGGTTATTTTGCCGTACCGCGTCGATAACGACATTTCGAGACATAGAGTCAATTCGATAATTCAGATCACCATTGAGAATACATATCTCGTGATCGAGGATCATTGACCCATCACCGCCGTTCACGAAGAGGTCAGTGCGAGTGTTGAGGCTATGTTCAGCCGGGAGAGATTCCGTTTCGAGAATTGCTGCAATGTCGTTGTTTCGGTGTGCTGTATGAGTTTGACCGGCAGCCAAATGGCAATTGATGAAACACATTGAGCTGTCATCAAGAACAAATCGCAATATCAGTGCTCCCTATTACACGTCAGCAGGTATCATCAACACGAGAAGTCAAAAGTCATACCTTGTTGCCATGCAGGCCACCCATTCCACGCTTCACTTCTGCAGCACTGATGTTGCGGACTCTATCTCGCTCCTTTTGTTTAATAAAAACACAAGTAAACAAGCCAACAAGATTAGAAGTATGGAGAAGAACATATGATTCCTCAAGAGGCATTGCATTATTGATGCAAGCTGCCAAATGATCTCGCCACACCCGGTACTGTCGACTCATGTGCTCTTTTTCATTATGTTCGCGTTTCTTGCTTCCTAGTAGTAGACTTTCTGCGAAAAGTCAGCTTCATCTTTCAAACTCAAAGTAAGAATACGCACTAGCTGTGATCTTCTTGTCCTCCAGGTCAACTAGTTCCTGGAACCCAAACACCAATAACTCTGGCGGCTGCTCTGCGTGTATAGCGTTCTCAATAAAAGCATTGCCATGCAAGTCGCGAGGCATAGAAGCCCCGGCGTTCCAAGTCATAATGGTCGCTCGTATCTCCCTGAAATTACAGTATTCGACGTCTCGGCCTTGCATCCGCGTCTCTGTAGACAAGTCAGCAACTTATCCATTATTGCAAGCGAAAGTACATACCCAACCAGTCATCCTCTAACATTCCATCCCATAAGCGCAAGTAATTATCCGTTCCAAGGGAAACGACCTGAAGACGATTCATAGTCCACAAAGAGCTTGGATCAAGCACCAGTCCACATACAGGGCTTTCATGAGCGTGCCAGTCTTTCTTCACGGTCCATGGGTTGGTTGAAACGTCATACACGTATACCATTCCCGTTTTGTATGCAGCCCATAAGTAGTCTCCTACAATTGCCAGTGAATTGATCTTGTAAACGCTGACGTTTACAGACGCGATGCAGGAGAAATCAGTCGAAGAATATACAGTAACCTTTCCGTCCGCGTGACCCAAATAGACTCGGCCACCGTCCTTTGTAGTATGAGTTCCAGAGGTGACTTCGCCGCTGTGGTTTGCTCCTAATGGCTTCTTCAAGACATGGAATGTGTCCCCATGAGCACTGGGACGATAGACTCGAACTTCCTTTCCAGTAGCAAGCCATAGGTCGTCTCCAACTACCATGGAAAACGTGTGACCCCTTGCCACGCGGTCCTGCGGGTGATCGTAGCTATATTGAAGGTTTGGTGTTCCGGTCTCGTCTGGCGGCCACACCAGCAACTTTCCTTCATCGTCTAAAGTCCACATTTCTTTTTTATGACGATAAATCTTTATGACCTCACGTCTTGAGGGGTATGATCGTGATGTGACAATTGACTGTGTGCCGATATCTAACTCATGGATTTCTCCTACGCTGGTCCCAACCCATAAACGAGTTCCTTCATCTTCCAGTCCAGTCCCAGGCTTGAAGGCAACTGTATGCGCTTTGACTGTTTCTCCGTGGCTGATACTCATGATTTGCTCTCCAGTGGTAAGATCCCAAACACGGGTCAAATAGCCGGTGGTACACACATATCTACCGCACACGTCAAACTCACGTGTGTCATATCGAGTCGGAATCGTAAGGGGACCCGTCTTGAAAACCGGAGGACGACGATTGACTTGGGAGGAATCGGGGTAGTCTGCTCTGGACACTGGGGCTTCTTCTGGGTAAGCTTCGTCTTCTGAGTCTCTCGGGTCGCTTCTCGATGTTGGCTTAGACGTGACATTATTTGTGATCGGTGAAGGGGACTGGCGAAGTTTTGGTGTTTGAGGCGTATCAGGAGCAAGCTTGCCACCAACGGTAGCAGTTTGCCTACGCGGCGGAGGGGCAAATTGTGTATTCATCTCCAGTGTCGGAAGGCGACTTGAGGTAGGTATCCTGGGGGTCCGCGAGGGCAAATCAAGTGATGCTCTAGTCGGTAAGTCGGGATTCCTCAACTCACTTGGTACGACACTACGAGGCGCCCGCCGACCTGAAGGGTTATCGCGAGGAGGAAGACTGGGACGCAATTCGGGACGATCTTCGTCGGACAGCTTTCTTGCCGGCTCGGGTAATCTAGAATCCCGTGTGGGTGAGACTATATGACTTGCCGATCTCGAATGCTTCGAAGGCGAGATGCCAGTGTTCCGCCTTGTGAAGCCAAGCTCCCTCGCGTCGTTTGGATGTGAAGCAATGGCCGGTGGCCGACTTTTAGTATCTGTGGACTGAGTCGTAGTCGGCAGTGGGCGGGTACTCCTGTCAACGGGAGGCGGCAAGGAAAATGGCTCAGGGGTTGTAGACAGTGATCTTGATATGTTGGGTGATTTGCGCGGCTGGTCAGTCTTAGTCTGAAGCTTTTCAGGGCTGCTTGGGGGTGTACTGAATGGTGATATTTGAGCCGTAGAATGGGTAGGTTCGTGGGTAGGGGTTAGTGCGCGAACATCGAGGTGAGAGATGTTTGCCGGTTTGGCCGGGATCTTCGGTTTCCCTCCTCTATTGACCGGGGGAGGAACAGAAGAGCTTTTGACTGAACCGGTAGGTGAAGGCTCTCGTGATGTGCGAGGAGCGCCGACTGATCTTGCGCTGGGAGACACGGGGTCCTTTGGGCGTACTGGGCCGGGTGGACTTCTTGATCTAGGTTTCGCGATAGCAGTAAGGTCGGAGTTGCCTCGGTTGAAAGAAGGCCAATGTCCGCCATTCTGCCCATTAGCTCCACGAGGAGGGGAACGAGGCGATTCGACGGTCAAGCTCGGTGTTATTTGCGGCGAAGTACGGAAGCTCATCGACAACGGGCGTCCGAACCTTCGGGAGCCAGGAGACTTTTCCCTTTTCGAGTCCATCCATGGTGGGTTTGATGTTCTATCGACGGCGGATATCGGTCCATTGTCAGAGCCACCGCTAACTGTCCATGGTATTTGAGGGCGAGGTAGGTCCAGAGATGCACGAACTATCGGCTGCGAATCATCCAGATGATCGAATCTTTGGCGGGAGGTCCGTTCGTCATTCGAACCGGGCGTAGGCGATTGATTTCTAGAGTACGAAAGATGCTCGAAATGAGATAAAAGAGATGACACCGGTTTCTGTGCAGAAACGACTTAGATAAGACCATTTATGTTGCCAAATATTGAACTCACCAAAGGCGCCTCATCGGTACCTTCCGCCTTTTTCCTATCTTCAGCCATGTCCCTGAGGCTCAACTTGGCTCAAATAGAGCCGAAACATATGTTCTATATTCCCCCCCAGATGTGAACAGTAGAAACGTCAGGTTTATAGTTCGGTTCGAGCTCAGAAATCCAATCGGTAACACGTCGGCGGGGTGGCTTAGATGCGGAAAACGTTCAGCCTGAATCGAACGGGCCCGCAGAGTGGAATATATTCCTCCAAGCTGGCACCGATATGAAACTATCTCTGACAGAGGTTATTCTGGGGAGCTCTAATTTGAAGGAGACAAGGGCCCGCCGTGTCCGCGTGTTTTGTAGATGGGGATGACGACGGCCATGACTTCGGCGGTGGAGTATGAGCCTTTGAGTGAATTTACTTACATTACTGCTCACTATGCCATCCTTGCAAGGCTCGGTGAAAGTGAGGATATACTCAGACGTTGTATGAACTGAGTTGAGACGAAAAACGTGTTTTTCCTCTCAAGTCAACAAAAAGAAGAAAAGGAAGGGAGGTATCAAAATAAACGAAGGGAGGGCAACTACGTAGTTCGCGGGCATCGAGACTAGCCGTAGATCGCAGCCAAGCGGGAGGAAGGCGGGAAAGGGACGATTGGCCACTAATTGTCCCCAGCACCGACGCAGGAACATCCCACTTGAAGTTGACGATAGTTGGTAATTCTTCATGAAAGTTCCTGCTTATTTGCATCGCAGTTAACTGATTTAATTTCACTGCATACTTCTTGTCACAATGTGGTACGTTTTTCCAACTCTCGCTCTGTCCTTAATCTTTGTGGATAACGCGTCTCTTAGAGATAGAAAAACTAATCAATTTCTCTACAGTAAACACATCCTCAATGCCCAGGTGTCCATTCGATCTCCGTGCTGTATGTCGTCCTACTCTCGAGCCAGACTGTCTGAAATCGTATCTACAGTTTCTAATGAAGAAAACAAACACAGGCCGGAAATGGTTCGATTGCGCCGAATGTCACCAGGAGCAGGAGACTCACCCTTTGATGCAGTCATTTGACATGGTAATCCATAGAAATGGATCCTACATGGTGTGGCAATATAACTGACTGGGTAGACCTTTGCCTGCAAAAAGTGCAAAAAATGTTTCCGCAAAGACACATCCGAATTCGAAGATAGGTAAACACGCCCACTCCTGCGACCGGCGAACTGGGACAACCACTAAAGGAAACTTTTTATCACAGTGATGAGTATTGCCCGCACTGCGACAACCATTTCGTTATAGACGCAAAGACTCCTCAGGCTTCGCTGCAAGTGGAGGGTGACGATGTTCGTATGGATGCGAGGTGCGTATCAGCCTTTCTATTTCTACTCATTTCCGTGTGATATTGACTGCTTTGTTATCAGAATGCTCAAAGACGACCGTGTCCGAGGCGATGCGCAACGATCTATATTCAACGTTAAAGATGCGGCAGACAGGCTTGGATAACTGAGATTCCCCATCGAAGCTACGGGCACTTACGACGAAACGAATCTCAATATCTAAACATATCTCTTTGATACGGCGTTTACACCCTGTTTATAGTCATCCTTGTCGCGATCAGGCGTATCAGCGCATCTACATGCAAATATTGTACCCAAGAACTTCAATATGCACAGCATCAAATCCATTTATTTGTAATATTGGTCCATCTATTACATCTGCAACCCAAATAAGTTCGTAGTAATCCTCTAGCTCTCAGAGCCCTCGCCAGTAGCTCCCGACCGCGTCAAGATGGCTGCTGATCCGGTTCCCGGTGTCCGTCCAGTCTTCTTCTTGGCCGCCTCTTCCTGCTTCTCAGCTTCGATGTTCTTGACGTACGACTCGATCTGCTCTGTAGGAAGCATCTCTATGGGCTTGCCAGGTGCCATTATAGCAATCTCAATGTTCTTTGCGCCGGTCTGCACAACTTCCAGTAACGACTTGATGGTGAGCTGGAGGGTGGCTTCACGGTCCATATCATCCTTGTGGTTTCGCTCGAGGAACTCGCGGACGGTCTTACTTGAGCGGCCGATGGCATTTGCTTTCCTGAATTATCATGTACAATTAGCATACGCCGAATTATAACAGCCGGCCAAAGGTTGATCCTACCATGCAGAGTAAATACCAGAGGGCTCAGTCTGATACAGTCGCGGAGTACCATCCCCTTTATCGAAACCGACGATCAAAGTACTGATACCAAAGGGACGAACACCACCACTCTGAGTGTATCGTTGTTGCACACCAGCAACATATTTCGTAATGTATTCAATCGTAACGGGGTCTTCGACGGTCAAGCGGTGAGACTGAGCCTCTAATCGAGCTTTGTCGATCAAGATTCGAGCATCGGCGTTCAGGCCTGCAAAGGCAAGGCAGACGTGGGTATCAATTAAACCAATTTTCGAGGGCGTGATACGAGTATCTTGGAGCTTCATGGCGGATCGTTTCTCGCATCCCAGAACTACAATATCTTTTCCTTTGACACCGACGGCACATGTTCCTATATTTCTTCGTGGTCAGTCGAGATGGCTCGTCCCGTCCGACAGTGGCTGGKATCTACCTCGTTTGACAGCTTCTAGAGCATATTCGACTTGAAAGACGTGTCCATCGGGACTGGACTGGGTTAGATGGTATATTCGTTGTATGAAAAGTGGGTGATTTACCTGAAAACTATATAGGGTGATCAGTATCTCATGAATGAATGAATGAATAGGTAAGCTATCGTACCTGAAAGAGCTCTATCGTAGCCTGATGCCATGTTGATGCTATATAAAGCTCGCTATTTAAGGGACGTGTTGGAATAAGGCGTTGAAACAAATCTCAATGAAAACGAGCTTGACTGTAGCAGCGATAGAAGGATGGACGATACTAGGGAAGGTGGTGAGATGGAAGCTGCGATGACGGATGCTAGGGAAGGTACCCCAGAGACGCGAAGGCAGCTGTCTCTGAGCTCCATACGGCGGCTGTGCGTCTAGCGCGGCTGTCTACCAATCAGGCCTATGGGTTTACTCCCTTTACAATTTTATCACATCGCCTATACTTCCAACATTTACATTCTCTGGTAAACTAGTCTCCATCTACCTTTTCTGGAGCGCAATAACCATTGGGCAAGAAACATACGCATTATACTATCTTCCACTTTTATGTCTCAACCAAGAGGGTGATAGGCACCATCCTAAATTGTCCTTCAATGATTTAATCGTATTTCAACCTGTGGATGATTTTCCAGGCAATCGCCACCCCAATAATGCCCGTGCTCTTATTACCGCAGCTCATTTCCACATGGTAACATTCAAATTCATTCCCATTGCGTTCAACATCTCGATATGAGGCCGAATGTCATCAGTCATGTGCCAATCAATCATGAAGGAAGGGTGCTCTTCAGAACCCTTTGCACCGTTTCTGACATGATCCCTAACCCAGGGGATAGCGACAGAGCAATTATTGATATGGTCGGGACGGCACCAGTCGTTCTCCAGCAGGTTGCGGTCTGTTGTACCAGCCCAAATGTTCACCACTCTAGGCCACCCTAACTCGGGAGGAATGGCATCCTTCGATGCTGCAATAGCGATCTGTGTTCCGCAGCGTCCACAGAACCACCGGTGCCGATCCGGAGAGGACTCATAGTGCGTCAGCCATAGAGTATCGAGTTCTTTAGTGTCACCATCCATCAAATTTTCGGCAGGGGCATACGACGGTCGTCCGTCGTCATCCTGGTCTTCGCGCTGATCAGGTATCGTGCCCCGTGGAAGGATTGACAGTTCGAGTAGTGCCATGTCCGAGGCGAACCCATAAGCGCCGAGAGAACCCGTAGCTCGCCGACAGCCATCACAATGACAGACAACCGCCGTGGGAAGCCGCAAGTCCCCTATACTCGTTCCCGGAGTATGATATGGGTTAGCCACCCGTCTGCTGGCGTCAGGAAGTGACATGCGCCAACGCACAGCAGTGCAGTTGCAACCGCCGCGTAGAGTAAGCGGCTCTGAAGGGAAAGGCATGGCGACGATTTGCTGCTAAGTGATGCGGAAAAGTAGGACTTGATAGAGAGAATCTTATTCTGTCAAGGTAGTCGGTATCGAGAGTTCATTATCCTGTCACGAGGTGATCATTTGAAAGGCTGAAGGTTCGAAGAACAATAGTGTGGTGCGGCTGGCTCAGCTGAGTAAGTCAGCTTAGTGCTTACTGTGGGATGTGTATCTGAAAAATAAACCAGGCTCTTCAGAAGTTTAGCATCCTCAATGATTGGGATACTGGTTTTTTAATGATGTTACGTGCTGGTATTACGATATTGTTGACACGTCATAGTGCTAGACAGGTTATTGTAACTAATATGATGAATCTCACTTATGGGATAGCGAGATTAGGTATACCACGGAGATATGGCATAGTTTGGTCATAACTAAAAGTTGAGGGCTATGTTGAAATTTACAAGACTGCGACCTCCGCTGAAAAGTAGGTGGCCCAAGTACATCGAGATTGACCAGCGCAACTTCTGCCTCGTAGGATATCTACTATTTTCAACACATAGATCATGTATTCAACCTTGCGTCGCGCTCCATCCGATATCCCGCTTGACCATGATAGATTTCTGGATATCCATTGCAATGCCATCCTCAGCACTATTCTGCGGCGCTCGTTGGCGCCCCGACGTAAAGTCAATCGTCAGTCCCAAGTCATCGTCATATTTGCCTTTTTGAGCATCCCTCAGGATGCAATCGCGAAGGGCGTAGAAGTCCCCGTTTTGAGAGTATTGCCTCAGGGCGCTCAGTGCCATGCTCGGCGTTACTCCCTCCAAACCACTTTGTTAACCATCTTCGAGTCACGGGCCGGAAATTCGGCATGCAGGCGCAGACAATGCCGACATTCGGTTCGACTGATGGACAGATAAAGGCTTGAGACATGTTCCAAGTGAGATCTTCGGATTTGAACCTCTGTGTGAGGATATGGACTCGAATGACAGCAGCGATGCAGACACTAAGAGGCTCCCACATTAGCAACCACTTCCAAAAAGATAGATTGGCACCGACAAGCCGCCGATAGAGAAAAGACACAGCACGATAAGTCTCTGCATGACAGGCATCTGCAGGCCCGAACTCATGGTTGAACGAAGTGGCCCAAGAGTTTCTGAACATTCGCAGTGTACCGTTCTCTGGGACTTCTTTATAGTCACAGTGCACAAAACACACAAATTCCTTTTTTTTTTTTTGAAGTGTGTCAAGGACCCCGTATATGTCCCGTCTCAGGAACCAAAGCAGGGCTCGTGTTGGAATGCGACTTGTCAGTTGCCATTCTCGATATAGAGACCATTCAGGGGTGGAGCTGAGTTGCGACCTATCCTAGTACTGTACTCAGTAAACCTCGAATATACATATTAATGCTCAGATACGTAGAAAGAACTTCGAGTGGATCCTTATAATTAACAGTCACTCAACTATATGAGCTTGTTTGGTGATGTGACCAATCACTCTCGCATATTTATCATCCAGAGAAATAATATATAGGGTATATAACTGGCTTAACATCACATGAATGTTAACATACCTAAGTTTTAGCACCATAATCCTTGTCTAGATTAGGGGCTTAGCTCTGTTCCTATCCAAATTGAGGTATGCAGAGGCATAAGCGAGTAGAAGCAGGAGGCAAGTATTTCCCTTCCGAGGTTTGCTTCGTATGAAGCCGAAAGAAATGCAACAAAGAAAATGTGAATGGAATACGCCCACAGCCCTCCATGTAATTTTGTATACCAGTTCCCCATGACACTTCTGCGTAGTTTGTCACCAAGATAGTTCAACAACAAAAGTCACTTATGAATAGGAGACCAAAATGCTATCTTTCCGCAAAAGAGACACGATTTGATGATTAAAAAAGTAAGTTTCATCCCCTAACAAGTTTAGTGGAGACTCTGAGGAGCCATGTCAAAAGGAAGGGAGGGGCAGTGAAGCAGGGCAAAGAGTTGGGGTCATCACTAGAAAAGCTACTAAAGTGCTGGTAGCTGAAATTATCCCTACTAGCAGTACAATTTCCACGACACAGGAGGATACGAGGCTGAAATCAGAGTGTTTGCTTTTCTCGGGGTATTGTAGCGTCGCATTGGGCATTCGACTAACCGTTTTGTGACGGTGTCGCAACGATTTTATAAATAACGTAATTTAACAACATTACCATTGTATAACGGTTATATTCGCTTTAATACTTCAATATTCTCATGTAGTTATATCTTTGCTAACCAAGAGGCTTAACTTATAGCTAGCTTCCGTTATATTATTACATGACATATAAACACCCTATTGTTGTGGGTTTCTATGATGTCTTGAGTTTCTACGACGTCTTCTAGTCTTGTTTCCTTCCTAATTAGGTAATTTCGAGGCATCTGGGTATTATATTCGGTCGTATGAGGTAATACGGCACTAATATACGGCACCAAGGCCCCCAGATTTGCACCAACTGGCTAATCTACCAGATTTATTCTTCCTCAACCCTGTCAGATATATATATATCTAGTTACGAAACACCTGCTTATCCCCAACCCCTAGACCCTCATTCCCGTGAGCTCTCGTTCACGTACGTTACCTAATATCTAGGCCTATACAGGCAAGCAGGCCTTGCTCGCTGGGTGAGCAATTCCCAATTCTCGCTCCAACGCGCTCGCTCACGTACGTTGATAGGCAATGAGAATCCACAAGTACGGCGTTGGCGTTGGCTTTGGCATAGGGCCGAGCTGAACTATGTTATCAGAGCCATTTTCTCTTTTGTATCTACATGTGAGAAACCAGAAAATGCCTATATATACCACCAAAAGGCCACCCATATAGGGTGGCCTCGTTTTTCACTCTAGTGGTCTGTTTCCTGGTTTATATAACGTTTCTCAACATCGTGACGATTACCTCGACCAAAAACCTCAAAAAAAGCAGAGAACCAACATGACTGATAAAGCACCTGTCGTGAAACCCACCATTGTGTTCGTGCATGGCGCCTGGCACACTGCCGACTGCTGGTCTCTCGTTACAACACAGTTGAAGAAATACGGCTACTCATCTCAAGCAATCCAACTGCCTTCTGCCGGTGGAGACCTTGCAACCACGGTGCAAGACGACGCAGCCCACATCCGGAAGACTACATCTGAGCTAGTAGCTGCCGGGTAAGACGTGATCCTCGTCTTGCATTCTTATGGTGGCATCTCAGGCACCGAAAGTGCAAAGGGATTGCTCAAGAAAGATAGGGAAGCAGAACTGAAGAAGGGTGGAATCAACTCCATAGTCTATGTCGCAGCATTTCTGCTTCCACTAGATGCTTCGTTGAAGTCATTCTTGGGTGATCTGGCACCTTGGATCATATTTGAAGTAAGTCCCCGGTCTCGAGTGATTCACGCACTGCGGGATCTATGTCACTCGATATCTTGTCCTACTCAAGCACCATATTTACGAGCTGCTACACAGGGCGAGAAAATGACAATCATCAATGCAGACCGCATCTTCTACAATGACTTGCCCGAGTCCGGCATGGACACCCTCATCTCCAGCTTGAAACATCAGTCTAAAGCCTCCTTCTTCACGCCACTGACGTACGCCGCATATCAAGATGTGCCCGTGTCGTACTTGCTCTGCGAAAATGACAATGCTATTCCATTTCAGGCCCAGCAAGCCATGGTAGGAATCGGAGGCCCTAATGTTGCCTCTCATATCTGCGCTGCCGGGCATATGCCTATGATCCAAATGCCTGAAAGGGTTGTCAATGTCATCCGTGAAGCGGCTGGKGAAGTCGTTGCTTAAAGTATACTTGTAAGGACGTGAACCCTGCCTATTATCTTATACCTAGGTATGCAATATTCTGTTACATACTGCCACCTTCAAGTGTAGATATTGTTTTTCGTCCTCTAGCATTCAAAGAGGGTTACTGGTTTCCATGGATCCTCTGCCACCGTGGACAAGAAGGTCTCGATGTCTCGGTAGTGTCACAATTGGGTAAATGTAATATTGACGGGGTCGGTTCTTTGTTAGCTATTCATCCGTACCTAGATATAGGAGACTTGTATGCCGCCAAAGAGTATGCCCGAGAGAATCTGAATTCTATGTGGCACTATGCGGGTTCCTGTTCCATGCTGCCTCGCGAGAAAGACGGTGTAGTAGATTCCAGCTTGAGGGTTTATGGTATCGAAGGACTAAGGATTGTCGATGTGAGTGCTATCCCGCTTGTAAGCACGGCGAATTTGCAGGCCACTATGTATGCATTTGCGGGGAGGGTAGCGGACATCATCAAGCGGGACTAAAATAACAACTAGCCTATGGTTACTTGCCATTGATCAGTTCTTATCGATAATTGCTTTCATGATAAATTGTCTAAGTAGAGCTTAATGTCGGAAACGAAGCTTTACTACGTATACAGTGCCGGATCCTGCGGCGGATTCCTACTGGCCCAACGCGAACAAAGCGGGACCTTTCAAAAGTTCCTCCACTTATCACGTTGAGCATTTCTCGTGTTTTCCCTTACCAACTTTCGAGAACTCCATGGAAATTCTCATCGATGAATATATGCATTGACGCGTGTTTGCGAAAGACTGATATTGGGCGTAGAATGTTCGTTGTGGCTACTTACGATATGCGGATTCATACAGGAGCATCGCGCACCGTCTCTCCGAGCTTCCGCTACTGTAACCTCTCGATCAGGCAGCAGGGATCATGATAGGATGGCATGACAGCTTCTTTATAAATCGGCCTGGCCATACCGAGGTTTGGGTGGACTCAGTCGTCGATTGCGTGGATAATGATACCTTCGTCGACCCTGTATGCATCGTGAACACACGGCCAGCTGTTACAACCAATTATTCAGACTGTAGGAATTGATTTAATGTCAAATACAAATGCAAAGATAAATGTCATGGTGCCCGGGGACTAAAGCAATTAATTAATGCCTGGGCCTCAGGGTGGCCGTTGTTGGCTGTGCTCTGCTCCACCAGCTCATGCTCTCCAGTAGCAACGCAACACAGCTTTTTTTATTTTCCCGCCGGCCGTTCTAACATCTCTTACTCCTCCTCCTCCTCCTCCTCTTCCTTCCCCCCGTCCTCCTTCTTCCCTCTGTGTATTTATCTCCCTCCTCCTCGATCACGACCCTTTTTCTTCGTCGTGATCGATAATTGCTTCTTGCCTGTATTGTGTTTATTTTTTGGGCAGGGGCGTTTGTGATTTTTCTTCCATTCTTACGTGCCAGTTCCCCTGGCATTCCTCGCAGCGAGAGACATGGCTGCCGTCCCGTCCCCCATCCCGAAGCTGGACCGCTATATCGTTATACACGTTGCCACTACCTGCGACGAACATGGTGTATACGTGACCAAGGACTCTGCCGAGGTCATTGAGCTGGGATGGATTTTGCTGGATACCAAAAATTGCGATGAGGTACGACCGTCAATTGCATCTTTTTAATGCTCTCGGTTTTTTTCTTGCCGCTAACCGAAGTCGCTTTACTCTTACAGTTGCATCGAGAAAGCATCCTCGTGAAACCAGTCAATACCCCAATTACACCACTGTGCAGTAAGTATTCCGTCTCAATGGCATCCAATTGGGTTGATACGAGTTGCCGAGAAATGATGAACTGACGAATCCCGCTTACAATTAGCGAGCCTGACCACTTTGACCTGGGAGAACGTGCGCAATGCTGGAAGCTTCCGGGATGCTGTCAATCGCTTCGACGCCTTCGCCCAGGAACACCTCATCTCGAAGAATCTCGAGTTTTCCTTCGTGACCCTCGACTCATGGGACCTACGTGTACAACTGCCTCGGGAAGCCCGCGACAAAGCCGTCGTACTACCGCCATATCTCCAACACTCCCGAACCTTTGACCTTCGTACCGAATATCAGAGATGGCAAACTCACCACCCGGAGTCGTTGCCATTTGGTCCCAGCTCTCTTGCCAACATCTGCGCTGCGCTCGAGGTCGAACCTGTTCAGTCTTCGGCTCCTATCAAGCACAATCTGCCTTTCCACCTACAGGCTCTTGCCCCGGCATCTCCTCGACGGGCTATGGAGGAAGCCATTACTCTGTCTCGCGTTCTCAAAGGCCTTATCCGCAAGTCTCAGCCTGCTCATGAACATCCCGAAATCCTCACTCGTCCAATGGATGCGAGGGCCGATGTCCGTGCTTTCTTGGCCGAACGCAGCAAGGTGCTCCATATGAGCGGTCTTCCACACGATACCACGCAGTCAGAACTAGAGAGTTGGTTTACTCAGTACGGTGGTCGTCCTATTGCTTTCTGGACATTGCGTACTCCGGACCAACACAAGCCTACTGGAACTGGCTTTGCCGTCTTTTCATCCCACGAAGAGGTATGTACACATCCCCCAGATATCTTCCTTAGTTTTCAGGAGATTGGTGAAGACTAACGACATGTAGGCCGCCGAGAGTCTTTGCATGAATGGCCGGGCTCTCAACGAAAAGGCCATCGAGGTGTCTCCTTCATCTAGCCGCGTTTTGGACCGAGCCGCCGAGATTCTCACCCCATTCCCACCATCCAAAAATCGCCCTCGTCCCGGTGACTGGACTTGCCCGTCTTGCGGTTTCTCCAACTTCCAGCGCAGAACTGCCTGTTTCCGTTGCTCATTCCCCGCCGTTGGTGCCGCCCCTGACCCATACGGATATGGGTACGTTCCTCCATCTATGATGCCGCCCATGAACCCTCACGGAGGTCACGGTATGGGCCACTCTCGGGTTGGAGGTAATGGTGTTGTCCCATTCCGTGCGGGTGATTGGAAGTGTGGTTCAGAGGGTTGTGGCTATCATAATTTTGCGAAGAACACCAACTGTCTTCGCTGCGGTGCCCCTCGTTCTGGTGCAGCTGTCGTAGCAGACTCTGCTTTCCCCTCACCAATGGAGCCCCCATCTGGATTCGGCATGGGTCCAGGATCAATGGCTGGTACCCCTGCTCCAGCACCCTTCCCGACCGCTGGCGGTGGTGGTGCCTTTGGTGGATTTGGACAACAATTCGGTGGCCCCCCAAGCAACTATGGCTTGCCATCTGGTCTTGGAAATACCCCTGGTCCTTATCCACCAATGGGCCAAATCAATGCAGGATATGGCTCAGCCAATGCAGGCCACTCGGCGGCTTCTTTTGGCAACCCTGCGACTCAGGCCGCCTTTACTGGAGCTGACCACGGCTCACACTCGAACGCTTTGAACGGTAACCTCTACACAACTGATGGTGCCAGCGACCCATTTGCTTTCCTGTCCACCGGTTTGGGTGGACTTACTGTCAACGATGACAACCACGGCCGTCGAAACGGAGCGGGTGCCAACAAATCGCCCGCATAAGCGGATCCTTTTGAAAACCATTTCTGTCCCTTTACGTCGTCGTTGTTGAATATGCCTTGTTGATCAAATAATTGCAAGTCCGTGTGTCTGGTCTTTTCCCGTTGCCGAATTGCAGGATGTGTACCATGTTGTTTGATGCGGAAAATTTAAAATGGAAGTTTTGGTTCCGGTGCATTTTGGCAGGATGGAGCTGGCTGGCTGGGTCGCTGATTTCGTGGTCTTGCGTTTTATCTTTCTGCCTTTCTATTCCCCGTTTTATTTTTGACTCGTCGCGCCATGATTTTGACTATTGGACTTTCAGGGGAGGAGCCAAGGAGTGTATTCATCGAGGGCTTCGATCACATACACATACAAACGCGCGCACACATATACACACACTTTCGCTCACCCCAATCTACTACGATGAGGAAGCCATCAGAGCAACCCATATCCCCCAAAAATGAAAGAAAGAAAGAGAAATGGTGGCAGAGGGGAGAGCCGGTATATATTGCAAACTATTTTTTGGGTTGTTTCTTAACGGAGGAGAAACAAAAATTTACTTTTTTGTGGTTTTTTCGTTTAATTACTTTTTCTTTTGAGCGATGCATGGCATGGCATGGCATTGGGTCGGAAAGAAATGGGCTTCTGGGTTTGTAGCTGTTATGCTACGTGTCAAATCAATTGCGATAGAGTGGACATACCTTTTTTTTTATAACAAAAAAATATTCTCTTACTACATAACTCCTCAGTGACACGATTAAAGGGTGTTGTAGATAGGAGAAGGTTAAGTCGAGTGAAACAAACGAAGTTCTTATATAGTCATATCACTATCCAGGCATCAAACATGTCTTATGAACAAATCAATCAAAACACCAACCTCCCAATCCAAGTAACCCATGTCCCAACGTAATCATATAACATGTTTTCCTCCCGAAAACTAACCAACAGAGCTACTTTACTCGGGCTCTTCACTGTTCCTCTCATTCTTGATCACCGTCGTCCGACTATCGTCATGATCTTCTTCCTCGTCGATCTCCATGATCGTCTCGTCAATAGCGACTTCTGTCGTTCCAGCACGCGTGCTGTGAGGCTCAACGGAAGCTTGTCGTGATCCAGGGCCGGCATGTGAATATGACGAGTCCACGCTACTGGCTCTTGTGTTGCGGTTTGTGTCTCTGCTGCTCGTGTTTTGTTGAGAGGCATATGCAAGGATTTTCAGAATTGTGTTCTTGACCTTGACTATCGCGTTGCGACTGGCGGCGTCTGTGGCGGCTTCCTCTAAGGCGTCGTTGAGGAGTTCCTTGACCGTTTCTGCGAGGGCGACGATTTCAGGTTCGATTTCTTCGCGAACACTACTGCTCCTGTTACTGAACCGGAAGGCATCTTCTGTTGCTTCGGTAGGAGCACGAGATCCTGCTCGTGATCCGGGCGCAGTTGATGTCGGGAGTACAGGAGCTGATATGTATACTTTGCTGAGCATAGACATCAATAATTTCTTCTCCTCCTTTGAGCATTTGTTGGGGCCAGCACTGATTCCGAGAATCCGCTCGAGGATGTCGTTGACCAGTGCCAAATGTACGTAACCATGAGCATTTGAGCTGGCGGTTCCTCCGTTAAGAACGTTTTCACCACCTAGCCCTACCACTCTACGCTCGTCAGTCCATTCAACGAGCATGCCTATGACTTGCGTCATCAAAGCTTTGATTTCCCGCTCGCCAACGCTGTCGTCAATGTCTCCATCGCTATCTTCCTCAGCCTCGAGGGAGAAGAATTCCTCTGCAGCGTTCAGAACAGATCGTACCACAGGAACGGCAATCTTGCGCATGCGTTGCGTATTCGCAAGACGTGAATGACAGAAGACCGGGAAGAAGTATGTGAGTGCTTGTCGGAGAACGGGGTTTTCGCGGGTGCGAGGATGGAAGAATGCCACAATAAGTGATTGAAGTAAAGCTTCAATAGACGACTCGTTCAGGTCTTTGATGGCTTGTGGAATGCTAGGTCCAGAAGGTGTGAATATATTGACAAGGAGCAGCTTCGATAGAGCTACGGCTGCAGCGGATTGCACGTCGGCAGGCGACGTCGATTTCAGTGCCTTGGCAAACACCTTGAAAATGTTTTTCTGGAAAGGGGGCGGGGTCACTGTCTCGCTGTCGGCTTGTACAACTGGAAGAAGTAGGGCAGGGKGTGCGGTAAGCATGTCTGCAAGAATATGAATTGCTGTAACCTGAAGGGCTTCGTGGCCTTTGGTAAAACAATGAATGAAAAGGGTCATATTTTCTTCGGCGAGGGTCTGAACAGAAGTTAGCTAGGTAGGGAGAAAAGAAAGCTAAAGACCTACCTTATCCAGCAGACAGCACAATCCTAAACATTCCAAACCCCTCTCACGAATAGGGGCTTCATGACTTCGTACAGCTGGGACCACCAGGTTATTCAGCATCGTAACGAGATGCATATTTTGCTGAAGATTGCCTTCCACGTTCTGGAGCATACACTGGGCGATGTGAAGACATTTCATGTTGATCATAATCTCACGGAGCACCTTAGCCTTGGCTTTTTCTTTGTCGAATGGTACATCGCTGGCTGGAGTCATGGATCGATCGCGACTTGCTCTAGAGCTTCCATCGTCACTAAGCTCAGACCGTGCTGACACGAAGCTGTCCTCAGTAGCAATTGCATCGTGAACTTCGGCAACGGCTTCCAGAACGACGCTGCAGAACTCAGATTCGCCGGCAGCTTCAGGACCGCAGACATTTCGAAGGACCTCGACGTGTAGCTTGGTACATAACTCAGGAAGTTCGGGAATCGCGAGATTCTCTCTGAGCAATGCAAACATTTTCCGTCGTCCGACCTCATCGGAATAATCCAGCGTCAAAGCTATCTGCAAAAGCTGTTCGACCACAAATTCAAGCTCCATGGTATCTTCCTCATTTTCACCACTGGCAGAAGCTTGCTTCAATTTCGCGAGCAGAGCACTCGAGTATTTCCCAAGGAAATATGCGAGAGCAGTAACCTCTGGCATTTTGTCATCTGCGAGACTGCCGTACTTGGATTCGTTGTCAACACGGCAGAAATCATTGAAACTGCGAGCCAAGAATGCCGACTCTGCTGTAAGACCTTGCCAGAAATCCTCGTCAAAGACAATTTCTTCACGGTAATCGGGACGACCTTCCCAGAAGGCTCGCATTGCTTCGTGAGCTACACCACCTTCCATACCAGAGTTGACCGCATCTATACGCTCCAACAGCTCCAAAAGGGCAGATGTGTTCGGTGCTGAAATCTGTCCCATGGTATTTCCTTCAGCGGAGGGTTTGTTGCCGGCGCAGTCTTCGATCCATCGCTCGTAAAACAATTTTCCTGTCGCCTTTCGTACATTTTCGTCTCGATCACGTAAGCCCCATCGTAGAAGCTTCTCACGCATGGACAATGACAAGTGGCGGAAGTCGCCCAATGTCGGTAGTAAACGAGAGTAAAGTGCACGTCGAGTTGCAGCATCTAAATCGCGGGCTCTTTCGAGCAGATATGGAAGTGTTGTCGGAATCAATGGTAGGTTGATCAGCAATGTTTTGCGCACATCGGCAGTGGCATCGTTCTGGAGGATATCGAGAAGCTTTTCAAGTAGAGCTGCGGAGGAGTCCTCAAGTCCACCTTCACTCTCATCTCCAACAAGACGCGCCAGACCCAAAACGGCTTGAACTCTGACTGTAGCCTCCTTGTCTCGGATTCTTTTCAGAAGGCCAGTTCTCACTAATCTGAAAACCTCGTCGTCTATGGAGTCCAGCGAATTGACGAGATGTGCAAGCAATTGGGTTGACCGGTATCGGACTATCTTGTCTTTTGACGCTAGTAATGGCACTACCATATTCGCAATGGCCATAGTCAGTCGCGTAGTCGGGGTTTCCGGGAACATTTGTGTCTCGTCTACGTCTGTTGGGTTGAATACCTCGCCATCTATAGCCGTCAGCATAATTTACCTTTAAGCAAACTGCAGAATACCCACCTTTCTCAGATGCGTGGTTAAGGAAAAGACCAAGGAAGCGAATCACCCGGTCTCCGACAGATTCTGTCTTTTTGATGGGCAGTATGCGAAGAATGCATCGTGTGACTTCCACATTGAATTCCTGCTCGCCAAACGTCTCGTCACTGGAAGGAATTTCTCGGCCTTCTTCAATCTGTCCATCTTTCGATTTTTTAGGCGGCGTGATGCCGCAGGATATTTCTTGTACTTTTCGCAACCGCACAACAAGTTTTCTGTGTCCGGTAGTGGAGCGTTGGGAATCTGCAAAAATTGCGCAAACATCTGTGCGAAGATGAGATGATGTCGTAGGGAGCGGTGGCTCAGGCGGTACTGCTACTGATGGTGTCGCAGAGGATGCTCGCTTGGAGGACACGGCGCTCTGCCCAGATGTTTTGCGTGACCCAGTGGACACTGGGCCGCTCGTAGCGCGAGCGGGCATTTCGTCTTCGAGGCGTCTATAAGAGCCAAGTGTTGTTTCCAATACTTTTGTCGTATACTCAGTCAGAGCCTCCGGAATGGCTGTCGTAGTCGGTCAGAGTCTTTGATGGGGTTGCGCGGCGTAACCAAAACAAGAAGGGAAAGAGGAGGTTCGCCCTCTCTCGGGATGTAAACAAAGACTAACCCAATGCGGATGCGATAAGATAAGGGTTAGCCCGTCAGACCGCCCTACTAAGTAACCATTTTCATTGGCTGACAAGCCGGTTCGATGGCGTGATTTGGTGATCCCGCGGTTATTCCTCAGCAGAAAGTCAGAAACGTCGCTCTCCGCTCGACTCCTCGTTTCTTGAGCAACTCACAATGTTCAAGCACGGCCTGCGCACCTTTGCGACGACGGCTCTGCGTAGTGCAGAGGCTTCGACTGCGTATAACACAAAGGTGTCCTCTGCTCAGGGATGGGTTAATGGTCTCACAGAAGGTAAATTCGCCTCTTTTGTCCGGATGAACATGGGTTGACAAATTATAGCAATTGGCAACACGCCATTGATTAGACTCAAACGGCTTTCGGAAGAAACAGGCTGCAACGTTCTTGGAAAGGCCGAATTCCAAAACCCCGGTGGCAGTGTCAAGGATCGTGCTGCGTTATACGTCGTCAAAGATGCCGAAGAAAAGGGCCTTTTGCGCCCAGGTGGTACTGTGGTAGAGGGTACTGCAGGAAATACTGGTATCGGTCTTGCTCATGTCTGCCGATCAAAGGGATACAAACTCGTCATCTATATGCCCAACACGCAATCGCAGGGCAAGATTGATTTGTTGCGATTGCTGGGCGCCGAGGTTTATCCCGTCCCAGCTGTTGCGTTTGACAACCCACAAAACTATAACCACCAGGCTCGACGACATGCAGAATCTCTCGATAATGCAGTCTGGACCAATCAGTTTGACAACACCGCAAACCGGCAGGCCCATATTGAGACTACTGGGCCTGAGATCTGGGCTCAAACCGAGGGTAAAATTGATGCATTTACCTGCGCGACAGGAACTGCGGGTACCTTGGCTGGAATAACCCGCTACTTGAAAACTGTCAGCGACGGCCGTGTGAAGAGCTTCCTTGCCGATCCTCCCGGCAGTGTCTTGCACAGCTACATCCAAAGTGGCGGCAAGCTCGCTGAGCGGGCTGGCGGAAGCATAACGGAGGGTATCGGCCAAGGCCGTGTGACAGATAACCTGAAACCCGATATTGACCTAATCGATGATTCACTGCACATCAGCGACGAGAAAAGTATTGAAATGGTATATCGCTGCTTGGATGAAGAGGGACTGTATCTCGGTGCTAGCTCTGCATTGAACGTTGTTGCCGCCAAGGAGGTTGCCGAGAAACTGGGCAAGGGTCACACCGTCGTTACAATTCTGTGCGATGGCGCATATCGTTACGCCGACAGACTTTTCTCCGATAAATGGTTGAAGAGCAAGAATCTTCGTGGTGTTATTCCCAAGCATCTGGAGAAGTATATTGTACTACCTTAGATTATATACAGCAAGCCAATGTACAGAATGAGCTTATTTTTGTGTACATCAATTATACAATATTCAGATCCTTCGACATTCCGTACCCGTTATATGCGACTCCTCGCAGGTTCCAGGGGCAACTTTCTCGCTGGGTGTTGCCTGCTGCGTCAAAAGCCCTGCTCAGGATGAGCTTTCCAGAACCTCTTTCCATGGGCACTGAGGCCTTCCATAACTTCCAGCACCACGTATCGTTAAAGCTCTCACATTCGKGTGTCTCGAGCTGAGCATCAATCCACGTCCTCCCCCCATCCCCCGAAACTTCAACTCGCGTAACCGGTCCATCACGACCCTGCGGCACTGCATACCCCTTCACACCAACCCTACCAACCTGAACCACGACTGTCTCACCATCATCCGGAGCCGCAATCACAGAATTAATCGGCATATCCAACAACGGCGGCACTTTCATCCAATACTCCTTCGCTTTTTCCGAGTCACTGGCTTCCGGTGGTAAGACCTTGTAGTCGTACTGCTGGTAATGATTCTGGCAATGCTGATCTTGAATTATAATGCGGTCTAGCCATTTCACCCATCTGGCACCTGCGACGCCAGGGATGACGACGCGGACTGGATGGCCGTGGTTGGGTGATAGGGGGTTGCCATTCATCTTTTATGATAATCAGCATGCTAACAGGATCCGAGAAGAGAGTCATACCTCCAAAGCAAGAATAACCTCATCATCCACACTCATGCACCTCTCCAACTCCACACTACCACCAAACCAGGTATCATCCTGACACTCAACCTGATAACACTCAAACGCCACGTATCTCTTCTTCTTCTTCTTCTTCTTCTCCGCACCTTCCTGGCCAGGATGCACACCAGCTGTAATCAACACGTCTCTCAACCGCGGGCCCTTCCATTTACAATTCATAATCGCGCCGTCTAGCCAGTCTATGCCCTGAACTTCCTTGAGTTGCGTGCGCATTGTATGGCGACGATTACCGGCGCATTGGAGGGCACAAATGACCTCGTGTTGCGGGAATTTGGTTTGAAGATCGTGAATAGATAGTTTCAGAGGGTTGGGAACTTGTCCGTTTATTGTGGTTGTGTGAGTGTCGGCATTGAGATGAGGGATTGGACCGTGGTTGCGGTCGTAGGTTGCATCTCCTTTTGTGAGGAAGCTGGTAACTGTTAAAAAGTATCACCATCGTTGTCAAAAGAGACAAGCTGACCTGGATACAAGTTTGTGTAATGGAGGTTCACGGTTCAAGGGTTCATCTTTGGAATATTCGACCTGTTTCGGTATCAATTTCCATGCTCTGCTGGAAATTTTTATTCGGAACATACAGTTGTAGTAGTCATATTTATTCCCAGCTTATGGATCAACGATAAGTTCTTTTCATGCTGATCAAGTCTGTTTGCCGTTGATGATATTGTAGAGTCTTGACGTCATTCGCCTCTATCAAAACATCGCTTAGGGCAAATGCTCAGGTACCGTCGCGCCTCTCTTTAAAGCATAGACAACTAACCAGTTGGTTGGGGGTTTTTTCTTTCGAGAGAAGCTATCTCAGTAACAACCGGCCTTAGCGCCTTAATGGTAGATGCAGAACCCTTCATATTCAAGATGAAGCAGTCTATAGTCTATTATCAAACAATAATATACATATTTCCAATATAGATGAGTGGACAGGAGTAAGGAACCCTCAAGTGACAAAACAAAACCCAGCCTGTACCAAAAACTCCAGCAATGCTTGCTTGTACATATGTATCATGGAAACAAACCCCATGATGTTCCGATACTCACACACCCCGCATAATCAAACAAATCAAAGCCCAAAGTCAACGTTATGAACCGCTCAATTCTCTCCCGGCATGCGCATATAAGCCTCAATAGCCGTACTAAAAGCCGCAAACCCAACGCACCCCGTCAATGCCGCCTGAGGCCCAGCGTTCCTCCCCAAAAAAGCACCCGTTAGACAACCCGCGACCACATGATTCGTCAAATCATTTTTTGCGCGTAGTCCCTCAACGGAACATTCTGCCGTTGTGTATATTGCGCCGATATATCCGAAAGTTTTTGCGCTGCTCCAGGCGCGGGTACCCATGTCCTTGAAGCCGTGTTTGAGTTGTTCGCGCCAGGGGAGGTTGTAAATTTCTGTGCCTTTTGCAGTTAGGGGGACGTCGTAGGCCATCTGTTCATTCATTCTACAAATCAGTACATGCGTAAAAACACAGAAGTATAAGGCCAGAACGTACGGCGCCAGTAAGAAAACCGAAAGCACCACCTAATGCGAATCCAGCACCGCCGGAGAGGGCTATCTTGAACGGACATGATTCTGCGGCTGCGTTCATCTGTAATATGGAAAAATAGGTTAGCAATGCAATGAAATGAATTCAATACCTAGGGTCAAAAGCCTAGGTCAAAGGTCATACCATTTTAATCATATTCTGCTCCTGCTCAGACATGCCTGCATTAGGTCCGGCGCCAGCGCCGCCCATTGGCGGGAAGCCTGGGAAACTCATATTGTCGATTTAATTATTTTGGATGTCTGATGATTGTTGTGTCTCCAGCACAAACGGGAGTGTTCGGCGCAACCGGGGAGTGGTATAGGTGAAGTGGAATGAGAATGCGAATATTCGACACTCGCACCAAGGAATAGGAGGATAAATATGTTACTGTATAGTCGCCTTGTATGATATTGATGAGATTCGAAGGATATCGTGTGCTTGCGCAGTTTTTGGACCTTTATTGAAGATGGCCGCGGAGGTGGAGAAAAGTTTACAAAAATGTACGGCGGCGTTTAGGGACCAATAGTGCAGTTATACTTCGATTGTTGGGCGTTAGACAGTCAATGAATTGTTCATTCTAGCAGTTGATATATACTGCGAATTCAAGAAGGATATCGTTTGATTGAAATAGACTTCTGCTTTCCATGTTGGACATTCCAGTCTAATACTTGGAGGCTCTGCGAAGATAATACGAAGTAAATATGTATTTCTAGTCTACATGTACATATCTAACCAATATAGACTCAATAAATAACAAGAAAAATGGTATCACCAACAAGCCCACCAGTCGGTCCGAAGAATCGAAGAAGCCAAAAAGGATAATAACATAAAGTAGCAACATAAGGCCTCGTTTCGTGATTCATGTTCGCTCTAGCAAGGCGCAAATCATCCGTTAGAAAACAAGGTAGATAAGAAAGCAAGAAATTCAAACACCGTAGCGTTCGTCATGTCGAAGTAGATAAAATTTATGTGCAGATATTCGACCGTATCGACCGTGTCATGTATAAATGTTGTGGTGATCAAAAAGCCTCCCAATCGTCCTGTTCCGCTTTCGCAGATGATGAGGCAGAGGTTAAGCTTTTCTCCCATTCATCCATCAAGCTCGACGCGGTGCGCGTGAGTTGCGAGGCAGTGAACTTGCTCAATGCCGGCCACGGAATCCCATTTTCCGTGCGAGGTCGTTCTGCTTCGTCGGTATTTCGCTCCCCGAAGCTATTGTTTCCGCTTACCGTTAGCCAACATGGACTTAGTGCTAAAACAGGAAGTAAAAGAGTTTTAAATCAATGAAGCACAAACACGAAAGTACATCGCAATTTTTCGGCTCACCTTGCACTAGTTCTTGGACTACTGAGCTGGGTTGACGGGGATTGATCGATTTTAGAAGTAACCGTCGATCGACTCGACGAAGGTGTATGCGATTTCTTGTTTGGTTGCGGCGTATCCCAGTCATTCCAGTCATCATCCTCCTCGACTTCTAGCTGGCTCGAGTTTGCGGACCCTTTCTGTCCGTTTTGGGTATTGCTGGCGGCCACTGCGGTGGCTTGTTTGGGTTTGAGCTTCTGCCCCGGGGTATCAACTCCGAATTCACTCCAAAACGATACCTCTGTGCCGGTCGGAGGAGATGGAGAAGAAGAATTGTTATTACCAGTTTTTCTTGATGCTGATGCATCCTTGGACAGTGATGTTGATGAGCTTGTGCGTCCGATAGAATTTCCATTCTGGTCCCGGCGTCGGACCGGGGTAACGCTCCGCTCGCTTCGTTGTCCGCTACGAGAACGTGGTGTGCCAGATGTTGGGGGTTGTAGCGTTCGATTTCGTGTAGCGCTGATTCCTTCCTCTCCTACTGTAGCTTGCCGAATATCTTCCAAGAATGTCCATAGTCCCTCTCTCAGATCAGATGCCATTTGTCTGCCCGTCCGTAAAAGAGCTTCGCTAGATGGGGGAGGTAAAGAACGCCTCCACTCATTCTCGGTTGTCGACTTGTCGGATGCCTCCACAGTCTTTGATGTATCGGCTCSYTCCACAGAAGGCAGTGTTGCAGATCGCGGATGTCGTGTCGCCTGAGACTCGGAGCTTTGCGTCGAGTCAGAAGGACTTGGCATCGGAAACGGTGGTCTAACAACGCCCATATCAGGCGACAATAAAGATAAAGTCCGAGTGTGTTTCGACCCAGCAAAGACCCTCCGACCATTAGCGGAGATTAACGCTTCGCCTTTGGCTGCACTGCGAATGCTATTTCGTCGTTCTAACTCTTTGCTCCTTCTAACCTGAACGGGGACGGCATCTATAGGCGTTGTTGCCATGGAGGCCGCTGCTGTATTCTCGGAGTTTCTGGGGGACTGAAGATCGCTTGAGCCATCCATCGATGGCCGTATCGGCCGCATGGCTTCTGCATGGTGGCTGATTTCCGTCTGCTTCTTTTGTCTTTCGCTTCGAACCCATTGCTTCTTCAGGCTCGTCAGCTCCGCCTCGGCCTTGTACAATTCCTCCTTGAGTTCGAGAACTTTTCGCTCTTGTGAAGCAATGGCTGTTAGGAGATCGGTCGGTTCGTGGTTGAGTGCCTCGCCTAGGATGGAGGCGTCAGGAACGGATTGACCGGGTGACATCATCCGGGGAGACGTCTCGGTGGCAGGAGTAGCGACAGACGGCGATGATTGCTCTGGTCGGAGATTGAGGGCCGGCGCAATGGGAAAGTTGAGGGTCAGGCGTTTTGCGTGGCGAGCGGCGGCGTTGGGACGCGAGGGAACAGCAGAACGTTCCAAGTCTTTGGTCGAAGTCTTCGGTGGCAACGGTGCCTCTGGGGAAGGCCCGTGGTCGGAAACAGGTTCCTCCATGGTTATGAGTATAGACCAGAGAGGTCTATGACCTATGCTCTACGATCAAGGCTGAAGCAGAGATCGGTAGACCCTATAGCATAGCTGAAAACAGACACAACACGATAGGACGAGAAGATCAAGACGCCGCCAATAAGAATGCTACAAGCGTACTAAGCACAACAAGTCGTTAAACAATAAAACAGAACAAACAAGGAAGCTGCAGGATCGAGTAGGAAAAGAAACAACAAAGCAAATCATGAGATAAATAGCATAAAGGAAATACAGGGGAAAATGAGAGTCGGCTGAATTAATTGCAGTTGGTATAAGTCCTACCACTGCAGGGAGAGATCGGCCGCGGCAGTGGTGCAGACCTTAAAAACGAACAACAAATTAAAGCGTCGAGGCAGGCGGTTTCAGAAGTGGCCTCCAGCCTATCAGCGCGGATTCAGCAGCAGACTCCACGAGGGTTCGGAGGACGACAGGACGCTTGTCTTCAGGGGCCAGCTCACATATCTCCACCCTTTCTTTTACTCGCAGTACGGCGGGAAGCTCTAGACCGTCAAAGCACCCGCGCAGCTTCTCCACTACATGTCTACGTATGTGGTTATTTTCCCGACTACATAGTGCGTGGTCTATTTGAGATGCTGTGTAACTATCCAAGTTATTATTGAGTGTTCTATATAACACATTGCCCAGGCAACTCGTGCCCAGTCCAAAAGTATAAACATCACGCGCATAGAGTACAAAGCAGCGTCCAAAACTATCTATCAAGAATCAAAGAGATTAAGAATAATCAACACAAAATGCAATCGACCGAGAGGAAACAGTACTGACCAGCCTCAAGTGGTGGGCGGAGGGATATAATACACCGGGGAATCAAGCGAACGAAGAGAAGCAAAGTGTACACACAAAGATCAAGGTATTATTATGCCTTCAAATGACAGCATAAAAGACAGAAAAAAAAACTCAGATAACTTCTTTCTGGCAGCTTCGGCCAGTATATCCAACAAAACTCCAATGCTGTGCAGGCAGAGTCAAAACGAGCGAAGCAGAAAGAACAAAATGTACAAGAGATAAGGTTGGCGGTAAGATCAGTTTCCATCAATTGAAGGAAACGAAATCCAATGCCATAAACGATCGCAAGAAGAAAGCAGTCAAGCCGCCGAAATGCAGATGGGACGGAGTAAACGTCACTCTCTCTGAGAAGGGTGTAAATGTCGAAGTCGACGTCAAAGTGGATGGTGGATGATGTAATGTTGTACAAAGAATGGATTTCTCGAGTCGTGGTTGAAGTAATATTAGATGGCCGGCCATCGGTTGCGGAGACCTTCACTCCATCGTTGATAGAGAACATCGGCAAGTTGCTTCGTATGTTCCATTCCTGGAACGTGCTGTCCGGGCATGCTGCTTGACAACTGCGGGCTGCCTATATGTTCAACCTGGATTTGTTCTGATTGGCGGCGGCGGTGGCTCTTGAGGTGAGGATTGTTCTGGGCCAAAACGAGTTTTTGCTTCTGAGGAGTCGTCGGGGTTGGTTCGGGTAGGAGAGCAGAGAGCTTCGAATCACTGTGATGGTTAGTAATATTCGTTCACGAAAGAAGGAAAGAACTTACGCTCTCATCTTTTCATTTGATAGCTTCAAGATATGATATAATCCTTCCGGGTCGACCATTTCGAGGTCACTAAACGCCTCTGCTAACCGAGAGATTGCCTCTCGCTTCTCCTGGTCACCAGTGTTGGCCAGGATTTCCTGGCAAGCAAGGCCAATGCCTCTGCTATATGCCCTTCGTCCTAACTGAGCCTCCTTGCTGTTCGGAACGGGATCAGTGAACAATGTCTTAGCGGCCACATTCTCATCTAACCCCGGAGGGTAGTTATAGTGTTGCGCCTGATCATTGTTCCCTTTGTCCGAGACTCGGCGAAATTGACGCACTGTAGACGGGCTATTTCCGTAGCTCAAGTTGAGACCAAGCGGATGTTTGACGCCGCTGGATCGACGTTTCGTGTTCGATCGCTTGACGGATGGGGATCGTTCGGCGACAGGCGTTCGTCTGACGGTAGAATTGGCGACAGGTCTGGGCATTGACTTCATCTCTTCGGTCTTGACAAAAGGATCTTCACAAAAGTCCTCGGCGATGACTGGCCTCTTGACCGTGGATGCCTTTACTGTATCAAACACCCATCCATCGTCGTCTTCCTCATTTGATGAGAACGTGGTCCTAATGTACATTAGTTCTTGATCAAATCGTTCATCCAGGACAGATCCTCTTACAGAGTCTCGGCGTAGTATCTCGTATCATCCGGATGTCCCTTGCCGTTGTCCCAGTCTTGCTTTCGTTGAATTATCTCTTGTAGAGTTTCTGTTTTTCCTGCATTGCGGACGAACTTGTGTTTCAACAATTCCTTCGCGGTGTATCGTCGATCGGGATCCTTCACCAAACACTGCGCAACAAAGTCCTTGAATGTTTGGCTGAATTCGTTACCTTCGAGACGTGGAGCTGGAGCTTTGGGTATATGGAACAGAACTTTCATTGGGTGGGTGCTAGCATGTGGTGGCTCTCCGTTTGCGAGTTCCATTGCAGTTATTCCCAATGACCAAATGTCTGCTTTGAAGTCGTACCCAGCCTGCTGAATCACTTCCGGGGCCATCCAGAAAGGGGTACCAACGAAGGTGTTCCTTTGTGATTTGATATTGGATAATTGCGCAGCCACGCCGAAATCCGCCAACTTCACCTTTCCCGATTCAGATAGAAGGACGTTCGCTGCTTTAATGTCTCGGTGTATCTTTCCTTCCCGATGGAGATAGTCCAATCCTAACAACAGTTCACGGCAGACAATAGCGATTTGCGCTTCACTAAAATTTCCCGGTTTCATCTGGATGCTGTCAGCCCGCCATCGTTGTTCATATTTGGTCTGTATGCATACCAGATCCAAGCACGAACCACCCCCGAGGTATTCCATGACAATCCATAATTTGTGGCCGCGGAGAAAACTGGCTTTATACTGAGTAACGAATGGGCTTGCACAAGCGGCCAGGACCGATATTTCTTGCTGGATTTCGGCAATATCGTCTTCGCTCGACTCGAGGTCAATCTAGCAATTGAACATTAGCAACGTATTGGATCGTGGTGAGGACGGAAGTACATGTTTAATAGCCACTATCTCCCCAGTCGACTTCTCAATACCCTTGTACACCGTGCCAAAGCTGCCACCTGGGTAATACTTTCGTTAGCAATGTCCAATTTGGAACCAAGACATCGACTTACTGCCTAGCTCTTCCATCACCTGGTAGCGACTAGCCATATCGCCGTCGGACGCCATCTTCTGCGATTGATACACAATAAATCACAGATATGCGCACGAACTGGGCCTTCTCTATCCGACAAGACTCCCGTGCTGAGAACAGCTGCCGACCAGCAACAAGTAGGAGCTTGAGAGGAATTGGTCGAAGGGACACAGGCGGGTAGAAGTTGGGGAGAGGGTGAGGGAGAGGAAAGGGCGAGAGGGAAGGTGAAAGGGCGAGAAGTCAAGTCAGATCAGATCTTCGAGTTTTCTTTTCTTTTACTCCGAGACAAAAAGGTAGGCAGCTCGAGTTCAGCGCAGCGTCGCAGTCAAGGCAGGAGCTGCCCGATCGAGGACTAGTCAAACCTTAGGGCAGGTGCGGGTGGAGGAAACAACGGTCGTCCTGGGCAACCGGCTGCGCTAATGCCGATGCACCCCGCTCCTTCCCAGATTGTCGACACGACAACAGCGTCGTCTGAAATATTATTTAGACCCTTGCTGTGCTTCAGATCGATATACTTCAGATTATCCAGCACATTGCACTGTATTGCATTTCTTGACTCCAGCATGGACAGAAATTGCGCGTTACCATAGCTGATTTATGGTTTCCGGAAAAGACACTGCCCCTTTTAAGAAGCCGATAATCAAACTGACTTCCAGAATTAACTTTTATAGAGGCACACGCTGGGTGCTAGTCTCACCACTGGTAGCATTCAGCTACGTACGATTTGACTTCGTCCTCGTCTGCCATCGGATTCTCCGATCAAAGCTTGCTTTCAAGGTTGACGGCATGCTCGTTATCTATCTTTAGGATACAAATGAAAACAAAGAACATCAGAAGTCTTCACAACATCATTTGGCGTCATTTAAGTTTGACGGTTCCAGATAAAGACACGCTTTCCCATCCATGCAATTGACTAGAAAGAATGCGGGGGGGTTCACACGAGATCACATGGGTTGACCCTTTTCGAAGGATGTGCGATGAGCTTCTCTTGTTTTCGTATCCCTTGAAAGGGATGATCTGGGGTATGTGCCTACAATTTGCACAAACTTCGCTGCTGCTTCCTGTGGGGTGACGAAATTATCAGAGCTCGGAAAAGCTGGTCGTCCTGTTGCTGTTGATAAGCAGTCTCGACGGCTGCTCAACAATTGCATCAGGGTTTCTATAAGTCTATAGCAGGTTGATTGGGTCTGTGTTCCTTGGCAGGCCCAATCGAACAATGCTGAGATTGAAAGCCTGGAAGGACTCGGAACATTGGACTGATCGCAAATACCCGAACCATATAGTGTCCAATTGCGTCAAAAGAGTATCAATGCCCTGCCCTGGCGGTTGGCGATTGGCCCCCCGATATCGAGCTTCCCAAATTTACATAGTACGTATATTGACGAAACTCATATAAAAGATAGAGGTGAGGTATGACTGCCATCTTGCATATCATGAATATATGGTCAGTACACCTAGTCAGAGCACTATCGCGAATGTAGAACTGCGTAACACCTAGCGAAAAAGAGATGAGCCAATATTCGCTTTCTGCCGTGTCTCCGCAATCGGATTTGTATCCGGCCTGTGAAAACAAAGAGATTCGGCCAATCAGGAAAACTATTGACCGTGGGCGGTGGTAGTAGAACGGCAGGATAGTTCGACCTAGCCAATCACGTCATCATATCCAGCAGCTTCAGACCAATCAACGTCTAGGGACGAATTCGTTGTCCGAAGACCCGGCAGATACTTTTACCTCCCCTCCAATTCAGACATTTTCTCGCAATCGCTTCAAACCTGGAGTTTGGGTTATTGTCGTACGAATATTCTCTCCAAGGACATTCACATCATGTCAGCTCCGCGCAGCGTCGCCGCTGCTCTGCGCAGGACAAGACTGTCGTCTCGTTGTCGATTTACACCACAGACCATCATTGCACCGATCTCGGTCAACACTGCTCGTTCTTTCAGCATCACCACCACCAACCGCGCAGATGCCTCCCGCAAAATCAAACTGACCGCCGCGTCATACCCTCAGCTCAAAAGAAACCCTAATTTCGCCGAGGTCACAAAAGAGCATGTACAATACTTCAAAGAGCTTCTCGGCACCGACTCCGCGCTCATCGATGGTGTCAATACCGATGCTACTGACGACCTAGCTGCCTTCAACAGCGATTGGATGCGCAAATACGGAGGCCAGACACGCCTTGTCCTGAAACCACAGACTACGGAGGAAGTGAGCAAGATATTGAAGTACTGCAATGAGCATAAATTGGCTGTTGTGCCTCAGGGCGGCAATACGGGTTTGGTGGGAGGTTCTGTGCCCGTGTTTGATGAGATTGTCATAAATACCGCGCGATTGAATCAGATTCGCTCTTTTGATGAGGAGTCTGGTGTTCTTGTTGCTGATGCTGGTGTTATCCTTGAGATTGCAGATGCACATGTCGGTGAAAAGGGATACCTCTTCCCATTGGATCTTGGAGCTAAGGGATCGTGTCACATTGGAGGAAACGTTGCAACTAACGCTGGTGGCTTACGTCTTTTGCGTTATGGAAGTCTCCATGGAAATGTTTTGGGGCTGGAAGCTGTCTTGCCGGATGGAACCATTATTGACAGTTTGTCCACTCTCCGTAAGAACAACACAGGCTACGACTTTAAGCAACTATTCATCGGTGCCGAGGGAACCATTGGTATTATCACCGGTGTCTCTATCTTGTGTCCACCCCGTGCCAAGGCTGTTAACGTTGCTTACTTTGGTTTGGAGAGTTTCGACCAAGTCCGAAAGGCATTCCGTGAAGCTAAGGGCCAACTGTCCGAGATCCTCTCTGCCTTTGAATTAATGGACGGCAGAAGCCAGGCTCTAGTGAAGGAATCTACCGGCAACAAGGCCCCTCTTGAAGGCGAATACCCATTTTACTGTCTGATTGAGACCAGCGGCTCCAATGCCGAACATGACACTGCCAAATTGGAATCGTTTCTAGAACACGTCTTGGGAGAAGGCATCGTCGCCGACGGGGTCCTCGCTCAGGACGAGACACAAATTCAATCTCTCTGGCGCTGGCGTGAAGGCATCACCGAGTCTTTGAGCCATCTCGGAGGAACTTACAAATACGACGTCTCCATCCCACTCCCTGAACTCTACCAGCTCGTCGAGGACACCAAAACTCGTCTCACTGAGAAGGGTCTTGTGGGCGATGACGACTCCTTTCCCGTCCGCGCTGTAGTCGGATATGGCCATATGGGAGACTCCAACCTGCACTTGAATGTGGCCGTACGACAGTACACCAAGGAAGTCGAGGAAGCCATTGAGCCGTGGGTTTACGAGTGGATTGCCAAGCGCAACGGCAGTATCAGCGCAGAGCACGGATTAGGTGTTGCAAAGAAGGAGTTCATTGGGTATAGCCAGAACGACACGAATATAAAGCTTATGAAGCAGTTGAAGGATTTGTACGACCCGGTAAGTTATTTCTTCTTTTGCAATTCAGAACAGGATACTAACATTAATTTACAGAACGGAATCATGAACCCGTACAAGTATATATAAAGCAAGCATAAACATGTCTCAATTGTCAAAACGTACGTAATGAGCAAAATCAAAATATAGAAAATTAGACCTAAATTTGTCGACGTCATCATTTCACCGGAGCTCCAAAGCTTCCCCACTTGTGTAGAATCAACGGACCTGCTGAACACCACCATCATCTTTCCTTAAACATATTATTCAGTTCAATTGAACACAGAAAATGTCTCATACAGCTCTCATCACCGGCGCAACCGGCCTACTAGGCCGCGAAGTCACCAAATCCTTCAAACAGGCGGGATGGTTAACCGTAGGGCAAGGATTCAATCGAGCCGCCCCGCCAACGATTCTGAAAGCGAATCTAGAGGATCCGGCGGATGTGAAGAGGATACTTGATGAAGCCAAGTATGTTTGAACTCTGGTTACCTAGAAGTACTATGTACTCGTCATCAGTAGACTAATATGGGGATAAATGGTGATTGCGTAGACCGCAAGTTGTTGTGCATTGTATATCTCCATCTTCTGTTGCCTCTGTTGACGGAGAGGAGAAAGGCTGATAGAAAGTGACAGGCGCCGCGAACCGCCAACCAGACGCCTGCGAAAAGAATCCCGAACAAGCCCGCAAAATCAACGTCGAGGCAACACGCATCCTAGCAGAAGGCACAAACGCGCGAGGGATTTTGCTCATCTACATCTCTACAGATTATGTTTTTGCCGGCCGCGAAGGCGAAGCACCTTACGAAACTGATGCAAAGACCAGTCCCACCAATATCTATGGTGAAATGAAACGGGACGGTGAAGAGGCCGTTCTAGAAGCTACCAAGGAGAGCGGCACGGGTGTCGTCCTGCGCGTCCCCGTGCTGTATGGACCGACAGAATACAACGGTGAAAGCGCCGTGAACACGATCTTGGATGCCGTCGAAAAGAGTAAAGATGCCAACGCAAACCTCAAAATGGATGATTGGGCACGCCGGTTTCCGACAAATACACAAGACGTGGGACGGGTATGCAACGACATCGCTGTGCGCTACATCAAGGATAAGCACAATTTGAAAAACTTACCTAAGATCCTCCATTTCTCGGCAGAGGAGGATATGACCAAGTACGAAATTGCGCAAAGGTTAGCGAAGATATTGGGGGTGGAGATTCCGGGGATGGTTGCGAATAAGGAAGGGAATGATCCGAATGCTGCGGTTCAGAGGCCGTATAACACGCATCTGTCGACCAAGGTGTTGAAGGATGTTGGGATTAATGTGCAGGCGATGAAGTTTGATGATTGGTGGTATGTGCATGAGGTGTCGACTTATCGAGTGGTTGAATTGAGCTAACATACTATATAGGAAAGCATACTTGAAGAAGTAATGACGGCGACTCTCATTCATCATACCGAGAGGGAAGATCCATGATAGATTCAATATGACCTGATAGATCAGAGCGGCCTAGACGGCTACTAAAAAGTTAGTTGGCGTATTTTTTTTTTTGGCTCATTACGACAAGCCGTACGTAGCTGTATACGTAATTACTTTTATGAGTTTGTAAGTCTTTTTTTAGATTAGAGACATTGAGCGCGCACGACCAAGTCATGATCCTAATGGAATGCCGAACTGAAAACGACTGAATTATCTGTGTGCATACAATGAATTGAATTACATGCTCAAAAGAAGTAAAAAATAATTCATTGAGTCTTCGTGCAAAATATGCTACGAGTCATGACGTGCTTTCATCCCTATATTTCAATACGCGTTTCAACGTATCCGTCAGTACGTATGTATGTCCTCCATACATTACGTGTGATCGGACTTGTCTTAGGAAATCAATTAATTCAGGTTATTGATTGAATCGAAACACACGTAGCTACGGAGGTTCGTTCTACGTACACCCCAATCAAAACGCCTACGTAGTCAAATCTCAAGAGGCGATATCAGCTCGCGTGACTCCAGCCTGCCTCGGTATTGAAATGATCTCCCTCCCCCGTTTTCTGTCAGAACGGGTACTCCGTATCTAGTTGGCATGATTAATCCAGTCATGTCAGAATTAGTGCCTCAGATCAGTCAAGATGGTCAGAACAATTGTGTACTGTAAATTAAGATGTAATAACAGTGTTTCAATTTCACGGTACAGCGTGTGGCTTGGCAATTCTCTTTTCCTTGCATACGAACAAAGTGCAAAGCCAAGACTCTTAATTTAAGCCTTGACTCCATAAATTACAGGCCAGCCGCATAGCGCGTCCGAATTCTCTGCCCGGATTATTCACTACATGATGGAAATAAAAAGTTGGAATGTCCCACTTGATCTGCTTTTAGTTGATCTTGGTCTTGGTTTAAGATAATGAATTGTCTTATACTTATCCCAACAACAAATGCGACACTGAGCACGACATTGAATGGATAGGCATAATGCTGTAAGAACGCTGGATGAGTTGCAAGGGCGGATGCAGGAATCCTTGATCGTGTGCGACAAACACAATACAATTACTCAATTGAAAGCTTGACCTGGAGGGCGCCTGGGGCAGATTGACACCTCACAACAATTAATTGACCGTCAAACGCCCCGTCACTCACTCAACTTGGTTGTGTAACAACTTAGCGCCCTCCAAAAGTGGATTCATGCAATTTAGAGCCTCTCGAAGTAATTTGGGGGGCTGCACACACTTTTAATCTTCCCACGCCAACCCTGTGAATTGGTTCACCCACAATTCACGATGACCACCCAGCTGGAAAGCTCTGGGGCCCTAACAGGGACAACCCCCAAATACTCACGATATCGCTCTGTGCGTCGTGCTGCAACTGAAGCAGCCGGGGAGGCATCCACAGCTAAACCTTCAAATGAGGCCATTGCGCGCAGCATGTCACGATACCGCCGACCCAAGACTGCAACCACTGCACCGCACGCTGCTAATTGTCCGCCAGTGCCCTCATTGCCGGCCTCGGTTCAAACTCACAAGGCCGTCACTAAGGGCACTGTGGAAGTCGCCAGTCCGCTCAGTGGCGCCTCTCCTCGCTCTGAGAAGATACAGAATCCATTCTCAGATCACGATGACGAGCTGTCTGAGGCAGAGAAAGCGCGCATGAGAGAAGAGGCCATGCGCAAGTTGACCATGGCAGAGCGGCCTAAGGCACCAGCCACGCTGCCTCAGGCGCGTCAAGAAAACCCCGTCCAAGCAAAATTCGTGCCCGAAAAAGAGAAGGAAGGAGCTGGACACAGCAGGCGCGCCTCGTGGAAGGACCGACTGGGTTTATCCCACCACAGGAAGGTGGGGCCTGACGCTCTCGACGATTCTTCACAAAACAACAACAGCAACGGCAACGGCAACAACATGACCCTTCCTGCTCCTGGCATCGATGCTCCTGTTTCTGCTGTGAATGCTGGTGAACGGAGAGTACTGGTGAAATGCAAGTCAAGCTCGCTAAAACTGCCTGTCACACCTACCACGCGAGTCAAAGACATCATTTTCTCTGCCGCCAACTGTTTTTCTGAGCGCATTGATCCTAAAAACGCCATCATCGTCGAGTCGTTCTCATCTCTGGGTCTTGAACGACCGCTACGTCGGTACGAGCATGTGAGAGATGTGCTGAATTCGTGGTCATCAGATGATGCCAACGCCTTGCTCATTTCTGATCCGCCATTTGACGGCGCGACTCGGAAATTGGAACTGTCAGCTGCGCCAAATACAGCGCCTAAAGACGCAAAATTTCATGTATACCATTCTTCGAAGCCGGGCAAATGGGATAAACGATACATCACTTTGCGCAATGACGGTCAGGTCGTGCTCTCCAAGAAGTCAGATGCCAAAGAAGCAAAGGACTTTACAAACGTATGTCACATGTCAGATTTTGATATTTACACGCCTACTAGCCGTCAACTGGCGAAGACCGTCAAACCGCCTAAGAAGATATGCTTTGCAATCAAAAGTCAGCAGAAATCGTCCATGTTCCTTTCCACAGAAAACTTCCTCCGTTACTTTGCTATAAGTGATTCGACCGTCGGGCAAGACTTTTATGATGCAGTCCATGGTTGGCGCAGCTGGTATCTCGTCCATGTCTTGGAAGTTGGCAAGGCGAATGAGGCGGCCAATGCCACTGTGTCAGCCCCAATATCTAGAGATGGCCCTAGAACCCCATCTATTCGCCAGCAACGACACGTATCGACCGATTCCATTCCATACCAACTAGGCTCATTCAAGCCTTTGATAGACTTTGGTCGCAATGCGGAATCCAGTGTATCAATACCTGAGAAGGCGACCGAAGAAACCACTGCATCCAGCCGCGATATGTTCTTGCGCAAGAAAAAGGCACGAGACCACGCACCGCCCCCTTCCTCGTTTCCTGTGCATCTCCCTGCGCTGGAAATACAAAAAGAATCCTTGTCTCCACAGGATGACGACTCGACTTTTTCGCCAGACAGTCTCCTGGGAAGAACATACAGCCAAAAACAAGCAGCTCAACGTGAACGAGAAGCTAGAGAGGGAAATGAACATGACCCATTCTCCTCACATGGTCTGTTGAAACACTTGAGTCCGACGAGCACGGATCAAGCTTCTTTCCAAAGCATGCCTTTCAGCAATCCATCTAGTCGAGGAAACAGTCGCTCGAATACAGTTCGCTCTAACCATCGCCCTGCAGAAGGCTTTTCACATAGCCGGTCGAATTCGGTACGTAAAGGCAAACCTCTGGTCGACCTCACACCGACGTACAGAGAACCGCCTCAGCATGCAAGAAAAGGCCACGGCGTCAAAATCGACTCAGGAATGCCTCTTGTCGAAGCAGCCACCGGACTAGAAGCTATACCTGGCATACCCAACATCCCTTCAGCCACAACATGGAGGCGCGAAGAGGCAGCGTCTGCACCCGCTCCCCCAGGCCGTCGACGCGCCAACACGGTAAAAGGCCAACATAAAAATCATACACCAATTTTGGATCCTTTTGCCAGCCCATCTGATGCTGCCCCGTTCATACCGAATGGTCTTGTAGCTCTTTCTGCCAATACGCCAAGCTCACAGGCCGGTCCAGGTGTTGGTCGGGGTGTTGCTACTGGTGATCGTCATGCTACTCGTCCTTTACTTGATATGACTCCACAGAGTCAGTTTGCGGAGGGTAGTCTGTTACGGAGCATTGAGAAGTTGTAATGTGCGTAATGAAGTATAGGATTTTGGAAGTAGTTTTGTTTATACCCTTGTGTTCAGGGACATCTTTCTCTCACTTTGTTTTCATTTCTGGATCTTTTTTTGATCATCATGTACATTGTTGAACCTTGGATGAATGAGATTATCAGGTGCGTGTTCGTCAGTGAGATGGAGTTCACATATTTCCCAAATATCGGCCTTTCTTCTAAGTGCCCCGTCATCCTCTGCGCTATTGAGCGGTTGACAGACTGAACACTGAGTGAGAGATAGAATTATAGCCGCAACAGCGTTAGTAGCAATCAACTCCAGCATCAGTTCAAAGGTCCTCAAATTGCATGTGTAAAGCATTGATAGTGCAGTCGAAGAAAATGACGTCGCCAAAAGCGGGACAGCTCCCCACCAATTTGATATCCATTCAACCCATCCCCGAAATTTACCATCTTTTCAAATCAGCACTCAATCAAAGAGAGAGAAAAGAAAATGTCTTGGTTCCAGAAACAATTCACCCTACCCTCCCGCTCGCGCGGCAGCTACCTCATCACCGACACCGTCGTCAACGAACTACCCGAAATCCGCGACTACAAATGCGGACTGCTCAACCTCTTCATTCAACACACCTCCTGCGCACTATCGCTAAACGAGAATTGGGACGAGGATGTGCGCGCTGATATGAGTGATGCGCTGGACAGGATTGCGCCGTATGACAAGAAGGGGAATCTTTATAGGCATAGTGCTGAGGGGGAGGATGATATGCCTGTACTCCTCTCTTTCAACTGATTTTAAGACATTGAGGAAGTAGGAAGGTTACTAATGATGCTCTTTTCGGGATAGGCACATATAAAATCCGCTTTGGTGGGTGCGAGTGTCACGATTCCGATCACGAACGGACGACTTGCGACGGGCACATGGCAGGGCATTTGGTACTTGGAGTTTAGGGCTAGTCGGCATTCGAGAAAGGTCGTTGCTACAATTCAAGGCGAGAAGGCATGATTTCCTGACGACGGACAGGAAGCCGATAGACAGAGGCTGTAAATAGTTTCATATATACTACATACATACTCCTTTTCGGTAGATGATAACTGTCTATGATTCCATGACTATTCTTCGCGTAAATGTACATAATGAAGATGAAAAAGTCCAATGAATCAGACATGAAACAACATAAATAAACAACGCCAATGAATTGAACAAGAGAGAACTAAAAGTAGCGTGCGATTTTTGTTTGTGATCTATCGCTGTTCATAGCCTCCCTCGGTAATTCGCTGAGACTCTTCGACCTCAACGGGGTTTCCAGTTGGTTCGAGAGGATAGGATGTGCTGGGGAGAGATTTGAGGTATGCTTTGTTTTTCTCGTGGGCCTAGAAATACGTCAGTATGTCTTCTTCAATTGCAATCCAGAGGGCTGTAGACATACAAAAGGAAGTCCGCAGTACCCGCAGGTAGCGATTTCAGGCTTGTCGGTGTTGATAAAGATTCGGGGATGACCGAGAGGGCCGCCGCCGCCGTCGCAGGAGACGACTCGCTCCTTTGTCCATCGCACGGGTTGTTTGTGGATCAGCTCAATGGCAGCGTATGGTTGGGGCTATCTCATCATTAGTTTGTTTCATACCTCTGCACCTTGGGGTGCTCAATTCAAACGACTGATTCATCGGTTGTGCTCACCTGAAGCTCGATGATAGTCTGCTCAAACCGAGGACCAGTCATAGCCTCCTCTCGGGGCTTCTGGCTCTGGGCCCAGGTCGACGCACGATTGGGAGCCTGCAGCTGTCGGTTCTGTTCTCCCTCGACAGGCTTCTCGACTAGTTTCGCATCAAAGGCGCCCATTGAGTCGACGGGCACGGCATTGGTGGCAGAAACGTTGGGGACGGGCTTCTTGGGTGTCGGGTCGTTGGCCGGGATAGAGGCATTGTCGGACCAGCGAGGGGTGGTGATGGAGTACGAGGCTCGCGCAGGAACTCGCGCCGACGAGCGGGATGCCGAGAGGGCGACGGAGGCAATTCTGCCTCTTGCTGAGGAGAACATTGCGTTCGTATCAATTAGGGTTGAATTCGGAGGTGCTTCTCGCGGGTGAGTAGAGCAGATGAGGTTGCAAAGCGGGAATTTGGAGGTTTGGCTAAGCTCGGTCGGTCTACCACGGAACCAATCAGCGGCCGCGATTTAGCTCTGCTTTTTTCTCTTTCCCGTATAACAACATAATAAATGATTTCTTGTCGTTCTTTATACTTCATACAACCTCTTTTTTGGTGCAAGCCTGTTGCAAGATATCTATTCGACAAATTTGCTCTGAGACAATTTACAGTACCGACCTTCATAATATAAAGCTACACAATGCCTACAACACCAGGAAAGGCGAAGACAATGTCTTCGCGGCTCTTGACAATGAAGGTAAAACGAAACTACCAATTTCACATCTGGAGAAGCAGCTCTAACAGAGTCATAGTTCATGCAAAGAGCTGCCGCATCATCCAACCCCGCCCCCGTCGAAGACCCCGAGACCCCCTCTCCCAAACGCCAACGTCTGTCCACCGAACCAGGAACACCCAGAACAACCTCCGACTTGGACGCGGTCAACGCCGCTCTCGCCGCCGAAGAACAGCGCCGCGCAGATGCGATTGCGCGTCAAGCCGCTGAAGCAGGCGAGTCGAATTGGGTGTTGAATTTCGAGGGTCCTGCCGCAAAGCCAGCTGTGTCGTCGCAGCCTATGATCGTGGCTGCTGATTCGTTGGATGCGGAGGATCAGGAATTGTCGAATGGCGGACGAAAAACATACGGTGGTTTCAAGAGTAGAAGCCGGCGGATTGTGGTGAGTTTTCTATATACAAGACTTTCCGGGTCGCATCTGGCTAATGCGGATTTGTACGCTAGTTTGAGGCAGAAGAGGAAGACCTTCCAGCAGACCCGAAAGAACGCGCAGAATATATGGCCGAAAAGAAGAGAATAAAAGAGAAGGACGAGAGGAAAGCGGATAGGGTAATGCAAAATGCGACTAGTATCTCTGGTGGTGGTGGTGCAAGGACCGCCACAGTGAACGACCGAGACAAGAACAAGAAACATGGCGGAAAATCGGGAAAGAAGCGCTCTAAATGAGGCGTAACAGATTTCCACGATTCAATTACATTCGAGCAGATTGAACTACGGCACGGCTGGGAGATGCATTCATGACGAGACGTGACATTCGGAATCTCATGATCTATTATACAAGTCTATGGAAAGACAAAACCACCGCTGACTGCGAATAAATACAACAACCTCATGAGGAATTACTGTCTCACGTGAGTATGCAATCCATATGTATCCGACTCATCACCATCACCGTCATCAAAGACATCAGAATCATTATCGGTGAACTCGTCGCGGTATGATCTATTACCGCGGCTTTCGGCCAATTCATCTCCTTCAACATCGATGTCGACGTTGTCCTCGTCATAGAATCCAAGCCGTGCTTCCTCATCACGAGCCAGAGTCTTGGCCGCCGCATTGGCGTCGGGGTCGTCTGAAAAGTCGCCATGAGGGCGTCCTGCAGCGTGATCTTCCTGTATAGACCGTCGGATTCCAGCCCGTTCTTCGGCTTCGAGTTCTTTCGCGCGGGCCAATGTTCTGCGCAGGTTAGGTATATACCTTGAATATCAATCGATGCGAAGAATACATACCTTCTATAAATATATATACCAGTGGCAACGCCAATAGAGACCGAAACGATGATGCTAATGATATTAATCGCCTTAGAGCCAGCGCTCATTTCTTCATTGTTCTCCGATAAGATACGGATGCGGCTCCCAATAAAAGCGGGCACCATGAACTTGGGTGCAACAATCAGCGTAGCGAGACCGTAGCTCAAAGGTTGGACTGTAGGGAATGTCGATACGGCGCCGTTACAGAACGAGTATGGCAACGGGCAAAGTCGAATCATGCAGAGAAGTTTGAGGCCGTCATACTTAAGTGTCAAAGCAAGCGCCGCGAAACGCTTGTCGTGCTCCGTCATGCGTTTGACGAAGCCGGAAAGAACTGTCCGGGAAATGATAAATGACAGTGTCGAGCCGACAACAGTAGCAGATGCGTAGACGATCCATCTATTTGAAGATCAGTAGGTGAAATCACAGAACGCGAAAGCTGACGCACCCCTTCCAGAACCCAAAAAGAAACCCTGATATCGTTCCAAGTGTCGACCAACCAACCAATGGAGGAAACGATACGAGGATGATCGAAAACCACACAATGATAAATGCCCACGGCGAGTGCCCCCATTCCTCAGCTACTGGACCCAGCCAGATGAAAATCTTCCCCGCAAGAACCAGAGACGCCACACCAAGAGCGCCCAGAAACAGCGACGCCGTAAAATATATTATCTTTTGAATCAGAGTCATCTTCTCCCACCGTTCCCTTGCCGTACGATATAACGATTCGGCTTGGTTGATCATTCGATCCCGGAACGAAACGGCCTCGCCCATTGTTGATTGGCGTCGAGAGCTGCGTCGCGACAGGGTTGGGGAGTGGCTCCATGGCGGACGGAGACCGGAGAATACGGGAGATTCTCGTTCTTCAGGCTCTGAGACTGGAAGTGACAAAGCCCGCGCGGTGGTCTGGTAGTCTGCCGGCATTGCAGACTTGTGATGGCAACAGTGAAGATATTGTTCGCGTAGGATAAATTCGTGCGGACCGCGATATAAACGTGTTGATTATGCTGCGTTGAGATGAGAGCTACTGTCTAGCCCTCGCTGACAGTGCTGGTCATTGGCGGGTGGCAGTATTTGATCGGAGTAGATGGTCACGTAAATGACTATGATGTTAGCTTGATCGTATATTTTGCTGCCAGAAAGTGTGCTATACTCTGAGTATATACTTTGATATCGCCAACGACAAAGTATCAGGAGTGTACCGGAAGTTGAAACCATCCAAGCTGAAAGTTGAACCGCCAAGAGGGCCTGTAACAGTATGCGTTCTGTCACGACCGTTGATGCAGTTGGCATGCCCATTGGCTGAACCAATATTTTGCTTGTATCGTTGTGTAAGTTACATACGGAGACGTAAATGACATGCTCTGACATCAATTGTTTACTTCTTGGTACCTCTTCTTTGATAAATTCATACTCTCGTTCTACCTTACGCTCAGGCACACAAGTGATATCAGCCCCTCCGTCAGGAGTATTCCTATACATCGCTCGACAAATTCAGCTCCAATGATCCAAGGCGATCGCAGAGATCTCGGGGTTGGCGCTGGCGTCCAGATCAGCCCCCCACAATCGTATCCTCCGGTGGCAGTCTCCGGATCTTACCCATCACCAGAACAATCTCTATCAGTTACACAGACTTTCTTCTACTATTTTGACTCGGCTGCTGGATATCTGGCTATCGACAACGCTTTATGGAGATCTCATTGTCATGCACATCGATCTGTAATCGTAAGACTAAGAATAGAGTAAGTTACCGTGAAGGAACAATTAAGTTTCAATTATTCAGCCATTCACTTGACCAGGATAACTAGATAATCTATTCCTTTGTAACTAGAAGTAGAAATGAGCGATTTATCTAGAACTTGGAGTACGTACATAGGACTTAACGGAACCTCCCAAGGACTTAAGAAAACGTGGATCCTTGGGCTTAGGCTTTCCGGGTCCCTCCCCCATCTTCTGCATCATCCCTAACGATCTGTTTGCTATCTCCCTTCATCTTCTACACACGTGCTTTTTGTTTGTTTTTATACTGCTGCCGTTCTATATACTCTCTTTCATATTCATACATTCTTTCTGTGCCTTGTTGTGGTAATCTGAATACGATGTGACTCTTGGATTGCCCCTCTGTGTCCTTTCATCCTTGTGCATCTTCTGCCCTCTACCAGCAAAGAGGGAGATATATCCAGCGCATCTACAGCTTTTTTGATTGTCGCATATATAAGCATACTATCTGATTCCTGTTGTCGCAATTTGTTTACTTCCGTCTGATCGTGGAAACTGGGCTAGCTCACCAACAACAACATCAGATCAGCATGGTCTCGGAAGAGCTGTTCGAGCTTTGCCAGCCAGTCCTCCAAAACACCGCCCTAGACGATGAGGAGCAAACTGAGCAGCTGGAGGACCTTCTCCGCTCGAACACTACATTAACCGGAGCTTCCCTAGAAAACGCAGTCCTTGATATCTTATGGCGTCAGCGCAATCAGTCCAAACCCAATGCATCGCCGCCAACGCGACATACTATTATTCGCCGGTCATCCCCAGCGCCATGGCAAGTGCGCTCCGCAACGCCGATTTCGTCTCCTTCAATGACCGGCACCAGTCCGGCAGGCCCTGGTTTTCATCTGACCCGAGCTGGCCTTTCACGTGGGCCTCGTTCGTCGACCGCGTCCCCGTTCACCTCCCCACGTCCGTCTCCTCGTCTCGCCTTTGCGCAACCCATACCACATTCGCCGAACCTCAATGCATATGAGTTTTCTGACCAGAATTCCCCGTCTTCAGAATTGTATGGTGATTTTGGCAGTGAGAGCAACGTCGATTGGTTGGTTGCAGACGATCAACTTAGCGTCACATCATCTGTCGGTGGATTGAGCGCATCTGCGCCAGAATTTGTACCGGACATGAGTCCGCATGATATTCTCCGCTCTGTGTTGGGCGACAAAAAGTCAAATGATGAAATCGAAGCGGCTCTAGAGGCCAACAGCTACGACCTTGGTGCTACGATTGCAGCACTTTCGGAAGATCCGGGCAAAGATGGGTCGCAAAAGTCAGATGAAGGTCGAGTTGTCGTAGGGAAATCCATGACTGTGGACCACAGTCGCCCGTCGACTCCTTTGAATCAAGCGCGCACCCCGGTGGTGTGCAAGTATTGGCTTTCTACAGGTACATGCTTGCGGGCAGATTGTCGGTTTAGCCATGATTTGACGAATCATATTTGCAAGTAAGTACTTCTAAGCAGAAGCATATAAGTAAAGTGCTTACTTTCCCAGATATTGGATGATGGGCAATTGTCTTGCCGGTGATGGATGCCCGTTTTCGCATGATCCTGCAAGCCTAATGGGCAATTTGAGCATTACTGATGGGCTCAATCAACAATCGCCAGCGCAGGCCAACTTTCAGTTTGACAACAATCAAGAGGCATTTCCAGCTTTACAACCTGCCGGGGCCGCTGGAGAACAGTGGTATGGTCGAGACATGCGCAAGTACACGAATCATGTTTTGATTACCACTCCAGCAGGCAATACGTCGCCATTGGGAGTCGGTCGAAGGAATGGTTCAAGCCGTCCTCAGTCTCGACCGACCAGTCGCCATCAGCAACGCGACTTGAATCCGTCTCCTCTTTCTGTTGATGACCCTGAAGCTTTCCCGGCACTGTCAGCCATGGCAGCGAAGGGATCAGGCAAGAAGCATCATGGCAAGAGAGGAGGCCATAACAACAAGGAGACTGTTGCAAGCTCTCTGGCTGATATGGTGCGCATCTCGTCACCTGGGCCAGGCAAAGGAAAGAACTCCAAGGTCGGGAAGGAGGTGAAGACTCGAGAACTGAGTGCCGCAGCGTTGGCTATACCAGCGCCACAGAATATTCCTTGGCTGGAAACTGGACCTAGAGCCAATCAACAGTACATCAAAGCTCGTACGGATGCCATTCGACATGGTACTGTGCGAAACAAGTTTTTGCAGAGGTGAGTCAATCAGTAATTTGATAGTGGGATAATCTAACGTTCTTAGTGCCGCGCAAGCGTGGAACCGAAACGATGCTCGAGCAGCCAAGGCATTATCGCTGCGAGGACAAGCTGAGAACGAGGCCATGCGTAGATGCCACCGAGAAGCAGCTCGACAGCTTTACGAAGAACGCGAGCAGCATCTTGCAAGCAGTGGCCTCGACGGAGCTGTCGAGGAGCTCTACGTCGATTTGCATGGTCTACACCCTGAAGAAGCTGTCAAATACCTGGACAAAATCCTCGTGAAGCATTCGACAGAAGACCGAATTCTCTATGCCATAACTGGGACGGGCCACCACTCCAAGAATGGAAAGGATAAAGTGGGCAAAGCAGTCAAAGTATGGCTCAATGAGCTAAAGTACGTCTTCCGCGAGTTCAGCGTGCCTGGCGAACGCGGTGGCTATGTCGGTGGTGTCTTGGGTATCGACCCTACCAACTACGACAAAGAAGCCGCTGCGAAATGGCGCAGCGAGGTCGACGCCCAGTCCGAGACAAACGACGCCCAGCCAGTTTTGTCGATGGGGAAGATTCAGCTACTCAAACGCGAAGACACTAACGGCAAGTAAACCGTCTACTTATGTTTCATGAATCAACGAAAGCTATGATCTGGATACCCTGTGCGCCTGTAGAGACTACTGCTATTTCTGTGGCGCTGCTTTCTGCGATAGATCAAGTTGATATAATATCTCATCTCTTATCGATCTAAACAACAATCAAATTACTTTAGGAATAGAACACCCATCAAGAACTTTCAAACATCCTATAGACGAATATATATACTATGTAGATTGACTATTCAGGCTCCTGCCCCTTCCACTGCTCCCTCAACTCCCCAACATCCAATCCACAAGCCTCCGCCCTTCGCACAATACTCTTCGCCTTCTCCGCAACAGGCACATCAATCATCTTCCCATCCAACGTCCACGCCCCCTTGCCCGCTTCAGCAGCCTTTGCGTCCGCAATCACAACCCTAATCGCCCACTCAACCTCATCAGCCTCGGGACTGAACACGCGCTGCACAGTCTCCACCTGCGTCGGATGAATACATTGTTTTCCATTGAAACCTAAACGTTTCCCACCACGCGACTCTTCCTCAAGGAGTTGCTTGGCGGACTCGGATTTGTAGCCTGTGCAGACGAGGTCAATTGTGGAAGGGAGGTCATGGGCCCTTGCGGCTGTGACGATTGCTGATCGCGCGAACAGGAATTCTGTCAATGAAGGCGAGCGCGTAAGACTGAGGTCAAGCGCGAAGTCTTCAGCGGCGAAGATGAGGCCTTGAAGGAGAGGGGTTGCGCGACAGATTTCGTTGAGGTTGGTGATTGATTTTGCGGACTCGATGAGTGCCAGGATCGAGATGGGGACTTTTCTTTCTTCTTTTAAAGTGTGAGTAATCACGTCGTTGATGAAGGTCAGGTCAGACGCTGAATTGACTTTGGGCACGACCAGGGTTGTCAGGTTCGGCGATTGTAACTGTTCTTCGTCAGCGCCAATTCATCATCTGCCAGCTAGAAGACGAAAGACCTACGACTTCGGTCAAATCAGCCAAAGCCAAACCACTATCCACAGAGTTAATTCGTACCGCCCGCTCACGTATCTGCGACGGAGCAGGCTCATCAATGGCTCTCCGCACGAGTTGGCGTGCCTCTGCCTTCTTGTGCGGAGTTACGCTGTCCTCGAGGTCATAGGCGACGCAGTCTGCGGCTAGAGAGCGGGATTTGTCGAGGAACCGTTGTGATGAGCCGGGGACTTGGTAATCGTTGTTAGGTCAATGCTGATGCTATATCATGGAGCTTATGGGGATAATGCGGGGAAGCTGTTGCTTACCGTAGAGGAGGGCTCGTCGGAGGTTGTTGCGAGCTGCGGAGGCCATGTCCGTTTACAATATTGTACAATTGATGTCAATTAGAATATTGAAGAGTGAAAGTATAATTGGGTTAAGAGCTGTGGTTACCCCAGATATGTAGGAGCGGCTAAGTTCTAGTGATGCGGGCGTCAAATCTCGGCCACTATATAGCCGATTCTGCGAAGCCTTTACCGCATACTTATGAACATGCCATTTAAGGCTTTTATCATGGACAGAATGATGATATTTTTCTCAATGGTATTGTCATTTTGATTGGCTGATTTGTTGATTCACGTCAATTGGGTTTGTTTACGTACAATGAACATCAAGACGAAAGGTAACGGCAATTCGAGTTGTAAAGTACACCAAGTGTTACTAATCGATGAAAGACAGTTGCTATGTACACAATTTTGGGGAATATACATATACCTCTAAGCATCTTGTAGATGGCTGTGACTTGACCATAAGCAATGATTCTGCCGCGGCCGACCGCCCMAAAGTGACACGCAACGTCGATAAGCTCCAAGCCGATAACAACACAACATCATTCATGTTCCAACATATTCACAACAGCTGCACCGATTAACGACGAACTGTTCTCACGGTGCCAATATGGAACGCTCACCCGCCCAAGGCGACCTGAATTGGCGCCTTAGCGCTCACCCGATTACCTTGTTGTTCTTCCTAGGCTTCCGCATTGGTTCGTCTCCATTAATTTGAATCCGAAAACACGAAGAATTGAGAAGGAGCTGACAACGAACAGGAAGTCTGCTGATGTACCTCTTCGGCGTCCTCCTCATCGACAACTTGTACGTTCCCCCCCGCTTCCCTACTACTCCATTCACATCTAATAGAAAATGTCCAGCGTCCTTGTCTTCATTATAACCCTCCTCCTCCTCTCCGCCGACTTCTACTACCTCAAAAACATCGCCGGCCGACGCCTTGTCGGCCTGCGCTGGTGGAACGAAGTCAACACTTCCACCGGCGAATCGCACTGGGTCTTTGAGAGCTCCGACCCTACCACGCGCACCATCACTGCTACCGACAAACGCTTCTTTTGGTTGAGTCTGTACGCCACGCCCGCGCTGTGGATTGGGCTGGCTATATTGGCGATTGTGTTGTTGCAGAATGTTATTTGGTTGAGCTTAGTCGGTACGTCCTTTCCCCCCCCTTTCTTCTGGATTTAATTTAGATTGACACTGTATAGCTATCGCGCTGGTCCTCACGATTACGAATACGTTGGCCTTTTCGAGGTGTGATCGGTTCAGTCAGGCGGGTTGGCTTGCTAATAGCGCGTTGTCAGGAGGGATTGCGGGTAACCTTGCCTCTGGTCTGTTTGGACGGTTCTTCCGGTAGCCTTCTTCTATCGCTGCTTTCTCATCCATTGTTATCCGTATATCGGGTGTTTCTATTGTGAGCCGGTATGGATTCACCGGTTTAAATGAGTACGGGTGTATTTAAGTGTGTATTTACGTGTATAACAGATAACAGATCATGTCAATGATGACGAATATTCATCTTCGTTTTAATATTACAAGTGGTGGAGAAATCATTCAAGTCATATCATTCGTCATCCGTAGATGGCAGGTTATCTTATATGCTAAACATTTTAAACTGTACAAATCTATTCACAAGAAATCAACGCTCCAACCCAACAATTAAAGCTTTTCCTCGGCAGTCTTGCGAGAGCGCTCAAATGACGACACTGGGGGCGCCGAGTTGGGGTTGGGGTGGTGCTTCTTCAGAGCCATTTTGACGTTATATTCAAGATCGAGCTGAGCCTTGGGGTCATCGGTCTTGGGCTTGAAGTCCACTACAAGGTCGTCCTTGACGGCAAAGACGGAGTCGATGGTGAGATGTGGGTCGTCGCTGGGGTAGATCTGGTTGATGATAGTGGCGTAGTCGGGGTGTGTGATCATAAGGTGAATGTGGGCAGGACGCATGGGCGAGCGGTCCATGATATTCAGCAAAACACCGGCGGGGCCGTCGGTGGGCAGCGAGTATGGGGTTGGGTGGTAGCAGTACCAGTAGAACTCTCCATTGGCATTCGACACAAACTTTCCGCGGAGGTTGTTCTCGGTTTGCTCGGGGTCTTGGAAGTCGTATTTGCCGTTGGCGGAGGCTTGCCAGATGTCGAGCACGGCGCCCTCGATGGGCTTACCGGTTTCCATGTCCTTGATAATTCCGTGCATATAGGTTACTTTGCCGTTGGGGTTGGTGTTTTGGATAATGCTGTCGCCGAGCTCGCGGAAGGGAGCGTTGGGCGACCAGAAGGGTCCCAAAATGACATTAGATGTGGGGGAGAGGCCTTGCTCGGTGATGATTTTGTTTGCAATCTCGTCGACGAGTCTACTTGTTCTTAGCAAATCAATTTTTTTTAAATCCCTGATAGGTAAAACTTACGACTCGAGACCGATAACGTCGCATACACGATGGCATTCGTTGCGAATGGGTGTGCTGATCTGACCAATAGAGTTGACAAATTCGACACCGAGCATCCACTCGGCCGGGGTGAGCTCGACCTCACGGGCAAAGTCGTGGATGTGCTTGATCAACGATCCCAAGACCACGCGAGCACGCTCGGGGGTCTTGGGTCCCATGGCGTTGATAACGCCGGGAGTGAAGGTAGGATCGAATTGGCGCGACATTGTGTATGTGGTGTGTGTGGTGAAGCGGAATGCCCAGTGATTATGCTTTGAGAAATGGTTCTGGGGAAGTCTGGGGCAGGGCACAAGGCGCAATTAAATAAAAGAAGGCAGCGACAAGACCAAACGCGACGGCAAATCTTCTCGGCTACCCATGGTCAAGGGCGCTCGTCGTGGGAGATATACAATCCCGGTGCCACCTGCCGGAGTCAATGAGTCGCATGTTTTACTGCGGTGAGGGGCGCCCGGTAGAGCCAGTCGGGTCTGGTGGATTACGCGCTGTGCCCGCCGGAGAAGCGCTTACCCGCTGCCGCCAGTTCCCCGCATTTTTTTCCCCTAAGGCAGACTGACACCGGAATTTGTTAGCAGAACAACTGAGAGAGACACTGACAGAGGCACTGATCGATGCCTTGGTGCCTTATGCCGGCGTCTTGCCGATGTTTCCTATTTGGGATTGCTCGGTAACTGTTCTTCCGACAATCACCTGACCCGCCTACCGTTGACTGCATGCAGCACGTCGCGCTCTCTGCCGCTGCCAGAACATTTCTCCGTCTGGCTATCAGACTGTGGTACGTACCGTGCAGCTGCCGACTCGGTCTGCAATTCTATCGGGAATGGTCGGCAAAGTCCCGATGCCCATGCAGCTTCCGTGCCAAGCCTTTGTACCTTTGATTCAGCCTCACAACGATTGGCACGCGAGATGTATTCTTCTTCTTTCTCCCGGGAAAATGTTTGGGCAACAACACACGAGTCGATCGCAACGCGGATATATTCGATACCGGTTTTCTGAAGGGTGAATCTCTGCTGAATTGCTTCAGTTCTCCGAGATGGCTCTGCTGACAAGCTGGGTGAAAAGGTACTCAGTTAGACGCTAGCTCAGGGTTCTAGATGGCTAGACAGCATTGATGATCGTGACCGCTGATATCTTTGAGGACAGAGACAAGTACATGGCCGTGAAAGACCTTAATGACCTTCCCGCATTTGACTTTCATCGACCAATACAGGGTACCGGGACCTATTAAAAACACGATTATACAGGACCTTCGAAGATATCCCTCGATTCCAAGCGAAGTTCCGAATATCGCGTGAATTCTCTCCTTATCTTCGGACAATTGTAGTCTGCACGTACCATTCGGGAAATACTGGTCTTCGTCCTCTGTTTGAGATCATCTTCCGCCCTCTGTGGACTGAGTGGTTAGACAGCTTCAGATAAGCGAGTTGAACCTCATCGGATCGCATCTATTTTCAGAGATGGCGTCGGTAGTCACATTGAGCACAGTATCCAGAAGTCTTGGATATCAGCAGGCCTAGAGGTTATGACAGACAAAGAGAAGAGAGCTTTGGACGTCATGTTGGGGTGGATGTTTAGTGTCTAGCTGAAAGAACGAGCGGCAGCACAACAGGTATGCAGTCAAATCGGATTTAGATTGGGGACTACCTGCTTTAGAAAAGAGCCGGCATGTTTCTAGTTCAGTAGAGAACTGACGGATTTAGAAGTTATGACCTGTCCACGGTTGATAATGTTGATAATGTTTCGAGGAGGGCTCAGAGCGGTACATTACATAGTACGTATAGATTGGATCCACGGGTGACAGGGCTAAGGTTTGATCACCCAGATCTATGAATCCCATAAAGTACTCCCCACCTTAACGTCCTTATTGTAACCGCCACGTAATCCGAACTAACCCCTAGTACCTTAGTACTTACACCGACCAAGTGCTAATCAGCACTATTGGAATTAGATTTCCATACAGAGTACAGCCTTGCAATACCAAAAATGCAACCAAACCAAGACCACAAATATGCAGGGGAAACTGATGTAATAACCAATCGCAATCAGACTGCAGCCTAGAGAGATTATGGTTGTCACACATAAGACATTTAGGCTCGTGGATGGAGAATTTCTGATGCGGCTGTCAAGCCACTTTATGACCTGTACTATGGCGATCAGGTCTACCTTGGTCTCGCCCTGGTAGTTACATATATCACGCATCTAATTATAAATGACTGTCTAAAAATCAACCTTCTTAAGTAGAAGATTAGGTATATAGCCAGAAGCGAGATACAGGTCTAGAGGCCTGAGCCCTTGAGCAAACGATGGAACAAATGCTACCCTCTAGGCTGGTCGTATTTGAAATCTAGTTGCCTTGTTTTGACTGCGTTGGTATATGAATTCTTGACCGCTTCATTTATTTTGAGACTTATAGAACTAGAAACGATCCTAGCGAGTCCTTTCATATTTTATTTGGATTCATCTATAGCAGCGTTCTAGAAAGATGCCGTGCGACATGGACATATCAAACGAGCTCAAGCACGAGCTTTGTGGCTTTACATGAGAATGATTACTAGGTACGACTCAGGTATGTAATGGACCTTTAAAGCTCTAAAGAAAATGCTAACGGTCTTGTAAAAAGCAATATGCCTAGAAAAGGGGGGGCAAGAGCCTAAAGAATAGAGCTAACAGAAAAAGAAAAAGACGCCATAAATGGGTAGCCATAGTCTAAAACATCTTATCAAAAAAACATTCCAGTCTTGTGATTTGACAACATCCTAGCAGCATGCAGGCTGACTGCAGCCTTGTCGCATAAAGACGCGTTGGTGTAGCTAGGGTTAGGGCAGATGGGCAACTGGACGGTACTCTCCTTCTTCCTCCTTCCATTAGTAGGCAAACTAACAAGTCTCCTCCCTCACCAGTCATATATCAACAGGCTCCCCCTCCCAGATTCTCAGAGAAAGTCTCCCTTTTCTCCTGTCACCTCACGTCATCGCAGCCTTCCAAGGCAATGTCAGAACGGCGTTCTGTCAGACTCAAGATACCTTCAGAGAGACTAGCCCTTTTCCAACAGTCCATGGATGGTGTAAAGAAACGCAAGAGAGTCAATTGGAAACCAGGCGAGAAGGAAGAGATGTTTGCACTTCGCGAAAAGCATCCCGACATGCTACTGAAAGATTTCCAAGAGGTATAATCTTTTTTAATTGTTTGCTCAACAAACACAATGACTGAATGTTTACAGAGATTCTACCCCGACCGAGGGGTAAAAGCTTTGTCCGGGATTATTTGTGTATGTTTCTTAAGTTTTACTACATGACTCTGACTAACTTTTGTTGCTCAACAGCAAATGAGAAAGGACGCTCGTAAAGGAGAACCCGAAGCTAAGGGCACCGATGATCGTCGTGTGAGTCCTAAATCACCTCTTTGTGAGATAAATATTGCACAGGATCGGGTTCTGATGAAGATGCAGTCCAACACTCCCAGACTTCCCGAGTTGAAACGTCCTCGAAAGAGCGGTCCCTTTGAGTACAGCGATAGCGAAGGCGAGGAGTCCAGCTCATATGAAATCATTGAGGATATCAACCCTTCTGGTCATCGTACTCCCAACAAGGTACGCACAACAATAGGTAGCAAAATCCTTGACAAATGACTGACATCTCAGGGGCTGCAGTTCATTAAGCTATCACACTCCGCAGAAGCTCAGTCCCCATCGACTCGTCATGTTGAGCAACAAGAACCTACTATCCGCTCTCAGACAGATGAAGCTCCTCAGGTATCAAAAGAAGATATAGCACTTGCATACAGACCTCAGACAACTCCTCCAGAAACTACCATTGTGGCTCAACATACTGGCTGTTTAGAGTCAAGCTCAAACTCTACGGGCATGAGTCCAATCGTCCTTGACATTCCTCTAGAGCAACCTGCAGAGTGTCATGGAACCGAGATGCAAGTAGACGTTGCCAAAGACAGAAAGCATCAGCAAACCCAGCTTCAAGCCCCAAAACAAGAAGCATTTCCAGAGTCCTACATCAGACAAGGATTTGCCAAGGAAGTCACGGACATTTACACAAAGCTCCAATCACTGTGTCGCTTCGAAGAGCAATTGTTCTCCACGGTGAATCAGACTCGGGCCTATAATTCTGCGGTTGAAAAGACGAGTCATATACTGAAAAAAGATTATGATACCATCAAAACAGAATTTGAAGCGATGAAAAATGAAAAGGATAAGGAGATCACACAGCTCAAGGCAGACTGGCAGGCTGAGCGGGATGCTTTGGTGCAGGAGAATGCACTTTTGGGTAAGAGAATTGAGTTGATGAAATCTGCGTTGTACGGGAATATTGAGGCGTGATACCTCAAGAGCCAAAAGCGGGGGGTGATTGCCGGGGTTTTACATAGTGTCTAATATACCCTGGTCCGGCGCCATTCAGTTTGCGTCCGGGATGTTAGTAGCAGTTGATGCTCACACAGACCAAAAACTTCTACTGATTCAGGATCTATTACCTCTTAGAATCATAATTCCCGCTGACCTCACTTCGGCCAAGGGGTTTTCCAAAGACATCAAGGTTCAGAGGAAGCTCGTCGAAAAAAGAAGAAACCGATTAAACAACACAAATGCCAACAGAAATGCTCATACTAACCAATAATGCCATTGTGGCAAAACGAGAACAAAGAAAAATTAAGTGTATAGACAGGGGTTGTCACTAAATGATTAGTGTTAGGGCTATTATTCGCTCCCGTAGCCATGCGGCGCAGTCAACTAACCCCTTTTACCAACCAAGGGCAGGAAATAACCACTGTCCCTCCGCTTTTAGATGCATTTTCTTTGTTGCTTTGTTCTTACATAACATCATAAACTCTCCAACTTGTTTCGACATGATTGGGTTAAGGAATGACTACGTATGGACAGCAAGCAACATCCTTGCGAGGTAGACACCTTCTGAAGTTTCGGACCTTCTTCCCTGATCATTTTTTTCCCATTTTTTTAAGCCCAGGGATCTTTCAGTGTAGTCCTCTTGTTCGACTTCTGTGGGGCTTAGCTGACTCGACGAGATTTCTACAAGCGTATCAATCTCAGATGGATGTCACAGATGCCACCAACGGGACGTAAAACACGCAGAAGATAGAACTAAATCAGCTACGTAATCGATACCATTTAATCATTTGACCTATTCAAACGTTCAACTACATTGACCATGTCAATTATGTAACTATGTTCGTTTATTTGACTATTTTCATTATATCTAACTGCTCAAGTGTTCAACTGTCGACTTGACACGATGCTACACGAAGCTTAGACTTAAGACGTACGACCGTGGGAACCAAGATCAACCCGTTTGAGTACCATGTATACTTGACCACCTTTAATTAGCCAACCATATTCGACCACTGCTTCTTTTAAACGACCCGCTTGATTGAGCACTCGCTACGTAGTTGAACGTGACAAGTGTCTCCACACCCTCCTCTTGTCTTAATATAATAAATATGAACATACATTTGAACAAGCGGACCGAGCACCAGTCCGATTAAACAATGAGTGGGTCGTTTGTTTTCGAGTCCAGATTCAAAAAGGCCTAGTCTACGTAAAATCGTTCAAAAAGAAAGGGCTGTCCAAAAAGTGTTCACTGTCAAACTACACAGCACTAGACTATGAAGCATAGTCTCGAACGATCGTTCAAATAAGTGGAACCAGAAAGTGATCCAACTTGAACAGAACCCTAAGACCATGGTCAAAAAGTTCACCATCTAGGAGATGGAGTGTTCAACTCGATGCCATGTGTGTTCTTCGTTTATACAGATGGCTCTGTAGCAATTTCAAGGGACAACCAGTCTTGAACGATACTCCCTACGTCTTTGGCTATAAATACCTGGATGGTCTCCGTGAATCATGGCACTCTCTCTTCTCGAAAAATACAATCCAACTGCGCGACGTCCACGATAATCTTTGTCACCTACCAAATCAGGTTTAATTATCGTCAATATTCTCATTATGGATCAACAAATCGTCCGTCGAACCAATGCGCCCGCGCAGGTATGGCCATTCCATCCGTGACATCCTAAAAAAGCTTAAAAGTCGTCATGAGAACTGTCGAAGCTAATCCATTAGAAGGCCCCCTTACGCCAACAACGTACCTACGAGGAGCTTCTACTCAAGATCCACGAGTGTAACACACTCACTGCACGGAACCAGCAACTCGAACAAGAAAATGCTTCGTTTCGGCTACAGCTACAGCTACAACGCGCTCCGGCTGATCAGGGGTCGGCTGGCGGGAGACTTGAGTCTCAGCTCCAGGATGCTAATACCAAGATGCACAACTATATCACGGTCATGCGTGCGCAACTGGATGCCAGCATGAAGCACATAAAGGAGCAGCAGAACACTATCGAAGGAATGAAATTAGCTATTCGTCGTACTCGAGACTTTCTCAATACTGAGTTCAACCTAGACCCTTAACCACCTAGGTACGACATGAGAAGATGCGATGAAGCGAGTTCAGCTACACACTCTCTGGCATGCGAGAAGGACATGATTGAAGGATTTCAGATTGATTTACACACACTCATTTTCTAATTTGTGACTTATTTTTGTCTTGGTGCTTGAAGACATTCGTTACTCCATTTTGGTTTTCCCACATACTTGTTGCTTGTTGCTTTGCAGCTTGTGTCAAGCGTTCAATCCTTTGGATTACTTTCACTTTGTGATCTACTCGATACTCATAGTACTAGTGGCGAAAAGTCAGAGGATGATATGGCGAGCCGCTGATTTGTTAAATATTCCATAATTATCTTGACTGAATACTAATACTATGACTCTTTCTCAATGGTCCTGTACTTGCGAGAACAAAGAAAATTAAGTGCATGGACAGGAGTTATCAATAAATGATTGGTGTTAGGGCTATTATTCGCTCCCGTAGCCATGCGGCGCAGTCAACTAACCCTTTTACCACTCAAGGGTAGGAAATAACCACTGTCCCTCCATTTTTAGATGCATTTACCATCTCGAATTTGATTTCTTATATTTCGTTTAATGCTATACCAGAGATCCATTATATTTAATTATTATGTGGTGTTGTAAAGCTTCAAAATATTCTTTACAGTAATACACTAACGATCTCTGTACTATACTCTGTATGGACACCTACTCCGTATATTCGAGGATTCCCTCATTAGAGAAGAAATTCTGTAATTAATGTCCTATTTTGCAGCCCTTCGTGCGTAATAAATCCAATTCAACGCAAAATCCTTGTTACATTCTCTTGGCCTAGCACATGGTTGGCGATCTGTGACAGTGGTCAAAACCTGATATTGAGGCTATCTCGCTAACTAGGTGCACCGGGTCTACTGGCAATATCAAGCATGGAGAAAGGAAGAAGAAAAGAATCAGACACCCTTCGCCAGAGGGCCCTTTTATATGTGTGCTTCCTTTGTTCTCTTGTTTCCTAACATGGCATCGCTGAGGGTATTCCCGTTACAGCACCGCTTAGGGTCCTTGCCCTAAGTACGGATTGCTCCGGTCAACCCCCGACTGCGCTATATCAAGTCTTTGAGGCTCAGAGAACTGTCACAGATCAAACCAAACACCTGAACAGGCAAATTGACCTGGGTGGAGATATCTATTCTATTTTCCGAATCCCATGGGTCTAGTTTCTCATCGATGCCATTTACAAGCACAGAACGTGGAAAACTGGGCTTTCCCCCCGTTCAGCTGTATTTTTTTTGGCGGGGGAGGGGGGGGGGATCTAGGACTTGCAGAATGCATACAAGTTTATCAGGCTAATGATGACTAGAAACAAAACTGGCACAGTTGTGGAAATTGGCGAGAGCTAGGAAGATAACTAGTCAAAGAATTCACAAAGAGCAGCAACAATTCACACAGTATAGAGGTCACACCTAATGCTGAGAGCCGTGTATTGTTCCCAGATTCCCCCGGAACGAACTAGAGCTAGGCGCACTCTTCCCCGTACCAACGGAGTACATATCTTTGGCCTGCAGCGCGTTAAAAATTTTCGAATACTTGTGGCCGGTCCAGGTTGGGTTCGGTATTATAGATATCATGGAGCCTCGACGGCTTCTTCGTCACGCTTCTCCGGATCCACATAATTGGTATAGTAGAAGCGTTTGTCGAGGTTTTCGTCGCGCTTCTCCTCAGGCACATAATGGGTATAGTAGAAGCGTTTGTCGAGGTTCTCGTCGCGCTTTTCCTCAGGCACATAATGGGTATAGTAGAAGCGTTTGTCGAGGTTCTCGTCACGCTTCTCCGGATCCACATAATTGGTATAGTAGAAGCGTTTGTCGAGGTTCTCGTCGCGCTTCTCCTCAGGCACATAATGGGTATAGTAGAAGCGTTTGTCGAGGTTCTCGTCACGCTTCTCTGGAGGCGCATAATTGGTATAATAGAAGCGTTTGTCAACCTCTTCAGTAGCACGCTCTAGCTGGTCATTACCAGAGACAGGAAGCGCCAATGCACTACCTGCAGCTCCAAGGAAAGCAAAATAGTAAAGAAAACGCATCTTGATGTTGTTGAGGATACAGGCAGGTCCGATAAGAAACAAGACAGATTGTTTGTTGATGATTGAAGCCTGTTCTTGGGGCAGAGCTATGACTCTTTATATGCCATGAAAGCTGCCCTTTCCTGTCGTTCTCCTGAGATTATGGACATTAAATCGTCGATCTTACTTCCTAGTCCGGATCATTCAAGTAGCAGTCAGCTGCCTGACTACCAAATTTGAGGCCTGCATATGGGGTAGTCTGCAACTATGATGCTGCGGAACATGCATCATTACGTATCCTCATCCCTCAATTGTGCAGAGAGCCACTGTGGTGTGTGGTCCATGCATCTGCAGGTTATTCCACATCCTGCTTGAGGGCGCCAAAGGTTCATACGATTGGAAAGTTGTGAATCGCCTGTTCGGTTACTTCACATGACTGCACAAATACTAAAATGTATCGTACTCCCTTCATGACTTCTCGTACATTAATTGATGAACGACAGCGCATTTAGTGGCTCTACTGTCAGCGAATCTGGAAGCAATCAAGGATAGACTACAACTGTTTAGCTACAAATCGCCGATAAACTCTTTAAGCTTTGCGACGTGTCTAATCTAGCAAGAAGGGCCAAAGCATCGTGCAGAATCGCCCGGTATGCCGATCTTTCGGAGTTTGAATTAGTTCACCAATGATCACAAGCGGGACAGACACTATCTCATACAATAGCACAAGTTTGAGCAGTCACCATCAGCAAGAACACACTGCTATGAAGCACGTCGCCATGGTGCAAGCCTCCTGCTGAGCATTGAAAATACGCATCAACTATCAGGGAATCTAGAAACTCCAAAGACACTCGGATTATATGCTTTTGATCGGTTGATTATGCGAGAAAAACTAACGATGCAAATCGTGCACTTTGCAAGTGTCTAGCCACGTAGTTTGAGGGCTATCTCTTGGCATGGTTCGTGGTGACTTTTAGTATGCATTAGCGCAGTTGGCAGTATACAGGGGTGCGATTGGCTGCATCATCTTAAACACCACTGATTTTCACGCAGATCGTCGATTGTTATACGCAAGTCCCCAGCAACGCTAGAACTAAATGTGTGGGACAGATACATCCATCTAGAGTTGCGTAACAGATTGCACCTCCGAGATCACATAGACTAGTGATTTCCACTCTTATTGCGTGATGTAGATATCCCGTACATATGCATTGCAAAGTCTCATCACCCTGGGTGTTCAGCTACGCCACCTCGTTCATCTGGGTAAAGCAAGACGTCAGGAAGCGGGGGGTTTTAGCACTGTTGACCATTTGTGGATGGTACGTTCTCGTCCTTACTATTGCCACAGGGTAGACACCAATCGGTTGTGATGATTGCCGAATCCCTCCGACACTTTCCACTTTTTCTAAATGACAGCTTGATGGTCTCTTTTGATACCAAATATTTTTCATCTTTGACTAATTTTTCACAACATCACTCGCAAACAAAATGGGCCTCTCAGAACTTTGGAAATACTTCCACCAGGAGCCCGAGTTCCATGCTCTCCAAACTGAGAGTTATGATGTTGATGAGGGAGATAATGAGTCAGAGAAACTGTTACCAAGGAGGAGTCTTGCAAGAAAGTCTGCTCTTCCAACAGCCTGTATCTCCTTGACGATTGTAAACGTGTTTATATTGAGCATTACCATCTTCCTGGTCTTCATTGCAAGAGGAAACCTCTCAAGGAACGAGAAGAATGCCGTTCTCAGACCAGTTTCATGGTGGTGTCAGTCTCCGCTCCCTAAACAAATTGCTTCTCCAGGCTAACGAGGTTGTTGCTTATCACAGCACCGGTCCTCGACGATATAGAGATTCCACGATATACCACAAGGCTGAATGGGACGCTTTTTGCTTTACCAGAGGTCTCGATTGCTCGTGAGGAGCCCAGTGCTGAAAATGACGCAGCTTGGGCACAATATGAAAAGGTCTTAACACATGTCGTCACTCGCGAGCAGATCATCAAGCTGGGTAAAGACCCCGAGACAGTTGCTCGCTTCGATGAAGAATACTGGGACATGGGAGATGATGCGTACATGGTCCAGCTCGATGTTATGCATGTAAGAGCTCCAGTGTTTTGGGGGGCAGCGGATAGAAAACTGTATTTTGTATTCACTGACTTGGGAAATGCACAGCAAATCCATTGCCTGAACCTACTCCGCAAAGCCGCTTTTGAGGACTACCCCGGCTATGAGCCCAAGTTAGACGTCAAAGATAAGATGTGGTGGATTCATCTTGGCCATTGCACCGATATATTACTCCAAAATCTTCAATGCAATGCTAACACTGAGGTTTTGACACTAACCTGGGTAGAAGACCGCCAGGTTCCTTGGCCAGACTTCAGTGTGAATCGAAAATGTCGCGACTTCAATGCGCTGGTGGACTGGCAACGTGAAAATGCTGTTGACGCCGACAAATTCGATGCAATGCCTGTTCCTACAAATGCTTTTGTGTGGCCGGCGCCTTGGAAGAAACAAGATTACGAACTTGGTATCAAATTAGGCGATCATCATCTACAGGAAGGGGAGGAACTCGGGGATCCACATATGCATCATAACCATCAGCTTGAGGAAAATTGATTTCCTCTGTAGGAATAGGCCGTCTAGATAGCTCAGGCTTAACGATCGTTGTACGAAAAGAAAAGTGCATGCAGGCGATTCTACATGTCGAAATAGTATCAAAATTTTATAAGGAGTAGTTTTGCTGGGGTTGCCTAACGTTGCCCGACTGTCAACCACCGAGATCGGTGCTCACTTAGTTAGGAATATGTGCCTGTCACACTACTTACTACATATTTCCGTAGCAAGGCCCTACAGAGGTTTGGACCAAGCAGAAGTCGGCCCCTGCGGGACACTAACGAAAGTAAAATATTGCGGGTATATCTTCCTGGAGAATTTCGTTGCACATTGTGCATTTTGTTCTATACCAAAACTAGAGTATTACATCATGCATAAAGTAGTCAGACAGTAAAGTTGACGCCACTGCAACTAACACAAGGATCGTCAGTTGCAATGTGGTCACCGCTCGTTCTCTTCTAGCTTGGTTTGTGATCGCCTCTCTCGATACAAGAAGCACCTCCCCGCACTAGCTGTGCATTCTGAAAAGTTACTCATTGTAGCGCTTTCCCTTTCTTTTTTTTTCTCTTATCAATCATGAGCATATCAGCCTCGCCGCCAGAGTTTAGCCATGGGGGCGATGACGAAAGCGTCTCCCCCTCAAGGAAGCCCAGGGACCCGCCACAGGCGGAATGTTGTCGTGGTCTTGACTCGGATCTGTCCCCGCACACTCGTTTTCGCCTTTTAATTACATTGACAGTGATATTGTTAGCCTTTGAAATTGGGGGACAGATGATACCAGGCCCCATGTTGCGACTGATCGAGACCATCGCATGCAACAACTACTGGCGTCGACATGACCCAGCCCGGCTACCAGTGTCCGGTCATCTCCCAGAACACCTGTGCAAGATATCAGCGGTGCAGATGGAAGTAGCTACGGTGAAAGGATATTCTGACTTTCTCGAAGCGTTATTATGTCTGTGAATCTCCGCCTGGAGGCAAAACGTTGGTGCTGACATTTCCATAGGTGCCATCTGTGCTATTCCGTACGGGGTATTGGCAGATAGATATGGCCGCCGGCGGGCCATCCGCCTCACAGTTCCTGGCTTTTTGCTGAATTCAATCATCACCAATTCCGTCCTGTGGTTCTCCGATGTTCTACCTCTCCGTGCTATCTGGCTCGCCGCTCTCAGTTGGACTATAGGCGGAGGGCCATCAGTCGCCCTAGTCGTAATTTGGACAATGTTAGCCGATCTCACTACAGATCAGCAACGTGCAAAGTTATTCTTTCGAGTTGGACTAGCCAGCCAGATTGTCAGCTTTCTCGCTAGAGTAATTAGCTCCGAATTAATGACGCTGAACCCTTGGATACCGTTGCTACTCGGCTGTGGGACAGTCACAATTGGGATGTGTTGTGCTCTTTCTCTTCCCGAGACCATGGGCAGGGTGAAGACAACAGCCACATCACAACCATGCTCGGATGAGGCGCTATTATCCTGCGAAACCACCCCTTCGGAGTCAAAATCCGCATATCCTCTGGTGCCGAGGAAGATTGCACGTCTCATCCATCCTTACCTTTTCATCTTGAATCGCCATCTTCTTCTACTCCTGTTCTCCTTTTCTACAGTCCAGTTCGCGCAGAGCTCCTCTTCGTTTTCGACTCAGTATATTTCGACACGCTTCAATTGGACACTGGCACGTGCTAATCTGCTAATATCCCTCCACATAGCGATAACAATCCCCGTGTTTCTTTTTCTACTTCCATTTCTCTTGAAGAAGGTTCTGCATTTGCTACCCCTATCAAGGAGAGATCTTCAGATTGCACGTTTTAGTGATTTTGCTCTCACCCTAGGGTCCCTTGGCTTCGGTCTCTCTCCGTCGGTCACATTGTTGATACCAAGCATATGTGTGTCTGCCATTGGAGCGGGATTTACCCTAGCCTCACGGTCTCTCGTCACTGCTTTGGTTAAGCGGGATGAAACTGCGAGAATCTACTCTGTGATCGAGATTGTGCAGATGGTGGGAGGTATTTTGGGCAGTCTGTGCTTCACGAAAGTTTTCAGCTTTGGGGTAAGAATAGGCGGGGTCGCAGCTGGGCTAGTGTGGATATTGAGCAGTTTACTTTACGCGTTGGTGGGACTTGCACTTATGATTGTTGATGTATAGATTTCAACTTGAACCTCATTTTACCATTTTTTCCAAAGCGTCTTCAAGCCTTTCCTCCGGCAGGCAAAGTAAMCCGTTCGCACTTTCTTCGTATTTCATGTAAYCCCCGCCATACCCTTCGACACAAGTAACGTAGCGCATGAGTGCCGGGAGACCACTGTAGTCCCCATGTGATAGTTTGGCCAATGCCCGCCGTTTCTCCTCTTCAGCATCTTGGTAGCTCACATCCCATTTTCCAGTCAAAGTTCCCAGCGAGCTCAGAATACCGTTCTGTGAGATATTAAAAGACTCAATAAACAAATATTTATTAGTGGTCTTCACGGGGGTCAAAAGAGCATTTTTGACTGCCAGAGCGGTGGTGCTGAGAGTTGTTGTAGACCAGTGATGATCTCCATAACCGTTCAGGACCGTTGCCTGCCTCCTCGCGAAGTCGAATCCTAGGTAATGAGGAACAGCGCTGTGAAGAAAAGTTGTTAAGTCCCTCACTTCATTGTTTCTTTTTAAGCAAAACCAAAAAACCAGTATATATACATACATACGTTGCTCAATTTTGAAAGAAAAATCACTTACATTTCAAAAAAAGGCCCAGTCACAAAAGCGGTCCATTTCAACCCTTCAATCTCCTTGCTCTGGAGGTACTCAACAATCCGTCTTTTTTGCGTAACTAGAAACGGGGGAAGTAGCCGCGCCGCCTGCTCATTCCGTGTATCATGCCCAAATTCCGATGGCACAAAGTGCTTTACCCCAGCCTTCAGGGCGGCGTTGATTATCGTCCTCTGCTGCGGCACGCCTTGAGCAGCGATGGCGCTAATGATCGCGTCTTGACCCTTGAGTAGTTCGACAAGTTCGGACTCGCTTGAGTCATAGTTGCCTCCGACACAGTAGACTGGAATATGCGATGGGAATCGACTGCGGTCGGACGAAGCTCGACTCAGGATGGAAACCTCGAAGTGAGGGTCCGCATCAAACGCTGATACGAGATGGGAACCGAGATGGCCGGTAGCACCGATGATGATGACTTTTCGAATCGGGAATGCTGAAGACATTGTTATTCGATGAAGAGCGATCGTTGGCTCTAGAAACAGAGGTTCCCATATCACATGCAGATTTATATGCCAAAAGTCTGTCTACGCCTGTTCTATTCCCGACACACTAAGTGAATGGGGGCATCGCATCATCCATCGATTCTGCAAACTTGCCCCCAATCTTCTATGGAGAACTCGTGTGATGTAAACCAACCTTTGCATTACATACTACGTACTAAATCCTATGAGCGTCGTGCTACTGTAGTATGTTGTACCTATTGGCTTGGCACGCGGATCGTGGCTTTCATCCCACATTGCTTGACCCACCATACAAGATGTGATCCATCAGCGAAATAAATGCACACGGCGATTCCGGGACAGCGCTCCTGTTCACCCAACTAGGCATAGGGAGTCGAGGTCCCCAATAGAATTCCACAAGTAGGCTCCCATGCTCCTAAGCTTCCAAGAATGGTTGTAGCGTAACCAAATGTATTTATGTGTTCTTGGGTTTGCGTTTAAAAAATAAACCGCAACCGATCTCGAGATTGGCTTTCTCAGTGGACCAAGTTCTTTACTGCACTAGAATAACCATAACAGGCGATAATGACCCAAATTTCAATCCCTCCCACCATTGACTACACCATCACTCCTGTCTACAATCATGTCGGAGAGGTGATCTCGATCAAGGTCAGAGTCGAGTTGCTGGTGTCGCCTCTCTCTGCTGGCCAGGTACTTCTGGCCGTGCCTTTACAAATCGCATCGGTTGACGTTGGCTGTTTCGTCAACGACAGCATTGTGGCTTTCGATGCCCAAGGTCTGCTAAGTCTTTCCCGGGATGCAGAGAAGTTGGGACCTCCAATCGCATGGCAGAAGTGGAGGGTTTTGCGAGACACGCAGGGCCCAATCTCCGCCGAGTACGAGGCCCTTCCCCGCAGGATAAGCACGACGACCAGGAATGCACCACCATTCGATTTACGCCTGAATTTCGGTGGAGCTATCAGCTCCGGGTATGGCTTTCTAGCAGCCCCACTAGTGGAGGGCTTTGACCAAAAATTCGACGTCTTTGTGCAGTGGGATCTCTCGAAAGCCCCTAGCGGAACACGGGCTATCTGGACATTCGGGGAGGGCCCTGACCGCGTATATCGACGTATGCCGTGCTCTGAGATCCAGGCAACGTATTTCGCTGTGGGAAAGATTGTGTCGCACGGGAGCGCACAGTTCGGATTGTACTGGCTCGGGAATCCGCCTTTTGATGCACGCCTCCTTTCAGATGACTTGTGCCCAATCTTTATGCACATGGCGAAGTTTTTTGGCGATAAGGAGGATGACCCTTACCGTGTCTTTATCCGTTACAACATATATCGTGGCTCCGGCGCAGGAACCGCACTTGTCCGATCATTCACTTTCAACTACGACGATTGGGACTACAAGGACCCCCCAAGCGCCGAGCAACAGGCTCTATTCCTGTGCCACGAGATGACCCATAATTGGGTCAAGCTTGGCGACCCAGAGACCGACAACTGGTACGCTGAGGGCCTGGCTGAGTACTATTCCCTCCTCATGCCGACTCGAACGAAACTTCTGACCCTTGAGCAATTCCGGGTAGCTCTCAATTACCGGCTGTTCGCGTACTACACGAATCCGCTGGTTCATCACTCTAACGATGAAGTCGCTAAACTGACCTGGAAAGTCACAGATGCCCAGCAAATTCCATACGGAAGAGGACTTCTTCTTGCTTTTGCCGTAGACGACTTGATCTCGTCTGTCTCCCATGGGAGGCAGTCATTGGATGACCTGGTCTTGAGTATACTCCGTAGGCAACGAAACGGTGAACCCTCGAACCAACAGACGTACATTGAGGAATTGGGATATCTCCTTGGTGACGACGCGTCATCTTACATAAAAGCCCGTGCTATGGTCGCTCACATGTGTGCTGGGAAGCCCATGGTCCCAACGGTTCATGGCTTAGCCCGCTTTGGTCTGAAGGCTGAGCGTGGTGAGGGTGCTATTTGGGAGCTGGGGTTTGATGAAGCGGCAGCTATGGATGAGCTGATAATTAAGAATCTTGACCCTTGCAGTGCAGCCGCGAGGGCGGGAGTCCATGAAGGGGATCGAATTATAAAGTACACGCCATGGAGCAACATCAAAGGGAAGCAAGACGCGATGATAGAGTTATTTCTTTGTAGGCGGTCTGGGGATGAGATTGTTGTTTCTTTCACACCTCGCGGCAGTCGCATGATGGTAGTCTGGCAATACGTTTCTGTCAACTAAGGAACCACATGAGATTCAAAACTCATTAATAATATTTGTCATTCTAGTTGACCAAATACCGATCGACCTGCGAAGGAAACTAGAAATTGTTCAGAAGTAGTTATTTGGAAGATAGTGCTACCGCAATAGACACCCCTCTTCCTGTTGAAGGAGCAACAATGGTATTGATGAAATTATTATTACAGCTGCCCCTCAAGACTTCTAAACCATTTCATAATACGTAGTAAACTTTTCAGGGGCTTATAGCCCCTAACCCTAACAACCCCAAAGTTGTTTATTGGGCCCCGCCCAAAAAAACGCACTAGGAAGAAGTCGTTTGAGTACTGAGATACGTCGGTGAGAAATCGAGTGGGAACGTGTATTGTATTGTATTCAAGTGTGTCTTCAAGAATGAAAATAACTGGCTTAGGTGTGCCATATATAAAACAGTGCAGCACTATAAAAGATTAATTCAGTAAGATGGTTTCTTAATAGATCCTTATAGTGAGGATAGATCACTATCCAATGAGAGCAAACGAGTAGATATATGCCCCTCGCTCACCATATCCGGGATAGCGGTAAAGTAATCCTGTCAGTCGGCCCCTACATACTACGACAAGCGATTCCAGAGAGAGATACATTAGATTGTGGAACACGAAGGGTCTAACAAGCCAAACGCACAACTTCAATAGGCTTCAAGGAGTCTCCAGTCGCGATAGCCATGATTTTTCTGTTGGTGGCTTGCGTCATCACCCAATTGACTGTGTCTGCTTATGGGTTCAACATCCCTTCATCACAATCATTTATCCACTTCGAGACCGGGACGAACAACCGCTACATGGAGCCCACAGCTAGTGCTACAGGCGATAATTGGAATGTGCGAGAAGTAGGCGATGATGTGTGTAAAGCGGGATCTCGCCACTTTGCTGGAAGAATCAATATCACCGACGAGAAGAGCATGTTTTTCTGTACGTCTCTCGATCCTTTCACTCACCAACAGGTGGAGACGTTTCTCATGAAAATAGGGTTTTTTGAAGCCCGTGACTACCCCGACAACAAACCAGTCACTATTTGGCTGAATGGGTATACAACGTAGATTCGCCGCTCTCGAGAATATATCGACTGACTGGGCTTATAGTGGTCCTGGCGCGAGCTCATTAGCTGGTCTCTTTGGTGAGATAGGACCTTGTACTATTTTGCCCACAAATGATGGCACGGAGTTCAATCCTTTTAGCTGGTCGAACCATACAAATTTGCTTTTCATTGAGTAAGGGCCTGATAGCTCCACTACTTGAAACTAAGTATGCTAATATAGTATACACCCTTTTGAGTCAACCAGCAGGCGTAGGGTTATCAACTATTGCGAACGAGACTCAATATCCTTCCTCACTGGATGAAGCTTCACGCGACTTCATGGCATTATTAAAAGTGTTTTACGAGTCCATATTTCCCCAGTTTGCGCAGAACCCGCTTTACATTGCTGGGGAATCATTTGGTGGCCAGTATGTACCCCGATTTGCTGCCGATATAGTTCGTACCCAGAAGGAGAACTCTTCGTTGTCAATCAGTCCACAGACGCAAATTCAAGGAATCATTCTGGTAAATGCCGAGGTGGACATGCACTGGCTCTCCATTGGGCACTATGAGCTGTTTTGTACAACAAACTATCAAAGAATACTCCACTTTAACGAGTCAGTCTGTGAGGCGATGTCAGCTGCAATTCCAGAATGCGAACGTCTTACTTACGCCTGTGAGACCACCTTGGATCCTTATATATGTGAGGCGGCAACAATATACTGCATGGAAAATCTGGATGTATACTTCCAGGAAGAGATAGATGCGCATCGGCATAGCCCATACGACTGTGAGCGACCGCTCCCTATTGATACGATAATTAGCTGACTGACTCAAAACATATAGTGCGCCGAGACTGCCCACAGCCACCGCTATGTGGCGTTGGAGACAGTGAAATGGGAAGCACTGCTAATTATCTAAACCAGTATCATATCCAGAAACAGCTCGGATTTAATCATCCAATTCCGTACCAGAGTATCAACTTTGATCTCAATATGAAATGGTCAAAACAAAAAGCTATACATGTCCCTACTACAAGGTATCTGACCTACTTGCTAGATAATGGTTTTGGAAGGGATGAGTTATCTTCCACCCAACCCACTATTCCTGTACTGGTCATGAATGGAGAGTTTGACGTGATGGTGTAAGTTGACCACCATTACCCTACACGTGCAGGCATTTCATCTGACTATTACGAAAGAAACGTTCCAGGAACTCTTCTGGAATACGATCGTCTCCCATGGCATGGACAGGCTGCTTACCGATCGGTTCAAAGCTTGACTCCCTGGTTTTGGACCGATAAGAAAGGAATTCGACATCAGGGAGGGGACTGGAAAGGAACACCTAGGGGTAGAAGAGGATTGAATTATGTTTCTATTTACGATGCGGGCCATATGGCTCCGGCTGACCAGGCCGCTGCTTCGGCGGCTATTTTTGGTGCATGGATTAACAACGGCGGGATACTGAATAAGAAATTGATAGAGAAAGAGCTCGAATGATTTTTAGTTATTTCAGAGGCTTTTATGCTGGTAAATTGACCAAATTACAGGGCTGTATGTTTTATCTTCTCTTCCTTATCCTTTAATGGACGCTAATACAGTAACAGCTTACACACTCTTTTCTTCCTTCTGAAATAGTGCCGAGAAGACGCCATGGTAAATATAGAACTGTGTGGGTATAAGATTAATCTAAAATTAATACTATATTCCATAACTATCTTGACTGAACACTACTTTATCGCAATCCCAAGCTCTTTTCTTTGTTCCCGCAATTACAGGACCATTGAGACAATGAGATTACTTTTATTCGTTCTCCGAAGGGTTATATAAAGCAGTTGATGCACTCCCTGACTCGGTAGAAATTCCTGACCTCTAAGAAAGTAAGCCTAGACGCTGAGGTCAAATAGTCGATGTGAGTTGTTCGTGGTATGCTCCTATCACCTAGCTACAAATTCGTTGACTTAGCCCTAATCGTTTCCCGCCCACTGCTCTTTCCACAACTTCGGAACGTAGCCCGAAGACCCCGGAAAACCTGTATTAATTGAGCGTGAATTTCAAAATAGAAAAGATGCATTTCTTTGTTCGATTAATTCATCAAATGACGTTATTGTTAAGATACCTTGTGCCAATATGGCTAGTTTGAGGGGTTGAGAATGCGGCGCAGTCGCGATATGTCTCCAATCTACTAACACCACGGAACTTTTTACATGATGGAACAGCCTCTTCTTTTTTCAAATATAAGCATTCACTACGATACTTCTGTAAATCTCATACAAGGCTACCTTCATTCTCAAGCTGAGGATCAGGGGCAGCAAGAAGGAACAAGTCTGATACTTGGATAGTCGAAATGGCATAATGTAGGGGAGGGTCGTCATCCTATCACAATCTTCGGAATCCGTTCAAATGTGAAATCACCTAGACACAACGCAGTGATCTATACCATATCGAGACCTTTTTGAACGGACCAAGGCACAGATGATTCCATTTAATTCTAATTTTCTCAGCTATAAATACCTCGATTCACTTTCCCTGAATCATGGGCCCTTCTTCTTCCACTGACGCTTCAGGCTCCGAGGACTTCTTATATCCTGTCTCATACCTATCAAGACCACTTAAAAAGTAGATATAATTTCCAATATGTTCGCTATGAATCAAAAGTGCACAGGTCGAGCCAATGCGCGGCGCTCGGTATGATTATATCTGATTATTCTTCGCATATGGAGGAGAATATCACATTCACAAGAAGCAAGCTGACAAATCCAAGCTTTTCCCTTCAAGAAGAGTACTTACAAAATCATTGCAACGCAAGAAGAACAAGTGCGTCTCGCTTAGTCGACAAATTCAGCAACTCCAAGAAGAGATCTCTTTCTTGCAAAGAAAGCTGCAAGATGGCCAAAGGCTCCATGAAAGTATCATGGAAAAACAGAGACAGAAGGTTCGCCATGATATGTTCACATGCCTAAATCACGTCGACTTCCTGCAAGGTGAATTGGAGCGGCTTCCGGGAATAATCCGAATCCCGCTAGCAACATTTGGAGAACTGCAATCCGCAAGAGCAGGCTTCGAAGCTACTTTTCGGGACTACTATATCCAACGAGAAATTGAAGCAGTCGTCGATAGATTTTTCATGAACATCTTAACTGAAACCGTCTAGCTCTTGTAATCAACTGCCCATGAAGCTGGGAGGTGGGAGCAAAGGATGGGATGAGACATACACATATTCTGGTTAGATCCATGAAACTTGGTTTCGTTACTTTCTTTCGCTTTAACATTGGTTGATCGAAAGATGTTGTTCATGCTCCAGCTATCATCTCAAGTAATTTTCTATCTAGTGACATGTGGGATGTTCAAGCCACAGCATTTCTCTGTAACTTTTCGTAAGTATGTATTTAGTGTTTGACTTGCCCTAGCTTGAGAGCGTCTAAGAGAATTCTAAGGAACGTGCTATCTATCAAGAAAAGAAAGCTGATGACTATGAATATTTTTTGATGAGATTGATCTTAAATCAATGCCTGGAGGTCTTTAATCTGTTCTGCTAGTGCACAAATATAATACCACTGACATATTTGCAATGCCTTCGACATTATAGTGATGCAGGTATCATGATGGTTCACTAAACATGTTTATTATTTACACCATAAAGAAATAAAGGAATAATCTATTTACAGATCTAAGCACTATCATAGGTAGCTTCGTGAATCCATCAGCCATTTATTCAAGAGACAGTTGATGATATAACAAGACCTTGAACTTCTCAATTCGTATGCTCCGGCTCTTTTCCTTCCTCTGTTGCTTCTTCGTCTCTTCGAACAGTTGTATCGTCATTCTCACCATGCACCGGCTCTCGTTCCCCATCCGAATCCATCCTCGTATGATTCGACGGAGGCTGATCAGGCATATATGCTGGCGGCGGCAACGGTATCGACGTATACGCCGGCGGACCATCCTCCCCATTCTGCGTATCATTCCTCACCACCCCTCCATTATTATTATTGCCATATCTCCTCAATGCGAGGGAGTTATTGGCTGATGAACTCGTCGTTGCCGCGTTCTGTGTAGCTGCATTTCTTGACCGTCGTCGTAGACAGAATGCGCAGATGAAGAAGAATACCGCGATGCCGATGATGATGGGTGCAATTGCGGCTGCGACGGGAATGGAGGAGTTGTTGTTGGATTGGTCTGAGGTGGATTGACGAGCGGATAGTGTGTTTGATAGAAGGTTGGGTGTTGGAGCCATAATGACTCGGTTTGTGAATGTGTGTCGATAGATTCTGTATCAGATTCCTTTAGATCGCTAGGTGGTTTATGCTTGTTGGTAGGTAGCGGTCTTTCGAGTATATCACATATATCACGTATATCACATATATCGATTTCTTTAGAGAACATGTACGGTATGTAGAAGCAAAGTGATGTATGAAGTGAGTAGAACTAAACGAGGTTTCGATGCATTATGTATTCACTCCAATAGTCAACACCACGATAGAAAACCATGACAATCGTCGAAACATCCTCAACAAATCGTGGCAGTGTCCACGCATCAGATGACATCGACAAATCCAACCTATGGGAGACCCTACAGATAACACAAATACAGCGCGTATAAATTCGCTGTGAAAGGAATTGTGCGCACAAATGACGACTACTCTAGATCTATGCTGTTGCTGATTTGATGAAATAGAGAGGTATTGGCCCCACCTCTGCTTGCTTTTTCCATTCTCGGACATTCATAATATTTCGCGTGATATATGTTCAAGAATTTGGGTTCAAGAATTGGAAGGCAGTGTAGCTAACAATAATTTGTCAACTGTGTCTTGATGATGGAATCAATAGATAGAGGAGCGCGTATTCTTAACTTAAAAGGGCATGTCGCGGATAAGTAGTTCCAGAGACCAGGGCACATCCATAGATGCTTAACGTGGCTGTGCCCTCGGTCGATATTGTCCCAAATGTTCGGTGACAAATATACAATAGATAAGGTTCAACTTTGATGTATCGATTGTCGATAGATTCTTAAAGAATTTACTCATCGACCGTTCTAGTTCTAATGGATGTTGCTCATCTTGCGAATTAGGGCACGACTGTTCCGCGTGCTGCCGAAAGCCGAATACGCTGTGTTCCGTTGTTGCCGATGAGCTTCGCCTGAAGAGAAGATTCACAAGGCTGACTTGATAATCATTTCTAAATGCGTCCGATACGCGTCTGGAATACAATTACAAACCTCAGAATAAGAATAAGGATAGCCTTGAAAAGCAGCTTTTGGGCATATTGTATAGTGCCAGTATACCTACCATTTTAGGCTGTGATATTCCCACTTAGCTGCTGATTCTTCATTCTATTAATTTGCTCCAAATTGCGATATGAATTATTTATGTCTGTTGAATTAGTCGAAAATCATGTTCATCTTCATACAAAGTACTAAAGAATATGAGAACCTAGTTGGCTGTCCTTCACTTGATTGGTTGACGGTTTTAGGGCTGTCGATCGTTAGCGTACATCGTTCCTGCATCTCAGTTTTCCCTTGCACTACTAATCATGTCATCCTAGTCAGCTAACTAGATAGCGTCAATATAAATAAAAGCATCAATTGCCCGATGCATTAAACTCTCGATGGATTTTGTCGTCAACTGCCTCAGTTTCAAAATGAGGTTCTCACAACTATTCATAAACCTAACCCTCTCCACCTCCATCGCGGCCTCGACTACCAACAACTATTCAACATGGATGGCTGACAGCATCATATCCCGCGGCCAAGGAATCGCCCCCGAGACTCCTACGGCATCTACATATTTACAAATCGGCATTGTGCAAAATGCGCTACTCCAACTCATACACTCACCTATGGTATCCCACGACGCCAAAGAGAAGTATCGAGCATATGTGCAGCAGGGTACCGAGAGTATTCTGGACAGACTACTTAATGCTTCACAAGATACTTTGTACCCCTTAGACCGCTTTTCGTTGGGTAGGGGGCTGTTGGCGGAGTACCTTGATGATCAAGACAAGCAAAATGTGAAAGAGGGCTTGGACGCGTTGAATGAGTCTATTGCCCTGCAGCCGCGGAATCAATACGGTCTGCTCCTCTCCTCGCTAGTTTCACAATTTTGAAGTAATACGCTGACATCAACAGGTGGATTATGGTACTTCACATACCCTAACTGGAGCTATCTAGACGGAATGTACTCCTACGCCTCCTTTGCGTCTCTGTACACTACCCATTTTGATCCGCGCTCTACATTAGAGGCTTCTCGCGACATTATCGACCAGTTGGACTTGCTCTGGTCTCACTGCTTCGACAACACCACGGGTCTGCTTTTCCACGGCTACGATGCGTCCAAAACAGCCGTGTGGGCGAACCCCATCACCGGCGCAAGTCCAATTGTCTGGGGGAGGGCACTGGGGTGGTATTTCATGGCGCTAGTTAATTGGCTTGAAGCAAATACGTCCTCGCAGTCGGATTCCTCGCAATGGCGACATGCTCGGTCACGATTTGTATCTCTTGCGGACGCGCTTGTCAAAGCCGCGGATCCTGTCTCGGGGGCATGGTGGCAAGCCCTAAACTATCCCGGACGCGAAGGAAATTACATCGAGTCCAGCGGGAGCGCCATGTTTGTCTATGGCCTATACAAGGGAGCCCGACTGAACTATTTACCACAGCAGCAAGTATATCGGAAAATAGCAGATAAGGCATATGCGTATCTTGCTAGTACGTTTGTGGTGAATAATCACAATGGAACGCTAGGTTGGAATGGGACGGTGTCGGTGTGTAGTCTGAATTCCACGGCGGATTACGAGGTATGCACTCTCTCTCTCTCTCTCTCTTCGGATATCGAGTATTTGCTAATGCAGGGCATAATAGTACTATGTGACACAGCCGTTATTGTATGATAGTGTGCATGGATCGGCGTCGTTTGTGCTTGCGAGTTTGGAAAATGAGATGCAGCTTTAAGCTAGGATGGATGCTCATGTTGTGATATGTCATGCCGGAGTACCCGTGTTCTTTCCATGGGGAGTACCGTGAAGAAACATTGGCGACCTCGTGGCTGTAAGTAAAATTGGCAAGTAGGCACGAACATTCAAGTCATTATACAGATTCAATCAACCGCCGATGTATAGCCGAGTCATGAAACTTCCTGTCAGAAAGAGGATATGAATGAGCAAGTCTAGTCAGACAGGCTCGGGGTCAAAGCATAAGACTCTCCCTGGGTGACTTGACGAAATCCGGGGATACCCACCGCATCCAGACCTTGTGACGAATTACCGAAAACGGCAGCTCGACGCTTCGCCTCGGTTAGACTTTGCGCAGATGGCACGCAGCAATAGTAGACACGATACGTGTCCATAGCAGCAAGTATGCGGTGTACTCGTCACAAGATCTGGGTCTCGACAAATGTTGACAACATAAAAAAGAAGGATGACGTGAGTAGCATTACTGATGAGTTCGTTGGGGTAGCCAATTTAATACATAGTAAGTCTAGTACGTACGTACTGGTAAGTTCTCTTCCTTATACTCGGCGGTTTGCGTCGCTCGGCAGTTTCAGCCAATCACGTTCGAGTAGTGCCGTTGGCCCGCCAAACGAGCATTCCCGCCACAAATCCTACCGTGTGACCGCTCGATCTTTTCTTACACATCTTTTCGTAGTCACGATCGCAACCAGCCATGACGATGTACGAAGTAAACGAGTAAACCTGGAAATGTTCTAGAAAAGAAAAGAAGAGGCAAATACAAACAGGCTGAGGTGATTCATGACCCCGGTCATCAGCCACCACGGAATCCGGCTCGTGGCTGCGATCGGGGGCTGCCGAGGACGTATTACTGACACATACTGACTAAGTAGGTACATGTGACTTGTTTGAGAGAGAATTTTCCTTGACAAACGACGTAGCAGTTACAGGCTCACAACGCTTCCCCATACTACCAAAGCATCCGTGCAATCCGTGGATCGGGCCCGGCTGAGTAGGATGTAGGTGTGACTACGTAGGCATTCGTATTCTTGTTTGCTGTACTCTGTAAAGATGCTCTAATTTCGGTGACTATTCCATCGTCTGTCAGTAGTTCCAATGCTACTAATAATAATGTCAACGATATCGAGTCAATTTATTGTGACTGAACACGTTGCTCACGGAAAAAATTTGAGGAAATGCGGGGGGCCAATAAGCGCTAGTAATCGGCCATACTAAGATGGAAAATCCGGGGAAGCAAAAATACGCGTGCGTTACACTGTCCGTTACTATGGAGTCGACTAAAATTAGCCTTGAAAAATTTTCCCCTTGTTTTCTTTTGCCTCCTTCTTAGTATGTCATACCTGCCATGTTCGTGGCAGAGATTCGTGGTCCAGGCCTGACTCACTCTGAGCTTATGAGTGAGTTACCTTAGTCGAGCCGGAAATGCGGCATTTGAGGCCCCTGATGAACACCGTCGGTAAGCGAAGCACGTAATACGTATGATGCGATTTCTCGTACAAACGCGCTCATGGATGAGTCAATTTTCTGGCTGGTCGATCAGTCAGGGGACTCCATCTGCGAATCGTGTATGCCGAGTCCGTCACATTCTCTGTTTGACTTGGGGTATGTAGCTCACTCACTCAAACATGAAAACACCAACCGCAGGGGATGCTGATGGCATGTTTACCCTAGAGCACGCCGAGACCGTGAATTACGTCAGGTCGTCTCTGCGTGTGAAGCGATGACTGGTTGAGGGGCGCGCGCTGACAGAGTGACAGAGTGGGTATTGGTATTATTGTAAAATACGCGTTGGCCCGGCCAAAGAGCGTACGAATGGCGAATTTCCATTACCCCCAAGAAACTTGCTGATTGGCCGTGTGGACCAGTTTCTGTTACGTTTTGCTCCATCCGAGAAAACTTTTCTTTGAGGCCGGCCCTGGTCAGATGACTGGCCGGGCTTAAAGCAGCGTCCGCTTTCCCTCACGTTCTCCTGCGGAGCCTTGCTGTAAAGCAACACGCCGCTTTATCGCCCACACTAATAGGGTAATGGAATCCATCGCAGCACCTCAACCGCCTCATCAGTTCGTAATATTACACCTTCTCCACAGCCTGCCCGTGTGACTTGTCCACCAGATGGTACCTGAGAATTGTGAACTGAAGAGACAACAGGTTTCCAAGATGGTGCAATTCTTTTCCTGGGTGGAGCCGTCCTTGGTACCTCCCTATATAAGCCCTTCCCCCGGACTTGCCATACATCCACACCAACTCACTGAACATTGAACTGAACCTGAACCTGAACACATCTCGCCTAGCAGCCCTACACAACAGTACCACATATTTACTATCAAATCAATCATCAATACGCACACAAATGTCAGCTCGCTCCGCTGCTTACATGGTCGTTGAGCCGCACCCATCGGTGCCCAGCACACGCCGCCCAGCTCTACACACTTCACGAGGAGGAGCCGGCAATGTCATCTCACTGCGCGACACCAAAACTACCGACTCCCTAACCGCCACGGGTCCTGCATCCTTGACCCGCCTCAACTCCAAGACTCCGCTGACCTACAAATCCGGCCGCGGCGGCGCCGGCAATGTGCACAGCAGCAGTGAGCGCGCCATCTTCAGCTTTGACGAGGAGCTAGAGCGCGAGATGCGTCGCGAAAAGGAGATTGCGCCTGTCTTCCACGTCGGCCGTGGTGGTGCCGGCAACCTGATCCTCAACAGCGAGAGGTCGTCGTATGGTCTTGAGCGTCGCGAATCCAGCACCAGCTCCTCCAGCAACGAGTCCTTGGCTGACCGTGCAAAGGACCGCGCTCGCCAGAGCTTGGAGCGTACCTGGAGCCGGCTCACCGGTCACAATTGATCGACACATTACATTAAAACTACTCAAAAACGAAACGACTATAACGACATCACGACAACCACCAAAAGTTTTCTTCTTCTTTCAACCACGGCGCATCTTTGGAATCATTAGCGAGGTCATAGGATATGGGGCAATCCAGCACCACCACAAAAAAAGTTTCTTGTTACTTTCTTCATCACGACTGTTTTCTATATCATGACACATCTGCAGCGAAGCGTTCTTTGAATGAATCCTTCGTATAGCATTATACCCTCTTCCGGTCTGGGAGTTTGACTACTCTATTGTTCTGTCTCGTCAATGACCTGATCTTTTTGTCTTCGATTGTATCATTACGAATTTCTTAATACTTTTCCCTTGGAGAAGGGATAATGGATCATCTTCACTACTTCTACTCATCACCAACGTACATTCTTCGTATGATTCAGTAATATGCACGTACGTAGCACAGAAAATTTTTCATTGCCATGATTGTATTGTTTTGTATGAACCATGTGTATGTTTACATGAGTGGATCGAATCCACTGGAAAATTCTCTCTTCGTAGTCATGGCGAAATTACTCGTTTGGGCAAGTCGAGATGGGACGGGAGTCTAGACCTGTTTTGGTTGACCTGACTGTCTATAGCGATCGTCAGCCGAGTTCCCGATCTACTATGTAAAACTGTTACCAAAAGGACCCTGGAGGATTCCTCGACTTGTAATCTTGTTGACCTGTATTTCTGCTTGTTTATATGTGTGCATGACTCTCGAGACTTGATTGGCAGATATTGCCCGTTGCTGTATTGCTTTTCTCGGCTCTCGGTATGACTGGAATCGACTTATGCACGCCACACGATTTGAATCGATCTTAAAAATGCATCCTACAAGGGTAAATACTTAGTCTTTTCTTATTGAACCGGGGTTGGTCGCTTAGTATGCATTCAGCTTTGTACATAAATCGAAGCACTTGTTTGCTAGTCGCTAAACTCCTACTTTGGCGGCCGCATACGATGTATCCATACGGCGGTTTGTATCCTCCTATCCGGGAAATGTTGCATGTAACCCATCTTTAATGGTACATCTTCCACTGTAGCCTTCTTCCATCGTTAGCAAATATGCAATCTTTCTTTTTTCCAAGGGTTGGCAGTAAAAGGGTAAAAATTCAATATCCCAAAGCGGAATAGCGTAGTATCACGATGCCGCTATTATGCCGCCTCACACCGCCCGAGATGAACAGAGATGGAGCTTATCGTTTTGCATCGACAATTCGACCTCTCTTAGAAGCTAGTATACATCAACAACGCGCTTTCGATACCCAACGAACCGAGATACAGGACCAGTACTATCTGACCTCTTGCATCGCGGCTTTCACCATATTGATATCTCCCAAAAACTAAGCGCGCTCTATAGCGCAATATCTTGACGACTACATAACGAACGTCCATTGACCTGCCCCAGTGCCGAAGGCACATATCCTACAAAATGCCAAAATATAAGTCCTCTTCCTTTTTCTTTGCTCAAACAAACCAATACTGACCTTCTTAGCACTCTTCTGTAGGACTCCCCCTTCGCATCCGCCGATCATACATACAAACAATCCAACTAACGCGCGACCATGACTTTTATACAGGTGACTACTGCGACGTCTATCTAACGCACGACTCCATGAGCGTGCGCAAAGCACACAATGCGGGACGAAATCACATCCGTAACGTGGTTGATTACTACCAACGTGTGTCCCCTTTCCTCTCTCGCCAACAACATCTCTTCGGACTAGCTACTGACCGATGGTGGCAGAAATCGGACACGAAAAAGCACAATCAGTAATCGATTCTATTACAAGTTCATACGCGGCGGAGGGACAGGCGAATCCGTTACTACAACATCCCGGTGCGCCGGGATCGTTTCCCCCGCCGCCGTTTGGAGTTCCCGGTCCGTTAACCCATTCACATATTCACCGAAAAGCATAGAGATAGAGAGAGAGTGCTGATAGATGTCAGGGCGACCAGGTCAAATGCCGCCTCCGCCATTTGGAATTCCACCTCCAGGTGCTCCCGGTGGATTACCCCGTACGTCCTTCCCATCCTCCATACTCAACCACAACGAGTAAATGACTAACCTCAATTGACAACAACAGCACCAGGAGGCCGCGGCATGCCCCCTTTCCAACCCCCCTTCCCCATCCCCGGCGCTCCAGGCGGCACTCCCGGCGGTCTCCCCTCATTACCTGCAGGCATGCCCCCTCTACCGGGCAATCTMCCCTTCCCACCACCAGCCGGTCTACCCGCAAACTTCCAGCCTCCGCCTGGCTTTCCCGGTGCTGCAGGATTTCCGCCTGTAGGACCCGGAGGACCTGCTGGACATGGACCTGGAGCGAGTATATCGCCTCCGCCCGGTGCGGGCGGGTTTCCGCCTGGGCCGCCAGGGGGTGGGTATCGGCCTCCTGGGATGGATCGATAGAGGAGTCGGTCTTTAAATTGGAGAAAATTGGTCTTGTTGCATGTATCATACCATACCGGGAAAGTTAAGGAGTTTAATACATTGGATCGTATCTACGTATCGCTTATACTTATATCAGAACGTAAAGAGATAATTGAACAGTTCAATTGTTACAGCATAGACAGGCCATGGTCACGGCATGGCATGTATGCCTCGACTCCAGCGGAAGAAAGTACACAGTAGAGTTATTTTATACATACGTACATATGCATACTCAATCAAAGCGAGCCAGAAATAAAAAGGATAACCAACGCCACTGTCCCATACAGTCAACGAAAACAATTACCAAGGTTGAAAATGAATCTGTTTCCCGGAGGAGGGAAGAAGAACAGTGAAAACCCGATAAAAAAAAGCCAGATCCCGCACATGCTGTGTCTAAATATGAAAATTGAAGATAGAGTGAATAAGAGATAGATCGAGATGTTGAACGCCTGGTATATATCCATAGACGAGCTCAAAGTGGTAAAAAGTGTTGTAGAAGAAAAGAAAAGAAGGGAGCGAAAAAGCGTTACAAAACGGCCGGAAATGTATGGTATGACATGTCTCATCATAAACAGACAAACGATTTTATGTTAACGAACAAATACGACCCGATTAATGGTCGTAGCCGGCGCCTCGTTGCCAGGGACTGGCGTTGTGCTGTTGTCTATAGTTCTGCATTGCTAGTGCAGAGGCGGGATTGAAATCTCCAATCTGTGCCGGTGATCGACTCCGTTCAATGTCGCGACCGTATCCGTTTGATTCGTAGGACGGTGGTGCGTGACTAGGGAAGAGAGGGACCGATGGATCAATGGGTGATGCGGGCGGTTTGTTCATATCGTGTTGTCCACGATGGTTGATACTAGCACCGCTACCGTTCGAAATGGAATGAGACTCGTCCTCGTAGGTCGGGTGGTACGCTGTTGATTTGAGTTCCATCTCGCTACCGCCACGAGCGGTGTTTGCTAATGCGTCCAATTCGGTATTGAGAGCAGTGTTGCTCTTGATGAATGAACCACGGTCGTCGCGCATCGGCTGGTAGCGCATGTCTGGGTTCTTCGAGACAATGGCGTATATAGAAGCGATCAAAACCAGAATCAAAAGCACCAATGCAAACACTGCGTTGTAAACGAAAAAGACAATTCCCATAACACCAGTTACCATTCCCTGTCAACGTTAGATAAATGCTATATGATGAGACTGAACAAACTTACTGGTTGGTTGAACACGTTGCTAAACACTAGCAAGAAAACAGCATTCAAAAAGTTGCAAGCAGCGATAGAAATGTTGAATATGTTGGTTCTCTTGTCCATCCATGGCCGAATCACACTGACGGCAACCAAGAAAGCAGCCTCAATGACCAAGAAAGCAACGGCTTGAACAACTTGTGAGTTCTGTCCAAAGGCAATAAATATGCCCTTGAGAAGCACATACCCAAGCACAGGAATGACAAAGTAGTAAGCCGTGGCCCTGTACTGGACGTACAAGAAGCCCCACTTGTTCAAGCAAGCCGGGTCAGAGTAAAGAATGTAGGCTGGATTCTTATGCATGGCAATAGACCGTTTTGCGAGAGTAATGACTTTGAAAGCTGCCCAGCCAAGCACCGTGGCCATGGACAAAAACATCATCACCGCAAGAATGACTTCAGCCGCCGAGTCGCGTCGAGTCAGCTCCCAGAGGCAGAGCACACACATCTGAGCCCAGCCGATGAGGGTGAGGCGGAAGAGAATACCGCGCATAACAATCTTCCATCCGTTCCGGAAATCTTGGAACTTGTCGCTGGGCATCTTGTTGTACTTGACCAACAATTCACAGATGCCTTTGAAAGCCCCAACCCCAATCATGACCAAAGCAACAAAAATAACGAACCAAATTAGACCAGTCAGGAAAATGTTCGTGGCTTCGATATCGCCCTTGAACCCAACTCGCTCCAATCCAGAAACTGTCACTGTTGTGCCTGTCTCTGAGGCTCTCTTGCCGAAATAATGGAGGCCGCGGCGATAGAGCTGCTGTCCAATATCGACCGATCGCTTTTGAACAACCACTGATGTGGTGGCCAAATTTGACAATAATGTGCTAGCGGTTCCTCCAGTGGCTCGTTGATACCATGTCGCAATAGTCTGCAAAAAGTCGACCTGAATAATACCCATGCTCCATTGGAAGTTCTGTGTCCAGGATTGAACGATGGTTGGCATAGGAACAGCCGTATCACCAATCATGGCCTGAGCCTGGAAAAAGCCAAAAAGGGACAAAGCATTGGCAGCGACGTGTGCAGCGGTGTTTGAGTGACCCAATCCAGAGGTGATGGCAGAAGCCACGAGGCCGAGACCTGCGATAACGGCGACAATCCATTCAACCGCTTTTTGGTGGACTGTTTGACTGTTTGTAAGGCTGGCTTCCAAACAGGCGATTCTTTTGCCGGTATCTGTAGAGTTGATGTATACAAAAACCTGGCCATCCAGATCAGGAACACTGTAAGCGATACTGGGAATGGCCTTGACCACCGAGTCGGAGACCGTGATGGTGGTATCGATTGGGATGGAGCCGGTTTGCATAGGGCATAGACCATCCAAGTTGTAATCACAAGGATTCAGCTCCTCCTTGACTGCTTGAAAGCCGTAGGCGTAAACCACAATTTCTGCCGAGACATTGCCGGATATCGACGAGATACCGTTGATATTTATAGAGAGCGTTTTGTTATCGGGTGTGAAGGTGACCTGAAAAAGAGATGCTGAAAAGTTCGAATTGTCCATACATTCTATCAACGATGTTGATTGAAGAAGCCGTAGGGCTGACGCGAAAGGCGAAAAGGCCACGACGGCCAGGAGGTACGAGAGACTTGAGGATAACCGCATTTTGGTGGTTGTGACGTGCGGCGAGAATGAGGATATTTTTGATAGTTAGTCGAGCGTTCGTAGATGAGATATGGCGCCGGGAAAAAGAATAATCGGTGGACGCTCCAGAGCGTCAGTGAAGAAGATAATGGCCGGAAACGGAAGTCGTGGGTAGTGTTGGATGACGATAACTTGGGACTGGCAGGGTCACTTCCTAGAAATCGATTGTGGGGTGGCAGATTCCCTTAGACATTCAGAAGTTGCGTCACCATCGGATTTGCCCAAGGCTACTTTGCTGCGTAGAATGTTACGTTGTAGCGACCTGAAGGAGACTGAGGAGGTTGTTCGCTAGGGATGGTTGCGATCGTCCGGAGATGTAAAAATCAACAATTGCTGGCGGTGTCAACCCGAAACAATGCTGGTTTTGATTTCTGATTTCCCTCGAAGAGCGAGCGACTGTGATGAAGGGGAAGCCTTGCGTTTTGTTGTGTCGTTCGTAGTAACGATGACAATGGAGAAAGAATGTAACTAGTCGGATCGAGCAGCGAAGGCGGTAGAAGCGTCGAAAAGCGAAACAAGGAGGAAAAAGGGAAATTGAACAGAGGATGAAAAGAGGAAGATCAGAGGAATACAAAACGAATGTCGAGTGTCGAAAGTCAGTCCATCCAAGTCGAAGGGGTTGGTTCTGGCAGTGTCGGTCAAGTAAATTAGATGGAGACGAAAGGGCCTGGAAGGGGAGATCGGGGGGGGGCGGATAGGCCAGAGACACTAAGAGTAAGCGCCCTGGGAGCGAGACTGCTGAGACAGCGCGCTAGACCTGATGCGGTAACCAAGGTAGGCAGATGACGAGTGAGCGTCGCGGAATGACCAGTCAGGAGAGGCGGCCGCCTGATTGGTCGCAGGCAGCCAAGGTACGGGGTAATACTATGTATGTACGTACTATGTACGATCTCGAACTGGGATGAGATTACTATGGATAAGCTGTCTTCTGCTCAACTCCGTAATACTCCGTAAAGTGTCTGCGTACTCCAATCTTATACTTCATTTGGGTACTGGTATATTCTTTGTAAGGGAGAAGAGAAAGCGCAAGGCCCGAGTGACGTGACAGGGCGGTCATCTAATTACCAAGTAAGTTTCTTCAGAAAGAGTCCGCCCAAGCTGTAACATCATCTGTAACGCGCGTCCCAGCCAAAACGGCGCTCAGAGATTTCTGGGCCGAGGACTGGCAGCCAATCATAGATTAGAGTCAAGCCATCGGGTGGGTCACGTTCCCTTTTGCTGGTCAGATCTACACGGGCCATACAGCACAATTACATAAATTACACGAATTAACTTCTCTAAATCCCCATTCAAAGAATATCATCATTACTTTACTACGTATAGTATCTGAGTACAGTTGACCTTGGACTACCGACTTAGGTATGTGGTGGTCGACATAGATCGTGTCCAGGGGCGTGAGTTAGCTTCAAATAGCCGCCCTGTTCCCACTTCAGTATCCCTTTGTCGCACATCCAAGACTCTGTCTCTCGTATGGAAATGCATAGCCACAACCCTGCGTACGTATTCGTATCCGCCATTAGGCCAAGGGCCTATTTCCATCTAGGCACAACGCCGCAGGAGTGTAACATGGACTACATCGCCATACCCAAAACGGCTGCATATTTCATCGCCCCTTCTCTTCTGTCGTAAGTCGCAACCTGTCAAGTCTGAGATTTGTCTCAGCTTTTGAAGAGTAAAGACTCCGTGCTTGGACGCCAATACTTGGCACGTTTAAATGGAAAGTAACTTTAAGTCAGCCAGGGTCTGCACAGCCCTCTTGGCGAGTGGCTCCGATGGAGATCAGTAATTGTGCAGCCTGGAAATCTGGTGTACATTCAAGATCAGATCGCCAAGTATCTCGTAATTGATGTTCTCGTGTCCCCGCTGGTGCGAGAGATCCAAATTGAACATACGTAAATCTCTTCACCGACATACTTGACCATTTGCATTCGTACTCGGGTTAATCTGCTTCAAGCCTGAACATAATCCTTCTGCTACTATTTTTGTTGAGACAGTAGATGCACGTGTTTCCAAGGTTGTCTCGGTCGGCAGTTCATGGCACAGATTCACGTGGTGATGGAGGGTTAGCCCTAACCTGACCATCGACGTCTGCGCCACTAATGTGATGCTTAAGTCAGATCAATCTACGTAGTCATCTGTGTGATCCAGTAAATAACTGAATTGATTCTCGGTCAATTTGCTTTCATGATTGAGGTGTACCCAGTCTTCCAAATCCGGATGAACTGTGACTTGACAGAACCTTTGCCGAACTTCCGCCGGATTCTATCTACCCCGGATATTCTCCCTATCGACTTGCTACATGTCAGCATGTTTTGGAAGTACGTATAGCTCACCCGGCCTACTCAAAATGAGATTTTGGTACGATTCGAGCCGACCGTTGATTGTTCCGACCGTGTATGGTCTCAAAGAATATCAGATAACTACCGATCCATCGTACGATTTAATAGGTTGACGTTGCAAGTTGCGTATACTCAGCATCGGCTACGTAGCGTAGGGAACTTTAGGGGAGCAGTATACCTACTATCGTCGGGCTATTCATTTGCCGCTGGGCTACTAACTAGGTAATTAGATGGTTGTGTACTAACCGTGATAGACATGTCGGGTAGACTACTGTTGGGCTTTGCGTCCATCGTTTGATGAAGGTCGTCTTATAATTCGGAGCATCGAGCAACAGGATCCTTATGGAATATGCCTCGGTTATGCGCGGACACTTCGGAATCTGTATTGTTGCAATGAAACTCGATCAATTTCCTGTAAACAACTTCGACTTGCGCAGGACTGATGGCCGAACGGAGAGATGCAAACTGTGATGGGTTGGATAGCCATGAGGCTCAATCGACCAATTCGTTCTTATCCGATATCACACCAGCTGATCCCCAACACCATCCTTGTAGCTCATGACCCATCCTAGAAAGAACAACTGGGCTGTCATCCTGCGCCGTTTCAAGAAACGAGAAACAAAGACGTCCAATGATGTTGCAGATGTCAATAAATGCAGTCGAGGGGCAGTTGGACAACTCATCATCACGGCCCAGCACATGACTAGCGGACCCACAGCCACCAATAGAGACCAGCGGTCGCCTGGGTGACCAGGATACAGAGATGTCTTTCGTATCACTTCTCACTGACCTGTTCCTTGAAAATTGATGCTCTGCCTCATGGGACTGGCTCCATTGCATCTGGGACTTCTCAACCAGACCGTGTGAACTGCGTGGTCGTAAATCGCGAGGAGCATCAATTTGGAGGATGGCGAACGCATGAAGGTACTGCGTATCGTCCAGATCAGGGTGCCACACTTCAACAGCCCTGAGAGGCCATGTCGCTTAGTGGGCGCTGGTCTGCATAATATACCAACTAGTTCTCGGTTCCATGCGATGTTGCTGTGTCACTCGAACGTAGCAAGAGGCTTTCCCTCAAAAAAGCTCGGATGCCGTGTACAACTTCGACTGGATAGTTGTCCGCTGGATTTGTTTGTAGAATAAAGAAACTTTGATTCTCTTTTTGACGTCTGCCAGCMCCAGCCACTCTCTTCGTAGAACGTCGGTTGCCGTGCTGGGGTGTTGTCAGTGGTACTCACTCCGCTTTGTAAGTGGTGGGAAGGTTCGGCCCAGCCGCCCGTCGCCCAGCGATCTTATGCTAGTCCCCAGCCTCTTCCTTCCCTCTCGGACTGTGTTGTTTTGTCGCCGCTGCTCTCACCACCACAATTTCTTTTTTCTCCTCCTTACTCTTCCTTGCGTTTGTTCTAATTGCCTTTACTGCAGATGTGTCCTTGATATATTTTTTTTTCAATCTTCTTCAGCAAATCCGAAGTTGCACTTCGGTCTTTCGCCTTTTCCCTTGCTGATATCCTATCATTATCGAGGGTATCAGTAGTGGGCTCACCGACTGATTGAACGACACCTTCGCAAACAACTCGGCCTGAAACCAACAGCTTGGATCAAACGCTTTACGGCTCATGGCGAATTACGGACGATAGCCATTTTCGCAAATTTATTTCGACCTTCGTGCTGGGTTCACAATTACAACAACCCCACGCAACGTCTGTTTACATTGGGTCGATCTCCACCTGAGCTGTCCTCGACACAGCTAGATCAGTGCAGGCCAATCTTGGGATAAATCGACACCTCTACCTGCAGACAATCACCGATTATGCACTCCTCTCGCTAATCCAGCAACATCATGGGCGTAAATTCCCGTCGTCCTTTATTACCTGCACCCACCGAATCCATAGTCGATAGCAGAATCGATACTACGGGGAGTAGCCTCACAACCACCGACATGGCTACCGACGTTTCCCGGCGAACCGACAAATCGTCTTATTCGCTACCAGACGATGGCAGTCCCATCACTATTTCTACTCGACGACGATCAAGCAAAAAAGAAGATGACGACTCGTCAAAGCTTTCACGAACGTCCCATCACTCGCAAACTTCACTTCTCATCGAGTATTTTGAACGTGAAAAAACTGGCTCGAGGCTTCACTCAAGGCCAAGCGTCAGAGTCAAAGTAATTCCATCGGGAAGAAAAAATCGAGAGCATGGTGACACCATTCAGATACGTGAAGGCGGCAGCAGCAGCAAACGGCCAAACTACACTAGACGTATTTCAGTCAGCACTCCATCGAAGAAGAAAACCATCACTGAGGGCAATGACGATCAAAGCGTCACTGACGACGAACAGGATGGTCGACCACTTGAGATTGAATTTCTAGACCGCGGGAATGGAAGCGATCTTTCCAATGAGCGCTATATCCAGCCAACTTCCGAAATATCATCAATGCCAGCAGATAGCATGCTTGATGGCTCTATGGTCTCCGGTGTGCCACGCCGCAAGCGGAGTCAAAGTCTAGACAAAGCCCGTGACACATCTGATGCCGACCTTCTCAAGGCACCCTCAAGACGAAGGAGCCGAAGTCTGAGCCGCGAGCGGATCGCTTATAGAGTGGCACAGAAATTGAACGCCGGCGATGGGGGTCGACACAATAAGGAGCTTCTTGCAGCCGAGTCGAAGCCCTTGAAAAAACGCTCTCACAAGTATGACGAGGAAGAGCAGCCTAGTATCGAGTCTAGCCTGTTGAGTGGTTCCAATGTTTCATCTCGCCACAAGTCCGGCGACGCCATATCTTTCCGCTCCAACACATCCAAGTCGTCTTTGAACAACACCAAATTCCTCGAGACCGTCGAAGACGCTATACGCCGTCTGATCCTACCCGAGCTCAAAGAACTCAAAAAAGACCAGAAAGTTAGCGACAACAAGTTGAAGTTCGAGCGTGATACGATTGAATCTGGAAGCGGCGTCAGCTCGAAGGACGTGCCCAAGCGACGTCTTTCAAAGCATTCAAGCGCGCCGGATGTCAGCAAAAGTTCCCTTTTTGTGGCAAGCACCGAAAGAGCAACGCCTGAGAAAGAAGAGGTGGGCACCCCTGAAGAGCGCCGAAGACGTTACAAAGAGCGACGCCGTGAGAAAGAAACAGAGAGAGAAGCAGGTTCAGCATCTCCAGAAGAATCCCTTCGTATTCGTAAGGGTTCGCTTCCTGGAAACCAACGCGAATTTACCGAAGAGGAGAAGTTACGACGCCAGAGGAGTAAGGGTCTTAGAGATGCCGCCGCCGCGGGCATTGTTGGCAGTGCCCTTACAGCGGCCGCTCTCAAGCACCATGATTCAAAGTCCAGTCTGGGTAAAAAGTCAAGGAAACGCAAGTCTAAGAGTCGCAGCGGATCAGGAAGTATCAACGATTCCGACACAGAACTTGTTTTCCAGAAACATAATGTGCCACCAATGCCATTCCGAAGTGACATTGACACCGAACTTACTCGCGACTCTTTGCTCTCTCAAAGAACTGCTGATACTGTTGACACGGAAACACCAACGCCTCGCCAGATCAAAGAGGTCATCCGAGGTTCTCCACGTGGCCTGGAATCTCCTAGCCCTGGGACGCCACTCGGAAGTCATAGGGAACTGGCTTCTAGGCAAAGCAATCGCAGTGATCGCGACTTTGAGGAGAGGACTGATTCTATTGATGGTGATGTTTTCCTCGAAGGTGCTGGCGGTGCCATAGCGGCGGCTGCAGCTGGAAACTTGCTCGGACATCACCCAGATCACGATATGCTTGGTCCAGAGGACAATATACACCATCCGCGTGCTCTGAGCCCCATCCAAAGCGTTGCTAGTGATCATGACCTGCATGAAACTCAGAAAGAGGAGGTGTTCCATGATAAGGAAGCCGATGACCGAAGATTTTCCATCCAATCCCTGTCTTCTGCGCCTAGTACAGAGTTAGCTAGATCAACGCGCCCCGAGGGTATCAGCTTCGAGAGTCGCAGCGAAATCTTAAAGCAGCATGATGAAGGCGCTACGGAACTTGGCTACGAAACGGATAGAAATATTGAAGCCGAGCCGGGGGCGGAATGGAACGAGACTTCCTCTTATGCGGGTCAGCACGATGACTTCCATGACGAGGACTACAAGGCTGACATCAATCGCGACACAGTTGAAGGCGATGTCTATGATGAGTACGATGATTCTCCAAGGGAGTTCAATGAAGGAGCCGCTGTCAATCCAAAGTTTGTGACTCCAGTCGCCGTGGAATCTGCAGTGGCCTCACTGTTGGAACCTTCTGTGATGGACACGAGATCCGGTCTTTCCCAACCTCGTTCGCAAGCAGATTCTCTAAATCGGTCTGTCGATGGAAGTCATGTCGAAGAGTCCCGTGAGCGTGATCTAGCCGAGGGCTCTCGTCGCGGAAGCCCTCTGAAGTATGAATACGGTCTCAACAACCACGATGAGAAATCCTTTACGAAGCGTCTTGGTGCAGCATCACCTCCTCAGAGCGTCACTCAGTCAGACGAAGATGTTGATGAACATGAAGAAAGATATCCTCTCGACACCACCATGGTAAACAACCATGAGAATATGCACCCGGACGATGCACAATATGATGAAGAGGAATCGGAGATCGACACCAACCCTTCGGTCATACAGGGTCCTATCGGCAGTGTTCCTCATGGTAGCAGAGATCACTGGCCTTACAATCCCACTCCACCACAGGCCAGAGATATTCAGTCTTCACCCCAACATGACCTCAACCCGGCTGCAGCCGCAGCGATCGGTGGTGTTTTAGGTGCAGGTCTGGGGCTGTCCGCCGCCGAACACGGAGCCTACAATCAAGGCTATGACCAAGGTTATCGTATGTACTCGACGCCCCCAGGAGCCAAGGATGAGGGATATATCTCGGCAGCAAACCCCATGTCTCCTAGCAACGGTACACCGGAGCCACGTAACAAATTTAGCACACTCGACCATGCCAACCCGCCTCTTCTCTTCGACAACAGAGACCTTGAAGAGGATCCCTTCGTTGGCTCTGGTCACCAACGGCACTTCAGCGGTTATTCCCACGGCATTGCCTCTCCTATATACGACAGTGCTACAGGTCGGGGTGCCGAGAGTATTGAATCCAAGGACATCATTGCTTTGATGAACCACGTAAGTTTGTCGCTTCTACATAAACTACATTGTGCTGACGCTCTTTTATAGCTCACCGTTAGAGACTCTCAACGCAATGCCAGAGACACTGAAATTCTATTCACCCTTGTGCGCAGTGCAGCTGATATGCGGAGTTCGTTCTTGGAAATGAAAAAATTCATTGCCGAGCAAGATGAAATGATTTTGCAAGCCAACGAGAAACAACACGAACGTACTCGGGCTATCGGCGGCCCGCGCCCACTCCCTGCCTCACGGTCCAACCGTCAATTGGCCGCAGCCGATTACGGTGAGGAAGTCCAAGCAAAACGACGAAATGTCTTCCGAAGGGCCATGAAGAGTCTAAGTCTGAAGTCGTCTAACGACTTGACAAAGATTGAAGATATGCTTGAGCAACTTCTCGACGAAGTAGAAGCTTTACGAACTGCTCAAGGAAGTGTTGGAACAGCACCAGCAACGAATGCCGCCAGTCTTAACTCAAACATCAATGCTGGAGCTTATCCTGATGGATATGAGCCTGAAGGTATAGCAGGTACTGGATCTCCCGACGGGCAGTCTGGATACACGTCTAATTCTTCCCGACCTCTAGCCGATGCGCGACCAATGAACACACGCCGAGCATCGGAGAATCGTATCAGCACTGTACTTGAAGGAGACGAAGAGGTCGATGCGTATGAGCAGCCACTTTTGGATAGAGAAGTTCCATATGATGAGCGTATTCCTGATGAGCGAGGTGTTCCTGCACATCTCGGTACACCACCGCGCAAGCCCGTGCCTACTGGTTCGGGAAGCCAAGAAACCACTCCCAGAAAGTCGGATGAGAAAGCACGCAAGCATAAATCAAATAGCTCCTCCTTTTTCAAGATTTCTCGGTGGTCAAAGACGACTGCCTCCTCGGCTGGTGACAATGTCCGCAACAGCGTGCAGACTGCTCGAAAAGAACGTCCATCGTCAGAGATGTCGCGATCGGGCTCCGATCTAGCCAACAAAGACCACTACGCTACTGGCGATTTCTACGATCCCCATGGCGATGATCGTCTTCGATCCACGTTTACTGTGGATGAAGAACCACAAGACAATCGTCCTCCCTCACCACTTGTACCTTCTCAAGTTTCCGAAGGACCCAAATACAAAGCACACCGAGATAGCCTCAATCTGCAACACCCGCAGCCACAAAAAGGTCCAACTGATCGGTACCAAACTCATCTCGAATCTCAGGCACAAGTCTATGCACCGACCTCCCCCACTTCAGAGAGATGGGGATCACAATCAAGCCTGCCTCATTACACCAATGCGAACAGAATGAGCAGCGGCAACGCTCGCTTGACACCCATTTCGGATGCAGGCTACTCGGAAGTGAGCTCCTCTAGAGGCCCTCCTCGGCCACCAAAAGTCAAAGATGCCGGACCATTGGTACCTCAACGACCACCCAAGATCAAGGAAGACGCCGGTTCTCCGCATACCGATCGATTTTCTGCCCGAAATAGCCGTGGTAGCGCTTCCCCGGTTAACGCGCCACCGACTCGAAAGCCTACTGGGCCTAGGCCAATTACCAGTTCTGGACAGTTCAGTCCTAGTAACATTAAACGCAATCAGTATCGCGGAAGCCCTAACAGGATCGACTACGATGATGACGAGTACTGATCCTAATACCGGGTCGAGCTAAAAGAAGAAACCCATCCGGAGCAGTAGGAAAGACTTCTACTCCGTCAACCCTTTCTCACTTTCGGATTTATCATTTATTAAGATTTTGCGAGCAAAGAAAAAGATCGAAGCCTTGATTATGTCCTTTTTCCCCCTCCACCCTAGCTACTCACCACGGGTGGGCGAACATAATAATATGTCTCTGCATCAAGCGAGCATGGAGTTTTCCCCTTCTCTCCGCTTAATCCTTTTCCCCTTTTTCGTGTCAATTTTTTTTTCCCTTTTTTTCTCAAACATGTCAATAACGAAACTCATAACGTGTCTCATGAAAAATCTATGTCCCTCAGTCTTTTGTTTCTATTCTCCTTTCATTGAATGTATTTTTCCTCTTTGCGTATATGATATCAACGAGAAAGGGCTTCTTGTTTTACTTTTTATTTTTTCTCCGTATCATAGGCCTGTATCTAGGTTTTCTTCATAAACGGATTTCGATCTTAGAATCTTGGCTTTACTATCTGCGAGGGGCGAGAGATGGTCATATAATCAATGCAAAAGGCTTTCTTCAATTTTCATCCTCTCTATACAAAAATGTTATCATTGCCCAGTAGGAAAGCAACATTGAAGCCCATGCATATGTAGGATTGATCAATGCCCGTGATACATACCGCCTACACTTGATAACACTGCATGTGGACACCTGAGAGTTTTGCCTGTGTACATTGAAACATATATATGTATATAGATAAACACTTTCCCACGACTGGCAAGCATTTGATTTAATGTTTTCGCACCCAATTCAGTACGCATGACACCCAAACATCAATTCCTCATCAAGTAGCCATGGTAAAGCCCGAGAAAAAGCCTTGTATCCTTCGCACCAACATAGGAGAATTACTCCCAATCATCAAAGCTTAGGAAACTTGTATCTCAGTTTAGGGCTTTAATCCAATGTTCCCTTTATAAGGCGAAAATTCCAAATTATTTTCAACAAATTGGCGAGATGGCCGAGCGGTTATGGCGGATGTCTCAAGTTCTTACTTGAGGAGGGCGTACCCTCCACAATTATCCTATGTAAACAAAAGTTTATATAAGCATGCATCTCACGAAAGTGGCGTGGGTTCGAGTCCCACTCTCGTCAATTCCGTACAATTTTTTATTTTATGTTTACATTAACTTAAACTCTAAGCCCAAGCCGGTGTCGGCCATTTCTTACCACTATATCGGAAGAGGATATCACGCGAATTTATTAACACAATTATACGATATTTGCAACACTATTTGACAAGTTATTTGAAGCATATTTGAGGCCTTGATACAGGCCTAATTTCAGTCATTCTCCGAAACACAGATTGATCGATTTGCAGCTTGATATTTGTATGGGATTCACATATACAAAAGGGACAGAAATCTCAGATAGAAATGTAGAAGATACAGACGAATATTACACTGATTTTTCCCCATATATTGAGACTTCCCATTCTTTGATGCTACTGGTAAAAAACCTCCAATAGCCGGCACTACATGGATGTTTTATTGGGCGTGGCCATTTTCGTCAATCTTCTTTCTTTGTTATAAAACACTTCATCTACTATGTACATGTTGACAATTATGAACCATTACTACGCTTGAAAGGCCTTTTTTCAGTGTAAAATATTTCTTGACTATCAAGGAACGTATAACATAAATACGCTCAAAAGGCGCTTTTTGTTTGTAGGACATTTGATCTTGACTACTCAAGGAACGGGTGGACGGAACAATCTAAATCTGGGAACATTTCCTGTATTGAGGTCACGCATCGGCAGAGGCAGGAATAGCGCCAGGATCGTTTATGGGTATGCCAACATTTCCGACATTTACCTAGGAGTTGTTAGCCCTATCTAGAATCTCGACTCTTCCAACAACTGCCGGGGTGGTAGGGTACGAACCCTTTCTTGCTGAAGTATGCTCCGACCGCACAGTTTAATGATTTGCCTCTGCAAGTACTGTGATCGACAGAAATACGGGTCTCTACGGTCGAGGCCGTGCAAATGGTGGTCTCGGGGTTTGTACTCATACTTGTCGTCAAAACCCACGAGGTATTCGTAGATCTCCTTTTTTTGGCGTCTCGCCGTCTTGAAGACACATGATCTTGTCCTCCATTATGACATGGATCTTAGCAACAGCAGCAAGATGAAAGAAGCTAGACATTTTGGAGAAGTGTTCTCTGACCGGACTGGTGGTAATGATCCGGTTGAGTTTTTCGTCATGAATATCACAATATCGCCAAACCTTCCCATCGGGAGCAAATGTCTTCCCATCAAAATATGAGATAAGTTCTTCTCCCCAAATAGTAGTCTTGGGGTTTCTTGACATCCAGGGAGTATGAGGGTATCGTACGTCCATTTGAATTCAACCGTTTGGTAGATTGGATATTTTGATTATCCCCGAGGGTCTATTTTAGATATGATCAATGTATTTGACCAAGGCCCATTTTTGAAAGAATATCCACAATATGGCAAGATAATATCTAGATTCGCTTTATTCCCGTGTGTTATCCGACTGAGGATGACTTGAGGCGTAAGAATGGGCCTAGACCAGCGCATAATAGCTCTGATATCCTGGATGAACCTCAACATATGGTCGGGATGCTAGTCTTCAGGATCTAGAGACCTCGAGGGCTCTTGAAGTATTCTCATAGCGTCGAGCTCTTGGGAGATATCTCGAAGCTGAATTACTTCGTTAGCTTAAAGGTGTTATGAAAAGGATTTGGTTGGCCATCATTCTATCCTGAGGAGGAATCCATTGCATGAAGCAGTTGGGATATGGATAGAGTTCTGTGTCCTGAAAATAAACATTGAAAGTCAGAACAGCTCTTATGATAGGACGAATGAGGAATGGCACTGAGTTCGTACATGCCCTGGAAACCCGTCAACGTTTATCGATATATCATGTGAGAGTAGAATGGCACGTAACATCTCTGTTGCAAGACGTCATTTATGACGAGAAGGCAGAAAGATATAAGCCTACGATAGAGGAGGCACTTCGAATGAAGATTACAAAATCTTCTAACGAAGATCACGAGGAGGATGGAGTTGGCAAACAGGAACAAGATTTTACCAAGCTACGAGACCCTATGGATACATCAAGTGTAAGATTAAGCCCTGCTTTCCATTTTCTGGATCGTATCTCACATCTGCTTAGGATCAGTTGAGAGAAGTCGTTTTCAGCAGCTTGAATTTGAGGAATGAGACAGTTGCTAGACGTTTGAAACTATCCGGTAGAGCAGCATATTCGCGTGAAGAAAAGTTGAAGATCATCGATTTAGCAAATGGATCAATATTTCGCAACCATGAAACAGGAGAGGCAAGGCCAACCCTAATGGTGGATGTTTGCCGAAAGCTCTACATCAGCACTACAAACCTAAACCGATGGATGGAGGAGATTGAGGTCATCTCTGCATTATTCATTGGTAGATATCGCCTGAAGAAGAAACCGCAAACGCAAGACCATTGCGATACTGAAGACCAAAGCGTTTTCCAAGTAGTACCAGGTCAGGATGCCTCCTCAGTCCCTCCTACGCCAATAGAAGATGCATGCAAGCAAGTTGTCCAGGAGAGTGCGGACATCTCGTCAAACTACGTCGGTAGACGAAGGAATCTACCAACTCCTGCGGTAGATTTCAGAATGCTTAGACAGAAAGGAATTTCAGTTTTAGAGACTTGAATAGGGTTCGTATCCTTTTCTCCATGTTTACATTCGAGTTTACTAAAGCTCTTCTAAATGAAACATCCCGATTGTCCAGTTCCTTTCATCGGCAGGCCTCGCAAATGGAAAAATGTACTCACGTTTGAGGAAGCGTATACTATCGCGGGATTTCTAGAGAGGTAGGCTCATCAGTGACACCCACATCACCCTTCATCATCTCTACTACACCTCCGCTTATTGATGATATAAGCTCCGAAGCATCCTACAAGAAGGACGAAGCGACTGTCACTCAATCAAAAACGGGTCAGACAACCCACGAAGTCAACAAAGAGCTGTACAACATGGCTACTGAGCATGAGTCGAGAGCTCCTCGAGGTGAGAGATGGGATGTGTGTTCGGAGACTACGACAGCATGAAAAAATGCGTCGCATCAATATGACAGCGACTACTTCATTCCAGTGAACAGGTATGCTCATATCTTAAAGCTCATCAAAAAATTATATCAAGGCTAAGTTCATCTCAGATTGTAGCGGCACTTCCAGTGCGAATCGAACTAGACTACAATCATCCGTACGAAGGAGCACCGGCTCAGTGGGCCGTTGTTCTTAACCTCCTCTGAAGGCTTTCAGGTCCTCCTCCCCCTTGCGATCTCATTACGCGGATCTTCCACGACAAATGTCACTGGACCAAATGTTCTGTACGCTCAAGGTTGGACTATAGATCAGCCAACCCTCAGAGGAAATTTTCCTTGCAGAGGAAAACTGAATTATTATAACTCACTTGAGCTAGTACTTCAGGTTTTTGCTCACTCTATTGATCTCCATGTGCAAAATACCGAAATGATTTTTACGCAACTGTGGGGGGTGTGGCAACCTAGAAGGTACATGTGTGCTTGGAAGCTTTATGGGTCTCCAATTCATGCAGCCGGGTCAGAGAAAAACGCAATAGTCCTAGTCGAGGGAACTTACACAAGTCTCAATTATCTGGTCAACAAGTTATTGAATATTGGATCTCTAGTCTCTTTCAAAATTGGTGTTGATAGGCCCTTCCAACTTCTATGACTTAGTCACTTTGCTCTGATCACTCGTTACGCTCCACCTCAGAGACACGATTTGCTGGTTCAGAAGTTGATCGATATCACATACAACAAGTCGGATTCTGGGATGAACAATGTTAAACCGGGGGAAAACGAGCAAGCTATGAAACGTCGAAAGGCAGAGAAACGCTCTTTGGAGAGTATTTTGCAACAAGGAAATCAACTGTTTGATGGAGAACCACGCTGTCGGTTCTCTAATTGCCCATTTCCATGTCATATGCAAGTTCTCTATTGCAAATATCACGTGGAGCCTATGTTACAACTTTTTCGGCTCCTGACATTGAAACGTACGACTGAATGGCGCGATGTTTCAGAATGGAAACATACTATACCTATACCCGAGAATGCGAAAGCTTATATCGAAGTTATTAGACGCTTCTTTGAGCATCATCTCGAGGACCTGTGGGTGGTGGGCTTCGAATTTTTCTCGATTCCGAAGTATTCACCAGTGCACAACACAAATGGCAATCCGCTTGTTGAATGGAGGTCTATTTTCTAACGACGAACATTGACTATGAAATGTCCCTTGATATGTTCATTGAAAAGATATTGCAGGTTCTGACCAGAAGTCGCCAAGTTGGTGAAGGGTTCCTTGCTGTTTATCAGTCATATAAAACAAATGGACTCAGACCGCTGGAAATTCGAAAGAAAATCCTTGAAATCGGTTTATAGCTCAGAAAAGACTCAAATACTTTCATGGTCATCCGCTCAGGACATGTAATGCTTTCTAAGGCTACTTCATGAGGGGAACGACTTAATCGTACCCCGACACAGCCATATGGAAGGAAGAAATTTGCAGCCCGGTAGTGTGCATCTCATCTGTCAGAGGCTTTTCTTTCAAGTGCTGAATTTGAAACTCCAGTCAGTTCATCGTGGTCTTAGTAAAAGAGACTATGGGATCCATAGTAATTATTATCAAGATGCTGCCAACGATACGGAAGCAGGGGTGGAAATCATCCAAGAACAGCTATATTCACGGAGTTGAGATTATAACTGACTTGGTCACGTAGGTTAATGTTACATTGAAACCACCCATATTTTCCTCAATTCTACACTTAGACATCAGAATGATTAAAACTACATTCAATCTCTGCTCCTTCTATAGTTTATCTTCGCATAACAATGTGCCATCGCTGTACGATTATCGCATTATTTCATAACAGGAAAGCATACCTAATTCTGCACCCAGTTCAGAACACACGAAACCCAGATATCAATTCCTTATCAGACACCCATGACAAAGCACTAGACAAAGCCTCACATCCTTTGTACTGACACAGGAGAATCACTCCCAATCATCTAAAGCAAGGAAATCGTCAGATTGGGTTATCATAGTCCAATAGTCTCTTCATAGTGCGAAAAACTCATATAATGTTTCATCAATATGGCGAGATGGCCGAGTGGTTATGGCGGATGTCTCAAGTTCTTACTTGAGGAGGGCTTACCCTCCACAGTTATCCTTTATAAACTTATGTTTATATAAGTATGCATCTCTCGAAAGAGGCGTGGGTTCGAGTCCCACTCTCGTCATCCAAATTTTTTTCTCATAACCCTAAGCCTTCCAATTTAAATTGGAAATAAACCACGTGATCCGGACGTCACATAACCCTATACAAACCATTACCAAGAACCCATTAAGGGGATCTCCTTTTCGGTCAAGCGGTAATTTTGTCCGACACCTTATGTGAACTGTTGTCAGACCCCTCGACTTCGTAGATGTCATAGTTCTTTTTACATCCCCCTCCCTGTCTTGAAATTAGATTATTGTCCTCCATGATGGCATGAACAGTTAGCAGCAGCATCGTGGGAGTAGAAGCATGTTTGGCCGGATTTGTGGAATCTATCAATTCGGCTGAGTTGATTGTCCTGGATACCAATTGTATTATCACCTCGATCGAAAGGGCAAGCCCTTTCGGGATAGGGAAGTTATACTACTGACAAATTTGTATACAATCGCAAGAAATGTATCATACAATTAAGGAACGGAAAACCTGACTCGACACCAATGTCAATGAGCATAGAACAGGAAATCAACCCCCCCCCGGACCCTCGCCGATTCATAGCTTCGAATCCTTTACGGTGTTCTGAAGTACCGGCGCAGAAGACGATCTGGCATTCCTGCTCCTTCTATAATTCCTCCTCGTATAATGCTGTGCCACCGCTGCGAGAGTACCGTGTTGCGCATCCGGTCGAAAATGGGCAGGAACACTCGATGCACCTCCAGCATTATTCCCAGCAGAAGCATTCGCCTGACGAGATGTATCAGAGTCCTCAAATGAACGTCCGGGTAGGAGGTCGATATACGTCTGAACCCCAGACGACGCAGCCGGGAGTTGCGTGGAACACGACGATGAGTAGATAGAGTCACTGACAGATACGAATGGCATACGAGCAATGAACGCCGGAATAGGCGGTACAGGCATCCGCGGAATCGGCTCTGCGAATAGGGCCGGCGATACGGCTCGGTCAAGGCTGCGTGACTGCATCTGAAAGGCGTTATTTCGTCGACGACCGTTGGCGTGAATGGCATATGGTAAGGGCGATATCAATGATGACGACCGTCTGGAGTTTTCATAGTTGCGACGAAGATAAGGAGGTAGAGGCGCTTGAGGGCGGAGGTATGCTATGTCCGGCTGATGGGCGAACATTGCCGGAGGGATGAAGTTGGTTTCGAGGGAGCTGTCGCCAGGTGTCATGAGGTTATCGGCTGGCCCTGTGGATATGATGCTACCTTCGTAGCCCCCGTCTCGTTGGCGACTGGATCGGTAATTGTTCCTGCAGAAGGAGGAATAGGATATCTCTCTGCCGGAGACTATCTGAACGATTGAGATAGCGATGTTGACGATGCGGGATTCGACTTTGGTAATGTGTGCTTGAAACCATTGTGGTGAGAGGCTGATGCACTGAGGTAAAAAATGGAGAGCTCGTAAGAAGATTAGGTATATGGTCCAGAAGGCAAGATGCATGAGCCTTGAGGATTTGCAGTTCAGACAGGGGGTGTGGTTCTTCTCGTCGAGAAGGTGTCCTAGGGCTGTGGCTTCCATGATATTTCAATGAGCTAACAGATGGCAGACTGGGTATAGAGAGAAACTGATACAGTACTATTTGCTATATTCGTGTGTATGGAGATGAATCAGGGGTTTGAGAGGCCGGATGTTGACTTTTAACTTACCAAGCTGGGTGCTCCAGAGGAAAGAGCACCCAGAGGAAGGAGTGACTGTACCCCAGTAGAAACTCATTCTACTAAAAACCCCGCAAATTCAGTTTACTCTAGGATCTAATGGCCATTTTTTCCCCCCGCGAGCCAGCATCAATTCTCGATACATGTCGTTGCATGTTGACCAAGCTAATTACCAAAAATGGAAAGGTGGGGGAATTGCCGATAACCGTTACCTTTCTCATCGAACAAAGTTATCTTCAAGACCTCGGCTTACTACTTATTGTTTATCCCCAATAAGGAATATCGTAGATGATACTTCCACTCCCAAGGCTACCGCTCATTCAATCGTCAATACGATACTTGCGATTCCACAGAAGCATGGCATCCATCCAGGCAACACCTGCCCGACCCCGCAGGTTCGCTCCATTGAGACAGGATGCAGATACGAGTGATGCGCCGAAATTGAAGGGCATTGTTTTTGATGTCGATGGAACATTATGGTAAATATATCGCCTGATCATCTATACTATTCACCAGTATGTCAAGATGCTGACATCCCTGCAACAGCCTTCCGCAACATTACATGTTCCCACAGATGCGGTATGAATCATCTCCGCAGAAAAAAAAACCTTTGGCTAAATGAATCACTCTATGATCAGATCCGCTTTAGGAATCGATCAAAAGACCGATATCCTAGAACACATTCGCAATCTCCCCAATGAACAGGCCCGTACCGAAGCTGTCGCAAAAGTGCAGGCAATCGAGCGCGAGGCAATGCTTGCACAGCAGCCTCAGCCGGGCCTTGTCACATTAATGAATTATCTCGAGAAGAAGGGGATCCGTCGTGCTTTATGCACGAGAAATTTCGAGTAAGTTTTCTACTTATGGCTTCTTATTGTTATTGCCCGATGTGTGTATTCTGATACCAATGTAGAGCACCTGTAACACATCTCTTACAAAATCATCTTCCGAATCACATCTTTGAGCCGATTGTGACGCGCGATACGCCTGACCTTCTGCCCAAACCAGAGCCTTCTGGGCTACTGCATATTGCAGAGCAATGGGGCTTGAGCAATCGTGCAGATAGTATGATTATGGTATGATAATGCTTATCATCTCTATATCTTGTCGAATCAGCAATTGCTGACTGTTTTTCTAGGTCGGAGATAGCATTGACGATATGACTGCCGGACATACTGCCGGTGCAGCAACTGTACTCCTTGCAAACGAACGCAATACGCATTTGAAAGAGCATGTGCACACCGATATCTGTATTTCAAGACTCGATGAACTCGTTGATATCCTGGAAAATGGGTTCGTGGGTGATAATTGTGCTGTTTCCGGCAGCACGTAAAATTCCACATTCATGGAAAGCTCCAAGTTGTTATATATACAGATAGAGGACATATACAGTACAACAAAATCGTGATATCCTACCCACGACGCCATGAATGCAGTATGCAAAAGACCTACTCGCAAATAAGAATAATACAACATCGTGCATATTTACCGCCGGCCAGGACGGTATTGGTCMCCTCCTCGGCCGCCACGACCGCGGCCTCTGCCATTACCACGTCCTCGAGGAGGAGGACCGGGTCTTCCTCTCGAAAAATTTCCTGGCGGCGGCCTATAACCAGACGGAGGGGAACGAGATCGCCTTCGTTGTCTGTTGTTGAAGTCATCATCTCGATCCCGGTAATCTCTGGGCTGGAATGGCGGTGGTGGTTCACGAGGTAATGGAGGGAGACCAGGAGGTGGCGGAGGAAGCTGTTCTCCATGTAGACCCCGATTTTGGCCAAGAGCTCCTCTAAAAGTAATCTTTCCTCGACCGCCGCGGGGATTCGGCTGGGACCTCTTTCCATGGAGTACTAGCGTATCCTCGTCGTCTGTTGGTGTGGTGTTTTGTGGATGAGTGGCGCGGCCACGGATGCTCATGCCCGGATTATCAGCCTTCTTAGGGCCAATGACGGAATTGAGGTTCGTAATTACCGATGGCGTGTAATCTTTTAAGGAGAATGTGCTCGACGTTGTTGGGACCTTTTTGAGAGGGCAGTCACCAAATAGATGGTTTTTATTGGTACAGTAGCTGCATGATATAGAGACTTTGATTGGACCGTCCAGAGGCTGCACTCTGGGAAACTTCCATAATTTATCACAGTCGAATTCGGTGTGGGTATCAGAGCCACAATAATCGCATGGCGTCTCTGCAGCCGAGGCTTTCAGACTGGATGGGCATTGATGGGCATCGTGGCCAGCTTCACGACAACGTTGACATCGCCTAACAGAGGGGCACAGTCGATCCTCGTGTAAGTTCCAAGCGCCACAATTCTCGCACTAAACAAAATCAGTCAAAGCTTATGAAACGGAATAAAGTTGACAAACCTCCTTGGTAGGACAGACAGACGAAAGGTGCCCCTCCTGCAAGCATTCCGTACACGATATAGGTCTCGTCAAATCGAGTTCATTGATATTAGAATTATAAAAGAAGAAACGAGCTTGTATCTCGAGATCTTTGACTTTCAGATCAGCGAGAATAGCCGGAGATGTGGTATAGCTTGCTGCAAAGTCGGCAAACGCCTCGGCTTTCGACTGTGGCGGAAGCTGTGTGATTGAGGGCTCTGATAAGACACTGCCGGTTTCTTGCGTGGATGGCTTGTCGGCTTGGGTAGAAGGAAGAGGATCGACGATGAAAGGCGGGGTGGAGAGGTCAACTGCATCATCTTGAGTATCGTTCAAGTCATGACCATTACTTTGCTGTCCGATATTCAACATCATGGAATCGTCCCCTTCAGAGACTTCTCCCGAATCCGAAGCATCGGAATCATCGACAAAGTATGTTTTTTGCTCTTGGTCGATCTTGGAGCTGGATTCGGTTGTACCAACGTCGCCCTTGTTGTGTGCCTCCTCTTCCGAGATAGATGCGCTGCGACTTCGGAAAAACTTGTCATTCACTGCGTCGAAAGCTGACTTGGCCTGTTGATTCTTGACAGCTGCAGCCGCGGGTTTCGCGCCAAGGGTAGTCCGAATGGCACTACGGCTTGCTTGATTCCAACTCACTGTAGGCGCATTTCTCTTTTGTCGCTTGTTGCTTTTCTGCTCGGGTTCGTTGTCGCTGTTTGAAGAATCAGATCCAGACGATGAGGTGGAGTTCTCTGGATCAACTTCTAGCGGAGTCGTACTGAACTTGGCGCCTTGCGGCACGAAGTCTACCGGTTCCTTCTTTGCCGCTTTCTTCGACTTTCGCGACTTTTTCTTTGCGGAGGTAGAGGGGTTGGGATTCGGCTGTGATCGCGCTTGGCCGACTGAAGCAGTGCGCGAGTCGCCCTCGTCGTCCGAAATGCCGGCCATCATGGGTAGATGTCGTGCGCGCAAAGGGAGAACGAATGAAGTTCGAAAGAGTCGCGGACTCAAGCGGGAGTATCGTTAGACAAAAAAGCCGCGCTGCATGCTGGAGTATCAGTTCGCGCAAAATGAACCCTTCTCTTCAATCCAACTTGTTGGGTGCTTCCTGTCGTTATCGGTTGTGCAGTCTTAATTTTTTTGTAGATCGGACTTGAAGGACGAATGGAGCAAGGCACAAGCTTCAGCCAATCATATGCAGGAATGTCTTGGCACGTTTTACGTAGTAGTCTCACAGAAGCAGAGCTACGAATGCTGTGTTATGCTACAACCCTTCGCTTCATGCCGAAAATAAAAGTGTTCAAGCGAAATGTAGAAGTCTATATCTAGTGCCCAATATCGTTGAAGACAGCGCTGAAGTTCGCCTCGAGTACCGCGCTAACCAGATCGGGATCACCAGACAAAAAGAGCAAACAACCGCCGCGCTAGTCCGATCGTGGATGAAGTTTTAGCAGGTGTTTTGTTAGTCTGGCCTCTCTACAGCCGACGACGACAACCACGCAATCGCCCCAGACAGACCACATTTTTCCTGTTGCCTGGTCTGAATGAAAATATCAATTAATCCAACTACATACGTCGTCTACCACTCTGCTCTGCCATCGGATTTGTCGGTCTCTTTCCTTCCGTCTATTCATTCCTCACTGCACGCGACCTTACTGGTCCCTCTCCTTGTTCTCTTCTCCTCGGGCTCCTCACCGGCGGAAGACATTCGAACCATCTCGCCCTACATTGGAACTCCGCCGCCGAATATCATCCATCCTATATATCCTCTATCAGCGGCTGATTTCAGCTACGTGCTTGCGTCTAAATTACTCTCGGAACCCGCCCACTCGTTGACACCTACCTCTCCAATACCGCCAAACTGTCGTCCCTACTTATCCCCCGAACTATCTCCTTCCCGCCGGACGTCGACGGGGGTACCGGTCGGTCATCCCCAGATAGAAAGATGAGCCAGTCGAAAGGTGGAAGGCGGAGGAGGTCGAGCAGCATCATCTACCAGGAACCCATCGAGTCAAATGAACAGATGAGTGATCAAGCGGCACTGCCTAATTTGAATGCCAATTGGGTTAATGCAAAGGGTGAGTGATTAGACGGGATCCTTAAAATCACCAGTATACTAACAGAATGGACAATAGGTGCCTGGACGATCCATTTTGTCTTGATTGCTGCGCTAAAGATCTTCTATGATATCATCCCCGGAGTGTCTCAAGAGACATCGTGGACGCTCACCAACATCACCTATATGTTTGTCACATTCATCATGTTCCACTGGGTACGAGGAATTCCGTTTGAATTCAACGCCGGCGCTTACGACAACCTCAACATGTGGGAGCAAATCGACAACGGAGACCAATATACCCCTGCGAAAAAGTTCTTGCTTAGCGTGCCTATTATTCTATTCCTCCTCAGCACTCATTACACCCACTATGACTTGACCTCTTTTCTCATCAATTTTTTGGCTACATTAGGCGTTGTCATTCCTAAATTACCCATCGTGAGTGACTCCGACTTCTTTCCTTATGATGTGCTAGATGCTGACTTTCCCAGTCTCACCGTATGCGGATAGGTCTTTTTTCAGAGATTCCGGATGATTCTTAGCTTTCTTTCTAGTGACATTATTACTCTTCTTTTTGCAACAGTCTCAGGGACACGCTCCTTTAATATTGATCTGGTCGTCTATCTATATCGACAGAAGTCACTCCTTGTCTGCTATAAATGAGCATAGCGTTTTGGCCACGCGGAAAACCGATTATCATGGATAGAAATATGTTGAGGAAAGATCACAAATAAAAACTTGGTATTTTTTAAATGTCTTAGGTCATGGATCATGACGAACAATCTGTTCCTGTAAACCGGAATCTCTCAGCACAAGGGACATGACTATCTACGATAAGAGTAAAAAAACTAGATGCAGCCCGCGACAGACATTGAGGTGGGAAGAGTGTCAATTTCGGAAGTTGTACTGTGTATGAAAGGCGAAAGTATAAAGATCGCAGCTAATTACTGAATGAGGTTATGCAAGTTTTGCTGTTGGCACATAACCACGTGTTCTTCGAGGACGTTGGTGCTTGCGTGCTCGCTCAAGCTTTTAAGATTGATGGTTGGCATTTGAGAAAGGCATCGAATGGTCATGCTGAAATTGGTCGTTTTATAGCCAGAGGAAGCAGTGGGATGTAGATGGTAGAGTTGGCTGTTTGTATGAACAGCAGTCGATATTCCGAGTTCCCGCGAAAACTTCGATCATCTATATTAGACCATGATCACTCCTCTTTAGATTGTCTTTTGCCTAAATTGAATTACCATGGCTCTCCGTATTCTAACGGGTAGCAGCGGTCCTCGGCAACTCTGAAAATACATTAGTTAAGTACTTAAAAGTAGTCGACTAATCAATATTTGTTGGTTGAGTAATCACATTAAACACGCATCCGCCATACTCTATTTTGACAGGATAGCCATGTGGAAGGCGGGCCCATTATGGCATTTAGTCCTTTATGTACGGACATTGTCACATTATAAAAGCCCTGGTTCCTGGGACGGTGACTAGGTTAGGCCCTAGGCCAAAATGCAGCGACGGGTCATCGTTTGTCATATTTTCCATAGGCACCTTTGCGATCACAAAGCAGCAACCATACAGTTCTTCTTCATAGTTGGACAGCACGGGCCTAAAAGAGAGATTCATGATGAGCCTGTTAGAAGAAGGAAATGTTTTTTCGGGCCAAAACAACCCTCAGCATGAATCATCAAGTTCGGAAGACACAGAACCAAAGCGAGAAGACAAAATATCAGATGCGCCAGAAAACAGTGTCGAGTGGGCTTGGGAAGATGATCCAAAAAATCCGTACAACTGGCCTACTAAATTAAAAGTTCGACAAGTCGTTATGATGGCTTCTGCGGGATTCACGACGTTCGTTGCAGAATAACCCCCTTTTAGGGCTAATCTCACTAACGCTATTGTCCAGTACGGTCGCCGTATCAATACTAACTCCTGCTCATACCCAATTCATGCAAGAGTTTGGAGTTAGCAGTACTGTGGCGATTCTACCATTATCTCTCTATGTTTTTGCTCTTGGACTTGGCCCTGTGATTGGGGGACCATTATCTGAGACCGTTGGCAGGTACCCTGTCTACTTTGGGACTACCTTATTCGGCACGCTTTTCAGCCTGGGTGCTGGATTCTGCCAGTCTTTCGCAGGTCTCTGTGTTCTGCGTTTTCTGGCTGGATTTTCCTTCGGTCCATCCCTGGCAATTGGTGGTGGGACGATAAATGAAACATTCAAACCTGCTCAACGGGCAGTTCCTTCTACAATATACATTCTGGCTCCATTTCTGGGCCCTGGGCTGGGGTAAGTTGAAGTATTATGACTTACGCTCTCAGGGATTCACCACATTACTTACCAATTCTTTAGTCCTGTTATTGGGTGCTTTGTCGTTGACCGCAAAGGTTGGCGCTGGACCCAATGGACCATCTGTTTCTTCGGCATCTTCACCATGCTTACGATCATGACCTGCCGAGAGACATTCCATCAGGTCCTCAGGCGCAGGATTGCGAAGGCAAAGGGTTTGTCAATGCCGACGCCTACACCTCTTTCGTCGCAACTCCGACTCTTCGCAAGCACTGCCCTTTTGCGCCCAATCCAAATGCTATGCACGGAGCCAATCGTTGCGCTTGTTTGCTTGTACGTGGCTTGCAATTTTGCAACGCTATTTTCCTTCTTTGCTGCAATCCCGTATGTTTTTAATGAGGTTTATGGATTTGGTTTGGTGGACTCTGGCCTTCTTTTCATTTCCATAGTGGTAGGTTGCCCATTAGGAGCCTTGACTGTGATGTTATGTGATGTTTTCTTATATCGCAAACGGGCATCCAAGTTCCTCGGGCGGCATGTTCCACCAGAGTACCGCCTTTACCCATCTATGATAGGGAGCATCTGTTTACCGATTGGCCTTTTCTGGTTTGGCTGGACATCCAGGGCTTCGATATCATGGGTCAGTCCCGTTATTGCAATCATGATCTTCGCCTGGGGGAATCTATGTGTTTTTGTCAGCATGATCCAGTACCTTGTCGATACTTATCATGGCCAGACCGTCGCCAGCGCTATGAGCGCCAATAGTCTGGCTCGATATGGGCTTGCCGCCGCTTTTCCGCTGTTCACGATACAGAGTAAGTCTTGAGATATTGAAGTATGATAAGTCCCAGTTCTAACCTCTGAGATAGTGTATTCAACGCTCGGTATTGGTTGGGCGTCAAGCTTATTGGGTTTCATCGCCATTGCACTCTCCCCAGTTCCCTGGTTATTCTACCTTAAAGGTGAACGACTGAGAGCTCTTAGTAGTTTTGAAACAGCGACTTCATAAAAATAGAATGAAAGGCCATTAAGGATCGACGTCCTTGAGCCTGCGAAACTGTCTGCGTGTATTTCGGAAAGTTATTGTGCTGTTTTGCTATGGTTTCAGGTATAGAACGGAATTTAGATTTTTGAATATTTACGAGAAGTAACCCTGCAAATGAAAGTAGAACCGAATCAACCTAGTACTCGACGAGGCTGTATTTTAAGGATGCTTAAGCTACGAGACCTCAGAGAGTAGCAATTAACTGCAAATCAATCCTACGCCTACTCTTGCCTACAGATGACCCTAAACCCTTAATGGCACTACTCCTCCCTTGACAATTCTTGATGCCTGTGTCTTGTTGGATCTTTAATGTCCCCGAGCTAGGCTAGTAACGACAGCCACAGCTAAATGGTGTCAACACAAAGATTGATCTGTAATAAGATCATGATACTATCTCCGAATCATTCTAATCTCAATTACGCAACGTCAGGTAGGAGTGGAAGTATGGTATATTAATTGAGTCATGCATCTAGGTACAACCTACAACCAGAACTATCGCTAAATTCTCATATGGTGGACTAATGCACCGGATTTCACGGATATAACTATCCGGTAGACAGGAACTTGTAGGCGTGATTGATCTAGTCATTGTATACCACGATTCCCTTATCTGAAGTGTGTGCAGCCCTCTTCGCGGAGGTTACACTACCGGTGTTTGGTCATAACCTGATTGTAGGGGAACTGGTGCAGTCACCACAATGGTAACGTGAACTTCACCAAGGCACACTTCGTGATGACCAACTTTTGGAAATTGGAGCCACGCACGCCCAACACCATTCTGGACATGAACATTGCATTCTCGTGGAATATCATCTTTAAGAGTATATTGCATAGTTCTGACAAGAGGGAACAGTGCCGGATTAGACATTCCTCGGGTTACCTGCCAAAGCTCGCACTCGATGACGGCTCTCCCATCAGCCACTGTATAACGCCCATTTTGCTGAATGGGTTCACCATTAATAAGCGAAGGGTTCCACATAGGTGGCCCAATGAGGTTCAATATTTCCGAGCCCTCCATTGCACCTAGGTCAGGTCGTGGTTTGTAGAAATGGCAAGTATTGGTACTTTATGAATTTTTGCTTGTGTATTTCAGGAGTAGTTGTTTTTATTTGGAAGGATTACAATTTCTTGCCCACAGGCCAGGTAAAGAGGTCCTCTAAATACTTTATCACTGACTCCCAAAATCAATGAACACTGACAGATGTTGACCTGACTCATTATGTGACTCCTTATCCATCGTTAGGAACATCATCGTCTGATACAAATAACAGCTCAGCACTGCAGTGTAGTCAATGAACCACTCACTTTTGACTTATTATTCATGCCAGCCACGCCCTAGCTTGTGTGATACAATGTATTACTCATTTGGCTTCGCTTCAGACCGTATTTGGTGATAAATTAATCAATAGCGCAGGTTCCAGTTGTTTGTCTCTCGAAGATTATGCTGGAGCCAACATCCAGATAGTACTGTCAAGGGAGAATTTTGGTATCCGGAACTTAAAACAAAAGCAATTACCACATCTGTGTAAACCCTCGGGAATATGGCTCSTATCTTCTTGTCATCTTCGAATGAGTACCAAATGCCACCCCTGACACTGTCAATGACTGGTTGGAATAAGTCATCGGTGACGATAAATCTATGCTCTGGCATAGTGTTTGGCAGATGACTAGTCTTCCAAAATTTCAAGGGGGAGTCACGTCCGTCATAATATCCAATTATACTCATGTATGACTCTTGTCATCAGAAAATGACTTGCTTCCATTCTGATCTTCGTTCCTCTGTTGCATGTTGCACCTTAATACAACTGCTCAGATGAACTGTGACGCGGCTCAATCTTACCATTACGATAGTCTATCGGCGAAATGCTAAGCATACAGAGAAGAAGAAAAAGGAAAGAATCTGTGTGAAAGCTCGTTATGGGTACGGCCTCGTGGGTACCTAATGGGGAAATTGTGATAACAAAGGGAACTAGGACCTAGGGCTCAACAAGACCGCGGAACGTCACCACATGACGATGCGTACACCGTCTGGTCTCATACAGCTTACTCGCAGACTCCATCAACAAATATTGATGACATCTCGTCCATTCTATTTTTAACAAGTCATTCACTGTTCAGCCTGTATAGTCATGTAAAGTGCCCCATATTCCATATCAACACGCCTTCCAGAAGCATCAGGTGAATAAAGTTCAATAACAACCTTGGAATTGCTCAAAATTCGCTACTCTGCTGTATGGTTTCTGATTTTGTCAAAAGAACGGCATTCTGGAGATTGTAGGCTGGCTGAACATGGGGTAATTGCGTGTTCTCATAGATTGATATGAGTTTTGAGCGCTAGCAACTGGTACGAGAGTAAGAGGAATCCGTAGTCATAGAAAACGGATCTCGGTTGATGGTTTCACTTTCATACGTGTCACATCAATTATGTCTGATCTACGTATTGTGTAGATTATTGAATAGATAAGTTAGAGCATCTTACCAACTCTTATATTGTGGGCAGTGTCTATCCAGAGCTGAAATCATTTCCATTTATATTATAAACTGATTCTGGTAGCCAAGTCTCAAGAACCCAATACACTTTGCGCTCTTTGCTGATCTTGTTCGTAATCATCATCATCACCATCCTCGCTTCTATCTGGAAGCCTCAGGACGCACACAGAGCAGAAAGTCAAGGTATAAAGCAACGTGACGAAAAACAGGGGGGCGCCAACCCAGATTCCACCTTGCTTTAGACCCCAATCGAACAATACTGCGATAATCGGTCCAGCAATCATCGCTCCGAGAGATGCGCTAATATTCATTGCGGAAAGCAAAGTCCCCGCCATTTCCGGCGGCCCGAAAGTCGTGAGCAAGCTCTTAGCTATAGTGGTAAAGGCGTTTCCGAGAGCAAAGATGATCAACGACAGAATGGCGAGGGACGATATCTCGGAGACGCTCAGAAGTAGAGTACCAGCGGTAAGCAACGCGGCGCTGACACGGACAAGAAAGAGATCTGCCCGGGCACTCGAAAGTCCGAAATTCTCCATGGAGATCCTGCTGGCAACTGGGATGATGACCAAGAGAACGACAAGAGTGATGGAGGGCCGTATGGCTAGGATGGAGCTTGCCTATGGTAATATCAGATATGAGCCTTGAGTTTGAAGCAGCGCAGACCGTGGGGCGGTGTAGTCTTTAGACTCACGTATGGATAACTCCAACCAAAGCGCTTGTGGACATATTGCAGCTCGAATGCGGCCGCTATGGTGCCAACTGTAGCTGCAAAGAAACCAAATAGGAGGAGTCCAACGTTCTTCGTGGCGAATAGTGAAGTGATAGATTCTCGAAAAACTGCTAACATTGCCGTGATTTGGTCTCCTGAAATTCCGAGTCTCGGGGGGCCATGTGTCTTCGGTCGAGCAGGATCGAGTGGATCTCCTGACCGTGGTCTCTGTGCCAGGGTCTCTGGCAAAAGCGCGAGGCTCACCGATGTACCCACCAGTAACGTTGCAAACCCAAGAAGAACAGGAATCCACGAGCTCTTAAGCATGAGCGCAGAGCCAATGAGGGGCGAGAAAAGTTCGCATGCGGTCGCCATCGACGCGACTCTTGTAAAAACGATTGTTCTCCCTGCAGTCAGCCTCTGTATTTTGGTAGGGGACCATGTGTAGCATACCGATCCTGCTCCGTGTAGACATCTGCCAATGTCGCTAGGACCACTGTTGCAGCGACAGCATCACCACCTCCGATGAGCCTGAAGAGAGGCGCTAGCCAGATGACTCTTAAGGGGAAATGATTTGGTTGCCACACTGGCTTTGTCAATTGATGCTGACAAGAAGATGATGGCAATGATATCACTCACTAACGAGGAGTTTGAAAGCGTCGCATAAGACGATTCCCACGACAGAGCAGAGGAGAACCTTCCTACGACCGATCCGATCTGCTATAGTACGACTCAGCAGGGAGGATAGAATTGACGGAGATACACGTTTACACATACCCAGAGCTCCATAGGGAAATGCAAGGATAAACCCTGATTAGTCCACAAGATTAGTGGCGGGCTTTCACTCACGCAAGCAATGCAAAGATGCTTACCCGGTAGCTGTGAAATCGTAACATACACCTGACTGAGCAGGCTCAGCTCTCTCTGCACGTCGTCCACGGTGCAGTCACGCTCAATCGAAACCTCGTCGTTATCGAGAGCGTCGTAATAAGCTTTACAGATGATGTCTTCTCGAATGTTGACCTCTGGAGCAAGGCATAGGTACAGATTAAAGTAAAGTACGCACACAAACAAAATTACCACAAGTTGGGTTCTCAGTCGGGACTTGTCTTTTGCAGTCGCCGCCTCGTCGCCATTGCTAAGCAAATGTGTGCGCTCATCAGCCTGATTAGGAGTCGATGATAGCATATCGAAATTGTTTTCAAAGAAGGATAAAGTAGTGTGCTGACCTGGAGTCTGGAGGGGTACCTACATACTTGATTTTCCCTGACACGCCGGGGCCCTTCTAATTTAGAGCTCAGCCTATCACGGCTTTTACTCCCTGACTAGAACTAAGCACGACTCTGAACACTACAACGTATTTCACGGGTAAGTGGGCCATGATCTCAACAATTTGTAGATAAACTATATCTAGAGTTTTATATAGAAGGTATTATTATACTTGATAGCTACTATATCAATTTTTAGGTCTGTATTATTATGGGAAGTAGAAAACAAGTTATTATTTAAATACATGCTGGTAATAATGGTAATTGTCACGGGCCCACCGCGGAGGATATACTGAGTAAATATCTAGTGGATATACCCGGGCGGAGATCCACCAGCCCACCCTAGGGGCATGCTTCGCCGATGTTCGCCGCCCGTCCGCCGCCTGTTATCACGAAGGTGGGGCTGTCCCCTTTGGGAAATCTTCGGGATGTTCAACGAATTTCGATATAACTTACACAGTAAACTGTAGGCCCTACCTAAAGTACAAACCAATGGTACTCACTAAATTCCAATAAAAGATACACGCCAAGGCTACCCGGGGCAGATGATACCCGACGGTGAAATATTCCTATTCCAACAGAGATTGAATAATTGACTCTTCTAGTTAGACACACAATACAGTACATTACGCATTTCCACTCAATTTCTCAGAGCAGCACTTTATATGATAACAACTTTATAACAGCTTCATTTCTACGAAATATATGAACCTGGGAGGGTGTGACAGACTAATATGACCACCAATTTACCAACCCTGAACGGGGTCTCGTTTTTGGTCGTATGGTAAAGACGTGGATTTCACACTAATATTAAGAGAAATCAACCATATACCTGCCACAGATCACTTATCCGGCAGAACCACACAATGCTCACATATTATTTCCTGGAGTTCGATTGATCAGATTCGAACGTCGAACCAGACTTCCCAGTCGCGACGCCCGCCGGCGGGATGACCGGTGCCCCAGGCATCGGGGGAAGTTTAACAGGCTTGAAGGTCGCCTCCTTGGAGAATTTAACAAAGCCATTGAGATAGGCATGGGCGGATGTAATCCGTTTACCGTCTTTATCCAGAAGAACCACGGATCCATGGTACGGGTCGTCGCGGTTGGGCGTGGGGTGAGGGTTTCCACTATTCACGTTGGCTGAGGTCGTGCTACAACTCATAAGTGTCTTACATTACCTGCGCGCTGACAACGCGAGCTTTCAGTCCAGGGACTTCATCGATCGAGCGTTCGATTTGCTCGATCAACCAGCTGACGTCGATGGTTGTCCCGTGGAGGGACCAGTTGAGCTGCTTCAACTGTCTGGCGGTGGTTGACAATGCTCGTGAGGTCATGATTGTCCGTCAAAAATTCGTATATGTCGATATACAGAATGCGGAAAGAGGGTGGTTCAATTCTCAGAGTTGCCTTTGACTATGAAAGTAATCTGATGATTTTGTGTTGATACTTATGAGTCGTGGTGTTCTCCTTTCCTATATACCTTCAGCAGGAGCGATATCAATTAGTGCATGATTGACCCTGGCGGCTATTCGTCGTGGATCACAGAGAACTTCCCAATCCATTGGCAGAGAGGCTACGAAATGGCATATGACGATCCCGCATCATTCTTGGAACTAAGTATAGGTGTTGCTGATTATGGCTGTTCTTGCGTATCATTTATCAGTAACCCCCTTGACCTACCTACGTCGGTTACGATGCTGCCTTCCCAATCCACCAATCTCCATGATTTTCAGGTCTGGACCGTCCGGTAAACTCAAAAACGATATGATATAGTTGGCGCCCCATACAGTTATAGTCGAAGCTCAGCCCAAGGCAGTTCGCGTTGCAGGCGGGCGCTAAATTCGGGGCAGTGCCTGATTGACCACCTACCAGTAGCAATGCCAGTTGGTCAACTACGCGCCGTTGGACAGCACAGATGCAGGAGTGCGCCGCCGGTCTGTTCTCTCGACCAACCGAAGGGGCTACTGATGATATCATTGGCTGATAGTTTATTCCCCACTTGTCTGTATCAGGAATAGTCATCTGACCGTGCCACGTGATCAAATTTATCATCTGGCGGTTTGTGCTTTGTTTTGATCTTCTTCGTCGACATCTATTGATATCACATTCTCATATCGGTTTATAGAGAGTAATTCTGGAATGAACACTATAAGGCCGTCCATTCCTCGTCTATCTGCCTTGCTTCGCAAGAAACCGTTTCCCATGCCCTCTCATGGGCCACGTTTATCGCCCAGTATACTCGTTGATGAAGAGACCTCGCCAGTATACGATTCTAAGTACTTCTACGCAGCGAAGCCCGGAGAGGTACTCGCTGATCGTTACCAAACGCTGGTCAAGGTCGGTTGGGGCGTGTCTTCAACAGTATGGCTCGCGCGTGATTTGCAAGGGTAGCCGTTCAATACTTTCTATTCAATTCGAAGATCTCTCTGTCTCTAACAAACATACAGGCATATCGAAGAGCCAGAGATTGTTGTGGCGCTGAAAATCGTCAATAATAATGCGAGTTCTATAGGCCATGAGCGCGAGGTTGAAGAGCACATTTCCACGGCAAACCCGTCACATCGTGGCCGTTCAGTTATCCGAACATTACTAAACTCTTTTGAAGTTACTGATTCCGAAGATTCTTATTCGTGTCTTGTGTACCCGCCTATGAGGGAAACATTGTCGATGTATCAGCAGCGCTTTGAACACAGAAAGATGCCACTAGCCCTCATAAAAATATACATTCATGCTCTTCTTACGGGGCTTGAATATCTTCACCAAGAATGCAGGATAGTTCATACGGGTAAGTTCATCTTCGACCTTGCGTCCTGTCGATTATACTGATCCCAGGCGGCTGCCTAGATCTAAAGCTTGAAAATATCATGGTCTCGTTCGAGGATCCAACCGTGCTTGCTGATTTCATAGATTCTCAGCTGGAAAATCCAATGGCTTTCAAGATTAATTCGGCGGGACGGCCAGTGTATCAGTCCCGGAATGACTTCGGGCCACTTAAAAGCCTGAGAAGTATACCACAGCTTGTCGATTTTGGCTTGGCAACCAGACTCGAGGAAGACGACGACTGGGGTGTCTGGCCTATTCAGCCAGACCACTATCGGGCACCAGAGGTGATATTGGGGAATGGATGGCAAATGCCTGCAGATATTTGGAATCTTGGTGTTCTGGTGCGTCCCCTTCTCCGAAGGTATTATATCCACTAATTCAGACCAGCTATGGGATATGATCGAAGGCAAAGAGCTATTTCGACATATCCATGATCAGCAAGGCCAATACGATGCAAAACTACACGTAGCCGAAATGATAGCCTTACTCGGACCACCCCCTCCAGAGGTAATACAAAGGTATCAATACATGCGAGAGTATTCGTGGCCGGAGCCTGTCAGGCGAGAAGATGGCAGAGTATGCGAGACCGCGGAGGAGTACTTCTGTGGGCCATTCTTTGACATTAATGGTATTATTGGTTCCTATCTCGAACGAATTACTCTCAGACTCACGAAATAATACAGGTCGCTTTCTTTACAAAGACTTGATCCCAAACCGGAAACTTGGCGACACGGTTTCCTTCCTTCAGGGAGAGGAGAGGGAAGCATTTCTGGATCTCGCCAAGGAAATGCTTGTCTGGCATCCCAATGCGAGAAAAACGGCGGGCGAACTGGCAAGGCATCCTTTTCTTCAATCGAACTATCAGCAGTCAAATTCTTTTTGAGATGATCCAACCGGATATGATTGGGGCCGTAGGCTTTACTCGTTATTACAGAAAACCCAAGACGGAAGGAAACCACATGAAGCGAGACTAGGGTAGGCGGATAGAGGGGTAAGGCTGGAAGAAGATGGATGACATTGGGACCCAAATAGGTAAATAGAAGTCTTCCGTTTAAACTAACACGAGATGTAAATAAGTAATGGCTACGTTACCGGGAGTTCTGCCCTCTCTCTGCCCGAAGTCGTCTGGCAAAAACTGTTTTATCGCTGGGTAGCCATCGATAAGTTAATATGTTTATAGGCCTATTTCTTTTCATCACGACGCCTGGTCCACTGAAAAGCTAGGTCTGAGCAAACTACACAACCTGCAATGTAAGGAACCTCATCCGTTATATGTGTGCTCAAACTGAATGCATCAGAGATCAAGGTCAACCCAGCCTTTCTACCTGACAAGCTACGCATGGCCAGCCGAGCTGAACCGCAACGTATCAGCCGCCGCAAAGGACGAATTTGTGGAAGACCATGTGTAATATTCCAAAAATTTGCTGGTTATTTTCCTTGCACTTACGGTCATTCTTCGCCGATGTCCGCCGCCCGTCCGCCGCCTGATATCATGAAGGTGGGGGCTGGTTTCTGGGCCCTTCGGAGCATTAGTGACCAGTAGGAAACAGTTATATTTCATATTTTAGGCACAGTAATGGAACGGAGGGAAACGATACAGTGCGACTACGTGGAGAAGAGGCGGAACTTGAACACAGCTCATTCATCATTAACCGGCATTCGTCGGAGACTACAATATAATACAGTAGTATGATAAAAGGGATTCACAATAGTCCGTCGATGGGAGTTCGTCATTCAGCCTAAGTGCAGGATAATGCCCGGGCGAACATAGTATATTAACCTCATTTTTTTGAGCTTCCATTCAACTATCTCGTTCCGGAGTTGGCGGCGACACTGGGAATCCGTCAACAGGGTCACGTAGAACCTTCAAGATATAAGGCGGACAGCGGAAGAGTCTTTCCAATCCAAAATATATCATCATGTCCAGTCTCAAGAGCCCCATGCGCATTTGGCCGAATACGGCACTTTGCAGGCGTAGAGTCTGGCTCCACATGTCGAGCAGATGCTTTGACTCGTTTGCGCTCTCAGTGGTAGGAGACTGGATCAAAAGGAGAACAATAAAGGTTGATATAGATGAAAAACACATCCGAGACCCTGCATAGAATATACCGCATGTCAGATCCAAAGCTTTCACAAATTTGATAAAAAAAACGTGCAAGAGCGCACTCACATGAAGACCAGAAACTAATCCGGTCCAAAGAATCGAATTTCCTTATAATTTCGAGGATCCTCTTGACACAGTCAATAGCCCCTGTCCTGACATATTCAGTCGTATCCTGTAATCTGGTATTGATGTTGATGCTAGTTCGTGAAGAAGATGACTCTCTTTGACCTGGTGGGTTGATATCTGGGATTGCACCGCCAGCAATTGCAACACCGCTCAATGGTCTCATCAATGCCCGGTATATATATACGTTTAGCGTCAGACAAGCCACTCTGAGATAAGCCGCGGACGATATGTGGAAATAACACTTGTCTGGTGGTCGAAAGCTTGCGTCAACCTTAAGTTGTGGGGGTAAGGAGGCTTCCCAGTGTGAGAGCTTTTCAAAGAGTGGTTTTGAAACTTCCAAGGACGCTCCCAGGTCTTTCGCTAGCTCTCGAGTCGCCCGCATTGTGCTATTTCCCGGTAATTAGCAGAGGGATATTATGGATAGGAATGAAACCTTACTATAACTTGCGATAGATATCGTAAGCGATGACAGTTAAGCTTGCAAGGAATACAAACTCGTAGCCTCCATGGCAATAGACACATGGCGACAGAGACGGGAATTTTGTGTTATATGATTCCAAGTTGGGTAAGAGGAGATGATCGATGACAAAGTCATTTTCATCGAGAGGGCTGACATCCCATTCATCATCGCTAATAGGATGGGGAAACCCCATCAAAAGGCTATTCCAAGTGGTTTCAGTGTACACTGCCCACCAGAGCCGTCGTCTTAACCGCCGCTCCCAGAGGGGTATTGGCCAGCGATGACAATCCAAATTCAGACCCAAATTAGTAGCTAAACAGGCTAAAAGGCTAACCCACGACCGGTGGAAGGGTGTATCCGCCAGTGCGGTGACTCCCTCCAACGATGGTTTCTGTAGATAGAGCAAAACGGTCTGCAGTGTGGCTAACTGTGCTCGGTGGATGTCATCGTGGATCCCCTCGTAGGCAAGACGCCAGAGTTTCTCAGCGGGAACCTTTTGATATGTGCTTGAAACGCAGAGAACGGGGTCGTGACTGGAAAACTCATGGGACGAGGCGTAAACAGCAGCCAACAGATGGCTGGGCATCTCCCGCAATACATGGGTGTCAGGTATCAGGGTGTCTCTGCTTAATCCGAATGCTGTACGAGAGAGTACGGGCAGACTGGGAAAGACATAGCGGAAAAACCTGTCAATGATAACAATGACTTATTAAAAGAGCCAACAATGCTTAAATGGATAAATGGATGGCACTTACAGGCCCACTAAGCGGACGCCAAGGTGAACGGGGACGAGGTTCTCAAGAAGTTCCCGCCCCGATGAAAGCGATGTCTCTGGAGTCAACGAATCCGCTATGTCGTGCGATGTCAGTCGGAAATGAACGGGTATATCACTCGGACTTTCAGGCGCCAATTGACGGTAGTGGACCTTGAAGAACTTCGCCGTCCCCACGTCCGGAAATCTAAAGTGACGTAGTAAATATGGATCCATCTCCCCCGATAGCCCAGAATACTGCACGCTATATCCCGCGGCATTATCTAAGGATTGTTTCAGTCGTGATGCTTCTGAGTCTCCGGCCTGAGCACTCAAATAGCGGGAAGCGGCAGGTATGCTGTCGGTGCAGCTGCCTTCTCCGGGGAAGAGTGACGACAAAGACGTTGGTGGAAATGAATCGATCGTTCCGGCTGCAAAAGGCGCCACAGTGGAAGGCAAGGAGACCTGGCTTACCCTTGGATTTTGCTGTCTCCTCTCACTCACATACTCATTTTCGCCGGCATTACACAGTATGTTCTGAGCAACTGGTGGGGGAGTTGCCCTCAAGAGCCCTGGATGTGACAGTTGTGGTAGCTGAATGTCTTCGAAGAAGTCTATATCGGCTCCAAGGTCGGAGAATTCGGGCAAGGACGATTCCTGTAGGCCCAGTAGGTCCTGAATCATCATAGGCTGTCCAACTTCGGGGAAATTTTGTGGATGATTCCGCTGCGCCCGTTTGCTAGGGGGGTTCTTGAACGTGCAAGCGACTCCTAGATTCCGACAGGATGCACAGGGGGGTTTGTCCTGCAACTGACAGGCATGCTTCCGCTGGCGACATGTATCACAGGGCCGTAACCGCTTGGAACGATATGGGCGAGCTCCGCGGAGTTCGGGCATGGTGTTTTGGTCCATTCCCTTGAGTTATGAGAACTAACCTCAATGATCTGAAGGGTTGTCCCTCACGTACTACTTAAATTCGCTGGCAAGCTCTTGGGAATAGACTCAATCATAGATTATTGGTGGCAAACATTGGAATTGAAGAGAGCGCAGGACCTCCAAGCACGTCAGGAAGACGGCTGTTGTAGTTAATTGGATGGATGACTCGTTATCTTCTTATCTTCACAGTAACTGACCATATTCATGGCCGTACGTAACGATACACGGCGCAGCGGCAACCGCCGCCACAGGTGGGGCGCCAGTATTTCACGGCTAGGGACAGAAACGAGTCTGCCATTAGGAATAAGTATTACCAAGAAACAATAGGGCGATAGAGCAAGTGCATTGGAGAAATAGGTAGATAATGTATCCGCTGGGCGATACTTGTGCTCTTCCCGCCGAGGGTTGAGGGGCACGGATAGGGTGGCTGACTCATGTTGCCTGCCAAAAGGGGCAAGTTAGAGAGTCAGTCGTAGTCACGCAGATAAAAAGTACCCACCTCTATCCAGGGCTTACTCTGAACGCCCTCTTGTCTCCCTTTCATCGCATTTAGGCTGTCTAGTTTTTTCATCTCCCTCCCCTCGCCCCGACAGTTACTGCTCTGCTTTCATCGACATAAAACTATATATAGTATTGCTTCGGATACTTAGAAATATCTTTGTACCGACTGTTGGATTTCACATTCAACATTTTACACAACTCGGTATCAGGATGTGTGGCAGCCTATTATTTCCTTCGGTCAAACCTAAGCTCACACTTCAATGCATAAGGAACGCCTGAAGTCAACTGATCATCCATTCTCATGCTCTCTTCTGTGCACCCCTCTGCAACCTTTGTTGTGTAATACCGATAGACAGATGCTAAAATAGTTTTCATCTCGACCATGGCAAAACTGTAATCCCCGTTAGCGTGGATATTATCGCGAAATAGATAGGTCAAATTACTTCTGGCCCAAGCATGCGCGGGCCCCCGAACTGAATGGCCAGAAATGGGCCTTCATTTCGGATAGTTTTTCCTTGTCCTGCGTCAACCACCGTTCCGGATCATACTTGTCTGGATCTGGGAAAACTTCGGGAATGCGGTGGAGGCTATAGGCCTGACAGCTCACTGTTGTGCCACCGGGGATATGATGACCCTCGACGATACGCCCTTCAGGAGGGCACATTCGGAAGAGCGACATTGGCACAGGTGCTCTCCAACGGAGACCTTCCAGAATAACTGCATCGAGATAAGGTAGTTTATCCAAAACTGTAAATGGAGCCGTGCCACTGCGTGGATCAAACTCTCCATCAATAGAGAATAGTTCCGAAAACAATTTCTCTTGCACATGCTGGAACTCGGGGGTGGAAATTCTCCACATAAGAATGCACATGGCATCTCCTGTTGTGTCTACACCAGCTACCAAATGGTCCATGCACTCGGCAGCAATGCCGTGTGGATTTCCAGAGATGACAGAGTAGAGCTTCCCGGCTGTCGACTCCGCATGCATGTCAGGATCATTGCCGATACTCTTCACAGACTCCAAACCATAATTGTTGAGTCGACTTCCACGGACATGGAAACCCGTAGGCTGATTCCGAAGCCATCGATAGAAACGCTTGATTGTCTCAGTCAGAAGCAACAAATCCTTGAAGTAAAAAGTAAAATATAATCGACTCCGGTGTTTAACGCCAGAAAGATCGTAGACTAGATCTCGGTGGGCCTCGTCCTCCAAAGTTTTGGTACCATATGCACCATAGACATGATTCGTAACCGTACTTTACTATAAATCAGCATTGTTTCAATAAAAGGTCATGAAAAACCCACTCAATGGCGTAGTAATGTAGCCATAGATACATATCGATAATCGGCTGCTGTTGGATCTTCTTCATCAATACCTCAGCGTGCTGTCGAATCATGTCGGCGACATTGGGCTTAGTGACGTAAGATTTGGTATATCGGTCCGCGACTAGTTTCTTTCGAGTCGAGTGCTGAAGAATCTCTCGTGTCAATAAACCCAGCCAATGTGTTATAGAATCCCTACCTCACCTACATCTTGCTTGTGTACACTGGTAAAGGTGTTCCGCTGATCGTAGTAAACGAACATGTCGTAGAAAGGGCTCTTGGAATACGTAGATCCAATGCCATAGATTTCTTTGAGGGCTGACCTGGAATTAAAGGAGACTTCACTTGGCGAGATTCGAACGACAGGACCATATTGTTTATGTAGCGCATCCAACGTGACCGTTCGGTCTCCTTTAAATTCATGAAATATCAACCACCACGAAGTTATTGCTGTTATCCAAGGGCCCGGGATGCGAGATAGAGGCGCGAAATACAAGCGATAGACGGCAGCGACAACGCATAAAGTAAGGCACGTGCCGCAAGCCGAAGTGAGGACTGGGGTGATATTCGTCTGAACTTGCATCATGGCAGAAACATTGACACAATACTTCTCTCTACGAGTAGTATGCAATTTTCACAAAGCTTTCTTCCAGTTCTTCCCTAGGATATATAGCCATATCCACGTTTCTGTCAGTCTTCCAGATAAGTGTCCACGCCTCGAGCTCCATTGTCCAAGTTGCGCGATGTTGACATCGACGTTCTTCAACCGTCGCCCTTTGCCTCAACATTCCGAATCGCCCCGTCTAAGTTGATGTTAATCTCAGTATAGCGGACATGGATTGTGGCAGAAGTTTGCCGTGTCCGCCGAAAAAAGTCTAATTTGATGTGAATCTCAGTATAGCGGATATGGACTGTGGTGGAGATCTGCTGTGTCCCCCGAAAAAAGTCTACTGCGTCCGCCGAAGAAGAGTCTAATTGTGTCCGCCTATTCGGCAAACAAGGATTGCGCAAACCTTTAGCCCGGCGGCGAAGAAACAGAACGCCTACTCATTTTCTGTGACTGCTTCTTGTATTCATACGATAAGGCTTTCCCATCGCTATGGCCGTTTAGTTCATGTTCTGACCAGTGATGATTCAGCTGATAAGCCCAAATCACATAGCACATGGACTATCTGTAATGGTAAGCCGTTCACCAGCGACATCCTTACGTGTGAAAACTTGAAACGAGATGTAAGATTTCCGAGATAAGGATATGCGTACAGGAAAGCATGGAGAAGGATAAATAGCCTGTCAAGTCAAATCCAACGAAATTAATTTTCATTGCATTATTGGACTCTCAAGTAAATTGTGCGACGAACTCAGCAATGGACAAAAAAAGCGGAAGTAGGAACGAACAATCTGTCGCCTCGGAGGATGGACCTGACATTCAGAGCCAGATGATCGAGGTTAGGACGTGACACGGAACATTTCAAGACATGGCCTAACGATCTTATGAAAATCTCAGCTGCCACAGTACATCCCTCGGCGTGAATTTTCGATACTGTCCCTGCTCGGCATGGGATTCGCTTTGACCAACTCGTGGTGGGCGATAGCATCATCTCTGGTATGAATGGCTAAGCGTGATATTGGCAAAATGAATAGGCTGACCGAGCGGACCAGGGTACAGGCCTTCCCCAAGGGGGCACTTCCGGTATTGTTTACGGGATCATTCTCGTATTCTTTTTTTCGAGCTGCGTCGGAATCACGCTTTCAGAATTGGCGTCAGCGTGGCCTCATCCTGGAGGCCAATACTACTGGACCGCCCAACTTATGAGCCCTCGTTATCGCCGGTTTGGTGCTTATTGCACAGGTTATATTAGTTGGTTCGGTGCTCTCTTCACCACCAGCTCAGTGGCCCTTGCAGAGGGCTCCAGTATTGTCGGCTTACTCAAATACACACATCCTTCCATTGATATCAAGCCATGGATGGTTTTTGTTGCTTCTCAAGTTTTAAATGTCGTGGTTGCCTTGTTCAATATTTATGGCAAGACACTTCCACCCATCGGAAAAATCTGTCTATGGGTCACCTTGATTAGTTTCTTGACGACCCTCTTCACGGTGCTGGCATGCTCCTCTGGCAATTACAACACTCCACAATTTGTTTTCGGAACATTGACAAACGAGTCCGGATGGAGTCTAGATGGGATTGCGTTCCTTGTTGGATTGATCAATCCTAGCTGGGCGTTTCCCTGCTTGGTGAGTCTAATCAAACGCGGCCGCTGAACAGAGTTAATGATGTGTAGGATGCGGCCACTCATCTTGCTGAAGAGGTGGTGAATCCGGAGCGGGCGATTCCTATTGCGATTATGGGAACGGTCCTCATAGGATTCGTAACGTGAGATATCCCCATATCCAGTGTTCTAAATCAGCCTTACTGAGTCCATGTGATGAAACCACAGTGCTTTCTCGTACGCGATTGCAATCTTCTTCTGTGCCGTCAATCTGGACAGCGTCGTCTCGACGGTCACTGGAGTCCCTATTCTTGAAGTCTTTTCTCAAACAGTCATCCATAGAACCGGGGTCATCTTTCTGGAGATCCTGGTCATTCTGTCCGGGATTGGAACGCTCATTTCCTCCCAGACCTGGCAGTCGCGAATTGCTTGGTCGTTCTCACGTGATGGTGGGATCCTGGGCAGTCGATACTGGTCTCGGTTCCATCCGCATCTTCACACCCCTATTTACAGCCATCTGCTATGTACCGCGATCTGTGCGATTCTGCTTTGTTTGTATATGGCATCGATCGCTGCATTCAATTCGATTGTCTCCGCGTGCATTGTCTTCCTGAATCTTTCTTATTTGGCTCCCACCGTGGCAATTCTTCTTCATGGCCGAGACAAAATCCCTTACGGTCCCTTCTTTCTAAGATTCTGGGGATTCATAGCTAACTGGTGCACTATCATCTGGATATGCTTCACAACTGTTTTCTTTTGCTTTCCGTTTTTCATGCCTGCTACAGCCGGAAACATGAATTACTTATCGGCAGTCTTGGGCACTTTCGTTATATACGTCATTGCATATTGGTTTGTCCGGGGAAAGAGTGAATTTTGGAAGGAAGAATCTCAAGAATGAAGTATTGTACAGTAGCACTGAGGAAATCAATTGAATGAGTTGATTGAAGTAATATCGCTGTCAAGAGCGTCTCACTGTCTGAGAGGCTGGTATTGCGCGTTGCAACGCGGGTATATAGAGTTGACCTGGCTTACCATACAAAAAACATATGAAGTAGTGGGTAGTCGCTGAATTATCCAGGTCTTAGTGGTAAATAAACACCTCTCAGCCCGACTGATCATCTTGGTGCCAGATTTATAATGTTGATGCTTGTAGCATGAGACAATCATATGTGGCGGTGCCTGATACCAGTTTGATATCTGGGCGGGGTTTGTGGTAGGAGGTGGCAGGGGTTCTTGCCAGGCTCCCAGTGACTTGCTTATCGTGCCTGTCATCACTGCCATGCTGTTGGACAATTCCTCATTGACCAGTTTCTGGTATCACATAGCTACACCACCACAGACCTATAAATTTGTACAGTCAAAATGTCATCAGATCTTCCAGACCATTCGGAGAATGCTCCCCTGCTCGAAGTACAAAGACCCCTGAAGATACCCTAGTCCCGAGACGTTTTTGCAAGCAAGGACTGACGTATCCATTTGAACTAGCCAAGAGAAAACGAGATCCTCGTGCAATCGCCTCTCAGTGTAGAGGCCTTCCTCTCGTTCAGACCTCTTCTTCGTCTGCTGATGCAAAACTGTGTTGTTCGGAGCTATTGGTATGACGCCATTCGTGGTGAGATCAGTTTGGTCTGCGCCACCAGCACTGATACCGATGGCATGCCGGATGTGAATGCATAAGATGTTTCATTTAACAGATCATAAAATCGATCTGAGTGGCTTTAGCTAAATGTGGGAGGACCTTACTTTAGATTCAAATCTGTGGATGACTCTAACGTGGTTTACCGCTGCACTGTAAAGCCAAGGAAACTAGATATAGATTAGCTTTAAGCACTTCGAAAAGACTATATCACTTTTCCCATTGATATTCTGGTGGCCTATTCACGTGGAAGCCTCTTAATGAACGACTTAAGACCTAAAAGTAGTTGAGGGAAAACACGAATGACCGCTTGCTTATCGATAAGCCGCGTTCCACGCGCCAGTTTAATTCAACCACTTCTTACCACTCCCTGACAAGCTGACTTTGACGACGTGACCACCTTCCAGATGCCTATATGACCGACTTATCGTCTTCATCTCTCTAACGACAATGTCACGATTGCTCGACAGCCATTCCAGTCACAGCCTCCATGGCCCAGGAAACCAAATCTGAATATCGGGCGGCAAAACCCCTCCCGTACGAACTTCGCCAGCATTGTGCTATCTATTTTGAGGAGAAGCTATGTCAGTGTACTAGCGCATGCTATGGATGTGCAAAGAAACTGACTGCAGATTATTGCAGACTCCCAAGCCCTAACTTTGCTATTGAACATATTATCCTACGGAACCTCTACGCACGCTCCGGCATATGTCCCGGCACCCCAACACCTGGCGCTTGCAGCAACACTCCTCGTGCACCCCTCCACCACCACGAACGCGAAATCAAAAGAGGAGAAAGACTCAGCTAGTGCGGCGCTACAGCTACTCCGTCTCACTCTACAGTTGGTGGGGCCGATCTCCTCAAAACTCAATGTCGCATTCACATTTACGCATTTCGACTCATCCAGACACGGCGGTCAATGGAAGGGTGATGAGCAGATAACACCAGTCTCTGGATCCGACGATGATGAGACGCCGCTGAACTTGGACCTTGCAAAGTCAAAGTCTTTATGGTCGCGAGCAGAAGATTTCTGGCATGTGGTTGGCTGGGCATTTATTTGCTCGGTTTTGCACCCGCGACGATGGGAACGATGGCAGATATGGCTTGAATATATGTGCTTGGCTATGGAGGKGGACTGGATACAGCGCGAGAAAATGGCAGCGGGAACAGACAAGCCGGAAAAAATCTTGAAAGACAGTTTAATATGGAAATTCATCGACACAGATGCCACGGGTTACGGTCGAGAACGTCGGATATTACGTGCCATCTTTGCGGATGGCAGCGCCGCCGCATTGACTGAGTTCCGTGAGGTGTTCAAGAATGAGTTGAAGAAGCAACAACAGGGAGAAGAAGAGAAAAATGCATCTAATTCGAGGAAAAGGGCTGAAGTGAATATAGACGAAGACGAGTATGGCGATTATCTTTTCCAGGATGATGACGAGTCAGACATACCGGAAAAATCCACGCGCACTCGACCTAAACGTGCTCGCCGAGGCACGAGGGCCGCCGACTTAACTCTTGTCGAAGAAGCAGCAGCAAAAGAAGAAGAACAAAAAGCAAAGAAATCAGCAGACGAAGTGCATGCCAAAGGAGACATTGCTGCATACGGCGATTTCCACTCTCTCGAGCTCCGGCAACGTCTACTAAGCCTCTTAAGCAAAGTTTCCATAGCCATGCCCAAAACATTCATGCCCACCGACGCACTCTTCCACTTATTCGTGGAAAATATTCGACACCTCCCACTTCCCATCTTCCAGGCCTTCGTCTCACCACCAAACCTTCCCTGGATGACAGCAGACGCCCAGAGCACTCTATGCGAGACGCTGATTCTGCGCATGCGAGAAAGCGCAGCACCCAACCCAACAGATCCCTATCTGAGTCAACAAGAATTGCAAGAATGCTACCTGCCCTACTCGGCAAATACAACCAGCGCAGTCGATAATACCAAGTACTCGATTCTTTTGGAGGCGTTGATTATCCTTCTGGCCAGAAACGACGCGCTCCACAATACACCTCTATTAAGAGAAGCGGCCATGACGGGCATCGAGCGGCGAATGGCGAAAGCAGAAGGGGAAGTCCGTCGGAATAAAACCAGTCGAAAGATGGAGGGCGATGAATGGTCGTGGCTGGTTGAGAGTGCGGATCGGTTGCTCTATTTGGTGGAGGAGATTTTGCCTCAGGTTGACGTGGCTGATGAGAATTGAGGGATTACACTTACATGTTTGATGTTTAGATAACAATTATCTTCAGGATTGCTACAGGGTACGAGTTGTAGGAATAAAATATTGAGAACGCTCAATACACCAAGTTGAATATCTAGGACACATACACATAAAACAAAAGGATATGAAAAAAAAAAGAAAAAGTACAATATCGACAGAAAGTTTATGGTGGAGGACGAGGTCCTATGATCTGCCGTCTAGGCCCTGAAACACCAAGTCCAGTACCACCGCGATTCTGACTATCGCCGCCCATGTATCCATACTGATGCACATCCCACGCACCTTGACCAGGGGCACTGCCTGTGCCAGCCCCAACACCACGCTTCGCTGCCTCAATGGTCCGTTTCTGATTTTCTTCCCACTCCCGTTGACGTTCACGCTCGCGCTCCATTTCGCGTTCGAGAAGAGACTTGGAGGCCCAACCGCCGGCTTTGGTCTTTTCTTGTGCGGCGATCCGGCGGTCGTTTTCGGCGTCGACTTCGGATGTTGTGGAGTAGTCTTGTGGGCGATGGGCGACAGGTCGCGATTGCACTGGCGCCGGGTTGGAGGCGAGGAATCGGTCGACTCTGCTGTCCCTACCGCCACTGTACTTAGAAGGATCGGGAAGAGGTCGGGATGGCGGCGAAGCGACCTCGACTGGGTTTGGTAATGGTCGAGAAGGTAGTGCAGGTGGAAGATCTTCTTGCTCCATGACAGGAGCAACATTCTGCTGTTGCTGCTTCCACTCGGATCGGAGAAGTTTCCTCTCCTCTTCCTGCGACGTAAAATCATAGCTGGGCTGGACGGGTCTAGGTCGGCTTCGGCTGCGCGAGCGAGCTTTGCGTGCTGCTTCTTTCGCTTTGAGGTCTAGTCTTTCTTGTTCGTATTGTCTCTCGCGTTCCCGAGCCCGTTCAAGCTCTCTTTCCAACTGCTTGATGCGTTGCGACTCTGCTGACTCTTCTTCCGTCTTCTGCGTCGCCTGGTACTGGCTGAGAAATTGACCGTTCAGACGCGCATCACTAGACGCGCGTTTGCGTGCTCGCTCCTGTTCTAGTCTCTCCGCGGCATCCTTCTCCTCCCTTAACCGGCGTTGTTCCTCTTCCTCCCACTTCCTCTGCTCCTCGGCCCATCGTACCTTCTCCTTCTCAATCTCCTGACGTTCTTTTTCTCTTACACGTGCCGTTTCTTCCGCCCAGCGACGTTCCTCTTCTTCCCGAGCGCGCTGCTCCTCTTGCTGTCGACGCAACTCTTCTTCTTGCCGTTGGCGTTCTTCCTCCAGTTCAGCTTCACGGCGTCTCTTCTCCTTCTCTGCAAGACTAGGCACGGCGGGGCTAGGTGCTGTAATTTGTCGTCTAGCTCCAAACGCTACTCCTTGGTTGCCTTGACTTGCTCCACCCATGTATCCGTATTGGTGGATGTTCCATGCTGGAGCAGTCGTTCCTTCGTCTGATTTCTTACTCCAGCTACTGAGAGTCGGTGGTGGCGATGCTGGAGAGTGCCCTGTCTTATGCGGGCTAACGCGCCCCGATGTATTGTTCCTGTTGGTTGGATCAAAGGTGGTCGAGCTCGTCTGGCTCACATTGCTGATTCCACGAGATCTGGTAGTACCAACGCCGTAATTGGGTCCTGTTCCTTGTGGACTCATCAAGCTGCCTTTGCTTTTGACTCCGCCAATGGGACGCGGGAATTTGCTGGGCTGGATTGCATTCGCACGGCGGCTAAATGCTCCAATACACTGTAGGACTTGTGCTGGGTCTTTGCGTTCGTATAGGTCGACGGTGAGAAAGACGTCATGAGGGGGTAGGTTCAAAGGTGCTGTTTGACAAGCGCGCAGAAAGTGAGAGATGTTTTCCATCTGTACGAAGGGCATGGCCGATTCTTTGAATTTCACGCCGGGCGAAACAGCAAGGTTGACTAGTCTTTTCTACTATTAGTCTCACTCTGGAAGCAGTCAAGACAGGGTCGTTCATACTTGCACAGCGCGACACCATCTTTGAGGGCGTCTAGTAGATCTCCAGCCGGCAGTCTCTGACGGAGAACCTCTTCGATCCAGTCGCGTACTTCGTTGGCCGCCTGCGGGGTGTATTTGGACAGGCGCATGTTGCGCAAGTCCTTGTCGAGACTTGTCACTGAGGCCATTTTGTATATCTAGACGTGGCGATGCTCATCCAACGCGAGATGTATAGTGTGTATGACGAGCGTTATTTAGAAGCCTAGTTCTCCGCGTCAGGCCGGAATGATAGCGGGGTCCCGGGGTTGGGAGAAAGGTAGGAAAGCGATTTGATCAGCGCAAGATAGTGTGTTATCTAGATATCAGGAATTGAACCAGAAACAAAGCGATTTGCCGGTATGGCAGGTCAAAGGAGCGAGGGAATGGATAACAAGGAGGTGAGTTTGTTGTGGTGAGAGTTGTTTAGGAAAGTGTGGCAGAGATCAGTCAGCCCCATTAATGACGTTGCGTGCCAGCCTAACAAAATAATTCGGAGTTAGTTACGACTGGCCGCGCCGCCTCCGTCGACTTCTGAGCTTCTTCAACCATCAATTCAGTCACCACCACATCACCTTCGTATTCAATTCGAATCTCTACAGTTGATATAATCCAGAGAGTATCCATGGCTTTCTAACAAGGCATAAAGAGTGACCGTCCGAGGACGCGACCATCTCCAAGAAAAAATTTGAAGTATCACAAGCGCAATGGTGAACAGTCTGTGGTTCAAATGGAAAGCCCTAAAACTCCCATGGAGGAGGTCATGGGTTGTTGGTTCGTACAACCTCCCCTTTGCAAGGATATCAACTAACATGTCATATAATCAGGCCAGGATCTATCGGGTAACACCTTCTGGGAATTCCGCGATGCGCTCAACGCCAACCGAAACCGTCGAATTGTCAAATACAACCCCAAAGCTCACTACGGAGATGTGAAAATAACCCGTACGGCTCCTTGTCTATAGTGGCAAAAGAAGACCTTTGACTAATGATAAATCAGCACAATGGCACCAATGGCTCCGATACGTCCGCCACCAACCCCCAACCATCGAGGAACAGCAGCGAGATCTCGTCCGACAAGCTCAGATCAGGAAACTTGCGCAGATCGCAGATGAGAAATGGGCAGCAAAACCGTCGTTTTTGGACAAACCGAAGACTCAACAACCTACACCTGCCACGCGGACAAGTGATCAGACTGTACCGGCAGACTCGAAAGTTCAGGGGCAGCCGGGCGTGACGAAGCAGATAAATGGACAAGAGGAGATTCAGCAAGAAGCTGATCAGAGCAAAAAGACAAAAGGCCTTGCAGCAAATGTCCCCACAGGTCCGGGAGAGAAGTGGCAACCAGAAGCGTGGACGCCAGACGTAGGTAGTAGATAAATATTCATACGTGCGAACTTGATGATATGAAACAAGATGCACACAGGAAAGTTCCCGTGTTGATGCTACATTATCATCGAAATTGGAGTGGCAACAGACGACCCGTCGTTTAACGGGCAGTATCCAGACGGATATGTATTTTTTACCTGTATATACCAAGACTGGCAAGTGACTCGCATCTCTGGCTGTATGTATTATATTTGAACATCAAAATTGACTCGACACCAAGAAAGGAATGGGGCAATATGCGATTCGTGTATAACAATTAACGATTAGAATGGGCTTATCCTATACACTTAGTGAGAACATTCAATATTGTTCTCTTGATGCGTTAGTAAAAAATAACTTCGCGACTTCAGATTTACTTCGAGGTTCTATAATTTTGGAGTGGTAATAACACCATATATTCAGCAAATATTATAGCAGATGCATTGTATCTATGAAACATGTCCAAACAAGCGCCCGACCTCTAAAATCAAATAGGTATATAAATAGTATAGTACAAGTATTAGGCTAGATGAAACAGATACACGTATTAGTAGAGATTAACATAGCACGGCTTCCAAAGCCTCAACGTCGCCGCCAGCATTCCTGACAGCTAGGAGGGCAGCCTCACTGAGTTTCCTGCGCTTCTCACGAGCCTCTTGCTCTCGGCGAGCTTTGGTCTTTGAGCTGCCACTGGGCGCGACACCAGTGAGGATCTTTTTGCTGTCAGATGGTGTGAAGTTAACAAATGACACATTTGATGAGCCCTTGCCACCCTTGGTGGGTGTGCTTAGTTTGACCGGCTTGGGGGCTGAGGTGGAGTTTGAAGATAGCTTCCGGGCGTGGGTACGTCGCGGAGTGATGTTCTTCATGCCGGGATGCGATTTGGGTGATGTGGTGTTGGTGGGAGATAGAGATGGGGTGCGCGATGGCTTCGCGATGAATTGTTGGTGAGTGGCTTGTGTGGTGGGTATGTAAGGGTGATGTGAGAACGTGGGTTGTTGATGAGAAGTAATGGGTATGTGTGTCGCGGTTGTGGAATGTAAGGGCGCGGCAGATGAGAAAGCATCATTACTCGCGCCGAGGTCGAACGATGAGCCGAAATCAATCATGAGACCATTTTGAAGTAATTCATGGTGATGTTGTTGCTGGTTTTGGTTTGTGTGAATCATGGGCGACTTTTGGCTAAGAGAGGAGACCAGATATGAGTTCTGATTCTGGGGCTGCGAAACACGCGTCGGTAATGGTGAGCTCCACCAGTGACCATCGTGACCATTTAGATCAGGTGTCAGTTGAAAGGTGGACGCAAGGGCGTCTGCATGCCACGCGTGTAGTTGTTGTGAGTCTGACGACGATGGTGTTGCAAAGATGTCATCCACAGGGGGTGGCGTTGAGGTGCGCTGGTTTATAAAACTAGCTGGCTGCTGCAGCTTGCTTGAATACATGGTAGATGCATAGTGAGGAGAAAAATCCGCCAGGTTCTCCGAACTCGAATTGAGGTGAATGCCACTATCACGTCGCATACTCTCATTCTGAACGAGTATATCTGATGGCGGGGGTGACAGTGGAAGTCGCTCATCGGCACGCATCTGGCTGTTAAATTGCTGCTGCAATCGAGATGACCAGTTCTCGGGATAAGCCATCTTTGACCTCTGCAGATGCGCTGAGCGCATCAAGCTGGGAGAGGAGCTTTGTTTACGATGCAAAGTAGCACGATCATTCGTCTTCCGTACGCGGACGTTTTTGGGAGTGATTGGAACACTCTTTGAGTGGTTTTTGCGGCTGGGTGTTGTGGGAGGAGAGGATGGTGATGTAGAAAATAGACCAAGGGCTTCGGGAGATGACTCTTCAAGGCTTACGGCATTAAAGCCAGAGACAACATCGGAGGGTTGTACCGTATCGTGGACAGGTTTGGGCCGATGTAACTGCAAATCATTCAAGGAGTCTTGTTGTACTGTCCATGCATCCTTACGCCAGCTTTGCGGCGATGATTGCTGGAAATGCTTGGATCCGTTGGGCGAAAGTTCGCCACAGTCACTGGAAAAGGAGCCCACAGAGAAGAATTGGTCAAAGTCGCTACCAAAGTGGACGTCTTTACTCCCGTCACCACTAGTAGAGGGGTCAGAGTTGACGTATTGGTTGAATAAGTCATTGAAAGAATGGTCGAACGCTGGGGCGAACATGGTGAAGACTGGATTGACAGTGTTTTCCGCTTTCGGTTAGAGGGGAAATGTCATGTATGGATACTATCGTTGACGTTTACAACGATTGGTGCAAGTAAATTGAAAGGTCGTGCTGTCAAGAGATCCCTGATTAGGGTAAGATTGATCGACAGATCGAGCGTTTGATATGGCAATGCGGTCTTCCGAAGATCCGAGGATGAGGCTGATTGCAATGCAAAAGAGGCAAATCCAACAAACACAGGGAATGATGTTTGACAATTGATGAATCAATGCAAAAGAAACAAAGTAAACAAACAGACAAGAGACGCTATTTGAAGTGCGTGTGCGTGTCCAACCAGCCTCCGACTTTCGAGGCTACATTCCATAGTATCTAAAGAAAGAGTCAGGAATGCTGCTATCACGATACATATTAGCCAATACATGGCGAGGTTCAACTATGGGAGAGTCCTTGATCCACACTGGGCGCTCTCCCATACGTCCATTTGGAGTGGCTGACATTCCTACTAATCTTGTCAGGGTGTGTTGAGAGGCCTCGGCTTAGCCACAGAGAAGAATGTCCCAGTCTTTGCTTCCAAATGCGGCCATGTCGTATGTCTGGTCTTGTGCTGCGGGTCTCCAACTTCGACCAAATGACCAATAGACTTTATCTATGTATAGTAAACATAGTGTGGGAGCCGGTTGTCATCCAGGCTGCAACCTTGGTCCAGACATCTAGAATAAGACATGCCCTCGTACAGAAGACGGGATTAGATCGGAGTAGACTAGTCGAGTGGTGACTGAGGTGTAAGCGTCATGCCCAAAACCTGAGTCGTGACAATCGTCCTATATCCTTATTGGTGTTGTCAAACACCAAAGATAGTAAGCACTATCCACTATTGCTCTGGCTTCTCGCCGGCTTCTTCTAGAGCATCTCTCCACAGTGCCAAGTGGCCAGTTTCTTGTCCTGGCCAATACATGGCTGTCATGTCGTGCTCACAGGTATGCTGAGACTCAAGGAATGTGGACAGCCAGCTCCAGCAATGTCAAGTAAGCTTTAGGGCTGTCAAGGCGCAAAATTTGTCGATCATGATGAGTATCCACTCGCAGCTATTCTGATGTAGTCATATTCATTGGAGAGATCATGAGGTCCTGCAGATGACTATCCCATGTTCGATCGATACATGATGAAGCTTGAGGTGCTCTGTTTTGTTGACACAGCGACATCTGGGCTCGAAGCAAATCCATGAACCACTTTGACTAAAGAAATGTTCTCGAAGTAAATTTATCCAACATGTCGCTCTGGGTTCCTCTCCCTATCTAAACAGGGCGAATTTCATCTCAGAAACTAATTTGGCGCACTCAACCCGAATGATATCTCTAAAAAAAGCTTGAAGAATCGCTTTGTCGCTAAAAGCCATAGACCGCTGTGAAATAAGGACCGTGTAAGTCCTGATCGGATCATATCACTCTCGGAAGAACCTTTGATAACAGACTTGTTTCATGCATATCCTTGTCAAAGGAGATTATGATAGTAATTGTTTGCACCAGTCGAAAAATATCAAGGAGTAGCTCTTTGACCAATCACATCATGGGACTAGGGCTTTCTCTGACCTAAGTCAATGACTGATAAACGAGATATTCAGATACCAGTATGACGCCCAAAAGCAGACTCTTTTGATGTCCCTCAACCTGGTAGGCTCACAAAAAACCCCAAGTGCAATATTAGAGTATAGAGAGAATATGAAATGCCATATACTTATGTCTGGCCATGAAAAACCTCGGAGTCCAGACTCCTGTCTTCGGACCCCTGAATAGTCCATGTGATACAACAGCCTTTGACACATGTAGAAAGTAAATATAAAAATCATGGCCTGGAAGATTCACTGTTGTTCTTCTTCGCCAAGTACAATCTCTGCAAAGGTAGCACAAAAGCATAATACGAAACACTGCCTAATTCAAAGGCCGGCGCCTTGCGTAGTTCGACATGCCCGAGCGCTTGAAGTCGCGCTGGTAAAAGTCATCAATCAGATGCTATCTGACTACTAAGGATATTCCTGGTAGAAATAGTCATCAATAGTGCTGTAATAGCACAGCATCACATTTGCGTGTGACACATCCTTGCAGATGGACTCAGCTTGGAGCAGTCCATTCGAAGTAACCAATTGAACGATGGGTATAACATGCAAGGGAGCCTTTCCTCGGACTGGGCGCAGCCATTGTGCTGGATTGTTGTACCGTGGAAATAATACAGTAAACCCTGGATATAAGCACCTATTTCAGACCGCCCAGCAATGTGCTATAACCCAGGTGGTGCTATATATCGAGTGCCATACAAAAAATATATATATCTCTATACTCACGTATATCAACCGCGTATATTGCACCCCCCAACCCCAATTTGACGATATTGACGACGACTATTTGCTCTAATCTAGAAGGCCTTATATCTCAGCGTCAAATTCTCTAGAATTAACGAGGCCCCGCGGCACAGTTGGCTATTCAATACGCTCGGCGTCGCGCCCTATACACCAATACGTGATGATTCGCAGTCTAAACCCACCCGAAGCGCACGACAACGCATTTCCGTGTGGAAATCTATATAAATCTGATATTAGAGTATAAATTGGATACGGGGCCCATTTTTTTATATATAAATATCGATTCCGAGCCTCATATTGCCCCCCCCAGAGCCTCCGTACGAGATATAAAACTCAACACCAAAAAGATTCGACAACGGCGATCGTGAGAATTGAACTCGATCCGTATCAACGTGCG